CCTGGGGGGGGGGTTTGTTGGTGCCGGAGTCGTGCTGTGCTGTGCGCTGCGGTGCTGGGCTGGGCTGGGCTTCGGTAGCAATAATCATCTGGTAATAGTAATAATAATCTGGACAAGACCAGCTGGGATGCCGGAATGCTGGAGTAGCGCTGGAATGCTAACCTCGAGGCGGCTAGCAGGATGATTGATCACTTTGTCTGCTGTTCACTGTCTATTATATTATTCACTTATTAGTACTTCGTACAGTACTACGGTATCTACTGATCTCTTATTCACTATTATTTATCACTTCCGACCCAACCTATTCCCCGGGGTCGATTGTTATGTTTAGCAGGCACCTTGGGTACGTTTCGTCCGCCGCGTGGCCTTAGCTGGGCGCAGATGGCGGTTTAGCAATTTGCCAGCCAAGCCAAGCCACCTGACTTGGCATTATATGGTGATTATGCCCGGAGACAGCGCAGCGGGGTGTGGCCAAGTACCTCGTCCGTGGCGTGGATGTAACAAAACCAATATCGGCAGAAAACGTCGTGTTATTGGCTGTTGGTGGGAAAGCCAAAGTCCCTCCCACACCGGTACTGAGATACCTCAACACGGATCTTTGGGATAGAACTGGAATCTGGCGTATGTCGAAGATCCAGACTGGGCGACGGGTTCCTGAAGAAACAGAATGTCGATCCGTATCGATCTGCTGCCGCCTGCCTTCTCCCTCCCGAAGGAAAAACGTGCCAGCTGCTACTCGAGTACAAAATAGTAAAGTGCTCCTCGCAGTGCTAAGGACGAAATATAGGGCGGGAGGTACGAAAGACTCGTAAGTCGCAACGTTTCACAACCACAACAGCGGCGGGTGATCCGACTTGCGGTGAACTTCGCTCCCCTGCCCGCCCGACGAGTCTAGACAGCTGGTGGCGCCCATCAGCTTGCACAGGTACGTAGATACTTCCTTCATACAGAGCAGCGGTTTCTCCCAAGCTCACCGGCGTGATGCATTGTCTCATAAAAACAACAATAACAATACTGCCATGCTCCGTACGGAAGGAGTTTGTTTTGATTCCTCCTTGGGTCCGTTCGTAGGCTCCTCTGGCCCAGCGCCAACAAGACTTCGTAACTCCTGAGTCCTGACAGAGCGCTCTGTAATTACGGAGTGGTGGGGGCCTGAAGGCATTGTGAATTTGAGGCATCGCTCATCCTTCTCAGGCTTATCCTCCTCAGGACCTCATCCCCGCCTCGGCGCCACCGGAAACAACAAGCTCAGGCCTCAGGGGTCGCAGGGGGAGAAGTTCGAAATGCTATTATTCCAATATGAAGAAGCTACCGAGTATTGGGTAGTCGTCCCCTCTGGTAAAAGTAAAGGTGCCAATACCCTCGCCACTTCTCTTGGTCGACACTTATTGTAACCTTTCTGTGTCAATTCTGTTCGGCTGATGTTGCAGGTCCAAGACCCCACTCGGAACGTCGATTATTTATGTCGTGGTCATGCATGCAGTGCGAAGGAGATGGAAAGTGGCAGTTTATGCCCGTATCGCCGCCGCTGCTGCTCCCACCAGCATCGTCAGCATTGGTTCACGGAGTCCTCGTTTCCCTTTACTTGGTAGACAGCCAGGGCGTCGGGTTGCCTCAATTCAAGATGTCCTCCGCTGTCAGCTAGGAGAGGCCGGCTGAGCGCAGGATTCTGAATCTCGGGGGGATCCTAAAGGCTCAGGGCTCAAGGAGATGGCTTCTTCCCCACACGATTTGTTCTTCATGTCTTCGACCAACTTTCCATTCACGGCCATCCGTGGCTATCCGTGACCCTTGACTGTTCGCAATTGGCTGACCCAGATGGAAATAGAGTCCATCCGGTCTCTGATGGTGACACGACCAAGTCTCATGCCCTGAGTCAATCCCCGCCCCGCCCCGAACAATACTCCCAACTCTGGAAGAATGGAAGTCAATAACTGGAATCCGCATCCTTCCCCCAGCTCCCGAAACACGGAATCATGCACTGCCCATACTTTGTACATAAGTACCATATTCCGTGCCAGGTATGATATGCACGCATGAATGTGGCCTTGAGGTCCTTTGCCTACCCGGGGCCGCTCTCCGGGGCTTGGCTTCCGAGCAACCGACAAGACGCATTGGCAACAACAACAACAACAATAATAATAACGTGAATATATGAGGAAACACAAGGTGTGGATGTGGATGTGGACGAAATACCTAAGCGTCACGATCGCAACTTTGCGTTACATGTGTGTAACTCCATAAGATCGTTGGGATTGTCGAGCTGAGCAAACTCAGGGTCCAAGGCCAGTCATGTGATCTTCCCCAATATCCAGAAAGGCGTCAACTGCGGAGTAAGGACGAAGTACAAAAAGGGCCGATTTCCCCATATTACTCTTTTCCAAAACAGCTTAACCCAATACGAAAGCTCATATCATATCCTATAGTATGGAGCAACTGCGGGGCCCCGAAGCACTAACAACTCATGGTCAAATCTTTAAAGTTACTTTTAGATGCTCAAGTGGGCCTAGCTGTTTAGTTTCTAAGAAGTCGATAATAGCGCTCGATATATTTGTGGATCTTGTTGTGAAGTTGAGCTGTGTGGCATGAGGCATTTATGCCCGCGAGTACGCCCATTTCTTAGGGAGGAAGATAGTGATCTTCATATTTCTTTATGAGTCTGCAATGATTTTGTTATTCGACTATTGCGAAACTCCAAGGGCTGCGATAAACTTAGAGTTGCAGCATCTTGATTGGGAATATTAGTGTACTCCGTTTCTTCATCATAGCTTCAAACTTTCGAGGAGTCCTTGGGCACAACCTTACCCAAAGACTCTTTATCAACAGCTAAGCGCCGAATCACGCCTGATAAAGCAGCGGTTTGATATTAGAGAGGATAAGTGCCTCACCATATACTGCCGCCCTGCTAGGAGGCTCCGTTCCTTCCGCAATACCGCCGACAATCGGTCATTTCCACAGCACCATCTATATACTCCTTGTTTGATGCTTAGTTTATGCGGTTTCTTCAAATTTAGTAAGGTACCATTATGTTGACCGTCAGCGAGTTATTTGGATTGTATATTTACATTTATGCACATTCTACTTTCCATCACACCATCTGCAAGTAGTGTCGAAGGGCCGAAGGAGTAGATCAACTCGGACCTACTCCTCAACCGTTCCTAGAGGATGGACCTTGCTAGGACCTGTAATAGTTCCTCCTATATAGCTCCAAGCCTGCTAGGGATCCCATCGTTGTATGTTGCACTAGACTTGAGGTGATGGCTCGTCCTCAAACCCCTATGAGGGCCGATATCTCGATTGTGATATCGGGATGAGCGTTGGCAAATATAGTGTTTATGTTGGCAGTTTTCACTCCAACGGCATATTATATTCAGAGGAGTATAAAAATACGCAGCAATTTTATTAGGGACGTACAAAGTACTTTCAAGTTGTCAGGCCTTTGATATTTTTTATTCTTTCAACGTTTCCATCGAACTCGGAATTAAACTACTATAGCTCCTAGCATGCGGGGTGTCTTTTAAATCGTTGAGTGCGGGCGATGTTGTAATATGCTTTACCCCTAGATCTCCTATGAATATTTGAAATGGTGTCATTCTCGCACGGATTTCAAAAACCACTGTTTATTGATTCCAGAAGCCGGGCGAGCTAATGAATAATATCTAGAGATCCTCGCAGCTATATGTCTCTAGAACTCTATTGAATGTCCTCGTTTAAGATATATATAATTATATTTCGTATTAGCTTGATGCAAAACTCTTCACTGTGGCGGTTCAGCAGCCGATGCCATATGTAACGCCCCAAACTCAGCTCAAGCGTTTTGGATAGCCAATGGTCATATGAACGGTGCCACAGATCCATGGATTATTAGAATAGTCGCTAGCGAATTCATCAGCTATCATTTGCTTGACGCCTTCCTTGGTATGGAAAGGGGTTCGTAGATGAGATGGCTGTATGGGCCAATTCGTACCGCCGGCATGGGGCAGCTGACCTGTTCTTTATTAATAGTTGAATACTTGGTACTGGTCTCTCTATTGTATCCACACCTATGAGTATACTTTTGGATTATTCAATGGACGTACGGGGACCTTGCACAAGAGCGTTCTATATATAATATATATATAGTCCGATGGGTTCGCTATTTGTCGGCCCAATTTACCGCTTACGATCTTGCTCCCAGTTTATTAGTTTGATAGTGATTATGATCTCCTACTAGTCCATATTAGATGGGCTGATTGATTGATTGATTATTACTTTTAACGTCTGCGTAAGGCGAAGACTACAGTAGGGCGGTCTCTTCCTTAGAAGCGAGGATGTCGGGTAATAGTTCTATGTATATATTCGGTAGTAGGTAAAAAAGAAAGGAACCGGAGTATAAGGCCATATTAGGGACTTTACTAGCTAATATTAATAGACTGGTAGCCTATTTTATACGCCCTTAAAAATTACTACTATATATTCTAGGGGATAGTAGAGATATACCCAAAAATCAATATAGCTTTAAGTTCCTTCTCTCCCTGCATCCTACTCCTTGTCTCTTGCCCATATCAACTGCCCTGGGATCTCTTAATATTTCACTATAACCCAAATAACAAGTTATAAAAAATATACTCCTAGGCTAGGGTTTTCCTCCCCTAGTAAATTCCCTGTTCTTCGTATCGTATTACCTCGAGTCCTAGAGAGAGGGAAAATCTTAGTCGAGGGGTAAAAACTCTACTCTGCTAGCAAATGCTTCATATCGCCGCAAGAGGTCCGTAGACGGTACTTGAGAGTCGTAGATCTTGTCTCTTTGATTTAAGGGTGATTTTCTTGTTTCCATGGCCTCGGCCTCACAGCAATTCTCTGTTCTGTATTCGTATCGTCGTACAGCTTTTGCCGTTGACTGAATCTTGGCTCTAGGAGAGTAATTCTCCTAGATTCGTAGAGGGCACCACGTACAGCTGTTTAGTCTTCACCCTCCTATAGGATAGGTTGAGTGTGGGGTTTCTACTCAACTTAAGTAATACTTTACATACAATGATTATATTGGGCCAGTTGCGACAGAATGCTGGCTTCTTAATAGTGTATATTTTGATTGTAAAGGTTTGTCGCTTCTTGAAAAATTTAACCCTAAAGATAGCATGATTTATTGCGATAAATTTAAAGCTTTTAGAGTTGGGAAATATTGTTTGCTGATGACTTTTAAATCGCACAGTCGTCATCGAGCCAGCTTGCTAAGGGGGAAATAGACATCAATTATAAGAGACCCCCTAAGCTATACTATAACATGTAAATAGCAATTATTGTATAGTCCTGTGACAATGTATATATTTTTCGATAGTCTTCTACTTCCCGTAGCTTTCCAAGGTTCCGCTTTCACCCAATCCGCTTCTCCGTCCATTTAGAAGACCCTGAAGACTATTTGGGTTACACAGCATTTAAGCCCTTGAGCAGGATCTGGCTCGCCTCTACGATTTTCCGAGGCAACAATTTGTAGGTGGGCCGCAATTTTGGCCGCTTGCAACACCAACCCCACCCTACAGGTTTACTTTAGCCAAGGCATGAAGGAATTAAATCGTATGCCCATTGAGGTAGTCTTGGAAGGACATCAATATTCTATGAATGATTCGAAGACCACATTGTCGGATCTATGTGGGAAGTGATTTGGGGCAGCCTTAAACATACAACTGTTTGGAATCTAAGGATGTATTGAATAAGGTGTAGCGATTAATCCTGGGTATCTATGGTTAGATATTCCTAGTATAATAGATACCTAGGACCCCTAGCATAATGTGGGGTTTTGATCGGCGAACTTTTTCGAACGTATATCCCAAAGCATCTCCTCCTGGGGCAGCGGGGGAAATGGTCGTTGATTCATGATTCATCCCATCCCACTTCGCTTCATTACATCGTTATCAACTAGCTTGGCGCCTGCGACTCTTATACCATAGGGAAGCATAGACGATAATGGTAGAGCATAGTCGATGAGACGTTACATTTGCCGCCGACAAACCGCCAATGGTTCTAATTTTAATTGATTCGTTTTCCACAATTCCTCACTGCATGGAGTTTCCCCGCAAATCCAAGGCGATCGATGATCAAGACTATGTGGGTTTGCCACAAGCACGTGTTATGGGGGCAGGCCAATTCCTAAGGATAATGAATAGGGCACTGCAGAATGGTCTGTGGGCCTTGCCACCGGATACCGGATACGTCAAAGATATATTACTCTAGCGGGTGTAACTCGGAATAGTCATTTTAGTGGACAAAACTTTATGTTGAATTATATGAAATTGGCTCCGGATGTTCCTTGGTTGGTCGTCGACTGACTGCCGTACCTGAAAGGCTGTGCTAGCATTACTGCCCAGAAGCATACTTGTAACCGTGATTTGAAAACATCTTGCATAGAGGTGGATCTCATTATCCTATTCGCATGGAAAAATGGTTTGTTTTCCGGGAGGGAGGATCGCCTTGAGGGGTACCTACAACCATCTATCCGAGGATCGACGGTCTTTTTATTTACGCCTAAATTGCGTCTGGGCATCATTATATAGACTTAAGAGGAGTATAATAAGTCGAGCATTTCCATATTGAAATAACTAAACTCTTCCTCATATCATATCGCCGCAAACATGAAGTCCATCGCATCTATCGCCATCGCCGCTCTCCCCCTATTCGTGCAGCAGGCTATGGCCTCGCTCAACTGCACGCTCGTCTCAGCTACTGCAACTGAAAGATACTGTGAATGGGATGGCTGCCAGGCCTACGCAACCGCTACACCTGGGGCCATTCTCCACGCAGGATGCCGGGCTGACTGCAGCACGAATGAGGAGTAAGTGAAAGGACATGAAGTTGAGTCAAGCAAGAAATATCATAGCTAACAACGGCACTCTAACTTCAAGTTCATGGTTCCAATTGTATGACGGAGCTTTCGTCCGCACCGAAAACCTCGAGGGTTGCAATTACCATGGAGCGGCTTTCCCAATCACCGGTAAGAATGAATATCCCCAGCCCTGTAGCTCAACCGCCCCTAGTGTGATCCACTGGCTGACGGCATCAGGACTTCCTCACTGCTATGAAGAGAAGCAGCTGCCCGCGCCAACCAATTGCCCAGAATCATCAGCTTCTGGTCTTGCTAGCAAGATCCCTGCTCCAGTCACACTCGGACCTGAGCCTCCCGCGTTTACTCTCCCACCGTCGCCAACTGGGCCACCACCCCAAACTAAGATGCCGAGGAGAATGGCATATTAGCAGGGTTTATCATCAATGTCTCAGAAATAGAGAGGGCCATGCAGCGGTTGAGAAAACGTGAAAGGGTTCCCCATCATGTGATGATTTCAGCCCTTTAGGAGGTAGTTTGGTCTCATGGCACGGCGGAACGGGAGGATGTTTCTTTCCTATTCTGCGAGTTTATGATGTATGAAGAACAAATTGAGCGTATAAGCCTAGACCGCTAGCCAAAGACTTCTTGTGACACAAGAACCATGATTTGATATCTCGCTTCAACATTTCTCCCCACCGGATGATTGCAAACTCCGTGATAACCAGGGGTACTGAAGCACGGCACTTGCCCTAATGATACGAGAACTTGATAGGCGGAAAACAAGAATGACTAGGGCTATGGATAAGGGAGCTCGGAGGGGTGGAAAAGTCAAGCAAGCATCTTCAGCCGCCGCATTAGCTTTGTGTGAAGTACTCGATCACTGGTTGTTCCGCAGCCTGCCGACGCTACTGAATGAGCTATTGTACGGAGTCTAAGCTCGGAGGTAGAAAGGATGTACTAAGTAGTGTGAGGTAGTTTGTTGAAATTAGCCTTTGTTGTCGGAAGATTCCCATGCGGAAGTGATATTGAGAGGTTAAGCTTAAATGTTGACTGGCCAGTAGCCGTAGACGCCCCACAACAATGCCTCAGGCCTCAGGCCTCTGTGGAATACAGTGCTCGTAGCATGTGGGGCCTATGCTTTATGCTTTCTGGTGGCTGGCTGTACTTCGTAGATCGCTGCAGAATGCAGATCATCTTTCTTCTTACTGCCCCCACACTCTAGAACCAGTCTACGGTTAAAGTTACAGGTACGAAGTGCGTACGTAGCCTTTCAGTCGACCAACTTTGGCTATCGGATAGAGCCTTGAATTTAATCTGGCAGTTTCGTTCCAACTTCCAAGCTCGTTCTAGACCAGTCTGGAAGGTAGGCTGTCATTAGTCTCGGCATATACTCAAGCAAGACTTTTACTACACGTTATGCTTGATAATGTTGAAATCCTGCATCAGAGGAATGGTATCGGTGGCTATTTCAATACACACATCACTTAATAAAATACAACATAAAATCCGGCAGCTAGATACTACCCCATCGTTGCCATCTCTTTGTACCAACGGGCTTCCCTCCCAAACGCCAACTAACCCTGGAACGCCATATTATATACGAGACCTCAACTCTTTACGTCTGAAGCGGCCGAGCTTTGCCTCCATCAACGATGATCTGCTCATCTATCTTCTTCTCTGTATCCCCATACTCAACTCTCTTGTATGTCGATATCCTAGCTTCGTTCATATCGATGTCGAAGAATCGTATGCGGCGATGATAGCCTTCGTAACCACCATACCCCCCTAGGCCTGCGCCGCCTGCGTAGCACATCCAAAGGGCTGGATTTCCCGCTTCATTTGATGCTAGGGAGCAGTACTCATTTGCGTGATCACTGTTTAGCCATTAGTATGTAGATTCAACAACGGATGACATAACGTACTGTCCACAGCCTACGAGCACAACACCCTCGTCCACCAACGCATCTTTGAAGCCGGAGTTGAATCCTGGAGCGGTAACGCCCTCTCTCCATCTCCCCTTTCGAGGGAGCGTTGAATCAGTAAATTCTGGCAGTGGGATATGAATGAACGCCAAGTCCATGTGAATATGCGTATATCCTTCGTGAGCTTTCTTGAGCCCCTGGGCAGTTTGTCTAAACCAATCAATCTGGCTCTTTTTCAACCAGTCATACCCCTTAAATGTATGCTCGTCAGGCGAATATGCATGGGTATCTAACAAGTATATAGTCAAAGCTGAATGCCTTGAGCCTCCGCGTGACAGAACTTCCACGTAATAGTTGCCAATGCCATCGATATCTTCAGGCCCAGCCTCCGAGAGAGAGTAAGGTAAAGTTTCGATCAACGCCATTTGTTGCGCCCGAGGCAATGAGCCTTCGTCATCATGGTTGCCGAATATTGAGGCATAAGGAATCTTGCGTTTGACAAACAATTCCGCGTATTTAAATATTGCCTACCTCACGTTAGTGCTGTTTTGTCGACCTAGTTACGGATCTAACTTACGCTTTGCGCATCCGGGGCTGTCTCCCCATTGACCTGATCCCCACTGAGAATTACTAGGTCGGGCTTCTCATCATCAAGCAATCGAGCAACGAACTCGAGGGTTCGCGGGTCCGCCTCGCATTTCCCACCGTTGAGGTCAGGGGGCTCTGCATCTCTGCAAAGTCCTGTCCCAGTACTAAGATGTATATCTGCCAGCTGCATAATCTTAAATTTCCCATTGTCGCGTATTCGAGGAACGGCCTTTGGGGGTGTTGGGGGGTTTCCACGTCTCACACTGAGCTGAGCCTCTTGGACCTCCCCCGACGTATCCAAAAGTAGAGGTGTGCCCACTGTGTCCCACCCAGGGCGTGGATCTACCGCATCTGCACCAAACAATATATCCACAGCAGTCACAGCTTTGGAGCCCCTCGAGTGTCGTTTTTCAGACCGTTTCAGCCATAAGCCTGCAGGTCTTGATTCCCATTGATCACGGCCGTCCCCTGTTTGACCATTTGAGGGATCTATCCTTCCAACTTTAACATCGACGACAATCTTCTCGTTGGGCAAGAGTTCTTCCTCCTTCTTCCGCTTCACATGGACGAATGCGCTTGAGACCCATCCGCTGCCCAAGTATAAATCCTTCTCGATTCGGTGCCATTCGTTAGCGTCCAGCTTGCAGCTTGTAAAGAGATTAACCCGTGAGCATGTTGTGACCGTCATATCTGTGACGACAAGCCCTGCATGGTGTGCGGGCATCACATTGTGTAGGGCATAGGGGAGGACTCGGAATCTATTGTCGAGGAAGAAGATGATAACAAAGGAGAAGGTAGTGAGCACCGCAAGCTGGCACGCTGTACGGACCTAAATTGCAGTCAGTAAGTTACCGTTTCAACGGGGGACGTTCTACACACAATCCTTCTCGTCATCGTTGGTGAGTGGATTCACAGTGCGATGGAGATGGGATGTAGATGGAGCCGTCAAGACTATTGGGAGCTGGTATGGTGGCAGCTACTCTACTCGTATAGCACTGATTGAGCTTCTGCGAGGGAGCTGGCGTTGCTGTTCCATCCGGGAGCGAGACTCGGAGTGGGAGGGGGCGTGGGAATGTCAGGACTGCATATCTCACCCCAAAATGCAAAATACCAAGGATGTATAGGCAGAAGTAAAGGGTGGACAGAATGAAGACAAAGATTAAGTTAAGTTGTCGGTCGTTGGGTTTGGTTCCAAGTTCCCCAGATTTCAAGCACAGGAAGCGTAATGCCAAATGTTAAGTCCACTCCAGAACGCCACATCCCTGCACACTTCGCGGCAGTCTCGTGACCTGTCCTTCGTGTCTGAAAACGGTTCACAAATAGTTACATACGAAGTACATAGTTGTCATTTTGTAGATTATTTATATAAATGGGATCTTCAACATTATAAAAGTACAATCATCTGTTGTCCGATAACAACATCACAACCACAGAAGCTCTAGGTAAGCTCCCCTGAGGAGTACCTTCACCCTTCCTCTATCTTAGCCTTTCCGCCAATTATATAGATATCAATATTATAAACTCTGACTTTCCCCAATAGCCTTGCGGGAAGTGAACAAAACAGGGCGTATATTCCCCAAGTATCAAATCCCACATAAGCCGCAGAGATGACCAGACCACTAACTCATAGAATATCTAGATATGGTTGTACCACAGCCAGAGCGGAGAACTAAGGGAGGCAGGCTGCCCATATCATTCTGTCAGGAGTGCTTGAAGAGCCACCAGCCCAGAAGATAGAATGGGCTAGCGTAGTCGGTTTGAGAATGGTTCCTGGCGCCTAGAGTGACCTAAGCCTAAATAGTGCTTGTACGGCTAAGCCCCAAGATAGTCATAAATAGGAGCTTACCACATCTTCACTAGATGTTACATCTCAGTAGGATTATCCACTTCCGGCTTCTCGGACGGAAGCTTTTGGCCAAAGCACATTTTGCGCCATAGCCCGAGAAACCCTCCACCAGAAACTCGTTCTCCGACTTTCGGCCTGCATATCAGTTCCCAGCCATCTGAATTGAGTTTTGCTGCTGGTTCATGTGGATGTACACCCGCCACTACTTCATCCGCCGCGGCCATATCATTTTGCTGCGGTTGGTCTACCTTGGCTGCCTCGGCCTGGGCTTTGACGTATGCTCGAGGTCTAACTTGTCGAACGTCCCATTCCCTGCCTCCTACTCCTGCTCCGGTGCCCAGCTCTACCACAGTTTCTAGGAATAATGGGAAACCGTTCTTTTTGCTATCAAGAACACAAGAATTGATTTGTGTAATGCTTGGGCAAAATACAAGCAACGAACCATTTGGTTTTAGGGCCGCTGAAGCGATCTCAAAGTAGTCACCGCAGCCTGGAAGGTCGAGTATGGCATGGTCAAGAAATGGAACTCCGCCGTTTTCTGTTAGCCGCTCGGAGAGATATTCGTTGATGCTGCCGACATGGAAATCGATGTTGTGGAAATACATTCCATTCCGGAAGTTCTTGACGACTCTTTCAGCATGCGCGGAGTGGCGTGAGGAGGAGTCGAGGGAATGGATGACCGCTCTGCGAGATGCTCGCCATGCTCGGTATGTTTCTTGCCCACTCCTTTCTGCCGCAGCCAACTCATTCATCGCGACACTCCCACCACCTTCAGCGAGCGGTGAGACGTCTTCATTGTCTGGAATCGTTGGCGGAGTGGTATTAGCAGCGTGTATGGCTCGTGCCAAGTGCAGCGTTAAGGCACCGTGGCCGGTCCCAGCCTCAAATATCTCGAGTCTGTCGGTATTAGTGGCGTCAGTCGAGCCGGGTGTGGTTGGGTGGAGGTCCAGTAAAGCCAATATGGCATGAGCATCCTGGGAATATACCTTTTGAGAGCGATCTGTTAGTTACATATAGACTTGGGCGTAGCATATGGCCTTACCGGTGTTACCAGTCTGGGAGTAAAGTCTGTATACTGCCCGAGCGATGGCTGGTACACTCGATACTCCTTTCCTTTCCTCGTTTTCACCACATCTCGTAGTGATTGATTAATAATCCTCTCGTGCGGGATATAGTCCCTCTGAAGCTCGACCCTTCCATTGGGTTTTAGGCGTTGCGAAAGAACTGGGTTCGTACCCGGGCTATCTATGCGCCTCAACAGAACCAGGTCGTTTTCTGCCAGAAACCCACTTAGCAAAAGTGCTCTAGTGGGCAGAGGGGCGGGAAAAGGTTGTTTTCATGTCAATGGGTTGTTATTTGGACGTACCTTGGATTACTCCATTGGAGAAGAGTCTACGCCTGCATGGAAAGCAGATTGATGGGAAAGCTTGACCGTGGGGATTGAACCTGGGCCTCACACCCGCGCCAGTGCTGCGCACAAAACCATGTGCAATGGACCTCGATAGCGTTGTCATCGAAAAGATTCCGAGTCTGGCAAAAGCTTCAAATATTTTAGAGCTTCGGATTTCACATGGGAACTGGAAGAGTCAACACAGCTAGCGGCCGCTTGTGCCGATCTGTGGTGCGGGAACAGGGATCTAGTAGTTGGCGGCGTGGAGAACCGTTAGGCACAGGGTTTGGTGCCGAGGGAGCCAACTTACCGGTCACTCTGTACAGTACATACTACGTACCTCCGTATATAACTTCGTAAGTTCTTACACTCCGCATTCTCCGTGCTACTTCGTAAGCTCCTACGCTCTGCATACAATCTGCATATACTTTCACGTGCTCGTAGCCTGCAATATATATACCTACCTACGCCGCGTACTGTCTCCGAACCCCCGACTCTCAACTCGCAATTCGCTACCCTCAACTCCTCTGCTTTCCAGCATAGAATAGCACCTATTGTCGTCCTCGTTTGATCGCACTACCTACACGATGCCCACAGAAGTCGAGGGGACCCATGAGGTTAGGCCTGGGGATGTATCACTTTACACCAAGACCTGGAAGGTTTGTAGCACCTTGGCCCCTTCCCCCCGTCCCATCGTGCTCAAGCTCCTCAGCTAACCTGCCATCTTGTTTCTTTTAGCCAGATGGCCCTCCGAAAGCGAAAGTCATCTTCGTCCATGGATTCAATGATCATATTCACCGCTACTACGAGCTCTTCCCAACCCTCGCCTCCCACGGCATCGAGGTTCATGGCTTCGATCAGCGAGGCTGGGGCCGCTCTGTCAAAACACCCTCTGATCGAGGCTTGACGGGCCCCACTTCTCAGGTCATATCAGACATTGTTTCCGTTATAAAGTCCCAGCTTCCCTCGCCAGTGCCACTTTTTGTCATGGGACATAGCATGGGCGGCGCGGAAGTATTGACTCTTGCCAGTGACCCCCAGTATGAGGACCTGATGCCCAGCATCCGCGGTTGGGTATTAGAGAGCCCCTTTATCGATTTCCCCAAAGGGCAGGCGCCCGGCGCTGTTACCGTTTTTCTTGGCCGATTAGCAGGAAAGTTACTACCTCACAGCCAGCGCTTTTCTGCTCTTAAGCCAGAAACCCTCACCCGAGACCCAGAAGTGGTCAAATCGCTAACGGATGACCCTCTTACCCACGGTTATGGCACGCTGGCGGGCTTATCAGCCATGTTAGACCGGAGTGCGGCCTTGCACGGGGGAAAGGTGACGTTGAGTAAAGGTGTCAGGAGTATATGGTTAGGTCATGGGACAAAGGATATGGGAACATGCTACCACGCTAGTGATCAATGGTTCAAGAGACAGACGCAGGTCCAGGATAAGGAGCTCAAGACATATGACGGCTGGTATCATCAGCTACATGCAGATCTGCCAAAGGAAAGAGCCGTATTTGCCAAAGATGTCAGGGATTGGATTTTAGCTAGAGTAGGTGTTGAGGAGGCTCGCCAGGGGTCTGATTCTAAACTATGACTTACGACTGGTCTTGCGGCATATCTCTATAGGACGGGAACTGAGTAATTAGATCGAAATAAGTTAATACCCCAAGTCTCTTGCCCTAATGCTACACGTCCGATTGAACACTTAATTTACTCATCTAGTTAAGTTCCTACGTCTATTCTATCATTCCATCATATTTAATACGAAAACCCGTGTTTGGCCAAGTATCCCTGTAACCACCAAAGCTCGACTTGAAGTTGGGTGGTCATATTGCGAGCTTTGATACTAATGATAGGGTTATGGAATATGCCGCCCTTGTTCTCATCGGCGCCCTTCGACTTGGTGGAAGAAGCCGCATTTCGGAGATCGTCTAGCTTTTCCTCTCCTAACAAGCTACTCAGATTATGGACTGGTATTTCGCGTGACATTTTTGTTTCTGACGAGGGGAACAATACGGTTGCAAATTCACCGGGAACAATGGACGCCTCCCCTGCGTCTCCATCACCTCCAATCCATAATACCACCGCGGCCTGACGACTATATGACTTTAAATCATCCCAGTTCTTAAAGCCTGTCATGTATCCTCGTTTTAACTTCAGCAAACTGAGCAGCAAATCGCATACACGTCTTCTGCTACGCTCCAATAGAATAGTGTCCATATCACATCTAAACTCCGCCTTTTGGTAGAGTTGCATAGCATCAGGATGTTGCTTTATTCGATTGGATAGAAGGCGGATCTGAGGATTCTTTCCATACCCAGAGAGATTGTCGTGCATGCGAGCCACCAGCGGCTGTTGGGCGAGCATATAAGTTACCGGCCCACAAGATTTTTTCTCCTTTGCATCTCGAGGTGTATAGTATGATTTGCCAGTCTCAGGGTCGGCGACGAGAGAGAAGCCTTGAAGGAAAAACCTGGGCAAGAGAGTATCGGTCATTTGGCACTTCCGCAGCGGAGATGCTAGGGCGAGAGCATAGGGATTTTTCAGAAGCTGCTGCTGGAGTTCGGTAGAATCGTTGCTGGGCTTCGCTTTCATAGTATGGGGGGCTTGTTTGGCTTGGAGGAAGGCCGGATCCATGAGCGGCGACACGGGCAGTTCGCGACGTGGTCGGGGAGAGATGTCATTTTTGGATAGAGGGTTTTGCTGAGGGGGAGTAAGTCCAGGCTGTGATTCGACGGATGATGCGGGATCAGCATCGGCGAGAGGTGTCGAGTCGGTTGCGAGGAATGGTTTTGTGGTGGTTGGCGGCTTTTGGGAGTAGCATTTTCGTTTTGCAGTTGCGAAGTTAAAGCACCTCGCCGTTCTTCGACCTCCCAATGGCCGCATAATGTGCATGCTACATGCCTCCTCCTTGCGCACCAGCAATGAGCAGGGTGCAGATGCAGAGCACAACGCCACTCTATCTTGGTAGGTGATGGTTATTTTCCTGTTATGATTCAGGTCTGTAGAAGGGGCTTGTGGTGGTCGTCCTGCCAATTTGGTGCTTTATACATAGTACGGCAGTATATTCATATCCCTGCCGAGTCGGCGCCCAATCAGCCTTGCGATTGTATCGACCTACAGCTAGCTAACTGCACAGCACAACTATGACCCGATAACATTCTCGACCTCTCCTCAACCAAACAACCAGTATGTTTGCAGTCAAGTTCCTACGAGCACCTGCTCGCAATGCTGTTCGGACAGGCATCAGGGCCTTCTCGTCTTCTTCAAGCAATGCAGAACCCAAATTATGGACTCCAGTACCATACATCACAGAAACAATAGTGAGCTTACCCTAGAGGACTACTGAAGCCGACATGATGCTGACTTTACAGGGAGGAGGCTGGCGTTCCTGTACGTTTGTCACTTATAGCCCAATTACATCGTGCTGACCAGGTCTTCTTTCTTCAGCCGACATTTTCTCAAAGCTACTTCAGGTACTGTTTTCCTCTGTCGATGCATTCAATAAACCGGAACTAACAATAGCAATAGGAACGTATAGTGTGCCTCAATGGAGAGGTAAATGAAACAGTTTCTGCTGCCGTTGTGGCACAACTCCTCTACCTCGAATCCGACAACCCAGACAAAGCGATTACCCTCTACATCAACTCGCCCGGCGGCTCGGTCACAGCTGGTCTTGCGATCTACGACACCATGTCATACATACGCTCACCAGTATCTACCGTGTGCGTTGGGCAAGCAGCCTCAATGGGTTCGTTACTTCTATGCGGAGGGGAAAAGGGGAAACGGTTTTGCCTGCCTCATTCTTCGGTCATGGTACATCAACCAAGTGGAGGGTATTTCGGACAGGCGTCAGATATTGCCATCCATGCGACGGAGATCTTGCGAGTTCGGAAGCAGCTGAATCAAATCTACATGAAGCATTTGACCAAACCCCATTTGCTGGACGATATCGAGCGGTTGATGGAGCGAGATAAGTTCCTGAGTGCCAACGAAGCGCTGGAGATGGGAATTGTGGACGAGATATTAGACCGCAGAGTGAAGGATAAGGAGGGCACGGCGCCGCCATAGGAATAAGCAATTTCTGATCGAAGTTCCAGCCGTCTGAGCATTCATAGGTGCTTTGTGGATGCCACCCATCGACTTTTGTGTTTGCTTGGGAGCTACCAGCTAGCATACCCTCTAAGTGGCCAAATATCTCCTATGCTACGGAGACTATGCAGGCTTTACGGAAGTGATGCCTGTTTCTCTATCGTGTCTCAACCTCCTCGTGGCTTTGAATTTGACAAGCTAGAACTATTCCCCGAAGTTTCGGCCCATGGAAATAGCTTCTATTTTAAGACTGCTAGTCATTTATTACATGTCTGTTGTTTCTGTCCTCGCCTCCTTTCGGTCCGTTCGTAGCTGCAGGGCAAAAATGTCTCATTCTTAACGATGTCGTGGGGTAATTCTAGTATCCCTGGTTTTATAACTTGGGTTTTGGCCACGGTTATAGCCTCTCGTCGCTGCCTGTCAACTGCTGATTCAGGCGACTAAAACGACAAGTGAACCTTTTTTATGTACTGGTTTCTGCTAGGTAAGTTATTTATATTGATAAATAATTTCCGAGTAGGGTAACTCGAGGAGTACTCCCTCTTAGATCTACCTAGCTTTAACGGTCTATCTGAGATATTGCAATAAGCGACAAGACTCTCAAGCAAAAACATGGTATATGCGTTTTATAAATACGATCCTTATAAAAAATTAAAAAATAAGATTAAGAAGCACTTATAATTCTTATCCAAGTTTTAATAATTTTCTAATATTATTAATAACATTATTAAATAGAAGTAAGAATTCGATGTTCACTTGTAGTATACGAAAATTTGGGCTCGCTTATTATAATTGCACTCGGACAACGGAAGACTTTTTGATATTAAATAATAACCGATTTTAGTGAAGAAAAGCTGGATAGGTGGCCGAGCGGTTGTAAGTTACTATGCAATTCTTCACTAAACTTCATTTTCTAATTATACCCCGATTTAGATGGCGCTTGACTCAAGATGATTATGTAATCACCTGACTTCGTGCAAACACGGAGGAGCATTCAAGTAGGGAAACCTGCAGGGGTTCGAATCCCCTTCTATTCAAAATATTTTTTTAATTTTGAATGGTATTAATTACCTAGAAAAGTAATATTTGATTTCGTCTTCTCTTTTACATTAATATCCCACTGTTGATAGCGTAGGCATATATATGTTGCTTAGCAATTGATGAAATTTTCTCTCTCTGTTAGTGCGTGTGGCTTCCCGCGGCTATTCGATCGAGGTCTTACTGTTTTGTAAGGTCTATTCTATCTTAGGCCTTGGATTATATCCAAAGCTTTGATCTGAAGATAGCCTCATTATAAACTATCTAATAGCAAAGACGGAGACGGTGGGAAGCTGTATTGCCTCTCTCTGTGCTGTTCTATGAATCACATAGGTTACTATAGACATTAAAACTGTGACATAGTGACATAGTTGGGGCTCTCAAGCTTGTGATCAACGAATCGACAAATGTCTTTATGGCCTTGGGCATTTTCATGCTCTTATGCGTTCGCCGAGGCAGCAAAATCGCCAGCTCAGCCCCCGGTTCCTATAATTAGTTCTGGGAGCATGAGGATCTCAGGTGGCCACCCGATGAATGGCATGCGCCCCTCGTTTGCTGGTGATGGTAACTATAAAATATCTGCAAAAGCCCCAATTGGAGTCCTATTACTGAAGAAGATGAGTTGGGGCCTGCAGCTACCGGGCGACTGGGTGTCACAATATGCAGCGGTTGCCTTGCAAAGTTCATGGTATAATTGATATTCGAACCAAAAAGCATACTGGTGGATTTCTCCTTAGTGCTGTGGCTGAGTTCTTCGAAAGACCACGGCGCGATGTGAACCTGGCCCTCGACCAACTTCAACGTCGAATTTGAATTGATGGATGTCCCTGATGTAGAGACGAAGCAATAGGACACTGCTAAGTACGAGAACATGCTCGTTAACCACCTAGACAATGAGATTGGCTCCATTGATGATGCCTCCAGCCGGTATCACACTTAATCACATCCTCCAGTGCTATCATTCGAGATCGAAACGCCGGACGCAGAGCTTCACACGATGTTTTGGCAAACTTCTTCCTATAAAGCGCAATATCCACCTCGCCATACTGCCCACTTATATATTGATCAGAGGCAAACTTGGATCCAATTGTCCAGGGCTAGTACCGTCGTCGAACCCGCCCGCTGGATAATGACCTATTCAAACAGATTCTGGAGCTGCAGGTCGAAGTATGTGACAAGCTCAGGGTACAAACAGTGGGCTTTATACGAGCGTACATTCCTCTATATTATCTATAAGAAGCAATCCGTATGGCAATGACTTCGATGCTTGAGATACTGGTTTACCACACTCGTTGACCCGGGTTTTATATCGTCATCGCCATCCACACGAGAAGTCCCCGCACTATGTAGGGCAAGTTAGGTAGTACTATTCTATCTAAGCCACATGGCAGAATCCGGACGGAGAGCCCGCCGGATACCTACCTTCGGACTATTATACCAGCGAATGAGAACGATAAGGGCCGTCACTTGAAGTTTGACGTAGTTGTTGTCGCGCGCATGGATCCTGCTCAAAGTCAAGCATGCACTATTAACAGCACCCTGGGATCAACTGGCTACAGCAATCCGACAGGTGGTGATCATAACCGGGACTCGATAAACACAACAGTAGTGAATGCTTCACAGCGGGCTGCCGATTAGCTGGTGCGCGTGGAGTTTCATGCCTCTGTCAGGATTTTGGCTCGTGTTGTATAGTACTGGGAGCATCAACGAGTAAAAGTGGGTGATGTTCGAGCGGAGAATACGAGGTACGTAGCACATGCAAGCACGAAGTAACTGCGGGTGTCTTTTTCCGAGACTGCGATCTTCACTGTATATAGAGTACTCCTTATGATATGATTTAATACGAAGCACTGGCTCCTCCGAGAAATGGAATGAACCCACTCGCATTATTGTTATTGCTAGGGATCAACTTCGACAAAAAACGGTTATTTCAAGGAAAACAAACAAAAACAAACATATGCCCCTGGACCTTCCCCATAATCTCCACCTCGGCGATCGGCCAATGCGCGCCAATGCCGCTATGGCCCGAAGCAGACTAGCGATGGCCATTGGCGGGCCGCTGGTTGGCCAATTCAACCGCGTGCCCATTCCGCTGCTATTTACGTCTGGGTGGACCTAAAATGCATGTAAATAATAGGAGATGGGACTCGTGGGCGATGGGACCTCATGGGAGAGTGGCACGAAAGCCCTATCAGTCTATTATTGTTTATTATACGCACACCCACAACACAAGGGAGTCGTCGCGCAAAGTACCGCTGCTACGCTGCTACAGTACGCTACCACAGAGGACCTAGCACCTACCTAGGCACTGTAATGTACGCCACGGGCCTACGGCTCCTCGTTCCTTGGAGCCTCCCTTGTTAAAACCCCCTTCCCCTTCTTTTCTCTGGCTTCATTCTCTTCCTCTTCCTCTTCCACACCACACTCGCTCTCATCCTCACATTCTGAACCCCTTCGACGGTCGTTACTCTCCACGTTCATATTTGCCAGCTCTTCTCACGTTCACATATCTCAAAAGTATCTACAGCACCTTAATCTCCGTCAATCACCAATCCAAATCTATCACCATGCGTTTCGCTACTGTTGTTCTGTCCGTCGCTCTGGCCGCCGTCTCGGTTCACGCCCAGAATGCCACTACCGTTCCCGCTGTTTCCAGCAGCGTGGCCTTGAGCCCAGCTCAATCGTCTCAAGCAACCTGCTTGTCTTCCTGTAAGTTTAATGCCATATCGAAGTAGTCACTCTGTGAGGTACCGACAGCAGCTAACTGTCCAAGGCGCTGCTACCGATCCTGCATGCCGAGCCAAGTGTATTGTCATCCCAGAGGGAGACTATGCCCAGCAGAACCGAACCATCGACTGCATTTCTGAGTGCCCCAAGGGCAACGGCACTGCAACCGATGACAAGAACTTCCTCAACTGCCAAAAGGGATGTCTTGCCTCGGCCACCATCACACCATCTTCTACACCCGCCGCAACCGGAACTGGAAAGTCTGGAGCTGGAAATACATCTGGTGGCGCCAAGCCAACTGGCACTGCTACCGATGGTTGTTAGTACCCCTACCAATTTACACGCGAATCTTGCTAATACTACTTTTCTCTACAGCCGAAGTATCCGCCAGTGGCTCTGGATCCTCTCCAGCTGCGACAAGCTCGAAGTCTGCCGCTGACAATGTCCACCTCGGAATCTCCGTCGCAGGAGTTGTCGGCCTATTCGCGGCTGTCTTTGCGTTGTAGAGACGTAACTTCAACAACGCCCAGTTGGCGACAGCCCGACGTGATGGCAGAGGTTGGCCACACGAGCAATCCCTAGATAAGCAAGGCGTAGCCACACCTTGGAAGCCTCCGACACACTGTTGGAAATGCAATATTGTTAGGGTGCAACTACTTCCGGCGAGTTTAGTGTCGTTGGTCTGCAGGAGGGTTCTGATAGCATTTTGATAGCAGCTGTCTTTCGCGAAGTAATTAATACTAATATCTTGATTTCGCGATCAAGGCCAATACTCCAAGTGCTGTACTTTTCCATCGCCCAAACGTGACATTCTGACATCGCTGAGTATTTGAGTTAGCCCTACATCTAGATGGTTTTATTGATCTTGACGGTGCCATGCTACTTGCGGAGTAATTAACGTATAAGCCTACCTATACCCTTATGCCCTTCTACTAGTAGAGTCACTGTCCATGGTATCGTTCGAATTAGCAAATTTTCCGTCTAGCGAGCGAGGAAACATTGCAATGCTATTTAGAGTCGAATATTAAGTATAGGCTGCAACCTCGTAAACCTTTTCTTAAATAATCTAAAATGCTATACTTAATACAAAACCGTACAAGTAATAACACGTATTCAAGCTATAGAAGGTGTAAGTTACACCTAGCTAACACACCATTCCTGGACCGGCAAATAGGTTGCCTTGCATGGGTCGGCGAGCTTCTCCTGTTGTTCCTCCTTCGAATAAGGCACGTTTGGATGTTGTTCTCGCCAGCTTCCCTTCTTCACAAAGCTAATAAGCATTAGATACTCCCCATATCGCACGCCGCGCTTAGACACTCCTCCACTAACAAGAGCACCAAGCCCAACTTCATGCCCACCTGCAGCAGTATCTTCGCCCATGACTAGGCCAAGGATAAGGAATGCGAGATTCGCCCGTTTGTGCAGCTTTGTAGCCTCGCCAGATGGCGAGCCGTTGGCAGTCACACCCCGAAGGTAGAATAGTTGCCCATCCGCTTCAAAAGGAACAACGGATTTAACAGGATGTTGCGGTGGCGAGAGGAGAAATGCAGGATACTTAACGCGGAGGCCACGAGGGGTAACATGAGCGGTTAGGCTTTGTTCCCCCCCCATAATTTTCAAATCTATTAATGAAGCAGGCGCCCATCTGTATCCTTCGTCCTGTAACTTTGGCCCTGGGAGGAACAAAATGCTGGCAGGAATCCCCTGCGTGTTGAGACTCCAGAATTTCTTAACAGTAAATGCATCAGGCTGCCTCTTAAATTTCTTGAGATTGAGGCCTAGTAAAATGGCCAGACACAGAGGTTCATCCCCGCTGCGGCTTGTAGTGCGGGATTCAAGAGCATTCCAGATGAAGTTGATTTGCTGAGTTCTGTCCCAGTACGGAAGGACAACCTGGAAATCGAAGCTATATCGATCGCATTCCCATGCGACGAGATCACATGGCCGTAATTTGTTGTCAGCTTTCTGCTCGCGCTGGAGCTTAGAACCAGCGCCAACATATGTTGCTCGATCGGAGAATTGGAAGAGGAGGTTCCTATTGAAGATTGCTTCTTGTAATGTCCAGAGTCTTCGTACCCAGTTAGAGCAGCTGATTCGAGTAAATATTTCCTTGTAGCCTCCCGCGGTAGAGTGTCGCATTAGCTCAGCGTCAAGAACTAATACATTAGCTGCCTCTTCGTATACCTAAAAAACTTGGAGTTAGTGGTGTCTCGACGAGAAAACACCGCTGTGCAAATTACATACTTCGCGCATCCTCTCTATAGCTTTATTGCGGAGCTTTTGATTATTGACGGGGACGCAAAGAGTATCCATCCAGAAATAACATTCCGAAACCTCGCTCGGGGAGGTTGTCTTCTGTGCGGGCAGTAAACCCGAAGTTTCGTCATAGGGGGTATGTGAAGGTAGGGACTTGAGGAGTCGAGCTAGACGTTTCATTTGACAACGATGAAGTCTGTTATCCTTTGGATCACCCAAGCCATCTGCCCAACTGTTTGGATATCAGTAGGCCCTATCAAGTAAAGACTTCATTACTTACACATGAGATAATGCAGTGTAGGGTATGGGATTTGATCTGCGAACCCATGGTACAAAAAGAAGTAAGAACCTCTTCAACTTTTCGACCAAAGTCTTTGGTTTTGTACGGTGCGGGCAGATGTCCACACTGAGGTCTTCACCATCATCCTGGAGATGGACAATTGGGATATCTCCTCGTTCGATGGCTACAGCGCATTCCGAGCCACTTCCAGTCGGAATAACAATGTAATCGCATTCGCATCCATCCACCGCATGCTTGTTGATATATTCCTTCGAATCATTCACGTTACTAGCAGTGCAAGCCCGGCTGTCAAATGAGCAACTGCTGTGGTCTTGCCCAAGGCTCGGTGGACCTAAGAGACTTGTGTAGCTACAATATATGAGTTAGTATGACCTGATTCGACGAACAAGAGAGCGTCATTCTGAAGGTCCCGAGGGTCGCGAGACATTGAAACCCCATGGTCCTTCTGTTTATATCATGAAATGTTGGGAATAGCGTACTATAGAAAGGTTGCATCGGGCCAGCTCAGCTGGTTGCAAATTGTAGGGCACCAACCTTGCCGAACCATTCGATCCATCAGCCACTTTGATCGGGGGACGGGTCGCCAGGTGTAGTCAAGGCGATGGCCAAGGCACTCAGAGATACCAATATCCAAGGCTGCGCCACTAGATTGTCGGGGGTCAGCGTGTATCTAAGAGGGTTTGGGGCGCTAGGAGCAACGCAGGATATAAGGCCATTAGTGACCGGTTGAGCGTACATGAGCTGGAAATAACAAGTTTTTCGGATGAGAAAACAAAGAGTGCAAGGAACTCAACTATCCTTACAGCACTTGAATAGAAAGTAGTATCTCATGACTGAGAATTTGCGGTCCAGAGACGCCCTCATTCTCGCACAAATGCATCAAGTCTTGCCACACACCACAAGACAGGAGCATGCAATTGCGGAAGCGCTGATAATACTCGTCGGTACTTGGAAGCTGTTCCAGCCTCCGATACAAATCTTGTAGAAGATCCGCAAGCTCAGCAGTCGTTACGAGGGTCTGCTTTGTTGTCTGTTCGGCGCGGAGCAAGCCATCAAGTTCAAGAGGTGGATCGTCGGGTACCGCCCTCAAGGTCTCACGGAGCATCCCAAAGTACAGCCAGTCTTGCAGGAAGTGAGCGGCTTCCAAGATCGTACGGCCTTGGAGATCTCCATGTTTAAGAAGGTCGACATCCCAGCCTTGCCTTGAGGGATATCCCTCGTACCCGAGCCCATCGTACCCGACCTCAGTGCCACCCAGATAAGGAATATCAAGTGGTTCGAAAGGATTTAGAACGGGAGGAAGGTGATCCATAGTAGCCGGATCGTCAGATCATCAGATCATCAGATATATAGAATTCATATTGATGTTGCGCAGATTGTTGAAGGGAGCAGGAAGTTCGTCCGTTGAGTTGACCGGTTCAGCTTCTGGCTGCTCGCATCGTTGATTCGTATCTATTTTTAACACTATTGAAAGGGCTTGTCGGGGCGCGCCCAACTAGTACCTTGTGATACAAAGTACTGGCCATCGGAGGCCCTAATAGTGATTGCAAGAACGTCAAACCAAGCTTTGGATGCGGAGCAGCGTGAATCGAATAACTGGCACAGTATTGGAGTGTTTCGTAGGATGTCTGGTGTGTACCTGAAAAATACCCTTATCCAGGGTGAAATGTGCCAAAATGGCAGGACGAACGAATCGCACAAGTAGGACTCGCCCACGCCCAATCAGAGTGTAAGATCCTAAGGTCAAGGCGCAAATGAATCAATAATGTAGTGAAGACACGGCTGGCCAGGCCCAGACCTTGTACGGCCAAAATACAATAGCATACACGGATGCGACCAAGGACTGTACTCGTACAAGAGCCCAGGGAGTAACATGGCGCGAGGCAAGCTTTGAGAAATAAACTTGGGGATGCACCTAGATACCCTGGGCAAGCTGCTGCCATAGGTAAGGTATATTGGATACAGGACAGCGATGGACTACCTGGAAGACGTCTCGAGGTGGAGGACTTACCAACCTCCACGAAGTATGAGTTTCTGCTGCGAATGACGTGAACATATCTAATTTATACTCCCGCTATGTTATGGCCGGCAACTTTCAGATATGCAAGAATGTCATTCATAATTTAAATATCCTCCTATCGGCTGTCCACCGAATGTCACTAGGAGGACCAAATGCAATCTCTTTGGGGGGTTTCGACCGATACTTCAAAAATCGAAACAAGCGTCGGAATTGAGCGCAAGCTTAATAGATGCTGATGATAATCCAGACACAGAAACCAAGTGGGATAAAATCAGCGAAAACAGAAATCGACATAACGGGAACTTGTCGTGGAATACACCAGTGTCATAAGGTAGCTCAGAGAGGACCTCGGTAGTGTACTTCGTAGTTCGTAGCGTTGCCTCTTGGGGCTGTGTTGGGTGACGATGATGCTGATGCTGATGCTGACGAAAAGAGTCACGACGCCCGCGCCTGACGGCGACAAGCCAAGAGATGACGACGACGACCTTCGCTAGGCTTTGATCTTGGGATGGTTTGTTTGATACAAGAACCGAAACAATGGCGGCGCTTATTGTCCGCGACGCTGATCCCTGGATCGACAATTGAACAATCGACTTGGAGCCTTGGATCTCCCTGGCGGCATTATTAATATTAATATATAGCCCCCGCCCTGTTTCCCCCAATACGACTCATTGCTTCCCAGTGGTGTACTGCGTACTCTGGGGTCCTAAGGCCTACAGTAGCCTCAACCCCCATCTACTACATCGAAGTTCGGAGGAATAATCTCCTTCGTTGCTGTGCCCCTTATCGAAGCGCTGCGACAACAATACCCCCATACAAAACAAAACAAAACAGACCCCTACTCCACCACACACTGCACCAAGCAAAGTGTTCCACTCACGCTCTTCTTCCCCGCCTTCCTGCTCCTCATATCCGCCTTGCTCAGCAACAGGACCGCGACCATGAAGGGAATGAAGGGCATGAATGTTAATCGAATGCTAGGCACGCTGAAGCGCAGACGTAAGCAACCACGCAAATTCAACTTCCAGTATTCGGAGGCATCGCGCAAAGCTAACAAGAACATTTCGCTGCAGCCACCTCAGATTCCCAAAATGGAGCTGTTGAACCGCAGCTCGATACACCAGAAGCAAATGCATCGCGGAATGTGGTATGCACCGCCATTAGAACCGTCTTCGTGTCTCAAATACTCTAGTACTAACATGCGCCCAGCGGCTCTTCTGCGAGTCTGGAGGACCTAATGGTTCCGTACGTATTTATTATTTTAAAAGTACTACTTATCGTTGGTAACATCTACATGGCAGGGCGAAGAAGTCCTCTATCTGCCAACGATAGTCGAATCCTGCGAATCCTCGCCTTCTGCCGCCAAAGAAGCGGCATACCTCATTCGAAAGTTCCTATCCAAGGACAACTACGCCAAACCATATGTACAATATAATGCCATTATGCTGATTAGGATTCTGGCGGATAACCCCGGCCCGACCTTTACCAGAAATATGGATACGAAATTTGTTCAGGTGGTGAAGGAGTTATTGAGGGCGGGCCGAGATCCCAGTGTCAGACAAATATTAATAGAGACTCTTGACACATTCGGGAGGAAGAAGTACGGCGATGAAGGCTGCGTCCAGCTAAACGAGATGTGGAAGAAGGAGCGTGAAAAGATGACCAAGGCACAGGTATGTTGGCTTCCCACGATGTGCTATGCGTTTACTAACAGTACTATAGGGCCCAATAAGTCCTGGTGTATACAATAGCCCTCCGCTCGATCCTCAAAATCAAAACTACTTCTCTCGAAATCATCGCAGCCGTCGGCTCCCTCCTCCCCAGGAACTCGCCTCCCGTATTGAAGAGGCCCGAATTTCTGCGCAACTCCTTTCTCAAACGGTACAAAGCACTCCACCCTCCGAAATACTGCAGAACGAACTTGTCCGGGAATTTTCAGATCGTTGCCAGAGCGCAAGCAGAAGTGTACAGGCATATATGGTGGCCGAAGACCCGGCGCCAGACAATGATACTATGGAGACCTTGATCGAAACGAATGAGCAGCTAAGCAAAGCAATGCATCAACATCAGCGTGCTGCTCTGGCCGCAAGAAAAGCTGCAGGTCTAGGAAACGGAACGCCCCCGCCACGCACCGATTCCGGATTCGCGCCACCTCCCCCAGGTCCTCCTCCAACTCAAGCTGAACGCATCATGCCTACAAGAACTAAGAACGTGGCCGCGCCGCAAATACCGCCTCCAGGAGACTATGCTCCAACCGGGATCGAACCAGATGAAGATCCATTTGCAGACCCAGTCGATCCTCAAGAAAATAGATCGACCAAAATCCCACCTGTTCCCCAAGATAAGCCCCCAAGGCACACAGGACAATTTAACGACCAACTAGGCATTGAACCATACCATCCCGGGTTCAAGCCGAGTCCGGGTTATAATGCTAGGCAGGACAGCTCGGCTGGCCAGCTCACGATGCATGCTGCCGGAGGGGCGACCCTGGATGAGGAAAAGGAAAAGGGGCTAGAGCAAGAGGGAAGTTCGGCTCCGGCTCCCGTGAAAGCCCCTGTTTATCGGTATTGAGATATGGGATTTATCTACTTCGTATGACTTTTGCATCGGAAGCGACTTGTGCAAGGAGGTTTTGGTTATGACGCATTTCTCGAGCCGTTTTATTGGGATTGCAGTACTATGAGATATGAATGGGCGTGGTGTTTAATTATTCTAGCTTCAGGGCATGATGTTATTTTCACTTCCATCTGTAGAAACCATGTCGTGTCTACTTCGGTGCATGGCGAGCTTGAAAATATATTAACTATTGTGGTATGTCATCGAACGACAAGGCATAGTGTAAAGATCCTTGGATCTTAGCGTCGTACATAGGAGCCCAAGAACTTCATGGTATTACTTGATCTTGTTAGTAGTTAGTAAAGGGGACATTCCCAATAGCGGCTAGTTAAAGTCGCCGATATCACGAAAGCGAACGTTTATGGGGATCGCATTTTATTCATCTCTCATCTGCTTCTTTATGTTCCACTTCCCATCCATGCCCCTACACTCTCCTTATTCAGCAAGACGCCCTATCGATGCATCACTTGACACATATCCAGAACACCTTATCTATACATGCGCTTGCTCGTTCCACCATCATTCCTTGAATCCGCTCCCTCTCTGGCATACGCCAGTCACCGGCCCGCAACGGACCCAACTAGGCCGATCGTTGCGATTATACATAACTGGGCGTCTTCTTCCTTCTGCAATGTCGTTTGCTAAGACATGCAACAAGGATAGAAAAACATACATGACTTCTTCCGGTGACATGGCTCTCTTTCATATCATCTTGGCCACTCCTCGGAGTTCCTCTCTGGGATGGCCTTTATCGAACGGTCGTAAAATGAAACATGCGGCGTTGGCGGAATAAACAGGGTATTGGCGCGGTGTGACAAGGGGTCTTCGAGGGGGTTTTATACAGGGTGATGTGCTAAATGTGCTGATGTGGTGCTGTACGTGTTGTGTTATGTAGAACAACCGAGGAGTATGTTTCGATTCGCAGTCGACTTCGCCGGAATTCAATCTCTTCGGTGGTAAGGTTGCTGGGGCAGACAAACAGCTGGTATGATTAAGGGTGGATAAAAAGCAAAAAGGCCATTAGACAAGGGCGAGATCCCTGGCCTAGTTGGGTGAAGGAAAGATGGAATGTAAAAGCAACCAGGTCCTAGGTGAGAGCTATGTGTAGACGTAGTTGCGCCAGCCCTACGGGAAGGACATTGAAAGCGATAAATCTCAGACACATATGATCGAGAGCCGATCAAGTCTGTTGGATGCCTTGGGTGCCACCGATTTGACGCTTGACCTGCTCGCGAGCCCATCGTGCAGTATCGATTGTTCGGGCTTGGAATTCGCGATTCTGTCTGGTCTCTTTGATCATGGCAGTCAACCAATCAGCTCGATAGAAGGCGGAAAACTCTCCGTTGGGGAACGAATCAGCAAGATCACTGGGGCTGTTAGCTTTGGGATAATATTGGAAAATGATTTTCGGATAGACATACCCGATTACACCCATTGAAGATCGCATTAGTGCGTCACTTCTGTTCGGATCGAGATAAACAATGTTGAGAAGAGAAAAGATAGACTCTACGTAAGGTGATAGCAGAGCAGCTAGAACGCGGTCAGCAACCAATTAGCAACAAGGCAACGGGTAACATACTTTTCTCGCCAGCCTTCATAGCGCCAATAATGCCGCCCCAAGCATCGACGATACCTTCGCGCAACGAAATGACGTAGTCGAACATCTCATATGATCCATCAGGACTTGCTTGAACGCCAGCTGCCTGCTGGAGCACCTGGGCCACAACTGATAGGTAGGTCTCAAAATGGCCACCAATTGCACCTGCAATGTCCCCAAAACATTGCAGAATTGCAGGTTTGAATTGATTGGCAAGGGCGGTGCTCTATGAATTATGTAAGCTTGGGTGTTGGGGGATGCGAAGGGAACGCATAGGGGAACTGTGAGGGAAGACAGAAGAACATACCCTCAAATTATTTAGGAGATAATTCATGAAAGCGTCGCAGTACGGCTGGCAAAGTGGGCCTAGGGAACGAGTGATGTCGCTGACAAGGCCGATCGCCATGGAGCACAACGCTGGTTCTTCCTGGTTTCCAAGGGCATTATAGAGGAATGGCGAGAAGGCTTCCATATATTGTGTAAATCCTTCCTCGAGTGCGTTGGCCAAACTGCTGACAGTAGCGAATACCGCGTCCGGGACACTCGATTTCGGGCCAGCAGTAGTAAGGAGCTGGAGTAAGACTGTCATAATGTGATCTGCCTGTGGCGTAATCTCCTTCTCGAGACGTTGGATAATAGCAAGAAGAACAGTGCACAAACTAGTTTGCATCTCCTCTAAAGTGAGCTTGTCTTCGACACTGACAACCTGAGTCTGAAGTGGGATAGTATCCTCGAGACGCTTGATGATAACATTCGAGAGCGATCCGACAGCAGATAAACTATCATTGGCAGCGTTTTGGACAAAGGTGTTGAGGACTTCATAAGCAGCAGTTCGCAACTGATTATCGGCATCGGGACGTTCGGTCACTTGAAGAAGACGTGTGATGCTCTCGTTGAAATGTGGGGTAAGAGGATTCTCCTGGCAGCCAATTTCGCCGGAGAATCGCTCGGCAAGGTTCATCAACGCCCAACAGCATGAACCTGCCATCTTCGGGCTGCTGATAAGACCCTCGAAAAGAGATGCGATGAGCTTGGGTAAGTGGATAGCTGGGTCAATGGCTTCAGAGCAGGCCTCCGTGATGCGGCCAAGAGCATAAGCGGTAGAGTCCTTGACGTGAATAACCTTATCATCCATCATATTTATGATGACTGGAAGTGCTTGCTTGACGATTGGTTCAATGGTTTTATCATCAGGACCTTCCATGATTGCTCCAAAGGCCGATACCGCAGCATCGCGGTGATGCCAATCCTCGGAGCGCAAATTGGCCTCGACAAAGGATAGCACTGGCTGAATAACAGCACCACCCACAGCCTGGGCGTAAAGTTGGAGGCATTGGTAAGCCGCGCGAGAAATATTGTATTCGTCGTCAGCAGCGTCCTCGTCTTGCTTGGTCAAAAGCATCAGGAGTACTGGGACAACCTCATTGGTTGCGACTTGGCAGAAGTGGAAGACATGTCGCATCTGGTCAGTTCTCTCAACCTATTTATAAATTAGCAAGATCCACCGGGGAAGGATAAGCTCACGCATACCTGTGCATTATCATCCTCGATAGCAATTTCCTCCTCGCAGACCGTGCTCCAGAATTCGACGGCAAGCTTCGAGACATCCTCCTCGTCGCTCTTCATGCCCATAATAGTCAACCCGAACAAGGCTTTCTCCATGTAGAAGCGCATCAGATCATAGTACAAAGACATGATTCTGTTCAGACAACCAAAGGCTCCCTGCTGTATCCGGGAATCCGGAGCCTGTGTGGCCTCGCAAACAACCTGCATGATGTAGTTGCGCTCGCCCTCGTTCTTGAAATTGCTATCCACAAACTCCAGGGAATCTCCGAGAGCATAAATGGCAGCGAGACGAACTTCCGGGTTTGGCTCCTCCTTTCGCGCACCTTGAACAACTGCGGTCAAGATGGCGTTGGAGTGCTGGACGAGACTGCTTCGCAGATCGGTATCTTGGCTCTCGCAAATAAATCCGATGGTAGTCAAAGAAGACTGCTTCAAGTGGTCACCGCCTTCTCCAACGTTCCGAACCAAACTGGGCATCAGCTCCGGCCATTGGTCTTGTGGGAGCTCAATGCCGGCTATCGAAGCAACAACTTGGGCTGCTGCTTGACCAGCTTGTGAGTTCTGTGTGGCCAGAGCTTGAAGAGTCAAGTCCTTTACGCGCTTCTTCGTATCGGGGTCTAGCTGGATCCATTTTTTTTGTAGATCGTGTAGTAGAGCATACTCGCGGGCTGTGAAAGCGTTCTTCAGCGCAATACCGGCAGCGGCACGGACTGGACCTTGGGCCTCCTCATTCGCAAGTTCTTGGACAAGAGTTACCAAGTATCCGGACTGGGTAGGTCAAGTTAGTATGCGGCTGAGGAGAAGGGGACGGGGGGAGGGCGGTCAAACAGAGGGGACGTACAAAATTGGTCTCAGCGGCCTGTGTGAGCTGCTGTTCGGCGGCATTTCGTATCGTCGCATCTACATATAGTCAGCTACCATATTTATTCAATCTTAGAAGTCCACCAGTGGTTGCACTTTGGGGCGCGCCGACAGACCTGCAGAGAAGGTGTTGGCCAACACCGAACTGACATCCATATTCGCGATTCGCAGCCGGTGCGCGGGGGTCGTGGGCGGGATTGTAAAGGGGCAGTACAGCTAGAGAACTCGTAGACAAGATCAAACTTCCCTTTGGTAAGTGGGGGAGCTGTTTCTTCAGGGTGAGATGAGAGTGGGCGAGGATAGAGAAGAGGGAGCCCTTTCACAAGCGAAATTCCCCGTAATGTTTTCTGTCGACAAGGCGGGTGCAGTTGCAGGTGCAGGGCAAGGCAGGCTGCAAGGTGAGTAGGTTGAGTGCACAGTACTGTGCAGAGCCGGGCAGTAGGGGAAAGTGTCAAGGGAATTAGGGAATATTCTGGCCACCGATCAGGAGACAAAAGAGCGTCAAGAACGTCAAATCCGAGAGAAGTGATCTGGCAAGAAGGTTTTCAGAGCTGTTTGGGTTTGTGTTGTTGATTTCTTCCCACATTCGAAGCTCTTACGCTTTGATCTCTTTTAGGCTCAGTTCGGCTTAGCGTGGGAATGTGGACCACGTGATCGGCCGCATTTGTACAGAGTCACGGGGAGTCAGTGACAATAGGTAGGAAGTACGAAGTATAAAGTAGTCTGCCTGTAGCTATTATTTGTAGGTAGGCCTGGTAGTAATGCGCTTGGGATTTCACACTCAGCTTAACCTCAGATGGTGATTCACTTTTATCTATTACTAAAATGCGCACTTGAGCTTTTTCCCGGCCACATTTGCTGATAACACCGACACGGAAATGCAAAGCACCCTTTCAACTAGCTCCCCCCTATCATCCCCCCTATCATCTAAGCCAAACTACGACTCTGCAAGTTTTGTATTTTCCTCCAAAATTCTCACAGCATCGGATCCACTCATAGGCACCGCGCTTGGCTTCGGCATCGAAAGGTTTCCATTGCTCTTTGGACTGCCATTAACAAGGCCTAGGTCCTGGCTGAGCGTCGGCCCGTGTTTGTTTCGGAGGAGCAACGGCGTGTTTGGCCGGCTTGTAATAAACTGTTTCCATGTTGTTAGTTGGCGACATTTAACGTCAAGAATATGCGGCTACTCACGTTGCTAGCAGCACTCAACAAAGCAATCAAAGAACTCTGCACCACATCCTCGTGTACACCAACTCCCCAAACCTTGTGAGGCGAGCCTGCGGCGGTGCATTCGATATAGGAGGCGGCCTTGACATCCCTGCCGCCACCAATAGCATGCTCTTTATAGTCGGCAACATCAAGCTCAATCCCAATAGACGACAAGGCGTTGGCCAAGCTGGAAATCGAGCCATTACCACTGCCCTTGAGCTTATGTTCTTTTCCGTCGATAGATATGACGCCCTCGAATATTCTCTTCATGTTCTTGGTGTCTAGTGTCTTACCCGGCTCGGGAGGTGCTGGCGAAACAGACCGATCAGTGCTAATTGTGTAGTCCACCAGGGTGAATCTTGGGTTTTCTTTGAGGAAGTAGGTTCGCTCAAATAGATCCTGGATCTCGGCAGACAAGAGTTCGCGACCAACCTCATCTGCTCGTTTCTGAACAATATTACTAAACGCAACTTGTAAGCCGCGGGGGAGGTCAAGATCAAGGTTGCGGAGAATGATCCAAGCTGCTCCACCCTTGCCGCTCTGGGAGTTGACGCGGATAATTGCTTCGTATGTGCGACCAATATCCTGTGGATCGAGAGGAAGGTATGGTAGCTGCCAAAGATCCTTGTCGGAGTGCCCGGCCTTCTTGCGCACCTGGAAGCCTTTCTTGATGGCATCTTGATGGGAGCCGCTAAAGGCACACACCACGAGAGAGCCACCATACGGGGCCCGAGGATGAACCGGTATCTTGTTGCTAACTTCCACCACGTCGATGACACGGTTGAGATCAGAGAAGTCGATGTTAGGATGAATGCCTTGTGTGTAAAGGTTCAGGGCAAGCGTAACAAGATCAACATTTCCTGTTCTCTCGCCATTTCCAAAGAGACATCCCTCGACTCGGTCTGCGCCAGCCATCTGGGCCAACTCTGCCGCTGCAATTGCACAACCTCGGTCATTGTGCGGATGGAGCGAAACACAAATCTTTTCCCTCTCTGTCATATTTTTGCAGAAATATTCGACTTGGTCCGCATAGACGTTCGGCGTCGATACCTCCACCGTGGCTGCAATTTTAGAGTTAACAACGACAAATCGCTCTATAAAGTGATTAGATGGTACAAGGTAGGGTCTAACCTGGAAGATTGAAGATGATCGGATTCTCCGCCGTTGGCTCCCAAGCCTCCTTAACCGCCTCGCATACCCTAATCACAAATTCTGGCCTGGAGTCGGAGAAGGTCTCAGGACTGAATTCAAAAGCCCATTCAGTACCAGCTTGGGAAGGGTCGTCCTTGGTGATTGACCGCGCGTATCTCGTGCACTTAACAGCCAATTCGAGACTTTGGTCCTCCGTCATGCCAAACACTATGCGTTGGAAGCATTCGCTGGTGGCGAGATAAATGTGTAGGAGGGCCTTCTTCGCGCCTTTGAGAGACTCGACCGTTCGCTTGATCAGCTCTTCCCGACAGGGTGACAGCACTTGGAGCCAGACATCATCGGGCACCACACCAGGAGTCTCGACAAGTCGTCTTGTAAAGTCGAAGTCGGTCTGCGAGGCTGAGGGGAATGAGACCTCGATCTCTTTGTACCCTAGTTCTACCAGCATCTTAAAGTACGTCCATTTTTGGTCGCCGTCCTGGAAGGCCACAAGTTAGGTATTAGGGACTCATAGCTACAATAACGGTGGATTGACTTCGGGGTGCAACGTACCATGGGGTCGACAAGGCTCTGGTTGCCATCGCGCAAGTCGGTTGAAAGCCACCGTGGAGGCTTGGTAATGGTCTTAGAGGGCCATTGTCTATCAGGGAGGTTGAGCGGCTTGAAGGCTCTATATTTCGTCGATGGATCCTTGAGCCTACCGAGGAACAAACACACAATTAGTAGCTGCGCAGGTGTATAAAGTGAGGGTAGAGGTGGCATCTTACATGGGCATCTCGAGTGAGTGGCGTAGCGACTTTGGCTACGAAGGACTTGATGCTCCGTAGACGACGGAGGCGCAAAGGTTCGCGAGCAAGTAGACGGGCGTAGTGATGGGCCCAGATATCAAGTCAAACAGGGCGTGAAATTTATAGGAAACGAAGATAGTAGTAGATACTACGATAATGTAGATGTAAGGTTAGTAGAGGATTGAGTTTGAGTCACCAAACTTTTCGTGGTATTATTCCGCGGGGGCGCCCAGGATAGCGGGGCAAGTGTGGGCGGGTTTTAACGCTATGGTAAATACGGCTTTAGCACGAAGTCCATGGCAACAACGTCGGTGGCGCCAAGTATATCTACCGATCACCATGGCCATTGCTGGATTTACGGGTAAAGGAGGAGGATATATTATATTATCGATTTGCTTGAAGCAAGTTCAAGGTGGCTGCTCTTTGTACAGTTACACTGCAGTAGAAGCCGGTTCGATCTTGTATAGGGCGAAGCTCCGATGCCGGGCAGTCACTCTAATAGCCAGCACAAATACGAGTAAAGTGAATATAGGTGTCACATAAGGCTATCAAAGTGCTACGTAAACATGATATAAACTTGTTTTATTCTACATTGCATTTGGTAAGACTCTCCCGCTCCCCCATTCAGATGCTCCACGCTATGCTATGTCTATGCTTATGCTTCGTACCTTGTGTAGGATACGATGTGATGCTACTTTATACAAAAGTGCCGGAAAAAATGTTTGTTTAACGCCTTGGGGAATCGTACAAGAACTCCTAATATCATCCCATTATCGGACTTGAGAATACCCTCCTCGAGTCGTAATTACCACGTGAAGCTCTCCTCGATAAAATCCACCACGCCTTGATCTTGAACTTCTCGCACTGCCGATCTAACGCTGTCCGCCAATGCTCCTGGTCCGCATACCGTCACACACATTGCCCCGACTTGGGTCTCGACCTCGCTTTGTATGATGGCCTTCACGTTCGGCCTCCCTGGGAACATCTGGACGGTTGCGCTGGCCGACTGGATCTCCTTTGGCTGCTTCGGTCGTGTGACGAAGAGCTTGATCGTTAGGATCTCCCTGCGTCGGGGCATCTTAAGTATGACATCCATCCATGGCCGGACCCATTCTAGATGCTCGGCTTCGCGAATGATCCAGATCAGAGTGATTTTCTTCGTGGCGATGGAGCCTTCATTGAAGCCCTTGATGAGATGCTGTACGTAGGAAAGTTGGTGGGTGATGCCAGTGGCCCCAGCATAGAGAACCACATGTCCATAGGAATCTAGGGAGTGGTGTCCTGCATATGGGCCTTCAAAGGCAGCCCTGATGGTCAAGCCTTCGCTACCACATTTCGCGGCTTTGTCATGCAGCTTTCTTGTCATCCCTGTTTGCGCCTGGATGACGAAGGAGACTTCGGTTTTAGTTTCCTGCTGTTGTAGTCGAGATGTGGCTGGCTTCTCGGTGGTTGGTAGGTTTGGTTCCACGGGTATGTGGTCAACCCAGGCGACGGAAAAGGGGTGTGATTCCCATACATTGACGCTGAGGAACCGAAGGTAGGCGTGGCTTCCAGGCTTAATACTAGCATGCTTCGGAAGATGCAGCGTAACCCTGCAAGCCTCTCCAGGCATGGGCTGGACGGTCGCTGTTGTCCATCCTTTATTGCGAGCCCAGTTAAACCAGGCCAGCCGGAGCATCCGTGCAACACGCTCTAGAACCCACAAAATGAAAACAGTCTGAATGATTGGCAATTGAGGAAGATTGTCTATCTTGCAGTGAATCCAGACACCCACGATGGCAAATAATGCCAGTATGATGTGGACATCGAGGAATGTCTCGTAGAAGGCGTGCCGGACTGCGGATAAGGAAGTGATGAAAATCAATACCATCGAGGTAGTGGATACTGTCCCCCAGCCGATGAACGAGTCGGTTCGGATCATCTCCCATACTCCTGACCAACCCGTAGCAGCATGCTTTACAACAGCCCAGCAGATTGTATGAATAATGGCCTCCAAGATAACTATCCTGCCGATCCAGCGATGCATGAGGTTGTATGTGTCGAAGCTGATTTGCAGCAGTGTGATCAGGGGGTTGTTGCGACCAGCGAAGATAATCATAGCAACCATGTTAATCAATGCTAGGACGCCAGTTCTCCCCCGAAGTTCTGCGATGATGGCCCAGCGATTCGAATGGCCGTAGTCCAAAGAAACACAGAAGGAAAAGTTTGTCAATATGAACATGGCAAGAAGGATTGTGTGGAATCTTGAGGGAATCGTTCCCATATTGGCAGCCGTGGAGAGTTTGAACTCTCTGTTATGGCGGACTTTCCCTAGTGGTGCATATAACATGTGTTTCTTGAATCTCCACCAAGCTTGATACCGGTTAATGGCCCAGTATCTCTGGTCCGACTTGGACGAACCCATCGTGGAAAGGTGTCGCCAATGTGCGTGGGCCCTTTGCGCAAGCCGTATGGCCAAGATGAGCAAGGCCAACACGCCAAAACCCCACCACAGAGCTTTCTTGAAGATAAGGTCCAAGGGCTGGTTCACGCCGTTTAGGTCTGTTGCGAAGGGAGCGACTGAGGTATCGGGAGCGATTTTTTTCGACGGCGTGGCGCCAGATGAAAGCGTAGGGGACGCCATTGCGCCTGAAGGCTCGTTTTGGTGTATGCTATGCGCACCCAAGGCTCCGAGATGCGCCGTGTATGTGTGTTGATGTAGGGTATGATTTTGTGAGAGTGTACGGTAGGGTAGCCGTACGAAGTCGACAAGTATCAAGCGGGTAAATTTTTCAGGAGGACCAGAATAACACCCCGCGAAGTCAATAAATGATCATTAACAATAACATTCCTTGCCTTTGTTATTCTATTGTTCCTTAGCGAGGAACAGACGATGGACGGCCGACCTATTCGGTAACAGTCATTGTCCCAGGGATGAATGCCTTGTTCTAATCAAAGGAGCTGCCGGACGGTGAATCAGAAACGTCGCAACGAACAGGTGGCCGCCGGGGCCTTGTTCGCCTTAAGTTGAATTTAAATGAATGAGTTGCCTGGACTTCCTGCTTGATGGAGGAGGCTGTTTGAAGAATGTGGGCTGGGGTGTGGCGACAGAGGTGAATGTCTCGTATATGTCTTTTATTTTGGCGCGAGCCCGCCGCCTTCGAGGGAGGGAACGTGTGTCCGGAAGCCGGAATGGTTCCTCGTGTACTGCGTAGTGAGCCAAATGAAATCCTACGCGGTCCCGTATATCCTTGATATGGCGCCGTGGGATTTGTAGAATGCGCAACTAGCAGACACGCGATAAATGATCGTAGGACTCGAATCCGCCGAGCAATGAGGATGGGGGCGGTCAACACAATGAGAGGTTTTGTCCGAAAGCGAATAACCCCTTTCCAATTCCCAAACACATATGGCGGTGTGTGCCGGTGAAGAAACAAAATATGAGTTTATATATATACACTGATTGCAAGCTATCCGGCAGCTAACAGCCAGGTGCTTTGAACGTTAGGCAATCGATGGTGATTCCAACAAGAAAAACATAAAGAAGAAGCAGCAAAAACCAAGAGGCAAAGGAGCGAGCCAAGTCACACAGGAAGTGGATACAGGAAAGAAAGGATTTCTGTTTATAAACATCACCAGCGAGGTGGGACAAGCACACATGATAGCGCCGTTCGCCGTTCCTGGGGGACAGACTGGAGCAAGCAGCAGCGGCGCAATAACGGCCGTCCAGCCCATGCCCGTCCCTGGGAGCCTGCATCTGCGATTCTGCCCAGCTGTGGGGCGAGCCGGAATGCCAGAACGCTATCGCAGCCTATCGAGCCACCCCTTGGAAAGCCCGTTCGCCCAGCGACTTCAGTTCATGATCAGCGACACGTTGTGAGGGGGAGCTGAGCAGGACCGTCAGGATTTCACCGGGAGAGATTTTACGACGGGTTGGCAGGGGAAGCCATGGGCAGGCTTCAGGGGCAACAAAGCGGTTGGCTCTGCTTTCATGGGAGAATCACCGGCGCAGTCCATGATGCTGGTAGCACATCGTTGAAGCTACCGAGTGGCTACTGTAGCATGGTTCATATAAACAACGATAGGGGACGGTATCTCCGACGGGTGGTTCCTGTTTCGAAACAACCTGATCAGCCAGGATCGCAGTGGCCGTTTGATAGGCCGTCGTCGACGCAGCATCAGGGGATTTCTACCGTGCTCAGCTGGCTCTCGGAGTGGCGCCGAGGACTCGTCACTCAGGGGAGGCTGTTTATTACGTGTGGCCAGTGTCCCACCTCTTGTTATACTGCTATTGCTATTGCTATTATTGCTATTGCTATTGCCTTGGTGCATGCTGGGCCATGCTCCGTCTGATAATAAACGGATACTTGCGGGTGAAAACCACCACCACCCCGCCCAAAGCTGGTACTCTATTAAAGGGCCTGGGATCTACAAACACCGACGTTGTACCCATGCGACTTTGAAGTACTGCACGACATTAATACTTCACTCCTAAGTAAGCACGAAGTACTGTAACAGTACTGTACCGTTCTAATTTCCTCTCCTGCTGTTACTGAACGAACAACCCCTCACCATACTACCTACCTACCTAGGTAGGTATGGTATGATATGATATGATCGTCAGGTCATTTTCAACCAAATCATGCTCCCTTCATCATTATGGCGGCGGAGCAAACTTGGCCCTTTGGCGAGCTATCTTCCATCTCTGCCCCCTTTACTCCGTATTATTAGACTTCCCATCCTGCACAAGCGATCGCGCAATTCTTGCCTAGTATGTACCCCAGAGCGCCCACGATGTAACAATCGCCTGCGATGCAATCAAGTCAGCAAATACGAAGGCCCTCCTCCGCCGTCGCAGCCTCCTTCGACTGCCAGCACTCTCCCATTTTCGGCGCCCTCGCAGGATGCCAAAGACCGGGTAGCAGCCTCCTAGACGCGCCAAATGATATTTCTGGCCACGGGAGCGCCATCAGAAGGCTGGGCGAGCTGGAGCGGGTGGTATGTAGCCAGGCTCGCGGCTGCGGTGCCATTCGATCGGGAATCAACAGGCACAAGCCCCCAAGAGAACCGAGCACAAGCAGACAGCAGACCACCACACGTCCGATAAGAGTCTCAGCCAGCCCTGAAACCTCGTCCGTGTCGATAGAGCTCTATAATACCATGTCCCACTACGTTGAACCGGTCGACGAGGGAAGGCACACAACATACGAAAGCCAAACATAGCTTTCCCGCAACATAAGTAGTCAAAGTTGACACATCCAATACCTTATCGTTCCGGAGGTATCCGACCATAATGAAGTCAGGCCAGACTCACCTATCATGTCACTACTTCTATTCGCCCAAATCGATCCTAATTTTGAGATGGATGACTATTTACTAGATCGCCATGAAGCGGAGTGGTTGTGCGCCACATTCCGATCGCGAGTCGACCCAGTAGCGCGGCTTATTCACAATCCTAGTTTTGAAACGGAGATGGCTGATTGCTTTGCGAGTCATGATGCAGAACAGCAGGACTATCCCCTGGCCGAGGAAGCCCACGGTCAGATGGTAGGAACTGTCGATTGGAATAGCCTTTTGCTTTTTGAAATATTATTCCCCGCCGCTTTCAGCTTGAATGACTCAGGTGTTAATTGAAACACGTCGTTGACTATGGCACCTGGCTATTCATCTCCATAGCATAGCATGTGAGGCTCATAGTATTGATCCTAGACCTAACAGTCTTGAGGATGCATGGCCAGCTGTAATTGGGTGCTCACTTCCAAGGAATATGGACGATGAGATTACGCTAACTTCAGACAAAGATTCATGGTCCAAGGTACCCGAAAATCGAGAGCGTCATACTAAGATGTTGATGTAATTGGTGTGTCTGAGCGCTTCTTATTGTTATCGGCAGTTGACTACTTTGCTAGCGGTCCTGGTGTCCGCTGAGTGGTGAACTCGTGGATATTATCAAGAAAAAATGGCGGAGAAATAGCAGGCTCTAACTTCAATACTGCGGGCAAGCGCGAGCAGTTGTTAAAACTCTACTATTCAGAGCTAACAACGAGTCAGAGGACGATCAACCCACTAGTAATGGAATACTTAATGTCCTTGGGCGTCTCAAGGAGACAGCACGCCAGATATGGTGTATCAAAAGCACAGTCATCTAAGCTAGGCATTACTTGCAGGCTGGTTGCTATCAAGGAAAACGGGTTTACAGAGCAATTCCCCACTCATTTTCATAACAAATATAAACAATTGTATCAATTTCAACTTTGAAGCCGTCGCTACTCGCTCGTTAATTGCATGGGTTACATTACATAGGTTGTAATGCTCCGTTACTTGATCGTCTCAAGGTGGTCTAAAATCCTCAGTCGTATGCCTACGGAATGAGGGCGCCCAAATTTGAACATATCTGCCTTTTCTACCTAGGTAAAGTTAACGTATCAGCCAATTTACGAGAACGTCAAACTTCAGGCATATGCGAAGATTAGGTCCTTCGGTCCCTTAACGTACGGGTTAGTCATCATATTGAAATAAACTTCCTATCAACGAACTAATTTACATTTGTATGTTAAGGTGAAATTCCAACTCCTAGAAATCTGAGATACGCACTAAAGTTGGAATATCGAGTTGTCCTATGTATCAGTTAATGCTATTATTCTTAGTACTGTTGCTATTGATCCATAGCTTATAGGTTATAACTTACGCCAGCGAAGGACTTCGTCGCTCAACGAAATACAAATGATCGATAGCTATCCGAAGATAGTAACAATTAGATAGGTAGGTTGGAAAGTACTTTAAACCCTTGCAGACAAAGCTGTCGATCGTTGTTCGCGGCTTAGAAAAGCCTCACGTGGATCTTCTTCCTTGGGCACGTTCGTTATCATGTAGGTGCTTTCCTACGTCCTCTGAGGCCCGAGCTAATTATTAGGTAGGTGGAGTTTATTTGCTCCGCTTGATTCTCTCCCCTTGATAGTTGTTGATAAAGCTATGCCTGAAAACCTTGCCACGTATACGGTCGGGTTAGCTAAGTGGGATTTCTCCGCCAGTTCAAAAATCCCCCGGGTTAATGATTTGCAGTGTCGTTTCTATCTTTGGTCGAATCCTCCCAGAATACCTTTCCGATAAAACGGGCTAGTTGAACGTCATGATGAACGTAGGCCGTAGGGGTGCTGTTCGGACTCTCCATTCTTTGCTTCTGGCTCCCTCTCGACTTACATCCTCGTAACGCGAGCGTCATCGTTCTTGGCGGATTCTCTGGCGCCATTAGTGGCGGTTTCGTTAGTCATATGACTCCTTGTGTAGTTACTCTATGGAAGGGAAAGGTTGGGGATCTGGGGGCCAGGCTTGGATGGGTTCTGTTGTGATCACCTGGTTGTAAGTTAACATTTCACATGAAACGCTCGAGAAATAACCTATTGATAGCAACCAGATCACTTACCGGCGATCAGAGATCTAGCAGGCTACGGTAACCTCAAGGGATTGGTTATTTATTCTGGGACCGTCTTGGCATTGGGCAGAGCCTTCACCATAGCGGTGAGGTACTAAAAAGTGGATTCAGGTGGACTAAAGTCTGAGTAAAGTGATATAAAGACAAGCGCGTACGTTTCAGGGGAGCTAAGAGGGGCAAGGCGAACGCATTATGGTGTAAACCCTACTAAAATCGGTACCTGTATGCCCCTATAAAGCAAAACAAAAGATTACATTGTTAGAGAACGTCCCCATCTGCCTCGGGTCTTATGACGCTTCCACATGTTGTCCGGAAATAGCCTAGAGGATCGAGGTTTTTGCTGAATGGGTATCATGACCTACATATTACAATTACATCGGGATCAGCCTTATGCAGCAATGTCGCTGCGAACATACCTTACGGAGATGAGATAATATTGTTGTTATAGATAGGGGGGGGGGTACTGGACAGCTCGAGTTGCGGGTAATGGTCGGGAAGGGAGGTGGATGATCGATTACTCGAATACTTTTATTATTAATAGTATCGGTGACTTTGCCTTGTCCACCGTTGAATAGACAGTTGTAAAGGTTTCGTAGGGCAATGATTCCCGACTGTTATCCTATCACACAACGCCACTCACCCCTTTCCCATCCCTAAATACTCACCCAAATGTTAGGAAAACCAATCTACGTAAAAGAGTATGGCCAGCTGAACGTCGCCAAGTCGCCAAGCCGTTATGCGCTTCCTACGACCTCCGCTACGCAGATCCTCCATCATCATCCTGTCCATCTCTTCACCAAGTTCACCCTCTCGCCGCAAGTTACCCCTGCGCCACCTAGCTAGCCTTTCCCTGGTTGCGGGGACAAGAGGCGGTTTCCCACACAAACTGGCGGTTTTAGGTAACTGTGAGGCTGTGAATCTGTGACGCACCGATAAGAATAGTTGTTCCAAGACTCAACCCTGAGCAAAGGATCTTCAAGCTGAAGTTTAATAACCTTACTTTGACTTTGACAAGTACAAACTTCTGGTTTTGGCCCCGTAAGCCGGAGGAATTGATGTTGATAATTCACCCAACTATTACGTTCTAGTTGATGCCCATCTTCACTTATATATATCTAGTTCTCTCCCGCTCTAGATATCACCTCCGAGTTATCAATTAGAAACCAACTACTGAATTATAACAACCTCAAAAATGCATACTACCAAAAGTCTCTCATCCCTCCTTCTCCTCGCCACCACATTTCTCGTCTCCCAGATCCCTTCCGCGGGCGCCAATCCTTTGCCCCGTGCTCCTTCCATCCCTCCTGCGCCTGCGGATCCGAAGAAACCCGCTGGTGGTGATGGCATCGGTCCCTATAAATCCCAAAGCCCTGGCATAGGCGACCGCCTCGACAAAGCTAAATTCTATACCATTGCCGTCACCGCCGGCGAACTCAACCTTGTTAATGCTGAGCGTGGCATGCGGCACTACCTTGGAAACTCTGGTGACGAACTGAATGTCACTCCGCAATCCATGATGAAGGGCTTGCCGAAGTTTCGAGATTCCGTCAAGGCCATGGCGCAGAATGAGGCTACAGCGACGTATAATAGTATTTCGGGTGCCACTGGGGAAAAGGCATTCTCGAGCTCTTGGGAGGTCTTTACTGCTACGAAGGCTATGAGCTGGGATTGGTATTTTGCTATTGGCAGCTTTTCGTACAGTGTTACAGGGGTTGTGACAAAAACTAAGGATGGTGGATCGCTGAAGTATCGTGTCCATATTTTTGACAGGTATAACTGGGATCAAGGCAAATCGGTGGATATTGGTCCATTCCATTTTGAAGATAAAGAGTTGGGGAATTTGCATTTGAAGGGGTTGGCGAGGGAGTATACGGTTCGTGGGTCGAGCGGGGTGAATGAGGTGGATAAGTTCAAGCCAGGAACCGTAATTCCGCCACCCAGCACGGGGGGAAGAGGGTAAAGTCTGGTGATGTGGTTATTAGATATGTAGGGTTAAATGTGTGGCATTCAAGAATGGGTTATCTGTTTCAGAAGGCTACTTTCTCCCTATTTAGTGTATTTATAACATTAAAGAAAACCAAAGGCTCAGTCAGGGCTGACGAAGACTTATCTTAGTCGCAGAAATAGATGGCTATTAAACACATACATTCCTTTGGCATGATTCTTTCTAGCCCCGCCATTTGTCGCATCCTATAGCGGGCTTAACTGTCCCAGTGAACAATAAGAAGCCCTGACTTCCCTTATCTTTCTCTCCATATACATTACCTACAAGCTGTTTATCAATTGTAGCTCTTGACTCGGCGGTATACACTTCACCTTCCTAAATGACATATAGGGTTTTGGACAATTTATTGCTTTTTCTTGTCAACTTTTTTAATTTCACAATCAAATGCTGCAGGTCACTCCAAGAATTGCGTACAGATATTCCACCCCTGCCTGGCTAGCTACTCAGTGAGAGTTAAACCCATTACCCCATAACCTAGACAACCTGGGAGACCTTGTACAATTTTCACAGTAAATTCGGGAAATGGCCAGGCTATGCTCAGGATGACGCTCTCAGTCCCATGTGAACAGCCACGTTATGCAAGACGGTAATCCACCAGCCGGTGACAACCGTTGATCCTAGGTGTGGGACACTATACTTGCGGCGCATTGGTCGCAGCAGGACATTCACACCGTTCACTGATTGGGTTCCAGTGCATGACATGATCTCCTTCGTCGCAGTAAATAAGCAGACTCTCGCAACCGAGTGTGATGGTTGGGCTTGGATCAGGAGCTTCACAAGTCGGACATGCACATCCCCCCTTCTTCTCATCCCAATGCATGTGATGATCACCACAGTCGCAGTATATTTTGAGATATTCACAGTGGGTTGTGGTAGTCGGATCCGACGGGGAGGCTATGAGACGACGTAAGCAATTCTGAAGTTGCACTTTCATATTAATATATCCTGATCACTTACTGGGGCTGGATTTAGGGAGAGCGGCAACACTACTCAGCCCTATGGGAATAAGCGCCAGCAAACTTAAAAGCTTCATGATTCTGCAATCGAGGCTTTGGAAGCTTTCGTAAATTCGAACAACCCTTAGTCGTTCGAGTATAGTGGGCTGCGTAATATATACCTAAAGCAAGCAAGATAAATGAAGTTGACCTATTCTGAAATGATAGCGCCGTAACGACACAAACCTGTTCCTCGCCCATTATATATTTCCCCTATTTCCATAGTTGACGTACAGACGGTAAGTATTACTCCGATGTGCTGCAGCTCGAAAACCGGCACAATAGGAAATACGAGCTTGTAGGCCTTGGCTATTGAGCACACTATTAGCCAAAGGCAAGCTAAAGAAATCATTCGCGTTGCCCCTCAATCTCAATCTGATACCAAGGCGGGTATGATCATGCCTAATCTTAGAAAGCCTTCAAGGCAACATAGTATAATTAAGTGCTGACATTCTAAAAATAGTAAGTAGCACGATAAAGAATAAGCGCTCTATTATTGTGCATTTGCCACGCGATTATACTCGTACGTTATGTACCTAGGTAGGATGGAACTTCACCATGCGTGCTAGTGCTTGTTATTTAGCAAGAGGTAGTTATTCGGACAATCAACACTCCAGGCTAATAGAATCCTCGAGGTGGGGCAGAAGCAAGAAAGTATATCAGCAATCGGATCTTCAACTCTGAGAAGTACCTATGTACTCGATCGAGTCACTTTATAAAGAATGAAAAATGCGGAGGATTTAGGAGACTAGGGCAGTTGTAGTCGAGAAGCAAATAATAATACCCTCATCTAGTAAAACAGCTCTATTTACTTTCTGAATAGAAACCTGGCACCGGTCCTATTTATATACTTCATGTTCTTCATGATAGGAGTGGCGTTTGAACATCTGTTGTTTTGGATGTGGCTGGTGGACTCTTGAGAGCGTGACGTCGTTCCGATGGTGTCACGTGGAGCCCTCGGCAGAGTCCGTCGGACCGGCCACGGGCAAGCCGAACCTCAATTTATCTATTGAGCACCAGACGCAACCAGCCATTGAAGCTCTGTAGCCTCTTAAAATGGGTTCCGGCTCCTCGAAACCCGTTGATGCGCCTGCACAGCAAGTATGGAAAAGGTTAGTTGTTCTCACTTGACCGCCTGGGCCGCCCAATAGCCTGACGACCCTTCGCAGCGATACGCCCGTCCGGTTCTCACCAGAGTTGATGAACTCATTACAGTCAAGCCCTGAAGTATGTCTTCCCCTGCCTGCCTTCGCATAGACCTCCGCTGATGTGATTGAATCCTATCCAGACCGACTCCACCCGCGCCAAAACCCTTGAACTGCATATCCAGTCCCGTGTTGAAAGCGAGCTGAAAAAACTTCAAGAACGCGCTGGAAAAGACTTTGAAGAGCTCCAGGCGAAAATCTCAGCACAACAAGAGCCAGAGAAGGGCAAGAGTGCAGGCGATACGCTAAGGGATCTGGGAAGGGAAAGCGTGCAAAATGATGTGAAGGAACTGAAGAAGAAGCTGGAGCAGCGCAGGAAGTTGGCGGATGTGGACGAGAGTGTGGAAAAAGCCAAGAGCGACGTGGTGAAGTGCTTACGAGAGAATGATAGACGGCCGCTAGATTGCTGGAAGGAAGTTCAGACGTTTAAGGACGAGGTCCGCCGGTTAGAGGAGGTGTGGGTGGAAAAGGTCGTTCGATAAAACCCCCGGAGACGTGGGAACTGTAAAATACGTGTAATACGGAGTACAGACCAGGGCATTACGAAGCAAGATTTCGCGAGGATCCTTTTTGATTCAGCGTGATGAATCCAGGCTTACCTTGAAATTCACCTAAATATAGGATAAGTGATATGGGAGAGAATGGTCTTATTGTGGGCGGTCATTCCTATTCAACACATGCTTAGGCGTCTGAGAGGTAGTATCGAGACTCCCGGTCTGCTTTGCCGCTTCACTTATCTTCAGTCCCTCTGCGCGTTTCCTTTCTCTCCTCGCCTGAGGGTCTTCCCATTCGTCACCATCCTTGCCCTTTCTCCTCGTCTCTTGCTTGACACTCCCAGTTTCTTTCAGTAATGACCGAAATCTCTCCGTTCTCTTTGTGTTCTCTACAAAGCGGTCGTTGGAAATCTCAAGAAGGGCTTTAAGTTGCCACTCAGGTACGATACAGATCCCCTGACCACCGGATTCAAATCCGATCAAAGATTCCAAGGCAAGGCCCATTGAACGGATGCCAACCATCGGCGTAGGGGACTCTGTAGAGGATGTCAAATTAAGAGCGCCGCTCTCTCTGAAGCCTGCTTGCAATGCAGCAGCTAGCACATGCTGGGCTTGTTCGAGGGAGGCCGTTAAGACATGAAGAATCTAATACACAGTTAGCTGCTATTCAATTGACTACGAGGGACCATAGCCACACCATGGGCTCGAACTTGAAGTGTATAAACCTAGCATCATGGGAGTTGCCTTGTAATAGTGAATCAACAGCCCCGGTTTGCTCTCGATGCATCCCAAGCATTTCTGACCACTGGGGCGTAAGACTCTGGATATCAACGGGGTCGTGTGAGACGAAAAGCCATCTTCCGCCGCCGCCTTTCCCACCAACACCAGCTGATTTCGAGGAGGCTTCTATTCTGCTAGCATCCAAAAGTCCATCCTGCTCTGTATTTGAAACAGTCCGGCTACCCTCTAAAAATACACTGACCCTTCCAGCACAACTGCTGGTGGTCACGCAGCCATCAATTCGGTTGATCTCATCAATCAAATCTCGAATACCTTCGTCGATAGATCCCTTGGGAGAGAGATCACCATATTCATCGGACGGAACAGCCAGTTGCTCTAAGATTTTCTTCTTCTTGGAGATGAATGACTGAGGAAGGGCTGTTATGCTTGGATTTGAAGGCATGGTTATGTGATCATGCAGGAGGACGTTGGGAGTACGGCGAGGGAGAGCGGACGAGTGCGAAGTTGGTATTTCTAGCGATTTTGTGTTGTGGGGCCAGTTCGTATCGTCTTCCACCATCCATTTTCTCATATCTCCAACCTCGAACCTCTACGGGAACATGAACAGGATTCACGAACATCAACTTTCATCAGACTACGCAGCTACATCGCAATCCTCCGCGCATGTGATGTTTATAGCTGATTGTCTTGGCCCAAAGCCAGCTGCTTTTCGAAGGCTGCCATGATATAGAAGAAGGCTGCCTCAGCCAGACACTGGACTATCCCTACTAAACCCGATTTATTCGGTCCTCATTATGGATTATTCCCATCCTATATCATTATCACACGGGTACTCACGATTCAATATCGCAATTTTTGAATTGTTCTATTTGTGCAAGCTGCAAGTATCATCACATTGAAGTCCGAAACTAACGTCCGTCCATTAATGCCCTCGATATCTGCCATTGAGACCTTGAATGTCATAAGTAGGAACCAGTTGGATTTGTGAATACTCAACTCCACCAGCTATGGCCTCCGCCTCATGACCATAGCTGATGGTCAAAGTGTTCTACGCGAAGACGAAGAAACGACCCTCTGACGAGGAGTTGATTCCAGGCAGCGACCAACATCAACCATGCTTCATGAATCATTGGAAAAGAGCAGCTTTGAAGCTATCCCTTCCGCCCCATGAATACAGCGTCTGCTCCATACCCCCGCAAGGAAAAGAAACGTCCATTGACACAGCGATATAAATCTAGTGAATGATTCGCACCCTGAGAATACTTCATGTGTTGTTGGGGAAAAGCAAAGAAAAGCAATCAAGAATTCAAGAGCAACATGCACGCGCAAGATCTGACTCAATTTGAAGTAAAGTAGTACTGGGGCGACGGTACGACAAGGTAGCGGCGACGCCAGAAACACTTTTGGGGCATTGTTTGGTGTCCGAAGTACGAAGCCCTCAGAACGATGTTACCACTATGTCCAGTCAAGGTGCTCCGCGGATGCTTTGCGTCAGTGGGTTAGGAGTTTTGGTTGGCTATTGGGAGTTAAGGCATGGCGCAAGATCTTCTCGATGCCAGCCCACTCTGCTCTTGCAACTTGGCTAAGACATTGCTTGAACTTATCGGGGTCGTACTTGATATGCTTATCGAGGTCACCAAAGAGCTTTCGTCCATTGTTCGATTCGCCTCTAGCAGCTTGGTCGGCTAGTGAAAGGGCTTCTTTCTGTTCGGTAGCTTCACGAATGATTGCAATGTACCACTGCAACGCGTCAGTTACCGTACAAGTGAATTCCAATGTAAGGACAAGGGCAATTTTGTTAGTGACAATTAACTTACCAGGACCAGATCAGCAGGGGCACCAGGCTTTGGTCCAATGGTCAAGAGATGCTTCCAATAGGGAGCGAACGGTGGAACTCCATACTCGGTAGCCGTCATATCATCAAGACCACAGATGAATACAACATCATCCTTCATCGAAGGCGTAAATCCTGGGCATCTGAGAGCAGCACGCCAAACCCGCTTAAGCAACATCGGGGTTAAATTGACATCATGCCCATTCCTAACGCGTTCCACCAGGAGGTTCAGAAGGTTTTTGGTGGTCTTGTGTAACAAGTTTCGATCCTCAACCGTGATATGGTCCACCATATACCACGGATACTGCGAATTATCAGCAGATGCTGTGCAAGTGTTGCTGGACTATGGGTTCGATGATGGGCTTACCTTGAGCAAAGTACTAATAAGGCATTCGAATGGACGCTGCAAACAATTCTGGGAGAATGGAGACTATCGTTGTCAGCTTGAATCCGCTTTCTTCAACTGCGCCAAGTGAATTCATGGGATTGCTTGAAGGGAACTCACACGTTGCGGAGCCTCGACATGCTTGACCAACATAACCAACTCCTCCTTGCTGACAAAACCTTGGAAGCCTGAGTTGTATATGTCGTTGGGATCTCGCGGGATGATTTCAGGTTTGCCCCCTACCCATCTGACATTCTTCGCCTTCGGGAACATGTCCTTCATCAGCTGATCCTGGCTAGATAGCTCAACCTCGACATGACGTTGCCCCAGCCGACCACCTCGACCGCCACTTCTGTTGATTTCAAATCGGTTTACAGCGCCGACTGCCTCGTTGAAATTGATGAACTCAACATAGCAATCCAATGTCTTACTGGTCACACGCTCCATGATGATATGGACAGGCTCATGCTCGCTCTCATTGACCATCTTTGCATTGCGTCCAAGGAATGCCATAACCTCAGCACGGTTAACGGAGTACGGAATCTGCGAATCATCAGCCATCAATTAGTCCATTACGGAACTCCACAACTTACGTTCTTAATCTTTACCACCCCAAATGTGTCTTCTTTAGCTAGGCGGCAGTACTCGGCGAAAGGCAAGAATCTAGGATCAAGAGCCTCCTGGATAGTGGGCTTGCACATACCGCCTCGAGTGAGGTTCCGAAGAGCTCCACTCATACCCCCAGGAGCTTTGAGGCTGATGGCATTGTATGGAGTTGGAAGTGGTTGGCCCGGGCCAAAAGGATCGTTGAAAGATTTCGGGGGAGGTGACGTGACAGGTGCCAGATCAAAAGTATTGTTGAGAGGTTGGCCTAGTGGCGGCATGATAGGTGGTGGCATAGCAGGTGGTGGACAGAAGGCGTCATTGAAAGGTTGACCCGCAAATGTCGTGACAGCTGAGGAACCGAAAGAGCCATTGAAAAACTGTCCGGGGCGTGGTATTCCAATAGGATGGCCGAGAGAGCGATTGAAAGGTGCACCAGGAGGTGACATGATTGCCAGACCGGAAGGAACATGGGAAGATCGACGGGTGGGCGACAAAATAGATGCTAGACCGGACGGGTTATGGAAAGATCGACCTCCCACTCCCCTATCCAGAACATCATTCTCAGTAATCGTGTCGAGGGTGCTTATATCGATACCTCCTGCAGCCAAGAGGCTCTTCGGTGAAGCTGAGCGGCGTCTCATCTCTCCCTCCTCCGGTATCTGGTTCTTAGGAGTTAATTCAACAGATCGGGTTGCCACGTCACGTAGTGGACTGTTGTTGCTAAGATTTGTCGCGCGAGGGGAAAGTTGAGGAGTTGGGTTTGGCTCCTGACGGTGTTGGCGAGGTGCTGAACCAAATTCAATATCAACAACAGTACGAGGCTGTCGCCGTGGTGTTGTACCGCTGCTAACTACTTCACCTCCTTCTGAATTCGGTCCGGCAGATAGTGCACGAATAGAAGCATTTTCGGTGTTCTTCGAAGGAGTTTCAACACCTGACTGCCATGACGGTAACCGCACCGGCCCTCCGCGCGTGGTTGATACGCTTGCTGGACTCGCGCTGTTGCAGTTCAACACCACAGCGGTGGCGAGATTGGAGGTAACTTGTCTATCGTGTGCCGAAGAGTCTGCACCTTGCTTACTATGATACTGCGTCTTGTTTGCCGGATTCCAGCCCCTATCTTGTCTTCTTCCGCCACGTGCCCAATTTTGACCCTGATTCGCGGGGCCATGCATGTGTCCTCCTTGTTGCCCCGAATTGAAATTGCTACCAGTTCCCAAGCCATATTTCATATTTCGATCCGAGTCATAAGTATTGCTTGCGTACGAGAAGGGTTGAAGACCATTGCCAGTTCCAGGCTTATATGGCAGAGTCGGGTAAGTTGGGGCTGGTGGCATTGTTGGGAAGCCGACTGCTGGAGAACCACCTGCTGGAGTGCCGCTATGTATTTCCATTGCTGCCGCATATTGCATATTTTGGCCCTTGATCGGCGGACCATAAGTATTGCTTCCGTATGATGGGGTCTGAAGACTATTGCCAGTTACAGGTCTATATGGCACACTCGAATATGCTGGAGCTGGTGGCATTGTTGGGAAGCCGACTGCAAGTGAGCCACCTGCTGGAGTGCCGCTATATGCCACAGAGCTATCCGCTCCAGTTGCAGTATAGCCATAGGCCTGATAAGAAGTTGGGGCTGGACCCTCAATCGGCGAGCCATAAGTATTGCTTCCGTACGATGAGGGCTGGAGTACACTACCAGTTCCGGGCCCATACGGCATGCTCGGATAGGTTGGAATCGGTGGCAGGGCTGGGAAACCGATGGCTGGAGAGGCACCTGGTGGAGGACCGGTATGTGTTCCGTAGCTATCCATTGCAGTTGCAGTATAGCCGTGAAGCTGATAAGAGGTCGTGACTGCATTGAACTGAACTGGAAATTGAGGGGATTGGCCACCTACAGGGACACTACGAGGCATGCCCGCCTGATCGTACTGATTGACACTCGGATACTGCACCATTCCAAGTTGGGGAGCTTGCTGCTGGTATGTTTGCGACATTGTATTACTTTGACCATATCCAATGTCTGACTGCGGCTGGCGATTGGGAAACTCCGAACCAGAAGACAGATCTGGCGTATTTCCGGTCGGGACATAAGGTTGGGACTCAGGGTTCAACGGCTTTGATGAGCTCCGCGACGAACTAAAGCTGGCTGAAGAAAGCATACCTGGGGTATCCCAAGGGCCAGTGCTTCCGATCTGGATGCCCTGGTTGAAGTTTTGGACAGGATATTGGCCATAGCCTTGGATGAATTGGTTGTGTGAGATCGGGACTTGGCTCGAGGCCGGGGCAATGCTTCCAGTGCTTTGTTGATTTGCAAAAGCATTGGGTTGAGGCGCAGTAGGGGCAAGGAACCCATACTGTGTGCTGTTAGGCATCATCTTGTTGGTAGTGCAAGGAAGATGGTTTGTTGTTGTTGTGGGAGGAAGTTGAGAAAGTATACAGATCTGAGAGGTGAATAGGTATTCCTGCTGTTAACTGGACGACATCGTCGGTGCCTCGCAGCCTCGATACCTCGCCGCCTGGCACTGCTACAATTTCACCTTGCTGTTCCAGGAGATATGTAGTTTGATGTCGCTCTGTCTTGCACAAGTTGGATACCTAGCGAACGCTTACTTCGATAATAATAGGCGTTTTAAGGGCTAGTTAGTTAACCAGTTGGCAACTAGAAATAGAGCATATGTGAGGTTATGAAACTGAGAAGTAATATAGCTATGCTTGGCTATGGTGTTCTCCTTAACTTCGTACAGAAGCCGAGACATATTGGATGAGGAAGAGACGGGAGAGCTGTGCAAAGTGACTTTGTTCCTTTTAGCAATATGGCCATGTGCGTTGGAACCACAACCGCATCTGCGATGCCACTGATGGAAAGTCTTGCTATAATAGAATGTCTGATGTTGTGCATACTGCATCATAGACTATTCCACCGGGCTTATTTGGATGTCAAGATTTTATTTGTAATTTGCTTCGTTGTCACTCTGTGGAGATCATACGATGCACCCTATTTGCCGCCTTGGTAATAGGACTTCCTCAGAACGAAGACTTGTATTCCATGATTCCACAACTACAAAGATAATGAGATTTAATCAACTGGTTGCGGGCTGTATACGGCTGTAAAGGAAGTCATATCTTATTCCAAGCCATGTATTGTTTACCTCCAAAGGGTCAAAACTCTTGCCCCCTCGGTTAACCATGATGAACAGGCTGGTCCAAAAAGGGGTCCCAACTTGTCACGTGATTTGTCATTCTACCCTGTCCTCATGTAAGGGCCAGGATTTCGGAAAGTCTCTGAAAATTACCCTCTTAGAGCAGATACAAGGAAGCTGAGAAGAGCAAGATTGTGGACTGCTACTGTCTACTCTGACTGCAGATAGGGGTCGGCACATACAAAACAATTGCAGACCCTAAAAACCCCCAAGTTGATAGTTCTCGAGTTACAAATCAGTTTTGACGGCTACTTATTGGCAAGTGTCAAGCCCAGAGCAAAATAGAAAAGAGTGGCTTAAGGGGAGCAACTAGGTAACTGTATCAGCTCGTCTATGCTATTTGCCTATCTTAGGTATCGGTACTTTCAAGTAGCTGGGAAGTTTGCTCAGTGCCCATGGCTGGCGACGGGATCACCTAGTATAAACTCAATTGGAACCATAAGAGAGAAGCAGGAAACGAGATGCGCGGATTGAAGAGACTGCGCACATAGAGAAGTCTGAGAAGTGATAGAGGAAGTCATCTGCGCTAGAAGATGAGCATCCCGCCTAGAAGTTGGATCTCATCACGTTGCAACTTTGTCTGTGATGCAATAGTTTTCATGTGTCATAAAATTTCGACTCTTGATCTCCGAACGCCTTCTTTAATTTTGCTCTCAATTCCAAAAGCTCCCACAGTCTGCCACCAAACCGTCAACAACCCTATTCCCATTCCAAGCGAGAGACTTGTTAATCGAACTATAGGGTTGAGATCAGAATCCCCGCGATCTAGAAATGGAGGAGCTGGAATTCTACTTACAGGTGTCAAGAAAGACTCTGCCACAAATCTTGCGCGTGCGTTGAGCTGGCCCAGGGTTAGAAAACTGCTCCCATAAGACTCAAGAACTTACGAAAAGCTTCATTTCCGAAATTTCCTTGTCCACTTCCTCCATAAACTGTATAATAAAGTCTACGAGCTTGTGCTTCAACATTTCCTCGGTATGGAAGTTCGTAATCAAGAAGGAAATATCATATCCCTATCAAATATCAGCCTCCATCTCTGGTATGCAGCGTATGCGCGACCAACCTTCACCGGCTTCCGCCGTAAAATAAAGAAAGCCTCTGCTCTCTGCGTCAAGAATCGGGTGAACTTGTGCACCAAAATGTGCTCTATTTCGTCTGCCTGCTTGATCTTGATGCTGATGCGGACACTGTTGATGCTAGGCTCAATAAAGACTCGCTCGTTCTCGTTTCGCGCGACAGTAAGAGGATTTAGCAGCACTTCTGGGGAGGTCTGCGCTTCGATTTCGGGGACATTATGCCGTTCGGAGGTCTGGGATGCGAAGTTGGAGAGACAGAGGGCCGAGGTGAGGGAAGAGCGGACGCATTGCAAGTAGGGCCTGAGTGATTGGGACTATATGAGATGTCAGTACAGTGGCAGGCAGCTTGATTATGGTTGTATGGGTGTATGGTCGCGGAGAGCAGATCATAAGGCGTGCATATATATACGCACCATGGTGGTTATGTTGTGATGTCAAAGGAGCTCTTGTGGTTGTGGTTCATCCTCCGTCGCAATGGTGTAAATCGGTGTCGTGGGAGAGGTGGGGTCCAATACAGTATTTACGGCATTTATAGATATTTACGGTAACGAGCGCTAGCGAGACCCTAGGAATCGTGTATTTACAATCCGATTCACACTGCACTCCCAACTCTCCCAGTCTCCAACTTTCTCTGGCGCAACTCCTCCTGCAGTTATTTCTGCCATTACCACTACCGCTAAGTAGAACGAGGCTATCCGTGCAACTCGCTCCTAAAACTTAATCCGTTGCTGTCTCGAGATCTGATTCGAGGCAGCTGCCTACCCCGCCACAACATGGCAACCATTCCAGGTGTGTAGCAAAACAAGCTGTCTTGAGCGCTGTGAATGTCTGCTAACACCCGCCACAGTTATTGTCAAGCACCAAGGCAAGAAATACAGTGTCGACCTCGACCCTACCTCTACTGGCGAAGTTCTCAAATTTCAGCTTTATTCCTTGACAGGCGTTGAGCCAGAGCGGCAAAAGATTTTAGTGAAAGGTGGCCAACTCAAGGATGACACGGAGCTCTCGAAGATCGGCGCGAAGCCAGGCCAGACATTCATAATGATGGGGACACCGGGAGATGGTGGAGGCCAGCTAAGCAGGCCCACGGATGCGATCAAGTTCGTCGAGGATATGACCGAAGCAGAAGCCGCACAGCAAGTTGGTGCCACTCCTGCTGGGCTGCAAAACCTGGGCAATACGTGTTATCTAAACTCAACTCTTCAAACCCTGCGATCGGTTCCCGAGCTTCAGGAACAGCTCCAAACGTATACTCCAGCTCCTGCTGCTCCGGGTACGCAGGGCTCCACTCTCGGGGATCTTAGCATGTTTGGTCTCGGCGGTCTTGGATCTTCCATGGACCTCACAGCCTCGTTACGAGACCTCTATAAGCAAATGTCAGAGACCCAAGAAGGCTTCCCGCCACTGGTATTTCTCAACGCCCTTCGTGCCGCCTTTCCCCAATTCGCAGAAAAAGCCAAATCTGGGCATGGTTACGCACAGCAAGATGCGGAGGAGGCGTGGTCGCAGATCGTTGCACAATTACGCCAGAAGTTGAAGATAAAGGACACATCTGCTAGCAACGGAAGCGAATCCACGGAGATTTCTTTTGTTGACAAATATCTTGCTGGAGCGTTCCAATCAGTCACAGAGTGCGATGAGCAGGCTGCAAAGGACGCCGGGGAAGAGCCTGTAAAAGGTGAGGACGTTTTCCTGAAACTGGACTGCCATATCAGTGGGACTACGAATCATTTGAGAGACGGTATTCTGGCTGGCTTGGAGGAGAAAATCGAAAAGACCTCACCAGTTCTCGGTCGAGATGCTGTCTATACCAAGAAATCCCGAATCTCACGGCTCCCGAAATACCTGACTATTCACTTTGTTCGATTTTTCTGGAAGAGGGAGGCTCAGAAGAAAGCCAAGATTATGCGCAAAGTCACATTTCCACACGAACTGGACGTGGCTGAGTTCTGCACCGACGAGCTCAAGAATATGTTGGTCCCCGTCCGAGATAAGGTCCGTGAAGTACGGAAGGACGAGGAAGATGTTGAGCGGACCCGAAAACGTCAAAAGCGCATCCATGACAAGCAGGTTGCTGATGAGAAAGCTGGAATTGTCGATTCGGTCTCCGAGTCCAAGGCCGATGAGAAGAAGAAGGCGGACGAAAAGAAAAAAGATGGCAAATCTGCGGGTGAAGCTGATGCGATGGAAGATGTTGTCTACAAGACTGATGCCGAGATCGAAGCCGAACGAACTGCCGCCATCCTCGAGGCCAAGAAGGAGCTGCATGCTTTGATCAACCCTGAGCTCTTGAAGGACGACGGAGCCAACAAATCTGGCCTCTACGAACTTCGTGGTATTGTCACGCATCAAGGTGCTAGCGCGGACAGTGGACACTACACGTCCTATGTCAAGAAACAAGGTCCTCTTGACCCAAAGACTGGTAAGAGAGGCGAGGAGGATGGAAAGTGGTGGTGGTTCAATGATGACAAAGTCTCGGAAGTGGATGCGGAGAAAATCGACACGTTGTCCGGAGGAGGGGAATCGCATTCTGCACTGATCCTCCTATATCGTGCTATCTCTCTACCTACGGCTGAGGGCCTCAGTGAATAGAACGGTTAGATAGATTGCATGTCAAGGCGTTTATATGTACGACGGGAGCCGTCTCTAGAGGTGCCTTGTGGTGGACTGCGTAAAGAATAAAAATTATGATGAGTTTATCTATTGCCTCCTCGCTCTGATTTCCTAACCAATTTCCCTCATTTCCTTGCGCGCAAGACTATAAGCATAAAGTGACAAGTGCAGCTGCCACCTTCTGAGAACCCACTCACAAATAGAACCAAAGATGTAGTAAAAGACTCCAAAAAAGATGCCAATTCCAAAAATAATGGAGTATATTGCTTGAACACCCTAGATTTACTTATATATCCCTGCTCTCCAACATGCCCTATATATCATGCAGTGATTCCAGTAGCTTCTAGTTTCGCTGCCACAAGCGCAATCAAAGCAGCTCCAACACCCGACCCATCCTTAGCAATTCCAATGCGGATTCTCTTCTCGCCAGCATGGCCAATACCATCCACGGCCCTCATGGCCTCACGCATATAATCCTCGAATCCGGGATAGAATTCCACCAGACTGCCATCCACGCCAATATCAACAATATCTTCTGGGCCGCCTTTGGGGTCGAGTCGACCGGTGTGGAGAATGATGCCAGCTACAGCAACGCCTGCCAATCGAGCTGCCCGCTTCGCGATGGCGTGAGCGATATCCTTTACAGCTTGTGCGTCTTCCAGGCTCGGTGCCTGGACCCCGAGATCTTTCTCAATGAATTGACGCAAAGTTCTTAGGCCGACGGAGTTGTCAGATTGTGCTACTGATAGGATACTGCTGTCAACTGCCCACTGTTGCTTGAGGGGCGCATTGTCGTCAATGACGGTTGTGGATCCAAAATCGTTTGACGAGGAATCCTTATCTGTAAAAAACGGGTTTTTAGAATTGCCCATCATTATGTCGAGGACAATACGGAGGATCTCCCCCAAAAACATGCCCGAGATACGTTTTTCGAACATTTGGATGCCGGGGTTAACACTCTCCTTGTCTAGAATCTGGTCATATATAGTATTGGGGAGCACCTTCAGCCCATTGTCGAAGGAGCCCCATTCGGTGTTGACAACCATTTGGCCAGTGGTAGAGTCGTATGCGCCCTCTAGGGGCTTTTTGATTTTAGACATAGTTTCAACATAGGCACCGTTAGTACCAGTCCCAAATATTGCGCCTAAAAGAGTATCGGTTTTCCCTGGAGCCGTATATGATCGTGCCATGAGTGTTCCCACGGTATCATTGACAAGAGCTGACACTTTAACGGGCAGTTTCAGAAGGTCTAGCTCCTCTTGTAGCAAGGCACAAACATCTTTCCCGACTGCATCCTGAATATCAAAGCCTTTGGTCCATCTAATCAGGGTACCACTATTGATTCCGGTCTGGTGCACAGGAAAACTGAATGTGAAGCCGAGACGGAAGATAGACTCTTCTTCGTACCCTGTTGGGGTACCGGGCGTCTGGTGACGTTCTACCCTCCCTTCGAAATGCTCTTCGTGGTGTGACTTCAAGAACAATTCGACTTGCTTTGCAAGGAAAGCAAAGAGTTCTTTGGCGGTTTCGGCCACCATGAGCTCCTTGGGGATAGCTACCTTGGACTGGGTAAGGGTGAAGGTGGTATCTCCATGCAACTGAATGGAGCAGACTCGGAAATTCGTTCCACCAAGATCAACGGCCAAGTAAAGACCCTAGCTAGATCGTCAGTTCCCGAATCCCCAGTTGAATGCTTCGCGTACCTTCTCTGTTCCGTTTGGCACGCCAGTAACAAAGGTAGGAATTTGACTCAAAGTCGTGCCATTCTTCTCCAAGCCCTCATCTACGCCACAGTTAAGATTATGCTTCTCAAGTTGTTGGCTGATTTAGCTGTACGCACTCATCTCCGTAACGAATTCTACCACTGCATTTCTGACATCATCATCCGAGAATTCGAATAGCGCGGAGATCCGCTTTGCCTCCGCCAGAAGGGCCATCTCGTGCGGTCTTGGCCTTGATATAGGTTCTTCTATCTGGAAGGGGGAAAGGGGTCTGCAAGTCGCGGTTTCGAGGGCGTATGCTGGGGGGGAGAAGGAGGGGGTTGGAGTTGGGGATATCGACAAATTGCCCTCAAACAGGAACTGCACAGTCTGAAACAACGCACATGGTCAACAACAGCGCGGGAAATGGGCAATCTATTTTGTAATCGATCACTAACCAGGACGACAGCGAGTAATGCAAACGAAGCAAGGTGCACAAGGCTGATGGGCTTTGGGTTTGAGCGCAAAGTCGACACGTTGTGGGCCGGCCGGCCGGGAAAGACTGGGTTGGTCAATTGCTGGCGGCGGTTGCGGCGAGAAGCAGCACCAAGCAAGTTGGATTGGGATTGGGATTGGGATTTGGAGTTTGGGATAGAGTTAGAAGAAGCCAGGACTTTTATGTATAGTAGAGGAGGACGGGGTAGTGTGAACTTTAGGCATATGACGACGTAGCCAGGTGTATAGAATTATGAGACGATAACCACGGTTTTGGCGGGGAGGGCAAAAGGAGGAGGGGCAGCGGTCGCTAGGGGGTCATGGTTCAGGGAGTATGCGCGAGCCTAGGCCGTTAACGTCCATGTTAGGCGTGTGTTAAGGCGTATATTTACCTACAGTATAGGCGTATTAGGCTTAGGCCTAGGCTCGGGCAATAAAAGGGCCGTAGTTGTATAGTATCTGCTGCAGAGTCTAATGCTTCTCGTGCCAGCAATATCCTAGAACTAACAATCAACCCAATCAATTCTCTAATTGACCTTTTGACCCTTCGCTGCACCTGCACATACAGCTGTAGTACACACTCGAATACCACCGGGCCGGGGCTACGGACCGTTCACCATGACGATGCTGCCCGAACACAATTCATTCATGCTCCCGGAGTGGGTTGGAGATGTTAATATACTTTCCTCTTATACCTACAGTCTCTCCGTCTCCGCCGTCCGGGAAATATAGATAAATAAATAAATACCTAGGTACGGTAGGTAGGTATTTTAGGTAGATTACTTGGTTCCCCACAGAATGATTCTAGGCGGTCTCGCCTAGCTGCACCCCCGGAGCTTCATAATACAGCACAAAATAGAAATTCCAAAGCGATAGCACTCTTATTTACAAACAACTTTATACCCCTATGGACTTGTTTTGTAATTAAATGTTGTAGCGTGGCCGAGAAACCAAGAGTGTTAAAATTCGAATGTTCCACGAATTCTGACACTCTCTGGTGATGTATATGTATTTTGGTGGCATGATATATGTTATCAGTAGGTATACATCTACACGTATGAACTCTCTGCTACCTTCGAGCCTCTATATACTGGCGGAATTGCTATGCCCTGGCCCATCGAATTTGTTCTAAAATAAAGCGTATCAATGCCTGCTTTTAACTAGATGTTCGGGAGCAATAATATAATCTAATCTAAGCTAGTGATATTAGCATTTTGAAACATTGGAAAAGATCGATCGTAGGCAGCCCTCGCAGACCACTCCAAAATCACATCGAGGCGGCGACTCCACCTTTATATACACCATCTGCCCGCCTCTTCGCCGTTCGTCATGACGCGAAATTGCCAATTCCAGTGAAGTCAGACGGCCGCAATACGTCCAACAAGCCACTATGGATATGTCTTCGCAGATGCTGTGGCCTTGACGTTTAATAGCCCGCGGGAGACTGCGATCATTCTTGGGCTATCGACCCATTTTGCACGTCTGACAAATTAACCATCTGGTTGAATATTGAATTGCTGGAGGTGCCCCTCCCTTTCTCATTACCGACCCACGAGGCGGAAGGATTGTCAAGACAACTAGAGCACGGAGTAGCTCATCAATAGGCTCACAAAGCACCCCTAAGAATGCTGTAGCCATCCAAAACAACCTCTAGGCAGCTACTTTAAGCATGCCATCTTCAAGTTACAGATTTATTGTTCTCGGACTACCCGAAATCCCAAACTCATCAGCGAACAACAGCCACAGCCTCGTTCTCGAATCCTTCTCCATGGTGCATGCGGCCGGCTGTTCCTCACGACATGTTAGGACCGAACTAAGAAGATCCGTGCATGCGGGATACTAGAGCACCTTGAGGATATGTAATGAGGATAGAAGGAATCCAAACAAGAAGGCCATATCATTTGAAAGTGAGAGCTTGCCCCTGACACGCGCTCGAGCTGCCCGCCACGTACGAGCCACCTCCTGAGTCCTGATTTCTAATTCCCAGCCGACACCTGCACATCTCGGCGGAAGATAAACGGAAGGAGGTGCGCCTAACCCAGCAATTATAATATGCAATTGTGAAAAGGACTGACTCCGGGGCAAGTAGCAAAAGACGGGGAGGAAACTTTTCCGTGTCGAGTCCCAAAAGGCACTTCCAGCCAATCAAAAATGGCAGGACTAAAGTCCTACAGTATATGCTGAAACTCAACGCAACCTCAACTCGGAGTTTCTGAAGTGGAGAAGGGATCGAGTCCGAATTATACTCGACGAGGGCCGCAGGAGGTCACATGTTACATAAGGAAGGGCCCTAGGTAAGGCAGGTAATAATGTTAGCAGTCAAGACTATTTATTAGCGGTGTCGATAAGGCAGACTTACATACCTACGTACCTACGTACCTCTGTAGACAAAGACGCCTAACTGCGGGGCGGGACACCCCTAAAACAATTAAAAACAATTAACTTATAAAAGGCGGTCATAGGACGAATCCTATTGGCCTGAAGTGCGAAAACAACCAGAGTCGAGTGAGGCTGAGTTCTAGTTATCCCACCCCGCCCCGCCCCGCCGATGGAGGACGAGGAGGAGCGGAAAACTGGAGACCCGCGCGGATGGACCTCCATCTCCCATTGCCAAGAACAAGGACATCACCATTACCTCCAACGTCCAACTGCAACGCCAATTCCAACTCTGTTGCTATATATTAATTTGATATTAGCAGTGCGCAATCTCTTCATTATTCCCGGGCAAGTTTTTCCTAGATCAACAACCTGCCGATTGTGGCGCTGGTGACAGCCAGCCTCTACTGGGGGGAGAGCCACAACAAGGCGAAGCGAAAGGATTCCTTCTTCTCAGCTTCTTCAGCCATCCACGCCTCGCTGCTCCATACGAAGGGCAGTCCCTCTTTATCCAGATCCCATTCCAGTCCCAAACTCCAGAGTCCCGGCCACACTAGCCGCGGCAAGACAAGAGAAGAGAAGAGAATCTAGACACATCCTTGGACCTGCATCGGGCTTTGTATTTGCGCCTGCGAGTGTCTGGTCGCATTGCTGCAGAGGCCTCCCTCATGCGCCGGTGCCGATAGAGAGGATCGTTCGGAGGCATATCGCTATTCCTGTAGTTGCTGCTCCAGTGCGTCCTCCGTACAGGGGCTGCTTCTGCTGCCTGCCCGCGATATTCCTGTTCCTTGGGGCCAACACACGAGAAGTGGACGAGAACGAGAACGAGGTTCAGAACGACGCAATTCCCGTGGGCTACTTACTTTGTACTCACTGCTGCTGGCCATCTCCACGAAATACGAACGCAAGCCGCCCAGCACGCGTCCGGAGCAGTTGTCCACAAGGAACACCTGGTCAGGTCCTAGACTGTTATTTATTAGGTATATTTCGCGGACTTCAGCCCAGCGGCGCTGGCTAGCGGCAACGTGCTTGGCTGGGCTCAGGGCTGACAGTTGACAAAGAGCGAAACTCTGACATTATTCTTCTGGCTCCCTCTCTGAGGGACAACAACTGCCCGACGAACCTAGACCACAGCCAAGGACCGCAGTCCTGGAGTCCTGGAGGACCATAAGCCCCAAAGCCAAGGACCGGCCGCCCCCCCAAGCCCAAGCACTGAGGAACTCCCCCCCAGCTGCTCCACGCGCGGTCTGATTATTCCCCTCGCTCTTCTTGTCAGCACGCATTGCATTGATTAAAACCGCCTTCTTTCTCCTTCCCTTTTACCCTCCCTGCCCATATGAGTTCTATGAACTCCCGCTTCAAAAGCCTTGGATTCGGCTCCAAAAGGAAATCAAGCGCCCTCGCTCCCACGCTCGCTCCCAATAATCTCAACCCACCAAACCCCACTCCTCCAACCTCGCTCGCGCCGCAGCAGCAGCAGCAGCAGCACTACCAGCAGCAGCAGCACCCCGACCAGAGGCCCATTCCTTCAACAGCCTCGTCCTCTTCCTCAACCTACAACCTACCCATGAATTACGCTGGAGCTGGCGGGCGCCCACCCAGCTACACAAATAACTACGCTCCTGCTCCCGCAGGCGTCGGTCGTACACAGAGCCCTTTGACAACAGGAACTCCTCGAACGCCGCCAACCCAGATGTTGGGCGGACCTCCCCCGATCAACACCGCCGCCTCTGGTTATCCTCCTGGCCATCCACAAGCAATGGGACCACCACCACCAGCTGGCGGCCCGCCTCAATACGGCGGTCCACCACAGTATGGTGCTCCGCCTGCCCCAGTAGGTGGAGGCAGTATGGCTGCTGCTCAGTATGCTAACAGAAATGCCGTCGAGGTTGAGGGTGCTGGCAGGAGCAAAGCCCAACTGATCGTGGGTATCGATTTTGTAAGGACTCATCCTGCTACTTCCCCACAATATGTCCATCACTAACTCGCTCAGGGAACAACATTCTCAGGCGTTGCCTTCGCGTTCGCTACGAACACCGAGGCGAAAGAAGATATCATTACAGAATGGCCAGGCGCTGGATCATACACCAAACAAAAAGTTAGTAACCTGTCCCGCGCTCGTTGCACAGCTCCTGACAGCAAATAGATTCCTACGGTGCTATACTACGATCAATACCAGAAAGTTGTGGGCTGGGGACCAGATATCGCGGATGCTTTAGCACCAACTGGCTACCCAAAGCCTGGTGTGCAAAAGGTTGAGTGGTTTAAGCTGCAGCTCATGCTTTCGGGTAACACATATATCGATCCTATTAACCTTCCTCCCCTTCCTCCCGGAAAGTCAGAAATTGATGTGGCCGCCGATTACCTCTTCAAACTCCGACAAGCCATGCGGAATCAATTACAAAAGACATTGGGTGAGGTATTCAACCGAGAGGAGCGAAACATTAGGTACTACCTTACCGTGCCTGCCATCTGGAACGATGCTGGCAAGGCTGCGACCCGTGCAGCTGCCATCCAAGCCGGTTTCTTGCGTGACGAGAACGATAACAGACTTACGCTCATCACCGAACCCGAGGCTGCTGCTCTTTTCTGCTCCAAGGCTGGTCTTTTGAATCTAAAGGTGCATGATGCAGTGTTGATTGTCGATTGTGGTGGTGGAACCGTCGATCTGATTGCCTACGAGGTCGAAGAAGAGTCTCCTTTCACGGTCTCCGAGTGTACAGCAGGATCTGGTGATTCGTGTGGCTCAACAGCCCTGAACCGAAATTTCAGCAACATCCTCCGGACAAAGATCCGAAAGATGAAGCTTCCCGATGGATCCAAGACCGCAGGCAGGGTTTATGCTAAATGTATTATGGACTTTGAGAACAGGATCAAGGCCGATTTCCGGAATAACAACCAGAAGTGGGCGGTCGATGTTGGCATCGAGGCTGAGTTCCCGGAAGCTGGCATCGAAGAAGGATACATGACATTCACAAACGAGGAGATCTTACAGTGCTTTGAGCCCGTCGTCAACCGCATCTTAGAACTGGTACGAAATCAGATCATTGCCATTCAAGCGCAAAACCGCACGCTACAAAATGTCTTGGTCGTTGGTGGTTTTGGTGCTTCAGAATATCTCTTCCAACAGATCAAGCTCCACGTACCACCTCAATTCCAGGCCAAAGTTGTCAGACCCATGGACTCCGTTGCTGCTATCGTCAAGGGTGCGGTTACCGCAGGTATTACGGAGCGAGTCGTCACATCCCGTGTGGCCCGTAGACATTATCTAATGGCCACCCTTCAGCCTTTCAAGGAGGGCCATCACCCCGAGGCTTACCGTGTCCCGTCGTTGGACGGAAAGGATCGATGCAAATTCACTCGCCAAATATTTGTGCAAAAGGGTCAACGAGTCAAGATTGGAGAGCCTGTCAAGGTTTCCTTCTTCAGGCAAGTGGCTCCTGGTGCGACTTTGATGTACGAGGATATCTTGTATGCATGCGACGATGATGTTTGCCCAGAATATACGAAAGATCCCCGTAAGCCTCCTAATATCCCAGTACGTAAAAAGAGACTGGCACTAACAGTGTGATAGGCGTCAAGGAAGTCGTAACGCTCACGTCAGATCTTTCCCGCAAAAACCTTGAGAAGGATTTCGAGCGGATGGACACCCCGCAAGGCACATTCTACCGTGTGTACTTCGACATCTACCTAACGCTGGACGGATCTGAATTCAACGCCGAATTGGTATGCCAGGGCGAGGTTATGGGGCGCTGCACGTCGAGATTCAAATGAGCGGATTACAGATTTCGGACAAAGATATGAAAAAAGATACGAATTTCCTTCTTACATTCCCAAAGAATACCAACCTAAGCTTGAAGATGATACTGGGGGTGACAAATGCGAAGATGGACCATTGGAAAGGAGTTCTATGAGAATGGATTAGTTGATTTGATGCCGAGGGGACGACGCGTGGATATATGATCCCATTATAAAACTTGCGGGGATATCACTCGGACCATTACCAAGTATGAATCCGACTATTGTGGGTTTGATGTTTTAACGGAGCAGCCTTCTGTGCATGGTAATTAGCGGGCGAGCTTCATAGTTCTAGAAATACCTTTATAAATGTCCATTGTAGGTAGCAACCATCTTCAAATTCCGAACGATGTCAACCTATCATAGAATTTCGCGTTATGTTATGGGAGTACCTTTCTGTTAAGACTGATATAACCTCGAAAGTTGGTGACGTTGGAAATATAATATCGAGATGGGCTTTATAGCTGTTCTCGCCAGAGCAAAATGGAACACTTCAATGACTTATCTAACATCAAGTGTGAACCATAGTGGTTTAGATAGGTAAACATTATATACCTTATGTTCCATGTGGACATCCAGAATATGCCCACTTGGTTCTCGATACTGAGTTAGTTCATACGGTAAGTATTTACAAGATACTCTTCAAATATTTTGGCGCGTGTAACGCTCATACAGGGTATTCGTCCATGTAAGGATTTAAGTCAAAAGCCAGTAAGTTCGATCCGGAAACGTTTTGGAACCCCTACTCTTGATGTGCAAGCTCTAGTAGGTAGGAGTTTATGCAAAACGTGGAACCCACTAACTTCGCAGCAGCTATCCTCTTAGTATCGACTATGGGCGCTCTTTAGCACATTGCAAGCTTTTGTAAAATATGGTATGCAGCCGTGGGAAACGCTCCTTGGTGGCATATTACGGCAGGACTCTGTTATCACCTCTCTTTTCTATAGACGGTATTTACCTTCGTGGAGCTTTGGGCCCTTCAATAATATTATAATCTTTTAATTACGCAGCTGCTTTTTCTGTATACCAGCAGTGTCTCCATAGGTTTTCTTATTAGTCAATAGTTAAATTGGGCTGATTTTGACTGTTAAGATTGACACTGAGATCTTCGAGACACCTCCTATCAGATGCAGTGACAGTATACATAGGGGGTGCGAGCCATGAGGGAGGTATGGTGAGTAGACTTCATAGAGCCCATAAAACAAAGTGCTTGTTCCGTATCCAAATTCTATAAAGATTATATCATTGTATATTTCAAGGCTACGAAATACTATCAAGGTTATTGTCAGCGTCTGAATTGTCGATTTGATTAAGAAAGAAGAAGCTCAGCGTCTGTTCTCCAATTTGCCATCGTCTAATTCCCAGCTTTGGTCAGAGCCATATCCAACTGAGCGAAGGCCCAGAGGCGTTAAAAAAAATTACTCGGTTACTCTGAGTAAAATAAATAGAGTAATAGTCGTTACTCTTGCTCTACCTACTAATTTTAAACACTGAGCGGAGAAGAAATGTAGAAGAGGGAAAAGGCGAGCGAATCCCCCTATACAGAAGGGCGCGGGTCCCTGTCTCAGATGATCGACCGCTGCGCTTCCGGCCCGCGTAGGGGCGTTTTTCCCACCTCCAACTATGTAGGCGACCACTGCCAAATATGTTTCTATTTCTATTTTCGTGCTCATTCTCTCCCTCAATTTCATCTTGGTCTTTAATTCTCCCTGCCTTCCGGCTTTCTCTGTGGTGCGCCGGGATCCGTTCAAACCGGCTTTTGTCAGGATCGCCATTGCCAACCCCGGGAAGGCATGAAGCGGTTGGGCATTGGTTGACAACCACGAGCCGGGGAAGTTATCCCAGGTGCCCAGTTTGTCGCCAGCATCAGCCTTCTGGCATACAAGGTACGAAGTACGTCATTTGGATACCAGACGCAGGACGAGATGATCTGTGGCGCGATGCCCGGCCTTGACATTTTAGTAAGGGGTTTGAGACGTTGAGTGCAAGACATGTTATCGTAATCTTCCTTATATTTCCTGCGTAATGCTATTCCAAACTACAACCAAAGTTATTTGTTACAAATTTCTCTATTATATCTCCTCCTGCTAGGTCAGTTCCTCTTTCCTTCTCGAGGGGCGATTCTCGATATAGTACCCCATGAGAACTATGAAGCCCTTGCATTGGGCGGGCGTAGACTATTCACTTTTGCAAATACTACTTGCGGCACTCCTACTCTGTTCCCGACCTTTTGCAGTCGCCGACAAGAATGACGCTCTTCATCGACCTCGAAGAAATAGTTCACCGACGAAAAGAGCAGGCTCGATACCTCTCCTTATCACCAACAGATGCGGCGAGACGTTATGGCCCGGGATTGAAACACAGGAGGGTACGGCACCGGAAGAAGGAGGATTTGAATTGGCGGCCGGGAAGAGTAAGAACTTAACTGTGGGTGGGGATTGGCAGGGTAGAATTTGGGGAAGGACGAACTGCAGTTTCAACGCTGATGGAACGGCCAGTTCCAAAGGAGATAATACTGCTGCTTGTGATTCTGGAGACTGTGGTGGAGTTCTAAACTGTGTTGTCACAGTGAGTACCACAGCAAGAGCGCTGCCGAATAGTTTTCACTAATTGGATATTATAGGGAAGCACGCCCGTCACACTCGCCGAGTTCGACTTATCTGGTGGTGTCAATAAGAACCAGACTTTCTACGACATATCCCTCGTCGACGGTTACAACTTGCCGTTGAGCATCATTTATTTGCCCGGAGATAATCCAAAGCTTCAAGACATCCCTCCAAATCTCACCAACCCTGCCTGTATCGCCACAGCCGGCCACCTCGCTGATCCTGCACCCTCAGGCTGGAATGGCGGTGCCTCAAATTCATCCTACCCTATTCCCTACGAAGACTCGATGTCATCCACCGACGTGGCAAAATGGTGTCCATGGCCTCTCCAAGTCAAGCAGCCCACCAAACCAGGAGCTGGCATCTACCCCTATCCTGACGACCATATTGAACGTCCAATCTTCGACCCCTGCCTCTCAGGCTGCGCGAAGACAAATTCTCCTGAAGACTGCTGCACCGGAAAGTACAAAGACCCGAACAAGTGCAAACCTAATCTCTTCGCCAAGGCAGCCAAAGCAGTCTGTCCAGATGCTTATAGTTACGCCTTTGACGACCAGACCAGCACATTTATTATTCCCAATGGCGGGGGATGGGAGATTAGGTTTTGCCCTGAGGGGAGAAGCACGAATATTTTGAAGACGTTTAGTACTCAGTTGCATGAGTTGAATGCGGCGGGTGGGGCTACTAAGAGTATTCAGGAGGCTTGTAGGAATAGGACGTTGATAAGGGAAGCTGGGAGGAGTGGTGCGGGGAGAACGAGGGATGGCTTGAGAGGTATGAGTGGGAATTTGGTGGCCCTGTTGATGGTTGTTTCTTGGATTGGTTTTATATTCTATTAAAAAGGCTGTCTGTGTTGGAATACGACCATGGTGGTTATCAAGGGGCTTGGGATAGTTTAATTAAAGCGACATCGAAGGAGGGGACCACAGCAAGAGCAGCGGAAGGAGTTGGCGGATGGGGATTTGATTTTTCTAGCCATTTAAGATACCCAAATTTTACGCCTGGTTCACTGTATTCCGGAAATATCTAAGTCCTCATAATACATTTTGTTAAGACCAGAGAGGGAGAGCAAAACTGAACGGTGCCAATTATCAACCACTGTAAAATAAGCAAGTCCCATACAGTACTTCGTAGATCAAGTCTCCTCCGGATTGACAAATATTAGCTAGGGTATTCTTTAATCTTCTACAGCCGCCATAGCGATCTCGAAATCCGTCCGTAGGCAAGCGTCGCAAAAGATAGAACATAGGACCAAACAAAGAAATGTATCGCGCTGCACCATTAATTTTCATCTACACCATTCGCTTGCTTGATTCGTTCATTCATTCTCTATCTATCTATCCATCCTTCGTTCTATGACTTAACATCATATCTCTAATACATGCAATGCAACGACAAATAAAGAGACAACCCAGAAACTGCAAATCGAATAGGGAGACTAGCCTCGCTATGCAAGCAGGAACAACCGAATATCCAGGAATGTGTTAAGTGCTTGTCGTCATCATGCCCTAGCTGGCCCCCTAGGTTCGTGGATAAGGGAGCTGCCGGTAGGGTTTCTCTCAGCTAGAGCCTCCGTTTTCTGGCATTCTAGAGCCAGTTGTTCGTTAAGAAGGAGGATGTTAGGGCAAAGCTGAAAGAAGGGGGAGAGAATCTCAGGAAGTAGGTTAACGTTTCTGCTTTTGCTTCGCCATCCGGTACTCCTCGGCATCAAAATCACTATCGCTTCCACTCCCTACATCGTCCTCATCCCCTGGCTCTGGTTCCTCATCCTCGACGATATAATCCCCTTGATTCTGCACAATATCCATAGCATCATTGAGTTGATTTCTCAACTTAACATTCGTTGGATCGCAGAGCTGGGCGGCGGTTAGGTGGGCCTTGTTCCTAATTCGAGGGTCAGAACCGGCATCTATCATCATCGCTATGAGTTCTGAGCCGAATTCGATGTTATGTGAGGAGAGGGGTTGGGGTAGGTTGTTTATAAAGCGGACGGCGCTGTGGAGTGGGGTGTCGCCTTCGAGACGGTTTATCGGGTCACATTCGAAGCCCTCTTGGTCGAGGAGGAGGTCGATTACTTCGTCTGCGAGAGATAGATAGTCAGTTAGAGTTCTATTATCCTTTGGTTTCCACGGGAGTGTATCGGTTTGCTCCCATCCTCGTAAGCAACGAGAAGGAGGTGGGGTTATGGATAGAGGGGTATATTGAAGGCTTACAATTTCCAAACAAGGCAGCTTCGTGGTATAAATGATTGCCCAGCACCGACTTTGTCTCATTTAGTAGGATTGCCACCTTCTCCGGATCACCGGTGCTGTCAATGATTTCTTGGAGGAGTTCCGTATTATTTCTACGGCAGGCTTCGATAAGTCGCTCGCCCGGGGTTGCGCCCTATGTCATTGAATATTAGAAGCTGTAGGTTTCAAATTGTAGCAGAAATAGGGCAGATAAGGCTGCGGAAGCCGCGTGTGCTGTAGAGGTTTGGGGAGAGTGGTTGCTGAGGCAGACTTACTGCAGTGTCCACGTCCTGGTCTGGACGATCTCTGGGGTCCGCCATGTTGTATTATATACCGCTTCCTACGCCAACGCCTGGATGTGCTGCGTCTCTGCTCTGGAACACAACCGACCTATACATCATCTTAGCACTGGTGTTTCGAGGATGGCGGTGTTGGGAGACGGAGGGGTAATCGCGAGGAGTTGCGGTGGGGAACCAACCGTCACAATCGTCTACACAGTCCACGAGCAATCAAAATTGTTCTAGAGAGTCAAGAATGGGTACACGGTCGGGGTTGAAAGAGGAAGAAGAATTGAGGAGAGTTGATGAAGTTAGAAGTTGGAAGCGCTTGTATTATTATTAGCATTGTTTGATATCGCTTCAGCCTTCAAGCTCGCGACGGGCCAATCACGATTGCGCATAGCGGGCAGTGCCATCGGACTTTCCTAGCGCCGGTGAGGCTACAATATAGCACCGTATTAAAAGTTTTGGGACTCGCCTCGCTCTATCTCGATACCTCTAAGGCTGTTATTAGATACATATCGCAGATAACCATACTACGGCCCAAATGTTGCTCTGTAAGTTCTATACCTACTCCTATTTGCCCACCCCCACGAAATATCTATGTCTCTAACCTCCCTCCCTTATCGCCAGTCTGCCCCTCCTGCAGCAATGTCCTCACAGTGTCCCCCGTCCCCGCCCTCGCAGCCACCGGCGATGATCCAGAAGGCGACAACCGCCTAGAATGCCGGACATGTCCTTACCAATACGTGCTGAAAAAGCGATACTACGAGCGGAAGGTTTTCACGCGGGCGGAGCGGGAGGATGTCTTTGGTGGACCGGGCGCATGGGATAATGCGCAGAAGGCACACACGCAGTGTCCGGCCGATGGATGCGATGGCACAGAGGCGGCGTTCTTCCAGGTGCAGATTAGGAGTGCTGATGAGCCGATGACTTCGTTTTTCAAGGTGAGTCCTAGGTGTTGGGGAGGGAGAGGGCAGTAGGGCGCGATAGTGACTAACAGCTTGGTAGTGTATGGCCTGTGGGAACCGGTGGAGAGAGAATTGATCGAACATTGCTCGGGAGAGATATGGATCGAAATCAGAGGAGATACATGGTCTTGATACGGAGGGGAACTCTTGGTTTTGCTTGCATTTCAGCGTGGCGTACGGAATGACCATTGATTAGATGCCGTGTGGCATATCACAGTAGACTTGGAGGCATACTTCATTGCGGTAGACGAGGAATACAGGATCTTAAGAAGTACAAAGGATCGATTTCTAGGTCTGTAGAATGCTTTCCCTCTCCCAATAATGCTCCTTGCACCACCAAACGCCTGGTATCGTCCCAATCCCAATCCCAATCCCTCCCAATACCTGGAGGGGCAATGATGCCGTCGCTTTTGATCCTTCGCCAGACCGTATGCTCTCGAACCTCTAACTGCTCGGCCATTCGGCAGCACTCTTCGCTCCCTCGTCCATCAGCCGAGCCACTACATCTGGGCTCAAGATATCCGCCCTGAACCTCTCCTGCTGCAGGAGCTCCAGGTTCTTCAGTGTAGGTCCCGGGTATGTCAGATATTTGGTGTAAGCAGGCTGTGCCCAGTACTGCAAGTATGAGAGGTAGGCAATGAAGGGCGGGGATTCGAGGTATTTGAGGGATGCGAGGTGGTTGAGGTAGAGAGGAGAGGCGAGGGATTGCACAAACTGGTTGCGGAGATTAGTCTGGGGACGAACAGAACAGCAACGATTGAAGGGGAACCGAGATGTTTCTTTTATACCTCCAGCTCAATCTCAAAGCGTGTGAACCCCCCGAATTTTGGCTCCTCAGAGGGCATTGCAGGTGGGGTTTCTTGGGCTGTCGTAGACATGGCGAGATCAGGTTGGGGGATGGTCGCCATCGCCATCGCCATCGTCCTCGTCTTAGGTACAAAAGAAACAAAGGCTTAGACACGGCGCGGGCCAACAAATAAGCTTCAAATCGAGGTCGAGGCTGGATCCTTTGGACTGCGTTCAACTACTCCGTACTACGTGGACAAGGCTGAGATCTAGCTACGGTCAGAACCACAGTAGTGTATGTAAACAAGCTGGGTGGTGGGTGGCAGACAGGTGAAATGTTGGTGGATGCTTAGTAATTCCCCGCAAGGCCTGTGCGAGCTGGTGCAAATTTGGATGGTACTTGTACTTCCCCGACCAGCCTATGCAGAGACAGACAGAGGGGGGTTTTGAAGAGCTGCTACAGTAGGAGGGTTTATACGCTGTACACACAACTACAGTGCAGTACAGTACAGGATACAAGAAAGATAAAGATAAAGAGAAAGGGCACGGCGACGACGTCGCTGTTAAGTTTGCTTGCATTAAAGATCTCATCTCTCCTTGCCGGTCCCTGCAGGGCGACTGAACACCATCGCCAATCCAATCCGACTGAGCCCTGGCGCCAGGTGAGATGGAGCCTAGCTTGGCAACCCCGCCGACAGGAATGTTGATTGCCGGTACGGAGTGCGAAGTACTGTACTGTACTGTACTGTATTTCGAATTCAAAATAATATAATTCAAATCGAGGTCCACCAACAGCAATACGCATTGAGCCAATAATGGATCTGCTTCTCGGGCACGGTATCACCTGGCTCTAAAGGGCTACAGTTGCGCCCGACGCAGGATTCGCAAATGCACCGGCAGAGATACGACGTGTTATCGGTGTACTGTACGTAGGTATGTATGTAGTAGGTACGTCGTATTGCATAGGTCGACGGAGGATATCACCAGGGATCACAAGTCCCTGCACCGACGAATTTATGTCCATGTCCATGTCCATGTCCAGTCTGTTCCAACCTCCTGGTAGAACAGAGATACCTGATGGTACAGTACAGTACGGTACAGTACAATACAATACCACCTACCCCTAGGTAAGGTAGGTAAGGTAGGTACTGGAGCAACTCGGTGCCAACTTGCAAATACTCAGACTCTTATTATTACCAAGTAATAATGCGGATAGAGGAGAGACAGAAGAACCCCCCCCCATCTCCTCTCCTCTTCGGCACTGCACCCGAGGAGTACCCGGACGGAACCCCTTTCCCACTTTCCCCATTTCCCCCTTTCCCCCTTTCCCCCTTTCCCCCCTTTTGCCGCTCGCTTTTGCCTTTCGCCCTTTGCACTTTGACGATCCTGACCCTAAACGCTACCTCTGTCCTGTAGTTGAGTGCCCCGTAGGAGCATGGTAATGGTTACTAGTACCCTAGACTCCAGACTCTAACTTATTAGAAAGTAGTACCCCCTTTCCCTTTCCCCCTTCTCTTTGCCCCTTGCCCCTTGCCTTCGGTCGCTTGTCGCTAGCGGTCCCCTCTCCCACCATCGTGCTGGGAGTAGGACGGAACTACGAGGCAGTATTTGGCAGTCCAGTCTCGCAGTCTCGCAGTCTCGCAGTCTAGCACTTCTAGCTCTTCTAGCACCCTCTCACCGACAAACCCAAACCCCAACTCCATAACCCTCCGCCCACTCCAACTCCAACTCCAACTCCAACGCCAACTCCACCTCGACCTCGAACCCGGACTTGAACTTGAACTTAAACCTCTCATCTCTTAACCCCTCGACCTCAACTCCCAACTCCATTCCCATCTCGACCTGCGCCGTTGCGCGCACGCGTACGCACCCTGTGCCTCTTCACTTGGAGACCTACCACATCTCCCCATCCCACCCGATCTTTATCTCCCTCCATCTGCATCTGCAACGGTACAACTGGGGGGACTCTCCATTCCCTCTTGTCCTCTCACGTTCACGTTCACGTTCACCTCACCTCACCTCTCCTCTCCACTCTCCCTCCTGTCCGACCCCTTCCCACAGACACGCCGGCGCGCCGTGTCCTGATCACATACTAGCACCGCGATCATTAAAGTGCGACGGCCATCAGGAGGTTTAATCCCAGAATCCCAGGCCAAAAGCTGCTCGCCAACATGTCGCTCACCCAACCAGAGCAAACAGGTCAGTCTCTCCTTGTCCCTCCGAACCACACCCCAACCCCAATCTGCGCATGTCGGACGTGGTGCTTCGACACGACACGGCGACAACCTCCCAGCTGGCACTTGTTACACCACAGAGCAAGCTCCATCTCCACTTATCAGGGCGAAGACGTGCCAAGTTGGCCATCCCTCTGTTTCAGACCAGCTTTTGGCCCCAATTCTCCCCCGTCATAGGCATTCCAGGTCTCCCTGCATGAACCCGCTTGCTAACGAGAACCTGTTTGTGCAAATAGACGTCGGTCGTCGTCCCTCTGTCGGGCTCACCCTCAATCTCTCTTCCAACAACCCTTTCCGCAATCGCGCCGCCTCACCCGCTTTGTCGACTTCTCCCCTCTCGCCGTTCGCTCCCCCCCCTAGACCAGTATCGCGAAACCCGTTTCTCGACGCTTCTCCTACAAATATTCCACCAGTCGTCGGATCGCCGGACAAGATGTCTCCTAGAACAACTACTGCGCCCAAGCCAGCCTTGACTGGAAACGCTGCTGAGCTATTTGTACGCACCCCCCCAAACCCCTTTCTCCCAACTCCCAGAGAGCCTTTTTCCCCCAATCGCTCTATGAATCCATTGAGCAACCCCACTGTTTGTTATATATTATTGGAGTTTCGCGACCAGAAGCATCTCACTTAGAAATCAATCACTCATTGGGACTCTAGGACAATCTTACCCTTAACGATCGGCCACCTGCTAGCAACAATACAACACGTCAACCACCAAATCGATCAAATTCCGGCGACAAGCCGCCACCATACTCCTCCGTCGCCAGAGGACGGGGCGAGAATGTACCGCCTCGAGGCCACCCCTCCCACAGACCATCCCAGTCCCAAGAAGAAGCATTGCGAGCTCGCAAGCCTGGAGGATCTAGCAGACCTCGCCCTGCTGATGAGTTGGACATCTTCGCTGACCCGCCGGAATCATCCTCTTCTCGAAAGCCGGAATCTCGACGTCCACGACGGAACTCGGACTCGTCGGTGGTATCGCGCAGTTCAAAATCGGTCGATCCCGAGGAGGAGAAAAAGCGTGCCGAAAGACGACGCCGGGAACGTCGACATCGGGAAGGGAAATCCTCATCAAAGACTAGAAGACCAGACCGAAAGCTAGATATCATCGATAAATTGGATGTTACTAGTATCTATGGCCCGGGATGTGAGTATGGAGTGACTGGGTTATGATTTCATTGCTGACATGAACAGTGTTCCATCATGACGGTCCATTTGACGCTTGTAACCCCCACCGAAACCGACAAGGAAGCCGACGGGCGCCGATGCAAGCCTTTCCAAAGGATTCTCTGAACAACGTATTAGGGGGCAGCGGGCCCTTGAACAAGAGACCTGACCACGCAACATTTCTCGGCAATAATGACGAGGAGGCCTTTAGAGATTACAGCGGTGGAAAGAATGGCTTTGAGCCTGCCGATGGGGCGCGGCCAAACGCTCGTCGACAAGACTCGAATGTTGTCCACGCCACTACACGCGTCGAACCTATCCATGGAGAGGAAACACTCGGTCTAGGCACGTCCACTTTCTTGGAAGGTGCCCCTGCTTCCAGAACCGCGATGCAGCGCCGAGAGAGCGAACATACGGCTCCAATAGATGGTGGCGGCCTATCGAGGAAGAAGTCACTGGCACAGAGAATCAAAAGCATCAACAGCACTAGACGTGATTATGGCCCGTCCGGCCGAATGACTAGCCCAGACGGCATCATTTCCTCGAAGTCTCCAGAGAGCGCAACCTTCACCCCAAGCGGAGGCAAGATCCATGAGTCGAACCCTTTCTTTGACGAGTTTACCAAAGGCGACGATAGCAGGAAAGAAAGCATTACCATAGTCGAACCGGACAAGATAGGTCGAGCACGAGCTCCAAGCAGTCCACGTCGGGGATTTCCTGGTTTGGAGAGACGGGTTACTAGCGATGGTAGTACTGGTGCTGAGCCGCCCGCCAAGGTTGGGGGTGGTTTCCTTTCCCGTGTGAAGAGCTTGAAAGGTGGACCGAGGAAGGGGAAGTCGGTTCCAGAGCCCTAGGTTCAGACCAGAGACACCAAAAACATATACCCGGGGGAGAAGATAAGCTCATGCCAGCAGGTTATCTCGGCGTTCTTTTGCATTTCATTCTGAGTTTCTACGACCTACACGTTTCTACGGGCACTCGGCCACTTGCTGATGAGCACGTCCAAGCATGACGCTGCCTGGGCTCGTGCAGACGGGCTCTGTACTTTTCCTTTTTTTTATTTAGATGAAGCCTTTTGCCCTGGGCCAATCTCTATTATTGCACAATAGCATAATATGCGTCAACGGTACAATGGGGATGTATTGGGTGCCGGCGATGGATGGATACTTGCGGTTTAGCCAATACTTGATTTGAGCTGGGTGGAAGTTATAACACGCCGGACCGATAGTTGCACACATGGATCATTTGCTTAGGTAAATCAGAGGAAGCCTAGGTAGTCTTCGTTCTGTTCGTAGCGGAGTCTTAGGTGGAGGGGATGAAGTGTCCGGGGTAGTATAACTTGAAGGGCGAGAAATAAATTACTTTGATACCCATTGCTGTTCGTTCGACCTCGGGTTTATCTCTGTTGTGAACGTGAGCAAGGGAACGTCACCCGAGTGATAGGTAAAGGGACAGGGAACTACTGTAGCTCATGCTAAGCTTCTAGGGTGAAGGTCAAGGTCTGAAGCTTTTACAATTCGCTGCATGTCGTACTTTATGCCTAGTTGACCAGAAATACTTCGCTCTGACCTACAGCAAATATATGGATGGTGGCGTGCCTTATAAGTTAAAGGGGCCACGCTGGTTCTAGTCACAGAATCAATGCCACGTGACCCAACCTCCACCTAAGGTACCTTATGCCTACAAATATTCCGCTCTCGTACAACTACTTATCCAGCAAACCTCTCTTTACAGTGTCTCAAAATTTCAAGGGTTTCTACACTCATTCGCCATGTTATGACACCTGTCGCACCTAAAACCCCATCTCTGTGCTCTTCAACAACCTGATATCCGAGATGCGAGCAGCAGCAGATGATGATATGGCCACAACCGAACCAGCGCAGCCTATCACGGCTGATAAACTCCTTGCTTTGGAGATTGAACAAGCAGCGAAATTTGATCGGAGGAGGGCCAGTACCGCATGTCAGAGTTTAGACGACCTGCTTAGAGGAAACGGAGAGGAGGGACTCGAAAGGGGGGTTGTTGTGGGAGTTAGTGCGGAGGGGAGGGAAGGAGAGGGTGTCTTGGTTAGTTCGCTCGTAAACTTTGGAGTTTCTTGTGCGTGGTTTTTTTGGGCTGCTCTTGATTATTTCGTTCTTGGGGGTGTCTTGAGTTCAAGGGGGCTTTTACTCGAGGTGCGTAGAGGGTCGGCCTTGAAAGGGGGACTTGCACGCTGTCGAAGTCGACGGTGGAGAAGCAAACTGGAGGGCCTCGTTTGCCTCTGGTTTTTGAGTCTTCATACTGTATGCCTCTTTTATTTCTTGAACAAATCTTTGTCCTGCTCCATACCTGTCCAGCCCCCTCTTCCTATTATTTCTCACCACTCCTTCTCCTATCATAGCTAACCGTTTGCTTCATCTTAAGATGTCATTCCACCTCCTTGCCTCCTTTTTAATTCCTCATCTATCATCATTAAACACCGCAATTGAAAACCCCAAACCAAAGCCAAAACCAAAAGCTGCAATAATCGACACCACCGGCTCCTTCCCACTCCCTCTCCTCGCGAAAGTGTTGAAATCACGGATCCTTGAAGATCGCTCCGTGGACGGAGTCAACGATGATAGGCGAGGGGGAAATGCCCTGGAAGAAGCAGTACAGCTATGCCTTGAGATGGTTACTATTAGTCGGGTTTTTGACGTGGAGGGTCTCTTAGAAGTTTTAGATGAGATTGAACGAGGCAATCAACCAAACGGAGTTTACGAAGCTACCAGCCAGGAGCAGCCGGGGAGATCTCTAGAGATATCCGACAGCCAAGATGAAAGCCTTAGCCCTGCAGCTACATCGCCACGACGAACCACCCCCTCGACAGGAGAAGGAAGTATAGAGGTTATCATTGTGGATAACATGACTCAAATCATCAATGAGTTATTCCCCAGACGAGAAAAATCAAACGGTTCGTCTTCCTTTCCCTTCGTAAACTCCAAACAATATTCTTATGAAATAACGATGATTAGTATATACCCTTCTCGATTCACTCTCCCTAGCTCTCCACACCCTATCTCGAAAACAAAACATATTAACGCTTCTCCACAACTCCGCCGTCGATATCAACTCCTACCACCCTCAACACCAGAAGCCACAGGCCAATAAAAACCCCCTGCCACCACCACCCACACCCTCGGTATTCCGATCTAATCCCCGTAAACCAGCCCTTGGGAAGCTCTTTGAGCAATTCCCGCAACTCCACATTTTCATCTCCGCTTTGCCTATGAGGAGGCGGGACGCGGAGATTCTCTATGGTGGTGAAAAAGATGAGGAGGATGTGAGGCTATGTTGGGTGATTGAGGTTTTGAAGGATGAGTGCCCGAAACTAAACCTCCTTGGCATGGGGAATAAAAAAGCTACGGGGAGGGGCGACGAGTTTGGTGGCAGGGAGGGCATGTGGATGCCGGTAGATATTGCGGGTGGGGTAAGATTTGTACCTGCGTTTGCGGAGGGAGGAGGGCTGGGTGCGTGAGGCTTTGGAAAAAAGCTTATCTTACTTTAGCGGATGGGGAGATGTTTTTTTTATTTTAAATATACCCTTCCTTCGGGGTGGGGGTAAGTAATGTGGGGGGAGGGGGGGGCAATACAGGGATAGAAGTAAGTAGATGGGAGTTCCCGAGAAACTCCCTTCTTACACTTTGAGAGTGGCGGAAAAGGAGCTATCCCAGCTAGGCGCCACATCGTGGTAGGAGTGGAATAACGCCATGAGTATGCGGAAAATGTCATTATACAACGAATACACAACACCATGAAGAGTATATGTATGTATTTTTTAGTTCTCTGTGCGAGAACATATCAAACGACATGATTTCCACGGGCAGCGCTAGACCCCCAAACCCCCTAGCATCTATCATATACCGATATCAGGTTCACAGAAATTCATAGTAATATTTTACATAAAAGCATGCCATGAGAATAGCGCAGAGGATATCTATAGTTTTGGTTTCCTCTCTAAGTGTAAAAGTGCAAACAAGCAATTTAGTTTCCCTTGTGTATGTTAAAATCCCCAGAACGCCTTGCTAACGCTAACCATTCTAACGGGTGCCTGGCTCCCATGTTGAGCCGTGGCCCCATTGTACTATTGATACAAGAACGCCCTATGAAATGGCAGAAAAAGAGATATGGTGGATGAGCAGAACTATACTGCTGCCCACTCGACGACTTGGAGAGCACACATTACGAGAATGAGCGTCGAGGGAAGAATCCTTCGCAAGCATTAGCAGAGGTTTAAAGAGACGGAGAGGATCAATATGGGAGAACAGAGACATACCAGATAACGTAACTCTGGAAGAGCAGTTTACTCATCACTCCCTCATACACCCCATTGATCTGGCATATCTGTGCCAGCTGTAACGCACTGGGCGCGCCGGTCAACAAAAAGCACACGATGACGAAGATAGGATCCCCAAGTATGCTAATAGGCACGAACTTGGCCATGAGCGCAAGCAAAGGCGCCATAATGATGGTAGGCAAGAGCATACGGGAGATGAGAGAGGCAACGAGAAGCTTCGTCCCGATTTTATTCTCTTCCGAATTCTCGTCAAGTGCTTCCCTAGACTGCGTGTTGCGGGCCAAGTTGGCTCCTAAGACTACCAAGATCAAAGGTACAGCCACGCCACCTGATTGCGAAACAGCCCTAGTAACAGAGTTTGCGATGAACGAACCTTCCTGGAAGAAAAGACGTTGAAGCTGGGGGACCGATGCAACGATCGTTGCAAGGAGCATCGCCCAAAGAGGAGGATTCATGAATTCCCATAGACCAAGGAAAAAGCGACCTAGTAGATTTGAAGCTTTCGAAAGGACGTGTTGTAGGGGATTTGGAAGGGCGTGGAAAACTCTGTCGGAAGCTTCCCTGGTTTTGAGGGACACATAGTGGGCTACACGTCGGGTGTGAAGACGCACGGAGGGGATAATGCCTTTAATGCCACTTGGGATTTCTTGTTCGTCTGGAGATACTGTGCGGATGCTTGGGAATGAAGTTATATGGCCATTGGTGAACGCATCGTAGAAAGGATTGCCTTTGGTAGGGGCGACAATACTAGGCTTTTTCTTCGAATCTTCATCGTCATCGTCATCTGAATCGAAGGATCCAGCATACTGAGCATAATGAACCGGGGTTCTGCCTCCTGAATCGAATGAGGTGGTGGATGAGCATCCGTTTAGCGGTTGGTCAGATCCATCATCCTCATTGCCGTCCAAGCCAATAATCAGGTCTCCGGTCGGGTCATCTCTATATCGTCCCTCTTCGACGTCGGGCGTCTCGCTTGATTCATACTTCTCAGCTGGCGCCAGTAAAACGTGATATCCCCAGCTCCACCTCACGAGTTGGCCCAGCTGCTGGAAAATCAAAAGGTACAGGATACCTCGAGCCGACACTTCGTCGTCATTATCACCGGGTATCTTATCCCAGTGTAGTCCCTTCAATGTTTGTGATAGCGATATGACAAGTGATATCGGAAGCGAGTTCGAGTTGCCAAATACCTACTGTTGTTAGCGGCCTCCAAATTAAAGCTTGGCACAATTGACTTACTCCCATGGCGGTGACAAAATTCGTCGGCCTCTTCTTGAGTTTGAAAGCCTTCGAGACCAATATGGACACCAGATACGAAACTAATGTTTGTACCACGAAGATGACGGGAATGATGGCCAAGTCCAACAGCTTATCCGCGTTTAATTGAGATGCCAATTTCGTGAAGACTACGGGCACCCAAAGTTAGTAAACATTTTCTCGTCCATTGCAAAACGATCGTTGAACAACGTACTAAGGCAAGGTGTGAATAACGCCACATTCAGATTGGCGGCGAATTTCTGGTTCTCGGCATCGAACATGCCCTGTCTCGCGATGATATACCCAGGCAAGCTCACGCACACCACCTCCATCACCGCCTCGAAGACCAGGAGGATAAGACGGCCAAGATCGGGGTGGGCGTCGTGGGTATTGGCGCGGGAGCCAAGGAATGCGAAGCTCCCGAACGCCGTGAGGCTGTTTGTGCCTGCGGCGATCGACGGATGGCCATTGTTACTGCTTCCTGCGATAGCAGCATTGAGGCGATAAGATGTGGGCGTGCTTAGAAGATTGCCAGCCCAGCCCATAGCCATGACAGATGATCGGAGAGGAGAGGAGTTTGCGGCCCTCTACCGCTGCGATGTTTGGTCTCGGACGTCGGGATAGGGTGAGTATAGGTAGGTACCTTAGGTAGTACGGGATGGCGACAGAGTGATGATGGAGGCGAATTGCAGAAGCCCTTCTCAAAATCGAAAAAAAGAGCACTTGTCTTTGAGAAGATGAGGTTCCAAGGGGACTGCAGGCAGAATTGTATTATGCAGTCAGTGGTGATGGCGATGGTGATGGTGAAGGAGAAGGAGATGGCGATGGGCGATGGCGATGTGGCGATGGCTGGTGGGTGTTTGCGATAAGGAGAGAGTACCAGCTCAGCACAGCAACAGCAACAGCAACAGCTACCTACCTGGGGCTATGTACAGCGTAAGGCACCCGGGAGGTCAAGTAGTACTGGAACAGGCACAAAGAATCCACTGTCGCACCGCTGTGTTACAGTCGTAAGGTTGTTAATAATGACGTGATTACGTATTGATACATACGTAGTACCTTGGAGCACCTCGCTGCCGGTTTACTACTTAAAGGTACCTACAGTACCTACTACCTACCTGAGGTACACTGCCTAGGTACCTTGTGCACTTAGGCCCCCTACTAATACTGAGTGAGCATGATAGAGGTGCCTTATAACTTTGTACGCGGTCTTCGTAAAGGCGTACAGTACACCTACTTGGTACCACCGCAGCATGATACTTCACCTCATTACTGCGTAAGTATTACATAGGTACTGTCTAGTACCAGGTACGGTACCTGTCTGGATCCGAGAGTTCGGTCGGCGAGGATGATTGCTGGCAACGCGTGGCTGGCTGTGATGGGTGCCGTGGAAGGTGCCGTGAAACAGCAACCGGTCGTACAGAGTGTGTACGAAGGACATGTATTGCGTGCGTCCTGCGCGCAGCACCAGAGATGTTACCACATGGGGAAGAACTGCAAGTTGACTGGCTCGACTCCGCCTCCTCGATAGGGGATCTGGGTCATCTAGGGAGCCTGGCCAATCTAGCCGTAATACCTTATCGGTGCTGTGGCGTGCTACGAGTACGAAGTACCGCTACTGTAGTGAAAAGAGCACCGACGATCAATAGTTCTTAGTTCACTGGATGGACGGAGGACGGTACCGAGTGACTTAAGGTAGAGAATAACGCAAGTGCACACTTGTAGGTACATGTGCCTACCTCGGTATCTTTTGCAATGTCTTTATCGTCAACTTCGATTAGGAGTACGAAGTAGTCATGAATATACTTCGCGCTTCGCAGAATGGTGATGAATAGGAGGTAGCTGACGTCATAGAGGAGAGCTGTCTACCGGTACTTTTTCTCTAGAAGGGTTGGCGGCGAGGAAATATGCATGCAGCATTTCCTGTACTTCGTAGGCTTATTATTCACCCTCCGGTCTATATAGTACTTATATACCTAAGGTACCTAGGTATCTACTCACCAAAATATCTAGAGCTGGAGAAGGATGCCCGAGTAGTCGGCAGAATTACGCGTCCAATGGATCTGTGGCTGGCTTTGCATCTGCGAGTATAGATAGCAACGGAGAAAATCCCTTGGCCCGTACCGGGAGGAATATATTTGCAATTTCATGGAACTATTGGTAGGAACTATTGGTACAGTAGGAAGTGGTGCAGCCTGCTACTGCACATTTGCCACACTGGCCCTGACTTATGCACAGGAGTTACGGAGGTAGAGCAGCTGTAGCGCCTACAGGCTCCAGCTACAGGCTCCGGCCTACCGGCGGTGGGCTACAGGCGTTGCCGCCTACTACCCCCTATGCCCTTTGCCCTACAAGGCCTTCCAGGAGCCACACTCGCAAGCCCACAGTCCACAGTCCACAGTCCACTTCACGCTTTACGCTTTACGGAGCGCTCCAGTGCTCCAATGCTCCCCCAACCACAATGTCAACGTCATCGCACAGCCACCATCCAGAGCCCCTCCATCTCCAACAGCTTCTCCTACTGCTACCCAGCATAAGAATCAATAATAAAGAAGCATTTGAAAGCCCCAATTCTCGTCTCGCTGCAGATCAACGCTCGAGCCAGGACCCGTCCCTTCTTGTCGCCACCACCGAGGCAATTCGCTGTTGCCGCAGCGCCGGGACGGGGACGGGGAAACGGGGAGGCGGGGACACTCCGCGTACCAAGGACGAGTACCCAAGTAAGTACTGTCACTATTGTACTCTCCGTGCCAAAAGTACTGTACCAACCTTAAGGAGGTACAGGCTCCAGAGGTACTACTGCTGTACAGTATCGAATCTGATTCATTTTGTCTCAGCACCGAACAGAGCGGGAAAAAGATTCGGTTTCAGCTTCTTAGGGAGCTTCTGCCAAAAGGCCAACTCCTGCCGTATTCCCTACCCGCTGCTCTCGCCACTGCAAGGAACTCAATTCTCCTCTGCTCGGGCGCTATTATTATTGTTAGGCTTGAACTGGGCATGAAATCGCTCAGTACTGGCTCTCGTTGCACCGCCTCAGGTACCGAGCCGGACCGTCGCCTTGTTAGCACCGCATCGTCAGCAACGAGCGAAACGACCAGTCCACAATTTCTTCGCTTTGCTTCGCAACGCCCCTCGGTCTCCTCCGTAGCCCCAATTAAAGAAATCGACATCTTCCCACAAGGTGCCCTCAAACCCCCCGCGGGCCTCGTCTGGTCTACCAAACCATCTGCAAAGGTGCGCCGGAAGCTGCGGCCTCGATACCAATACAACCCAAGGGAACTCACGTACGTCCCACCCCCTCCAGACTCCTCGGCGCGAAGATATATTCGTTCAACAACCCATATGCTCACATCACACGGTGCAGAGATACTGCCCGGCCGTGACCCTCTCCCCCCCCAACGGCTTCCACCTTTCCCCCGAGACTCATGCCCCGAAGATAGATTATACCAGCAGCAATGGCTTCCCCGCCAGATCGCGCAGCGCGCGCTCCTGAGGACCCAAACCTCGCTGATGCGATTCCCTCAAGTTCTGGATCTGAGCTCTCCGCCGAATCCGAAGACTCCTCTCCAGCCCTCAGCCCAGGCCTAGTCAACGCAAGTAGCCCCCGAGTCCCTTCGCTTCCTGCGCTTCGATCTGCCTCCGACCCCCAGTGCGCAACACCCATGAGTGTCCAGTCAACTCCTCTGGGGATGCTGCAGAATGCGCGTAGACCAAATATGGCTCCAGCAGTGTCACCAGGACAAGGTGGTGTGGGTAGTGGTTTGCCGCAAAGCATGGAGGCGAAGATGAGGGCGTTCCATCTGTCAAGACAAGGCACGCCGCCGGGTCGCCCGCCGATGGGAAACTCCATTTCAGCAGGTTCCCCTTCCAGTGCGCCTGCATTTGGTGGCCAAGCAACTGGAGGTCTCCCGGCCGGGTTACAGTTGCCCATTCGGCCATCTCCTCAGAACTTCGCCTCTGCTCCGGTCACCCCAAAGATGCCTGCAAAACCCACGGGATTGAGTGCGCGTCGAGGCATGAAGTTACCGGGAGGCTTGCCTGGTGGTCTGTCTGGAGATAGCGCACCCGACGCCAACGGCAATGCCAAACCGAAGGAGGATAACTCACTGTTCAATAAATACTCCGAGTATGTCGACACGAAGAATGGTGTCTTGAAGTTCGCAGGGAAAGCACAGATTGATGGGCAAGGGATCAAGTTCGCTGGTGGGCATACTTTCAACATCTCTCTCGATGAGGTAGATACCCTGGAGGAGTTGGGGAAAGGGAACTATGGCACCGTCTATAAGGTCAGGCATGCGCGGCCACGGATACGGCGACCAGGTCTGGGGCTTGCAGGCAATAAGCTGCCATCCTCCAGCTCTTCTATAGCATCGCCAGAGCAGCAAAATGGCGCTGAAGGGTCACCCCAAGGCAATACGACCGGTGTGATCATGGCAATGAAGGAACTCCGGCTCGAGTTGGACGAGGCCAAGTTCAGGGCGATTATTATGGAATTGGACATCTTGCACAAGTGCCTGAGTCCTTGCATAATTGATTTCTACGGTGCATTCTTTCAAGAGGGGGCCGTCTACATCTGCATCGAGTTCATGGATGGTGGTTCGATCGATAAGCTCTATGGTGATGGAATTCCCGAGAATGTGCTACGAAAGATCACCTATGCTACGACGCAAGGGCTCAGGACATTAAAAGATGATCATAACATCATTCATAGAGATGTCAAACCAACCAATATCCTGGTAAATACGCGCGGTCAAGTGAAGATCTGCGATTTTGGCGTTTCCGGGAACCTAGTTGCAAGCATTGCAAAGACCAATATTGGTTGCCAGTCTTACATGGCTCCGGAGCGAATATCGGGCGGTGGGATGTCCCAGGCGAATGCGGATGGTGGGACTTACAGTGTTCAATCCGATATCTGGTCCTTGGGACTGACCATCATCGAATGTGCACTTGGACGGTATCCTTACCCTCCCGAGACCTACAACAACGTATTTTCCCAGCTCAGCGTAAGTTTTCTTCTGCCCTTCGATACGCATTAATTCTAATGAGAGAATAGGCAATCGTAGATGGTGACCCACCCGACTTACCAGAAGAAGGCTTCTCAGAACTTGCCCGCGATTTTGTTCGTGGGTGTCTGAATAAGATTCCGAAATTGCGTCCTACTTACAGCATGCTACTTCAACATGGATGGCTTGCTGAACTTTCGAAGCCTGCGACAATTACCGAGGCTGACGAAGAAGAGGCTGAGGCTGGCGGTAATGCTTCGGGCCCAGTTCTGCTAGGAAAGAGCGGGACGGATGATGAGGAAGTTTCCACCTGGGTTAAAAATGCCCTTGAAAGGAAGCAGAAGGGCCTACTGGGTGTGAGTGCGAAGCCCGCGCTTCATGCTGCACCACTGGATGCCGTCAGTCCAATAGGCAGCCCGGCTGCTTAGCCTTGATACGATACCCTTCGTTCGATTGTGCAGGTTAGCCGTGATGATTGAGATGAGCGATATGAGTGGAATGATCTAGGTGCCTTCCGTGAGGGCATTCCTTTTTTTGGGGGGGGGGGGGACCTCTCTCCATACTTACTGCTTGCGCTTAGCGTATAGAACGCCATAAAATAGGGATATGAACAGGCGAGGGATTGGCCATTTTCCTAGGCGTGTTTTGTTTACCATGCATTAGCGGACTGGAGGTTTGTGGCATTGGTTTGGTTGGTACGATAGGGCGGATTTCCTTTGTACTTCTCCTATGTGCCGTGAAGGAAGAAGGCCCGTACTAGAAGACCTGTTGTCGCAAGAGCATTTCAACGGGATCATACTTGGTACGATAATCGGCATTAAGAGGGCGGCATATATCAGACGGGTTTATCGCAAGGACCTGGCGTTCTATTTCCTCAAGCAAGCGAAACTTACCTACACATACCAGCTTTATCCATAGCGTATCTTACGATGAGATAAACAAATGAATGCAAGCAATCAAACATTACATCGAAAGCAGTTGATAAACACTCTACGGAGGTGTTGAATAGCCCCTTCAAAATTTGACAGTGATTGACGATATACCTACCTAAGGTAGGTAGCTATCTGGTGCTCCTAAGTAAATATTGTGGTTGATTGATGCCTTTCGAGACATAAATATAAACGTATCACATGTCGGAGTCAAATACTTCCCAAGGTTGCAGTGCGATAAGCGGAACCGCACGGATGTCATTCCGCTTGCGCTTGCAGGGTCTTCGCCTCGAATCACAACAGGCGACGAAAAACATGGAATTTATTGCACCCCGCATTGGCAACTTTTGGAGCTGGAAATACAAATATTCCCATTCTTTTTAGTCGGCAGATTCCGACAACCTGGGGAGAAGCAGATATCACAGCTAGCGCGTAGCAGACCGCCGCTTTATTTATATTTTAACAAACCGCAAACGGATCCTATACCGTGGGCAGCAGCATATTGCTAGCAGCGGGGGATCCGACATACGGAGAGGTGCCGACCTCAAGCTTGCCACCTCCTTTTTTTTTGCGAGGATTCGCTGGCGATTGAGCTCTAGGCCACTTTTCCGCGATAAAATTGGGGCAAAAAGTTGATAAGAGGTTTGCTATCACGACTCGTTCAGCTGTCACCATGACTCCTCCTACTTCGTTAGATAAAGAGTCTGCGGGGTCAGCGCTTCCCCTGAGACCTGCTCTTAAACCGGGAGACGATCCAGGTAGCCCTAAGAGCGACCCAAAAGGTACGAGCTTCTGGTCGTGCGTTGCTACAGCTGTAGCTGAGGAAGATCTTGGCTAATCCTATACGTTATACTGTAGTTGTGTCCATCATGGAGGAACCCGAGCCTATCCCTCCACTCTCTACGCCGTCCGAAGAGTCCCTGAAGATCAAACAATTCAATGCTGGCGTGGGGGGCAAACGATTGAGCGGCCGGCCGCAGTTGAGCGGCGGATATTCCTCGTCCAGACACTCTATCATTAGTCAGAGCAATGTGGATGAGACAGATACATCTAGCAGTTCGAGGCAGAACGGCCCTGTGGCTGCAGATGGGGCAGCTGTCCATCGCCATCGCCATCATCAACATGATAGGCTGCTCTCGCAGGTTGCTCAGTGGCTCCAAATTGAGAAGACGAAACGAGCTGCGAGGAAGGCTAAGAAGACGGGCGGGGAGGCAATGGCTGCGGTAATGGACCAGCAAGCGTCAAGACCCCGTGCGGCTTCTCAGAGTTCAGACTCTAGTGCCATCTCGCTGGATAAACTACAGCAGATCCTGGAGGACAGTATGAGCTTGTTCGGACAGGAGGACGGTCCTGGTGTACCTCCTTCTACAGGATCTCGAAGATCAAGCTATGTTCTGCGGAGCCGCAGATCGTCGAAATCTTCCGCACGGAGGTTAACAGGTTTTGCAAGTAGTGACACGGAGTACCAGGATGGAGACGTGGTGGTGCCCTCTTGTGATGAGGTACTGGATAATTCCAAGACCATGTCGTATTCAGGAGGCGGAGCAAGCGTGGACTCTTCAGATACGACAACCACATTGAGCACTTCGAAGAAAGCAGAAAAGGAGAGGAAATACTGGGGGCAATTCAAGCACGAGATTGTGCGATTGGCACACACGCTACGTCTAAAAGGGTGGAGGAAAGTCCCTTTGGATCGAGGACCAGAGATCGAGGTTGAGAGGTTGAGTGGTGCTCTTACGAATGCAGTCTATGTGGTCTCGCCCCCGAAAGTCCTTCCTGTTGCCCAAACATCTTCAACTTCGAATCCCAAGCCGCACTCCCCAAAGCCTCCTCCCAAACTCTTGCTAAGGATCTATGGACCCCAGGTCGAGCATCTCATTGATCGCCAGAATGAGCTGCAGATCCTGCGCCGGTTGGCGAGGAAGAAGATTGGGCCCAGGTTATTGGGGACTTTTACAAACGGGCGGTTTGAAGAGTACTTCAATGCAAAAACTCTTGAGGCAAGTGATTTGAGGATTGAGGATACCAGTAAGCAAATTGCAAAGAGAATGAGGGAGTTGCATGACGGGATCGAACTTCTTGAGAGAGAAAGAGAGGAAGGGCCCGCGATATGGAAGAACTGGGATAAGTGGGTTGACCGGTGCGAGGTGGTGACAACCTATCTTGATAGAGAGATCTTGGATGAGAAGAGAGGAAAAGGGGAAAGTTGGCGGGAGAGAGGACTGGTTTGTGGAGTTGAGTGGAAAGCCTTCAAGGATGCATTGGACAAGTATAGGAAATGGTTGGATGAGTATTACAAGGCGAAAGGAGATGTGCGGTATCACTTGGTGTTTTCTCATAATGATGTAAGCGACCCTTTCGAGATTCGTCTCATTCCACTACTAACCGCCTTTCAGACACAATACGGCAATATCCTGCGCCTTATCCCACCGTCTCCTTCAGAACCGACTTCAGACGGTACTCTCCCGCCTCCGTCACCCCTCCTACTTCCCCAAAACCACCACAAGCAACTCACCATCATCGACTTCGAGTACGCATCGGCCAATACTCCCGGCCTCGAATTCGCAAATCACTTCACAGAATGGTGCTACAACTACCACGACCCTGATCGCCCTTGGGCCTGCAATACAGACCGCTACCCAACTCTCGAGCAACAGCGCCGCTTCATCCGCTCCTATGTAAACCACCGTCCACAATTCAACCCCCGCGCCTCGGAGACCCCCAAGCTCCTCCCCATAGATAAAACAACCGCCGCAATGCGAGGCGGTGTTAATGAATTCCTACTCGATTCACGCTCACCGCCAGGAGGAAGTTCTAGCAACTTGGGTCTCAAAGGCGACGAAGTTCGGCCACCTGGCGGATTCAGCAGCTCCTCGAGCCTGAATCTCAAGCTAGAGGAGAGCATGTTTTATGCTGAGGAGGAGAAGAGGAGGGAGGCGGACATAGAGCTTAAAGTGGCTAGGTTGCTGGAGGAGACGCATATATGGCGGGTGGCCAATAGCGCCATGTGGGTTGCATGGGGGATTGTGCAAGCCAAAGTTCCCGGTCTTGATGGGGATGCGGATGCGAATTCAGAGCCCTCGTCTCGTGAGCAGTCACCCTTACCTACCAAGGGGACGTCATCTGGCAAAAATGAGGAAGGAGATGGGAAAGCTGCGGATCTTGCTGCGGAGGATCCATTGAATGGAAAACATGTTGAAGAGCCAGAGAAATGTGAAGATTCTGAGGGAGATGGGGAGGAGGATCATTTCGATTACCTTGCTTACGCACAGGATCGTGCGCTATTCTTCTGGGGAGATATCGTCGCGTTGGGGATTGTGAAAGCTGAGGATTTACCGGAGGAGCTGGCGCGGAGATTGAAGACAGTCGAATACTAATTTAATGTGTATTCTAGGAGACGAGAGGGCTGACGAGGTAAATGATAATTTGGTATGAGTTAAAGAGAATGGAGATGAAGTAGTGTGGTGCTCTGGTGGAGGTTATTTTAGACATGATACATGACAGCGCATTATAACTATATACATTATATACACTACTATGCCTTCTACCTCTTCTAAACGAGATGTGTAATGCGTAGGGTTTTAGATAGACAGTTGATTTGTTTACTATGCTTGGCACTTTGCTTATCAGAACATCGATCGACTAGCCTGTTGCCTTGGAAAGGGGGGGCATCTGCTGGTTTCTTGAAGAGTATTTGCGTATGTAGGTAGGTACTGTAAATGGAACGAGCCCCCGTAATTGAGATCGTTAATAATCTAATCATGTGAGCGATCGAAGGGCAACAGCCGAGCAAACAATCTGGATCTTTAGGTATTTGTTCCGGCTGTTGCTTTGTCGACGGGATAGGTATATAAGTTGTCCTGTAATGGAGCCAGCAAAGAAGAAGTATGAGTTCCGCATACGTGGTGTGGTGTTTGTCTCCCAGTAGGCTCAGGCTGCAGGCCGGATTTTAGATTATTCTAGATTTGTATTGCTCGCAGTAACGGATATAGCTCAAGTCAATAAAAGGAATTGAAGCTTCGGAGTGGATAAGTGGATAAAAAGTCAACCCGAGGAGAGTGATATCAGAAGGCACGAGACCAGACCAGAGCCTTATAAGGGGTTCAGGGTGATGGTCAGAATAAGAATGTTTGATGGATATACGGAGGAGGTCCAGCATCCACGGGAGCACGCCACAGGGACCGCCTATAGTAGTAGCACAATAGATAGTGCTGGTTGAAGTGGATGTGCTCCACCACTACTATACGAAGGTACTCCCGCAGTAATTCGTAGTGACAGTCCTGCACCAGTGTTAGTCACAAAGTAGGGAAGCAGACTACGCTGTAGGAGTTGCTAGTGCCGCGGAGGACGTGGCATCATCCCTCCACGTCCCACGGCATCTTCGGCGCTGTTGACTTTAGAGTCTGGGTTCTAGGTTCGAGGTTGACGTCGGGTTTGTTGGCACTTGGCAGCTGTCACCCAGGGATGGGATGATCTGCGATGTCACCGCTCACAGCTGTGCAGTTGTACAGCTGTACAAGGTATCTGGATGATAATTGACTTCGGACGCTGTAGCCCATATCCCACATTCCACATCCCATATCCGGCACTCGTACTCGGGTACTACGGGACACACAGAGAGAGAGTGAGACAGTGATAGTTGTACTACTGTGCTGTATCGAGGAGGTCTGTAAAGCAACAAGTAGTGCTGGTGGGTAGTGGGTAGTGGGCATAAGTACCTCAGCTTGGTTGGTTAGTACGAAGAAATAAGTAGCACCCATAGTCGCAGTAGTGCTGTACAGTTACTTCCGGAGTATTATTACTGTACAACATTGGACTACGGCGACTACTGTGCACTATCGTATGCAATTACATACTATTGAGTGCTACAAGACACTAGTGCTGTCCCTCTCTAGACTTCTAACTTCCAAGCCTGAATACGGGCGAATCCATACGGACTAGTTCGTACATACGTAGCCAGGTACTTTTGAAATAAACTCTCTCGTATCTTTTTCAATCTTCCTTATCCTTCACCCCGGCCTATCACCTACAGTACGAGTATCGCTTGTCTGTTTCTCCGTCTTGGATTCCCTGATGATAATATTACGACACTCGTATTCGTCATCCGCCATTCTCCATCCGCCATTCACCATCCTCGTTCTGCCGCCATCAATGCCCCTAATTTGCTCAAGTTACAATATTACTACTCCGGCCTCGTGTTCTCATTCGGTTCCTGACACTCCGCTCATCTCCTCGCCTTTCCTCGTCGATTACGGCCATGTTGACAACTTGACAAGTCTCCGACTGAGAGGCTGATTGAGAATACCCTCCGTGCTCCCCGTCTTTCCGCGCGGCAAAAGAAGGACTGCAGGCCTACGAAGTATTTACGCTGTACATACTGGACACTGGTCACTGGTCACTGGGCAACACGCCGAATTTAACCCTGCGCCCAGACAACATCAGCACAGCCAAAGCCCAAAGCCCCAAACCCCCCAAACACCCAAATCCAGGCCCAAGACCCAGTCCCGGGCCCGGGCGGCGCAAACCCAAAATCTCACCCGCCCAATTGTCATCCTCATCCTTGATTCTGTCCGCCAAACCTGCAACAGCAGCTCTTGTTTCGGTTCTGCGCCGCCAAGATACATACATATCCTGTGCGGGCTGGCTGGCTGGCCAAACTTCTTGAGGGAGGCTGGGCGAGGAAGACAAGACAAAGCCAGCAACCAGCAACGAGCCAAGCACGAGGGGCACGTCACCACTCTTTGCTTCTTATTGTCGCCGTTGCTACGAAGTACATACCGCCCACTAATTTCTCCCCGTTTAAACACCCACTCGAACCTAATACAAACTTAAACTCGCTCCACGCAATCCTCTCCATTATCATCTCCCAGAGATTTCCAAACCTTCGACCACCGACTGAGAGCTTTCTTATCTCTTCAACCCCCATCGGGGCGTCGCCCGTCCCTTCAACTCTTACGTCTTCCGCTGCCTCCGGTTCGACACGACAATTGATCGAATTGCTCCTTCTCCCTCTCCCATTTTCAACATGGCGCGATTTCCTTTCTCGACACCATGGACGGCGGCGTTTATTTCCTCTCTTGCAATCATCAATACAATAATACCCTCAGCGCGAGCCGCCGAACTAGAGACCATACAAGGGCTCAACACGAAGGGCGAGCAGCACACACTTCTGGTGGATCGCTACCCAGCTTTATATACTGGCGACTTTGGTGATTGCATGGGAGGGCAGAGCTTGATCAATCTCACATCTTTCGATGCTGCTTATTATGCTGATAATATGACCGTTCTGTTCAATCTGGCTGGAACCACTAATTTGAGGAATGAGTCGTTAATGTGTATGTGATCCTCGCGACTAGACCATTCCGTTTGTTTCTTGGCTAACCCTCACCATAGTGCATATTTCTGTTGAAGCCTGTAAGCAAAACCGTCGGGGAGCATAGTCAAGGAAGCGCTGACAATGCACTGCAGATGGAGAAGATCGATTCAACCTGTTGTGGAACCCGTGTAATGCAAACTTTGCCAGGTGAGATACAATGCTCGTTGGTATATGCCCTTCCCACGACTCGTTCTGACATAAACAGTCTCTGCCCATTGAACAGCAGTGTTCCTATCGTCGGCCGCGCAAGTATCCCAGTATCCGGATCCGATGTTTCCAATATTCCTAGCATCGCATTGGCAATTCCCGATTTCGAGGGGTCAGCAGTACTCCGGGTGTTTTCCAATGCTACAGAAACACAGATCGCCTGTTTCAAGGCCGTGATGAGGAATGGTGCTAGCTTCTCCCATCCAACCGCTGTTGGATCGGTCCTGGGGATTTTCACCGTCGTGGCCGTCGTGGCCTCATTTGCAACCGCTATCTATGGCGTCAGCGTGCCTGAAATCCGGACTCATTATTCCCACTCGCTTTCCGTCCTTGTCATCTTCGAAGTGTTCCAATCCATATTCTTCTCTGGTGCATTGTCGCTCAATTGGCCCAGCGCCCTTACCGCATTCTGGAGCAATTTTGCCTGGTCCGCCGGCCAAATTTATACCGATTCTATTACTAATACGCTCAATTCCTTCACAGGAGTTACTGGGAATGGAAGTCAAGTGGGTGGAGCTGGATCGACGCCTCTGAATACCAACGGCGGCCTTCAGCAACAGATTTATGGCCGTTCATTAGATTATCTTCCAGGGTTGCTACTTGATAGAAGAAGTGAGGAGATAGCAAGCAAGCTCTACAAGAGGGCTGCCAGCAACGAGACTCACGATGCTCGTATGTATGCTTGGGCTGGTCTCCCTGTTTCTCCGGGGCTTCCAGTTCCAGGAAATTGGTCTGGATTTGCCGGGGAACTCGCTATGATGGGCATTCCAGCTGCGAATGCTTTTATGACAGGTCTCATATGGTTGTTGATCCTTATTGTCATCCTTGTTGGGGCCACGGCAGCCTTAAAGTGGACACTTGAGGCTTTCAGTGCCATAAAATGGATCAAGAATGATCGACTGGCGTTGTTCCGGAGCCATTGGCTTAATTTCATTGGCCTTATTGTTCTCCGGACCATGTTCATCGCTTTCTTCATGATGACAACCTTGTCACTTTACCAGTTCTCCTATGGAGGGAAAGCCGGCCCCATCGCGATCGCCGTAGTCGTCTTCGTGGCATTCTTCGCCGGTATTCTCGGCGTTGCTTTCTACGCGTGCTTCTATAGAGTCAAGTTTGGCAGCTACGAATCCTCGCCAGACCGGATTCACTTCCAACAAAAGAAGATTTTGGGTTTCATTCCATGGTACACAACTGTCCGAGAAAGCAAAATGGAGGAATCCGACAAGCCAAAGTCCGGAGCATCTATTTCGTTCTTCAAATTAGACTTTGTCGGTAACGATCCCGAAAACCAAGGCATTCATGATAATATCGATTACACCAAGCACTTCGGATGGCTGTCGGCTCGATACCGTCGCACCAGATGGTGGTTCTTTGCATTCTGGGTCGTTTATCAGTTTGTCCGCGCTTGCTTCATTGGCGGTGCCCGTGCTTCGCCAAGTGCTCAAGTCTTCGGAATATTTGTGTGGGAAATCATTGCATTTGGTGCAATAATCAAGATTAATCCCTTTGAAGGTGCTCGAAACACAGCTCTAGCGGTGTACATGCTCGGCATCAGCAAGGTGGCTACTGCCGGATTTTCAATTGCCTTCCTCCCGACCCTTAACGTCGCTCGAATTCTGGCTACAGTCTTCGGCATCATAATTATTGTCATTCAAGGTTTCCTCGTGATCGGCGTCCTTATCCTGATTGCCCTTGGTGCTATTTCCAGTTACATGTCGCTCACCCGCAACCGAGAAGAATTTAAACCGCACAGGCTAGAGAATATTCGCTTGAAGTACTTTGGACATATAGCTCAGAAAGCTACTGACCTCCCACCGCCGCCGGCGCCTCCAGCCCCCGAAGAACCAGAACAGCCGAAGGGGCCGTACTTCAATGTCAATTCTGTCCGCCGGGCTCCTAAGATTGAGGACGAAGACGACGACTTAGTTCCAGGCATGGAACGCCCGCATGATCCAAGAGACTCTCAGTTCTCGCTTCCCCCCCGCGTTAGAGCCAACAGTGTGGCGAACAGTATGCGCAGCGTCCACTCAGGGTTTGGAAATGTACCTTATGGAGCTCGTGTCCACAGGGCCAGTTGGAGTTCAAAGGAATTCCAAAGCTGGCAACAAGACGAGCTTAATAGGGCAGATTCGCCGCTCGGCGTAGGATCAAGGCACACAAGTGGACACAACACTACAAATAACTCGATATCTATAGCGCCTCTAGTCCGGTCGTCCCCTTCGCATAGCAATTTGCGGCCCACCACGCCGACAGAAGAGCAACTAAAACAGACCGCGGATCAACGATTACCTCGAGCCAAATAGGGAGGGGAATACCACCCTTTTATGAAGTTACGAAGGAAGGTGGGATACAGTAGATAAAATTAGCGAAGAGGAAGCCCAGGGGACATTTGTTTTTGCACAGCCTTGGCGTTTGATATGTCATCTATTTTCGCATACTCCCTAGATAACTGGGAGTTTTAGTTTCGGTAACCGCATTGCATTAAATTGCATGGTTGCCAGGATGTCAACCCATAGAGGACATCTTCCAATTGGCAGGAGTACCGGGGTGGTTTAGAAGGGATTATGGGAACAGCTCGTACATACTGAAGCTGGCGCTGTCACGATTTCTGTAAACACAGCAGAATTTTCATTAGAATAAACGTTTGTTCTCACTCACTTGATTCTCTTAATGTGCCGTGGATTATCTCTACTAGAGTTTTGCAAGTTGCAACCCTCGGAATCGGTTTTCAATGTTAGGCCATTTTCATATCATAAATGGAGATGCTTTGCAAAGGACGAACAGATTGGTTAATCAGGCTCGAAGCAAGCGGCTTTTGCAGATATCGGTCTAAATTCCCCTCCTGTATAGAGGAGAAAGATGGTGCAAAATGACCGAAGTGTCTTTCCCCAGTTAACCCTCCTGTTTCAAAGCTGTTGAGGTCCCCTTTACTCGAGCCTCCGAGTCTCTGATTCGATATGAGGTATTACAAGCTTTCGCATTCTTATCCTTATGAATGAAGTTTATAAATGAACGCTAACTAGGTGGCCAGATACGCGTACGTGGTGAGGAGGGAAATATCGATCATGTGACCCTGCATCGCCTGGTCCCCCCTTATGGACGGCCCGACACCGCTTAGGAGTTAACTCTCTACCTCTCTACATACAACGCGTTATCTTCCAACACCCGACCTATATTCTATCGAGTTAGTACATACGTATTAGAATATTTGACTGTGTCATACATATAACCGGGGCCTAGATCTCCTTAGTTCCAAGACAACTAACTTCCAATTGGAACCCCGAATCAAGCTCCAGTGATACGAACGATATATATTTAAAAAGAAAAGAGAGCTCAAAATGTTCTACAGCCATGAAAGTAAATTATGATGCTTGTATCGATATTTTATGGAATTCTCGCTCATTATCTCTAGTTCTGACAAGCCGCAAGCATGGCGTCGCGACCATCTGGTACGTCTTAAATATTCAGACGCGTCACATAATTTCAAGTGCTTCATATTTTCTCTGTCCTTTTGGGGAGATGGGTGTCGACAATTCTTATGGCTGACACGGTGCCAGGCTGGTCGCCACATTAGGAGCCAAATCGAACACCAAGAAGCTGACCCGAAAAGCCATCTGTGATGTCGATGTTCCCAAAGCATGCGAGACTATAATCCAACCTGAAGCTCCAATGGCGTTGAGATTGCAAAGCAACCTTCTGTAAGCACGATGATTCTCCCATCAATTGGCAATACTGAACCGAAAAGCTATGGTGTTACCAGAGTCTATTCACAGCAATGCGGTTACGTTCTCTTAGACGTACAAGCTGCCCAGGCCAGTATTAGAGCGTTGTACAAGGCAACTCGAGATGCTGAACTTGATCCAAAAGCCGGAAAGGCGGCGTGAGTAGACCAGCGTCCACGGTGGAGGTCATCCTGACGCGTCATAGTCCTGAGCAGCTCATCCTTGTGGATGACCCTGCGTTTTTGCCAGACATGGCCCTTCCAGAGCTCGACCTTGATTTCCTCTCGCTCGACGATGAGTACAATTCCCAGCGCTCTTCTCAGTCCATGATGTCCATCCGTCAGCGTGGCGCATCTGAAACCTCTCAATTTCTTCCCAACCTCAATTTGCCATCCTCAAGCAGTAACATAGGTGTGGGGCATTACCAGTTGCCTCTTGATGATCCCTTCGGCAACCCTTCTGTCAACAAGCCCATTATTGGCCAAGACCATAGCATTTTCGATGACGAGGTCATGATGTACCAAGATGACATGATATTCGAATTTGATGCAGAAGGCAATATGCGCGATATACCACCTGCTGAACGCGAAGCTCGCCGTACAGGGAGCGTTCATCCACAGAGCCGTATCGGCAGCGATTCCGCAGCCAGTGGACGCGTTCGGAGAGACCATGAGGAAGCTATGGCTGCTCGGGTCCGTCCAATTCCTGATGCAGACGGAGATTTCGACATGATGAACTATGGCGAGGACAATCTTCATATTCTTCCCGACGCCGAGGCATTCCCAGCTGCAAACGGCGCCTTCATGTCTGGTGCGCTCCAAGGTGGCGACAAGCATTCGCATCCCGGCCACCTCGACCACGTCTATTCTTCTGAGATACCTTCTTCTCAAGAGCCATCTTCTATCTCTGCCGAAGCCCCCCAAAAGCGCAAGAGAGTTAAATCTAGCAAAGCAGTTACGGACCATGCAACTGCACTGATCAATAACGACCTTATACGGTGGCGAGATAACTATATTGAAAATATGGCTCTAGTCACGTTGCAGAAAACAACGGCCAGAGCCAATTTACAGGCAAAGAAGAATGGGGTTCACTTTGTTTACGGTTCTGGTATCAACGGTGTTGGCCATGGTCTCGGGTACCTGAAGATTTCTAGTCCATTGGACATGTTCTCCGGCGAAGCTCTCCTGGCAAGACTCAAATGTGTAGTCCCTCCCTCTAAAAGTTCCAAGCGCTCCAAGCGTGGCCGTAAGGAATCAGAAGACGAGGAACAAAGGCAATCTCATAAACGGCTTCGCCATAATGAAAATGAGCAAGGACTTGCTTTCCAAGGAGAAGATGCATTTATTCTCGACTTTGAAGAAGGCATCAATGCAGATGATCGCAGCAATATTGAAATTGGTCGAGACGCTCCCTCAGCACTAGCCGATTACCCCTCGTTCGCAATGATGCCCTGGAACGTCTCTGCCTCTCTCCACTCTCGCCAACGTAACCTCTCCTCCCTTCATGGACCTTCTTCTCAACTTCCCGGGTCTAATAGTGCACTTGCTCGACGCAGAATCGCCTCCGCTTCTCCTCTTTTCGGTCGCGGCTCCGCTCTACCTGGTGAACTTGAGAGTTTCGCACTCCTCCACGACGATGATAATATCCCGTACGGACGCGAAGACCTCGAGTCGATGAGCGCAGCATGTGAAGCACCTCATTTCTCCAACACCATTGGTGGCAATGCTGACTTCGAGCTATTCGGCCCAGCTGCTAATGTCGATACGCAGACTGCTGGGACATCTCAATGGGTCCGCCAAGCTCTTGATCGAGAGAGCGATAATTTCTTTGAGTATGTCAAGAACAGCATTGAGGAGCAGAATGCGGATGAACTCGACTTTGGCGCCGGCCGGGATAACCATGTCTTCGTCACGTTTTTGGAACTCTTCAATACGGAGAGAAATACTTGTCTTGTGGCTGCGCAGGCTTTCTACCATGTCTTAACTCTGGCAACGAAGGGACATGTTTGGGTTGAGCAGTTGGGGGTTGACAAGTTAGAGATGGGTGGTGAGATCAGGATCGGTGTTGTTGACTGAGATGAGATTAGCCGTTTGCTGGTAGTTTACGATTTTACGCCTACACGCCTATACGATGATGATGACGACACGTGCTTGATTGTACGAATCATGAGACTGGTGCTAGGGCTAGATATTTTTGCTCAACTATAGATTGCCTGAAGGCTTGAGACCAGGATACATTGAGGATTGTATTGTACTTGCTGTAGCTGCGGCTCGTTGGGTCTAGGTAGGTGCGCAGGCTCAGAAAAGATGGATATCGTTTTGTTCGCTTCATGTATTATTTGCTCTATTTGCTAGATGTGTTAATATCCACAACTTGCTCTCCTTAGTACAGAACTCAATGTGAACGGAATTTATGAGAGAAACACGAATTGCAGATTAGATATGAGTAGGGTATTCGTCTCTTGATTATGAAAGTAAGAAGTATTGTATTTATCAAGGTCCGAGTTCAAAAGCCAATTTATACATTTCGCTCAATAACTTTTCGCTCGCTGCAGAAGCCAGCACTACCTCTAACCTCCAAACGCCCCTTGTGGGACAAATCAATACTGCCGTTTCTAGACTCGCCGGCTACATCCATCCTTTTGCTCCTCATTTCCATCCTCCCTTTCCTTCAAACAGCCTTAACCTTTCCAACTCCTGGTAGCAATAGTTATAGGAACACCAGGACTCATGGCCGACATCTACGCCTAATTACCATAACACTACTCAGTCCCACCCCCCGGCCAGCGATTACTGTAAAACATTCCGCTAACATGACTCTCAATTACCAAATCCGTCCCATTAACTTTACCATCGACATTGGCGCTAAACATCCCGCAATTATGGTATTCCTTGTTCGAAGCAGTGACTTCTAGGTAACAGTCGGGGAGACAACCATCCAAGAGTTGACATGAGGCCAGACAGAGGTGGGGTGATGTTGAATGTTTCGATGTAAGCATGTAGGATAAGATGAGACTAGGCAACCCTTGGTAGTTGCAGGATGGAAGGGAGGTTTTTGTTGCTAATCCTGGGGCCGAGGTCGTGGGTGAGGTGGAGATGGAGGTTTTGCGATGCTGCGGATGGAATGATCGAGGGGAATTGGTGTATTGCTGTAACAGAAGGAGCTTCCATCGCTAGGATACTTGTCTGAGAAAAACATGCCCGTATCTCCTGGTATAACAGGTGATGTGAAAGCGGTTTCCTGGTAATCTTGTGGACCAACAGCCGTGTAAAGCATACACTGGTGCCCCCTCCGTGCAGAACAAGACCAAGAATACATAACGCAGCCGCGTGTGAAATAGCACTGTGATTGGCACCGCAGTACATTGGGAACTTTCTGGGGCCCGTAGAGCTTGGTGGTCGTATTAAAGCCTGGGGAACCTTCAACGGCACATCCTGGGATCCCAGCTTTGGCATATATTGGGGTAGCGGGTACAGTAGGAACACTGATTATTTTGGTGTACGATTGGGTACTCGTGGACGTGGTGGGTAGGTCACTGAGTCTTTGGAAGGCGAGGCCATTGACCGGTTGGAGTATAAATAGTGCGGCTATAATCGGTGCAAGAAGTAAGATCATCGTCACCATCTACCGAAAGCTATTGAGGGTAAAATCGAGGTGTTTATATCTCTCGGGCGAGGTATTGTTTTGGAAGTGTGAAAGACTATAAAGTGTTGTAGACCTTGAACAGAAGAGCCCACTAAGAACGAGAAGGCTATGTATGGACGACAAATTATGGGGATTTAGGGGCGGAAGTGCTTGAAGAAGGAAGGAGCAATAGGCATTGTATTATAAGTAACCGTCTAAAGCTTGTGACGGGGGTGAATGAAATGGAAAATTGCTGGGATAAGGCATCATTAGAGCTGGGCAGGCTCAATACCTCGAACGAACTCACTGTAACTTTTCGCACTATTAAAATTGATGGAGCTAGTGGTGATTTTGGAACGTTGCACGAACTCTATAAGCAATTTGATATTCGGCTAACACATATAGTTGTGCCATTGGCTGAAGGTGTGGAGGTAATATACAGCCTGTAGATGAAGATACTTTGGATATTTGGCGATCAAATCACCAAGAAATCGCAATTCCTCCGTAAATACCGGAATCTTGCAACCATGTCCAACCTTTATAGAGCCGCGTAAGCACCAGGATTTACCCACCTTCATCTCGCAAAACAGGAGTTTTGAAATGGGTTAAAATATCCATACATTTATCTAGAATCATCTAGCTCGTCAAGTACGCCGATTTGACGGAAGGCAGAGCCAGCCCCAAGCGTCGGATTACCTCGAGAACACCGTACAAGATATCTCAACACCTAATCTATGCGACATGGCATCTAGTGGTTTCTCATTGGTCTCCTGTAGCAGCGGCAGAAGCAATTTGGGTAAGAATGGCATGGTTATCCGATAAGCTGTCCCGTCGTGGGTCCGCATCCAGATGATCCGTATTCTGTAGGCCTATTCGAGTATCGCCGCTGGATTGTGGCATCGCGAATCTGCTCGGCACTCCCTGGATAGACCTAGGGCCCATATCTATCTGCCCATCGACGAAGGAATCTCTATATCCATTCTCTCCTGGCCCTTGCTGCTGGGAGTTTGGTGGTGGTATATGTGGTATATAATCTAATTCCCCTTCTTTGATATCCTTCCAAGAACACTTCGCATGCTTTTTAGTACATGCCGAGCAAGCCGTGAGGTGCTTCGTGCATTCGTATCCCAAGCGGCGACACCTATCACAGGGCGGAAATATACTGTCCCCACGAGCTAATTTCTCGATTTTGGCGGCCATGAGGACTCGGTAATGGCCTTCTGTACCATCATCAGATGTAAATAGGCGTCGAGAATCAGGATTTTGAGCTCCATTGAAAGCATAGTGACTCCCAACAGATTCCGTACTACCTCGAGCCGATTTAGTACGGGAGTGATGGGGCGATGTTGATTGAGATTGATCCCCAGCTAGGAACTGCTCTAGTAGTCGATGTTGCATGATTGCGGCCTCGCCACTGACTTGGTTCGGTGATCTCGTGCCAGGTATTGACACAGGTTGAGGCATTGGAGTTGGCTGAGGAATTGAAACCAATTGATCCGATTTTCTGCCCAGGATTGCTGTTTTCCGCCCTTTGAGATGATAGTTAAGTTGTCTTGCTTTGCTAGCAACGGCATCAGCTTTCTTGATAAGCATTGCGAGCCGTGACTCCAGTATATTCAGGGTGCCCAATTCAGCGGCTTCATCCTCCAGAATGGGCTGGGTCGGGATCATTCGCTCTGGGCCGCCCGACATGATGAGTCTATAGTCATCTTCCGAGATCTCGACCTGACCCCCTTTAATCCAGAAGCGGCAAGTATTGGCACCATGAGCGGAGTGGTTCAAGCTAACCTCTGTGGGATTGGTGCGAGCAAACGTAACAATATCGAGCCATGACGCTGGCGATTGTTCTAAAGCAAAGGAAGTCTGGATGACTTTAATAGGCCCGTCGAATAGCTTTTCGAATGATTTGAGGACTAGCGGACCCGTAAGTTTCGCGCCAAGATTGGCTGCCAAACTCTCATGACGTTGCAGAACACCTAGAAATGTTAACTCGGGACAAGTGTAAGAAACCCTTTGAACGATAAAAAGCGGAACACGAAGGGCAGAGTAGAAAACATCGCTCTCAGCTTTGAAGGAACATCCGGGTCGTAGATCTCCAAGGACAGTGTATAATATTTTAGGATTTTCAAGACATTTTGCAACCAGAAGATGGGTTTAGGCGATAGTGATTAGAGAAAATCTGTCGCATTATACAAAATTATAGTGCAGCACGTGGGGAAGGGAGGAAGAAAGATATCTCTTAGTGATATACCGAGCAAGTATGAGGATAAGAAGAACGAGAAATCCCAATACAACAAGACAGCATGAGCATTAAGAATAACAAATACAGCAAGAATAACAAATCCAGCAAGCATAACAAATTAAGCAAGAATAACAAACAGTAAAGTGCCACACACCTTCGTAGTCCTCAATGATATCCAATACATCGCTAAAAGTCTCCGCGTCTCCCTCCATAAGCCTCAACTTCTCGGATCTTGTCTTGGCCAAGTAATTAATGGCGAGAGGCCCGGGTCTTTGAGCAGCAGCATCCTCTCCAACGGGGCTGCGCTTGCGCTTTAATCGAGCATTATCTGGTTGATTAGGAGACTCCATATCTATTCCACCCTGAGACTCAGTCGAACGATGAGTTCCGCTGAACCAGTGATCTGAGGACACTGTGCTGTCTGGGTTGTTGCTCTTTCGGCCGCCTGTTTTTTCTCTCCTCAATCGATCGCCTACGTTCGTCGCACGCAGAAGCAGCTGAATATCAAGATTCCTGGCCTTCCGCTCCCTTCGGATTGGGTGTTATTGCTCAAACTTCGAGTCCGTGATCTTGTTGAAGCGGAGATGATTGGTATGGAGGATGGGCGGAATTCCACCTTCCGAAATTTTGCCTCGGCCGTGTTAGCTGACTCCTCCTCCCCCGGGCGCGGCGGCGGGATTCCTTTGAGGCGCTTCTAGGCATTGCTACGATCATCGCGAATATTGCTATTTACACCTCATGCCGATATTTCCTGGGCAGGAGAAGCATCCACTAATCTCCATCCACCGCAAGTTATCAAGGCAGCCAGCTCGCTACAACGGTATATATATATATGTCATTCCTTGTTCTCAGCGTTTTAGGAGGCTAGGATATGTTGTATTAACGATTGTATTGCATTGGTTCGTGGTTTTGTTTGATGGGAGTACGAAGTAGATGTGGTAGATATCAATCCCAGGGCGTGGCACGAGGCGACGTTGTGGTTCCATTCGCTAGCCCCAAAACAACTTAGCGCACAAGGGAGCTGCATAGCAGTTCCTGGTATCAACGTCAACTTTCAGCCTCAAGAACCCCTCTACTTTCGATCCAAGCTCTTTCAACACTAACTAATGCGCACTGATGTCCGAACGAGGCCATCAACGCGGCGGTCGCGGAGGCGGTAGAGGTGAATACCGAGGAGGAGGGCGAGGAGGGCGAGGTTTGTCCATTCCAATTACTATACCTTCTTCCTTCCCACCGCCACGCTCTTTTCTTTTCGCCGTAGGACTTGGACAGCAGTGCTAATACATAGCGTCTTCATAGGAGGCCATGGTGAAGGAGGACGCGGCGGTCATGGCGGTGGTGAACGACCCAAGAAAGAGAACATCCTCGATTTGGGGAAGTACATGGACAAGCAGATTACTGTGAAATTTACTGGTGGACGAGAAGGTATTTCCTCACTCTTACGATACGAGGTTGCAGGAAAATCCAGCCCGATAAAGACCAATTACTGATCTCATCTTCGTCGCCTAAACAGTAACCGGAACTCTCAAAGGCTACGACGCACTCATGAACCTCGTCCTGGATGACGTCTCTGAAACCCTCCGTGACGATGAAGGAAATACTTCTTCTCGATCACTTGGGTTAGTTGTTGCGCGTGGAACGCTTCTCGTACTTGTGAGTCCTGTGGATGGTAGTGAGGAGATAGCAAATCCGTTTGTGCAGGCTGAGGAATAAATTGGATGACCGCCGTTGGCCGTTGATGGAACGACGCGGGGCGGGGTGGGGGAGTTGAGCAATTTTCCGGCACATGCTAGGCCTCCTAGCATCATGATATGAACGTACAGGGCGTTGCAATTAGCAAACTAAAATCTCCCTGGCCATGCAATACGCGGAAGATCTGAACCTGGAAGGGCATAAAATAGGCTCCAGATTTGGTGGAGGGGGTTGGTTGCGGTTTAGCTTCTCGGATGAATGATATCACGGGCTTAGAAAACAATTATAGAAATCGAGGCCACTATGCGGGCAGTTCTCCCAGGTCTCCCAGGCCGTTTCCAAGCGGTTTTGAGTCTCGTTTTTATCCATGTAGTGAAAGGTAGTTTGTAAGTGTTTTTATTTCTATGTACAGATCCGAGTCTTTCCTTGTATTGACCGGACTTCCGGCAAGCAAATTTGTATCGATCAGTTATTTCGATCCTAATGAAAGTACCCTCTGGTATCTCGTTCCACAGTTTCTAAATCAAACACATGCCACGAACGTCCTAGTCCCTCCCATTTCAACAATATACCCCATATAACTTCAAACCATCGCTAACACCACCTTTAACGACGAGTTGGCTTCTGTAACTCCGACCATGCCGCATTAACCTGCTTCTTTATCTCACTATATGTGACTACGAAGACACTCTGCTCGTCTCTGCTCGCCAGGCTGATCTTCTCTTGGCTTCCAGCATCTAATTTGTTCAGGCATGCGACCATATGGCCCATGTCGAGGACTGGCCGACCTTCTGCGTTGACCTGATGGAACACATAGTCCCTAAAGAGTTTCAAAATATACCGCTCGCTGGTCTCGCTCCAGTTCACATCTCCTTCATACTCTGGTCTTTCATTTATCGTACCCAGTTTCATGAGGAGCCGGGCGAGGCGACCATTTTCCACCTCTCGGGCAAGTTCAGAGTATAGGGTATCATTGGCGTGAAGACTGCTATCAAATGCGTCAACAACATGGGTGGCGATTCCACTCAGTAGTTCTCCGACGCCTTTAGTTGCAGGTGCTTGGGCGGGGGTAAGAAGCCACACAACCGTGTCACGAAACTCTGAGCTGTAATTACGAGCCAATTGTTCCACCAAAGGCGCAAGATTGGGTGTTGTGGTTACGGAGAGATTATTTGTGGCGATAGATAGTATGAGCTTGCCGAAATGAATAAAATCCTCCTGCTGAAGCTCGGCGAGGGGACGCTGAGCCTCAAATTGTACCACATCAAGGACCGAGCAGGCACCTAATCGTATTCGGCCTTTGTCCGTAACCATGACCTTGCTAGGATCCATACAGCGGACTGCTAGATTTGCAGAGTGGACTGCTTTGACAGCAGAGGCAATTTGCACAATATAGTTCCAGAGTACAGGCTCAGGAACAGTCTGAGAGGCCCGATTCCCGAAGCGACTAGTGTTCGTGAAGTGGTGCTCGACCAAAGTCTTTGAAAGGGGATGATAGTTCGTGACGAAGATGAGTGAGCTATCACCAAAAGCCCGGGTGGTGAAAGCATCGACAACAGAAACGACCCCTCCACAATTGACTCGTCGCCAATCTTTCACAGAGCGGATGGCTCTCTCATTTGTTAGGCGGTATCCTGCCTAACGTAAGCAATTTGGGAGTGGTATTTTAGGCATGTTTTCTTACCTTCCAGCCTTCTCAAACAGTACATGTAGCCATTCTTCATGGAGGTTGCTTTATATACCCAACTTGGGTATCCAAACACAGTGGCACTTTTCCTATGGCTGGTATCCAGAGCCACCAAGGTATGATAAGTATCGAGGTTTGGGAGTTGCGAGTCTAGAATTGTCAGAATTTGGACGACATGGGGATAGGACGATCATACTCGGCATGACCTGCAAAGTTGCTTCGGCCTTCTTTTGCAAATCTTCTCGCAGCGCTTCTGGCATGAAGAAATCATGTGCGTGCTTTTGATAAGCCAGCAGATCTTCTCTGTGAGGACCAATTGGAGCATATAGATGATATTGGAGCTACAGAGGTTAGTCATGAGGTATGAAAAGGGTGTTATAGACCTTACAGGCTGAGTAGGGGCAGCAAATGCACTGGATGTTTGGAAATATGCGGCCCCATTGCTTGCCATGTTGGCACTCTCATCAATGTAAGGGTTATACTGCGGCGTCGTAGGTAGCGTTTGTGCTACGCCGGGCATCTGGAATGGATCGTAAGCGACATGGGACTCTGATCCAGATCCATCTGTGGGAAGAACCTATTAATAGGTCAGCGGCCGCGCTACATCACGTCGTTTGTCGAACGGGATCGGCTTTCACGAAATCAATAATCCGTGGCCACCGAAAGCAAAGTACATCTACCTACTGGTTCAGACACGTCATAGTTTTGAGGTGTAAATTCTCTTATTTGGGCTGGATTGAAGCCGGCAGGTGGGTGTTCACTTTGAGGATTAGGAGTGACGGTGCCTGTAATTTGTTAGACGCGTTTAAAGCGGAAGTCGGGATGGCTACCGCTTGAGAGCCCTCGAGGGGTGAAAGGAGCAGCGTTGGCAGCTTGAGAAGATATTGCTGAGGTTTTGTTTGGTACTGGCAATGTTGCCGGCATAAAAGATGGCGAATCGACATTGAGGGTCTTCTTTCTAATAGTCGAGTTAGTATTTGGAGTTTTGGGTTCTTGGTGCCGCGCCATCGGCTGGCGAGGAGAGATGTTCAAGTAAGGAGGACGTTTAGTTTCCCTAATAGACCAGAAGTGGATCCTTGACGCCTGTGATCTTCCCCGAAACGGAGGGCAGCTTGGCCTGGCGGACCAGAACACTTCGACGTTTGAAAATGCGGGGGTAATCTGTAGGCTTGAGTGCAGGCGGTGGAGGCTGCGGTGAAGGCGCGCAGTGGTAGAACGGGTACTTTCATAGCGAGCGCAAGCTGAGATCTCTGGTTGCAACGCGAGTGTACTTAGCGACAGAGCGGTCAGGGTTGATATCGGGGCTCTTGAGCAGCAGAGGCGAGGCTGCTGGCGCTCTCGTGGATCTCCTTTGCGGCACACCCTTGGCTTGATTATACCCCTTGGCTCGTAGGGTGTAGAACGACTTGGTAAATATCGATATGAGCATGGTGGTGGCCGGATGAGGCGAAATGGTTTTGGTAGGATGAGGAAAACCACGTCTAACTTTATATAGGGGAATATCGATATCTCGGGTCTGACTCCATGTTTCACCGCGTCTCGACCACACGAACAAGCACCACCTAGGAGGCCCCAAAACCATTGCCTTCACACAAGAAACCCGACAGACCATCAATGAATTGAAACCCGACAGGCCATTGTCTTTGAAGCGGTTCGATTGGTGAGAAGGATGCGTCTGAACATGCCGAGACGGCTTCCAAGGTCTAGGGAGCATGGAAATTGTCTCTGTGTCGCTGGCGGACTAGCTTTTGATATATATACCGTCTATGGCTTCATCGAGGACCACCCAAGACACCGAAGGTAGCGAGGCAGGCAACAAAATTCAGATCACCACCAGGTTTCGTCGTGTACATCTCGCGCAAGCTGCCCACCAGAGGATTTGGAGGCTCAAGTTGACCAATAGCGAGAATATTTCCATGGGCGCTGGTCCCAACTGTGCATAGCATTGGGATTCCGAATCCAGCCCCGAGGCACAGCGCGTATCCAGCCAGCGAGCAGCCAATTGATTCGAGTCGAAGCTTCCCAGATCGATCCTTGATCCTTATGGCATCCGGTTGTAGGGCTCCATGATAAGAATGAAATATGGCACACTTACAATTCTGTTTGGGAAGGATGCGTCTTATTAGGATCATGATTGAATGCGCAACCCTGATCCTCATACCGGCAATGGCCATATATCAGCACATTCCTGCATAGTGTATCCTTCGCATTTTCTATAAGCTAAAGATCAGCCCCTTTCCCAGTATGTATGTGTGTGTATATGTATATATATGAAGCAGTCTTCCCACGCAGCGGCCGAATGTCGGGTTTACGCACCTCGTCCCTTTGGTCGTGGGGAGCTGGCGGGCTTCCGCAGCTCTGGAGAGTTGAACCTTGCGGTTGCCATCGCGTATTGTGTTTATCGTCTTCGCAGCTCAACTATCTGCCGCACCCCGAGAACACGTTACGGAGCCTGGTTGCCAGTTAGCAGAGTCCGCGTCTGAAGCTGATAGCGCCGCCAGCGTCAATGGTAATTGCATCTGGCTATGCAGGAAGACGAATGGCAGCTGCCAACACGCGGGGGAATGCGTTGGCAGAACGAAGCTAATCTAGTTGAAGACGAGCTGCTATACGTAGATAGTAGATAGGCAGGTACATACTTGATTCTGGCTAACATTTCTCAGGATGCAGTTGTTACAGCGAGGAGAAGCACCCATCGAGCTATGGGCCCGGTTTCAACCTCAGACAGATCTGTTTTGGTTGGGCGGGTTTTCAAACCAAGGGCGACACGAGTGGTGGGAAGGAGATGTTGGAGCTATGAGGCATCGAAGAGGGAGAAAGAGAGGGAGAGAGAGACAGAGAGGTTGGTTGGAGTAGAATGACAATTACGCGGGGCCGTCGACGGGCTGAGAGCCTCAGCTCGCCTCGCCCCAAGCCAGCTGCTTCGTACATAAAGGTACCTTTAGCTAATAAGGTGCATATTAATACCCTACGTACTACGTCCTAGCTAGCTACGACTAGGTAGTAGTACAATACAACTGTAGTACAATAATAATCGGCCAGTCAGTACTATTATACTATAGCGCTGCCACCGTCGCCGCCGGGCAGCTGCAGAATTGCAGGTGCAGCCCGGCGGTCGGTATTTGCAGTGCAGGGCGAGGCTTCGGCCACATCATTGCTTCGTACAATACTACGTACACTAAACACTTTCATACTTACCAGTATTGTATAACGCTCCAATATCAACATCAACATCAACATCAACATCAACATCAACATCAACATCAACATCAACATCAACATCAACATCAACATCAACATCAACGTGAATAATAGACTACTACACCTCCGCATCCACCTTCTCTTCATATCTGCATTGCCTTTGGCACAGCTCTCCCTTTCTCTCATGTCTTCATAACCAGCATCCGAACCATCTTTGGGACAGCTTGTGCAGGGAGGGCGAGAGAGAGAGACGGACAGATAAATAAACGCATACAGCGCGAGCATGGCGTCAATAGAAGCTGATACGACTGCCACTGCTGGTGTCGATATCAACGATCTGTCTGAGGTGCAACAGCTCGCGCTACAGCAGTATACGTCTGTGACAAACCAAGATGCCCAAGCTGCCATACCATTGCTGCGGAGATCCCAGTGGAATGTCGAGGTACGTAATGCCGGCGACAAGATTGTCTCGTGGAGTCGTGGACTGAACATAGCGTCAGATTGCAGTAACCAAGTTCTTCGATGGCGAAGGCCCGGATCTCGTTGCGGAGGCGCTCGCAGCACAAAACGCTCCACCACCACCGCGAGCTGCCAGACGAGAGAATCTCCAGCACAGCCTGCTTCGGCCGAGTTTGAATCCCCCGACGAGACAGCCACACCCTGATGCTGCCCCCCGAATAGTTCCCCAGCCTGCCGATCAGGTCATCCCTCGGCCATCGCTCCTCCTGGCCATCCTCTTCACACCATTCCGAGTCCTATATAAGATTTTCTCTCTTCCTCTCAACCTATTCGCCTACCTCTTCCCGTTCCTCCCCATCTTCCGCCGCGATGCGGCCGCTGGAGCATTAAGACGAGCAAACACGAGTGGCCGACGGCCGCTCTCGCCGGCTGATACAGCTCAGCGGGTCCAGCGTGAGTTCTCAGAAGAGTACGGGGAGAATGAGCTTCCCTGGAGTGGGTTCGGCTACGCAACGTCCCTAGACTACACAAAGAGGGAACACGGCTTTCTGCTTGTTGTTCTACTCTCCCCGGAGCATGATGATACGTTGACCTTCTGCCGTGATGTCCTCATGAATCCAGATGTTAATCAGTTTATTAAAGACCCAAACCACATGATTAGGTTATGGGTTGGTGATGTCCGCGATGCAGAGGCTTATCAAGTTTCCACCGCATTAAAATGCAATAAATTCCCCTTCACGGCCCTTATATGCAACACCCCCGAGGTGAACAGCACAACAATATCTGTCGTCTCGCGTATTGTAGGTCCGATGGATCCAAACACGTATCTCGCAAAGTTACGGACCGCACATGCAGCACGAACGGAGGCACTGGAACAAGGGAGGGCTGCGCGCGCATTCCAGAACGCTGAGAGAAACCTCCGACAGGAGCAAGATTCTGCGTATGAGCGAAGCTTAGCGCAAGATAGGGAACGGGCAAGGTTGAGGAGGGAAGCAGAAGCTGCTGCTGAAGAAGCCGAGAGGAGGAAGAAAGAGGAAGAGGGGAACGCCGCCCTCCTCGCTGCTAATAAAGAACAGTGGCGGAAATGGCGAGCTGCGCAGATCGCTCCCGAACCAAGCGCTGATGAAAAGGATGTGGTGAGGATCGCGTTGAAGATGCCTGAAGCTGCAAGAGTTATGAGGCGATTCCGGGCTTCTGATCCAATTGATGAGCTGTATGCTTTCGTGGAGTGCTATGACCATGTCAAGGAAGGCTCGAGTGGTGAGAAAGCCCCCGAGAAGCCAGAGGCGTATGTACACAACTATAACTTCCAGATTGTCTCAACGTTACCGAGGGTAGTGTATGACGTTGAACAGGGAGGAAGTATCGGGGAGAAAGTAGGGAGGAGCGGAAACCTCATTGTCGAGCAGATTACGGATGATGACGATGAAGATGATAACGAGGGAGAGGGCTATGGGCAATAGGAAGATAACCTCCTTAAGTCCTTGTTTAAATAAAATCACTACCTGGGAGCATGCCCTGCGTACAATTAATATCAACTTGAATACATCCCCAATTCTTCATTATATGATATTGGTAATTTACATCTGATATATGGTATCACTAGTTTCCCTGACGCCCCCAGTATGCCATCCGACAAGTAGTATAAACAGAGACAGACTTCGTTATCCGATCTCTAGAAGGTATATTTATGACGATCCACTCTCTTTGGGATTCGCCGAGTGAGGTATTGGACACCCACATGGGGCCCGTTTCCTTATTCCGGAGGCCTCATCTAAGTCCTCGTCGAGAATTGATTCCGCCAGTCGATCCTCATCACCATCCTCACCTCCATTAAACTCAAAATTCATCATAGGCACATCCTCACCACCCGAATCCCGCTTCTGGTGACCTCGCAACCAAGACCTTCCTCCCGCCAAACCACCACAGACCCTCGGCTTGATCTTACTCCACCACACCCAATACAAGACCCCAAGGCCCAAAATCCCCAAACCAGTAGAGGGATATGCATACCACTTAAATCTCTCACCACCACCCAAACCCTCCCGCCCTTCGACGCCCCCGTTAGGTTTGATCCACGGCAATACAAGCAAGAGCACATTACTCGCCGCGAACACGGCGGTGTATATCTTTTTGGATTCGTACCCTTCGTGACCTTTCCAGTTTTCTGAGGGGTTGAGCTGGAGGTAAAGAAGACCGACGGAGATGGAGACCGAGATCACCGAGACAGGGTAGCCGCCGATGTCCACCAGGAAGTTGTAAATCTCGCCGGGTGGGGGAAGGATGATGACGAGAATGGAGACAAGCCAGTGAAGGATGAGGCCTGGGGTGGCATCTTCTTCTTGTAGCTGGTCTTTCTCGTTGGAAGAAGAACCAGTTTTCCCCAGAATGCTGGAAAGGGAGATCGAGTGTTTGAAGAACCGCGAGAAGGGAAGGAGACCGTCCCGTCCTAGTTCCATATTGACGCAAGCTTGGGCAAAGGACGTCGCCGCAATGTTTCCAAATGCAGATATAATGATGAATAAGGGTAGGATGTTACCCCCTACTTGCTCACCAAAGATATTCCGGAAGAAATAACCTGCAATTAGAACCCCGCTGCTCCGGAAATCTTCGCGCGATACAACGGCAAAATAAGCAATGTTGGCCAAGATGTATGCAGCTGATACTAGTAACAGCGCAATTGGCGCGGCCCGTTTCAAAGTAGGGATTGGATTTCGGACTGAAGAGAGGACCTGGTTCGCTGTGCTGTAACCGCGAAAGCAGTAGAGAATTTTGAGGAGGGCCGTGGCGTAGTCATGTGGTTGTGTAGATGACCCTTCGAAGAGATTGGAAAAGTTCCTTTGGGCTGTCGTAAGATGTCCATCACCCTCTGAGAGTGATGAATAACTATCTGGCCTGAGACGCCGAGCAGTCAAAGCCAAAGGCGAGTATTCAGAGCCCACGCCCATGATGATCCCCGCGACCCCAGAGAGGATTACAATCACGAGGATTGCCATCTTGCCGACGCCGAGGATATTGATTATGCGCAGCCCAAGCTTTTTATACCGGGCGTGAATGAAACATATAAGAGTGATGACGGCCACTGCCACACTCCGAACATTCCAGCGATTGACTTCTATTTGCAGTGCGTACATGACATACTCGCCTAGAACGATGCAATTCGGGGTGCTAAAGCCCAAAAGTACAACGTATGACATAAACATGCAAGTAGCTAGCATATGAGGCTTCCTGAAAATGCGTTCCAGATATATTCGCTCGCCGCCTGAGCGTGGAATAGCTGTCCCAAGATCAAGATATACCGCCAAACCACAAAAGGAGATGGCGGAACCAAGTATCCATAGTGTAATCGAGGCACCAACGGAGCCGACAGAGTTGAAGATTGAGCTTGGAATAGAGTATATCCCTACTCCGATCGTCTTTCCAAGAATTATGTTGATGGCGGAAAAAGTACCAAGCTTCCCAGATGAGGATGGTGGGTTGTAGTTTGGCGTGAGAGGTAAGGTATTGGTGCTGTATGGTGACACTAGTGTGGTACTGGAAGAAAGCTGGTCATCGTCATTATATTTAGGGGAGTATATGCTTGAATGAGATTTTCTGGGTGACGCTATCGGAAAGGACCGGGGTGTGCTAAGATATGTCGAGCTATTGAATGTAGCATAACGTGATTCTGCTGTATTGAGAAAGAGACCATTAGGCCCGGAGGCAACTTCGTTTTTGTGTGTTGGCCGGCCTGGCCGCCGGGGGTTAATTGGAGAACGGCAACTGACATCGACGAAGCTATTGCGTAAAGGAGACGAAACAGTAGAAATGGCGCCACCTATGGACAACGGTCTTGATGAAGAGGACCTTGGCATTTGGACGAAGAAGGAGAGAATGGGCACGTGTGGGATATCAATGCCTCGCCCGTCATTGGATGCTGGAGAGGAGTGTTTAATCGTGGTTTGACAGTCAATGCAAGCCACAGTGAGCTGATTCTTCAAGGGAGAAGGTGAGTGAATGGAGAAGAGCCAAGAAATGTGGTGTGGGAATTTTGAGGAGATAAGAGAGAATTGTTGAAGTGATGAGACAAGGAGGCGTTGATACTAACAACCGGAGTCTACGGATCGACATGAGAGAGAAACTTGAAAACCTTTACCTACCTATCCCGCCGGCCGGGAGCCTCGTGTCGACATTCCTATCTTGACCTAACTTGGAGGAAGAGGAGCACAGAAAAGATAGAAAAAGCAGGCCGGTCTTTGGTGATTGGCTGTCGTCCCCGAATTATCACGTCTGTGAAACCAAGACGGTGCAGGATGCTAGGACACCCAACTCCGATCCGCCTAGCTGGCTCGCAAGAAGTCCAAGAGATACGAAGTACACATACCCAAGTTTAACCTTCGAGCCATGGTACTGGAGGCGATCTCGTGGATGCCTGTATGGAACGCCAAGCTCTAACACTATCCTGTCACAGCCTGAAACAAACTCGCCTGCGGCGGATCTGGGGATGAGAGTCCGGGATATGGGTGATTGTGAGCCCGTGCAGAACCATCAATTCTCACGACGACCACGCAAAACTGCGACGTGCTGAATATATGGAGCCATGAGGTTTCAATAGGAATAAACAATAGCTGGGGAAAACGCCTTGGCTCCTTGGCCCGTCTGGAATGGAAGGCCAAGCCGATCAGCCCTGTCTGTTATAGCATCACATGGTAATCTTGCTACCAACCTACCTACCTATACCTACATAGGGAATTGGGCGTTCGTTTGGCGGTGATTTGTCGAACGTCAGGAGCTCTGTTGCAACTTGCAGGACAGACTAATGTCATCCTATAAATGTTCGTCTTCTCTACGCATCTAATTTTAATCTTTCTAATAAGTCATCGATCTTTCGGAGCAAGACTTGGTAATTAATTGCGTCCGCTACAAATTCATCATCCGCCATCTTGCCATCTAGAGTTTTGATGGGATTGGCAATCGGATCAGCTGCGTTGTCAGGGACGACGGAGGTCGTTGTCTGAGGAGTGTTCATATTGACGGTCCCATGTTTCTCATTTGCATTATTAGGTACGGCCTGCGTAGCTCCGTCGGTGATTTCTCCTCCTTCTTGGCCCATGACTTCGAGGCCGGTATCCTCGAAACGCAGCCGGAAACGGTCAGACAAGTAGTATCGGATACTGAATTGGAATGTCATCAACACAGCAATCAGGGAATATTTTATGGGAGCTGACTTACTCATCAAGCAGCTCGATGGTATCCGTCTCCTGCCGTTTTTCAATTCGGGAGGCACTCTCCTTAATCAGTTCCTCAAACTCTTCCTCGTCGATATAGTCCTCAAGTCGATAAGCAAGATAGCGCGCACTGAATTCCTCGAGACGCTGAACCTTGAGATCCCAGCCTGCTCGGATTACATCGTATATATTTATGGGCTCCACTTCAGGCTCATCCACACTATCTTTATGGGTTCGATCACCAAGACCCGTTGGTCCGTTTCCAACAGTGCTAATGACAATTGCGGCCTTGTTTTTCAGCTTCTCAATCAAAAGCATATCTGCGGCGAAAAGAACCCCGATTGCTAGCTCAATAGGAATATCCGCATTTTCTGTGTATAAAAAGTCCAAAACGATCTCTAATATCGCCGGCGAGCAATCAACAGTTACCATCTTAAGATATTCTGTAAGCTGAGCTTCTTGAAATTGTGAACCAAACATTGTTTGGAAGTATTCGGATCTCAGCAACATAGCTCGATGAACTGGAAATAGAACGGACTTCTTTGGGCTTTTAGACACCGATGGAGATCGAGAGGCGGCTGCAGGACCAATCGGGATACCACTAGATGGAGCCGAGGTGTTTCGCTCTTCGGAATTTTCTTCCTCGGATCTTCCATCATCTGGAACGTCCTCATCAGCTCGGAGTAGAACATCCGCGAATATGGCATTATCTCGAGTCCATTTAACTTCTGGAGCCTTGGCAGTGTCCACAGTGAGTTTGTGCTTTAAAACATTTTCCTGGTACCATTTCTCAATATGATCCCTTCCTCGTGTGACTTCATCCTGATGCCGTTGACGTGCTATCCGCCTGTCGCTTCCAGATAATATTCCTTCCCACAAGGACTCGATTTCCAAGTCCTTACTAACTTTGTCGATGCCCTTGAAAACCTCCTCCTCCGTCACAAACGAATGGCCACTCAATCCAAGATCCGACGGCACCTCTCCGAGGTATAAATATCGAAAAGCAACATGAAATGCCTCGGGTGATATTGTACTAGAGAGTTTCCAAGTTGTGGTTTCGGGGGCCGCAGCGAGTCGTTTCGAGAAGTATGGTGAGCGAGCTGAAAGTATAAACTTATGTAGATCCCAAGACTCGGAGGACGCAGTCAAACGGATATCTGAAGTTTTGGGAGATTCACGAGTGAGCAAAGAGGTAACATGCGAGGCAAGAGGCTGTAATGGGTCGGTACTTTTCGAGTAGTCGTACTGTAGAAGAAGGTTGCGGATTCGGTTGTTTAACGCATTGTAAATGCAGCGCTCGCCTTGGAAAGTATCTCGTTCGCAAAGCGCTCCTGATTCTAACAGGAGTTGGATAACCTCATAGTGCCCGCAGAGTGAAGCCTAGTTAATGTAAGTGGTCTGTCTAAGTATGTAGATGACAGCGGCAAGGCCTACCAAGATCAATGGTGTATAATCAAACACATCGCTGGCATTTATGCTGGCTCCACTGGCGATTGCTTCCTGGCAGGCCTTCAAATCACCAATTCGGCACGCATGGCATAGCTTCTGAAATTCCGGACTGAGATCAAGTGGGCTGTCGTCTCTCAGTAGTCCATCCCCGATCAACTGGTGCTCGTCCTTGAGTTGAACTTCGAGTTCGTCCTTGCGAAGAATCATTTTGAGTAATGCGCCGACCAGCTCCTAGACCTAGACTTGGACCTAAACTTGAATTTGAACGTGAACACTTGAACTATCCAAAATCGAACTGAAGAGAGGGCAACGCAAGCTGCAGAGCGTACTTCGCACTGATTGTGGGGTGGCAATCCATCACATATAAGTCGTTATCGGTGTTAGTTGGACGGCGATAAAACCCATCCCCATCCCTGCAGTGCACTATAAAAGCCGAAGAAATGCCATACGCCCAGACCCGCCACCCTGGCACTCGGCAGCGGGCGGTCAAGCGCGTTGCTATGGCAATACTTTCCCCCGTTACAACTGTAAACATCAACGGTCGTCTCCGTGAACACGCCAAATCAACGGCAAAACTCGACAACTCGACCAATTCGACGACATTCTCACGGACAACCACAGCCCGGATACATTCGCTCATGGAATTGCCAGTCACTATATTTTGCTAACGAACTTTACTACGACCAAAACAGGCTGTCCGGCACAGTGGGAGACAATGTCTGAAGGAGATAAGTATGATATCTTGGAGAAGATAGGTACGCATCTCATGCATTTAATTTCAACTATGGCGGCTAACAATACCTAGGGCATGGCTCCTTTGGAATTATTAGAAAGGTCCGGAGGAAGCAGGATGGTCAAGTTCTATGTCGCAAGGAAATCAACTACCTACGCATGTCGCAGAAAGAACGGGAGCAGCTACATGCTGAGTTCGCTATCCTATCATCACTACGGCATCCGAACATAGTGGGCTACTACCACCGAGAGCACTTGAAGTCGACTCAAGATCTCCACCTCTACATGGAGTATTGCGGGAATGGAGACCTAGGCCGAGTCATCAAGGACCTTCAAGCCAAAAAACAATATGCCGAAGAGGGCTTTGTGTGGAGCATGTTCTCTCAACTGGTGACCGCCCTTTATAGATGCCACTATGGTGTTGACCCGCCAGAAGTTGGGAGCAATGTCATGGGCTTGGGTAACTCTGCGAAGCCACGTCAACCTGCCGGCAATGTTATGATTCTGCATCGCGATTTGAAGCCAGAAAATGGTAAGCCTGCTATTTGCCACGGAGTGTCATTGATACAGGTCTAATAAATGTATAGTTTTCTTGGGAGAGGATAACTCCGTCAAGCTTGGCGATTTTGGGCTCTCCAAAATTATGCAATCGCATGACTTTGCCTCTACCTACGTTGGTACACCATTCTATATGTCTCCGGAGATTTGCGCTGCAGAGAGATACACTCTGAAGTCCGATATATGGTCGCTAGGATGTATTATCTATGAACTCTGCGCCAGAGAACCGCCTTTCAATGCGAAATCCCATTTCCAGCTTGTCCAGAAGATCAAGGAAGGGAAAGTTGCACCATTGCCCCAAGTTTACTCTCCAGAGTTGAACGCCGTCATCAAAGATTGCCTTAAGGTCAATCCAGACAGACGCCCGGATACTGTAACGCTACTTAATCTCCCCGTTGTCAAGCTCATGAGGAAGGAGAAGGAGGTGGTCGAGTTGGGTAGGATGCTGAGGAACAAAGAGGAGGTAGCTTCGCGCCGATTGAATGAGGCTGAAGAACGACTTCGCAAATCTGAATCTGAGAAGACGGCAATGCGCTTAGAGATCGAGGCCTCTCTCCGAAGGGAGTGGGAAGTTAAGGCGCAGCTAGAGATCAATCGTCTCGTCCAGCAAGAGATCGAGAAGTTACAAAAGAAGTTCGACTATGAGGTGCAAGAACGGGTTGATTCCGAATTACAGAAGCGCTCCAGTACAGAAAGTGCCAAGGCAACATCGATCAAAGACTTCTCTGGATCAAATTCGCACCCTCAAAATGACATCCAATTCTCATCTGTCGGCACTAGTGGAGATGGCGATTTCCCTTCCTCGACAGACTTGACCGATCTGTCACTTGACTCCCCAGAACCCTCAAAGGGCCTCAAGAAGAGCACCCGAACTCCATTCGGGCGAGCTCAGACTATGTTCGCCGGAACCCCGATGGACATTGAAATGGGCGAGCCATCCCCAATATCAATCGCCTCGCTTTCTCTCTCCCCACGTCGCAATGGGGCGGCCAAGGCCCCCAATGGTGGGCGCAATATCTTTGCGGCGGCAGCTGGGGCTGAAGCCCGTTGGCAACCATCACTTATCAATTCAGATGATTCGGATGATGATGATGTGCCACCTCATCCGTCACCAACGAGGCAAAAGTCTGCCAAAAATCCTTTCAAACCTAGCGGTGCTCGACCGGCCCTGATCTCTCAAAGGACTGTACCAGCTCACAAACCGTCCCAGCTTAACATATTTAATGCTGCAAAGGTCAACTCAACGCCAACCTTGCCGTCGCTGTCAAGCGCGCCCGATTTGCGGCCACAAGCCAGCAGTGCCGCACTCAAGGAGCGGAGCTCATCACCCAACCGGAGACTATCCAAGATTCCTTCATCCACAAACTTGCACTCTCATGACAACCGACCAACATCTCCCACAAGAAAAAGTAGCTTAACCAAGGGGAAGAATACCGGAGGGGATGATCTCAACAAGATAGCAACAAAAAATAATATGATCAAAGCTGGTAGTGGTGGAAATCTCGCACCCAAGGGCAGGACATTGGTCGAGTTGGCGCAAGCACGAGCAGGCGGAAGACCAGTCGACGAAGGCAACCGAAGCCCGGAACCAAAGGGGCGAGCATTCGCAGCACGGATGACTGACAAGGTAGCGGCCAGAGATCAAGAAATTCCAGTGTGGGATCCGGAGCGAGACGAGATGCCGAGTCCATTCTTGGTCCGAACTCGCGCTCCAGTCAGGAGACTGTGATGGGTGATGATAGGGACGAGCTAAATGTTGGGGATGAGGGGAGTACCTAGGTATAGGTCGACTATTAGGATATTTTCGCACACAAGCGCAGAACATGCGGCCTATTTTTCATTTGTATGCATGCATGGCAGGATGGGTGGTTGAACGATGCACTGGCGGTGCTTCGTGGCGTTTGGGTATGGGCATAGGGTAATCATCCTTCATTGATTCATGTACTCTACTACACGCAGGAAGGAGTTAGACATGTTAAATGTTGTGGAGCGAACTTTAGGAAAGTGTCTTTTGGGGCAAACCTGGAGTCAATGATAATTGGAAACAATAAAACTACCTCTACTTACTTGCCTTTTCTACCTCCAGTTCCTCCCCCTAGTAACGCACATCTCGTAACTAATCTAACTAGCCTATAGCTTCTCAAAACCAAATCTGGAGAAGCTAAAAAGGAGTAATCGTTAACCGAGGATAACTTGTTGTTTGCTTCCTATTTATCAAGTTGAAGACTAGTCTTAAAAATTTAAGTTAAAAGATAGTTGTGAAGCTCACGAAATAATAATAGTAACCCGCTAGAGTATAGAAAGGAAATGAAATGCTGCATATCGTTATTTTAAATACCTTTGAATAACTATGGTCTAATGCTTGCATTTGGCTGGGGAAACGCAGCTAATACTTACCGATTCTCCTTGGGTGTCAAATCTAGGAGGATCACTGCGGAAGTGCAAGGAACTCGTTTAAGATGCTGTTAGAGGATCTTATATCTGATAGGAGCTTGTGCAACAATGCTTTAGGAAACAGCCACTATGTTCAAGGTGCTCGAGGGAACTGGAGTCGCTAAACTCTCATATTGTGGGAAGTCTATGTATTTATCAGGATATGACATTAGATTTGGTAAAGCTCACAAGTTGTTGCATTTAAGTTTGCCATTGCTTTCAGATGTATAAAGGTTTCTACATGTTACTATCTGCCCGAGCCCACGAGCCAGCGAAGGGAACGCCTAACACCAACTCCTTTAATATGAACGTGCTCAGTAATCATCATCATTATCATCATCAGGATTAATGCCTCTCCTCTCCTCAAATTGCATGAAAAGTGAAGATCCGTCTGCACCTTCGCTGCCCATGGCTTCCTTCCACTGCTCCTCAACATTCTCCAAAATGCGGTCATCAAAAGCGAGGTCACAGGGCGAACTAATATCCTCTTGTTGATCATAATAGAGAGTATAAAGTAATCGGGCATCGCTGCACTCGGTCGACTTAATGAGGGAGGACAAAGCGGCATCAAGGATGGGTTTACTAGTAGCTGAATACAGCGTAGTAGCATAGAGAACACCTAGAATGCCGTTAGCTATACTGATATTTCCAAGTAAATGAATAAACAGAAGACATAAGTAGCATCATCAGACTGTCAGAGGTTGTTATCTTCAAGGTAATTCAGACAATGTAGATAAGTATTCGTAAGTTGAATCATCATGTAATGCAAGGAAAAACGCCACAAAAAATAGATATATACTAACATTGACCTGCTGGGCATTCTCCTGTTTCACTGGAGTGCACCATGACGTAGACTGGACAGTCCTGAGTAGCTTCTTCAAGGTGAAGAGTTCCTGATGGAAATACCACGACAGAGACCGCAGCAAGAGGAGATCCCTCAGTGGAGTTCACGAAAAGAGAAGACAGGGTGGACGAAACGACAGCGATAGTCTTCGAGACCATCCTGGAATTGGAGCCGTTGGCAGAACCCGAATGGGGAATATAATGTTTCGTTCCCACCGTTTCCCCATTCGAGAGTTCAATCCTCCATCGTTCTTTATCCCTGTCGTCAACGGCGTTGGTAACACCTGTGCCAAGAACATAAACACCGCCTCCAACAGCTCCTGCTCGGCAGGCGACCTGTGCTATCTCTGCACCGCCGCCCCACTTAGGTATCACAGCTCCAAACCCTGGCCCGAAAACACCGATAGATGTAAGGTGACGAGAAATTCGTGGAAGAGCCCATTTGACAATGGTTCGACCAGGAGTATCCAGTGATAAAGTCAAGGCTGTGATGATGCTTTGAAGATGTGGTGGGAGCTGGAACCTAGAAGACAGGAAGTCTTGCAGGCTGCATTCGCTGTCGGCTTCCCACAACTCCGGCTGGTTCTCGAAATCCACCACGAATTTCAAAAATTTCATCAAGCTCCGTTTAGCTCTGTTGTCGATCCCTTGATCCCGAAAGATGTCTTCTCGCCCATTGGGGAGTCGCTTCAACAGTGGAGGCCCTTCTCCATTGTATATCCACCAGTTCCCGACAGCCTGGAACTCAAGTTGGCGGTAGACCTTGGATGATACAAGTTGGCCAAGGAGCTTTGACTTCGTGTAGATGATTTGTGGTGAGAGAGTCAAAGTGTATGCTCGTGAGAAGGATAACTTGTTCGACTGGCTCGAGGTGTCTGCATCGTCTTTCCACAGTGTGACATTTTGAAATGTTCCTGTACTGGAATCTGGATGCTGTCAGGCTCGGTAACAGCAAGTTAAGAAGGCAAGGAGGACCAACCCTTTCTAAGCCTGCCTACCCATTCATCAACCTCCTGTAAGCTGAAAGCAGCCTCCGCACCGCCATAGTATTCATTGTGGTCGACGTGAAGAATCTTCTTGTCAGAGCGGGACAGGGCTCTTTAGGTAGAGCTATGTCAGTCAGATTTGACTCATATGCTTCGAGATGGAGACGGGAGGAAGGCTCACAAGGCCAGCAGCGAATGCTGCAGTCCAGTCCCGGATATCACGACATCCCATTTTGTGTCGCTCAAGGATTCCATATTCGAAAATCGAAAGGAAAGGAGTGTGCGGGTGGAGGAAAGATTGGAAGTTAAAATAGTCTGCTTTGACCCTCACGCTAATCCATAAAGAGCAAGCCTCAATACGCGAGCCTGGCGGCTTGAAAAAGGACCGTCGACGCGAAATCTCTTCAATCTTCAACCGTCCGACCAGTTTCGCAGCTCTGCCTTCCCACACAGAGTTGGGTTGTAAGAGGAGCCTTTCATTAGGCCTCCTTTGTTGGACGGTAGACGAACTATGCGTCCTGTATCTACTGCTCTGGAATCCCTGATCTGAAAGAAGCGGTTCGTAATGGATGGTACACTACCTTTCATCGCATTTGCTCCGTACTAGCACGGAACTGTGGATTGTTTTAGACTCTTCGAGGAAGCTGTTGGAGGAGGCTCTAGGTTCGAGTTCGAGTTCGAGGAAGGCAGTTGGAACGTCTCTACTGGCACGAGACGAGGAAAATGTTCGCTTCATGACCTTGGAGCCTGCAACTTCTTTTTCCAAACCGCCTTTCATGGACTCACGTTTAAATACTTCAATATATATATATACATATCTTCCTAGAAACATATTATAACATGCACTAGCACAGCCGGTTTCCTTGTTCCGCATGCCAGTGGTTTTGTTTCAAGTACCTTCATTTGATACCAGTTGTTTATTCTATCAATCGAGTCTTTCAATTTCAACCCTCTTTTCATGCCCCTCTGGGGCTGGCAGTTATGCTTCGGGCGGAAACATTAGGATATAAGCTTACCTATGTTAATTGTACTGTTTGCTGTATATTGTAGCTAGGCTTTAGTCTGATTCCAGGATGTCTCGAGATATGCGGAGAATTGTCCCCATGAACAATACACCGTCAACTCGTAGCACAAAGTTCGAAATCGGTGGATCTGCCCTCCACAAAATTGCTCTATTAATCTCTCTCTCATTTAATCTCCTGTTTCCTAAGCTCCAAAGTTTGGTTTTGTTGCATGTCGCACTTTGCGGCCGGCGGCCGCACAGCGCCGCCATCAGTCTGTTTCAGTACATATTGCTGTTTGTACCATAATGTTGCCGCTCCTGGCACCTAGGATGTCTCCAATGTACCGTGAATCCCGTCAATGACCTCGGCCAACCCGTCCAGCTCCGGGCGCCCGAGCTACTTGTTAGGGGCTGATTGGGACGTGCCGACCGACTGGTGAAATCTTGGTGCCGTTGTTCTACGGTCTTCCGCGCCATCAACATGTCACTGGTCGGTTTCCTTTGAAATAGGCAATGAAAGCTAAATAAGAATATCCTAGAGGTTGTCGAAATCTTTAGCTTATTCTCGAAGGCTCCTCTGGGAATGGGTAACCAGGTGATCGTAATGAAACACTTCGACCATGTTGGGCAAATCAAGAATTACTTTCTATGAACAGTCCAGCACCATCTTCAGACGTTTTTATAGCGGATCACCCTAAGGAGCCTAGGGAGGGATTCGTGTAAATCTCCCCTTGCTCTCATGAGAATCGATTCCAAGGTCAACTTCAAACTATGAAACTCCTGAGGTGGCCGTGACTAGCCGCGGTATTAATCCGTAATATACCAATCAAATCAAATCAACTCAACACCAGTGTAGCTTCGAGGAAATATATTTTAAACATGGGAGCTTCTTCTGTGCCGCTTTCGTATTCTTCGTTCCTCTTAATCTAGGTGTGAAACTTGAGTTAAATTGTTACTAAATCCCTTTGTTAAGCCCTGTGTAATCACTTGTGCTTTACATAATACCCTATGCCTCAACACATTTAACTCTTAATTTATATAACTGTCACTGTAACATCATTTCTAATGGGCACGTTTAGCAGACTTAAGTGAATCTCTTTACTCTACAGTTGATATTAAATTATGTACTTGCTTTAGCAAACAACTAGATACAGATTCAATATCCCTTTACGTAAAAGACTCCCCCTTAAATGCCCGATTCGACTATACATGATGTTCATAGATCTCGTAAGACAATTCCTCTATCGAAGCACTTATCATGAAGCCACCTTTCCCTTCTCACTCACTTCGTCAGCATCAATCCTCGCCCTTGTAAGGCCCTCCTTCTCAAGCCTCTCCCTTTCCTCCCTAGCCTGCTCCTCCCTCCTAATATGAAAATCCACCGGTCTTCTCTGCCACGTCATAAAAGTGGCCAACGCCCCTGCTCCGGCAAGAGCAGCACAAACCTTCAATGACAGGCTAAAAGAATCCGAGTACGCCTTCCTAACGGCAAATAATTGCTCCGGGGTCATATTCTTTGCGGAATCTTGCAATGAGGCTAGTTGTTGCTCCGTAATGATGCCGGAGAGGTCGCGCCGTTGGGTGACGCTCTGGATTGCGGTTGCTGCGGCTATGCCAATGCTGCCGCCGAGGACGCGGACTTGTGCTATAATGCCTTGGGCTACGGCTGGTGCGGGGATGGGGAGTTAGTGCAAGTTTAGATATAGATAGAAATGGCTTCCGCGGGGGAGAGAAGGGGTGGGTTTCTTACTATTATCCCTGAGCTCACACTCCAAAGCCCCGCCCAGCGAGACAGTCGACACAGTAAGCCCAAAGCCCAAGCCCATAAACACTTGGAACCCGTACATCTTCGGTTCTATCTCAAGCACATTATCCAATGTTGAAAGTGTAGCGGCACCGATCACCATCAACAGAGATCCTATTAGAAGTGTAGGGAATATATAACTCTTCCGAGTGTTGATGATGCCCGCCAGCGTGCTGGCGACGGCAACAGATCCGATCATGGGTAAAAGGGCCACGCCAGCTATGAGCTGCGATTTATCGTTCACGACCTGTAAACGGAGAGGGAGGGTATAGATGATGAGGAAGTAGGGGAAGCCACCTAACAAAGTCGTTAATACGTAGCCCATGTAGACACGACGCTTCATCAGACGCAGCGGGAACATAGTGGCGAATGAGTCTTCCCAAAATCGAGATACTAGGATTTCCCAGATGAAAAGTGCAATGTAACATAAACAACCGATTGTGAGGGGTGCAATGAAGAGGGCTGTATGCCAGCTATCAGGTTGGAGGCCGGCCCCTTGGAATGAGAAGACGACGAGGACCGAGGCTGCTATGATTAGGAGTGCGCCGATGACGTCGAGTTCTCGGATTGAGCGTAGTGGAATATGGCGTATTTGATGTGGTTTCGGCCAGGCGATAATAAACAGTATAAGGGGGCCAATACCCATCGGAGCGCTAGGGCCATTGTCAGTATATGTTTAGATGAATATGTCAAGTCAAGCTTACTTGATCCAAAATATCCACCGCCAGGTAGTATAATGAGTTATAATTCCACCAAGAACAGGACCTAGAATACCAGCTATAGCTACCACTGCCCCTGCCATGGCCCCAATCATTTGAACCTTGCTCGGCGGGAGAATCTCAGGGAAAATGACGAAGGTCAATGAGTAGAGGCCGGATCCGCCAATCCCTTGCAATACTCGGCACACAATGAGTTGGTTGAGAGTTTGAGCAAATCCACACCCAAGAGAAAAGGCAAAGAAGATCAAGAACGCTGCAATGTAGGCGTTCCGCCTTCCTGTGATATCTGCTAGTCTTGCAAAAATGACTGCACATCCTAGGTAGGCCAAAGTGTAGGCTAGAGCAACCCAGTTAATTTGGTTAAAGGACTTCAAGTCCGCTCCGATTGTATATAAAGCTGTAGCGACGATTGTTGTATCGAGGAGAGATATGAATAAACCAAAGGCGAGACTGGCGAAGCATATCAGTATTGGACTTCATCAAGCAACTATTTTTTACCAACCTAAAACCAATACATATTAATCGCCATTGAGGAAGGACTGGATCATCTGAGAGAGTCGAATGGCTGTGGGCCATTTCCCCCTCCTCTACCATTGTCATCGGGTCGATTTTGGGACGGTTCGGCGGAGCTGTTTTCTCCATGACAACAAAAATAAACGAATAAATGCCTCCTTGAGGTCCTTAAACATAGCAGCGATATACAGAATGACTTTAGAACAGACAGAGGACTCAATATACATCAAGGGAAAGGGCTAGAAGTCGGGCCAATGATTTCCTACGACCGTACTGTTCGGCGAAGGTCTTAGGGTTGCGCCGACTTTTGGAGCTATAACTTGGCTATCGGCCGTAAACCCCTACGACATCAAGCATCGTTTCATACCTGGGTGAAAACTTCACTAGCGGCGCAGAGAGATATACAAAAATTATGGATAAGAAAGAAATTACCCCCTCTCGAGTCTGCAGGTTCGATAAATACGATCTCAACCCCCCTCGTAAGTCGTTACGTTCACGTTGAGATGAACCGGCGGCGATGCCTGCAGCTTGCAGTTGGCGGATAAAAGGGGCCTCCCAGGTACATCAAGCCTCGCGCGAAGCGATGTGGACGGGTAGCCGAGTATTATTAGTAACGCTCCAACACCGTTACTGATGCTCAAGCTCGTAATGCGACCCTCCCTCGCCATGGGGGAGTAGGTAGTCGTTCACATGCGCCAAAAACATTATATTACTCCGGATGAGGATGGTCCTCCATTAGCCAATAGTAGTATTGTTACTATTGTATTGTATCATTAAAGTATAATAGGTATCAATTGGTATATCCCAGTCAATCATTAGTCCATAACCTGAACACCACACCCCGCCATACCATACAAAGCCCACTCCGTATTAGATAGCATAGTTCTCAGTATGCAAAAATACTTCATCCTTGCTATCGTCGCCCCAAATATCAGCTTGCAGCCTGGCAACTGTATTCGCAACATCAACGCGCATACTCGGTGGACCACACACAAAAACACAAGTGCGTCGGCCAAAAACCCCCTTCCCATCCGCACCACCAGTCGCCATCTCCTTGAGCATATATCCCAGATCAGGACGGCCGTATTCGGTAGACCAACCTTCTTTCTTCTTAGGCCCCACGAATGCGAAGCGCATGAGGTTCTTTTGGAACTCCGTGGGGGTGGAGGGAAATCCAAAGTCAAACGCGGCGGCACCAGCTGGTGCAGCGGCGGAGTTGGGAATTTGGATCTGGAGATCCACTGACTTTTGGCGTGTGTGTGCTGCTTCGGGAGGAGCTGGGTAGTTAGGTGTTACTGTGTTATGGGCGGCGATAGGAGGATTTGGCGGTGGTGGTGGGATATTTGATGCCGACTTTGAGTCATGGGATGGCCTCGTCGACTCTTCGAAGCTGGGTGGTTTGCCGTTATGGTCTTGTGATGGCCGCTTTAAGTCCTGCGACGCGGGCTTCGAGTCTGCAATATAACTCGCCGGGCGGTAGTCGGCCGACAGAGATTTGGAGTCATGTGAGATGTAACTTGCTGGCCTGTAGCCTTGAGGTGGTGGGCCTGGAGGAGGAGGTAGGTTTTGTGGGTTATAAGGGTTATTCGAATTTCGCGGAGACGGTTGGAAATTTTGTGGGTGATAAGGATTGTTCGAATTTCGGGGAGACGGTGGTGCAAAGTTGAAATGTGGCGCATCAGCCCGTGGTGGAGGTGGTGGGAAGTGGAACTCTCGGTGCTTAGATATCGAGCCTGATGGAGAGAGAAACTGCCGAGTTGCCTCATGTGAATCCGGCTCTGTATTTGCTGGGCCTTTACCTCGCCCCTCAAGCTTCCTGAGTGAGTTCTCCCTCATGACCTTCTTTGGTGGTGGAGGGAAATATGTTTGTGGTTGGGGTGGGATAACCTTTGGCTGTAAGTGTTTTGCCCGTGGCAATGATGTGATTGCGTCTTGGTTTTCAGCTCTCAGTTCCTCCTCCCTGTCTATATTACCTTGAGCCTCGTCGCGGATATAAGCTGAAGTCCGTTTGGAAGCGATTCCGGACACAAAACCATCCAACTTATCGTGCAGCATGTTGCTGATCGGCCGCGGCGCTCGATCACTCATACCCACTCTTGTTTGCCTCTTGGAGGCCGTCACATAGAATTGACAAGTCACTGTGTCCGGAGGAGCGAATTCTCTGCAAATTCGGAGTTCTTCCCTGAACCAATCCATGGCTTCCAATCTCTTCAAAGTCCAAACGACTTCGATCTTTTTTGTCACCGCTTTTCCATCTCTCATTCTCTTGATAAGGTTAAGTAACTGTGAAACAATCGCGGTGATACCGCTACCACCGGCGAACAGAACCACTGTATCGAAAGCAGCCAATTCTCGCTGCATCCCACCGTATGGCCCTTCAAGATACGCGCGGTAAGTTTTGAACGGTCCTTTCTCGATGGCCGTTTCAAGAACGCGACGGGTAAAGCCGCCGAATGGGCGGAAGACCAAAGTACAGTCTCTGTACTGATCACCATATTCAGATGGAAAATCTTCGCTGCATAGGGATGATATCGTGAATGGATGGCTTTCGAATATCGAAATTCCCGGCATTCTCAGGTAGACGTATTGGCCGGGCCTCCAGGTCATCTGAGTCGGAATCGTCACCTTGATAGCATTTTCTGCCATCAAAGTGATGGCGGCCTCATCACCAATCAACCAAGCGTTCCTCCACGGCTTCAGCCAATTCAATTTGAATATTCTGAGGAAATATGAGAGCACCCAAATGGCAACAGTGGCCCACAGGTAGTCCCAGGAGGTGAGGTAGTTGTGACAATGCCAGAAAAGAAGAGCCACGTAAGCCATCGCGACAGGAATATGTAGAGCCACGAATAACTCATATGCAATCGTTCTCAAAAATGGCAAGGAGCCTACACATAGCCATCCAAGTGGCACCAGGCAAGCGATTCCAGTTCCATAAACAGCCCCACTCCCCTCGGGGAAGAGCTTCTGAAAGACATCCATGCCGCCGTCATCCCAAACCGGCTGGATATAGAATGGCACTGTATGAACCAGGGCCAAGAAGAGGCATAGGTAGCCTCCCCATCGGTGGAAAACACCAAGACGCTCATGCCCAATTCCGGTTATCATGGCAATAAGGTTCGCCTTCATACTGGTTGCGATGATCCAAGGGGTCATGGCAACTGAGATCATTCCGGCCCTGATAGCTAATGGTGGGGATCCGAACTGTATACTCTGCCAGTAGAGAGGTTGCGGTAGAAAGCAGTATAGCGTGACGAAGGCAGTGGCAATGACAAGGATCGCGATGACTGCGAGAGACGGAAAGTTGAGAAGGACACGCTTCTTCCATTTAATCTCAGGAACCGGTCGATAAAAGATCCATCTGAATAACGCTAGCGTATCGTTGACGGGTCCGATAGATGACCAATGTGATTGACCGAAGGTTAGATTGATCGGCTTTTCGGGTTCTCGAGGAAATAGTTCTTCTGCAGTTTGGCCCGTTTGCAGATCGGTCATGGCATACTCCGGGTCATGGGAGTAAATATCTTGATAGTATTGCTCCACCTCATGCTTATGCATAGCTTGCCTGATCTTATCCGTCCAAAGGTGGTAAGCCCTCGTCACGGCGACGAGCACAACTAACACAATACAGAAGTATGTCCACCCCAAGGCATACTTGCCGGAAAGCCTCCAAGGGTCGACAGTGTTGGCTTCGACCAAACCTGGAGGGCTCGTCGGGGTAAGGGGGATATTGATCCGTTTGGAAAGCTCTGCTAAAGTTTGGGATCCAGCCCACCTCACAGACACGTCGCCAGATGCCATTTTTATGGGTCTCTCGAGGTACCGCTGGTGGAGATTCAGGGTCAGGAGAATTTAGACTCCAAAAAGTGGAAGGTGCAGGTATGCGACAGGACCTGTCACCTCACTGGGTATCGCTGGTACTAGAATAATCTGGAAGCATTCGAGCTGCAGCTTTAGTTCTCGAGAATGGTGACTTTAAAGCGCTTCTCTTCGGAGGGTCTAATGATACCCGTGCAACCAAATATATACCGGAGGGGTTTGAGATACATAAAACAAATGTCCACGCTGCAATGCCGAGAGGAATTCCAGACCCCTCTGTCAATAAACCACAATTCGATACCGAATGTTGACGATGGCGAAATAGGACGAAGGGAAAACAGGACGTCCACGGAAGAGCAAAGGGTTGCACGATGGATAAAATAATGGAGGGCGGGTGTCAGACCGTCATTATGTATATCATAGGCGATCGACCTGGTGTGGGGGAGGCGGGCTGTGGTTGTACGACGGGGGCTAGGACGACCCAAGTGCTGCAGGTGAAGCTCGTCCGTCACCTTATTACCCCAACCGCTGAAGCTATTGCCCGATAACCCAAGCGAAAACAGACGTATATGCCGAGCCGACAGATAATGAAAATAGCCAGTCACGGCCGATTTGGGCGCCGTAGGAAGTTCTTCGTAGTTAGAATGGTTCCCACGGATGTGGTTTGGGAGAAAGGCCCGGCGGTTGAGGGCAGGTCTATATTGGATTGGCCTTGAAAGTCGCAAGAGCTCACGGCCGCAAGTGGATGAGATGCCTGTCGTCTCGATAGCGCTACAATCAAGAGGGCCCCAAGGCTCGAATTGCCGTTCTCAGGGCTCGGGTACAGTATCTGAGTCTGACAGCAATATCCAAACCTCCCTCCTTTCGAGCTTTCCTCCCGCAGCAAGAGGCAGTTTATTTATTCTTAGGTCCTCGGCGGCCATGCAATGCAGTCAGACTGTACCGTTAAGTTCCGTAGCCAGATAAAATACCTACTGTAGGTGCTTCGTGCGGCCTCCACTATGTATATATTGCTGCCAAAGAAAGCTCTTTTCAGGTGGGAATAACCCCGTAATCCTGACTGCTGAGGTTGCCTTCGGATCCCGCGGGGCATGCGAGTGCCACGGCTCCGACTGACCAATATTGCTGGCGACATGCTGAACGAACGAATTAGAACTGTCGCGCGGACAGGACCTGGCTGGCAGCCTGTGATGTGGTATTAGTGGTGACTTTCACCGTGACGAGCAGTGGTCGCTGTAGCCAATGCGGCGTTGGGTGCAGGATGGGCGGTAAGACGGCGGTGGTGATTCGCAGAGCACCATTGCTTTAGCAGACTGGAATCTGTTGCCGCCGTTCCCCTGGCCGGGAGACATCAGCCATTCCCGCCATTGCCAGCCACAAGCACAAGCACAACCCTCCCCATTCATCGGAATTCGGGGGGGGGTTCGCCATCGCAAGAGAGACTACTGATATGGATCTTGATATTGATACTCCGTATTGCGCGAGGGGTCCAAAAACAGTAGATCTTGCCGCTGCGATCACGGATCCGTACGGAGTATTCCAATGGGCTCCAGGGACACACCACCCACGAGGTGATGTACCACTGGTGCAGGCGCTCTGCTGCGCGGTTGGTGATGGTGGGTTGCATTATTGATGCTGGACGAGCGCGGGATCAACGCCTCATCTCTTGGGTTGTGCACTGTAGCACTGCGGTATGGAATAATCCCATGGCCTCTGTCTCAACAACACACCTGTTGCATACGAAGTACTCCGTGGAGAAAGCCGGTATAGCTCAAGAACCTTGCGGTTTCCACTCAAAGCGGAAGAAAGATCGTAGGATAGGGTCTTTTTTTATAACTTATTCCCATGCACTGGCCGGGACCCGGGAGAGGGAGCAGCAAGGCAAGAAGTGCGTAACCAGATCGCAGGCTAAGCAGACATCTAAATGCAGGTACTAGCTCGCTCTTGCAGGGACGTTGGCTGATCGACAGCGGCCCGCACATAATATGTAGTAAAGGGGGCTATTCAAAACGAAAAGAGGTGTGCTGCCATGTGCCGGCTGCTGTATGAAGTAGAGGTGCGAGGAGGGCTCCAGCCTTGTTGTGTTTTGAGATGTCTAGATGGATGGATGGTCAGCCTCGCTGGTCCCGGCAGCAGCCGGATTTGGCCCCGTTGAGGTTAGCTAGCTAGCCTTCTCGACTTTTTCAAAGTTCATCGATCAAGGTTGGTCTGCCATATCAAATACAAGCAAGCACGCATAGCGCCCGACACAATTAAGTGATTAAGTTACAAGCCAAGAGGCCCTCCATCATGGCCTCTACCGCATCCCAACAAACTCTTTCTTTCCCCCGCGAAACTTTTGCGAAACTCTCTCCCCATCCATATCTCCTCGCACATCTCCATCCAGCCTCCTCGTCCGCGACTTCTCCCTCCCCCTCCACACGCGCAAACGGCAGAACACCAACCCAGTTCCGCGCGCCACACATCAACACCGGTTCTCTCACACACGCGGAAGGCAGCGCCGTGGTACGGATAGGCGATACGACGGTAGTATGCGGGATCCGCGGCGAAATCTTACTTGCGAGCAATGTTGCTGGATATCGGGTGGACCAGTCGGCGACGGCGCCCTCGTCGAGTCCTGGCTACAATGAGGCAAAAGAGCTAGATTTGCTGGTTCCCAATATCGAATTAGCGACTGGCTGCTCACCTGCTTTCTTGCCAGGCCAATCGCCCAGTGTATCGGCGCAGAGTCTGACCACGAGGATATACTCATTGTTACATTCCAGTGCGTTGGTGAACGGGGATGATTTGCGGATTTGGTATCAGCCGCCAGACCTTAGCGATCAGGATAAGATGGTAGAAGACGATGACGATGAAGCTCCAGAACCGGAGGTCAAGGCATTTTGGACGCTCTATATCGACATACTCTTCATTTCCCTGGACGGAAATCCCTTCGATGCTGCTTGGGCGGCTGTAGTGGCAGCGCTCAGGGATGTCCGCTTACCAAAAGCATATTGGGACCCCGATCGCGAGATGATACTGTGCGATGATTCGGTGGCGCAATCGAAGAAGCTACAGTTGACGGGACTGCCTATAGCGGTGACTGCCGTTGTGTTCAGGGCCAAGGAGTACACGCAGTCCAACGATAAGAGATACTGGATTCTGGTTGACCCCGACACGTTCGAGGAGGATTTATGTGACGAGTGTGTTACTGTTGTAGTGGACTGTGGAAATGGGAAGACGAGAATGTTGGGCATCTCGAAGGCTGGAGGGACTATCGTGGGAAAAGACGAAATAAAAGATATTGTGAGCCTGGCAGAGAGGCGGTTTGTTGAGATCAGGGATATACTACAACGGTGATCGCCACGTATATTGCTGTCCAGTGGACTTTCTCACAGAAACAATGATTGAGGGACAGTTGCCTGGTAATTGCTGGACTAGTGTACCAGCATGACTTGTGTCCTATCATGTCTACCGAGCTAGATATTCAAGATCTATGGCGCCGGTGATAGACCACAGATCTGTATTCTTAGCAAACAACATGTCATGACCATCGGGTGGATTGGCGGTGCATGCTCACCCCAGGTTTGGGTCAATCTACACTAGGGCAAAGACTAAAACGAATGAGGACCACAGCCGCAAAGGCTACATTCAACCAATGTTTCCAAAGTATGTGCGTATCGGTAATAAACTTATATAGCCAAAGAGTTAATATCATTTGCCTCACCAACCCAAGATCCCATAGAGTTATGCTGTACGTCCAAAAAAACGAGAATAGTTCTATGTAATTCAGATCATTCGAGAAGTTATGCAGCTTCTGAAATGATTCAGGGGTCAAAGTCAGAACCATTTGACTTTGAATGTCTTAGATGATGCCAGGCAATGGGAAATTAAGCACTGTTCATAACTGTCCTCGGCATGCTATCGGCTAGGAGGCGATCAAGTGATAAAAATTAATAGGGGAATTATCACCAGAATAATGGAAGAAGTTAAAGATCGCAGGGGGGCCATTTTCTTTGCTAAATAAAGAGGAAACTTGATTTCATCGTGCAGCAAATATAAAAATGGGGTATCAGCCATAACCATATTAGCGCCTGCAACACCATCCAGCTGCCATCTATCAATCCATCAGACCTCCGTTTCCGTCCAAAATAATCATTTCCATAACACCGGTGCTGCAATGTTACAACGCGGGTAATTTCGAACGCTGTCGCCACAATGCTACCATGTTGCAAAAGTAAACTCGACTAAAATACCTAGAAGAGCTGCTCAACAGTGTTGTGGGCATGGTACTCTTTGGTGGCCTCTCGAGTCTCTGCATCCTCAATAATATCATTTGCCTGGTTCGTCAACTTTTCAAGATCCTTCGTGAGTTCGGCCTGCATTGCCGCATAGTCTTGGCCATGGATATTACGCCAGCCACGATGCTTGATGCAGGACTTCATCGCCTTGAGACAGATATTGTTGAGTTCATCCGGAACTTCCCCAGAAGTTGGAACAGCTTGGCCTGGATAACAAATGGCGGCGCTGATGGACTTGGTCTCAGAGGTACGGGGGCCAAGCTTTCCAGTCTCGAAGGCTGACTTGCCCTCTGCGGTATTCATCCAGCGACCAAACTCATATTCATTGATGGCAAGGCGATTATCATAGCCACAAGGCGTCTTCTCTTCACATGCAGGGTGCTTGGCGGCTGCTTGGGCACGTTCATGGATCATCACAAGGAGCTTTTGCTGGTTCTTGAAATTTTCAATGCGTAGCTCGATGACCTTCTTCTTGATATCAATTGCCTTCAGGTCTTCAATCTCCTCGGGAGTGACATAGTCGAGTCCGATGGGGCGGTCTGGGCAGGTTAGAACTTGACCCAAAGGGGAATTCTGAGAATAACTCACTAGGATCGAAGCCTTCGGGAATTGGAAGTCTGGGCTTCTTGCCTAATGCCTGAATCGCGGCATTGGTAGGCGCTTCCACCAGAATGTCACGGATCTCATTAACGTTCAAAGTTCCTCCCATGGATGGGGCATTATCGTCGCGAGCTAATTGGTCTCCAACAAATTCAAAGAATGCGCGACGGTGTTCATCACTACAGTACTTGCTGGGTGGCTGGTCCGTAACACGAGCAGCCTTGCGGCATGGTGTAAAGCCAGCATAAGCTCCAACGGTATTATAACGGCACATTCGCTTCCACGATGTGAACAACTCCTCAGTCGTGCAAGTGGGGCAGATGTAGCGGTCAAGAAGCTCTTTGGCATCTTCAACGTCCATGTTGATGCAAGAGCAGTGGTACCACTCGTCGCAGCCTCCTTCGCAATTTACCATCATGCGATGGTCATCGGGGCCGCGGCAGACGCAGTACTCGCCGCCATCGTTGCTCTCGGAATCGGATGATCCAGCAGTGTTCGTGGACGAGGGTTGGTTTGACTGGCCGGGTTGGAACTTCATCTTGTCTATTGGGTCAAAACATTAGCTGAATAGCTAAAGCGGTACGCTGCATAGAGACGTACCGATGGTCTTAGGCTTTTTAGGCCTCCTGACTGGAGCAGCGGTACCCTTCTTCTTTGTAGCAGGCTTTTCGGGCTTGACCGAAGGTGCGGGGCTGCTCAATTTCGAAGCTGATGACGGAGCAGGTGTACCTTGTTTAGAAGATGGAGCTGCAGAAGGGGCCTTTCTTGCACGTCCTTCACTTTTGATCTGTTCGGAAATGCTTAGTGGTGTCATGCCACCAACTAACGTCGCATCGACGGCGACGGTGGAGGGTTCCATTCTTGCAGTTGTGGGCTGGGCTTTCTTGACGGGCTTCGTCTTCACGGCGGCTTTGGTAGTTGCACCAGAGCTGCCCAAGCCGCCAGTAGTTGTAGTATCAGACTTCATCTTCTTCGCTTCCATCATCTGGAGAGCAAGCTGATATGTTTCTCCTGACTGCCGAAACTTTCTAGATTGTTGAGCACTCTTGCCGTTCTTGTTGTAAAAACGAGAGTCCGCAGCAGTGTATGTTCTATTCCACTCTATATCATCTTCGCCAGGTGGGGTTGGAGCAGCTTCAGGATACTTGTATTTAAAACCTGGTGCATTGTTGGAGATCGGTTGGGAGGGTGCAGTTGGTACTGCCGTCACAGGAGAGTTTATCGGTAGCTGGGGGGCATTGGGCGTAGTGTCACCGACACCGGCCTAATCAACGACAAAGAAAGTTAGCAATTGATAATTCAGAACATTCACTAGTACTGAGGTGTTTGTGAAAGCAAGCAAATAAGGGGCTGTACAGGACTAATAGTAAAGTCAATTAACACTGCCCCGCCTAAGGGTCGCTGCCGCCGAGGTTGGGATCAAGAGAGCGAAACGCCCCTAACGAGACACAAGATACCCATCTCCTTACCTGGTTAGTAGTACTGGAATCGGCCGGTGCCGTAGGTGGGGGGTCATCAACATCCATATCTAAACGTGCCGTAGTCGTGTACTGTTGTTGAAGCCTGGCGATTTGGAGCGATGGGTGCGGTGGACGTGAGCTTGGAGATTTATTTACGAACGGGGATTATTATTTATCCGGCCCACCCATCGGAAGCGAGGATGCGGCCTGCAGGTTGCGGGTTGCTGCAGAAGCGGATCTCAGCCTTATCAAATGCTATCAGCCTTACAGAATACAGAGATGCACATATTCCAAGACAGCACTGGAGCCAGGAAAATAACTAAGAGCAATTGTGAAATCTAGTATCTTTAACTAGATTCCTGTTTCTCTCTGCCAACTTTGGGGTCACTTGTACGACTACTAAGGATGACTATATTATTTTGCAGAGTACAGCAAACCAGTACTAACCTTTCTTACGACTATGCTATTATGCCAACACTAAACTATTTTTCTATACTCCGTGCTATAACATTGTCTTAATGCGCCTATATTGTGCAGGTAATCAATCATTCAGTGACCCGACGAGGATGTAGTTGAGCATACCTCTTATTGTCTGGGATCTGCATAGTCTGTACACAATCTGTCATTTGATTTGATACCTTAAAGGCTTACTAGTACAGACCAAGAGTGTTGCGGCAGCAACAACTGTGCGTAGGGAACTAGCGAAATGCTTAATGCGATTTGCATACCTAGAAGCTTAGTCACTTATTCTAAGTATCCAAGAGTTAATAAACTGGGATCTCTTTTTGTTACTGGCTGGAGCAGCAGATATATAGACAAATAAAAGTACGCAAAGCTAAGCTAATTAAGGCACACAAAATACAAAGTCCCATCGATGATTTGTTCTGTTCTTCCAAGAAATCTTACAGGTCCACATTTCCACGCAATTCCAAACAGCTTTTGGGGTATTGAAGAACTAGAATGAAAGCACAAAGCAGAGTAAAAACGCCAAAAATCGTGAGCCGCGAGGCTATTCCATCTTCCAGCCGTGAGGCTTATTGTCTCTCCAATCCAAGTCGATGTTGGGTATCCCTTAACCCACACCAGTAATTTCCCTCGGTCGTGTGACCCACACCTTATATTCACTCAGCAAAGTTTGACCAATATCCGACCCCCTATTACCTCCTATGCCGTCTGCTGGAGCTTCCAGAGCTTTCCCCATGACGATGACGGTGCCGGCTGCTGGAGCCGCTATGCTCTATCTGCTGTTCCATCTGCTCCACCCTCTGCCTATAGCTCCTCACAATATCCCTAATGTGCCTTATACGATCAAAATCCACCTCTAGCTCGTCAATCTGCCTTAATATATCGTGGAAGCGAGCGATTTCGGCATCCGCTACTGCAATCGCATTTCCTGCTCTATCGTATTGCTGTTGAGCCACCATCTGCGACTGCTCCGAGAGATAGTCTAGCCGTGCTTGTATTTGTTGCATGAGGCGATCGAAATGGCGGCCAAGAGCCGCGAGGGAGGACCCATCGAGGAGGAGTAGGCCCTGGGAGGAAGCGCGCGACGCTGCTCGAGAGGACGAACCACCGGCAGTGGAGGCAGCCGCCTGCTGGTGATGGCGCAGCAAGGCTACCTCATCATTTGTCAGACCGAGTTGCGTATCAGGGACTGAATTGGCCGGCGATGCCATCGTTGTAATTGCGGTTGGGCGCGAATCTGACGGTGCGGGATCACGGTCAGGATTGGGGATATATGGGAAGGCGTCGACACCCTCACAGAGAGCTGTGAAGGTGCTGTAAACTTCATGGTAATTGAGAGGGGAGATGGATCATTGCAGGAGCTCCGCTTGATGGTGGTGATGTCGTTGGAGGAGAGTGAGAAAGGGTAGATCGGAGTGCCTGCGCCTGTGCCTGGGGGGAGGTGCCAGAGCACAATATAGTACCAGTACAGCGTCAGAGCAATTGCGGTCAACACTGGCCGATGTTGGGTGCCACAGCGGTGGTTTTTGCTAAAAGCAAAAACCAACGATGACTGATCAGCTGAGACCCGAGCGGTGCCGGTACCAGCGCCCTTCACGCTCCACGGTATTATATCAGACGTCTGATCGCCAGGATGGTTGGGAGCGCGCGCTTTAGGAAGGTCGAGCTTCTGTGTGAATGCTGTGAGCGCGAACAACGACGTGATTGTGAATCGATACACTGAGGCTCTGGGCGACAAATGTTGGCAGATCACTGGCTGATTAAACGCTGTCACGACTCTCCCTCTGGCCACCAGTGGACAGGATGTTTTGTTTGGGTTTGGGATGGAGGATCTTCGACATCGGTACAAGTATGGAACCCCCGGGGGTACAGACGAGGCCTGGCTATCAGAGCTAGTATGTGCTGCTGTTCTGTACATGTGCTTCTACACTGCTGTAAGTGGCTAGTTCCTGCACACCTCTGCGGTCTTAAGAGCCTCTATGCAAGTGCACATCCGATGGCCATCATCTCCGCTCTGCGACCGTCATAATCAGCTGGGGGTGCATTAAAACCCGGGGTTGCATAGGTACGGATTATCACTGAGCGAGTTGTTGCTGCTGCTTTTGCGGAGGGTATGCGTCCGCATGGAAAAACAAACCTTCCCTTGGTGTATTGCGTTGCTTTTTGCAGGTGATCGATCCATTTATCATACCTCTATCGGGGTCGCACAACACTGCTCGTACATTTCTTCACAATGTCAGCCGCTTTACTGGCGTGCAAACAGAAAATACCAGACAGCGTGGCGTTTGATTTAATAAGAGCATCGCCCGTACGTAGTCGTACGGGCTTGATTCAATCCTGCAACACAATCCACGGTGGTGGGGTCTAAGAGGCCCCTACTGTAGGTCGATCAGCCTCTTTCACCATCCAAGCCCGGATAATCAAACAGCGCTATCCATTCGTTGGCGTCTATACAACGCTCCAAGAACAGAGCGTCCTGCAGGAAACTCGATTATGAGGTGATAAGCCTGTTGGATCGGTATATCTCGCATTTTGGATCTGCACAGGAAGGGCCGCTATGCAGTATACCAGTAGATTGATGCAGAGACCGAGTATCTCCAATTTTCAGGTGTCCAAATTATTTAGTTTTGTGTTTATCGATCATCTGTACATACGTGTGTAACCAAGCGGCCACGATGCGTTTCACATCCATTTGCAGCTTGATTCTGACCTGTGTCTGTTGTGTTTCCGCAACCATTTTCCAGAACAGTCAAGAAAGAATCACGAATTACCCGAACACTGTTATCGATACTGTCGGGTATCAGTTTCAGAAGTATTCTCCGGATGCTCCTGAGTTATCATACAAAGGACGATGGGATTCGAAGCATCTCAGCTGGTGGTCGTGAGTATCGACTTCGTCAGCGGGTTACAGAAGTGGCTAATTTCTTCTAGGGCGCCTGGGCTGAAATTTGGGTTCACCGGAAAACAAGTTGCTATCACATTTGGACTCCTGACGACCGATAAAACTCTCATTGCATATCGCATTGATGGCCAAGATTGGCAGCTCACCAACGTTACCACTGGCGCGACACATTTACTTGTCAGTCCAAGTACGCCGGGCATCGACCTCACTGGCCCCATTAGTCCAAGTACTTTTGAGATGCGAGTTACGAATTGGGCATATGGAGTTCAAATTGATTCAGTTTATGTTACAAAAGGGGATAAGTTGATTGAGCTTCCGAACTTTGGAAGGTCAATTGAGATCATTGGAGATTCGCTTTCTTCTGGCTACAGTGCAACACTCGAAGGGGTGTCAAGCTATGCATATGGCCTAGCGGCGGGTCTCGGGGATACTGAGTATTCCATCACTGCTTACCCAGGTATATGCGCCTTTGACAAAGTGTGCTGGGGAAACCGGAGAGGCATGTTCTATCAATGGTGGTATACCTCAGACGTCAGCCCAAGAGCCAGTGAAATATACGGCGACAAACCAGAGCGGTGGAACTTCTCCAAGAATGCGGCGCCGGATATCGTGGTGGTAAACCTCGGCACAAATGATGCTAACGCGGCCAACAATGTGACTTCAGAGGGTTATGTTGCACAGTATACCATGCTCGTTCAGGGTGTCCATGCCGTCTGGCCAAAGGCTCAAATCATTCTCATTGTGGGTTGCATTTCCTAATACGTGTCATACCTAGCTGATCTTTTTACAAGTCTTTGTGGAATGGCTTTGATGCTGTCGGCAATACGTACGCACAAGGTAGCGCCTGGAAGTCCGAAATCTACTCAATCTACGAATATTTCAATTCTCCTTCATACCTCGAGAACCCCGTACTCTATGACCCAGTTAAGAACGTCACTTATAACGCCAATGAGCCAAGCTCTCCCTTTGTCCACTACTTCAACACTACAGGCATAATGCAGCACAATGATATCGGCCCAAAATGGCATCCCACAGATGTCGGAAACATCAAGCTTGCAAGCCATCTAATCCAATATATTAAGATGAAGTTTAACTGGATTCTGTATTCCACAGGCCCGGAGGTGTACCACCAGACGCTGTACTGGAATGATCAAGATACCTACTAATAGTCCAAGGCGATGCTGCTGCAGAATATGGGACCAGGGAGCCGATGCAATTTGCAATATAAAATCATTCAAATTTACAATTGCCAAATATCACATGGCACGGGCGAAATAAGCTCATCTTTATATTCGTGCCCGTAGCCCATAGAATCATTTATTAGCTTAGAGTATCCGAACAGGCTGAAAGGATGCGGGTTCAACTTCAGGTGAACCGCGCTTTCAGTTCTAAACACGGCCGCACACAAAACAAATCCTGTTGGATGCGTCTGTTGAGGCTATTGGCAGCCCCAGATAGGGGCTTCAAATGATAATATATAATCATATCTACTCCCCCCTACAACCTGCCTACAACCCGCCTACAATGATGTCACATCATACGTCCTCGTATCTCAACATCACTTCAAATTCATCTCTAGACTCCTGGTACCCCATCCATTATCCCCATAATACACTCCGCGACTGGCACATTACGTGTATTGATTGGCTCTAGATTGGCCGATATACAAAATTGCAATATGGGATTTGGTCGCGGTTATCGTTACTATATTATAGGACCTCCATAGTGCGCCTCTATCCAACCCATCCCCCTTCATAGAACCGCAGATCGCCAACTATCGCTATCCACCACCTTGCATGGCATCACATCGCAATACATCGCCTTGCAGCGCACTTCATTGGGCTCTTTCTCCCCTCACGGTTTAAAGCCCAGGCCCGACCTCACTCCCTTCATCCAGCCTGGATGCGAATAATGCACAATGTGATTGTGATATGAAAAAAAACCAGTTTGAACTTAGCGCCACCTACGGGTCCCTCAGGGTACGAAATACCGCTTGGGAACTCCGCTGGCCAAAACGCTCGAAGCGACGAGGCGCCTCGCCTGCAAGTTGCAACACGCCCCCGTTTCAGCCTTCAACCCAGCAACGAGTCTCCCCCCAACGTCACCGCATGATCCGCACCAGCATATCCAGGACGCTCCCGCGCCTATCAATGAGGTGGATGGGCGACGCTTGGATCGCTTTCTGCAGATTCGTGTTGCCCGAGCTGCTGCCCCTGATGATCATCACTCACTTCGCGCGCTGGGCTTCGACCTTCCCTTGGGAGTCGGGACGAGTTCGTGGATCCGGAACCTCGGCCCTGAGAGGTGGCTTTTCGTCCCAGGAAAAGACGAAATGAAGCTGCATGTGCATGTGCGGGAGATCGAGCGTTACGGCAGAGCCTCCAGGCCTCCAGCTTGTGTTCGGATGTGTTTGCTGCGGTTTCATGGCCATGTTTACACGACCATTCTCATTACCGTGGGCAGGATACGAGTAGCGCGTCAGCAGCTGCGTACTAGTGGGACGGATAGACCCTATTATTATTATTTGGGATTTCCAAGGAGATGGGGCAGCTAGATGAGCACGACCTTCCTTCTAGTCGGAGATCATTATCCGCTCTTACGCAGTACATGGGGTTAGTTCCCAAGACTATGAATCTCATTTTCTGGAAATTCCCCAGCAACAAGCGAAATCATCCAATGCAAGGACGCAAGCATGTCCCCTCCACCTAAGACATATATGATATATGTCCTTTCCCTATCCTCCTACAACATGAAATCGCCGCATCGTATCATATTTTACCACCTATCGAAAGTCGCCTCTAGTTGCTAGACCTAGGGCGGGTGACTCGTGGGAAGCTAAGGCCTGAAGCATGGCTTCCAAACTCCCACTCGGTACGCTCCCGAGCCGTGTGTAATTCAGGCGCCGGAATCCGGAACGCTATGCATATCGAGTCTACATGCAGTTTCGTGGCGGTTCTGTGGTGGTGTGGTGCGGTGTGTTTGTGTGCCGCTCTTGGGCATTGTAAAACACCGATCTCCCAAACATTTAGAGTACCTCAAACACGAAATGGTGACAGTTAGCGATTCATTGGTGGATCATTCGGGCACATTGGGGTATGTTGATGCGGATGGCATGGAGGATTATTGGGGCGGATGGGTAGGCTGCACAGAGTATAGTGGTTATTTTACTGAGCTGTGTTATATATTGAGGGAAGGATGTGGTTATGATGGTTCATGCACGCTGGCAAGTCTACTATCCCTTGCTTGAAGCCTCCTAATTCGTCTCCATTGTTGTGTTACATGAACCCCTCATACCGTCCCTGGCGTGTCATAAATTGAGGATCAGTACAGGTATACTCCGTATTTAAAAGGAGAAATACTAACGTCGGAATATTCTGAAAGGAGAGCTTGGAAGACCCGACTACGCCCCTTAGGGGGAAAGCAACTATTAAAACTCGCACGGTTGACGAACGCTAGCGACCCCCCTATTCCCTTCAGGGATACCCGACATCGCTTAGAGCAATACTACCGGTACCTAGTACCCTATATAACAACATCAATATACTCCGTAATAGCAACTGCTCCTATAAACCATGGTTGAAGGATCGGCGACATGCTGGTAACACATAATAAAAAGTTTATTTATCAACAACTCGTACCCAGGAATAATCATAATCATAATAATCACAAGATATAATGTCAGGTACGTGCGGGCCGCTGCTGCGATCGGCATACATCTATACATGTCCTGGGTATCTATAGCACTATAACATAAGAATTAACTGCCCTACCCGACCATTCCCTTGCATTGATTAACATGTCATTATACCGAATTGGGTGTATTCCGTCTGTGGAGGTAGGGCTGCATGAATCGTGGATGGAAACTCGCTCAGTTGTGATGATGAGCTTCATGCCCGTGTCTCTCACCGACTCTGTTCTCCCCAGTGACGCATGAGAACCGGGCGCCATCCTCAAGCGTTGGCTTTTGGGGCATAGGAAAAGGGGTTACGGGAACCCAAGGCGAGTTATGCGGCAGTAGGACGCCGTTCGGGTGAAGCAACGAACTCCATCAACCCGTTTTCCAAATCACCCACCGCAGCACACATCATCGGATCGAAGTACGTCGTTTCCGCAATTTACATCCCAGGCTCCCACGAGGTCTAGGACGAGGGAATATGGGATGCGGAAACGGGCACGTCCGACCTGATCTGATCGTTTGTGTCCCTCGGGCTCTCTCTCTTTAGCCGTTATCCCACGTCGGCGCCAGGACATGTTCGCCGTCTGGTCGGACGACACCCACATCGGTGATCTTGCTGACGAGGCGTTAATATCGAGCGCCGAGGCAGCAACATAGGGACCCGGGCCCCCAATATAGGAGCCCTTGGCGTGGGCTGGCTGCTGTCCGCGGGGCTAATTTGCACCGAATTGGCCGAAGGGGTGGAGGGGCCGTCGGTGATGTGTCCCAGGGGGTTATATCACTGTCACGAGGGCCGGGTCTGGTTAATATGCCGGATCGAGATCGAGATTGGAGCGTGAACGCCAACGTTGTGTTGGGCCATCTATTTTCCTGCCACCTATATGCAGCATTGCAGCATTGCAGCGCCCGGTCCCACGACGTCCTGTCCTCGAAGCCTCCAAGTAGCGGACGCAGAGTGGCATTTTGGACGCCGGCAAAGTGCGCCCGGGGGGGTTTGAACCATTTGCCTGGGTGGTGGAAAGGTTCATTGGTACTGTCTTGTGAGTTGTGCCGGATGACGAGACCTAGGAAATAAAAATAGATGGAATGTGAGAGGGCAGGAGAAGAGGCTGCTTAGGAGGCTGTTGTGAAGACGCCACTCGATTCGCACAACAAGCCTTTCGATCTTTGCACATGGTCATTGACTTGATGAAGCTCTGAGTGACATTGGATGCCGGATTAATTTTTACATTGATACTTCGTACTTCGCACAGTAGTCCCGTCTGTTTGCTGGCTCGCCAAGCCAAAATCGGATGCTGTGCCGAATCTTCCTACTCATCCATAATGCACCGAGCGGTGCACAAGCCTCATGCCCGCGCCTCCATCGCGCTGTGGCCTCCCACTGAGGAGAATCTTGCGATTCTAGCCTTTGTATCGTCCGAAGTCTGCTCTGCCTACTCCGTTCTCTTCCCCAGTCCATATTCTTCGAGGGACAAAATAGCCCATAACGCCGCTGTAAATGCCACCCGCCATTTGTATGTATTATCCACAACGCCTCTCCATGATATAACGACAGAAAACATGCTTAATAGCAGGACATAAATAGCGAATGGGTATCAGTGACCAACTGCCAACCGACCAGCAAGAGCAAAATAACATAAAGAAAACATTGCACTTTTATACATTAAAGCGTCGCTAATATTCAATCCCCACTGCACTTCTCCATTTTGTGATTATGTTTTGACTGTGTCACGCCATAGTCTCACCCTCGAAACTATGGCAGCCTCGTTCGTGTCTCTTCATGTTGCTCCGGACGCTGAACGCCTTTCCGCATCCCTGATGCGGACATTTGAACGGCTTTTCTCCCGTATGTGAGTGCGAGTGAATCCGTAGACTCGACGGCCGTGAAAACGCTTTGTTGCAAGTTTGGCAGATATAGCGATCTTGAGATTGGGGGAACGAGGCCACCGAGGAGGGAGAAATGTAGTGGTGATGTTGCCATGGGTTGGCTCCCGAGGATGGTGTTAATGTCACAGAAACCGGCATTAATGATGGGGGAAATTGCTGTTGCTGGTTAGCTAAACCTATCAATCTAGAGCACGGGGTTCATACTTGAGGAAGAGGTCTTTGGTAGTAGAGCCCAGAAATTTGCGACTGTGGTGGTGCTGATTGCATCGGACCCGCATAGTAAGGTTGTTGAGTAGGTGACATGTTATACTGAGAACCATTGAATGTTGGCTGAGTATATGCTATCGATGCCGCTGGCATTGACACTCTTCGTTGAGGCATAGTTGGGATGTGTTGACGATGGGGATGTGATTCAACGTTGTGGATCGCTGATATAGTCGAAGGAGTAAAGTAATAGCTAGGCGCAGAAGCCACAGAGTATCCAGAGGTAGATCCAGCAGACGGTGACTGACGCCCGTCGAAAGCAGACTCGGATTGCATTGGTGGAGTAGGCGGGAGAGCACCACGAGTGCTCATAGCAGGCGAAGGGCCATAGGTTTGATGCCCTGAGCCTGGTCGACATTCGCTCTTTGTTGATTGTGCTGCTATCAAAGTGAGTACATGAGTTCAGCATGAAAAGAGTTTACCTACATTGTTGCTGCGATGTCTGTTGTGGAGATTGCTCTTGGGGACTTGATCCATCGGCCAGGCCTAAAAGGCTTGATATAGATGGCAATGAACATTTTGATGTTTCGTCTACTGGTGGAGATGGAGGAGGTTGTGGTGCTGTAACGCAGTTGTAGAGAGGATGCTGTGAGAGTTGATGGGCGCCATAAGGGCCTGTTACCAACGAAGCGGACATGATTTGATGAGGTGAGGTTTGATGGATCTGGAACTCTTGCTCTGCTTGATGTCTACCAGCGTGCACCAGACTGGAAAGGTTCATCGCCTGGATTTGGCGTCCACAGCGATAGTGAGCAGCGTCGAATGGGATGCTCGTATTGAATGGTGAATAATGGTTCTGCTCTCAAGGTTGGAAGGTGGAGGTAGCTGGTCGAAGGTGTTTAGATTAGAGTATTAAGCTTGAAGTCGTCCGTATGTTTCCAAAGTCTCATGTATCTGACCCCCGGTGTTGTTGGATACGCCTGCGAATGCAAGGCTTCAAGAGGTGCGTGAGGGATTGATGATATTTATCAGATCTCCCGAGCTCAGTGGGTGAGCGATCTAGTGCAAATCCACCACACAGATCCTGGTGGGTACGAAGTAACAGTGTCTTTGTAAATTGGGGTGGGTCAGTCTTGGGACTGTGACTTTAGATGCCCCAAGCCAGGTGAAATAATAATACACGATGGCCAGGTTTATCGGGCTAGCTTAATACTAATTGGCCCTCCGCCGAGCTGTCCCGGTACTGTGTACTGGGTCTTGTTGTTCTTCCAGGTGGTAAGGAAGATTTCAGGGATGTTGATGCCTGCGATGAACCGTTGGAAAGTGTCCGCTGCTAGTGGAGGGCCAAAGATAATGATATCGGTTCGGCTAGGGTGGGAATGCTTGTTCAATGCAGAGGCGCTTCGGAGCATAACCCGTTCAAGGCGTGAATATTCTCAGATGGTGCAGGGCTACCTTGCGTGTCACACCCTCGAGATGTTTGGACAAGGATCTGAACCTCCAGCAGCTAACAACAAGGGGCGCACATGAGACGAGGTGAGGGCAATGGAGGAAATGGCGCTGATGCGGATGCGGCGGTGGTCAAGGCAGGATCTGCCTGCGTCATATTCTAGTGTGCTTGGTCCCAGCCGGCAAATAATGCTGCAATATCTTCTCGTTCGTAACGGTTCAATGCCCTGCCTGCATATCTGTCAATCGTTGTTGTAAAGCGGGCTTTTCCTTGGATGCGACGCAGATCGAAAGCTGTTCGTGTGGGGACAATGCCGTTTCCACAGCTGTTTTACAGTGGACAATGGCTGGCTCCGGCCCCCACTCAACCGGGAATAAAATAGGAACAATGTCTCGCGGCTGGCGGTCTGTTCGCGTTCAATGTATCAGATGGTAATTGTACGTAGTAGCACGGGCAGGACTGAGGATCCAGGAGAAGCTGAGGACATGAGAGCGCCACCTGGGGGTATATGTGGGAATTTAAGATGGTATTCTGGAAGGGCGGCAAGTCAATCGATGATTCGACTCCGGCTCCAGAGATCGCCGGATGGGCGTCTGTAAGGTTGCTCGCTTGCACGGGCAAAGGTCCGTGATAACCCAAGTTTGGGGCGATAAGTCACAGGGTTGCTGGAGTAGTTTGCAAATGCAAAATATCGTCAGGAGGCTTGCTTGGCTGGGCCGCCGGCCGAACGTGGATTGGGATACGCAGGTTGTAGGTTGCAGCACCACCGAGAGGTGGGACGGCAGCAGAAACGCACTTGGGAGTGTTCGAGTACATGCGAAGGCGCTGATGGAGGCCGAAATCCAAGGCTTCGCAGTTGGCACGCAAGGGTCGCTGCGTCGTATCACTCCAACGTTCGAGCTTCTTGGTCGGAGGAGCGCCATCAGCGCCGTCACGACCATCCGTTTTGACGGGCAAGTTGAACCGCGGGGGCTTTTCAGGTGCTGTAGATCCTGGCCTCTAAGAGAGGTGGTTAGTTAAGGGCGCTATTAGACAATTGCCTAATGCCTAACGCTTCCCACAAAGGCACTTGTGGGCACTGCTAGAGAGTCCAGCCAGTGCTCCTACCCACGCTTTTTGACAGATTGCTTTTGTCAACGACGCTCAACGGGCCGCACTGGCAGAAGAGCCATGCCATGCCTGCTTCCATGCTGCCACGCCGCCCTGCGACCGTTGTTTCGGTGCCGGCCCAGGCATGCGGGAAGTGCGTCGAGGAGATTATTTCGAGCAAAATAACCTTACGGAGTATGACTGTGACGCTTCCGTATGCGGAGGAATGGCGAGACTGGAACTCCTCGATCATATCCTCTTGTGAGCATCTCTTGGAGAGGATCTCTCGTGGAGTGGTTGGCTAACGCGGGAATGTGTGCTTCATCCTTTGTACTTGGTGCTTGGTACTTGGCAGTTGTGTTCGCGGCCTTTGGACCAGGACTGCCCCATGACGCCCCTTTGCGCCGTTTCGAGGTGGTACGTTGTCTCGCATCCGTATCCAAGAGCAAACTTTCGAGTATTCCTCCTCGAGGCAAGTGTTAGTACTCTGTATATACTTTATAGTATAAGAACTCTTGAGTAGGTCCCGCCGCGGCTCCCGGGGAAGCGTTGCAAACAAGTCTCTGACTCTCTTGTCTTTCTGCTCGACGCCCTCGTCCAATGTAATGTCCAATCCTTCGTAATACTCCGTAACAATAATGTCCATGTTTAACGCCCAATCAAGCGGGGCGCCCTTGTCAAGGCCAGCCTGCCGTTCTCTCCGCCTTTGTCGTAAAACGTCTCCATGCGACGAAGGCCTAAAAGCGCCACGCTGATCCTTGGTCCTCGGGTACTGCAGATCAGTCTTCGACAGGTGCAACGGGGGAAACATGGCTTGCTGCGTCCGCGATGACTGGTAGCCACTCAAAGACCGTCTTCAAGCTGATCTGAAGCCCTCGAGGCCCAGCCGCGAGAACGCCACGAGGCCGGCATGCTTTCAGTTCATGTCCCTGGCGAGCACTTCGTCCGAAGCGTCTTTTGGCTTCGACTTTGTGAGAAAAGGGCAAGCAGAGCGAGGGAATGCCCTCAGGTACGAGGACAGACAGGATCGCTCGGGGCCTCGCTCTTCGGCCCTCCTAGGTGTCTAGGGCCCCAGGTGCCCCATCCAAGCCTCCAAGGTGCAAGAGAGTACACCCCACGGTCTGATCCGATCGCGAGAGGTTGAAACGCGGCGTTCAGAAATATGGAACGGTGATCGGCCATGCGGAAATGCGTTACGCCCAAGCGCTCCGCCGCCGCCAATCCAACAATGGCTTGGTGTTTTGTCCCAGTCTCCGTCGCCGTCCCAGGCTCGCAGCGTGGCGTCGTTCTTCATCGCTAGGTACTTACTAGTGTTGAGAGGTCATAATAATGAACGGCTGCACTGACGGAGCAGACCATGGTAGTATGGAGCTAGAGCAGGCACGTAGGTAGTAGTAACGGCAGTAGTACGTAGGTAATGGCAGTAGTATCGGCAAGTGGGAGTTGGAACTCAGGAGTAGCACCGTACAGAGAGCAAGTAGCCAAGCAGTAGGCACCTGTACCCAAGATACCTGCCTACGTACCTTACCTCAGGTGCCTTAGCACAACCGTCTATTCATCATACATTCACATCAGCGATAGCCCAACATCGCCATGCGCTCGTGGATGGTGGCAAGGTAATTCCTTCTCTCCTGATCATTACTGTTCTTGCGAGTTAAGAATTATAACAGCCACCGCCACCGCAACCGCCTAACATGTAGGCCTGGAAGCGCGCATTGCGCATTGCACAGAGGTACACCACACACCACGTACTCGTACTACTGTACCAGTACACGCTCCACCACCACACAATGCATCCTGCAAAGCACGCCGAAAGCGTCCCGGATGCGGCGTCGTCAGACCCCCAAGGGCCCAAGGCCGCCGGTACAAGACACGGAGGAGAAACACCCTCGCGCGGTGCAAAGCCTGTGAGCGCCCTGAGGCGGATCAGCATTAGTGCTGGTGGTGGCAGTGGCCTCATGGGGATATCGGAGATGATTTCTCGGCTGGGAATATCTTCTGCTGGGAGTGTCACCCTCTTCCCTCACCCACCTGCATGTCTCCGGGCCTTCTGTCAGTCAACGACTCTGCGAACTTATGACTACTGTACGTACGAGGACTGCGACGATAGCGTGGCCGGGCGTGCGGACGAAATAGTGTCCCGCGTCCCTGTTGTTCACCTGAGGTCCTCCCGCACAGATACTCCGGAGTTCTTCGTCCTCTGGTACGCTATTTCGTATCCTCCGAACAATCCAGATTCCTGTCTCGAGGCCTTGACCCCCGGCGGCAAGGGTGCTGGAAATCTCTCTCAGATCTGTAGATCATCCGCCAAGGATGTTTGCCCCCATCGGTACCCAGGTGAGGGTACGCTTTCGGATCATCTCAGGGCTGTCGATAATCCTATCTAATAAGTTAATGGCCCGAGGATGGTCGACCACTTCATACCAACGATTAGCTAGCCTAGGATTGCGAATTTGATTGGTTTCTGTGTGCATTCTACCTCGTCGACCAGTCAAATATCCGCCGTCCCTGGGCAACGGGCTGGCATATGGGAAGTTGCGCTGCCCCCATCACATCGCTCCCTAACGTTTCCCGTGCCGATTTACGATTGCCTTCTACAACCCCTATCTCGGGATATGTATTACACGTGTAGGTATAGGTATAGGTTCGTTCTGGGTCGAGTATCACATCTTTGGCAAGTTGGACCTTCAAAGATTGCGGCCGTAGGAAGCTCCCATAATGGCCCAGTGGAAAAACACAAAGCACAGAACCGAGCTTCGTTGTGCCAACAATGCGGGCACCCGAAGCGGAGTTATTGCCCGCAAACCCAGGACTGCACGGAGCCTTTCCTGAACACTGAGCACTGGGTTGACATGTGTTGTTTCTCCTATCAGTGGCTTTGTTGCATCGGGGGCTGTATGCCTTCCTTCCAGTCCATCCAAGACCCGACCGTTCTTGGGACAACACTACAAGTGGCCGCTAAATAAAAGCAGCTTCTGCGCGATGCACGATGTAAAGCGTACGTTCTATGTTGGGTCTGCACTATACAACACGCGCTGAGCACGCGAGCGGAGATTGCTCACTTTCCAGCTACACGACCCGTTCAGGCCAAGCTTAGACAGAATGGGTATTATTTGCATATATTGGAGGATGATGTTTGCTGGGGTTCAACGCGGCGAAGAGGCAGCGAGGCAATCACCAGCAGGGGCAGCTGATCATCTCGAAAATCCTGCTTACGGAGCACAGGAGTCAAATAATAAGGTTACGACACGCGACTTCGTACTGCAGATCTGCTATCCGGCCCGCTTGCCAGTTTAACAATGTCCCTGCCAATGAGATATTTCCAAAGAGCGGTCGAAATTCATCAAAGAATCCAGATAATTGGTCGAGGTATTTAATACTTGGGTGACGCACGCTGTTCGAGGAGTCCGGTGGACCACGAGGGTCCAGCATGTGTCGGCATACAGAGGAGAGGCTGGAGCATTAGCTCCAATAAGCCATCGTCAACTACACACGCTGCCAGAAGAATTAATTGCCCATCTTCAGACGTCCACATTCAAGATCCTTAAACGGATCAGACAACAAAATAGGCGATTTTCTGGAAGACAGAGAATAAACGAATCGGAGCAAACTTCTATACTTCGACATGGAACTGCCTCACGGCGCATGCTTTATTAATTAACCCCACGGCGCATTCTCGACGCCTCGTTACTGGATAGTTCTAGTACAAACACTCCATACCTATATTAATGTCTTCTATACACCGTTTCGGTTATGCTGCGCCAACGGCCCGCCCAACTGAGCAGGTGGACGTTTCCCGTATTTCCAATGAATACCGTGGCACAGAATAGGGCGCGGCATTCGAAGCTATTCCATTTTGAGGATTTTCACATGTGCTCCCATCCTTTTGAAGCGAGCTCTCAGCGTCCACTGTCGTCAGACTTTCAAGACTGGCAGGGTGGATCGGGCGTTCTCTGGGTTGGTTCAACTTCAGCAGCATCGACCCCTAGCTCTTGCGCCTCTTGTTGGGTCCCTGCTTTCGAAAGGTACGAGAGACTGTGACCACATTTCTTCCAGACTCTTGCAGAAGGATGAACAGATCTTCTCAAGGGCACCACCGTGCCACCGTACCACCATACCAATTTGTTCCCCGGAACTATTTTCGTCAACAAATGTATGGGTTGATGACCAGCTTTACTTCGAGCAACGCAGGCTTCTCCAAGGCAACCTGGTAAGCCCCCTCAGGCCAGTCCTCGCAGCGGTCTTCAATATGGATGCCTACCTCTCTAAGCCGAATTCGTCGCGGTTGGCCACATGCAGACCCTTTTCGGACACCTTGGACGGGGACATACTCCCAGGATCAATCATTATTCTTATATTTCGGAATCAAGTCCTCACAAATCACTTGGAGACTTGTTTTCAAACTCCCAAAGTGCAGCGCTACCCTTATTTAATCTTGCACATCTGTATTTCGCATCTCCATTCAAATTACAAGCTTATCAACTCCCGGGGCTCGACCTGAGCAGTTGGTACTTGTTCCAGTCATTTTGATGCCTCCAGTGCATCACATTACTAGGGGCAAGGTATCATGATAAGTCCGCGAATAAAGGAGCTCCACAAGCTTGCCAATTCTGGGTTTCCTTGATTTCCACCGTTTTTCTCCTCCTCTAGCAGTTGGAAATATGCGGATCATCCTTCCCTCTTCTGCCGAGGCTGTGCAAGGTTAAGAGAACTGCAGAGTACAACGTTGTGGCGTAAAGAAATCATTCCGAATAAGAAAAGGATTTCTGACAACCTCCGCCGTTGGTCTGGTTGATAATATTGGTGGCGTTATGAAGAAGGTGGTATTGCCAACGTCGGTTAGGGACGGTAAGGCTTTTCGATCAAGAGAGGCAGGAAGGATTGGTAAGGCCTTATGTGAGATGCCACCCAGGGATGTGACTGAGCACATTGCTGGGTGTAATGGCAAGCAAAGCAACTAATACGAAGTACAACAAGCACGCGAATTTAGGCGTGAAGTACCCCTACATCCGGATGACGAGGTAACTTCGCCAAATAGAGTGGTAGTGACTGACCCCCGGAATCCTTACCGTTGAGCTGATGTGAGATGGCGATCACTTCGCAGGGACGATGGCCCAGCCTAGGAGAGAAATAAAAATTAGGTTTTTCACTTGCAAAAAGCATAACCTTAAATGAGGACTTGGCGAAGAAATGCCTTAAGATCTCGGGAGAAGCTGACAAAAGTACCTAGAGAGGTTATAAATCTCAAAATAGAGACCAAAGCCTCAATCAATAAAGCCGCACGAGTACAAATGCGCACGCCGAGCAGCAAGCTTCTGCACTGTTTGCAGGACGTTGAACTAGCCTGGAAACCTAATTCTCCGCATATCGCCCTATGAAACTATGTCCGAGCTTCGAAACCTCAATAGCCTCAAAGTCTTCTGCAGAGCAGCATCACCGTACAAAACGCCACTGAAACACCCTCCAAGAATAGGGCCCTCGGACCTATGAAAGCTTCTCAAAACAGCTCCTAGCCGCTAGGATGATTGTGTCCCCTAAGCAAGTGTTTCCAGGTACGCTATGCTATAGTCCCCATTTCTTAATATGATGTTCTGATCGGCACAGGTATGACCCGTGCCTGCGGGTGCTACGTTCCCAAGGAGGGCATGCTTCATCCTACTCAGAGCATTGACAGCTTTGATTCGGTTTGTGGAGTCCATGAAGCTGATGAGGCGAAACATACAGGATCTACAAACCGCCCTATAAACGACTGCGTCGATCGATGAGGGGTAGATCCAAAACATATCTGGTTCTAATTCCAGTAATACTTCTAAAGCAACATCCTGTGATTGGTAACAAGAAACCGCCTATCTTCCATTCCGAAGTCCCGTGCAACAACACCTACGTTGGCTTCCGATTTACCTTGGAGTCAATGGTTATTGCATGAATGAGGTTCCAGATACAATTGTGTGGCAATGTAAATGCAGTTTTGGGGTATGAAAAGAGGCCATGGAATATGGCCCTATTTGTGGAGATGAACACATCTATCAAACAGATCGCGAGAAAAGTTTCGACATTGTGGGAAGATGGATGTGGACGGCGGAGGGTAGAAGCTCGAAATATGATGACGAGTCATGTCTGAACCCGGAGCTTGGTAGGGCAACTTGACTCTTTCGCTTTTGCTAACAACTTCAAGATTTCGAGTAATACCGAACGATCACTGGGAAGGCTGAGATTCGTACGAGATCCAGAAGTTGTGTTGATGAGCCTTGAAAGGGGCTTGCGATGCTGATTATAAAACTTTTTTGGGATTAAGCTACTCTTGTTAACCTTGCTCTCCCATCCATTACAACCTACTCATCCCAGAGAACAGCACTGAGTCCATCGTCATTCTCCGGCTGACCCACCGTCCCAATTCTCATGCTTGCCACCTGGGTACCCAGGAGTCCAGTCGCAGGATCTCTCTTAACAATGACGACGTTCGCAGTCGTCTGGTCACCAATGACGGCCAAGTCACCTGCCTTGTTGATAGCAAAAGTTCGTGGGTATGTGCCGCCAGAGGAAGTGATCTGCTGGAAGGTCATTGCCCCGGCATCGTCAAGGGAGAACGACGCAATCGAGTCATTTGGTGAAAACGAAAGGTCTCTTCTGTTTGTAGCGTAGAGGTATTTATCCTTGATGTAGACCTCTCCAACCTTCGTCCCACTGGGCGCTGTTTTATTCCCGGCCAATGTGGTTAGACTCTGGGTCAGCGACAGCGATAGGCAACCGGATGCGGGATAAGTGACGTGGAAAGCGTTGACAGTGTTCGCAAGCTCATTGCCAATGTACAAAATATCTTTGCCATAGAATACACCGTGGCGAGGACCTGTACCACCGACTTGGGTGAAGCTTGGGCATGCCGTCAACTTCCCTGAGGCCTTGTTGATGGACCATATCCTGATCAGATCTGCTCCTAGATCTGGGACAAGCAGGAAGTTCCCTGTTGGGTCCACAAGCGCTTGGTGAGGATGTGGGGCATCTTGCTGTTCGTACTGTTAGTAAGTTCCCTCCAAAGAATCGTTGGTATAATATGGAAACCCTATTCAGAGTGTAAGAAGGGTACACAGGACGGCTTGCACATACCCGAGATGGGTTTGTTCCCTTTCCACTCATAGTGAAGGTGAACGTTTCCAATGGCCCTTGGCCCGATGTCAATGGCAATTTGAACGTGGAGACTTGTGACATTTGACTTGAAATATCAGCATACTTCTAGTTCTCGTTGGCTTTAGACATACTAATGTGCATGTGCTATATAGCCATCTCCATACAAAGCGTTGTGTACGCCACCGAGTGGTGCATTCGTCTTTCCTATTAGCTTCAGGGCCCCATTTGTTGCAACAGTAACAGCAGTTATAGCTGCACTGCCCCAGCCCGTCTCATCTGAAGAATATATTGTTCGACTCGAAGAATCGAATGTCATCCAGCTCGGCTGTCCTCCGACATTCAATGAGCTGTTCTGGGTGAGGGTGTACCCACCACTGCTTGTGGACGTCAAAGTTAAGACATTGATGGTCCCGGTGTAATGAGACACAAAGATGTTCGCTGCAGAAGCTATGTCTAGAAGTGCAGACACAAATAGAAGTGGGTTCAGCCGTCCAGACATTTTCAACAGCTGAAAATATGTAATAATATTCACATAACTTGTCCAAGTGGGCGCCGCCGGATATTTATCGGAGCAGAAAGTTCAAATTTATTTCATTTTAGCAAGGAATACTTCTAGTTTTATGACGAGGCCCAATCTTTTTCCAATTGAGGCATTCTACTTGGTTCATCGCAGAGGATAATGTGTGTTTCGTGGTATCAGAAGTGGCTTTTGCCGCACTACAGCCACCGCGTCAGATTAAGTACCTCACTACCACCTCCGATATCACAACCCCGGATTTTCGCCCTAGAGCGTTTCTTAAAGTTAGCACATGATTGTTAACAGGACGCGCAAGAGTAGGTTGTCTAGTCGGGTTACCCACCTCTATTCAGGCAGATTTCATTAGCCGGCATCGTGGAATAGCCGTGGGGGGTCGGCGCCTCCCGGACGGCATCGCCATGGGGAAGGGACTGATTGACCCAAATGACTCTGGGTTTCGGGAAATCCCCGAGATATCTTATCTTTTAACTTGTTTGACATGTGAGAGTTATGTACTGTTTGCTTCGGGCCCGCACCCGTCTTGGCTTTATTGATTTGGGAAGCGATCAATAAGACATAATCACTGTTTATAGCTTACGAGGACGATTGCGGCTACAATGCGGCGTAATGAAACCCTGGAATACGACGCGGTTGACCGAGATTGGCTTATCCCGTATGGTCCTAATAAACTCCATTACTAAACTGAAGACGCGGAACAATAGTTCAATTTTATATTGTGGCACTGCTGCAGACTTGAATACTAGTAGAGCAGTGTCAAGTGAAGATCATCCATTGCGCGTGGTAGTACGTATTGTTTTGAGAAATTTTTGACCCAGCGGTCATCCTCATAAATACATAACTTGGTTCTGTCCATTCCTAATCGTCCGATAAGCCGTATTTTGATGGGAGCCAGTGCTACTATTCCACCATGCTGCTCACTATCAACTCGTATTTGCTGCTTCTTCCAGCAGTAACCAATGCGCTTCGTCAACCACCGGTGTCCGCTTGCTTGACTTATTTCAAATGTTCCCCAAGTTTTGACCTCTGACTCTCATTGGGACCAGTCAATTAAGCCTTTCAATCTCCGTCTCCCATTTACACCAGTCGCCGTAGCGGTTCCGTCAACAGTTGCCCAGGTCCAAGCAGCAGTAGCTTGTGGGGCACATGCTAAGGTCCTAATTACGGCAAATTCGGGAGGACACAGCTATGCCTCTCATGGCTTGAGAGGAGAGGATGGGCATTTGATGATTGATATGAGGCTATTCAATGATGTCACCGTGGAGAGCTCCTCTGGCATTGCCGTGGTTGGGGTTGGCGGTAGATTGGGAAACATTGCACAGTCATTGTTTAACAATGGCGAGCGTGCTGTCAGCCACGGGACTTGTCCTGGGTATACCACACTCTCCCTCGGAGCCCTTTTTGAAACAGTTGAAAGTAACCGTTATCTAGTGTTGGAATAGGAGGTCATGTCATTGGTGGCGGTTACGGCTTCTCGTCACGCACTCACGGCCTTGCACTGGATAACTTGGTCGAAGCACAGGTTGTCCTAGCTAATAGCACTGTCGTAACTGCATCCGTCACGGAGAACTCGGATCTTTTCTGGGCCATTCGTGGCGCTGGTGCCTCCTATGGCATTATTACGAACTACAAATTCCAAACATACCCGGCGCCAGCCCAGAGCATTACCTTCCAGTACCCTCTGAACCTCAGCCAAAAGGAGGTCAAAGCCGTATACATGACCCTGCAGCATTACGCTAGTACTACCATGCCAGGGGGGATGAGTATGAGACTATTTGTCAACGCAGACTTCATTGCACTTATGGGTGTATTTTACGGTACCAAGCAAGCGTTCCAGACTGCCATCCAACCTATCTTGCGCAAGGTTGGGAATCCAACAGGCGAGGTATCGCAAATGGGGTATTTGGATACCTTGAGCACCTTTGCATATGGAAATCTAACACTGCCGTTGGATTATGATGTGGTAAGTTTTACTGATTCTACAATACGTTCTCAATTTGAACATTTCAGGCTAACGAGGGATTTTATAGCATGAAACCTTCGTAGGTGACCTAAGTAACATGTATGGCTTGGGAAGAGGGTTGTCTGACCTTAATGATTAGTTCTCGAAGAGCTTGATGACTGCTGCCGTTACTGATGCTGTTGCTGATGCGTTTTGGGCATATTTGCCAGTCGCTAAGAGCGTCAAGAGAGTCCACATCACCATTTTTCTTCACTCCACCATTCTATCCTTTGCTTACCCACTTTACCGTATTCTCACATGCTTCCTCGGCGCTCCCCATTAACTATCATCGCAGGAATGGTTTCTACTCATCGATCTGCACGGAGGTCCCTCATCAGCAATCTCCAAAGTCCCTGCTAATGCTACATCCTATGCCCACCGCCATACTATTTTTAAATACGAGTTCTACGACCGCGTCACCAACGGCACATATCCCTCTGACGGATTCTCATTCTTCAACGATTGGGTGGCTACAATCACCAATACTAGTACGTTAGCCCTTTATGTTGACTCTCCTTATCGGTTTTATTGTACCTGCCAGCCTCGAGCTCCCGAAAATTTCTACCCTTCAAACATCTCCACATGGGCTCTATCCCCTTTGCAAGGGTGCTTAGGAGAATAATATACCAAGTAGTCCCTGGTCCTGTATATATTGGATGTGGAGTAAAATTCTAATGGCGAGGAACCAGTGAACCCCTCAGGTGTTGGCATGTATATCAACTACGCTGACCCAACATTGACCACCGAGGAGGCGCAGCACTACTACTGGCTCGATCACTACAGCCGACTTGAAGATATCAAGAAGGCGTATGATCCAACTAATATCTTTTCGAACCCGCAGTCTGTTGGGAGAGGTAACTAGCGGGGTCAAGAGGTGATGGGATGACGCGCAGAGCATTTGGGCCAAGGCTTGTGTGGTAGGGCGTTGCCATGTTTGGGTAGTTCCGGGGCCATGATCCATATGTGTTGCCAATCCAGGGCTTGTAAAGTACTAATTGCTGGAAAGGAGTGCAGCTTTATTTGCTGCCGCCGGTCAATAGAGAAATAAAATTCTTAGATATCAATTGGCTGACCTGCCCGTCCACTTTTTGGATTGTGCCATCGCTCGATTGTGGCAGTTAGGACTTGGGGGGGTCCTTGTAGCAATTGAGGACATGGGTATGTGCTATGTCTTATCCCCATAGCTAGGATTGCGATTCAATAACCTTTTGTTTGGTAGCTACGTTTTATTGAAAGACTTGTGTAGTAAGTCAGTTGCCTTGCCCGTACCGTACGTTACAAATAATATGAAACCCAGCTATCGCATCAAGTAACTAATATATCAAATCCACCTAGAAAAAGATAGGTAGTGTTAAATTATCTTCAACGACTTGTCGAGCGGAACTGCATATTATCCATGAAGAGGCGAAATCTGTCGTAATTAACGGAAAACACACTGGACAGAGAACTTCATGTTGGATAAGGAAAGGATAGTGGCATACCATTGCAAAGGCAATGCACTCTATTAATTGTTTTGTTCCTCCGTAAGGGAAGATACAGCATAACATACAACGGGCAGCCGTTAAATCATAGCAATGCCAAGGTAATTAGCAATGAATCAAAGGGTATAAAGCGCGTGCTAACCACTGATGAAGGACCCTCTAATGAAACAAAAGTATACAGTCGCCGTCATTATCATCATCCCCACCGTTGGTTCATCGCTATGTTCAATTTCTCTTCTCCTTGCTTGCCTCTTGCCACTATATTTCATGCGCTGGCTTCCGTGCCACTTCTCGCATGAGCTCACGTAGGGAAGTCGGGGTAAGAGAAAAACGGATTAGCAGCATTAGGCTGAGGTGTCAACTTCCGCCGCTTCGACCTTGGTACCATTGGCCTCTACCTTCTTAGCTTCCGGAACTTCCACGCCTTTATCATTATCTCCAACTTCTGCTGCCTTTGTATCCCTCTTTGCGATCAGGACCTGAACGGCCTTAATCTCGGTGAGTATCTCGTCATCCTTGTTTGCCACAGGGGTTCCAACAAGCGCCTTCACAGACTTGACTTCCTCCAAGATTTCATCGTCCTTGACCGTGACCGTAGCAGGCGCAGGAATAGCCCCAATAAGAGTCTTGACAGAGGCAATCTCAGTTAGGATCTCATCATCTTTGAAGGTGATCGGTGTGGGAGCAGGGATAGCTTCGACTAGGCCTTTCACGGATTCAACCTTGGCAAGAATCTCATCGTCCTTGCTAGTTGCTGGTGCAGGAATAGCCTCGATGAGGGACTTGACAGACTTGACTTCTCCAAGAATTTCTTCGGTGCTAAGCTTGTCGAGTTGGGCCTTGGATTGACCAAGATCTGTCTTGATAGCCTCGATGCCAGCCAAAAGTTCAGCGGACGACTTAGAGTCTTTGATCTCGGCTAATGTTGAGCCGTGAGTTGCCAGAGTAGCGGAAATATCAGTGCTTGTAGCAGCAGTTTTAATTTCAGAGAGAGTGCTGTTTTGTGTATCGAGTGTAGTGATGATAGTCTTGAGGGACGTCTCCACAGGAGTAAGATCGGTCTTCTCGGCTACAGGTGCAGGAGCGGTAACAGCAGACTTGATTTCAGTAAGGACGGCAGAATAAGACTCGTTGGATGACTTGATATCAGACACGCTTGCGGATAGGCCAGCCTGTGACTCTCCAGATTCCTTGACTGCTGCAAGTATTTCAGAACTGATATTCGAGCTCTTAATCTCTGACACAATACTGGCAATGCTGGCAACTTGAGTCTTCAGATCAGCGAGGGAAGGGTTGGTGGCCTCCGTTGCCGCCCTAAGCTCAGATAGAGAGTTGGCATGTGCAGCATGCGACTCATTGGCAGTCTTGACACCGGCCAAGACCTCCCCACTAGCATCGGCACTCTTGATTTCAGAGAGGGCGCTGGTTTGCGCCTCGAGGGTTGTAATGATGGAGCCAAGTTGCGTGCTCAGGTTGGAGACATCGCTCTTGCTGGATGACGAGCCAGTTTCAATATCGGTCTTTATGGCAGCGAGGTCGGATGAGACGGCCTTCAGTGCCGCGGCAGTTTCTGCGTTCTCCTTGACCGCAGCCAAGTCGGCAGCAATGGCATCGAGCTTCGAGGTGTGGGTAGAGATGGCTGAAACGACGGGAGCTGGGCCCTGTTCTTGGAGAGTAGAGAGCTCGGTAGAGATCTTGTCGAGGGCAGCAGTGTGGGAGGTAAGAATAGAGGTGTCTGGAGACGCAATTTGCTCTTGGACGGACTTGAGAGAGTTGCTCAAGCCCGCTAATGATGTGGTGATCTGTGAGACGGCTTCCTCGAGAGTAGATATCTTCCCTGTTGTGCTGGCGTTGTTGGTGTTAATCAAGGCCAAGAGCTCGGAGAGCCTGGAAGTTGTCTGAGTGTTGTTTTCATCAAAACCGCGGGATAGCTGCTCATTTGATGCTAGAAGTGTCGTTTCGACTGTCGATGTATCAAGGGCCGCTTTGAGGGAAGGCTGAAGCTGCACAGCCAAATGGCCGGCAACGGCCTTGGTAAAGTCTTCGTTGTTGAGGGCGGCGGCAACTGCATCGCCAATGGCCTTTTGCAGAACTTCTCGATCTTTTGCAGCCTGTTCCTCGGTAACTGCACCATCTGTCTTTGGGGGAGTACCGGCGAGCCTGGCTCTTAAACGGTTGAAAATGGGGGGCGCCATTATGATGGTGATAACAGAGGCTGGTAGGTAGAGGAGGTACTCGGCTTTGAAGGACGACATCTGCGGAAAGAAAGGAGGGAAGGAGGGAAGGAGAGTAGAGGCAGAGCGAGCTAAGAGTAGGTTATTACGGTTAATTCTCACCCTGGTGGCGCTTGGTGATCGGGGCTGCACAGAGCACTACTGTATGTAGTATGTACGCAGTTTTATGCAATGTGATGGGAAATAATGGCTTGAGATGTCGGTGAAAGAAAAAATGATGCAGACGAGGCTTCAACTCACAAAATATCACGGACCGAGAGTTCTTCCGGCCTCCCCCTGGTCCCTGAGCCCCTGCCTCGGTTGAAGCCCCCTGTCGCAGAATTAGACTGCTTCGTTGGCAGGGCATCAACAACAATCAACACTCAGCACTCAACAGCCAATGCACAAGACGGCACATTGCACAAGACTCGACAAGACTCGACAGGGCTTGACAAGACTCGACAACACTGGACAATTGCCATCCAAGACGCGTGTTTAGCACGTCACTTGCAGGCCGGGAACAGGCATCTTCTAAGCTTTGTGCATGACAGAAAAATGGCCTGCAAATGCTCGCGTTTGTGATCGGCCCATATGCGTGTCGATGGCGCTTTAGGGTGACGAAGACGCAGACGCTATTCTTTGCAGTGGCCCACTAGGCCAGTAGTCGCTGGCTTCCACAAGCAGCCCTGAAGGATTGAGCGGTCATCTGCTGGACAGCGCATCAGAGTCGTGCTTAGGCACGAATAACACCCTGCCACTTCATTAGTCGCCGTGGGCCCCTTACTTTGGCCGTACAACGCACCGTGAGTATGGCTGCCATTTCCCATGTCTGGACTAGCTTGTGTGCCCAATGGGACTTTGGGTTGGGAGCCAAGAAACAGTGGTATCGAGGTGCTCCTGTACTTCCAGGATGGGGATATCCCTCCGTCCCGTAGTAATTTGCAGTGTACAAAGTAGTGCGGCGGAAAGCCCCAGCGATGTGAAGGCTTTATCATATCTCGCAAGTTATTAATGATTCCTTTAGCTCTTATATTTTGTCGCCAAATCGTAGCCATCAGCATAGTTCTTTCACTTATCCTGGCCATATTTAGCGATGCTGCCGTCTCAGTTCTGCCACTGCTACCCTACTCCAGAGTTGTCGGCTTGGCCTGTCCATTGAACCTTTGGCCATTAGTGTGTGTGTATGTGGCCCGGGTTTCCATCAGGGGATTAATCGGCGTCGGCGGCTGAGGCGTAGAGTACATTGAATATGGTGGGTGTGTTGACCAAGAACAGGGAATATTCCTAGTACCGTACTCCGTACTGGTAGAGACTGTCAGTACGAACAAGACATTACGGCATGCCAAAGGAGTTATTGTTCTTGATCGGCATCATAGGATCTGCAAGAGCAAACAGGCTCACAAGATAAGTACCTGTGGATCATTCGTATTACGCAAAGCTCTATAACCCTTATTTATAACCATCTATATTGTAAATCCATCATAGACCCATACCTGGCTCTAATAAGTCCCTCTCTCCATCTAGTCCTACAAATGAGAACCTATGGTACAGTCAACACCCTTCCCGTGACTTTCCATTTGATGGAATTATGTACTTTTCGGAGGGTCATAATAATGCGCCATCTCCAACCCAGCACGCCTGAACCCGCATTTGATGTAGAATCCCTCGTTCGCCTCGCTACAATCCAGGATACTCTTGTAGCACCCGACTTTTGCGGCGACGAAATCCAGCGCTTGGATAATTTTCAGGCCCAGCTTCTTACCCTGTTGGTCTTGGGCGACGGCGATGTCTTCGATGTGGCCCACGAGGCCGAGGTTATGGATGCTATTTTCGATATTCATGTCAGTCCATGTGTCTGCGGTGTTCTTGCTTTCTAGATAGAAAATGGACGCAACAGGATGGGCGGGCAGCTTACAATTTCCTCTCCACAATCAATGCCCCTGTGCCGACGATCCGAGACCCGTCATCCACCACGAGTAGATAGTAACATCCCTTTCCTTGGGTAGTCATCCATTCATATCGCCCACTCCACTGCTCCTCCGTGATATCGCCCACTGTCGTCAGCACCCGTAAACAGTCCAGGAAGCCGCGCGCATAGTCGGATTTACGTAGTGCGCGGATTGTGTATGATTCTGGGAGTGAGGCGGCGATTAAGGGGGATATCAGTTCTGCTGTGAAAAGGCCGTCCTCACTGATGTGGGTGGAATTGAGGTGTAAGTTGAGGTGTGAGTCGGGGTGCGAGTCTAGCTGGGAGCCAGTTGTGGACGTTGGGGTGTTCATTGCGGAGGTCGAGGCGGAACTGGTCATGGTTAAGGGATGAGCTCTGGGAAGAGACGGTAAGGAGGTTCGAAGAAGTTGTGCGAACCCAAGCCGCTCAAATGGAAGCTGGTGGTGATGTCTGAAAGGGTGGGAATGTGTTAACAGCGCTCCTTTATGCAAAACCGGGTGAATACCCACCTTCTTAAAGGCTCTCTCGTTTCTAGCCGCAACTTAATTGGCGTGGTTTGTGCTGACTGGAGTGGATAGTGGTATAATTGGGGGTTTTTTGCTTTCAAGCCTTCCCCTTTACCTGGTTATGGGGAGCAGCAGTGCGAAGCAGGTCGTCGATCATTCCCATCCCGTTCCTGGCGCAGGGCTGAGCAGCGGGTAGAACCGAGATATGTGTCTATTTTTATCCCAGACGGCTATTGGCAGTAACTCTTTACGAGTATATTTCGCCACCTTGTGCGAAGTACGAAGCGCACTTTCGTCTTCTTATACTTTTATAGTATATATAGTTTATACAGGTCTTGTATCTTGTCTTACGATATATGGTCAGCGGCCCTGGCTAGGTACGGTCAGGCACTTGATCCGCGCGTGGCTTTCATTTCCTTCCTTGCTTTCTCTGGTTGCTCTCCTTTGACGCGCTGGGTAAGATACTTCGAGGTATAGCTACTTTCCGCGTTTCTCTAGTAGGAAACGCGCCTTTACTTTTTATACCATCGTCTTTAGCGGCCCGATTCACAAGATCTAGCCCTCTCCTTGGGCTCCATGTGGTATTTCCTTTATATTCGACGTGCACCTCTCCGAGTTCCGGTCCGTTCTCTCGTACCGCCTCCGGGTTGTCCCTCTACTCCTCCTCTACTTGTCCTTAATATTATCGTTGTAATGATTATCTGCAGCGTTAATTATCCTTTAAAGAGAGGCTTGTTTTATAATAGAGCATACCAACAGCACGTGGCTAAGCGAATGCCGAGCGTATTCACATGTCGACGACTCGCGACGCGTCGAAACGTCCAATGACATCAACGTCTCTTCGTCAACACAAGACCATCGAATTCCTCAAGACTCGTAGGTCCAGACTCGGTAAAATCTGCCTCGGAAATATGTCGCCTCAATATCCTCTATTGCCATTATACACGTCTCTTGCAACCCCAAGTCGAATGCAATCCCAGCCGTGCAAGCAGGTTCCGCCACTCCAAGCAGACATATATATCATAACTATACTCTTCCCCTCGCAAATTCGCCATGGAGCAGGACCAGGATGAGGACGAAACAAGAAACGTCGCCCAAGTATCGGCCAAAAAACAACAACAGTCACATCCAACGGGATCTACTGTGCTCCCAGAGCGGATCGCCAGTGTGGTGAGTCTGTTGACCAGATCATCCTCGTTGTATCTCCGGCTTGGCAGCTTTATTGGTGGGCTCGCCCTCGACGGGGCGCGAGTAACAACATTAACGAGTCTCGAGTTGAGCCGTGCTATCATCGAGGGTATACTGATACGCTCAGGCCGTGACGTTTCCTCCCGAATAGCAGGAGAGCTGGGAATAACAGAGGCTGAGGGGATCTTGGAAGCGAGCATCGCCACCCTCCACCGAACTATTACGAGCATCTCCTTTGCCGCCAGTACAGGATTCCAGTTCAGTGCCGCTGCTTTGAACTCTGCGACCGATCTCAGCCAGCAGCTACTTGCCAGCTTGGATAGTATACTGGGTAGCACCGATTCAAGCCGAGCGATTGCAAGTATCGTTACTTTGATAAGGAGGGAGTTTCAAAACCCTGCCACAGGGAGAGAAGGGGAGAAAGTCGGGGTGGCGGATCTGCTGATGGGAATCTGTGGGCTGGTATTGTTGCAGCGATGGTGCAAGATACTCACTGATTTGGAGTACCGAGAGGGAAAACTTGAGGAGGTTGTTTGGGATGTAGTAGTCCTGGATAATGGTCGGAGGGTGGATGTTGTCGGGAGTACGGAAGGAATGGTTATTGGCAGAGCACTGGAAAGCCCGGCCTCTATGTCTTTCACGAATGCTACGGGAGACGAGGTCTTGCAGACGATCGAGAGAGACGTCATGGCTATGGATGGATCTCATGACGATTCACAGGAGATCGATCTCAGGCAGAGAATTATGCGGTCCTTGCCAGCGGATGCATCTATATCCATCACTACATCGACTACAACGACTAAAATTGTCACCGTTGAGATCACAGGGACTGAAACCCTAGACTTCTCCCCCCCTCCTGGTGTTGAAGTTATCGAGGAAAACGTACATCTACCTAGCGATGTCATTCATGATACAGACTACCTTCCAAATAGTGAAGCAAGTAGCATGTCGGTTCCCAGGCATCGAGTCGTATACCGAATCGTCCAGGATAACCTTGGTGGAACCAGCATTGAGCCCAAGGGGCTACTTGAAGATATAGAAACGGCCGTAGATGACGATGAGATTAATGTTAAAGGTACCTCATTAGGCGAAGCCATCAAGACGCGTGGGTCTCCGGTATCGCGATTATCATCACCAGGCGCTGAAGAACCCCCAGAACTGCCACTTAAGCCTTCCCCAAGTACCTTAAATACAAAGCATCGAAGCTCGTTATACACCACATCTCCAAGACAGGCGAAAGGAGCGCATGCGTTGGCTACTCCAGGTACGAATGGCGCGGAAAATGTAGCAAACGAAAAACGATCAAGAAAAGCCACGAGCTCCTCCTCAGCTAGCGGGTCCGATAATAATCGACCCAAAAAGCTCGCAAGCACGAAGTTGCCGCTATCTAAGAGAGCTAAGCAAGAAACACCGTCAAGCAAGTCTTCAGAAAAGAAAGGTTCATTTCGAAACGCTCTCAAGAAAGGATCAAATACAACGCTTTCGCAACTATGGAGCAAGGATCCTCCTGCACTTGATGGCGTTACACAGATAAAAGTTACACAGAAACCTCCATGGGGAGTATCCACAGGAGCATCCTCAGCGAAGCCACAAGTGCCAGTCCCGGCACGGAACTCCAGCATTGTCCGCGCTCGCGATGCTCCCGGTCAGCCTCAGCGAGGGAATCCTAATTACTTCTCATCTCGAGACCTCGGCCAAACGCCATTGGCAGAAACCCCGCAAAGTCCGTCCCGGAGAAGTTATTATTCTGTCCACGAACAACGAAGAGATTCAGTGGTCTCTCAAACAGACACGTATTCTATTCATTCAACCGAGGCTCGCCCTGAATCGCCAAGTTTATTCCGGACGCATCTCAAAACCCAAGGCACCTTGCTGAGAGCGAGATCCGAGAAAAACATTGTGCAATACCAGCTCTCATCAGGAACGAACCATCGACGGGCAAGGAGCCATGTTCCGAGTATATACACACTCAAAACAAACGACTCTGCTACATCCCTGATACTGGCATCGCGTCCACGACGTAGTGTCTTTGAGAGCCCCGAGGCACTAGCAACCATGGGAAGAACTGGATTTATTGATGGTCTCTTCCCAGCACGACATATCGTCCGGAATATCACTCGATTTATACGCTTTGCCTCGGCCTCATACGGTGCAAGCTTCTTGAGAGTGGTAGGAATTGCCGCTGCTAATATATCTGCACCGAAAGAAATTGATCTTTCTCACCCCCATGAGCACCATTCATTCTCAACCCATACACAGCTTCCTGCAGACACCATCCTTCTCTCTTCTTTCGTTGACCCTCAAGGAGGGACCGATTCTACGGGAAACACCAACACCGGCGTGCCAATGGTCCATTTCGTGTCCCTTGATCATGACTCCAAAGCGGTGGTGCTCACCTGTCGAGGAACTCTCGGGTTTGAAGATGTATTAACAGACATGACGTGCGACTACGATACGCTGACTTGGCGAGGCCATGATTACTCTGTCCATAAAGGCATTCATGCGTCCGCCCGGCGCCTCCTAGACGGTGCGGGTAGTCGCGTTATGGCAACTATTGCCGCGGCTCTTGAAGAATTCCCGGATTATGGCCTTGTGATGTGTGGGCACTCACTCGGCGGAGGCGTTACCGCTCTACTCGCAATCATGATCTCCGAGCCATCTCCAGACACCTCGCCGGCATTCACATTCATCACCTCATCTGAAATTTCATCACCTGCAACGCGTCTTCTGGCCACTAAAGCCGGGGAAGGCAGTGGACCTTCGACTTTCCGTCTCCCACCTGGACGGCCAATCCATGTATATGCATATGGTCCTCCGTCAACCTTATCTCCTAGTCTCCGTCTTGCGACTCGAGGTCTAATAACCACCATTATCAATGGCCAAGACCTGGTACCTTACCTCTCACTTGGCGTGTTGCACGATTTGCAGGCTGTAGCATTAGCCTTCAAGACGGATGACTCGGGTGCTAAAGGAGAAGTCCGAAATCGTGTCTGGGCTGGCATTACCGGTACATTCAAAGATAAGTGGTATAGTGGTGACAGCGGAAGCACATTCGCCCCTGGCACTGCTATAGGCAGTGAGGAGGATGATCAGTGGGCTTATAGTGCTTTGAAAGCGCTGAGAGCCTGTATGCTTTCTCCAAAGCTAGTACCGCCTGGGGAGGTGTTTGTCGTGGAGAGTAGTCCCGTTTTGAAAAGGGATGCTTTTGTTAAGACGAATGATGAGGCTGACGATCCTCGACAAGGACGAGATCTTAGAAGCGGTAGCGGATTGGGTAGACCGGCAGTTAGAACTGTGGTAAAATATGTACGGGATGTGGAGAAGCGGTTTGGTGAGGTGAAATTTGGAGGAAGTATGTTGTTAGATCATAGCCCGGCGCGGTATGAGGCAAGTTTGAGCGCTTTAAGAAGGGGTGTTTTGGGATAATGGCTTGGTGTCTGGAAAGGAGAATGGATGGTATATATCAACGAATAGACTTAATCATATGCAATAATATAGAATAGACAAATACGAGAAGCTTGAAAATATTTAACAAATTAACTGTAACATACTCCCTGCTCTACCCATCTTTCGGACAAGGCCATTCAGGGGTTTCGAGAGAACGGAGTGTCAATCAAGAATCCCAATTCACTACAATTAGCTAGTCATCTGTTAAATGCCATATCACAGCCGCTGCGCTTTAGGAGCCCTGAGCGTGCAATTTGGAACTTTGCTAACATTCAGTCTATCTCTTCGCAGTTTATATTACGGATCTCTTTAAGTAGACCGATTAGCGGTGTGAACTGCAATCCGAGCATATATTACTTGTGCATGTTGCGAGGCGTCTTCATTGGGAAGCAGTTCAGCTCCTTGGATATCGTAAATTTGTGGTATATTCTCTCCTTCAATGACCCATGTCCAAACGACCCCTTTAAATATTCTGGAACAGATATCGGAACCCCTGATACGTCTCCAAGCTCGTTGGGAGAATCATAGATGGTGGCAAAATAAAACCATGTCCTCCCGTATCCGGTAGCTCGATAGTAAACGCATAGGTTGCCTTCGTCACATCATTGACATAATCAACAGACGAGCCAGTTGCCTGATAGATGGTGGTGCAGATGGGGCCGTATTGGTATTTGGTCCCGTAGACAGCGCCAATTGCGTTGACGGTGCCTTTTGCGAGGGATTGCAAGTGGTCATTGTTTGTTGGGAGGGCGCTACAGGAGTAGCCATATGCTGGTTAACGGTGTTAGTCTAGGCGTTTGTGCTGATGAGAAGGAAATAAGAGAGGCTCAAGGGGGTTGTTACGGGTCATGAAGAGTTGGCTGTAGGAATGGACATCGATATATAGATGGACACCTTGTTTGGCGGCTAGGGTGTCGATGTGTTTTCTGAGAATTAAATTTTCCGGTGCATCACCAGCAACTTCGCCTAAATAGAAGTCAATTTAAATCCCTTGGGAATTACGTTGGGAATTGCATGCCTCTGTAAGCCTCGGAGCATGGATCTGGGGAGGAACCGCCAGGAGTGTCCCACCTATAGATATTCCAGTCAGAGTTTGTTGGTTATTAAAACTTACCATGATCACGAATATAAGAAATTATTGGCAGTGATGGTTGGTACTCACTTGTACGGCCAATTCCGATTGATATCACGGCCGACACACGTGCTTTCAGTAGAATTCTGACGATTCTTGCGCCACAGTCTGTCCTTTGTCTGGGTATAAATAAATCCTAATCCTCATTAGAAAATGTTAAATTTTGGGAATGCGAATAATATCTGAGCTCACCATCTGGATTGACCACGGGGAATATGAAAAAATCGAACTTGTCAACAAATCCCTTAATCTCCGCATTGGTAGTATAGTTTGAAAGAAGATTGTAAGCCAAGTACTCGACGGTCTACCTCCAAGTTAGGTTTACGAACGGAAGTAAATCAAGGTGTTCGTTCAAGTTGCTTACCATAGTTGTGATCCATTCTCGAGCATGAACAGTGCCATGGATAACAACAGCTGGTTTCCCGGGTCCACCATTCCCGTAGAAGTGGATTCCAGTAATCGGATTGCCATTAACAGATTCACCAGGGACAACAATCTCGGAATTATTTGGATACAACGCATGTAAATCGTTCAAATACTGGATATGATCCACGTATGGGTGATAAGCCTTGTAGTAATCTATATTTAGCTTTCCGGCTGTCACAAGGTATGGTTAGAAAACCCATCTACCAAGTGTCTGGGCAATCTTTGACTTACCTGCATATTGTTGAACTCCATTCTCCTCAGAAATTGACGCCCCCAGGTCGGTGTGCAGTACTTCTACGTTCATACCATCGGAGAGTCCCTCGAATTCTGCCAGCTTGTCGGCTGGGACCACAAGGTCAACTTTGCCATTGGGGTTTGGAACGCCATATGCGGCCCCCTTCCAAACGGGAAGTTCAAGCTTGTCAATCACTGCTTTGATCTGAGTAATATCCTGGCCAGTTGGGATTCGGAATGCCTTTGCGCCATCATAATTGACTTGTGCGGCAACACCTGTCACAGCCTTTAGAGCCAGCACCAGCGGAAGAACTTGGGATCTCATATTGAAGGCTTCCACGTACGAGGACAACACAAAGTAGATGGGTTTTGCAAATTGTCTGGTAAACGCGATATATTTATTCCCTTTGATGCTACGCCTTCCTATCCCAGATCGACTGCCGGACATGGGAGATGGTGCGATAGAGGCCAATAGCATCATCTTCGCATATTTATTGTCCTTCCGGCTTTGGAGTCTCGTGCGCGCATATAGCCTATCACCTCAAGTTCAATGACTGTTGCATATTAATGCGGGTGGCTGGCCGACTTATCTAGCCTGTAGCACATGTACCTTGCTTTATCGTATAGTGGCAGCCGCTGCGGAGGAGGTATATCACGTTCAACATCTCTTGACATGCCTGCTAGACTCGGCATTTGCTTGGATGAGGAATGTAGATGTGACACCCCATTGGAACACCTTGAACAAACTTCCTATTTGGCGCCCTTGCACTCCTTGGCAAAGATCTATGACCTTCCAAACGGGAATCTGATCATCCAGATAGACGGATGAGTTACGAATAGGGCAGGGAATCCATGGGAATCCAAGGGTATTACAAAGTTGGGCGTGACGCCCACGTCCATCGATCGGTCGCACCTGATTCTTAGTAATGTCGATCCGACAGCCACATCTATTCGAATCTGATTATTGTGGGAAGAATCACATAACTCGAGGGAATTAGGTAGGTCGCTGTTTGAAGATAAGAACTGAGATGCGGGGGACTTTATCCGCTTGGATTTATCCGCTTTGAATCTGGGTAATAAGGTACCTTAACTATACTCATGGATAAACACGTGACAGTACATTACCCAAAGTGCTCTAAAGCCTACAACCCTCAAAGTATACACATATGTTAGATCTTGTAGCGGATGGAGTATTTTATATAAGTGATTAAAGGCGGATTATCGAGTATCTTTAATCACGTGATTATTACCTACAAATGTCGGGCTTGATAAATTTAACAGCTTGAATTAGCAAGGCGAAAGGAGATTCCTTATGTTAAAGGTAAATAGTAGTTATCGTCCCTCTTATGTTGTCGTTTATTATGTTCTATTTAGTACGGCATCTCTAGGTATGGACCCGCTTCTTGCGGTGTACCGAATTGGAAATTTGGATCCATACTAATTGCTACTCTCTCATGGACTATTCGGAAACATTCTCAGGCATGTTGCTAGACTTTGTTTTGATGGAAACTTGTCGGACACTTACTGAATTCCTCGAAGTCTCCTATTGGTCGACTGAAAAGGGGTTGTTCTAAAGTGTCCGAGGTCATCTGTATAAGCGAACCACCTGAAAATCAATATCTTTTCATCCACCTTCCCTCCTTCAAACATCTTCAAACATTTTGCGAACTCAATAATAACTATAAATATCCGAATATGTCTGACCATACGGCAGTGGAATCTAATCGTTCTCATTGGGAGTGGGTTGTGTCATTTCATTACTTCAATACAATGCCGAGAATTCTCCAAATGAACGGGCTTTACCGAACTCCTGCGGATTGACAATTGTCAATACGTGGACCTCCTCTTTACTCGTTCTCTAAGCAATCATAAGCTAATATTTATCTCTAGCGAAAATGCTTCTACATATAACTCTAAATTTGAAAAGACAATACTTCAAATCATCGCCGAGGTCCAAGCACGACTAGATTGGATCGGAGTAGACTGGATAGAGGACTCCTCCGGAAACGAAACGTCGGAATCGTCCTCAAAAGGTCCAACGAAAGAAGTCCGGTTGTTGGACTATGCCTGTGGCACTGGTCTAGTATCACGTGTAAGTTCCATTTCCGTTTTTCATTAGAAACATGTTGACAACCCAGGCACTCGCGCCCCACGTAACTCAATGCGTTGGCATTGATCTGTCAGAGGGCATGGTGGACGAATATAACAAGACCGTCGAGAACCAAGGCATTCCACATTCAGAGATGTTCGCTCAGGTGGGGAATCTGCTCGATGAGTCCGACCCTTCACCAGCAGCATTGTCTGGACCGGAATTTTACAACTTCGATATCGCGGTTGTTGGACTTGGATTTCACCATTTTGACAAACCATCCTTTGCGGCGAAACAATTGGCTGCTAGGTTGAAGCCTGGCGGAGTGCTACTGATCATTGACTTTTTACCGCATGGGGATCACAAACATAATCACGATCACCCGGCTGCTCACACGGTAACTCATTTGGGCTTCTCGGAGGAGGCAGTCAAGACGATGTTTGAGGAGGCGGGAGTTGGGGGGAGATTTGAATATGATGTGGTGGGAAAGGGAATTGTTTTTCACGGTGTGAAGGAGGAGGGGAATACGATGTCTCGGAGCGTATTCATGGCGCGGGGGTTCAAGTTGTGAGAGGCGATTTAGACTAGCATGATTGAATAGTTTACATATCCTCAGCCACATGATTAGCTGTAGCCACGGGCGCTTTTGAGGCGCCCTGAAATATTCATTTTACTTTTCCTATCTCATTTATTTAGCTGCTTCGTTTCTATGGTCCTAAAACTTGTTCTTGGGCTCAACCGATTTAAACCTGGAAAGATTTCAAACTCAGTTACAATCAAATCTGAACAAAGTTTGGTTCCAGACAATATTCCCTATGAGTCATATCGAAACTTGATAACTTGAATATGATTATCTGTAGCAAGCAAACCACCACCATGGCAGAATTGTATCACCAACTCTACGCGTTGGAGAGCACCTACTCAGGCGGACGGCCAGAGTTATTTGCGAGGTGGTTAAACTATAGATTCTAGTCAGGCTATACTTGGTATTACGGATTATTAGTAGGTACTTCTCGAGAATGACCTATTCAAGGGACTCTAGTCCCAATGTCGCGGATGCTCAAGATTTAAAGATTGAGCGAGGAGTGCCAAAATTACTTTGGATCCATGGATAAAAAATCTCAAAATAAAACGAATTTTTGAATTCACAGACAAAAGTTTAGCAACTGCACACAAAATCTTCTTGTTTATCTCTAAAGTGCCTAACAAGACTTGAAAGATTTCTGGGTCATTTTAATCATTCGCCTTCCGCTACTCCCTTCTCGACAATATATCGAAGCTACAACACCTGGTTCCACCAACCAGTAGCGAAGAAACGGATCCAGATATGTCCCCTTTAACCTTCTCAGACAGACCACATCTACGGAAGTCTCATGAGCGACTTAATATCAGAAGTTGGTAGAGTGGCCTCTTAATTTAGGGAAACTAGCAAAGATGGTGCTTGTTGAGGAAGGGGCCCAATTTCGGGATGCAGTCAGCACAACCGCAGATCTGTGGTTCGAGCACGAATGGATTAGTATTATTCTATATAGGTATACTGTGTAGTGGGCTAGAAAGGGCGTCCGTACCTTGCCAATCTTAGTACAGAGCTTAATGGCAGCAGGGGCCTCCTCGGCAATGGCAGCGGCGATACAGGCGGCCTCAAGAATAACAGAAGCGCAGTTCAGGATGCACTTCAAACTGACATCCGGGGAGAGTGCCTCTGTGTACGGTATTATATTAGCCTTGCCCTCGTTCTCATGATACTCATTTCCACTGAAAGGTCGATGGTTGGGAGAGGGTGCACATACCGCCCTGGACGTAAAGGATGAGATCAGTATTTTGAACAGCAGTGTCTCTTGCAACGAGGCTGGTTGGGGTAGCAAGCGACATGCCCAAGAGGGTGGTGGCAACGACGGCGAGATTGAAACGCATGTTGATGGTGTTGATGAAGATAAACTTCTGGGCTTTTGAGGGAATGTTGTTAGGAAGGACGTTCAAAGTAAATGAAGATAGGAGGCGATGGGGATGAGAGATATATGTTTGGAGGGAAGATGGCGCCTCCATATATAGATAAATCTCCAGGCACCAAACGGTACAAAACTAGATCTTGTGCTGACCGGAATCTAGAGAGGGTACTTGAAGTGACCAGCCACCACAGTGTGCTGCACGAATCGTATGAGCAGAGCCCGATACATTCTGTTGCATTCAACCGTGCTTATTATTATTGAAATAGTTGTTGTCCCACTGGCATGTTGTGGCGCACCGGTGAGCAGCAGCTCCTGACTAATAGCAACCAAGATCAACCAAGATCGACTGAGGCATAATAGTTCGAAAGAACGGGAAACAAACGCCAAGTCCCAACCCTACTTACCACACATGCGTCCGTTATCATATCGGTCCGTTGAAGCACGGAGGTTTCATGTATTCTTGACGCACAACTTGATAAGCCTTTGGATTATCCAAAGGCTTCCCCATCCAGGACGCGGAAGTTGCACCAATTCTCCCAGGCTGCAATCCTTTGAAATGTAATGTTCGTATGATTGTAGTGACTTCCTGCTATGGTCACAGTAGCAGGTATAAGGATTTGCCAAGATGTCCTCAAGCCTCAACACACGGCTTGATATTGTGTGCACCGGCTTCTGCGTTGATTATCATGAGGCTCATTCCTTCGAGATGCGGTATTTTACCGGTGGTAACTGCCATAAATACTAAAATAAGAGGCGGAGTGGGTCTGCACCGAGGAGACCTAGCTCCTACAGCGATCGTAACGACTGTAACTCTATTACTGATACATCGAATAGGTGCGGTTAGTCACTTGTGCCCTTACCTTCCCTTGTTACACGACACCATTAGGTAGCCATCGGGTACGGCGGGTAGGAAACTTAGGCATGCTGTTTCTCAGAGGATACTTTTCCCCGGAGAAGGATTTGAGCTTCCACCAAAGATAAAGATTTCCAACATCTTCATGACACATCCGATAAATCACTTGATGATTTCTTACCGGCCTTGCAGCACAGTAACTCGGCCAAGCTTTTCAATCCTTGTAATTCGACCGGCACATGTTGTCAAACGGGCTGAACTTTCAACCCCGTTTGCAATGGTCAGATTGCGGGGTATCCATGTGGACCACACCATTAGACATCGACATTGCCTTGTGAAGGTCCAACAAAATGTTTAAATTGGTGACTGTGACCTTAGACCCCTGAAGATCTTGCTGTGTTGTTCCTCTCGGCCCTGGAGGTTGGATTCTCTTCTAAGTCTAGACCAACATTAAAGGAAGAGACAGCCAGGATTATATCGAGCATACTGCAGCCCATGAAATACATATTTTTATACAAGATAAGCACAAGGGGATCAGACGAACATATACTTTTGCTCGTGCGAAAGGCTGCCAGCCCGAGCCTTAACAAGCCACGAAAACGCCCCGGCCCGATCACTTATGGATATGGAAGAATTATAGAAGATCGTAGGAAGACAGGAATCCTTGAGGAAGGCCACTTATAACGGCGACTGGGATACAGCTGCAACTTTGATTTTATCAGCTGTCCCGCAAAACTGGGGTTCATCGCAGCGAAGGATCAATCGCTTGACCCCACATGACCAGGCAGGAAGAAGTGCGGCTGAGAAGTTGTATATGTATGACAGTATCGACAGAAGTATCAAAGCCTTAAGCTTGATGTGGTGGTGTTGCATTGCTCACCGAGGATAAAGTCGGCTGCACATCGTATGAAATTTGAGCAAACAAATATATCGTTGATATAAGCAATTTGTTTCCTGAGTAGTGCCCGAAGAGAAAGGGGTAACCAGCTGCAAGCCCAAAAGCCACGTTCTTATGTACCTACCCAGGGCTGAAAGAGACGATAGGAGCAACAACAATTTTTGGGGTTCCGGCACTGGCTAAACTTTCCGATTAGTCGGTTAAAGCCTGTCCCTCTTGTCATGTATTCCCCAGATACGAGAATGTTGTACATACGGTCGGCGATGACTCTGCATGCAGAGTTCCTTGTTAATAAGAGGAAAAGAGTCGCTTTTACTCCCTTGAATCCACGCTTCCATTATGTGCGGCTGACCGTTTGGTGTCACCTCCTCCATTGAGACGTATTCCTAATATCGCCGATCCTCCGGCACGTTGCATTAGGATTCTAGACATCCGCACGAGTAAAGTATGACCTTCCTGGTGGATATTAGATATGCGGTTTGTCGGGCTCGCTTTCTTATAATGACCCGGTAAGCGCTGAGAGCCTGACAGAAGTTTCCTTAGACTTCAGTTTCGTTATTTTAGGCTTTGAAGTGAGCATTTTCAGGGCCAATAAACCCGCTGTCTTCTGAGAGGATGGTTACACTCGGGTTTTCAGGAACATATACTTCCAGCCATGGCAAAACTGTTTTAAGGGCTCCCGTAATATTAAGCGTGTTGTGATCAGTAGTCTGCCGACCTACCTAGGCAGACTAGGAAATGCATGGTTTTGGACTTCATACTCTTCCAAACACAACTTGCTGGGCGGCAATACGGGGTTTGGGAACCGCATAGCAGCAAAGAAGACCCCCTCTCTTGGCTTCTTCTAAGATACCTGTAAATCCCATATGAGCTTTTGATGAGAAGAAATGTTAACCCTTGGGCAGACCAGATTAGGAGATGATTCTGAGGAGTAAGTGCAGAAAATAGACTGAAAGGTCATATGATAGTGATGGTCCTCCTCTTCGTAGCACCATTCCAAGGTTTTGCGGCAGCCTTGGCCAGATATCGGTGGAGCCCAATTCTCCGAAACACATCCTGCGATCCATCAACAGGAACCAAAACAAGTGATATGGCCTCTGAGCTCTTGGGAGATGAAGCCCATGCTTCACCAAGAAGCATGCACCAACATGTCTGCTTCATCTCGTCATCTAGTTCCCAACTGGGATAAAATTCATCCCAGTACACGACTCCTCCTTCGAACCCTGACTTTTGGAGAATAGGTGATGCTGAAACTGGTATTAGTTGGGCTTCCAGTATAACTCTTCCACCTTTGACTTCTCCCAATGGGGCATGCTCTGAAACCGTCTCGACAGTACAAGAGATCAGCTTAGCACCTGGAACCTTTGGGGGTTTGAGGACTGGGCCGTTCTGAAACTGAAACTCGATAGGGCCCTCAATGCTTGCCCAGGACCATGATGGAGCCAGGTAAGAGGCAGGACGGCTGAAGTTTTCTGGTTGCACCCGTGAACTACGTCTCCATGTCAGAAACTCAATAAACTGTCGTTTCCACAGTCCAGCAAAATATTCGTCCATATATGCCTGTGCGAAATACCGGGCAATGCCAGAAATAGCGGGGAGGCGGTCAGCTGCGACTGTGAGTCGGCGGCGCGAATAGTTCGCCACTAGACTTGTCCACTCCATGAAATGGGCGGTGTCAAATTGGGTACCCGGAGGGGCACTCGGAGGGTTTGACGGCGTAAAGAAGTTTACAGGCAATCTATGGACTGGGGAAGTTGGAAGTGTAGGGAGCTCAAAGCTATAGGAGACATGCGTGGTATCTGGGCGCTGGAAAGGCGTACATTGACAAGACCATATTACTTCCGTGTTGGTGAAGAGCAAAAGGCGGGCGGACAAGAGGTATTCTTGCAAACACCACCCCCTCGTGAACATTGTTTCACACCAGAGATCCACGTTCTTCTGTGACAACAACCTTACTGTACCAATTTCGCCATCGGGGCAGCGATAAGGGAGATCTGCCATCAGCAGCGGTTTTGGGTGTAAGAAGCCCTCGTAAGATCCAGCCGCGCTCACTGCAGCTATCGTGAGTGTGCAGTTTCGATATATTTCGCCCATACCCCCGATTACTTTGCATTTATCATCCAGGCTGTCTTGGATGATACAAAGGGCATCATTCCAGAGATAGCGGAAGCCAAGCCCCCGTGTGACAGTAATTGCATCCCTGATAGTTTGTGGAAGTGTAGACGTATCGATTCCTGTTTTGTGCGCCTCGATATTTGCTGTGGTAGTGGCTGTGAACCTCCGGGTGCCCCAGCAGTAGGAAATTGCCGTATATTGGTCATGCGTTACCGAAGATGGCTCAAAGAGCCTGACAATGGACTCAGAGTCACACCCAACATCAATAACTCGAGTTGGGAGGCGGGGCTTGGACAGATAATCTGGCCCTTCTTTGTGAGTAGTAAGACATTCGTGTAGCCACTGCTCAGCCTGGTGGAAAGTATTTCTGGTAGCAAGATTCACTTCGGCGGGCCTCTGACTTATATGTTCTGCCGCCGGATTATCTGCCCGGTCCCCCTTTTAGCAAAGACATCAAATCAAGGAACAGGGAGAACGCTCACCTAGGGCAGCAGACACCGAAACAGTGAGCTTGAATTGATCAAGTTCCGACCAGAAGAACAAGGAGTTGATATCCTCCCCTGGCAACCCCTCCGAATTCGACGACCGCGTCTCAGCAAAAAGCGTCAAGGGAGACTGGAGTCTCGCCCAGTCTGGATTCGGGTCCTGCAAGAGGAATATCCTACACAATGGGCATCCAGCCGCCGATTGGGACCTCAGACTATCAATGTCCGAGTGGGAAAACCCATCTTCTGATAGAAGGGCTTCTAGTACGGCTGCGTCTATGAACAGTGATCTACATACCCAACAAGGCTCTGGGTTCTGGGCCACCCGGGTCGCCGTCTGGTAACACTCGCCACAGAGATTCGCGTTCTCGAATACGATGTTGGCGTGGCGAGCCAAGCCGCACCATTTGCAGATGTCCATGGCGTGGTATAGACCACAGACTCTCTAGATAGTTGAGTCATTGATAAGGAAAGTTCTGGCACTTGGTAGAACATAATCGCATATTATATTGCGAGAGGCGCGTAGGATTCTCGCAGGATTCAAGGCACATGCATGACGAGTATCAGAGTGATACGTGGTGGTGAGCAAGTATTGGTTACGAGTGCCAATATCATAGAACGAACGGTTGATGGCGATAAGTGTTGAAAAGGAAAGTTCTGGCACTTGGTAGAACATAATAACATATTATATTGCGAGAGGCGCGCACGATTCTCGCACGATTCTACCTAGGCACATGCATGACGAGTATCAGAGTGATACGCCGTGGTGGTGAGCAAGCATATCGGTTACGAGTGCCAATAGCATCGAACGGACGGTTGACGGCGATAGGCGTTGAAGGCAACGCCCACGGACGGGGCAAAGCAGCCGCGGCATTCTCAAATTTCCCTCAATTTCTGGCAAGTGGCAACGGGTTGGATCGGGCAGCAATTGTATAGTATAGGTATAGGTAGTAGAAGAAAAAGAAGAAGGAGAGCGTGGCGATATAGAGAGTGCGAGTGATAGTGTGTGGCTGTAGTTTGGGTTGAACCCACGTAGCTCGCAGTGCAAATTCGGACTTTGTACTGCGACTCATACGGCGTAGGAGAGAAGTGAGCAATTATTTTGGATAACTCTAAAATAAGTTAGCGGTAAGAGTAACCATGGCGACCAGGCTTCGAGGCTACGAACGACGAACTACGACGCCCATCCCATCCCATCCATGACTCCAAGACTCCATGACTCCATGTATTGGTAGCGGTGGCTGACTCCGCTCTGGGCAGAAGCAGAAGCTAGCAAAAGCAGAATAAAAAGCTAGCAGCGCAAAGATTTCAACGTGCCTTTGGGGATAGGGGCGTGGCGGCCTTGTTATTGAGGCCGTCAGGGCGATTCCACGGCGATTGAGCCTGATTACGCCTGATTCAGAACCCCCACTGCCCCAGGTCTCGAGCCCTAATTGGCGCTGAGTGGCTCGCTTGCACGATCTTCACTCCCTGCGTTTCTGCCTTAGCGGCCTGGCCAACGCCTGAATCCTTGGTCCTGACACAGCCCGAGTCCGCGCTAGTCGCCGCTAGGCCCGCGCCAGGCTCTACTGCCCGCTACAAAACCTACCCCTCCATCGCTCCTCTTTCAGAAATTTCTTCTCTTCCCTCTCTGTCTGCACATACCTAGATTCCAGCAATCAACCTGTGCAGTAAGTCCTCTCCCTTCCACCGTCCACAGTTCCATCAAGAACGATCATCATCAGCATCTCCATCTCCATCTCCATCTCGCAGCGCTGACCCCGTTCTCTTCTTCTTCAGATTCAAGTCTCTATCGAGCAAACTAAACAACACACAAACCGTCAAAGCAAACAATACCGCCAACATGGCCGCTCGCGGGTAAGTCAAAGTCCTCCATCTCCACCACCCGCTATCCATCGCCCATCAACGGCATCAAGGCCGCGATGGCCTCCCGTCTCATGGAACCCTCCGCTGACGTCTCGTCGCTCTGTAGAAAGGATAGCAAGATGATGCACATCAACGTGGTCGTTATCGGCCACGTCGATTCCGGAAAGTCCACCACCACAGGTAAGCTGAAGACCCCATCCACATCGACACCCACATCGATATCGTCCTCGAACATAGCGCTTACGATGCAACTACAGGTCATTTGATCTACAAGTGCGGTGGAATTGACAGACGTACCATCGAGAAGTTCGAGAAGGTAAGATTTTGCTCCCTTTGTTTTCTTTCTCTTGGCCTTATCGCCGGAAAAAAAACTTGCCCCTCCGCGGGGCAGAGGCTTCGCTTCCCACCTTCGCGGTGCGCTCGGACGCTGCACTGCGACGCTCAGCTTTGTTCATCATCGCAACAATGCTCTTGCCTTTGTCTTGTCTTCTCGCATGCGGTGAATTTATTACGTGCCTCCGAGACTGACATCAACAATAGGAAGCCAACGAGTTGGGCAAGGGTTCTTTCAAGTACGCATGGGTTCTTGACAAACTGAAGGCCGAGCGTGAGCGTGGTATCACCATCGATATCGCCCTCTGGAAGTTCCAGACACCTAAGTACTATGTTACCGTCATTGGTTCGTCCTCCCACCCGAGAATTAACAGATTCACCACGCTAACTCCCGTTAGATGCCCCTGGTCATCGTGATTTCATCAAGAACATGATTACTGGTACTTCCCAGGCTGATTGCGCCATTCTCATCATTGCCGCTGGTACTGGTGAGTTCGAGGCTGGTATCTCCAAGGATGGCCAGACTCGTGAGCACGCCCTCCTCGCCTATACCCTCGGTGTCAAGCAACTCATCGTTGCCATCAACAAGATGGACACCGCCAAGTGGTCCGAGGCCCGTTTCCAGGAAATTATCAAGGAGACTTCCGGCTTCATCAAGAAGGTCGGCTACAACCCCAAGACTGTTGCTTTCGTTCCCATCTCCGGGTTCAACGGTGACAACATGATTGAGCCCTCCACCAACTGCCCATGGTACAAGGGTTGGGAGAAGGAGACCAAGGGTGGCAAGTCTACCGGAAAGACCCTCCTCGAGGCTATCGACTCCATCGACCAGCCATCCCGTCCTACCGACAAGCCCCTCCGTCTTCCTCTCCAGGATGTCTACAAGATTGGTGGTATTGGCACGGTGCCCGTCGGCCGTGTTGAGACCGGTGTCATCAAGGCCGGCATGGTCGTCACCTTCGCCCCCGCTGGTGTCACCACTGAAGTCAAGTCCGTCGAGATGCATCACGAGCAGTTGGTCGAGGGTCTCCCAGGAGACAACGTCGGCTTCAACGTCAAGAACGTCTCAGTCAAGGAAATCCGTCGTGGTAACGTTGCTGGTGACTCCAAGAACGACCCACCTCAGGGAGCCGAGACCTTCGACGCCCAGGTCATCGTCCTCAACCATCCCGGCCAAGTCAGCGACGGATATGCCCCAGTCCTCGATTGCCACACTGCCCACATTGCTTGCAAGTTCAAGTCCATCAAGCAGAAGATTGATCGTCGTACCGGAAAGGCCCTCGAAGAGAAGACTGATGACAAGAAGTTGATCATCAAGTCTGGTGATGCCGCCATCGTCACCATGGAGCCATCCAAGCCCATGTGCGTTGAGGCCTTCACTGATTACGCTCCTCTCGGAAGATTCGCTGTCCGTGACATGAGACAGACCGTCGCTGTCGGTGTCATCAAGTCCGTCGTCAAGATTGACAAGGCAACCAAGGTTACCAAGGCTGCCCAAAAGGCCGGTGCTAAGAAATAGATTATCCTGGGTCTTTTTTTCTCCCCGAATCCATGTACTTTGCTTTGCATGAAGTTGAGGTTGGGGAAACTGGGATTAGATACCTTTGCTTGGAGCCGAATGAAATGTAATCATTTGAAATACCTGTCCCGTCTCAACCACCGTGAATTCCTGTTAAAATGTGACTTCTTGTGACTTCTATGTAACATCCGTATGCCTAGGGTATGGCCATAGCCCTCCTATTTTGTGTTTGAGGGGTAGCTACTGCTTCCTGAAAATCGACACCTTTGTATATAGCTTCTCTCCTTGGTCCACTAAATCGACTTGACCCACCGGAGGTTTACTTTTAGGTTGAGAGCCTTGTGATGTAAATCTCTAAAAATATCCGATAAATCTCAGAAGCCTGGGCATTCAGAACATCAATGCACGATCTGGTGAAGTTTTCTTACCTCATCGTCGGTAATACGGACTGAGTGCCACATTCTCCCCGCAGCCCCCCAATGGACCCCGCGCGGGTCGTTGCCCCACAACCACGGTACATGGCGTCGGAATCAAGAGAAACTTAAGGACCACCATATAACAATGGATTTCCAATCTCTTACGAAGCCATTAGTGTTTTATTCGAGGCCCAAGCCTATAAGTCTCCACAGTATATTTACATCCTCAATCCCACGCATCCCCATCCTTGCCGTTTTGCCCCGAAAGCTATACATTATTCCACCTTAGGAACCTGCTATCCTACGCATCTATCAACACCCTCTCTAGATTCACAAGGCGAGATACACCGAGTCGAATATGGACCCTACAAAGACCAAGATCCCTCCAATGATGGATCTAACCATTGACAACATCACCGAGAACACGGTGCTAATCAACTCCCAAAGCGGGGACCAACGCCTGACATACGTGATGGAGCGGCTTGTCACCCATCTTCATGATTTTGCACGAGAAACAAGATTAAGCACGTCGGAATGGATGGCTGCATTAGATTTCCTGGTCAAAGTAGGGCAAATATCCAGCTCTGTCCGACACGTACGTGCCCACCCCCAAGTAGCCCCAGCCACTTGCATAGCAAACACTGATATGTCTAGCAATAGGAATTCATTCTCCTATCTGATATCCTCGGCCTCTCCCTCCTTGTCGATGCAATCGATCACCCGAAGCCCCCCTCCAGCACCGAAGGTTCGGTCCTCGGGCCCTTCCATACCCACGATCCGCCAACAATTGGCAACGGGTCCTCCATGGCCTCCGACCCACAAGGGGAACCATGTCTGGTCATTTGCACAATCAAGGACGTCCAAGGGAACGCTATCGAGGATGTGAAGATTGATATTTGGGAAACTGATAGCACGGGGCATTATGATGTACAATACGAGAACCGGCAAGCACCTGATGGGCGATGCGTTATGAAGAGTGATAAGGAAGGTGGATTTTGGTTCAAGGCGATTGTCCCGGTCCCATATCCGATCCCGCATGATGGCCCGGTGGGGGATCTCTTGAAACTGTTGCACAGACATCCATGGCGGCCTGCCCATATGCATTTCATGTTTGAAAAGTCCGGGTGGGATAATTTAATCACGTACATACTCTCCCCTCCATCTTCCAAAACCCCCCCCCTTTACTTTGAAATACCAGACTAACTTATTTGATTGCGTCTTTAGGGCTGTATACATTCGCAACGACCCCTACGAATCCTCCGATGCTGTCTTCGGCGTGAAAAAATCCCTAGTTGTTGATTTCACGCCTGCGGACGCAGAAACGGCTAAGCAATATGGTGTGAAAGAGGGGACCAAGGTACTGAAGCATGATTTCGTACTTGTTAGTGCGAAGGATACGGAGAAGTTAAGAGATGAGAATGCCTTGAAGGCGTTGAAGGAGCTGGGCCTGAGGGTTAAGTTGATTGATCACTTGCCGGTGCCAGATCTGGACTAAGTAGGAAGATGTTAATGCATGTATTGGTTTTTAAACAAGGTATTTGAGGGACATAATGTGTGGCTGTGGTAATTGCAGAGATAAAACAAAGTTGCGATATGATTGATGATGGTTGGTTCATCCTTCGAAGCGACCAAAAATTATAAAGTTTACTTGCACAAGGCATAACACCAATATTATTTCCCCCTAAATTTCTCCATCCTTGAAAACATCCTGGGCAGGGCAAGATATCTACATGGTAGAAATTCCCACTTGTTGTCCGTATTAAAATTGGCCATTTGTTAGCTACTCAAGCGTGGGTGGTATCACCTCTTTCGATGTAAATCTCAATGTTCCATGATGGAGAGCCAACCTTGGAATTTTGAGAGGCTTGCAATTATGCGACCTAGTCGGCAAGTCCAGTTCTTGTCAGCTTGGGGTAGAGGCCAGGGGTGAGTACGCAGAGAGTAAATTTGGATCTAAGTTGTACGCTTTTATGATTTAACATTTTAGATTGTGATTTTACTGTCTATAATGTTGGCCTGAACTCGGTTTCTAACGGTTCTCTTGTGATATAATAGTGGAGATAATTATGAATGCGAACCCACTACATGGTCACACTACTGAATGGCCAAAGTTGCAAGCCCGTCATCATCCTCCACTGCCCGGCCGACCCTCAGAATCCATGCTAGGGCTGTGTTCCCAGTCAACAGATTCTGTTATATAGTGAAATTTCCCATCCCTTGCCCTCCTCGTACTCACCAATCTTATCATCATCTTATGTCTATTAATCGTGATCCTAATCTTTCTCAATCTTTGTACTTCTGGAATAAACCTATCACCACTCACTTCATTATTGTCTTCGTTGACCCTTCTTCACGATTTATAGCCCATCGGGCCACAACCGCCATCCCAACTCCATCCCAAACTCCCTCTACGCCGCTGCGAGTAAGCAAGCCAATGGCCTTCCATCGTAAAACTGCATCTCGGCACTTGCACGCAACGAAGTATAGCGGCTGGATGATATTTGCATCGAAAGAGAACACGGAGATGACTTTGTCCGTTAGAAGGGTTTTAACAACCGAAGAGGCAAGTGCAACTATCTGAGCAGACCCTTCGGTAAATGTATCGCAGGCTAGCTGCCCGCGGTACAGCAGAGATGTGGATGCTGGCTGTGAGGTGTTGTATTTGAAGGACTTTAATAGCAACCGCACCTGAGGCGACTGGCTTGAGCTTGCATATTGAGGGTGGTTTTACTAAAGGCAGAGAGCTATTGTTCGACATGGCTGACTTGTGCGTGGGTAATCGGGGGAAGGGGTATCAGGGCGGGTCCGGTGGCTCTCGCCATATGGTTTGATGAGATGAGATTATACATGTGGAAGATGACACGCTCTAGAGTTTCGCGGGCCTCATCGATGCTAGTAAATGAGGGCAAATTGGAGGAGCTCTTAGTGACTTAGGTGTGTAGAATACGGCGAAGGTCGAGGCTTGGATGCCATAGCGAGAGACCGTATATGCTAATCCTCTAAGATTTCCGGAGGGATTCTATGAGAGTGAGCCGATGAAGATAATTAACGTTGCCAAATGGAAAGGGGAGTTTACGCACGGGAAATTTTGAAGCATGTTCTTTCAGTATTGCAAAGCCGGAATCCAGATGCTGCAATGCGGTGATATCACTGCCGCCAAGAGCCTCGAATGCTGTGAATAGGAGACTACTAGTACGTGCTAATTCCCAACAACCTACCGAGCCGTCGAGCCGTCGATTGAGGGCTTGTAACGCCTGGAAATAGTTACATCTGGGTTCTTACCGGTCCACGATAGATGAAGGGTCGGAGGAGCCGACCCAGTGCCGAAGAAGACGAACGAGTGCAACGACTGCACTCTAGATATAGGGTTCGGAGCGAGGGAGCTGTAGTACTATGCTGGTCCATTGCGAGTTCTCGAAATAGCGATACAACAACTTGGTGCATGCAAAGCAGAAAACCTCGCGGTTGGTGATTTCATGTACACCGAATAATATCCTTGGAGAGTAAACAGGTCTCGGCCGCAACTGTAGTAATTTACCCTGGCCTGCAGATGGGTTATTCCCTTTGCCAATTCTAGGAGGCTGCTGAAGGTGGTTGACGCTGATTGGGAGGATGGTGATTCAAGCAGTCACAGGCGACTGGTATTGCTGTAGCGATTGCATGAAGGCCTGGATTCGTCACATTTTGGACGCTAGATCCTAGCTTTATTAACCCCATGTTATGGTAAATGGCTCTTCGGAGTAAGGAGTAAGCCTTTTCAGCAGGGCTGTGTATTTGGAATGTAGAGGGGAGAGACTGCGTGGAGAATTCTTCCTCGTATTGCGGCGTATTCAAGCAGTAATGCGGTCAGGGACTGGCGTGCATGTCATGCATCCAGCTTTGCTTTTGGGGACGCCCTTGCGGCGCCTCGTTGGCTTGTCTAACCCCATAACTAACTCTTCTCATTTGAGACTTCGTGAATTACCTTATTCCCCAGCTAAACGCGAAGGATTTGGCTAAATAAGGCACGGCTTTCTCGTTGTAGCTAGGTAAGTCCAGGTTGGGCAGCTCAAGCGTCACCAACACCAACATCAATGCCAGCAACAGCGCGTATGGGGTTGTAGTCCCACCTCGAACGGCCACGTTATTCTGGTTATAATGCAGTATAGATATGATATAGAATATATAATATAGATATAATATATATAATATATATAATGATAATGATGATATAGGTACCTATCCCTTCACGTGCGAGTCCCTGGGAGCGGCGGGCGAAGCGTTGAAAGATGGATCTCGCACGACAACGGGCGGAAAACGGCGTGGTGCTGATTGGCTGTGCCGTGTTCTACAATGCCACTAGGGCCTAGCGGTTTCGGGACAGGGGCATCCAGGATCTCCTGCCGATAAGCGGGGCATCTTGACTAATCAGCGTGTGCATCGGCATCGTGCAAGTTGCAACTCGTCGATCCGATGATCCTGTGCGTGTCATGTCATACGTAAGGCCGCCCCGTATCCAGGTACTGTACACCGGCGTGTGCTGACATATCGACTCTCGCACCCGGGTAGTCGCCTTGGTACCTGGTTTGGCGGCGGTCCTGAGTACTTGCTACGAGTACTCGCAGCAGGTTTTGCGCTCAGCCCGCCCGCTTTTTGCATGCGGAAGTGGTGACCGAGCCGCAGCCCGCCCATGGCATCACATAAAGAGTGGCCTGCCTGCTTCGTATATGCTGGCCCCAGCCAGTCCCTTCGCCACTCCTCCACCGCCAGCTCTCCCCCGTTTTCTTCCAGTTTGCATCTTGTTTTCGGGCTCAGGACACATCTCTGTCGTGCTCCCAACATAGAATCCCATCTGCTAAACCTCGAGACACCGTCCGCCTAGTCGATCCTTCCCTCTGGGCACGACGAGTCCAAGACAATACCTCCCTCCAAAGCCCGTCAGCGCTGTATTAGCCAAATCTTGACCCTACTTTCTCTCGGTCGGCTCCCAAATTTAGGCCTCTCAACCTCCACAGCCTGACTTCGCCTGCAAAAGAACTGCTTCCCAAGCTTCCATCCCAGCTTAGCAAACACAGCGCCCAATACCTCCTCTATCCCTCCCCCACGCCATTCCAAAATGCCGATCTTCAAAAGAGATGACAACTACAACACTGATCCGATGATGAATCCAAGAATCCCGTTCCCGATGATTATGCTTATAGTCGGTATGTTTTTGATTGCGGGAGTTGCGGGGATCATAAACTCGAATGGGGGGGCCGCGCGTCGGAATAGGTCGTCGTAAGGGACTCTTGAAAATTGGGGTTTGGTGTTAGGTTAGGTTGTGTGGACAGTTCTTGTACTTATATGCGCCTCCCTCGATCTTGGAAAACGGCTCCATGTTGGCGTCCTGCAGATACAGGATGACCTGGCAATTGTTTCGGGACGGAATAGGTGGCGGTCTTGGAGGTGCTTCTCTACCGGGTTCGCGGTATGGAATGTCGTTGTCGGACACAGAATTTGGTACATCGTCGGCCATTTGATGTGCTAAGGCAGGCCAAGGTTAATGTGAAGTTGGATCGTGGTTCCCAACTCATCCTCGAATAGCGCGGTCTCTCGAAACGTGCTCGAGGTAACACGCATTGTAAATAGAGCAATCTATATGGTGTCAAATTGTCAATGTCTCGACTGTCTACTCGTTAACAGACGTGTTCTCCAAATGTCCTGTAAATATGTGTAGCCACCACATACCTTGTAGTACGTGGATACACACTTTTGACCTCGTTGCTAAGTCTTCGTAGTAGGCCTAAAGGCTTCCTCATTGGGGACATTTTCTAACCGCGGGTTTAAGATAATCCTGTAGTCTTAAATGGCCAGTGTTTAGTGTATGCTACTTCCCAAGGCTCTGATTAGAAACACAAACCAAACAACTGAACGGCGAGGAACCTGCAAGTTACAAATGCAAATACTGAAGGGTGTCTCCCACCAAACACCGGCACTCATAGCCTGCAGCGGATTATGCATAATACCCTGTAGAGGGGACTAACGTGATATTGATAAACTATAGCCACTGATGCATTAAGATTACCTCGCTGTTAGCCTGGGAGGCGTTCGATTTGGACTTGTCGCGAAGGGCAGAGAAACGTGACGTTCTCGAGAATCGATCTGGCAAAACGAAGCTGAGGGCCTACGAAAGCGTTGATTAGTCTTAAATTTCGTATATGCAAAAGAAATAACCTGCCAAGCGCGAATATCGCCAATCCTATCAGTGAGATCCGAATCTATCACAGAAAATCACATTGACACTTGACACTTCTCCAATGTTATTGATGGGGGAAGAAATTCTCGTTCCTGACAGGCTAGAGAGGCTGGAATTCACATGCATTCTAGTATGTGTTGTGTTGAAGCTTCGCGTCATAACGGGAAGATGCTTATGGACTTTCTGAGCCTATAACACCTAGGGGGTATTATACCGTAAAGAATCGCGATGCAGGCTGACTATAATTTGCGTTGGGCCACCCTAGGGTCCGCACTTGGGGATAACACTGTACCATTTTATCTATAGGCAGACTACGCACTGTTGGGTGATCAATCCTCAATTTGAATTCATCGCAGTACTTCGTTGAAGGAGAGCGACATTGGCATACCGGTACCCGTCCGTCTGCTGGGATGCTGCCGTGATAGTTGTCGAGTGACTAGCGAGAACGTGGGATCTGCTGAACACGGATTAGCTTTGAGGAAGAACGCATGATCCATAGAGCTGTCTCTTTGGTTAGTTGGGAGTGTGCAGGCGGCATCAGTATAGTATGGAAAATATTATACACATTGATATTGCGATATATGCTTTAAACATCTAGGTGTGGTAAAACCCGCTTGTTGTTTGATACTTAGGCAATACGCTTGGGCTTTTAGAGCGGTATCTTGCGCCTAACTGAGCTAAATAAAAATCGAGCCATAATGTGATAGTTAGTCACAGGTCGAAGGTGGCAGGATTTTGAAGCAAAAGGAACCGGCCCATGTCAATCCTCAGCTCAAAGCTCGAATACCGCGCCGCAGATTCTGGCTCTACTTGGGATAGTAAAAAGATCTCTACCAAGATAATTAATATACCCGGGCAGTAGATATAGTGCATCCACCTACTAAAAAGTTCGGTGAACGTCGAAACACTCTCAGGGAACTCTCGACCCTGATATATCGTACACTGGATTATAATGACAGGGACCCCGTATAGTATGTCGTTCATGCTGAATTCCGTGCCGCCATTGATGAGATTTTACATCGTATAATACATGTTCTGGGACTCGGTTTCGCCGTGATTGGAATCATGGATGTTCCTTGTCCGTTGTTTGCGCATTCGTTTCCTCCCCATCATTAGTTGACACAATATCCTCTTCAATAAGTTGATGGGGAAGAGACCCATTCTCCCCTCGCTCTAGGATAGTTTCCATCTCAAGGATTTCTGTTGATTGGGGGGGGGGGGGCATTCTCCGTGTCGCACTGAGTCCTAAACCCCTCCTGCATAGCCTCCTCTTGCACACTAGGAATGGTCCGATTGTCTAACATCATTAATCGGCTCATTGGTATTTTCCGTATCATCTTGAAACTGGTTCTCCTTCGCAAAATCGGTGAAAAGCATCCCCGCGGGTTTGCCATTTCCCTCGCTGGTAACAACCGACATTCTCGTCGGGTCATCCTTCTTAAGCACTCTCCGAGTCGAAAACATCGAATCTGTCCCAAAAGCGTCTGCCAGAGTTAAAACAGTCTCTAGATACTCCTCCTGCGTACCGCCAGCCTCGGTCTTGATAGGCCGTAGTTTGAGCTCGCTGCGTTTCCCCTCCGCGTTTCCTTGGTCAATGCTGGTATATTGTAGCTTCCAGTCCTGAAATGCCAATTCCAATGTGCTTCTGGTCTCGCGGCCAACCAACAAGTACTGCACTTCCTGCATTTCCGAATTTGTGTCTCTGCCTAAAATTTTAAGCTCCGGGTCTTTACACAAGTGATTTGCGATTCGCATGTTCAACGTGGGAGGTAAGTCTATTCTTCGACTTTTCTTAGTTAGGTTACTGCATTTCAAGAATTCCTTTATTTCAGGCAAATCAAGCCAACAGCTCCGTAGCCGACTAGTCGTCTTTTGGTGGAAACGGACATCAACTGCATAGTCCGGAAGCATGAGATCGGTCTTGGATTCTGCGATGACAGCATCAACAGCCCTCAGTTTCAACCGTCTATCATCTGATGATACGTCGAAATGCATTTCGAGGGGAGGAAAAGCAGAAAATGCAACAGCGCCTACGGCGTTGTTGGTTTGAGGATCCACATAAAACGGGTTTGGTTGAAAGCGCAGAGTCAGAGATTCCGTACGAAGATAATGCGGCAATTGAGTTTGTTGCAGAATAGGAGAGACGGTTGGTAATGCTGGGCTGAACGTGTGGATAGCATTGTTCGTGCCCCATGTTGTTTCTGGCCCAGCTTCGGGAGTAGAACCCCGGTGGCAATGGAGGACACTCCCAAAGATAGCCGACGATTCGATTTTATATGTATCACTCCAATATTTACCGGTGTCGAGCCCCTTCTCTGTCTCAAAGGACGGTTTCATTGCGGTGTTGGAGTCAACTTGCGAGGCCGAACTAAGAGAGGGCATTCCCTGCTTCTCGGAAGGGATATCGGCACTGCCGATGGCCCCGTTGAGTTGATCATGAGCTTGATCTGAAGCGCGGGGGGTTGGTTGTCTGTGAATAGGCACCGTCCATCTCGTCCACTCACAGAGTCTCTCACGCCAGTGTAGACTTTCTGTGGAGCCGTATTTGACAAAAGTACCAGTTTCCCCTTCCGGCATCCTCTTGCATGCTAATTGGTACTTATTCCTGTTCGAGAAATCATCAGAAGTGACCAGGAGCCGTTGGGCAATATTAGCTTGGTTTGAAAGCCACGTATCGTTCGGGGTGGTGAGACAAGATATAGAGACAGGGAACTATTTGCAAGTCAGTTTCGTCGAGGAGTATCTCATTAGGGCCATGTCATACGTCTGTCCTCCCATGTGACCAAGTTCTCGGCAGTCTTGTGACGTGTGTATTGGTGATGCGGCCAAGCTCAGCGAGGGTTGTATCGTCAAATGTTGGATCTAGTCTTCTTCTAACCCGCGGGGCCTTCATTGACTTGCCTACAATAGGTGGAGGCATTAAGTCTACTAGCGAGAATTGTATTCTCTTGATATTTTTCAACACTCGTTCGATTTCGCGTATGATCCGGTCGCTCGTCTTCTCTGTTGCTGTGATTCTAATTATTCCATGTAAATGGAAAGCCTCAAGTTTCTCGCCTTTTCCGGCTAGAATCGATTTCTTGATCAAATCTAACATGGAACCCTCTGGGTGAGATATTAGCTGTAGCTCCCTGGTGACCTGGATTTTGACTTACGCGAGAGGAGGTCTAGGTCCCCAGGACGTAGTAGAATCTCTGTTTGTCCGATTGACTCAACCAGTTCTTGTAGTTCCAACTCCCAACACTCTCGCAGCAGCCGAACAACAACTCGCTGCTTGCTCGTGTGTGAGGCCAAGGCATAACCCCGAAGAGAAGCATCCTTAGACGAACCACTGAAGTCTGCATATTCCGGCACCCAAGGACTCCGCTGCAGAATCAAAGTATTATCATTTGCTGAGGGTATGCTTGTCCGAGATTCCGTCGCCAACCCTGATGTTTGTTGCTCCTCAAAATGGTCGATGTAGTTCTGGAGCTGGGAGGTGGTAAATGCTTCTTGCAAACGTCGCACAAGGTCGTTGAATTCATCCCAATTGTTGGGCCCTTCATCATTCCTCGGTCTGAATGAATTTATATTCGCCTCGACCTCGTCCTGGCTAACCAGGCCTCTTTCATTGTCTAGTCTTGCTAGTATATTGACCTTCTCGGGATTTTCTTCTCCTTCTTCGTAGGCGAATTTCGGGGAGGTAAAGTCGTATTTGGAGATTTTAGATTCTCGAAGAACAATAATTTCCGCCCGATGCCCGAACCTATTAGCCTCCAACAACTCCCGTTCCTTGACGAGTTTGTACCCACGGAAGCCGTAAAATTTACCTAATTCTTCCTGGACAACACGATACTGAGTCGAAACAACACCAGGTCTTTCGGGATGTAAATACTCTGAAGCCGGAAATAAGGTTCGCCGGATTTCAGGAGGGGGTTTCTTCCTTTTCGAGGCGCTGCTGTCCGGATCCTCTAGGCCTGGACCTGGTTTCGGGCTGTGATCTGTCGAGTTGAAAGCGATCTGAAGTTGTGAAGCTACATGGTTCTTTATGAGACGTCGTTGACATCTTAGGCATGTGTGCGGCCCTGAAGCTAGTCGAGTAATCATGTATGCGATTGATGATGTTTTCTTGGAGTTCCGCCAGCGCCAATTTTTTTTAAGTCATGGGTGCAAAACGAAGCGAGGCCCGACGACGCGTCAGGTCGTACTGTAATCGCGTCTCCAAGCGCAACGATTACAACATACTCCAACTGTGTTAGGTATCACTTCAGCTTCCTCTTATAAAGTTCTACGTGCCATATACCCAGGAATCTATCGAAAATCAAATCCTGTCAAAATGCCCCCTACATCAAGAAGGAGTCGGCTAGTAGGTTGAACCTCTCGTCATATATTTCATCACTGATAGGTCATAGGTGCAGCCAGAGGAGTCGGAGGAAGAAGCTACGCAGGTCACACAACGAGGTCCCGGCCGCCGCGCAATCTCTGAAAATGATAGTGATGCAGAGGATGAAGAGGTCGGATATGATGAAATGGATCTAGATGGAGAAACAGATAGCCAGGATCAAGTTGTCAAGAAACTAGTACGATATGCGCTTGCTTGCGAATTCCAGAGGGTGCCTATTAAGAGAGTTGGCATATCAGAGAAAGGTCAATGCTCTACCACCTCCTGTGATTTGCATGCTGATTATGGTAGTTCTGGGAAAACAACGCGGCAGCTTCAAACGGGTGTTCGATGCAGCGCAACAGCATTTGCGATCAAAATTTGGCATGGAGATGATGGAACTACCAGGACGAGAGAAAGTTACCATTAGAGATAAGAGAGGCGGGTTATTCATGGTATAATTTTGAGGGAAATGCTGACCTCTCCCAGCTGCCGCCAAAGCCAAAGGCAATTCGAAGCCAACTGCCTCTTACATACTGGTGACGACATTGCCTGCCGCATATCGCAGCGCGGAAATTATTGCACCATCCTTGATTGGAAGCGAGGATGATGAAGCGACATATATTGGCCTATGTACTGTGATTGTTTCATATATTGGCATGAGTCCTGGAGGCCAGGTCCCAGATCATAAGCTTATGAGAATTCTAAGGCGTCTAAATGTAGAGGAGAATACACCACTTGAAAAAACCACTGTAATTCTGCAAAGGATGATCAGACAAGGTTATATTTGGAGGGTTACGGACAGGTCTGGGGATGAGGAAACGGTCGATTGGAGAGTGGGACCAAGGGGGAAGGTCGAGATAGGCAATAGTGGCATATCTGGCTTTGTGAAGGAGATATATGGCCAGGACGCGCCACAAGATCTTGATAAGAGATTACAGCGAAGTTTAGGCGTAGAAGTCGGGAGGGGAAACGAGGAGGATGAGGATGTGGAAGGAACTAACGGAGGCCCAAGTACCGCAAGATCAATTGGTAGGATGCGAAAGGCAGCGGATGATGATGACTGATATGCTATATGAAATGCATTTGTCTATGAGCAGCTTCGGTAAGAGAAGAGCATCACAGAAGGGTGCTGAATGGCCCGTTGGCCTTCTGCAGAAACGGGTAGTTAACCCAATGGGAGAGTACCGTGAAATCAGGAGCAAGTGTTTCTGGGTATCATTTATTCCTTGATATAGCCATAACTTGAAACCCCAACCAGGTAACAGCATTCTCCACGGCCGGGCGTTTTTAGCCAGACCAGGTCCCGGGTAACCTGTCTGGCATCCGCGACATCAAGGAAACGATCCTTCGGCAGCTGATGATTCCTTATGCTGACGCAACTTTTGCCTAGCCTCGTGTCTCTCCGTTTCGCCGCGCTACTAAATACGTATCATTGAATCAATCTTGCACTTCCGGCGGCTTCCCGACGGGCTGTATCATTTTCTACGGCCACAGTAAGCACACATTTGACGCATCAACCATTGAAGACCTCCACTCACCTCAATCATCATCGCTCTAACCTTCTCTCTACATTCACCCATTCCAATTGCCATGTAACTTAAAAGAGGGGGGTGCCCAATATAACTAGCATAGCTGTCCCGTTGAATATTCGATGTCCATTCGAACTTTGTGGTGTCTGCATGCCCTGTGCCGACATAGCGGGCTTGGAGTTGCTCTAGTTGTTGCTGCGCGCGGAGTTTGTCGGCCTAGCAGGAAGAGTGTTGTTAGCATGATTTAAAAGGACAATCAGGGTTGACATACCATCTTGAAAATCTTACGTCCTGAGAAGTAAAATAAGAGAGTGTCTTAGAGTCTTTGGCTTTGGCTATTCGGTGGCCGTTCAAGCGTACAAAGCATGGGGATAGGTATTCAGAAAACGGTGGCTTCGGGACGGAACAACTTCGAACCGCGAAGCACTAGTGTAGAAATCTGTCTCCCGACAATCAATCTAAACTTCGAACAACAAAACACTAATGGAACAACTGCGGTAGCAATAATATCTACCCGGACCTTGACAGAGTGCACTAAGATGGAGTAAGCATTTCCATGACCTTCCCTAGTATTTTGTACGATCTCATGCTACTTTCCCCCACGTGATATACACGTGATATAAAAAGTCTCCATCTTGGCAGCTCCATCGTTGCGGAGGCTCTTGGGTGGTGCCTCACTCTTCGATTGTAATTGATTGTTTCATCTTCATTGACTAACTTTACTTCAGGGGTGTTCAACTTCAGACCAGGCCTGGCGGTCCAATGTATCCTCTGTCGGTTGATCAGAGGACGGCTCAAGGGGAGCAGTTTCGACAAGCCAAGCAGCAACTAGAATCCAAACTGAAAACGATAGCCAGTTTTTACTCTTCTCCTCATGCTGAAGCACACACGGGCCCTCCCAATTGTGAAAGATGCAATACCAAGAGGAGACGAATTACGGAAGCCTATTATGATTTCTATCTTACCAACACGCCTTGGGATGCAGCTGATCCTAGCTTGAGAGCGGATCTTGACAAAACGTTCAATAACCCTCAAGGCGACCGACTAGATCATATGCACAAGATAGTCCAAAGCGTTGTACGAGAGCACATCAGGCATGACCTCTGCTCTCCCGACCCCGCCGACGATGTGGATACCTTCAATTACAAGCAGGTGGGAGCAGAAATGTTTAGGCAGGACCGAGACACGAAAGAAATCTTAAATTGCTACACCGAAGCTCAACTCAAGACCATACGCGATCCAAACATCGTCGAGTTTATCAGGGCATCAGAAGCCGCCAATACCCCGGATCAGCGCGCTCAAACATATATCAACTATTACTGCAGGCTCACTACTACCGATACTCCCCAGCAGAAGAACTTCAAATCCAAATATGCGCGGATGTTTGAGCAACTCATGCCCCGTGATGTTGTCGTCACGGCCATGCGCAAAGAAGCCGAAGAATTGCAGGCCAGTAAACTCTCGGATCTAGAGCATCGTTTGGGCGAGCTGCAAATGGCACAATCAGCCCATTTGAAAGCCAAGGCCCGTAAGGCGGAGAAAGACAAGATGATACATGCTCGCGAGGCTTCTCCAAGATATGTCAGCTGCAGTGTAGAGGAGTGTCCTCTGGATATCAATGTTACGTCGGAGGAAGTTATCGAGTGTGGTATTTGCGAATGGCTGAGCCGGAAAGGCGGTAAGGGTAGTCATTTCTATTATTGTTCTGTTGAACATGCGGAGGAAGATTTTGTAGGTGCCATATTTCTACCCACTTTTATTCTTCATTATAGGAGCTAGAGTACTAACATGATATAGGACAACCATGAGCGCCGTGAGCATCAATGTTCTATGGGCTCTCGATGTCTCTACTCTTCCGGGATGAGCCCTGCTGGCGACAGTAGCTCTGATGATACGGAGCTATGCGGTATATGTATAGACTGTGAGGACCATGAGGTCGTGAGCTATTTCTGCTCTGATCAATGCTACCAAAAGAATCTAGTACGTGAGACTTTGCCTCGTATACCAAAGTATTAATTGGATTAACCCCCAGTCTAGGAAGCCCACCGGGATGAAGTTCATTATGGACGAGACATCCCGAATACCGCCCGGCATTTGGATGAGTGCGCCGTGGCGGAGGAGTTGGAGGCGATATGATTGATGTCTACTTTGAGCTTTATGATGTTGATGTACAATTGGACTAGGAGTTTGGGAAATAGCAAGGGTTTAATTGTCAACTATATCTCAGTGGCAATACTTCCTTCTGAATCCTCCTTTCGGATATGTAAAAGGATGCCTTCCAGGCCAGTCTCCATGGGTTAATTTGACCACGTCTAGCATCCCAAGCTGCAGTTACCCTGAGTACACTCTGCTACCTCTATTAAATAACTGCTCTATTGCATGGACTTGCCAATAAAGAGAGTTTTTCACTTCTAATGGGGCTAAAACTTTCACGAATCGACAATCGAGCGCCACGGAGTAATATCCCCCGCAATGCAATACTATCCACTCACCCTTCAAAATACCCAACCTCTCGTGCTGCTAGTATAAGCTGACAATCACTAGCCATCTCACATCTTCTATAATCGGCAACTGATATTATGTTCCGAAAATTCACGTATTCTATTTGATTATGCTCGCCCGTCTAACTGCTACCACTAGATACGCACCATACCATCTCATGTAGCATCTCCTTATTGCAGGCCTTAGAGCTTTAACATAAATCAATCTAACTTAGGAAACCCAGCCTGAGAAGGATCTCGTAAGCCTCGGCACTTTAACCGGCTTCTGATAACCTTGATAGAACATGGCGAGACAGAACCCCTACAGACTTCTAACAAAATCTATTAGGGCAAGGTACGAGGAAATAACTGTGTTTTGCCCCAAACACTAGCAAAGTCTCAGGCACTATTATGCCGGGTAGTTTGAGCATGAGGGAAAATGAAGTTAATCTTTTAGTAAAGAATGAATGCGGGGAAATGAAGCTTTAGTGCGCTAGCATCGGTTTGGGCAATGCAGACGCACCAGCACGAGTTAGTATAACAAACTAATTCAGTTGGTGCTCGTCAGGGCATATTTTGAAATTTATACATTCTCACACCTGTCTTGTTCCGCAAATGGCTTGCTACATCTACATCTACATGTCTTGTAGCGATATATCATATCTTGATAATTTTTGCTGCTTTGATTACCTCCTCATTGTCGATTGTCTCCCTATTTAAGACATAATATTTAGTTACAGCACCGCGTTGAACCAACCTAGGGGATACACGCATATGGCATAGACTCGAGTAGCAATGGTAATCTCAGGAAATGCCTTTTTGAAGTCCAACTGCTTTGGGAAAAGCAGTGCTTATAATATTCAACAGTGGAGCACACGTCTGCTCCGAGCTCAGCAATATCCATACAAGTAACCTGCCAGCGACAAGCCGTCCACGACAAAATAAGATCAATTTCCCGCCCCCAAGCCGACGTCCGAACCCTTTATGTCAGATCTCCTCTGTCTCCGTCCCATTTTGACATCTGCTTCCATACCGTTCGCATTGCCCCTTCCATCGCCTCTATATCTAGCGATACCCATAACCTGACGGGTAGCAAGTCCAACTAATATGAACATCAACGCTGAGACCAACTCAGGAATGAAACTGAGTCCAACACGAAGGCCAATAGAGCCAGTAACGGGATTTAGTGAAGCATTGTCAGAGAATATGGATACAGTGCTGTAGAGAACACGAATGCCGGTGAAAGGCAGTGAGAGTAGGACAACGAAGAGGATCTTAGTTCCAGGGATATATCCAAGTGCTGGTGTTGTTTTTTGGCTCGGGAGGAGAGAGAAGACTGCCCATATGCAGACCAATGACCAGGAAACAAGTAGTGTGGTGATGCCGACTTTGAGGATAGTCACATCTGATTGTTTCGGGGCGGTGCCACTGTTCTTGTTCACGGCCGAGGCCCCGGCTGCTACAAGGCCAACGCCCGCGGCTACGAGGAGGTGGTAGAGCCCAACAAGGGTCCATTCAAAGTTTTTGCGGAGTCTGGCGTTGCGGTAATGGCGGCTGTGAAATGAGACCGTTAGCTGGATGTTGTAAGTGGAGAAGCTTAAGGGTGGCCTACGCTTCATGTAGGAGTCCAGATGTTGCTAGCAGTAGTGGTGATAATCCAATATTGGATATCAGTGAAGCAGAGGAATTTTTGCTGTTCTTCAATGTCATCGCGCCACCCACCACCCGGAGGCTGCAGAAGGCAAATAGGTAGAACCAGCCCAGAAACCCTGGTTTCCCATGCCGGATCCAGACGTAGATGACGGGGGGAGAGAGTGCTGCGTATACGCCCAGCTGAGCGGTGTTAACACCGGTCATTTCTCATAGGGCGGGTGAGAAAAAAGAGGAAGCGGGGAGTGGTGGTGTCCGTTAGAATGAGATCTGGAGCGTCGAGGTTCACTGGGTTCAGAACTAGGCCGCAGCTGGCGACGCGAGTTGACGAAACGGCAGAGGGTAATAGAGGAGACTAGAAGAAAGAGCGCTCTCATGATCTTCGGGCGTGGGGCCAAGGGATGCGGTGTTTGTGCTTGTAGGAGAACTGGAACGGGGGATGGTATGATTGAGCCTTAGACTTGGGCTTGGAATTGGATCGAGATTAGAATTCATATCAGGTACCGAATTGGGTGGACGAGGGCGGAGGAGGTAATAAAAAGCCAACAGAGCCAAGGCAGTGGAACAGATACAGGCACTACTAGTACTTATTCAGGCCATCATATGTATCAAAGAGACGCGCGCGGTACTGGGGAGCTAGAAAAGACTCAGGAAGAGCGAAACAAGATGCCACCTGATGGTCACAGGCGCCGTCCCAGCAATGACTGTGAATTGCTATAAGTGGCTGCGAATGGAATTTGGATCGACGGAAAACCATTGCTAGACGAGCCAGCGCGGAAATATACAATATACTTATGCCGTGGTGGTACAATGATAATAGCCTGTGTTTGCATTATTCGCAGTGCTGATGCGGCGTGGCGCCCGGCCTGGCTACGTCGGCCTGCTTGGATGCCCACCCCTCGCCCTTGACGATGGTCCCTTTTTGGCGATGGTCTATTTTGACGATGGTCCGTCTTTGGAGATGGTCTATTTTGACGATGGTCCGTCTTTGGAGATGGTCCCTTTTTGACTGTGTGTCACAGACCACCTTATGTAATCGCAGAGGCCTTTAAGGGTATTCTCACGGAGGATTCCGCTTTACGTCAGGTAAATTCTTTAAAAACGCAAAGAATCCTTTCCCCCTTTTGATTCCTCGCTCTACGTCTTGTATATAGAATCAATATATATCTTGAAACTCTGACATACATGGTCTTCATAAGCGCCGCAGTACTACGACACAAACAAAAGGGAAGGTATAATACGGAATCACGAGGTTGAAACACACGTGACAAACAGACGCCTAGCACGATATGAGGGCTAAGACAGGGGTGCTAGGTCAGATGGCGTGCAAGGACTCGGATAGGGTTGGCACAATTGCTCTAGCTCAGTGTTTGTTCCAGAACACTTGCGCTAGCTCACATGTTAGGCTGGCCCATTTATGCTAGCACAATATTTGGGCCAGCCCAACATGTGGGCCAGCCCGCCACAGATGCTAGCCCTCCTTGTGAGCTAGCATTAATACTGGGCTGACTGCTTTGGGCTGGCCTACCCTACGTGTTAGCATAAATGGGTCAGAGCCAGGTATGGGCTAGAAGTCCAGTTCCAGCCCCCGCAATGTACTACCCCTACCTGTGTGATAGAACCAATCTTCCCAATCATGTGTATCGGCCATAACCCGGTTATCTTCATTCTCCTCTGTGTTTCTGATTTCTATTGATTTGCTATTAGATCAGAATTTTTTTTTTCCACAATGAAGCTCCATCGAGAATCCTGTCTAGCTTGTTTAATCTAAAAGTGGATTTCGAAGTGTTTCAACATTAGTTCCAAGGTCATAAAAGGACGGAGATTCTAAATACTCTGGGAATTCAAGTTTGCAGTACTTGATTAACTCTAACTACATCCCCTTGATCCAAATCGGAATCGCCTAGCTCAGCTTTTCCCCAGAGAGTAATCTATTCTAAGCTACATAAGTCCCAAACCACTGAAATCTGCAAGCCATAAGTGCAATCGTTATTCTGGTTGAAGTTCTAGTTCCTGCAGTCGTACTCCGTCATCTAAATGTAGACGAACAAGAGCTCGAAGGTGATCTCTAAGCGCGCCATCTCTAGATACTAATATACATCAGTATCGTCGCAGCCCCAAGAAAGAGTATATTTTTACCTATAATAAGTACCTTGCTTTTTTCTTCTGATGCTATCTGTAGTCTTTGGATATACTTCCCCGACACCTCGTCTTGAAGGATCCCTTCGATGTCTGCTTTGTCTGGAAAGATAGTTGCGCGTTGGCCGAAAGGCACCTTGGAGACACCATCTGATTCGACGTAAATCGAGACACAGAGAATCTATACCAAGTTCAGTTGAATAAGCGATATGAGAAGCTGCCTTCTTACATAACTATCATCTAGAGTATCTTCATCTAACGCATCATTCAACAGAGACTCCGTAGCCACGCCAATGTCTGCTATTGTTAGCTCTTATCATATGGCGTACGAAGGAAAGGTTCACCAAAGCTTTGTAGTTGCTACACCAAATGGACTGGGCGTGTACGAGCTTTGCAGGTTTGATACCCGTGAATGAGCTGGCGGAGGTATGGCAGCTGCGCAGCAATACCGAAGCCAGTTGCGACTATGAGAACGGTCTCGTACTCTACGACTGGTATGCTGATGCCGTGCGGTCCGCTGAATAGCGCTAGGCGAGGTATAGAGCTACGCGGATTAAGCGTCCCCTGGCTAAAGAGCCTTTGGGTCAAGCCTCTTCGTGGTTGAATGAAGAGCTCCAAAGTGACTTGCTTGCCCTCGACCCAGTTGGTCACCACAAAAGGGTGGCTCTGGAAGATATGCCAGCTAACGGAAGGCATCCACACGTTGATATACTGACCTGCTTTGATCTCGACCGGCCGCGGCACAGCGATCCGAATCCTAACTGTACCATTAAACGAAGTGATATAGGCTCGAGGAAGACCGCGGCCCCAGGCCTTATTTCGAAAGACCACGCTACCGTATTGAAAGACAAGCAATGCAGCGACCATTCCTGCAAAGATGTATACGTATAGCTATCTAAATTTAGATATGGAAATGAGATGCCGGAAAGTAGAATACGTTACTAGCACAGCTAAGCCTTGATGTATGCGGAGGAAGAGCTCGTATGACGGTTTGCGAATGACTGGTATAGAGAGGCGGATGAGGATAGATAAAGCTGACCCGCCCTGTATAGTGTTAGAATTTAGCATCATGGGTAAGAAGGAATTGTGCAACTCACGATTAGTGCGTACAGATTCTCTGGCACGCTTAAAGGGAAAGCCCCGGTGCCATGGACGATCACGAGGAGGGCGTGGAGAAGCACAAGGGCGAACGACGTAATACCTACCAAGCGATGGACTGGTCGGAACATCCTTAAGGAGACACCAAATAAATCTGCAAGGAAGCTAAGATGGGGCCCCAGAAAGAGCGGCATCATGTTGATCAAGGCCAAGTTCGCTGCACGGAGCCTAACCTTTGAAGCTGTCAATTTCCAGAACTCGAGGCAGTAGACGTTGGCGGTAATATATGCCGCGTACATAATGAGGCCTGCTGGCGTCCATGGCCCAAGTGATGAGTGACCGCGGAGGATCTGAGGATACGTGAAGACTTTGCACAGCAAAAGAATAATATATTTAACTAATTGTAAGAGGCATAGACGGAAGGTAAGAATAAAGAACACAGCAAAGACGCCGCCGACGCAAATTGCATATATTTCAAGAGTCTCCATGATAAGACGAAGGAATGGATGAGAAGGAAGAGAGGGTATGGAGGGAATACACGAGGAGGTGGAGGTGGGTGAGGGAGAAAGGGGAGGAAGGGAGTCAGTGGAAGATATGGAAGCGCGAATGAGTCAATCGATGGACTGTTTAAGCATATGCAAAATAGAAGGATGGTGAACTTGGAGGGCAGCACAAAACTGAGGGTTGAAATGGTGTAGTGGGGCGACAGTAGGGCAGCTGTGGGAGCCAGAATAGGAGTTGGCCACCCTAATCCTATCAAGGTCGTGCTGGAAGTGACAACTCAGGTAGAAGAGTATCACGTATGCTCTTATCTCAGAGCTACACCAGGAATTGGACCACGCCAGCCGGACTGGTCGTGAAGATCTAAGATCTGACGGTTAATGGGCAGTTGAATCATATCACGATCCTGCTCCGCTGCTAGCAAACGTTAGGCGAAAATTGTCAGATCAGATATAAGTCCGCATCAGCCTACGATGAGCTGTCATTCGAGGCGCCATTAGAGAAAAAGGTTGGTGTTGAAAGCCATCACCACCCGTGCTTCGTTTACAACCACATCAGGGGTGTCGTTGGCAGCACCGCTAGCGACGCCATCTTTGACATGATAGGAAATACAGTCTGGGACTATGTCTTCATTCGATCCTGTATATTTTTCCTCCACTGGATTGCACCGTTCAGTATCCTACATTGCATAGTCATCTCTCTTGTCTCTCCATTATGCCTCCGTCTCCCTTGGGTACTAGATGCCTGGGTTGTCTTCGAGGCAGCACTTTACCTCCTGGTCTACCTTCCGCGTAAATTCTACCTTCAGACAGCCGCGGCGCACCCCACGCCCGCCTGCCGCGAAAGCCGTCGTCTACTCTTCCAGCGCTGTAACAGGACTATCCCTAACCCGGGGCAGCATCTTCAAAAATGGTTCTTAGACGTGCCAGTCTCAGAGATCAAGCGTGACAACGTCAAGGATTTCTTTCGGTGGGCTTTTCTCAATAAGGGAGAGCCTGATCCCGCGGACGACGAGGAGCTGGAAGACATTGACTCTCGATAAGGTCGACATGTCCATCAGAGATTGACGTGGTACCTGGTAAGGTTCTGGATAGAGGCGGATTCTATCGTCCCGCAGCACCAAATAATTGCTAATCCTGCTGCATTGTGTATTTGTCGTAGCACCATAGGTCCGGCCGCACTATGAGAGGCGGAGGTTGTCAGGAGTAAGAAATATTATCTGGATGAGACTAGTGCGTACATGTTGGTATTACACTTGAAGAGGATGAGCGAGATGGTTAGTGAGGGCTTCATTTAAATGATATTTAATGCAGGAATGAGTTGTGACGAACTTTTACATATAAGCAGAAACGCGCCAACCCCATCAGAACACAAATATGTCGGTATTAATAGGTATCTAGAAAGCAATTATGGCTCTTAAACAGACATGTCCCTCATCCCTCAATTGACAATTATCACTTGTACACATCTCCTCCTAACTCATATACAAGCTGAACCTGGTCGTTCTGGATCTGATGACTGTTCTTAGGTTCATGGCTATTCAACTCGGCTGGTTCATGGCTATTCAATTCGGCTGGTCCATAACCGCCGTCCCGATATTTCTCATGTGGTGACCCAACGCCGTTAATGCTCGACGCCGTGGTCCTAGCAGTCGATATTCCTCTCAAAGGTGTTTCATTCTTCCTGTTATATTTCCGGAGGTAGAGAAAGGCGCACAGGGATATGATCCCGAGACCACAGACGGCAATGCCTGCACCAATACCAGCCTTTGCCCCCTGTGTGAGCCCATTAGATGAATTTGTGGTATTCAAAGACGATGCGGTGTTCGTTGCTGCTGATGGGCTGGTCGTTGCTGTGCTGGCTGACTTCCCACTGAATGGCACCAAGACACCCTTCCAACTAGCCGCCCAGTCGTTGGAAGATGGCGAAATAGACGCATCCTGGTCGCGGATGGTTTGAACGGTGATCTGTGACCCTATGTTTGGACCCGGGGCTTGTGCAAGCCACCATACGCCCTGGTTGTTGTTGGCATTCCAGTTCGCCCCCACAAACGCCGCTTGGAGAAAGGCACGGCCTAACGAGTACCTGCCGTTGGATTGCGCATTGCAAGGGAAATATGGGGCGGTCGACGTGACCAGAGGTGCTTCGAGAGTCAGGTTGAGGAGCATGAAAGGCACATTGATCGTGATGTTCTGCGTATTGCTCTGGCCTTTGCGGAAGACAAAACTGAGAACGGAGGGAGAAGAGACAATCTGGGTGTACCGTGGGTCGTTGGTGTTCCATGTGTAGAGACCAAGGTCGGCATTGTATGTCACTGGAAGCCAAGCAGCAATGGCATCGCAACTGCTTTTTGGCAAATCCAGGTACGGAGCTTCCGGAAGCATTGAGACTGACAAAGCAGGGCCAATCGAAGAGTTGCCAGTAGCAAGGAGATTGCTTATTGTGGATGTATTGAAAGGAGAAGAGCCATCGATTACGTTGATCGCGATATCGAGCAGATCGATAAGTCCTTTCTTTCCGTCGTCATCGGGCTCAATTCCTGCAAAGGCTCCTTGTTGCGTCGAAATATCACCACAAATTCGAGTTTGGTCGTAACCGCCAAAGTAAAGAGAGCCTTTGATCTTCGATCTAACAGATCCAATTTGCAATCCGAAAGAGTTTGAAGGCGTCAAATTTGCGGCCTGTAGATAACCTGGTATTAGACTTCCGTTGATAGTAGGCTGGCCAGGCTGCGTAAAACTTTGGTTCGCAGTTCCCAGGTAACCCAAGCCAAATGTTCCTACTTGTAATGCTTTGATAGAGCCGCTTGGATAGACGGCAGCGATATCGTCATACACGGCGATAGTTACGTTTGGCACAGTGATCGTGTTTCTGAGACCATCCGATGTCCCAATAATCATCTGATCCAATGTACCAATTCCTTGTGTGCCCTGGACTTGAAGGCCGCCATGGGTGAAATCAGTCGCTGCTGGGAAACGTATAATTGTTCCTAGGGCGGTGGTTGAGCTCTCGACGGCGTAAAGGCCACCCGCCGAGGCAAAACAGGCGTTCGGTGACAGAGTAACGTTGGAACAAATCCTCGGTGTTAAAAGGTGTGAGCGAAAGGTTCCTCCAGGATAGAGAGCCACTTGTTGCGCGGGCGTTCCAATGCCGATTTGCACCGCTTGCCATGGTCCATCTGGTCCAAAGCTCTTGCTGGACCAGGTCATGGCAAATGGTAGTGCGGGATCTGCTGCAAAGGCTCGAGCGACGAATGTTCCAAGGACAAACAACAAACAGAACTGCGTCATGACTGCTGTATGGACGTAGAAGTAAGATCAAATTCCGCCACAACATAGGCAGCAGTAACTTGGGGAGATTAAATATGTAGAATAGAGCAAGGAAATGAATGAAAGATGGGAGACATTATTGAGAAAGGAGCCAGTTGGACTTGTTGTCCGCCAGGGCCAACAGCAGCTATCACTCCAAGCGCTGATGGTACTAGTTTCTGACGCTATGGATGAAGCAGAATCAAGCGGATTTGGCAGCGCCCAGCCGATAGACGGAGGAGCCAATGAAGAAACACGATTCTCGGATAAAATCTATTTAATTGGAAGGTAACTTGCTCCTTGATCGGAAGGAATTTTGAATGCAGTTGGTGTTTTGGGACAAGGGAAGTTGCAGCGTGAGGGTGGGCGCTGGGCAGGGCTGAGCCGCCTCCTGGCGCCTATTCTTCCTATGTAGGGGTCTTTCGTACGGTAGGCGCTTTTGAAGGTGGCCAATAGCGCACCGTGAGGGAGCGGATCATAATGGTCAAGTGGAAAACGAAGCACTGAGAGGCGCAGTGGTTGCTGTGAGCAAAGTCGCGCCTATGCCTTCCGCCCTAGAGAAGTGTGGGAGTTTTTGCGCCGTGGATGTTTTGAACTTGTGCCTGCGAGCTGTGCGGAGAGCCAACTCCAGTCCTGTCACATCGAAGAGTTGCCCCTGCCCGGACCGACACTGCGCCTTCACCAGACCAGATTTGAGGGTTTTGCAAAACTGCGTTTACAGAAACTAAATTGACAACAGCGTAGAGTTCGACTGAAACATTTGATTTCTGATACTGCAATAAGAATGGAATATGTACAAAGTAGATGTTTTGAGACAGCCCGGGAAGGCACACCAAATGCATGGGGGGTCGCAGGTTAGGGGGGCAGCCCTTAGCGCCGCCTCACATGATATTAAAGGGCCCCCCTCTTCTCTGCCCAAATCCGCTGCACGCCCTGAATCTTCACGTTTTTTTGATGATGATTTCTCAACCTTCAAATTGGAACCGCTATATTTGACTCATACGATCCGCAGACGCCTCCGCTCCCAATTTACCCCGTAGCAAACATCACGGAACAGATCTAGCGCTCGAAGTTTGTGCTCAGCTTATCGCTCAAGTTATCACCACTCGAGTCCGGTTTGAAAGGGGCAGGGACACCGGGGTGGCAGGCGATTATAGGGTTGTTAGAACAGAGTGCGCAGGAATTGGATAGAGGTGCGAGGAAGAGAGACGGCGCGGGTCTGGGGAGCGTGCTGGTGCTTGAGGCGGAGATGGAGGAGGTCCATGTGCTTGCTGAGTGGAGGTTTTGGAGGATAATTGACGGGTTGGCTGTGATGTGCGAGAGTTGATGAGTTTTGTTTTATTTTGTATACATGGGTTCTACTATATTGATAACTCATCACCCATCGCTGCCTGTCTTCTTGTTTCCGTAGGCAGCCTTACTCCCCATGCAATCAAGATCACAAACCAAGACTCACCTCACCTCCTCATTGTTTCTCTTGCGTCACGCCTCACGAACGACTTCCCCAGATTCTTCGCAAATTTGTCACCTCGGCAGAACATCCTTCTCCGTTGTGTTCGCAAGCAGTTTACCACTCCGTTATTTACTGACGATGATAACGACAAAGCTTTTGAGGCTGTCATGCATGCCGATTTGTCTCGGAACAAATTCGAAAACGAGGAATACCACAAGGAAGACTTGGTGGCAATAACATGTTCCTTTACCTGCTAAGGTGTCGGCCGTCTCAGACCAGGCCAAGTCGCGGTGGAATTGGAGGAACTGAAAGTAAGACCTTAATATCCAATAATCATTCCGCAGTACTCACTCATACAGAATCACTGCCCTGCGGAACTTATAAATCGCTTGATTTTTGTTGATGCGAAGGTCCAAATAATTCTTGCGGTCCTCCGCGAGCATCAAGCCAATACCGGTCCTTACCAAACTTCCAAAGCAGAAAACAACACTGTGGGTAGTCGGGAACATTTTACATTAGAATCTGGCTAACTAAACAGGCAGACAACATACAGATGCCATTTCCAGAACGATTATCAAGCGACTGTCTAAGAAGTCCCGAGCGGATCTGCAACGTAGACGAACACATTGAAGGCAAAGAAGAACAACTGGAAGGACATACAAAGGATGAGGAATTTGTGTCTGGAACCGAGTCTGCGGTTGAGGGTGAGAGCCAGCATCAAACGCGAACTGGAAAGACATGGTGCGGAGAGTGACTACCAACCTGGGCAAAGAAGAACAGCAGGAAGGATATACAGGAAGGGGCAGCAAGAAACGAAACTGGAAGTCAATTCTATGGGGAAACCTACGTGGCAGGAAATGAAGTAATGAGGGAATCTCTGTGTTTATTCTTGAGTTGTGGGATTTTTCAGAATTAGGAACGTAACACAACTCGATTTGTTCATCCGATCGAATTCCCCTACCCTTGACCCACTCCTTACGCTGGGTTCTGTAAGACATATAATCAGAATAGAAACAAAAGGTTTGTTTCCCTTCAATCTTCAATGTGTCTGAGAGAGCATCTCCATTCAAATCAGATTGTGTTTGATATCTTGACGTCATTCAAAGCGAAAATACCTGGGGGATTCGCAAATGTTTCACTGGGCCCTGAGCCAAGAGTTGTTGCCATTGAAGGAGGTAAGACGTAGATTTGCGAGTTTGTTTTGTTGCTGGTGACGAGCCAAGCCTGATCTGCAAGCATCTATAATTGCTACCTTGATTGGCTATAATTCTGAGTCTATGTGGGAAAAACAAGCGCATTTCGCGGACGACTTCCGAGAAGCTTGAAACCTGTAGAGGGTTGGCCGTGGCGCTTGGATTCGGATTACTCCATCACGTCCACAAGCAAGCATTCAGCTCAATTATCTGGCGCGACTCCACTTTAACGGGACCTTTCTGCCTTTCCTGCACGTTATACTTTCGTCTTCCTCACAAGCCAAAAGACCAAAGCGTTATACCCCGTAGACCGTCGTCAAACGGCCCAGACTTTTTGAAGACGATACTAGAATAGCCTAATTTACTTCCATCAAGACAGATCAATCTTGAGAGAAAACTGTGTCCATTTTCTCAAGTTCCCATTTTCGCGTTAGCTTTTGGGGAGATACAACTGCATTTCGTTCCTTGCGCTGCATTTTTCAAGTGAATCCTTAGCATTCGAGGTGGAGGTCAGAGTTGACTACTGAGTACTTTCAAATCCATCCGTCGAATCTACATTCCATGTGACTCCTTGAGTTTGCAACCTACAGGGCCTTTTAATACCTAGGCGAGTCTAAATTGAGCTTTAAAGCCGTCATGTACCGTGCTGCTTGCAGCGGCGTCACCCAATTAGATGTTCTAAAAAGCACCTCACAGAGGCAAAATCACGCTGCTATAAGAAAGCTTCCACACCTTCGTCCTCTTCTAAACATTACGGCTTCACGATACAGAGATCTATTTCACACTCCAGAGCCAGAGGCTTCGACATCGGCATTCATCAGAGCCACGCGCTCTCTTTCACTCTCGCTCGATTAGGTACTGTAGCGTAGTGCAGTGCAATGCGACGGCTCCTACAATCATCTAAACACAAGCACCGTCTTCCTAGAAGCCATTTCATTTGCGGCTCTATACTCTCTACTGCAGCATGCCACAGAACAAGAACAAGCAGCCACATGCAAGGAACAGGAGCACCTCGACGGCCTCCAACAGTGACCACACCCAAACACAGGCGAAGACGAAACTGCCAAGACTGTACCATACGAAGTCGAGAACGGGATGCCACCGGTGTCGTGCAAGACGAGTCAAGGTGCGTCATTTTACATCTTCCTGCTTTCTGTAGCTGTTGCGTCGCGCGTGTCCGTATCCAAATTGAAAGGCCCGGTCAATGTATCTTTAGGCGATAAATATGTCTTCTTTTCCCTTTCTCTGCCCAAGGCGGCGGAACTCCGATATTCCATTTCTAGATTCCTATTTTCACTCCTATTGCTGTCGACATTACTTCATACCTTCGAGATTTTGCGCGACCATTTTCTGTTCCTTGAATTTCACATGCAAGGGGTTAATGTGGCAAAGCGAACCCTTACGAGTAGACCTGTCCTGATTCATCGATCATGCAAGCGCCCGAGATTCGCCTCCCCCGAAAGCACAACTTCCGGTGAGAGCATGGTATTGACATTGACTCCAGTGTGATGAAACCCACCCGATATGTGGGAGCTGTACCCGCCAGTATGTTCATTTTCCTCGAAAAAGATATTTCCCTTTGGGGTGGAACAACATATGCTACATGCACCGCCTGAATCATAGCATATAACTGCGTTTCCAAGCTCCCCACATCGGCAAATTGGACGGGAGAAAGGATATCTCACTGCAAGATGGCCCCAGCACTCAGCTATTGTTGTCTTCGTCAATCTTGACCAAGATGCGTGTGCTGATCCTATGACCTAGCTGTGTCTCCTGCATCTACGACAAAGAGCCCGCTCCTCTGCTGAAATTCAATCAAATTTGTAAAGACGCGGGAAACACAAGCACGTCTCCTTCACCACTACCCCAGACTCCGAAAAGCCGGGGCTTCTCAAGGGTTATTCAAACCCCTACCTCCGCGTGGGCCCAGAAGTATTACAGCACGTCGACACTGTCCCCGATCTGGAGAGTAACAGCTTCTTCTCCATCCCTGAAAGTACTGCTAGAAGGAAACTTGAACTTCGCTTGTGTCAGAATTACGTTGCCAACACATCTGTTACCCTCCCAGCATGCCACAACCCTGACGTCCTCTCAACCTGGTCGATTGAATTGCCCAAACTGGTACTCCAGTATGACAACCTCCTCTACGAGATGCTCTCTATCTCTGCCCTCCATCTGCTAAAGTCCGATCCTGAGAATCCGGAACTGCGTGCTGCCCGGCAAGCCTACGTAGGCCTCTCACTACACGAGCATCGCCGTGCTGTATCAGAACTTAGTAGAGAAAGCGCAGAGCGGTGTGTTTTGCCTCGACCATGATTTTAATTGATGCCTTTGCCTCGCTCCAAGATCGAAAGCTAGAACCGTACTCCGCGTCTATGGAGTGGCTCCAAATGGCTCGTGGAGCAGGATCAGTACTTAGTGTTGCGATCCACGCCATCATCGATGATAAGAACGCTAAAATCATGGCGATCATAAAGGCTTCACCACAATTAGACGACACTAAATGCCTCTTCGCTGCAGAAAATCGCACCCCGTTGCTCGCAACGCTTCTTAGCCGAGAACCTCCTTTGGATAAGGAACCCTGGCTCCCGGAGACACAAGATGCCTACGAACAAACAGTCTCATACATAGGCAACGCGCAGGCCGCCATCTCCGCCAACGAGCACCCAATGGGAATTTGTCGACGTGTGATGGCATTTCCTCTTCTTGTACCCAAGATGTTCCTCGACTTCGTTGAGCAGCACAGACCGTGAGCGCTCGTTATCCTTGCCCATTTCTTTGCTCTAGCTGCTACGTTGGAGCAAGTGTGGTGGATAGGCCCTACGGTGAAGAGAGAGATTAGTGGGATTTGGAAGGTGTTGCCTGTAGAATGGAGAGCCTTGATGACGCAGCCGATGGCTTTGCTGGTCTAGACCTACTTTGAGCAGCACGGTTTGACTTCTTCGGTATTAATGGACTTTTACCTCGAACCGAGGTTGAACACAGCTACTCCTCCAGTGTTTTATTTTGCGGGATGTATGGCGCTATGGTATTACGGTGTTTAGACGGTTTGATTCTGTCATATACGTTGGGTGGATGGATTCTCGGAGTTTCCTAAACTGTTGGAATTTGCTAGAGGTATAGTGCATATATCGAAAAGGAGTTTCTGATTTATTTTCTAAAATATCGAGTATAGTTATGAGATATAGAGGTATAGTTTGGCTGGAGTAGCTATATAGCTAGACTTGAAGTTTATTGTTAGGGGTAACCTCTTCCCTATTCTAGCTATTGCTTTTCATCCTGGTTTTGAATATGATAATTACTGTGAATGTTATTAGGCAGATGCAGGATTAATTAGTTTATATTTAGGTGTTGGGCGGTGAAGCACGTTTGTAATCATGGTTTGCATCGGAGTACAAAGGACGGTTAGTACGGAGCTGTCACCACTTTCTACTTCGTGTAACTGGACTGGCACTGTCACATACCGACCCTTTCCGACTCGCGGATGGTATCTTTGGTTTGAAATCAGCCTTAGATTAACGCAGCCTGAGAATTATACCAACACTGAAATTGGGCGTTGTAATTTTGGATTATGAAATACTTTTGTCATTTTGATTGTCAAAATATAGTTCAAGATAGTGGTGTGTCCTGTATAAAATGTCTTTGGCTGGTTTGCGGTGAGATAACTATATAATTAATTAAGTTTTTGTTTGCAGAGAGATAACTACCCAGTTACAATTTACCAATTCATGAAGCCATGCGAGTTCGCCATCAACCACCGAGCAGGCATGAATCAAATAAAGACAAGCTTGCAGTGTCTTGTGCAGCGACATTGTAGTCTACAAAATAGTCACTTCGCTTCTTGTGAAGGAATCCTACTTTCTAGCCTTAGTGAATAATGAATCTCACGTAGGTTACAGTGAATCACAGGCTGACATCTGTCAAAATATAAAAGTCCTGTGACATACTGATACTGATATAAGACAACAACTCAAACCAGAAATCACATTTCAAACACTCCCAACTCCAACAGCCGCAACATCATCCTTATCCCCAAGGGGGACGTCACCGAATACCCAGACAAGCCGTAGAAAATGTTTGCAGATACACGGAAGCCAACACCCGAACGGAGTGCAAAGCGGCCTCGAAGAAATACACTTGATATTACTGGCAACGGTCATTATGATGGGGCGGAGTCATCTTCAACGAAGGAAACTACGAACCCGCGATGCCAGGGATCAAGATCTAAAGAGAGCTTTGTTTCTATACCTCATGGAGCACCACGAAGATGTTCGGTAATAAATGATACTGCACGCCATCTACAATCCAGGGCCCTCAAGAGCTGCGATAATCAGGACACGGTACTGGGGTCTCCTGAGATATCAAGATCTATTCAAAAGGGCTCGCCCAAGCTAGACTCCCCACAACCATCTTATGATGGCTTGCCAATCATCCGTGGCTCGTGGCGACAAGGTGGTCTCACCAGAGAGCCAGTGTCGTTATACCTGAATCCCCAACCCTCTGGCCAGGATCCTCGGACAGCTACACCAAGTACCCCACAGAAGAAGCCGGCGCCTCATCCACCAGGTAATTCCCAGAGATTCACCCAATATAATCTTGCTATGCTTCCTGCTGCACCGCCCCGCCAAGACCTTCGGAAGTTTGACACCCCAAGCGGTCGTGCCAAACGTCAACTTGAACAACTACAGTCAAGTTATGATTCCCCTCCACCTCTACACACTAGCTCGTCCCCTCTACCACGAACGAAGGTTCCATATCCTCCACAAGCTCCGCAAATCAAATGGCCACCGGCTGAGCGATACTACCGCCAATTCTCAAATCATTGCCTACCGTCGCCTCAGCCTCAACACGTTATCTCCCCCGGCCGACTAGATCCAAATATTGTTCCCCTGCCTGTGGAAGCTCCTCAACCTCAGCCACAAGGGCCAAACCCCCTGGGCCCACTAGCAGCTCAACAAGATGAGAGACACAAGCGGCAACTTGAACAGAAAATGAGACTCAGGCAAGAGTTCCCTAAGTCAGACGCTCGATCTGCTCTGCCTATCCAAGCCTCGCGCCTGAGCCAAGCCTATTTACGGCTAATGACCGAGAAAGGATACAAAAGGGATTCTTAATTACGCTTATGACTACTACTAAATGCCATCGCAGCAATTATGAGAGATTTTACGAAACTAGGGGGACACTCCTGCTGCGGATGAACATGGTATCGCTGTCCTAGATCGGAGCGCCGATCGGGCCATACTTCCATTGGGAATGCCGTTAAAATGCGCTCTGAAACTGTTACTACGCCTTGTATGGAGTAAAATAGCGATTATTCAACTTAAAATGCAAGTTTTCCCAGTATGTGATAAAGGACATTATACATCCACTTCTCGTCCTTGTTATAAAGTGTACCAGAACAATATTCCTGGGATAAATATGTATTTAAAGGCACCCAGAACGCCGAATTTAGGTCCCACTAAGTCCTCATGTGCAAATATATCCGGGGAAGTAAAATTCATGGGCATAAAAATACCACTTAGCTACAGCCAAAAGCTAACAGATCATGTGCTCAGCTGGGTATGCCGCCAAGGAGTAACACATAAAACTTGTTGTTGGACAGTGGAAAGGAATGGGCATCTGTAGATGGCGAATGGTAATGATGGAAAAAGCCCAATTCATGGAAGACCCCAGACTCTATACTTTGCAAGAAGCCGCAGACTACCTAGCTATGCTGGACAAGGCGAAGTGTGGAAGGGCAAGAAATCGAAGCTCAACTTCTCAAATATATCTAAGTCCCTGACGTGCATCCTAGATTTCGCCAGCCACGGACCTTCATAGTTTCCGTAGGTCCCTAAAATGAGACAGATATCAGGAAATCCCCGGTAAGAGACCTGCCATATTGGCAACCACTGTTTGAATTTCTCCGAGGTGGGAAATATCAGTCGCTGAGCCCAATGCAGAGTATTGAGGAACGACGCTATGCAACACAATGCAGTCACTCCTTGAAAATAAGTCCACAGTCATGAACGTCAGAAGCGAAAGGCAAAAAAATACACAAGCCTAGACATAAAAGAAAATTGATAGAGCTGCTAGGCTGAATTAGTCCATCCCAAGTTCGAAGTGGAAAGTGTAGATGGATTCTTCTATTGATCCTGCGTGGTAGAAGTCACTCATAAATGGGGTCAATTTGAAGTTCCTTGTTATTTAGCGCACGTGGCCCAAATATATTCACACACTAGCTCTGGTGTCTCTCAAGCATCCTCCGCTGGCGCTGTGATGGTCCATCGTGAATCTCTGCCTACATCAGACCTTGTTCCTAACTCCGTCGTCAACTCTGTAAACGTCTTCCTTGAATCGCCTACTGATACCGGCGACATGTAACTCCCAGCCGAGAAGGACAAAGCTCGTGGGCCGGCTGAATTATCCGAATATTTGGTAACGCCAACGACTAGTTTGTACCTATAAGGTACCTTCGAGGAGATGCCATTCCATGCCTTGGATGGTCTCGATCGAACCCGGTTTGTCGTATTGATATCGTCCAAGTTCGGATCTCCTACGATACGTATCCCCACCCCTAGTTTCCCTCCATAAGCCATACAGGAGTAGTATACCTAGCTCGGCCATTGTTCTCATCTTTTCCGCTCTTGGCCAGCCATACTCTCCTCCCTCGTGGCCCCATTCAGTCTCATATCCAGCTGGTTCAACTTCCGCTCCAAGGCCATCCTCTTGGCCACCAGCTCACCCCTCTGCTCCTCCAATATTGCTATCTTCTCCTCGGGTGGGGTTTCGCGTCGTTTTTGTGCCACCTATACATATCGTGTCAGCAACGGGGATTCGAAGAGGAGAATGGACAAAGGATGCACCTGTTTAGCTTCATTCCGCATCTTCAATCCTGCGCCATACCATACCCCCATTGCGGTAACAGAAGCAACAGCGCCTGTCACGACCATACGGCGGATTTTTTGTTGTTGCGCAGACATGGTCGAATTTTTTTGGTTTTGGGAACTGGGATCTTCTAATACAACACTAAGGAGCAGATGTGTGACAGTGGAGCTCAAGCCATCGTATTGACCACTGGGAATGGAATCTCCTCTCCCATTGCTGAAATGGGCGATGATACTTATTTTGTAATATTAAGTTAGCTCAAAGCCCCAACCTTGCCCATAGTCTGCTAGTTCGTCAGGATAACGATAGAGGTGTCATATTATCCCATCCGCTTAAATAAGCCATCTCTAATACATACACCCCGGGCGGTCGGTGACGTACTTCTGATAGCGGTATCAAGAGGAGTGTTATTGGCACACCCACCGGGTATCTTTGATTGGTGTCGCTATTCTATCATTTTTCAAACCACCCCTTCTGTCGTTGCCCTCTTGTGTTTTGCGATCTATCAATTTGCCCTTCGCGTCTACTTTTCTCAGCCAGAGCGAGAGTTAGAGTGGATTGATGTTGGCGGCGCCTAAAAATGCCACCTGTGAGTACCCTAGCACGGAGTAAGCACCTCTACGTCAGTGAATCTAGAGGTGGGGTGTCAATACAGCCGCTGTATCTATTCTCCATTCCTGCTAGGTGTTTTCTTTTATTGCCCGAATCTCTGTCTCAACAGTTTTATCTAGGAGATACAGGTTATTCATATTCGTCTTCCTCTCCCGGTCCCTTCGTTTCTCGAACCGCCAATTGCTTAGGCAGATTCCACGGACGGTTAGGCACCCAAACTGTCGTTCAATATAAACCCGAGCGCTCACAGTCCCTTATGATACCCATCCTATAGCTCTATTTATATAATCAACAAGCTATCGCATACCAACGAACTGCCTCATCCTTCCAAATTGAATAAAAACTCCAATGGCTACCCCGCGCGTCTTCATCATCCGGCATGGCGAAACAGAATGGTCACTCAACGGCCGGCACACAGGCACCACGGAATTACCACTTACTGGGAATGGAGAGAAGCGTATACGTGCCACAGGACGAGCGCTCATCGGCGACGACAGATTGATTGTCCCGAAGAAGCTAGCTTATATGTTAGTCTACCGTCTCCCTTCTACTTATTCATATACCACTGTTACCTCCCGCTTAGAACACCTCAAATTCCCACCACTAGTCCAATCTATCTCCTATATCACCCTAAGAAACTAACAACTTGTCAACATAGCTATGTATCCCCCCGCAAACGCGCCCAGCGTACCCTCGAGCTCCTCTCCGTTGGGTGCCGCGACAAGCTACCATGGGAAGAACGACGCGCTTACCCCGATTCAGACATCCGCACCGAAGCGCCTGTCGCAATCACAGAGGACATACGGGAATGGGATTACGGGGATTACGAAGGGATTACTAGTGCCGAGATAAGGGAGTTGAGAAAGAAACAGGGCCTTGGAGGGCCGGACGGGAAGTGGGACATTTGGAGTGAAGGGTGCCCTGGTGGAGAGTATGTTGCCTTTTGTCTTGTTATAATTATTAATACGTTTTCTGCCATTCGGGTTTATAGCGCTGTTATATCGCAAACTGTCACTAACAAACACACCAGATCTCCCGAAGAAGTCACAGCTCGCCTCGACAACCTCATCTCCGCTATCCGCACCAAAATCCACGCTCCAGCCCTCGCCAACTCCTCGCCACAATCCGACGTCCTCATCGTAGCTCACGGCCACATTCTACGCGCATTCGCTATGCGCTGGGTCGGTAAGACGTTGGCGGATGGCCCGACATTCTTACTAGAAGCAGGAGGCGTGGGAACACTGAGTTATGAGCATAAGAATGTGGAGGAGCCAGCTATACTCCTTGGAGGGGCATTTATGGTTGATGTTGTGGATAGTGCAGCCGGGGCGGGGAAGGAAGATGGGAGGATGGATGCGGAGAAGGCTGGGGATGAAATAGAGAAGCAGAGAACTTAGAACTAACGGCAGTGTATAGTGAGAGACAGCGAGCAACACGAATAGATTTATGACTCGAGATGATTTCTACGGGACGAGATGGTTGGAGCTCGGCTAGGTATAATGCATATATAAACATTACAAAATACCTATGTTTTAAAGAAATAATGGGGCTATAGGGCTAGGAAATACCACGTCAACATCCATTAAGTATGTCTTGGCGTGCCACATGGTTAAATGCTGCCGCCCTAATCCCTATGCCATCTCCATTCGATGATACCATTCGGCGCCCTCTACAGGGAGGTAAACAAGACATGCATAGATATAAGCTATCTTAGCCCTTAACCGTTATTTCACTCTCCCTCAAATGTTCAAAACTATCCTCACTAATAGTAGTACTTAGTTCCCCCTCCCACTCAACCGCTGCGCCAACAACCCCCTTAACTAAAACACCACCACCCCTGGCCCTCTCTCTCATAACCTCTACCTCCTCAAGCGGTAACCTTTTACCATCTCCCATGATAATTTGCCTATGCCACTCACCGACAAACATCCCCTCAGGGTCAACCTCATCCCTAAGCTTTCTCCACTCCCCCAAGTCCTCCCTATACATATCCTCAATCTCTTTGCCATAGACGTCGAAGTTCTTCGCCCAGTGCGGCTTCCCGCCTAGTTCCTTCATTAGGAATTCGAAGCCCTGGTAGTATCGTGCGCGACAAGGTGGATCCATGTTATATGGTCTATACAACGTGGCGTTAAGATATAACGTTGGCTCATCAGGGCAGGTGAAATCGAGATGTGGGCGGGGAGTAGTGGTGGAGGAGTCGGTGACGCGGACTTCGACAGGGGCGTGTACGTATAAGCCGTCGGCGCTGAAGGGGATGTCGTGAGGGACATAGTCGGGATCCTCAGGAGTAGAATGGTTGAGCCAAGAGCTGAGACGGCGGAGGGCTTCGGGTCCTTTGCCCAATGGGAGCGCCCACTCATTGACAAACTGCTTGTAGAGGCAGTTCATTAGGAGAGCCTCCCGAGAAGGTTGGATGGCAGTGGTGCGGGAGCCGTTCGCGAAGCCGTATTGCATGCCGAACACGAACCACTCTATCCAAGGTAGGGTCCGGGGCACAAATTGCGCTAGGTATAGGAGATTGTGGTAGACGTGATATCCTAGCCATGCGTCGTAGTAACTTTTTGGCGGAGGTTGCGGCTTCTGTTCAGTTTTGTCTGCAGCCCATACAACCGCACGTTTTGTATATGGAAACCACCACACGCGGACAAACTCGCTCTGTGTCCAGAGTTGCTTGTTCCACGCATCAAACATAAGTCGATCCGAATTCACGACCTGACTCCAGGATAGCGTAAACGCAGGCACAGCTTGGAAGGTAATTTCACTCAGGACCCCCAAAGCACCGAGACTAATCAACGCGGCCCGGAACAACTCTTCGTTTTCTCCCTTCCCACAGGTCTCCGTTTTCCCATTCGCAAGGGTAATTTTAAGACTCAACACACTAGCAGAGAGAATCCCATGACGAAGCGTGCTACCGTGTGTGCCGGTGCTGATAGCCCCCGCAATACTCTGATCATTGATACTTCCTAGATTCGGCATCGCGAGGCCAACCCTATCCAGCTCTTCACTCAGCTGGTACAGCCGAATACCACTCTGCATCCTGACTAGCCCACTCTCCTTATCAACTTCGAGGATCTGATTATAGTGATCTAGATTGACCATCCATGATGATGTGCTGGTTATAGAAGAGGGAGAGTGCCCACATCCTACGGTCGTAATGCGCCGTCTACAGCGGCGCGCGAGGGTGACGACTTTTTCGATCTCGGGGAGTGTCTTAGGCTGGATATAGAGCTCCGGGATGCTGTGGAAGGTGTGCGCCCATGTTGAATGGAAATGTTTTGTGACAGCGCGAAAGGGGACGCTGTCGTTATCTGGGAACTTTGAGAGTTCAACCGCGATAGCGGGGTCCATGGTGGGGGATGTTCTATGAAGTGGAAATATTCTGCACCGAGAGGTTAGATGTGGGATTTAAGCAGGGCTGGTGGGTGATGGATACCTGAGGATATTTATATGGGTCACCGCATCTTGAACAATTGTGTTAAGTATAGCACACGAAGGTAAAGTTTATGTTTACGAAGCATAATGGCATGAGGGAGGAGTTTATTGACAAGATCGGAGAGAAGTCGGCAATCTCGCCATCTATGGCGAAAATGCTAGGCTAATAAGCTCTGTCACCGCCCTTTTCTGCCCAAAATTCGATAATCGCCCGCACAGCTACCTTAGCTCTTGACCCATTACTTCGTACCTAGGAAGTCGATAACTGTTGCTCTACAAGTATAGGTAATGTCTATAAGGTTGTGGCTCTTTTCATTATGCTTTAAACAATATGATCATCTCTCAGAACTGAGCATGCCCTTTATCCCAACAAATACCCCTATCCAGTCTGAGTCAAGGTATTAGGCAGTCACATGTCTACCCGAGATAGTCGTATGACGAGCTGTAACCCGGTGCGGCTATAGCCGGGCCCAATTATACTGCCCCGCCGACCTTCAACCCCTTTCACCTTTTGCCGATGACCCCCTAACACAACCTCTGCTTCCTATTAGAGTGTATAGTCTCTAAACTTAATAACGAAGATATCTTGACTCTGATGTCTGTTGGATTGCAACCCACCCCAAGAAATAGGCAGGGGATGGCTATATTCTCCACATAATCAAGGACCATATACTTATGTACTGTACTCTCTTTATCGTAAGTTGTTGATCGTCTAACTTGACTGGTTCCAAACCACTCATAGGGTGGACTTCGCGAGAAATTGAGGCTGCAAATCGGTTTTGTCCCAGATTGCCCTCAAATTTGTCAATACTTTGAGGAGCTCGTTAAACTTCATCGTATGTATCCTTGCCATCACAAAGTTGATACACAACCCACAACCCACAAAATGCATCAGTTGGTAAGGTTTATATTGTTCATCCACGACGAATGTCAAAAGTTTGGCGAGTATATCGACCGGTAAACCAAGCTGGATGGCCATTTTGAGTTGCTAATACAACAATTCATTTGTACCGCGGTAGTATAAATGGTATCGAGGAGTTGTCGATGTCGAGAGAGGTGACGAGGAGTTGGGATTGCGACGTTGACGTTGGATTGTTGGTTTTACTTCGAGTCCATTCCCATGCTAACCACCCATCACCTCAACCAAGTCAAGCTGGTTCCCCAGTACAGGGCTGCGTCTTTGATGTGCCTCCTAGTCACGGTTTTCATCTCCGAATAAACCCATCAGAACATAGCTGCTCTCCAAGCAGCCTCGACCATACATCTCACAGCATCCTCACTGCCCACTCCACCTCGTCTCAAACCCCCCTCTCGCACTCTTCTCTTTCGCACCCTTAACAATTTTAATCCACCTCCCCAACGCTATCATAGGAAAACAATGCCGATAAAGACTGTAGCCCAGATAAAAATGTCCGGGGAATCCCGTTCCGGTGTATTTCCTCTCCGGCCAACTCCTGCCGCCTCCACTAATCTCAACTTGGGTATTTACTAGGTAGCCTACCGCACTCTTAGCATACCTATCATTAGGTCCCACAACAGTTAGTAGACCCATGAGACCCCAAGCAGTCTGAGACGCAGTGCTTTCACCCACGCCCCGTAACGCAGGCGAGGGTGTCTTATACGTGATGAGCTCTTCGCCGAAACCTCCGTCTTCATTCTGGACTCTCTTAAGCCAGGCGATTGCAGGTCGCATGAGATCCCGCACAAGACAACTTTTATCATGGAAATACGTGAGGCCGCAGAGGGCGTTGCTTGTACCGTAGATATAGTTTGAGCCCCAGCGTCCATACCACGAGCCGTCTGCTTCTTGTGTCTTGGCCAGGAAAGTGATCCCTTTATCAGAGATAGTAGTAATTGCTTCTAGTAGGTTAGGAGCAATATGTTCAGTCTTCGAGCAGCGGATCATCAGGCCGAAGGCTTCAAGGATGCGGCCTGTGACATCGGCGGTTGAAGGATCACAGAGTGCACCCATGTCGCTGAAGGGAATGCGGTTGAGGAAGAGTTTATCGTTGTCATAATCGAAGGCTGCCCAGCCGCCGTCGCTATTTTGCATCCCGAGGATCCAATTTGCGGCAGTGGCTACAGATGCTGTCTCGACGGCTTGCGGGTTTTGGTCGAGGAATGCGAGGATAGCAACAGCAGTGTCGTCCACATCTGGATACCATGTGTTGTTATATTCAAAGGCAAAGCCACCTGGTGCCAGGTCGGGCTGGTATATACGCCAGTCACCTCCTGGGCCAAGGATTTGTTGCTCTTTCGTCCATTTAACTGCTTGTCGAATCCTTCTATCGTTGTGGTCAATTACAGACTCTGGACCAGCACCACAAAGAGCTCTGATCATAAACACAGTATCCCAAACTGGTGACAAACAAGCTTGAATCCTTTTCCCATTTACATCCTGCCATGCAAACCGCTCAATCGCTGTAATTCCTGCCTGGACCACTGGGTCCGTCACCTTGTACCCTTCAAGTGTCAATGCTTGAATGCCTTGATGCATAGGTGGTATAATTCCTGCCCAATCTCCTTCTTTTTCTTGCCGCTCAATAATCCAGCTAACAGCCACTTTCCTTGAGTATGGGCGAAGAGGATTGTATTTCAGCCCCCCAAGTTTGTATAGTGCCTTGTCAATGGGACCTTGGCGACACCTCCAGCTTTCAATATCCATTTCCGTGCTCCACACATCTCTGGACTGGATTGGGCAACTCCAAGTATTTTCAAAGCAAGGTAAGCCTCTGATGATGTCGAGACATCTCCCGGATAATCTGGAGCAATACTCCATGACCCATCGAGATTCTGTTGACCAAGGAGATAAGTACGGAATGCATCGCCATCCTCTAAAAGGTCCAATCCCAACGTCTGCCGAAAGAACACATGCTCAGATGTGATGGTAGTACTAGACAGAAGTTCTCCCATCCAGTGCCCATCTGGGTTTATCCGGTCGATGCCATAGGTTGAGGCGCGCGAGAGCGATTTAATCGCTTCAGAGATTAGAGGTTCCCCCAGTTCGGCAGCTGATAACGACTCGCCTGAGGATGAAGTTTCGCTTGCTTGGTATGTCGGAACCATCTAAAAGGACACTAATTTTGGAAGGGACATCGACAGTGGGCTTCTCGCTATATATATCTAAATAGGGGCTCATCGTGAATCTCAGTTGAACAGTTGTCGGAGCTATTAAAGTAAGCAATTATCCGCGAGAAGGCTCTAATCATGAACCTCATAAACAAAACTTTGCATCTAAGTGCATATTCCGCTAAGTTTGGGAGACATGAAGTTGCAAGTGACTAGCACGCGCCTGAGAGATATATTTGTACACTTCAGATCAAGGTATTAGATCTCAGGATGTCAAGATGCCAAGTCAGCGAGCTAGTTTTAGGGATTAAATTGAGATATGGAGGATGGCTCGTATATAGGAGAGATGAGTTCAGCACTAGCTATCCCATGTAGTTGCGGAACGAGTGGTCGGGTCCTGCTTTGCATACCCCGAGCCCATGGCTAGTCAAGGATCGACAACTTTTGGATGGATTAGATATACGTGTTGCAGCTATTGCATGCCGCTTGGCGGAGTCTGGCAAGATGTTCCTAGGAGCTGGAGGATCTATAAACATAGTAGCAAGAGTACCATACAGATTTTGTTCGCTTTCAGTTTTCCCTGCAAACGTGGTCAACCCTATCTAAACAGCAACTTCCCCAAGGGCCTATGCCACCAATCGTAGACATCCCATTGTTTAACGGGACCAAGTCCCTACGATCACTAAAGTGAGAATTATGCCAAACTAAGAGCGCTAGAGTGACACTTACTATCCGCCACTAGCGGTTGCTATCATTGGTGAATGTTTCTGTGCGCGCTGTTGATACCTTATCCAAAAGGTGTAGTAGCAGATAAGCAGCCAGAACGAGAACGAAGAGAGGGAGACACGCAGGGTATATTGTGTGATGCAGTGGCACCAGCTACATGCTCTACAGAAGAATGATCGTAGTGCTACTGTTACTTAGTGCTACTGTTACTCAACGAGCGTGGCCATGCTATGATCGAAGGCTGGCGGCAGGGGTTCGGCCATGGATGGTAGGACGTATCAACATCCTGTGGAGCAAAGGATGCAACTTCGGATTGTTGACATACTTCTATCGTCCAGGAGAAGTTCAAAAGTTCAAAGGTTCCCACTGGGTCACTTCCCGGCCTGGTTGGCGCCGAGATGCGATCAGCGCAAGATGTATGATAGGTTGTCGTGTCAGCAAGCCACACATGCATACCTAGGTGCGTACTACTGCTGGCCGGGCTGTTTCTAGCCAACTTGCCATGTTCCTGAAAGCCAGATAGAGCATGTATGTGGTGCCAATCTGAGGTCGTCGAGTGAGACCAACATACCTGCGAATCCTGCGATGAGCATTTTATCAACTGGGACATTGACTAGTGCAAAGTGAGCAGTCCGCGCCTGCAACCCTGACGGCTGAAAGGTAACCAGGAGCGCTGTATGTATGCTGGCTAAGGGCTAATGACTGATGGTTGATTAGGAGAAGGAGTACTTGAAGTCCAGGTAGAGTTGTCTCCAGGTCGTTGGTGAGTCGAAGCACTGGTACTCTAAATGGCTCATCTAAACCAGAACGGGTAATTCAAGATCTAATTTTAGGACTTTTGGGCGCACCTGTATTGTACAGAATAGATCACGCTAGCTTTATTTAGTATCTTAAGCGAGGAAGGCACAGTGGGACAACCTATATCCTACTTCGGACCTCGTACTACCTCTTAACATCCAACAATCTAGAGAAACCTAAGGCTGTTCTTACTGCATCAGCTAAGAAACTCAGAATCAATGTGCAACATCTAGCATCCAGCACCCAAGATTCCAGAAGGTAAAGGCCCGCAGCAGCCGAGAGTCAACTGAAGAAGTGGTTGTCGGTGCAAGAGCTGGCAGTTTATCACATGAAGGGGTAAGCTCTGCAGTAATGTAGTAAGCACAAGAGTAAGAATAAGGCTGACTTGTGAGTAGCTGAGCGCTGGTTATTCCCTGGAGAATCGGGTCACCGTGACTTTCACTATCTCATTCAGAAATGCTTCTGACCAACGTCCGCTATCCCACTATGCTATCAATCACTATTTCATCACCCATAGCACCAATTCAAGGATCAACCCCGAATTCAGTTCACTTCGTATTATGTACCACGTAGTACGGAGTACTGCTGCACTCGCTGCTCTCTTCCCACTCTCCCTCCGAATCCCTCGCTATCGCCCAGTGAGATTCCCATATCACCCATCCGTTTCAGCTGGAGGACCAAGCTTGGCATAGCTCGGTATGTAGCCACGATATTGATGACCCCCCACAGGGGCTAGTAACCCAAGCTCGTGGCATATTATTTCGTCCATACGGTCGGTATTTGATCCTACTACTCCATGTCTCCGCCATTACGTCGCACCGTCTTGGCAGAAATATCACCACATTCGGTATCGGTATCGCTCATCCTCAACGCACTATTTCCCAGCAGTAAGAGGCTCAAGCTGCACCTAATCTGGCTTGGGTCATGCCATCTCCAGCATCTCATTCCGTTACACTTGACACCTTGCATCATGAGAAGTTTGCAACACGGCCTTATTGACCCCACTCCTTTGGTTTGGTGGATTATCAAACCTATTGAATGTTGTTCCGTATCCGTATAGATCGTTTGAGAACTGGTACGACTGTATTATCCGTTTAAAGCCCATCAACGGACTTTTGTTGCACTAGTGGGCTTCCTTGGACATTGATATCACTTCTCGGTAAGTATTCGAATTCCTGCACTTCGCATCATCGTAACTCACTTCAATCCCGAGGACACGCCACTTGGAACAATAGGCTCAACAACGGAATTTCCTAGCCAAGGTCTTCATTCGCGATGTTGGCCATTCTGATCGGAGTGGTGGCCATTGTAGTGCTCACCCTCGGCGTGCAGGAACGGAAACGGTACCGTGTCCTCCAGGACTTCGCAAAGCAACACGGATGCAAGCCCGCACCCAGTGAAAATCCTTATGACCTTTTCGGAATCAATAAAATTATTTCATCTACATGGCACCTATTAAATAAGTCAACTCTCCAAAATACCATTGACGCTTTCGAGAAATATGGGGAAACATACGCATCGAGGATTGCCGCCCAACGAGTCTTCTTCACTTGCAGCCCTCGAAACATCAAGCACATCCTTGTACAACGGTTCGTTGATTATGACAGCTCGGAAGTTCGCGCCCACCTCTTCCGGCCGATTACCGAGCGTGGTATTTTTGCAGTTGATGGACAGCAATGGAGAATTGCGAGAAATTTATATCGGGGCCAATTCTCAAATACACGTTCTATCGTCGATCTCAAAATGGAAGAGAAGCATGTCAAATTGATCCTTAGTTGTATTCCCGTTGGTCAATCATTTGATTTGCAAACATTATTTCTCAATCTCATTCTGGATATCACGACTGAGTTTGCTATTTGGGACTCTGTTGATTCACAGAGCCCTACGCAGACTGAGGAGAAGAACCATTTTGTCAGTTCTTTATTGACAGTGAAGAGGGTCATGGCACGCGACGGATTCTTGGGCCCCGCTGCGGCGTTCTTAAGCAAGAAAGAACTTTATACCAGCTGCAAAGTTGTCATCGATTTGCCGAGAAGCGCATAGCGACCGCAATAGAACTACGCAAATTGCAACAACCGCCCGAGAAGGATGGCGAAGAACGAAAGCCCCAAGGATATAGTCTTTTGGAAGGCCTTACAGAAAACTCAACAAATGTGATAGACTTGAGAGACGGGGCCACAACCATTTTGGTTGCGGGAATAGACTCAGTGGCCAGTTTGCTTTCGACTGCCTTCTTCCTCCTAGGCCGAAATGACAAAGTTTTCCAAAAACTTCGCCAAAGTGTCCTCGATGCCGTTGGTACCGAACCACCTGCTTTTGAACAACTCAAAAGTCTCAGCTACTTGAGATGCGTGTTTAACGAATGCAAGTCCACACCCAAGTTCTACTATGCCTATAGGTTACTGATGCCTTTTCTCTAAGCAGCTTTGCGAGTATACCCCCCTGTCCCATTCAATGCACGAACCGCAAACAAGGACACCTGGCTGCCCACAGGCGGTGGGCCTGATGGGAACTCAGCCGTTCTAGTAAAGAAGGGTCAAAGAGTTATCTTCTCATCATGGGCCATTCACCGCAGCTTCCAGACTTTTGGTGATGATGCGCACGACTTTCGACCAGACAGATGGGAGCATCTGACCGCGGAATCTCTCTTGGGGTACCTCCCATTTAACATTGGTCCACGAGCATGCCCCGGTCGTAAGTTTAGCAGACAGTGGTGTACTTAAGGTGAACATACTGATGGAACCTCTAGAACAATACGCGTTAATGGAGGCTTCATACGTGGCAGTACGTATTCTTCAAACTTTCTCCGCAATCAAGAATTGTGATCCTCGCCCGTGGACGGAACATTTTGGCTTGAATCTTAGTAATGAGAATGGTGTTCAACTGGAGCTCGTGAGGGATGAAAAGACATGATGCCCGTGAATCACCACATTTGAACTTCAGTCAGGGGGAAATTTCAAGCATGCAGGAGTCCCGGTTAGTCCTTGGTAAATATGTGGTTAGTTAGAGAGAACTAGGGCCTCTTAGCAACAGCAGAATGCACCGTACTCAATGGCCCCCCTTTGCAGGTCATCGATACGCTAATAGAGGAATAAACAGCCTGAGAAAATGATATTCTGGCGTCAGGCGCAATATCTACGGTAGAGTGGAAATTCTCTTCACACAGAATTCTAAGACGAAGTGCGGCGACGAGGCTCTAGAAGTCAAACTGTGAAATTTCCTAAGTTTACACTCAACTCAGTTCAACTTGCCTAGAGCCTAAGAAAGTGCTGCTTTTCCATTATGAAAGCGCTTCAGGAAGGCAAACATAACAACGGAATATAAAACACCAATCCAAATTTAGACAAGCAAAATATATGGCTCTTACAACCCTAATTAGATATTAGAAATATAACATCACGCGCGGTACTCCTCTCTCAGCATAATATGATGAATAATAGTACGTATCATCACAATGCCCTAAATTCTCTAATCAATTTATGCCGCTTTAGTATCTTTGGGGCTAGTTCATCCAGGCCTTCCGAATTCCTCACTTCAATTGGCACGGTAAAAGCTACCGTTGACCAAAGCCTTCATCAGAACCATTTCGATTCAGGCTACAAATTTTCAACTTGAGACGATCCAAACTTTGATTGTATTCGATATAGGCAGAAGGCAAGTCTTAAAGCCATGCCCAATACCGTAATAATCATTCGTGGAATTGATGGCCCGGTGAGTCGAACCAGTGAAAGTACGACATTAGGAGATACTGTACCAAAATAGTTCAGAAACTGCCCTAATTAAACCCCTGATGGAAAAGTGTTAACACCGCTAATGGAAAACGATGATCTTCAAGTCCGCAGATAGTGGAGTGGGTGGGGACGGCCATATAGATCCATGACGTAGATAAGGTCCGGCACTAGCTGGGAACGTCAATATTAGTACAGGGAAGAGCTCCGATCAGAGAACGAGAATCATATTACTAATTAGAAGAAAAGTTAAATTTAAAACGGCGAAACGAGAAGTTTATCAAGATATAGTACCAAAAGCATCCGTCCCCTTGAGTACAGGCCGAACAAGCTCAGTTTGTAGATCAGAAATCGAGAGCTGTTTCAGAACATTTCTCCCTTACATCGTCAGAGAAGATGACTAGCCAAGCGGTACCACGGCCGATTGAGCATCCGCCAACAGATGTAGGCATTTATATCTTTCAAAAGGTCCCGGACGCTGACTGTTTTCTGTGTAAAAGCTCGAGACAATCTCACGCACCGATGCTTCTATCATCTTCAAGCGCTTTACAGTGGATGATGCCTGGAAACTCGGCTGTGCGCTCAGAAACCGATTGGTCTCCATCCCGACACCGGTCGTAATCAACATCTCCCTCGCAAATCAAAATCAGCCGCTTTTCCATGCGTGCACAAATTCAGGAGTTATGCCCGATAATGATGTCTGGGTTGCAAGAAAGAGGAAGACGGTGCTGCGATGGGGGGTCAGTACCTGGTATATGCATTGCAAGTTTAAGGGGGACGAAACCCTGTTTCGGGAGAAGTATGGTCTAGGAAATAGTGCTGGGGAATATGCTATTCATGGGGGCGGGGTGCCGATTCGAGTGGAGAATGTCGAGGGTGTTGTTGCCGTTGTGGTTGTTAGTGGGTTGAAGCAGCATGAGGATCATGGTGTCATTTTAGAGGTGATTCAAGAAATGAATCGGTAGTTGGGGTTCAGATGGAGAGTGGCTGTGAGGAGGTATGAGGTGAATGATATGTTAAAACGGGCGTATGATAGACAGAATCTATGGATGAGTCCGGTTCTTCCTTTTGCTAATGTCGGGGAAATTGAATGGTTCGATGTTTTTAATATTTACCTTTCCGTTGTGCTGAAAGTTCTGCCCTGCTTGCAATACACCTCTTTTTCTTAACTTGTCTGTTGCCCGCACTTTTTAGATTAATTTTTCTTGCAATTTTAGGACGGGTAATTGCTGATAAACGGTTGCTACCTGTATCGTCCTATACCGATGATAGCGAATAAGTATCCCGTTCGAGGCAGGCATAGTTGATCTGCAGGTATCTCGCCTCATCACGCAAGTTGGGCGTCTTAATGCCTTGGAACACGGTTTCGTTGTCATCCCGGGCAGGCATACATGCTGCCTATATATGGTCTAGGCTGAAACTCTGGTTGCCCATTCGATGCTCCTGTGTCACCTATATTTGATAGCCCAAAGCGCTGCTCTGCCAAACATGGAGTATGTGGTATTGATCACTTGTAGATTTGTAGATATTTCTGCCCTTCAAGCCAATCCTTCAGGCATGGGATCCTATAGAACAACCCCCCTTCCTCCCCCCTTTAACGGCATAATGTAAAGAGCATAATAATGACCCTCGGTCGAACTCCAGAAAGCAGAAGCACACTTGTATAAGGATATTTGATCAGCTTGCTGGAACAGTAGCGGGTCGTTATCGGTGAAGGATGGGAATTCAGGATTTTCGGCCTTTAACGGGCCCGAGAGTATAGTATTAAAGAGGCTAGTTTCGCTCAGTGTACGAGTTGATATGTTGAAGAATTCGCAATCTGGAAACAATCTCTGAAGTCTATCCGAGAATACCAGCATCGTCCAATTTGGTTTTGATACGACTAGACTAAGGTAGGTTTCTGTTGAAACGCAAGAAATCGGTAAACCTGGCAATCCGTGCAAACCCATTTCAGCAATGTCTGCTTAGACACTCGAAACTTATGGTGGATAACCTAGGTTATATTCTTTACTAATATAGAAACGGCAGGAAGCGAAATTGCTGTTGCTATAAATAGTGGGTTAGTAAAGGAAAAGTATATATAAACCCTTTTCTTCGTAGTGGTGATGTGTAGGCAGTAAACTCTTCATGAGGAGGTTCCGCTTTGCACCTTGGATTTAGTGGTGGAAACTAAGACGAGAGAACGTAAAACACATGTTACTGTTAATTGAGACAGATTTATATTAGATGCGGCAACTCACGCCCAATTTAGCACCAAATGGCCGTCGGAAGAGACTAATGCCTGTCTTGAATTTGAACATGGTCAATGCCAATGGCTGTCTAAAGACAAATCGCGAGGCTGCCTCTGGACGACAGAATTTGGGGGTCGGGCGAGGGCTCCAGCAATCGCAGCCAAATAATAACCTAGATCGAGCTTTCCCAATAATGTCCTGCCATACATCGGAATAACTTGGGATAACTGCGCTCAGTTTTCACTAGTCTCCAATATCCATCTCCCCAGCTATCGGCACCTGTCTTGTAAAGGTCAGACGATGGCCGGTCGAAACTCGAGAGGAGCCGTAGGCCCCCGATACTATGGCTTGCTGAGAACTGCAGAAACGCTCTACCATGCCATGCTAGATGATGACCCCGCCTTATTTCCACTATATTATAGCCGGAATCAAACTTCTTCTCCTTCCAGAACACGCGCCTTTAGAATCTTCACTTCTTCAGCTGGTCGGTCATCCTGTCCCGTCCTTACAAGCCCCATACGGTTTACGACGCCAAGTCCATTGGTAACTCTCCCGAAAATGGTATGCTTTCCGTCCAACCATGGTGTTGGAGCTAGAGTTATGAAGAATTGACTTCCATTCGTGTTTGGGCCGCTATTCGCCATACTCAATATTCCCGCGCCTGTATGCTTTAATCCAGCGTGGATTTCGTCTTCGAATTTCTCGCCATAAATCGAGGTCCCACCTCGTCCGGTACCTGTTGGGTCCCCAGTTTGCAGCATAAAACTCGGGATTATGCGGTGGAATATGATGTTATCGTAATATCCCCTAGATACTAGGGTGGAGAAGTTGGTGCAAGTCTGACAGACATGGAGATTAGCTAGCTGGTGGAGAAAAGCATGGAGGGAATCTCGTACTTTTGGGGCATGATCATGATATAACTCAACAACAATGGTTCCCTTGAAATAATTAGTAAAGCTAGTGGTCGTCATGGAGTGGGAACGTGCCATTGTGGTCTCTAACGCGATATTTGTCGTCATTGTGGAAGTTCGCCTTTGCCCGATAGGCTCAAAGAATGATGGATAGAACTTTGGATATTGACACTGAGCCAGCGCAGGCAGTAGAAATATTTAGGCTCAAAAATATAAGTTGTGGACTTGCTAAGTTGTACCGTTATTTGTTTGTTGATGGTGTCAATTTTCTTTCATGACAAGGCAACAAGGGTTGTGCAAGGCTGAGACGCACTTTCCAAAATTCGCTGCCTCGTCACTCTTACATGTATCCTGACATCTTCACAACAGCCAATGCTTTTGCTCCTACACAATAACCATCCAACGGCTCATGCCAGAAGCCCGTATGTTGTAATGGGTCAAGCTTGACAGGCACCTGATGAAATCATATCGACCTTGAAGCAAGCTCGCAACCTGTCCTCATTGTGGAACTGGAACCGACATCGACGTCCTTGCCCTCATAACCCGCGCCTGATACACTCCATCCGCCCTATTATCTACAGCTTAATTCGCGATGGAAAGTCTTTGGGCCTTCTTCGATGGCGATAGCCCGGTCTTGCAGTATATCGGAAAATGGGGCTACAGGGCATATGAAGAGAGGGAGATGGTACAAATGTACCTTCATCTCATCCTCGCGGCTCTCTTTCCCATTTACATCGGTTCACATGGATCTTTACGCCGTCCTGCTTCAGCCGAAGCCCAAAAGAAGTTGGAAAATGCTGACGAAGAGGATGACGAGATCCCAACAGAGTCTGTTGTTGAAGGCTTGACGCCCTCGGACGCTATCATGTTCCCAGTACTGGCTGGAATCACCTTGGCAATTCTGTATTTCATCATCAAGTGGCTAAAGGATCCCGCCCTTCTCAACAAAATACTCACATGGTATTTCTCTGGTTTAGGAATTTTTGGCGTTGGCAAGCTAGCTGGAGATGGCCTCAACGTGCTCACGACCTTCATCTTCCCTTCGGTTTGGTCATCTGGCGACGAGACATACTACATCGACCCCGTACTCTCCCAGCAAATAACGGTAGAAGTCAGGGAGACGGGAGTTCAAGAGCATCGTAGGTTCTTAGAGGGGAAGACAAATCCATTTCCCGGGCTCCTATCCAATATCAAGTTTTCGGTTCCCACCACCCGCAAGCTCTGGACCCTACGGGCCCTCCTTAAGAATCGCTGGATATTCCGTGGCTATCTTCACGGAGCATTCTCCCTCAAACGCAAAGTGCAACTCAACGACGTCGTTGGCCTTCTCATTGGCGTCGCAACGATTATTCTCTACAACACATTTGGCAAGGCTTGGTGGCTGACGAATCTCATTGGCTTCGGTTTCTGTTATGGAACTCTACAGCTGATGACCCCCACAACCTTCTGGACAGGCTCTCTAGTCCTAGCTGGACTATTTATCTATGATATCACAATGGTCTTCTATACACCTCTTATGGTAACAGTAGCTACTTCGCTCGATGTACCCATCAAACTGGTCTTCCCTGGTCCCAAACGGGGCGGTATGCTGGGACTTGGAGATGTTGTCTTACCAGGAATCATGATGGCGCTTGCGTTACGCTTTGATCTATACCTACACTACCTTCGTAAACAGCGCTCATCGAACACTTCGCCACAAACCATAAAGTCGCCCTATATCGAGGCTTCTAGCTTGTGGGGTGAGCGTTATTGGACCCGATCATCTAAATCAGCAACAACTACGGCAGCAGATGGCGCCCGCTTCCCTAAAATTTACTTCAATGCCAGTGTCGTTGGCTACATCATCGGCATGGTAGTCACGCTCATTGTCCTCAATGTGTACGGTCACGCCCAGCCAGCACTACTTTACCTCGTCCCAGGTGTCCTAGGGGCATTATGGGCCACTGCTGTGGTAAGAGGAGAACTAAAGTTGATGTGGGATTATAGTGAGGCTGAAAGCATGGAGCCTGTTGATCCTCAAGCCGACGATGGTAAATCGACGCTGGCGGGAGGAACTGGGAAGGCGGCATCGGTGGAATCGAAGGGAAGCAACAATGCCGCAAAGCAAATAAGTGAACCGCAGAGCGGAGCAAAGGAGGATGAGCACGCACATCATGTAGTCCTCTTTTCGCTGTCAGAGCCGAAGCATAGAACGAATCGAGGTTAAGTGCTAGGAAGACTAGCGATGACGAAGCTCTTGGAGAAGTCTAGGAGGCGAAGGTGATGCCGTCTCCGCATGCAGACGTATTGGCATGCGCTTGGACTTTTGTGCTTTATTGCATAGCCCATTTTATTCTCTGCTTCCCCGAGATACTCGAACATATTAGGGGGAATTAAACCTCGAACACGCATCCTGGTAGGGCTTGCTCCTGAAAGTATCCAGGGAGGAACTATATTAGGCAATCTACGATGCATGGCAGCCGAGACTGGTGAATTGAGGTCAGCGTCAAAGGAGCAATTCCAGTCAACACGGGCGAAAAATGAATCAATACTCGGTCATAGCCAAAGTTAGCGGGAAGGCAACTAGTTAGTTATCAAACTGTTCACAGACTGAAGCTATCCCGATCAAACGGGCGAATTGATGAATTGGAGGGTGTAGTAATTAGTGCCATAATTAAACCACGTACTTCGAGAAGGGTATAACTATATTTGATCCGAAGATTCATAGGCGGAGTTGAAGGTTGTGTTGTTCTTACACCCATTTTCCAATCGTATTCCCAAGCCCAAATGCCCAATCCCCAACGCCACATTGTACATCCATATATGTCCACACAATCATAAGCTTCCCCCAGTCACAGGTGTCTCTCCCGATTTCTGCATCTCCTCCTTCTTCTTCCGTATCTCCTCAACCAACTTAGCCTGCTCCGCAATTTTCGCTTTCCTCTGGGCCTTTTCGTCCTGAGCCGCCACTTCCCAAACTACGCAACACAAATCATCAGTCAGCATGCGTTCAGCTGTCAGGAAATCCATAATCAAGAATCAGGCATACTTGGCTTATCAGATTTCGAATACTCCTTCAACTTTGTGACAAAGTTATCGAACTCCTGCTGTCTCTCAAACCGATTCTCCAGACTCCGCTTCTGGATTTCAGGGCTGTATTTTTGGAAGAGCTCTTCCTCGGTAGGCGAGACGTAGATAACAAGTGCTGGGCCACCGATGCAGCATACGGCACCACTATAGGGCTCGGTATCAGTATCAAGCTTCGTTGGATGCGGAGGGGAGCAGCAGGGGAGCGGGACTCACGCAACTAGCATCTTGCCGTACATGGCCCAATTCGTTGGTTTGGGAGGCATTGTGAGTAGGGGGCAGTGTAGCACCAGGTGACGGGTCTAATAACAAGGATATCTCCAGAGGATCGGGATGGATATCATGCCCTTTCAGCTGGTTCGGAATCAATACGGTAGTCCTGGTGACCGTCGTTTGGCTGCTTATGATGATATATTTTCTGATTGGCCATAGGGCCAATGGCGCAGCTGTGGCGGTGCAGCGGAACGTTTGGTCGTTTGGTGTGGCGTACGGGGACTTGGCAACCTGAGCCGACATGTTTCACTTGTGAACTACGATACTACCTTGCGGAGTATTACTACAGAAAGTCCAAAGTGAAAACATCCTGATTCTCATTACCACCTTACTCTCAGATGTTTTGCAAAGGCCCAAGAGTCCAATTTCGTCCGGAATTCTGGATGCCGTCCGATGTTCCCGCGATGAGAGTTGCAGAACGGCTATACCTAGGTACCTAGTTATGGCATTAAGACACCGTGCAGCCTTTCTCGTTGAGTCGTGACTCGTTGGATCCCTCGCTGGCGGGATATCTCCATATAGGGAGAGGACAAGGAGGCCAACAGGCCATACAGGCCCGGTGCCTTGGACCACAGACTCTTGGTGTTTGATGTGCGGCGCCCTTCCATAAGGTATGTTTTATGGTGCCAGGTGGCAAACGTCCTGGTGCGTAGCAGCAGCTGTTGCCCTTGGCTAGGCTCTCGAGGCAGATGTCCAAACGGTCCATTTCCTGATCCAATGGCGATGGAGATGTTCCTGGCATTAAGCTCCAGTACTTGCAACGATGCAGCGCCCCGGCAAATGTGAGACGACCCGATGAGGCCGGCGAACCAGGTTCATCCAGTCTAGAAAATGAAAGTTAATGCTCCTTTGTTATGGCGAGTTCATGCGGATAGCCAAAGACAAGCTGGTGTACTGTAATACCGGTGTTGATCGGGAGTGAACTGCCATTACTATTCACAACGCCGGATACTACGTGGGTACGAAGTACCTACTCAAGACTCGAGTCCTTCGTACAGTGCGTGGTGGGATTAATATTGGCACCCGTCAGCCGCCTTTCCCGCACTGCCACTCCACATCCGCCATCCGCCATCCACCATCCACCTCGACCGAGAACTGTACTCCTCGACCTCAAAGTCCTCTCCAGCCTAGATCCTCAACCACAACACACACAGAGGATAAACCGCGATCATCACACCCCGAGCGAAACCGAGCTGCTATTGCTGATCATTCAACATTCATTCATCGGCGCCCGATCGATCGAACGCTACCCGTACGGAGTTGTGAAACCCCACCTGGACCCTTATTTCTCGCAGCTTATCATACCTACTTGAGTACCAACACAACCAGCTTCTCGCGAGCCAGCAGAAGCAAACGATATTGCCGGACACCGCATGCTTATGGCGAACACTTGGTAGACCTTGGGGGCATATTCCACGCAAATTTGCTACGAATAATAGTAGGCACATCACGGCGAGCGCAATCCGCCGTTTAGCAGCGCACGGCGGATCAGAAAGCAACTCGAGATACCAACATGGCCTATGATCAGGGATATTACCAACCACCACAGCGGCCCTACAACGGAAGAGCAGCCCAGCCTCCAGGGCCTTCGCAGGCCTATAATCAACCGCCACCTCCGCAACAGTATCCTCCCCAGCAATATGATCAATACCCGCAAGACGGTTATGGGTACGACGACTACAACAACGGCTATGCCCAAGGATATGATGGAGGATATCAGGATATGAATGGAGGAGGCCGAGGGAATGGCTATCCACCCGCAAACCAAAGTTATCCCCCGCACCAGGAATACTATGGGAATGGTAGAGGAGGGGGGGTTCCTGGTCCTGGTAGGGGCGCATCGAGAGGCGCGCCTGGACCAAGAGCTCCGCCACCCGATACAGCAAGAGGGGGATATGATGGTGGGCCGCAAAGACCTGCTGATAGAGGAAGAGGAGGCTTCGATATCGGACAGGGAAGAGGCTATCCAACTGGTGGTCCTGCCGGCAGAGGAGGTAGACCTGGCCCGCTGGAAAGGGCAGCTGGATCAGATCCCGGACGTGAGTTTCACATCTCCATTATCCAACTCGAGCACTAATAGCTCTATAGCGAAAGGCCAACCTCGAAGACCCTTAAAGACACCACCTATGTCGCCGGATCAAGCCGCGTGGGACAATCCATTCCCGACGTTCCCCGGCGGGCAAAAGAAGACTTCAATCTCCGAAGAACAGAAAATTATAGAGCAGATGGCTAACATGGAAGTTGGGGCCAATCCACAAAGTCGGTCGCGAACGAAACCCGACAAGGGTAACCAAGATCGGTACCAAAATGGGCAACGTGGAGTACCTACTGATGATTATGGGCGCCCTATGGACAATCAAAGAAAACCTGCACCCCCCAACGACTATGGACGACCGAGTGGCGAGAGCCAAAGGAGAGGACCGCCTGACGATTATGGTCGGTCATCGGCGGAAAGCCAAAGAAGCATGCCACCTAGAGGTTATCCCCAACAAGGCCCGCCTCAGCCAGGATACCAAGATCCACGACGAGGACCCCCTGGCCCATCTTATGCTCCCCCTCCAGGCAACGGCTACGCAGAGCCTGGCTATAATGATAGAGGGGCCTATGGTCCTGGACCAACACCACAAGCACGGGAGGATTTTGGTCCTCCTGGAAGAAGTATGACAATGCCTACCGAAAACCCTGTGCCGATGGGTCGTCAGCCACCGAATCCCATACCCGTGGGCGGTCCAGCCCAAAGTGCCCCTTATAATGGCCCTATCGGTCGTGGGGGACCACCAAGACCATCAACAGCCACAGGGGCACGACCTCCACAGCAAAGAGCATATCAGAATCAACCCCCGCAGCACGATTCATACCCAGCCGACGGGGTACAACCCTCGGGGCAAGGTAACTCAGGACATCGACCAAATGAGAGCATCGATGATTTCTTCGATGCGTATTACGATGAGGCACCAGCTGGTAGTGCTTCCCGTAACGGCAGGCCTCTGTCGGCTGGCTCTGAGATGCCAAATTTTGATGCTTTGCCTTCGAAACCTGTACCTTACAGGAGAGGAAACTCGATAGATGAACATATCCAGCCTCCGGTAGGCCCCCAGAATAATTACTCGCAGCAACTGAAACCTGTCAAGTCACAGCCTGACTTCCGAGGTCGAGCTCAGCCTCAAGCAGCTGTGTTCGAGATGGCTACAGCACCTCCTCTGCCAAATGCAACGCCCCAGCAAGGCTATGCTAATGGCTATGGACCACCGAATCCTGGGTACCAAGATCCACCACAACAAGGATACGGCCAATACAACGAACAACCACCCCAAAATGGGTATCAACCGCCTCCACGAAGTGCTTCTGCTGCCCCAAGGACAGGTCCCGGTTATGGAGGTGGTCTCCCGGGTGGACCAAGGCCCGGTCTTGCTGGACTTCCGAAAGGCCCGTCTCCCCAGAATGGCGGGCCAATTCGTGCCAATACAATGCCTCGACCTTCTCCCCAAGGCTCTGACGCCCTACCCTCTCACCCGCCACCCGTCCGTGCTGGCCTAATTCCTAACTCTGTTGCTAATCTCGCCGCCAACAAGCCTCCACCCGTTCGTAATTACAATAATATATCTCCTGCGCCTCAACAACCTATTCCCGCGCAACCTACACCCCAACAAGCTGTGGCTCCACAAGCAGGGCCTGCACCAGCGGCGCCAGTCACGGCTGCAGAACTTGAGCAGCTCAGGAACATTACCAAAACCAATCCTACCGATCAAGCCACCCAACTGCTCCTAGCCCGGAAATTAGTTGAAGCGTCAGAAACTCTTGTTCAGAGCATTCCTGATCAACGAAGCCGCAATAAGACCCGCGAGAAATATGTGATGGACGCACACAAGCTCCTCAAAAAACTTGTCCAAGGCCAGAACGTGGAAGCTATGTTCTTTCTCGCCGATTGCCACGGGAGGGGTGCATTAGGCCTTGAAGCCGATAACAAAGAAGCTTTTACTCTCTATCAATCAGCAGCTAAAGCAGGGCATGCTGCTGCTGCGTACCGAACGGCGGTCTGCTGTGAGCTTGGCAATGATGAGGGAGGGGGAACGAGGAAAGATCCGCTGAAAGCTATACAATGGTATAAGCGCGCTGCTATGCTTGGAGATACACCGGCCATGTACAAGGTGGGTATGATCCTACTCAAAGGCTTGTTAGGCCAGCCTAGGAACCCACGTGAGGCGGTGGGCTGGTTAAAGCGAGCAGCTGAGCGGGCAGACGCGGAGAATCCGCACGCCCTCCACGAGTTGGGTTTATTATTCGAACAACCACAAAGCGCTGAAAGCTCGATCCTCCGCGATGAGGCATACTCCTTCCAGCTCTTCCAGCAAGCCGCCGACCTTGGTTATAAATTCTCCCAATTCCGATTAGGTTGTGCTCATGAATACGGGCTCTTCAACTGCCCTATTGATGCGAGACAGAGCATCATGTGGTACTCGCGAGCAGCAGCGCAGGAAGAGCATCAAAGTGAGCTTGCGCTGTCGGGTTGGTACTTGACTGGCAGTGAGGGTGTGCTGCAGCAGAGCGATACCGAGGCTTATCTTTGGGCCCGTAAGGCTGCTATGGCGGGTTTGGCGAAGGCGGAATATGCTATGGGTTATTTTACGGAGGTGGGGATTGGGTCGCCGGCTAACTTGGAAGATGCTAAAAGGTGGTATTGGAGGGCTGCTGGTATGATTCTCCTTTTTGGTTCTCTCCTCTGCCCTGTCTCGACTCTGGGATATAATGCGTCTCAGCCTTTAATCTCTACGTATTTCGACGTGCTAACTCAATTCCTAGCACAAAATTTCCCCAAAGCTCGCGAGCGTCTCGAAGATCTTAAGAGAGGTGGTGCTCAAGGCGCCCTTAAATCGCGTGAACGCATCTCTAGATCCAAAGTGGGCAAGCAGAATGAGGGCGAGTGTTCCGTTATGTGAACCGTCCTTATCCCTCCCCGACCCATCATCTGTGCGACTGTCGAGGATATGACCTCTCGAAATACAAAGCCAGGTGGATTGTTTGGATTTTGGATGATACGATATTTCTGCACCCAACTTCTGCTCCACGTCATGATCATTTCGATGTGCATGCAGCTGTAACGCAATATATGAAAGGGCTGGACCCAGCATGATGACAGTTACGCACTATACTTGGGTTGATGGCTTTGCATTATGAACATCAAGAGGGGTAAAATTACGGCGCTTTCTCCATACTTTGCATTGCTCGGTGTTTAATGGCTAAGACGAGAGTGTGGTATGGATTATGTATCATAGAAGATATACTAGATTCTGGTGGCAATGAATCAACAGTTTTGAAAGCACAATCACAGCGCATAATCTAAACTCGGCATATAAGCAAATAACCATATGCATGGTACTGTAGGTCTTCCCAGAGAATAAAATCTTTTGTTTCAATGCTCTTGCCGAGCTTTTGACACGTTGCGGATAGGTCAAGATCTGTTCGCAAACCCACAGCAATATTATGGTTACTACACGGCTCCTTTCCTCTAAGTCCGTTATCCTCCGGACCTGTCTCCGTCCCCTAATTCCTATGACCGCTGGTCTATTCCTCCGCAAAATACATCTTAAAGCCAACCAAAGAATCTAAGCCTTCTTCACAGCCTCAACGACCTTCTTCTCCAAGCCCTTCGCGCTCTCAATAACACTCTCCTTGGCTGCCTCAGCTTGGACCTTAGGTCCCTCGCCCTTAACTCTGTAATTGTAGGCCAGGATGCGGGAGACTTGGATGACTCCTACGATGCCGAGGAAGAAGTTTACCGCAGCGAGGCTGGAGCACGTAATTTGATAGTAAGCATATAATTGAAGTAGGTTGGAGGATGGGAGAAGGGAGTTTTGGGGTGACGAACAGAACGTTTCGTGGCTTGATGATTAGACACCATCGTGTCCATATCATGCCCGTTGCTGTGAGCGCAGCGTTTTGTGTGAGCGAGAGCTTCTCCGCTGGGCGGTAGAAGTCCGATATACCAGCTATGACGAGGGCCCACTGTTGGGAATATTAGTGTTGTACAATACCGTTCGTCATATTGCGGGATTGGCTAGATGGGGTGTGGGAAGGATATTGCGAGCAGCGGATATACTCATTTCGCAGGTCGAGATATCCTCAACGCGGGGAGAGTGAGTGTGTGAAATACCTTCATAATGGGGGCCCTGCACACAAACAATCAATTAGCATATACTCCCTATTTAATTAAGTGCCCTCTCCTCTTCTATTATATTCCATTGCACTCCTCCATCCTCAACACTCTGCGTATTCATTCATCATCTCTTCCCTTAGGCTCCCCTAACATCACCACCATCCTGAGATGAAAACTCACCAAAAATGCACAGTCTTTAGCCCGATCGGGCTATCCCACATCCGCTTGAACCAACTGTGGCCTTCCGCAGACTCTGCTGTTGTGCTCTGCCACCTCTTCCCTGCATTCTGGCGGAATTGGGATTGGAATTGGAATCTTGTGCGGCAGGCTTGCGAGGTGAAGAAGTTGGCTTGAGACGAGCGGAATGCTGGCCGGGCTGTGCGCGAGAAGCGGAGGAGGGTGGATGTTGAAGGAGGCATTGTTCGAGATGAGAGTGGATTGCTGGAGTTGGGGAGCTGATGGGTGGTGAAGTGTAGGTGTATTCGTATTTTCGGGGTTAAGGCCGTGGACGCGGGGAGAAATAGTCACTAGGAGACGTCGAACTTGCCGCGATGTTAAGGTGGAGTGGGGATTTATAGCAATTGATCACGTCTTGCCTCCGGGCTCGATGTCAATCCCAATACTCGAAGATACAGAGTCGCGCATACAAGTCAACGTTGAAGATTTATTAGGTTGGTTGAAGGGTTCCGCGTTCGGGATCGCCGTCACACTCCGTGCCCCGAAATGCCTTCCCGGCAGTCTTTTTACTTTGCAACAATCGGGAAATGCTCCGTCTATCGGCACCATTATTCCTGGACACCCATACTTCGTTGGGGAAAAACTTTAGGAAACCCGTATTATGGGTTTGTACTATACTACGAACTTATCATCTCCACTGCTAGAGCAGTTCTACGAAGCAAAGCATCGCGAATTCCTCCATACGAGTACTTACTACATACACACCTGTTCGTTCTCGCTTTCTCGGAGTGTACGAGATACGAAGTACTTCGTGCATGATACACAGTACAACCAAACTAATATGTGATGACTCTTTCCTGTCGGCTAGCATGCATACAATATTACAAATACAGTACTGCGAAGTACGTACTTGAAATTATAGTGATTCGGGTACCAGGAACTCCCCCGTTTGATTTAACTATCTAATTGGCATACGGTGTGTGTTTTGCTTCAGGAAATAGCAACGGAGGAGAGAATACGTCAAATTCGGGTGGACTAAGCTCAACGTCCAGGTTTGGTTACGATGTTCGACAAGATCGCCTGAAGATGGCAAGTATTGCTCATCAAAATAATGAGTGTATTTGAGAAGGGTACAAGGAATGCAGGAAACAACCTTCAACTTACACCTTCTCCGATTTATGTCCAGAAATGACTACGATGACTTGCATAAGTTGATCCATGTCCGTCGTTTGTTGGTACATTCTGCTGACATGATTGGGCTCCTTTGTCCTTTATAGTAATCCACGACGTGCTGGAATAGAAACACTGGAAAGTATTGAACTTTACTAGCCTATTAATGCCACCTAGGTACAACCATAGATATATTCAAGTACGTGATTGTAAGGGTCGGTTGGTAATAAGGGTTTAAGATGCCAAATGAGCACAGTAGTTCTTGGCAATTGGACGCAAATTGATTTAGAATCGCTAGCTATTCTAACATCGCTCAAAGTCAATATAATCATTGAATAGGAGTCAACAATGTGTTGGATATTTTGAGATATTGATTAAGAGGTGAGCCATTTATTGTTCTACAATGTGTGGGATATTTTGGGACAATGAAAGTAGTAAACCATTTATTGTTCTACTATATACATCATGCAATAGGCTGTTATGCCTAGGTCACACACCTAGTAATCGCCATCTTCCAACCTGGATGTTTCATCGACGCTTAGGAAAGCAGACGCAAGATCCTTGGCATCCATTGTCTCTGTTTATTCTTCTAGTGGCTTCGCGTCCGTTATCTCTCCATCCGCAAGAAGCTGCTCCGGAAGTTTGACCTCATCTCCAATCACCTCCCCCAGCTTCATCAGCATAGACGTACGAAGATACTGGCTTGGCGTGGCCCACAGCTTTCGAGTTCCGCTCTTGTCACGGACATTCTGCCATCCTTTCGTCCTCTCTGATATTGCTCTGTAGACGAACAAAGAGAAGTGGAAGTATAAGTATAAGTTTTTCGAGCGTTAAGGAGTCCATGGTTTGTAGAATGTCTCATAGACTGAGGGGTATTGAATACGAAGTAAGGCTGCTGGGCATTTCATTGCTATAACCTATTCCACCACAAGGTTGCTATTAAGGCTTTACACAACTCTTTAGGCTAGCCTTAGGCTATATCGTCTAATGCAGGTTGCTTTTCGGAAATGCTTCAACCAAAATGAAACGAAGACCGCTAGACAAAGCCTTTGGCCTAGGAGATCATGAAGATGAGGAGGACTGAATTACGAGTCCAAGACAACCGCGGTAGTACTGTGGTATTCTTGGCTACCTCGCGGCTTTGACTTAAACCGTAGACTACCAAAATCCCGCGCTGTTCTCCTTGGGCAACGCTTGGGTACTCGTACACTTGTACCAGGTTCACCAACGCGGCATGAGACCGGAAGTAGCTATGCCTAAAGGCTATTTAAGAAGAGAAGAGAGTTTCTTCTCGGATTCTCGATTATTTGTGGTTCACGATAGCTGTATTTTGTGCTGGGTAGGTAGGTAGGTAGAATTTGCCGCCGAAGATCCATTGGCAGTTGAGACTTGAGAATCCTGCCCAAGGCGTGCCATTATAAGGAGGTCCGTACAAATCCCCATGTGAAATAACTAAAGGTACCTAGGTAGGTAGCGTAGGAGAGGTAAATCTTTGAGGTATTTCGGCGGAGTCGTTGGATTTCGAGCTAGGATTCCTCGTAGTGCTGAGTCAGCGCCCGCTGCATAAGTCGGCAGAGATTCCTGCATAACTCAAAGCTTATGCAAAATGGCCGCCGGCCCTTCGACGACAAGCTCGACCTAACATAGAGGTACTACATATAGCGGGCGCGAATTGCGATTGAGCTGCCACGACAATCCGCGACAGACAGACTAGACTATTGAAAAAGACAAGAGCAGCAGCAGATAGTAGGAGATATGTCGAGCAAATACGCATTCTCGCAGGCCCTGAAGGAGGTCCGGTTTCTGTTCTGCCAGACGGGCGAGCATAGCGGCGCAACTAGGTTCGTCTCCATTCTCTCTTGCGTTTACGTCCACTTTCCTCCTCCTCCTCCAATCTATCGAAAAATTCAGGAAGGTCTACGTTTTCCCCTGGTGGAGGAGTTGACTTCCGTACTTTATCGGGCGAAATGGTGTAAGACGACACTGAATGGAGGACGGAGGAAGGGATTTGCGATAGAATACCAAGCTCATATCAATCAATCAACACACAGGTCCTTCCTCGCCCGCGCCTACCCAACCATGAAAAAGAACAACCCGAATACCCCAATACTCATCCGTGAAGCGGCTGGTACTCAACCTACGGTTTATGCAAGATATGGTCAGTTTAGCTCTCTATCCAATCGCTCCCGCGCCCCCGCGCCCAACTACCGAGTTTTTTTTACTTTCCAGTCTACACCGTTAAGAGTGTGAGTTTGTGAATGTGTGTTGATGTTGAGTTTGAAATTAGAGTACGGACAAGAGAAAAGCGAATCGTTGGTTGGATTATCGGATAAGGAGATTGAGCAACGGGTTACGGGGTTGGTGAAAACTGGTGTATGATATGATTTATGGGTGCGGGGAATTGAAAAGGGACAAGAAACGAAGACGTGAGCGGGGATTGTACATATTTGCGGTGGGTGGATGTGTATGAATCAAGACACATCAAGACACGAGTGGTGTTGGCAGAGGGGCTGCTTGTACCATCACGAGCAATTCTGATAAGCCGAATACTTCGAGGTATGGTTGTGCTAGCTGAATTTGTGAACGCAGGCGGAAAGGGCACTTTTTGAGATCCTACGGCGTTGATACTTCTGTTCCATTCGCTCTTCAAATGAAGATTCTCCATGTTTATGATCGTTTACATGCAGGTATAGTTTGTTCAACTTCTCCTTTTTGCCGCTTAATTACTTGCTATAATACTTATCTCCAATTGTTACCATGTCCATATTATTTCCTCCTTCCATCACTTTAATTTCAACCCCCAGCCCCCTTCCTCTGCTTCTTGATCTTGTCCCGGTCCTCTCTTTCATCCCTACCCGGCCCTTCCCTACCCCATCCAAACACTTCCACCGTACCACTACAACCTCCTCCGTCTACTCTCACCTTAATCACTCTACTCCTCTTACGCGATAGATCTCTCACGCAATAGGGTAGCACTCCACTTCCTCCACCTCGAATTTTCCAGCCCGCCTATTTCATCTTATAGTTTCTAACCTGCTTGCCTAAGTATGGGGTGGTCTTTGCAATCGTGCTAGATCAGAATGAAGTGTCTAGGTTGTAGTTGATATGGAGGTCCGCGAGGACGACAGCGTTGCTAGCTCATGGGCATTGAGGTCTCTAAGATTTGGGTTACGCCTGCTGAGATCCGGGAGGTCGCGATTATGCACGTGAATGCTGACTGGTAAAGGTGCATTAAGTAAATATTATACTTGAATGCTGTGGCTTTTCCACATTCAATGGGAGTAGTAAGTGGTGCCAGGTTGGGATTTGTAGCAAGTTTAGGGGCCAAGTCGAGATGGACTTAGTAGGGGTTTGGCCGGAGGGGAATCCCCCCTCGAATCTACTTATGTATTGAACGGTTGTGCTTTAACAGCTGACAACAGATCACGAGCACCATCATTATCCCTGTTTTTAGAATTGCCTGTTGAGCTGTGTCCATGCTATTGCATCCTAGCTCGGACCTGGGGCTCAGTTTTAGGAGTTGGAACGAGCCATGTCCTATCTACCTAAATTTAGGATACTATGTTATGTCACGGTTGATGGTGCCCAGGAATGTCCGAGCTGGGATTCCCGAGCTGGAATGCCCTCTAGGATTGAATTCGGCGAACCGGCTGGTACCCGGTGGGACGTCAAAGAGGGCTTTCAGTAAACGGGAATATGAGGTCAAAAATTTCAATCAGCAAAAGTAATCATGGGAGTTAAAGTGGGTTCTTGGTTGTATTCCCATCTACATAAAGAGGAGAGTTTCTATGCTATCAAGCAAAGTAATTCAGGGGTCTGCCATCCCTCTATCAGCAAACATATTTGCGTATCCGAATCTCTCCTGATCGATTTGGTGATTCTTTCTATCGAGTAGGCCAAATTAAAGCTTAGACAAGACGGCCTCGGCGCTAGAAACAGTGACCTCACGACCAGGCTCTTTCTCTGCGTATGTGATCTTGCCATGGTCGATGACTAGTGCGTAGCGGGCCGTACGCTCCCCTTGTGTCCAGCCAAGCTTCTTGGAAAATTCTGCGTCGGAATCGGAGAGGAAGAGCTATGTCAAGCATGCGAATTAGCATTATCTCATAATATTAATATTTCCACGGGGAAATGTTGAGCCGCGGAGTTGATTGAAATGGTGCGTATTGCGCAAAACTCACAATATCATCGCCCTTGATACCATTGGCCTTGCCCCATGCGCTCATAACCCACGCATCATTGAACGCGATAGTGGCCACGACATCCACGCCCTTGCTTTTCAACTTGCTCAAGTTCTCAATGTAACCGGGGAGGTGCTTTGCGCTGCAGCCAGGGGTGAAGGCGCCGGGAACGGAGAAAAGTACAACCTTCTTGTCGGCCCATTCTATAGTTCACATGTATCCGTTAGCTGGTTGCATACATGCTGGCAGATCGGCCAGGAAAGGGAGGAGATAAGGTTGAATAGATTAGGTAGTAGATTGGGTAGTTTGGATGTAGTGGGGTAAGTTGGAGGGGTTGGTTGGTGGGGTCGGACATATTGGAGAGCAGAGAAACGGATGAATGATTGAGCGAAGATGATGGAAAGATGCAGGGTGATCATACCTTTGCTGGCATCGTAGGTAATTGGGATCCCGCACGATGTAATATCGCCCTTGTCGGCGGTATATGGGACGTAGCTGAACTTGACGTCGCTTGGGAAGCTGTCACCAACCTTGAGTTCGGTCATCTTGGATTGAGTATTGAGTATTGAGTAAAGAACTTCTGGTAGAAAAGGCTGGATGGATGTGGAACGGTTGGACGATTGAAGGGCAACGGGGTTAATCGAGAGGCTGGAGAGCTTAATATATTGATGTTGAGCGACGTCCAACTTATTAATGAGGTGTACTCGAGGATGTGAAGCTAAGGTTGAGGGCCGATACGGGAGTGGGGCAAGCGTGCAGGGCACTACGGATACTGTAACTGTGAATAATAACCCAGTATTTCGTAGTGGGCAGCTCGCGGCCAGCGAACAAAGCCTCAATTGGGTTAATCTATTTTACTAGTTCCCTTTCAAGCATATCACGTACAGAGTCATACAGACACAGCGCCTCCTCCAGGCCTCTGGATATTTTAAATTCCGTCCGGATTAGGACTCCCGAGTATTGCACAAAGCCCTCCATGTGATGTGCGAAGTGCGAAGTACAGCCCCGAATTCGGAGCAACTAGCGGGGGATCTACATGGAAGTATTTGTGTTTTGAATGTTTGCAACCCTTGCAGGCTGCTGGCATTATTCGCATACCTTTACTCTATACCTATAGACCTATAGATACTTGTGCCTTATGCTTTAGCTTATGTGTACGAGGTATGCACCTGGGCACCTACAAACCTAGGGAGTTTTCGCGTGGCCAAATTGCGTCATAGATCGCAGGATTACATAGCAAACGGTTGGCATGCGCACGTAATCGCCTCATCTAGAACATGGACGGTCTGTCAGCGGGCCGGAAGCGTCCATGTCTTCTGTACAGCTCTTGGGATTCTCGGCCGACGGCTTTCGGCGTCTGTGAACTCGCGGGAGTCACACCCTAGAAACAAGATGTATATCCAGTCTAGTACTTCGTACAGTACTCGTAATAATGAAATAACAATGAAATCCCTCCGTCCTTCGGGACAGATGGCTCAATTGCTTTTATAATCACACACTCACTTACTTTATATTTGCTCGACTTTCTCTGCGTCCGGCTGTCGCGGAGTGGACTGATTATATATGGAGGCATATCTATTCTATGTCTGGACTCCGGAATCCGACGTAGTGGGAGGTTCGGAGTAGAATCGGGAGATATTATCTACGAAACATTACTGTACCGATGATTAATCCCGATAAGCAATACTACATAGTCCTCCTTGGAGTCGAGTCAGACCTCACAAACCTGTCACGATTGTATTGTCTACCATATTTAGCCCCGAGCATCCCAGTTTCTCACACTCACACTCACACTCACACTCACATCAGCACCATAATGACGACCGAAGGAATCAAGCCTCCCCTGCCCCCATTTACAATCGAAACCGCACGTCAGAAGGTCAAAGCTGCCCAAGACGCCTGGAATACCAAGAATCCGGACCTGGTTAAGAATGCTTACACACCCGAATCCATATGGAGGAATCGGGACAAGTTCATAAGAGGAACTGATGAGATCGTTCAGTTTTTGACGGAGAAGTGGAGCGTTGAAAATGGGTATCGATTGAGGAAGGAGTTGTTTGCTTTTACGGATAATAAGGTGAGTTTTAGCTGTATTTTGCTGTGTTTTTATGTTTGGCTAGGTGTTGTTATCGGAGAGAGGAGTTTCGCGGATCAAGGCATGGCCGTATGGTACGAGAAATGAGTATGTCGAAGCATGATGCGAGAGATGAAAGAACATCGAATACTAATGATGGAGTCGCCGCGATTAGTAAAGATGGGATGTTGCCAAGGAAAAGGTGGATGTCAGAAAATGATGTGAACGCTAACAACAATTCCTAGATCGCCGTCCAATTCTGGTACGAATGGCACGACGCCTCCGGGCAATGGTGGCGTACCTATGGCCTGGAAGACTGGACGTTCGCCGAAGATGGGCGCATGAGAAAGCGCCAGATGAGCGGGAACGATGTCAAAATTTCCGATGAAGAGAGATGGTTTACGGATGGGGTTGACGTTAATTCGGTGTCGATTTCCGAGAAGCATTGGTAGGCTTTGGAGGGGGGGATCGAGAATGTTTTGTGAATGAAATGCGTTCTTCGTTCCTGGCCCAAGATGATCAAGCTGGAATGAAATATTCTAGCATGATCTTACATGCTATCTGTTTAGAGCAAGGATTTCCTACCTCTCCACGCCCTCAATTCCGAACCCCTCGCCTCCCTCATTTCTCATCCAGCCTGTCAACACACCTCTCACATCCTCTTTAACCCGCCTCCGCCCTTCCAACAACCCACCCCCTTTAACATCCGCATACCTCTCCACCCTCAACAGCCTTTCCAGAGCAGGCACACTCGCCAGCACAGAAACATCCAGAGCAAGTTTCCACATACGCCTCTTACAAACTCGACTAGCTCCTTTGATATCAAACTGTTTCCGTCCCTGCAATGTGCCTCCGATAATAGTTTCACTACCATGATGCGTCCAAGATGAAGAGATGTTGCTCGAGACCAGCTCTTTAACCCCCGTTTGCCTGCGAGAATACTCGAATTCCTTTTCTGTGCTGATAACTCGGAATGGCTTAAACGCATACCCACCTTCCCATTTTCTACCGCTGAGGGGTTTAAGTCGACCGGAAGGGGAGAACGCTCGATTTGCCGCCACTGGCGATAGCTGAGAAGAGGGAAGGACTAGTGAGTGAAGGTAGATATTATGTGGGGATATTAGTAGGGAGGTGAGTGATGAGAGGACGGAGGTGCTCTGTTTGAGGGCTATTTTATCAGTGCAGGATTTCGAAAGCGTGGGGGGTGCATCGGGGCGGGAGGGCTTCCGACGAACGACGCCAAGCTGGGAGAAATATCCTCGGCCGTGGAGACTTGTTGGCTCTGTGGTTGGTGATGGTGTTTGGGATTGATTAGGTGGTGAGGATGGCGTGGTTGCGGTAGGCATGGCCCAAGGGGTAGAGTCTTCTTGCGAAGCCATAGTAAGCTCCATACTTGCGTCTCCGCCTGAAGATCGTAGTCAGAATTAGATAAAAGGCAAAGAAGGTGAGGCCGCAACAAAGTCTTACACGGGGCTTCTGAGCAGTACATGTGAATATTTATGCCATCACGCAGCGCGAATGGCTGGAAGTGAGACTCGGTCCTCTCAGAACCATCCCGAAAGCGAATATACTCAGAAGACTTCTTTTGCGAAACAGCAAGGGCATGGCATTCTTCGAGAAGAAAACGATTGAAAGAACGAATTGCAAGAATTTCAGCGTGCCAGTCATGCAATACCACACCGTTTGCTCGAGTGATGCTCTTCTGAGGGAGACATTTCATGCCTGTGCTTTACATTTGAGAATCAGCAAACGTAACCAGTTGCCAGAGCGAAGTTCTTACGCTATTGCTAAACATGTAAGGCTCTTGCTGCCCTGCCCTAAGTTGGAGAGTGAGCGCATGATCTTTCATTCATTCAGGGGAGCCCTTACTCTGGGCCACGATGCCACTCAATGGCACCCATTCCCTAACTCCATTTGTTCTTTTGAGCGGTTTCCTCTTCGATTCCCAAGCATCAAACCGTCTCAATACCACATCTGCAATTTCATCACCAGAGATCTCCATTAGCTAATAAGTAAAATCGTTTGTACCGTTGTTGGCTTGAAAAGGGGAAAGCCCTGTGCACGGAACTTCTCGCTTCTTTTTCGGAACAGGGTAGAAGATAGTCGCGTGCCTTTTTATTTAGCTTGGCAACTCCCATTTTGAGGCAGCACTTTCCCTCAAGCGCGTCCTCTATATATACAGGGTATTCATTTAAGTATTTTCCTCTTAGCAACAACAACCCGTCTCAATTGAGAGACTAGCTCGAACACCGTAACGGCCGAGCCCCAAATACCATGGGCAGTCCCCTGCAAGGGGGGTAACACAAGGCTGTGATAACCACCGAGGAATACGGCCCTAGACACGACAGTGTCCTATCTACGGAGTAGGGGAGGATGCAGAGAACCCCTAACTTCCAGGGATCTCGAATCTTTCTCGACTTTTGATATACCTTTCTCTTTCCTACCGATTTGTACTTTTATATGACCGTTTTTGAGGTTGTGGATATCGTTCCTCCGTAGGCAAGCGCAACCCCGGCCGCCCCACCTACGATCTCGGTTATCTTACCTAACCCCTGCACGAGCTCGATTTCGTCAGCCTCGTCAGCCGAACATCTAACGGCAAGGCGGGAAACCACAATAGCGCCCCTCGTTCAAAGCTACTCGAACTTGCAATTGCCACTATTTATTACTATGAACCCGCTAAGTTCGTGAAGCCTTCCCGTCCCAGCTTAATGCCCCCCTCGTATCTACAGAGCAACAGCAGCTAACGATGATTTCCAAACTCCTAGTATCCAAGGCCCGGAAGGTCCGTAAAACTTCAGAGCATCCCGCATCAATCAATGCGCCGGCCTATCCACAACTGAACCGCTAACTCTCTCTCTCCAGCCAAAATTCGTCCTTTCCCTCAAAGTAGATATCATCCATCCACAGCCAACCGCCCTCTGCTAAACCGCCCAGATAATCGATCTCAACAACGTCCCACTAGTCGCCGGCACCGCTTACGTCAAATGGCATCTTCCCTCCTCGACCGAACAGCGCGGCTGCACCCAAAAATCCCCTATAGCAGAGCACAAAGTCTTTTGGAACTATGTGAAAGATATATCCGTACGCCTCACCATCGACAAGAACAATAACCTTGCAGAAACCCTTATCCACTTCGAAGTCGTGCAGGAATTTAATAACATCGCTACAAAAGGGGAACGTATTACTCTTGGGACACTGAGTTTGAATCTTGCGGAGTATGTGGAAGAGAGTGAGATGGGCGTTGATGGGGAGGAGGGTGTCGTTAGGAGGTATTTGATGCAAGAGAGTAAGATCAATAGTACGCTTAAGGTTTCGATTTTTATGCGGCAGGTCGATGGGGAGAAGAACTTCGTCGCGCCACCATTGAAGACTGCGCCTGTGTTTGGGGGCATTGCCGGTATTGTGGCGGGGGAGACGGGAGAACAGGATGATTTACGTAGGTGCTCTTCCGTTGCGTCGTTCCCCGATCTCAGATCTTGGATTATGCATACTAATATTGGATATTTCCATAATACAGATATGCCCGTAATAAGCAAATCCCGCGATCATGGCGAACTACAAGACATGTACCGCCGCACACTTGCTGCCTCCTGGTCTACACAAGGGAACGAACTCCGTGCCGACCAATGTATAGAGGATATATTCAACGGCGGAGACGGTTGGAAAGACACCTACTCCCCCAACACCACAGACCTGTCTTCCTCCACCCCACGCATCGCCCAGCAAGAGGATAGCGGTGACGACAACCAACACCACCACCAACAACAACACGCGAGACGACACCAGCGCTCACAATCAGGTGCCAGTGCCAGGTCCCAGAATACGATTACAAAGAAACCTAGTATGCCAAGGATAAGGGGGCATAAGCATTCAAGCAGTCACGAGACATTGGATAGGCAGGGCGATACGCAGAGTGCGCAAATAGATCACAGTTTGGAGACGGGGTCAGATAGGGGGACGACCGGGTCGTCTAGGAAAGCCAAGGAGGTTACTGAGTTCGATGTTAGGGATGATTTAGTTGCCTGGCGATCACCAGCGTTGCGGTGATGATGTTGATGGGCTGGGATGATTGTTATATATATAGAATATGAGGGTTTTGGCGTTTGGTGTATATGTATATACTTAGTATTGATAAGCGGATCTTTATACTGTTTTGAAGGCCCTCAGACCCTTCCCATACATGGTGACGAGCTCAGGATTAATGCATTTTCTCAACAAACGAAGAATGCCTTACCGCTTCTATCAAGCTAATGAGAACCTCAATATCGAGCGAAGCTTTACATTTATCGAGCATAGGAATTAGTGGACCAAGGGTGGCCGATCCCATAAATTTATGCCTCAATGTGATATAAACCTAGTCACCCCGCTCATAGAAGAATATGATCAATTCGCCATTTATATGTATGTACAATTCAGTGCAACCCAATCGAAAACGCCATTGAAGTCCAGATCCCAGGTCCAGACTGTTGTCACGTACGCCAATCCCATGCTTCCATGCATGTTTATGCTTTAACGCGGTCCTAATTGTTTAACATAAGGCCACCCTCGCGAGGGCGGCCGGTAGGGCGTTTGTGTAACGCTGTCTTCCAGTGACTGACTTGGTTGTGTGTTGGCAAGAGTGGAATCCTACTCTCTTGCCTCCTTCACCAGCGACCACTTGGAGTCAATCGATTAGCTTGGCGAGCTTAAAGTCTGGCTCGATTCCGAATCGGCACGTATAACACCAGTGGTGGGCTTCCCATTACTTGTGCCTCCAGCTCCTTGAGCCTTCGTTTCACCGTTCACAACCAGATTCTTTGCATCGCCACCCTTCGATGGTACGGTTTTCGATCCTGCAGGCCTCGATTCTCCATTCGCTGCTGTACCATTATTCTTAATTTTTATCTTTATCCCACTCGTGCTTCCGGCCGTACTAGAGGACGCATCTGCGAGATCAGCAGGCGGAAAGCTAGGCTTTACACCCCCTTTTCCGTGGAGCCATTTCTTTTTCCTTTCTGCACCAGCAAGGCTACCACTCTCCTTGGACTTCTTAACAACAGGCCTGATAACTTTCTTCTTCGGTTCCACTATTACGGTTCCGTACTCGCCATCCCCATCGTCGTCGCCGCCGCCATCATCGTCCTCATCATCAGTGGCTGGGACTTTTTGCTCGAAACTTAAGTTCGAGCTCGAGAGCTGAGACGTCGATCGTGCCATCTTAGGGGCTTTGAGTTTGGTGGCTGCGGTTTTCTTAATGACCTTCTTCTTTTTCTGTGGCGAGGAATCGGAATCGAAATCGTCCCCTGCTTCTCTCTTGTTGGGGCTACTCTTCCCTTTGGGATTGGCGTGGCCAGCTGGTGCTGGTGTAGAATTTCGGCTTCCTGGGGGGGTGTTGCCGTTTTGGCTTCCGTTTCCATTGCCATTCTGGATCTTTAGCAGGGCAGCTCGAGACGAGTCCCGACCGCCCCCGCCAATACACTTGATCATATGGTTGTTCATCCGTTTAATAGGAAGGAATGTATTACAATTATGGCATTTGGCGTGCGGAAACGAGATAGGCTTTGCTGGTCCCTCGCCTGGAGGTGGTGATGACGCTGGGGAATCCTGACTTCCTGAGGGGGTGTTTTCTTTGGCTGATTGTAGGAGCGGATTGATCATGTCTTTCTTCTTCTTGCCACGACCCGGTCCTTCCATCTGGAATGTCTGTCCGTATATATCGTGGTATGGTTTCTCTATAAAGGGGCGTTTCTTGCAATATTCCCTGCCCGGATCTGGCTTTCGGGCACCACTGCCGTCTGTTGGATATAGCAGGCGAGGGAGGTGGCATTTTGGACAGATGACCTCCGTGGCCATCTTCAGCGGGTTGCCTTTCAGATATACTTTGCCATCTTCGTATATTGCGGAGTCTATCTCAACCTTGTGTGGTGGGTGATCAGAGGCCGAGTTCGAATCGTCCGAGGGGGGCGCTGTTTGTGTAGCTTTCTGTTCGACTAGGATGGCAGCGGACGTGCCTTTGGCCATCTTCTCCTCCCGATGTGTTTTCAGAACTATATCATGGATTATGTTGTAAACGATGTCATCTAGTATCGAGTGTGCCTATTCCGAAGGTCAGCCAATTGTCACTTTCGAAACCGCACCAACGCAAAGGTGAAAAACAACGGAATTTGAATTTACCAAAACCCCCATATTGTCGGTAGACTGGTCATCTTCAACAGCGACGATGCCGGTCTGCGGAAAACTGTCGTTGGTAGGCATTTTGAGGCTGTTGGTGGAGAGGCTGTCGTCCTGGGCCGGTAATTTTGCGGTTCGGATGCGGGAAAAGGGACGTTTCCAATGCACTCAGGACGGACAGCACTCGGATGCAGAAAAAACGTGAGAGCAAGAAACATGAGAGAGCATTTTAATGCCCAGGCAAGATATCAGTAACAGCCATGCGTGGTGAAAGAGACTGTATGGCCATGTGGCGCAGCGGATGGAGCTCGATTCAATCGACGAGCACTGGAGATGGGGACCTTGACCTTGGTACAAGTACACAGAGCCCAGAGTACGAGCACCAGATTGACGTTGGATTCTGCCACGCGCTTAAGTTTAGCGTTGGAGAGCGCAAAGGCGGTGGCCGGAAAAGGCTAGGGGACTTTCCCGCTGGCGCGCATTGTTTTGACCGTCAACATGGGATTATTATAGATCGGAATGTGGGCATGAATGCGGGTTGCGGTGTATCACTACCTATCTACCTTAATTACGTATATATACTCAAATGGATGCGTCGTAGCGACAGACTCGAGGAAAGGGAGATAAGACGACGCTGACACCTGCCCCCCCCCCCCCATCAACCACGATGTTCAAGGACGCCAAAGGCACATCCCTCCCACAGACAAAGAGTGCTGGGCCGCAATCATCAATAAAATCATTCTTTAAACCGCGAACCCCGAATTACACACCACCACCGCCGCCGCCTCTTCCCACGGCCAGCCCAATCAATGCCGTATATGTTTCTCGGGAGCCAGCGTCAGTTCCATCTCCGGCTCTAACAGCAGCAACACCGAATATTGCCCCAATTTCCCCTCCAACACTGCCGCCACAAGTGACAATCTCCCTTATCCAAGAGCAACATATCCAGCCCCTTCGCCGAATCAACTCTCTCCTCCTCCCGATCCACTATCCTGACAGCTTCTATCATAAGATCTTGTCTCCTTCGCCCAATCCCAACTTCTCTCGCGTGATTCAATGGAGCGATCCCCAAGCCTCGTCCGAAGCAAAAGTCATAGGAGGGATCGTCTGCCGTCTAGACCCTACGTTCGCTCCTGATTCGACTCCTTCGACACCAAGCTTCGTGCCCGGCTGCTATGATATTTACATTCAGTCTCTTGCCCTCCTCTCTCCGTACCGGAGTAAAGGGCTCGCGGTCGCTGTGCTGAATGATGTCATTTCATCTGTCACTACTGCCACATTGTCTGCGGATGGGATCAAGATTGCGGAGATATATGCACATGTATGGACTGAAAATACTGAGGCTTTGGAATGGTATGGTAAAAGGGGGTTCAAGCGGGACGTCCAGCCGGTGATAGGCTACTACAGGAGGTTAAACCCCGACTCAGCGTGGATTCTCCGTCGAAGGATCTTGCCTAGCGACCACCTACAATCGCAATCTACAAGTGGCCAAACGCCCCAGAACGGAACCACTGTATCCACGACAGGCTTTCCCGCCCCACTGGGGATATCACCGGCATCAACCCCGTCAACATTTGAAACGGAGGAGCAGTCGGCCGCCAGGCATGGTATATCTACCCACGCACGCTCATTCCAAGAGCGAGGCCCAGACAGAGAATGGAATGACCTTCCCAACGAAATATTGGGAAATCCCCTACTAAAACCACATAGCCACCTCGGATCCACGGACAACAGTTCGCCAAGCTCTAGAAGTAGCTCGCAGAGTAGAACAACAGGAAAAAAGAAGAGGGTTTACCCCGCTGCTGCTTTTGGCGCTTAGTAGTTTGCCTTTTGAAATGAGACTTGGATAGATAAAATGGATCGGGGATGTTATTTTTAGTTTGGGGCAGGAGTACATGCAACAGAGGGTTAAAGCGTAGATGGATTGTACCATTGAGGTAATCGTCATTTTAAGAATACGGCGTACATCAGAGGGTGGGGAACGTAGCTACATGGTTAGTGGAACCGTAGAATGGGCAAGCGTTGTGATTCTGAAGTGTTAGGCTATTGGTATGTAATGAACCCAGAATAATAAAACGGGAAGGATAACCTCTTTTTTAACAAAGGCTGGCGTAAACTGGGAAACCGGGAGGGCTGCGCGATGAAAGACAATTGTGTGTAACCTCTAGTAAAACCAACACAAAACTACAGTCCTAGTGTATAACTACCTGGGTAGTGTAACCACTCTGAAAGGCAGCTCACAGTGTGGCAAAATTTACTACAAAGACGTAGCTAGCTTCTATAGGGTATAGTAGGATTGGAGGCTTGCCAGAAGTCACAACAGCAACCGATGAGGGGTTGCAAACCGAACGCATTACGTTCATTAAATGTCTAGGCCTCCATAGAAAATTTGCAGATCCCCCGAAATTGTAAACAATGGCTGTGGATTGTGCGCATGTGACACTTTTCATTGTGTAAAATCTGAACTGATCGTAGATCCTTTAAGCTATAAATATATTAACGGACTTTGTCTAGCGCATCCCGTGATAGAGACGTTATATTTTATAACTGTGAATTTGATTTCTGTAGTGGAAATAACAGCTGCTGGCTTCATGTTACCAGTATCCCCGAGCTCCTTGCTTGTAACTGTCCCCCTTTTTATTCTGCGCTCGGTTAAACTAGAGTAGAAAAGTGTAACAAAGTAGGACCAAGACCAAATAGGAGAACGTGAGGAAATGTACATTACCTCCATTCTTGCAGTAATTATGGAATAAAAGGCGAAAAATAAATACCTTTACCACTGTTAGCACTAGTGTGACATTTGACAAAACATTTAGGCTGGTATATAAAGAGTAACAGTGACGATAACTAGGAAACGTCAATGGCATGAATTTTATTCATGCCATTAGAATATAGTTAAAGAGGGGGTGATTCTCTAGTCTGCTTGTTTAGAGTTGCAAGTATAATTTCCCATGAATCTGCATCCCGAAGGTAGTTCGCTCTATTAGAGCCTAGTGACGAGCCTGACAACAGCTCCTATTTCCTGTTAAAGAAGAAGATATGGACAAGAAAGCGTATCATAAGCAGAATAAAACGATACCAAAGTGATAGGATTATCACATCTGGAAGCTACGAACGTACCTGCGTGTCTAGAAACCGCCGGTTCGGTCGCCATGGAGGCGGGGTCCAGCACACAACCCACAACCCATAATCCCCCAATTCCTGATACTTTTGATCTCTCAGCCGTCAAAATTATTATTAAACCGTTATTATTCTACACTTTCATCCCTCCACCATCTATGCCATCATAAGGAATTAAAGAGCGTCTGGGACGTTTAGATCCATGCACTTGCACTGGCATCCATCGGATATCCTTGAGACGGTCATTGGGGTGGTCCCGCGGCCTTGAAAAGTAGACCAGACAGATCTATCATCAATCAACCGTGGTTTTCTACCGATCCAAAGGTACCTAGGTAGGACATGTCCCACCAGGGTGCTATCCGAGGGGCAAGGCTAATCTAAACCAGGGATCATCGCCATCAGAAAGGCCTCGCTGCCAATCAATCAGGTACCGCTGTACCACGCTGGTCTAGAGACTCCAGGAACAGGTAAGCAGATCGCAATTCCTAATTGCTCCTCGATTAATAGGAATATTAGGATGAATCTCACATCGTTGCTGATCGACCGACTAATCGATGTCAGGAGGCAAACATGCACCTCAAACAAGGTAGGTCCTGGATCGTACTATGTAGCTATCATAGGTTTCTCTCCAGCACTTGAAAATTGAAGCCGGTAGGCAGTGCCTTACAGGCCCATACCTATGGATCTTCGTTTCTAGATTCCAAATAATCTTCAAGGGTGGACGTCACTGACATGATGATCCTTCTAAAAAGTATCGAAGCTCGATCCTGAGATGATGCCTCCACTTGGAATCACCAAGCATTTTATATCCAAAAAGGCGCCACTTGAACATCAAACATGTCCATACTTCAAGCTCCTCAGTAAGCATCCCTTCGATGTCACGTTAGGTGCATTAACCATCTCAACACGGCTCCTGGAACACGAAGGCAAGCACAGTACAGTCCTAATCTGTCCAGATACTATAATCCAGCCTACTTTTAAGGATATCTTCAAAGTTAACAGTTGGATAGATACCGCACCTTACACTTTAAACGCCTTAACCTTGGATGATGGTGTGGATTTTCGTTTGGTCGTCTTCAGAATCGGCAAGACAGCGGCTGTCTATGGTGCGCTAAGTAAAAAATAAGTCGTGGATATCACACGCTACCTGGGACTTCAGGGAAAGCCATTTGGACTTGTCGTTGCTGAAGACGGAGATTCGAGATCAATATTGTAATCCAATCAGGTTGGATGGCAGCTGCTGTGGCCCATGATACCCCATACCATTGGGCCAGAATTTGAAACCATGGTACCCTCCCAGAATGTGACGGGGATCTTGTTGGTCGTCTCCAACGTTGGTAGAACAGTGGCTGTCCTTGGTGCACCGGATAAAATAATAAGCCGTGGATACTACACGCTATCTGGGACCTCAAGGAAAGTCATTGGATCTATCAGCGTTGGAGATGGCTAGTCGAGGTCACTGCCACTATCTGGACAAGACCGATCGACTAGGCTCTTTAGTCGCTGTTGGGGATTGGCCGCGTATTGAGGAGGAGCGAGCCATGGGACATTGTTCCTTATGCCCAAGACAACCTGGTTGTCATCGCCATGGAATTCCGGGTCGGTAGCCGCGCAACATGAGTGGGGGTGGACGTGTTGAACAGCCCCCAGTAGGCTTGAAAATGACAAGAGCCTACATGCAAGTCCTAGAGGAGGTTGTGCTGCTGTGTACGGCCCATGGGGATTATACGCCTATAGTAAGCCTTCGACGATCATCCTTTCGTCTTATGTCACTAACACACACCTAGCTTATAGGAAGCTAGACCACTCCCAAGCCACCTACATGAATGGGCTTGAAGGAGAAAGATAATCTAGCTCCTTCTAGGATCCTTAGATGATTCAGCTTTAAGGATGTCTCCGACATGCAAGTCGATGGAGGAAATTCACGTTGGGGGCGTAATGTGCATAGGGCATGCTGCGGAGACAAGGGCGCTCTCTTGTACGAGGATAGTCTTCCCAGCCATATGGGTATGCTAGCTATCCAAGAAAATCACATTGCCAGGAACAGAAGCCCACTTCCAATATGCCCATGTATCACCTAGGATTTAAAACCTCAACCAAGATGGAAATACCATTAAAAGGAAGGTTCCATAGAATAATTGGGGGGTACTGAAGAGGGAGGCATCATGTGCCCATTCAAATATCGGGTGTGGGTGATCGCAAATGACACGCATTATACTGGCAGTAAATCAATGCTAACCGTGCAAGAAATAGGGCACTGTCTATCTCACCCGGCCGTGGGCTAACTGCGCTAACAGTTAGATTTCTCAATTGCGAGAAGCAATGAGCAACGGTTGCCAAATCCAAGAGGCGAAAACCCCACTTGGTGATCCTGGCAAGACACTCGGACTAAACGGCCCTCCCCTCAGTATATGATAGTGAGGCTATAAGGATAGATGTAAGAACATAGCCCTCTCCTAGCTCTGCGAGTTTTATTGGAATTTAAATGACAACAACCAGGCATTAAACTGCTCTGGCGGCCCTTGCACGGTCAGAAACCGCGTTGTTCGAGCCAGTGCAAACTTTGGAAAGGGAGCCCTTGAGCTCACCGAATATCTTGAACAGGCTTCTAATGCAAGCTTCGTTTCGTCAAGGGGGCAGCTCGATTGTGTTTCCTGAGATAGGGCTGGAGAGTCTCCAGTTTGTCGTTGCTATAGAACCTCCAAGCGGCAAAGATGTCAGTTCAGCTCAGATCCTGAAGCAATGTATCGAAGTTCTTTTAAAGCGGCCACTAAGGTTCTGCTGCGGAGCACTCAAGACAAGCCCAAGAACGACTATGAGCAACGATTTTGGAGGAGAAAATGCCGTTAGAGCATGCGACGATGGACTTGTCGAACTGCATGATATCTCGACAAACGGTCTCCCTGTCGAATCATACCAGGAAGAGGCGGAGCAAAGAAATGAGTAGTCACAGAAGTGCAGCCTTCGAACCCATTATTGTCGGTGTTACATATTCTTCTCTTTGTCTTGTTGATTTTGCACGGATCAAAACACTGGCTTGTTGCCTGCTGCTTTCTGCTCGCCGATATTGGCGATGTCGGATGGACAAAGTGCGATCTCATTTTGGGCGCCTTGTGCGGTCTACTGATCGATCCCCATCATCCCCTTTACCGCAAAGCCAGTCAAGCTGACGCAGTTTATTAAATCCCCTGAGCTAAGGGATATTGAGACAGAGCTCAGCAAATTCCTGGTGATCAGAAATAGCTAATTCGATGTAGTAACTAATTTCTAGAAACTAGAAATCTTCTTTTTAGTTAACTGCCCGCTATTCGTTGTCAGTATTTGTTTGAGCAAGAGTCTGATGGAATAATCGACGCTGGCGGGTTTGGCGACGGTAGTTCGTAACGAGAGATAGCGATGCCGAGCTCCAAAGTGTTCCTACTTCTGGGGCAGCTGGCAGGTGACGTTCAACGGGGCTTGTTTCTCGATTGTGGATTGGATTAAACCATCCGCCCTTTGTCGATCCACGAGTGCCAATGGCAACCAAGCACGAACGAATGAGTCTCGAGGGTGTAGAGAAAAGTTCGAGGGAGAAAGAGTTGTTGCTGAAGTGGTTGGTACTGTGCTCGTACTCGTACCCAGTGCCCGGTACCCAGTCGAAAGCCAAGAAAGGTTAAATCAGACGTCACTCGATACATACTTGCTGCACCCCTAACCACCAACCACCAATAAACCACCTCTAAACCTTACGAAGGACAAACCTGGTCCAGCATATCGTTTTGTCGCCTCAACCCACGAATATCGAGGCCACAGCTAGTAACGCCAGTTGCTTAGTAAACACCAACTCCACCCATCGCCGACATTCGTGCCCGTGGCTGGGTCGTTCGGTTTAGCGCAGCGACCCTCACTCTTCCCAACATATACTGAGCACCTTGACTGGTTCCTCTCCCTGAACGTGCTCTTCCTTGGCCTCTGTAGGCATGTTCTGAATCTTTTTCCGGGAAGCAGCTGCAAAACTACGCAGGTTACTTGGCTCGAGGAAACTCTGAAGTCATAGCTGCAGCCATGTCGGAAGCTGGCGAAGGGTGAGTACTTCGGCTTTCCCGTAGCCCTTTTGCATCGGACGCTCTCTATACTTCTATCGAAGGTCATTATGCTGATCCATTGCTGATCCAAGCCCTCCCAGTCACAAACGCACTAAGTCTTCTGCCCTGTCCCTTTTACGGCGGAAGGAGGGCCGGGATGGTACCGTGTCGTCAGAGGAAGGTTGCACGTCTTCGCTGCCAAATACAGCACCTCGAGGACATAGCTCGAAACCATCAACAGGCGCAGCTAGCTTGATGCGGTCGACATCCAATGTTCATGTGAATAAAATGTCTATGCCACCCCCCGGCACTTCTCATGACAAGCCAGTTTCCATCGAACAATCCGTGCGCAAATTCCGAATATTCGAGGCGTTGAGGAACGGGGATACGGCATCAATATCGAAAGCGATCAGGGAGAGCAGCGGTGCCCGAATAAGCACTTCAAGCGCTACAGAAGCTGGGGTGTCCGGAGGACTGGAAGATACTACCATACTTCACCTTGCCATTCAATGCGCAGAGTTGCCAGTAATCGAGTATATTTTGTCAGATGGAGCTGGCACGATCGATATTAATGAGCGGGACAAAGATGGAAATACTGCCTTACACCTTGCAGCGTCCCAAGGAAGAGCACAGGTTGTGCGGCTACTTCTAGATCAACCCGGTGCAAATGACTCAATTCCAAATTACCAAGGCCGATTGCCACTTGACCTTGCTCGAACCCCCGATATATTCCAGCAGCTACAACTCTCCCGATCGATATTCGTCGATAGCAAGATCCGACAGGTGCAAGCGTTAGTTCAGCAAGGGGACTACAAGAGGCTTGGGGAGGTTCTGGACGAGCCGCGTGTGAAGACGGTATTGGATATAAATGGAGGGGAATTTGCGTCTGATATTACGACGATCCAATCGGGAGGAACCTTGTTGCACGAAGCAGCGAGAAAGAAAAATACTGCCCTTATCCAGGTGCTCCTCCTCCACGGTGCTGATCCATTCCGTCGAGATCGGAGGGGGAAGTTGCCGCAAGAGACGACGAAGGATGATAGTACAAGGGCCATGCTCAAAAGGTCTCCGGCTGCTGTTGCAGCACAACGTGGTATTCAGGAGAAGGCGGTTTTAGGGAACGCCTCCCAGCAAGCTTCGAGCGGTGGCACCGGCGATGCTCTCGCGGGGAAAGAGGGCCGAGAAATGAAGGGTTATTTGAAGAAATGGACCAATTACCGGAAAGGATATCAGTTGCGCTGGTTTGTTCTGGAAGATGGAGTGATGAGTTACTACAAACATCAAGACGATGCAGGTTCGGCCTGCCGTGGCGCCATTAATATGCGTATCGCGAAACTGAATATGGATCCAACTGAGAAGACAAAATTCGACATCATAGGAAAGTCTTCTGTAAAGTACCACCTCAAGGCCAATCACGAAGTGGAAGCGAAGAGATGGTTCTGGGCCCTCAATAACTCGATTCAGTGGACAAAAGACCAGGCCAAGGAAGAAAACAGACTGAAGCAGAAGAGCGCGGAACTTCTTAGACAGGCCAAAGCCGAGCATGCCATTTCTGGTTCAGGGAATCAAACATCCACTACTGAGCTTGGCAGCGAGACCACAAGCCTTCATGCCACAGAAACTCGAAGGAGCAGCCATCAAGCTAATCGATTAGCGCCTCAGTCGAGCAAGAATAGCACTAGCCAGAGGGTGGCGTTCAATACAGCTGGGAGTGTGGGAGAAGATGACGAAGGTACCGCCTATGGTTCGTATGAGCCTAGCTTCATGGGTGACATTCAGAAGGTTTCGAGCAATATCGGTCTTGGACCCGATGCTGATGAGGATGATGATTATGGAGAAGGAGATGGCTCCAGTGACCGTGACGTACCGGTTACTAAAGACGCGCTCGATATTACTGCTCAGTCTGCGAAGCTCCAACTTGACATGATGGCGCAAGTTAACGCGGCATTGCAAGCTGAGCAAGTGAAAACGCCTGGCCTTTCTATATCCGATCCCATCCCAACGGAAGCTTTTCAGACATACGACTCCTCGATCCGTAATTTGAAAGGCCTTGTTGGCGATCTCCTCAAGATATCTAAGGACAGGGATGCTTATTGGCAGTATCGCCTTGATAGAGAAGCAGACATGCGACGCATGTGGGAGGAGAGTATGGCGCAAGTGGCACGGGAACAGGAGGTTCTCGAAGCTAGAGTTGGGGAAGCGGAAGAGAAGAGGAAGATGACCAAGAGAGTGCTTCGCGATGTAATTGAGGGAAGTACTACTGTTAGCAGCCGGCCTGCTAGCCGAGGCGATGGAGCGGGCGACCAGAAATTTGACGATGCTCCTGACGAAGTGTCTGACAATGAGGGTGCCGTTGCTAGTCGTTTGAGACGCAAATCTACCGCCAAAAGCTCGCTCCGGCGCAGGTCCCTCATTGCAGATATTACGAACTTGTCAGAGACTGAATCCGAGGACGACGAAGAGTTTTTCGATGCTGTGGACGCGGGCGAGATTGAGGTTGCCCAGATGCATGACCTCAAGCCAACTCTCAAGGAAAAGACAGAAAAGACCCAAACCGAAGGACTTGATCTCACCCCTTCATTCAAGGGTTATGAAGACGGCATCCGGAAGAGGCTTAAGATGGATGCTGATGATAGGCCGAAGATATCACTTTGGGTAAGTTCCAAATACAATATCAAGCGTCTAATAATAACATATTTGCAGGGTATTCTCAAATCCATGATTGGCAAGGATATGACTAAGATGACCCTTCCGGTATCATTCAACGAGCCAACTTCCCTACTTCAACGATGCGCAGAGGATATGGAGTATACCGACCTACTTGACATTGCTGCGGATCGGGTTGACTCCGCTGAGCGCATGGCCTATGTTGCCGCATTTGCTGCGAGTGAATATGCTTCTACAATCGGTCGTGTAGCAAAACCGTTCAATCCACTTCTAGGAGAGACATTCGAGTACGCACGGCCCGATAAGAATTATCGCTTCTTCATCGAACAAGTCAGCCATCATCCGCCAATTGGTGCCGCATGGGCGGAATCTCCAAGATGGACATATTACGGCGAATCTGCCGTCAAGTCCAAGTTTTATGGCAAATCCTTTGATATCAATCCGCTTGGTACTTGGTTTCTAAAACTACGTCCAAATGACGGGAGCGAAGAAGAGCTCTATACCTGGAAGAAAGTCACCTCATCGGTGATAGGGATTATTATCGGCTCGCCCTCTGTTGACAATTACGGCCCGATGGAGGTCAAAAACTGGACAACTGGAGAAGTCTGTGTCTTGGATTTCAAACCTCGGGGATGGAAAGCCTCAAGCGCGTATCAAATTAGTGGGCGGGTGAACGACGCCAAAGGACAAACCCGCTTCAGCATGGGCGGACGCTGGAACAGTAAGATCTACGCCCGCCTCACTCCCGGCTATGAATCTATCCCCGAAGAACCTAAGTCCGGAGAAATACATCGTCGTGGCTCCAATCTAGAGCCAGCTCAAGCGTTCCTAGTCTGGGAAGCCAATCCTCGGCCTTCGGGCATCCCATTCAATCTCACCCCATTCGTCGTAACGCTCAATGATATCAACGACAACCTTCGCCCGTGGCTTCCGCCTACAGACACTAGACTTCGACCCGATCAGCGGGCTATGGAGGATGGAGAATATGACTTCGCTGCTACAGAGAAGAACCGTGTGGAGGAGAAACAACGCGCTAGAAGGCGGGTGAGAGAGGCAAATGGCGAAGAGTTCCAGCCCATGTGGTTTAGCAAGACAAAGTGTCCAATCACGGGAGAAGCGTATTGGAAATTCAACGGGAACTATTGGACTGAGAGGCAAAAGGCTTTGACTGGTGAGGCATGGAGTGGGGTGGAAGATATATTTTAGAGGGGGGGGGGGATTGTTTCTATGAGGGAATGGGGGCAGGACATGGTGTAGTCTGTGGTATAGTTACGATTTTAGATGCGTGGCTCCTGACATGCATAGGAAACGCGAAGCTATAGATAAGTTATTGTTAAGTAGCATAGCTTAGTACATGTCTATAAATCAAAATCGATGGCCGTCCTTTCCGGGCTCTAGCAGATGGCCTAGAAATCGAAGCTATATCTGACTGTAAATTTCCTAAACAACGATCCCAAATAGAATTTGCGGTTTCCGACAGTGATGTGACTTCGAACTTCTGGCGTTTATCCCCTCGACCTCCATCTGTTGCTTGGCTGATCGCTCATTAATGGTGATGTTAGATTAATAATCGTCGGCTCCACATTCGTGGTCACTCTGGTGATTATGATCATCTACTTCTTTCTTTTCAAACAGCGATATACATGGAAAGTGGCCAGGCGTGACGAGGCCTCGAAGGAGCGAGCGGGATGCAGGCTCTATAGGCCGATTCTTTGCAATGTGTCGGCTTTTGCTGAGACATTTGCTCCAATACCTACCTCAAGCGCCACAGCCTCATCCCCAGTACCACTACGAAGGAAGACGCCCAGAAATATTACAGACACTGTTACAATCCTGTATATGTCGCGCTCATATACGAAGTACACCTTGTAGAACTATAACTATCGCGAGGAGCGATGTTTTTGTATTATAATTGTCTTTTACTTCCTAGTAGATGTTTGGGAGAACTCCTCGTTGGTTACCTTCTCAACTGGCGAGGAGGTCGAGAAGAGGGAGGCCAATGAAAGGTACTGGGCGAGGCGCAAGGCGAGGAGGCAGGACTTGCTCACAGGGCAAGCAAATGCAGCTGTAAGCGAAAGACGAGCGAATCGGTCCCATCACGTGATATCACCACCGAATTCTTTTTAGCGGCCCGCCCGCTCTCGCTTAGCTGTTCCGCGCGCACATAGGCACTTCGAAATTATTCAATTTCGACTTCACAATTGATCTCGAGTAAATCCAACCCAAGATTCAAGATGACCAAAAGAACGAAGAAGGTCGGCGTGTACGTGGTCGAATCCTGCATCGCAACTGTGAAAAATACTAATAAAACGATAGGACCGGAAAGTACGGTACCAGATATGGTGCCTCCGTAAGTGCTCGAACCAAGTGTGGTTATTCGTTATCTGACCTTTTCTAGCTCAGGAAGCAAGTTAAGAAGATGGAGATCCAGCAACATGCTCGCTATGTTTGCACGGTATGCTTGGCCGCCCTCTGACAAAGCTGGTCCTTTGTTAACGATTTTCCCACCCAACAGTTCTGCGGAAAGTCGAGCGTAAAGAGACACTCCGTCGGTATTTGGAACTGCAAGTCATGCAAGAAGGTCGTGGCTGGAGGAGCATACACCGTCTCGTACGTTTTACATGGCGCTCAGCCTTCCCCAATCCGGAGGAGGACCATAAGATTGATATTATCCTCGAATACTAACCAACACCGGGAACAGAACACCTGCCGCGGCAGCCATGCGATCAACGCTCCGACGATTGAGGGAAATTGCTGAGGTCTAGGTGTGGGAATCTGGGATGGGAGTTGTGGTTTATATTTGCTAGAGCCTAGGCCGGTTCTCATAGGGTTCGCGGTTCGCCGTCGTTGAGGACGCATGAAATAAAGCACTTCCAAAACCTGGCACAAGAAATGATGGTCTAGATTGTGACCTGGAAACTGTTCATCCAGCCCCGATGGTTCTTCTCCTGCATCATGGCAACCTCCGATCTTGCGATTCCTATCCTCCCTTCGGCGGAATCATTGTGCTTCCAGCCCGCCTCAATGTGCGACTCGGCCAGGACTACTCAAGGCGAATATTCCTAGGTAGAGAATGGATGTGCAAGGCACTCCCAACTAGCACTCGACGGTGACGACTTCTTATTCCGATGGCCACAGTACCAACATCAAAGAGATTACACTAGTTATTGGGGTCCGGAATCTCTACGAAGTACCTTGCCTAGGCACTTACTCGACATGAGGTAGGTATCGGCACCTATCCAGTGAGAATTTCATGTCATCTGCGTCAGTTCCATTATCGATCCAGGCTAGGCCCTATTGCGAGAATGTTCCATTGGCGGAGTCTTACTCAAATTCAATACCCACCCATTGCACCTAATCTTCGGCCTTGATACTCCCTGCATGTCATTCAGTTGATCGACTGATCATTCTTAGACCCCAAGTCCTGGACCCGTTGATACGGATAAGGGCTGTACTTGCAAGTATTTTTCTACTTTGCCCGCAGTATTTCTATAACTTAGACCGACTAGTATATCTGAATTTGCCGGCGTGTAGTACATCGGTGATAAGGTGTCTATATTGGTCGCTGCTATCCTTATTCTATTTATAACTTCTTGAGGTTTGCTCTTAAAGTCACTCACTCGCGTTGAATTTCGCTACCACAGTTTCAGATTCGGGACCCCTATGTTTCCGACTTTGATCACTTGGATATCGCCTGACTCTGTATTGATGATGCGACAAGTGGATCCTGCCTATACATTGCTACCCTCCGGAGTACGTAGTACCTGTAGGCTAAATAATAAATCATTATTGCTGGGCCTTTGAGTCGCTATGCCACACTCTACTCTACCTTATGCTGTTACTGTACAGAAGCTACTGTGCTGGCTTGTGACCGAGAATGCCTACGACATAGGAATGTAGGGCAAGGGATTTATCCCAAATCATCAACGGTTGCAACTATTACTTCTTCAGCCCTAGCGGTGTAGTTCTAGTGATCATGTTAGCTCGGTCACTGCCCGCCCCCCCTACAATTGCATTATGAAGTATTACTGTGCAGTTATGCGTAATGTAATGATCTGGTAGCACCTGGTGGCGCGAAGATCTTTCCTTGTCTCTCGGTCACTTTCCCGTCAATGTTCCCTCCGCATTCTGGATCCTGAGGAGCGTTGCTGGTGCTCTGCTACCCCATGTGGCCCCCCATGGCGTATAATCTCAGCGTGGAAAAGGCACAGAATCCTGTCACTAACGGTTGTGTTTGGAGTATTGTCGCTCGGAACCTACAGGTTGCATTCGGCGGGAATATATGTACAGAGTATGGGGCATCAACCATTGGAGATCACGAAACGTCGTATTATGATATGCGTGGGGGGGCCGAGGTATTCTTGCGCAACGATCACACATATCATAACATGACCCATGAAAACCAGATCCAAAGAGGAGATGAGATGTTAACCTAAATATGCGGCTAGACTTGTCTCGAGATATCAAACGGGAAAGTTGCTACGAATAGCACCAGATATGTCAACCGAATTTCAATTCAACTATAGAACAGAAGTAGACAAAAATGGCGTAGATTTTACTTAGTACTCGACTTTATCGTTGTGCCCTCGAGGACAACACATGTCATAATAATGTGATTCGCACAGCTGAAAAATGTTTCGGAATTCCAGATCCAGCCGTTTCAAACGCCGGTAGACCTCGGCTCGGAACAATGATTAATGCCCGTAGATACGAAGTACTTGTACGCGATATGGTACCCCATACCCCATACTTCTAAACTTCACCTGCATTCAGTCATAAAAGGTGTGCTGATTCGCGTCTCCTATTACAAGATTTTTCAGAGCCCTAGGTTGATTTTGGGTGTATTAACACACTGCATCTCGATCCCCAAGAACACAGACAGTGCGACGACACCCTCACAGAAAAAGCTTCGCTAGCAGCGCCTTAAGCAGGATGGCTGACCGCCCAACACTCGTGAAACCCAAACCATACGATCACTCGAAATCAACAATAGAGAATGCGTTGGAACTTACGGAATTATCAGCCATTGGGCCTGTACGTCTCCTATGCCATCTTCCCTTTGGTGCTGCGTCATTATGCGCCCCCTTGAGTTCTTAATCCTAGTGTGTTTTCTGCAGACATCAACTAATCTTCTCCCTTCTTCACACAGGATATGTTCACCAATACACGCCCACTATGGCACCCTCCAGGAGCACGCGGTATATACGGTGGTGCAGTCATTGCGCAGTGCCTCGCCGCCGCCCAGCGGACCGTCCCAAGCAATTTCACCGTCCATAGCATGCACTGCTACTTCGTGTTAGCAGGAGACGCCTCGATTCCGGTCATGTTCTACGTGGAGCATATCCGAGAAGGAAAATCTTTCGCAACACGCACAGTGCAAGCGCGGCAACGGGGAAGGCCGATATTTACAACAACAATGTCATTTGTGCGTGAGAATAGCGGCGGATCAAAGACGATACAACATGCTGTTCCCCTGCCTTCTGGTGTTGTGGTCCCGAGCGATAGCATTACCGAGGACGAGGAGGGCGAGGGAAGTGGACCATTTATATCCCGCCGAATTGAGATCCTGAACAAGGAGAGCAAGAACCCGCACGAAAAACGAACTCGACAATGGATCAAGGCCCGGGGACGGATCAGCGAAGCTGGTGGCCATCAGGCGCATCTAAGTGCACTGGCATATATGAGTGATAGTTATTTTATCGGCACTGTATCGCGGATCCATGGCATCTGGCGGCATCTGGATGCTCCAGCTGAAAAACAGCCCGTGGGCGCCTCGGATGCCGATGTCCCACAGTTGGGCATGATGGTTAGTCTAGATCATACTATTTATTTTCATCAGCCGAGGAAATTTAGGGCTGATGAGTGGATGTTTACGGAGATGTCGAGCCCTTGGAGTGGGGATGGAAGAGGGGTTGTGCAGCAACATATGTTTGCTAGCGATGGGACGCTGGTTGCTACATGTTTTCAAGAGGTACGTGCTGGATTCTACTCCTATTCTCTGCTACTTAACCCGCCTTGCTTCTGCGACCCTAAGACATGCTGATGCTTTTGGAATTGTAGGGCGTTGTGAGACTAAAGCAAGATCCCGTTCCGGCGTCCAAACTATGATTTGCCACGATAGATTCAAGCGGGATTTATACCATGCTTTCGTTTTTGATGTAGCTTATTTGTCCTATTAGAAATAGAAATAGAAATAGAGGTTACATGATTGATTAACTATACGGAGGCCTGCCGCCCTAACAGGCTCATTCAAGCGGCGCATATCATAAGGAGAAGTCTGGTTGCATACTTCGTACTATGCGGACTTGGGGTAATACTTTGTCTACATACGAAGTAGGTACTCTGTAGATACTTATCATTTTCCCTATATTCCACGGCGACCGTTCTCGCGGCCGAGACCCTGTTGGCGCCAGGCCCCACGTATGTCTTACCAACGCCTCGGTACCCGAGTATCAACCCTGTATATCATTGTCTGTACGTAGTATTTCGTATAGAACATCGTACTATGTGGTACTCCACTCGAATTATGCATTGATTTCCTGTTTAATGCGGTTGTCTCCCATACTAGAAAAGTGCAGGTGATACAACACAAGATTTAAAATTGCCCGAATGCGAACATCCAAAAACAGTTCGCCCGGTGATGTTTTCAGAAATCTTACATGTGAGACAATACTCTGCTCAGTAGCGGAACAATAGGGGAGTTGACGAATCACGTGCCTTGCGTCATCCGTGCGCAGTGCGCGGCATGGCTCGAGCAGGGATCCCGGTCTCAGTTGGAAATGTGTCTTCGAAATCCAAATTAACTCGAAGTCACGGATTGTCGTCACCATAACATCGCCCGCTGACCCTCCTGGCGCTTTATACATGAATGTCTGCCCTCGCAGTACTGCTTCTTAACGACCCCCGAGCCCTCATACTACCCGCGCTTTCCACCTCCCAATTACCCGTCATCTCCGCCTAGTCCCTTGGGTACTTGAAGCGAATTGGCAGACCTAGAGTTCCGGGCCGACGCGGACATATCAAATGCACTCCATACGGCAGAAATGCCGCCCAAAGCATCAAGTACTCGTGCTGAAGTGCTATCCGAGAACCACAAAAGGCGCTGTTGATGTTAAGCCAAACTCCAGCGAGCTGAGCTACCTCCTATATTATGCGACCACCCGCCGAAGTAAGGTCCAGAAGGTTTGCGGGTTTTTGGAGAAGAAGACTGCCAGCGACGTCTGGCGGGCCCGGATAGGGTATGTCAGAATATACGCCCACGATCCTCTTAATAAATTAGCTGAGCTTTTGCTAACGGCACCGTCTCTATTTGCCAGAAATGTTCAGGTTACCCTCCAAATTCTGGCCGCGTTGGTTGAGAAAGCTCCCCGAGACCTTCCTCTATACGCGCCATATGTCCTCAAAATCCTCAGCATCATACTACGGTCGCGCGATATTACGATGGTCGAATCCTCCATCCCAACGTTCGAAGCGTTCTGTGGAAATCATGATGGAGCGACTTTATCAGCCGATCAAGAATACCTCCGCCAGTATGAGGAAATAGTTCGGATATACGCGTCGTTTGCGGTGACAACACCACCACCAACGAAACCCCCCACAAGTGCCCCGGTGGCCATGCGATGGAGAAATGCGGGATTGCAAGCCATTAAAAGCGTGGCATCATCCGAAGCTTTGGCCTCTCTCGCCGGGAAGCAGTTGGATGTCGTAGTGCCAATACTGTTGGAAAACCTATGGGCAGAAGACGAGCAGTTTCTGGAGATAATTGAACAGAGAGCGCAACAAGGGGTGAAGGTAGACGCCGAGAAACCCATGAGACGGCGCACCAGTGTAGCGACTGTAAGAACTGTTGAGACAACTAGCGATGCGGCTGCCGCAGCTCTCTCCGCGACTGCGGCCGATGCAGATAAGCTTGCTGAAGAGAATATCGCGGTTTTGGCAATGCAGTGTTTGCAACAAATATTTGTGGTGCCTAACAGGATCCAGATTCATGGGGCAACTACTGCCACTCTGGAATTCATTTCCGGCCGGGTCACGCAGCGAGACTCTCTCGTCGAGGAAAAGGAGAGCACCAAAGCAGATCAATATACGGGTTGGGCCTCGAAGATATTTGAACTGATAGCTCGATGGACACCTGTCCAGGATCGCTATGTCATCTTGGTCACAACCATGGAAATTCTGGTCCAGAGCCCGGTGATCGAAGACAATCTGCAAGAACAGTTGGTTCTGGCTACAATGGTGGATTCATTACTGAAATCCGACATAAATATGATTGGGTTGAGCGTAATGGATGTTTTACTAGGCTTAATACACCACGTAGTAAAATTGCTCCAGCTGAGTGGGACGGCACTCCCAGGACAACAAATGACAGGGTCTGGTGTGGCCAAGGACGACTCGAAATCTCCATCGCGGCCGACTGGTGACGCTGGTAACGCAGTGGAGGCTCCTGTGCCAAGCGTGTTAAGACGCAACCTCTTGAATCGACTCCAGGAGTGCGTGGGCGATCTCGCCACTCATATATACTATGCAGACCAAATATCGGACATGGTTTCCACGCTTCTGATGAGGTTGAAGCCATCACCGCCATCTCATGCTGCTACGATCGCTTCCATTGAGAACCCTCCCACGGCACCAGCTGGACTCACGTCCGTTATCGACTTGCCAGAGGATCAAAAGACTGATGGATTTTTTTTATTTGGCACCGCTAAAGTTAAAGCTCTGGAAGCGATCAAGCTTATTCTTCATGTTGCAAGTCATCGCAATAATATTATTGGGGGCGCTGGGCTCGGGAGGAATCGTGTCCCAGTCGGTGTATGGGAAGGTACCCAGTGGCTCCTTCGAGATAGCGATGGACGAGTCAGAAAAGCTTATGTTGATGTACTTTTGGCATGGCTGGAGACAGAGGTTCCACCGTCGGGCCTTCGCGTATTTGAGGAGAAACCGAAGAATTCGGCGCGGCCTGTCCGTAATGATTCCTCGTCGAATCTTACGAAGCGCGCAGTGTCCAACGCATCCCAGAAAGAAAAATCTACCAAGCCGTCAAGGACAACGTTTCTGCAATTATTGCATTTGGCTATTTACGAAAATGCCCTACAATACGTCGATAGCGAAGCAGACATCCTGCTCTTACATCTTCTACTTACCAAGCTCGTGGATAACCTAGGAGTTAATGCTGTCAAGAGTGGACTACCTATGGTTTTCCGCCTGCAGGAAGATATCCTAGAAGCCGAAACTCCTTTGGCCAAGGTTCGCATCGGAAGTTTATGTCATGGGTATTTCTGGGCTATTAGTGAGAAGTTTGACATTGAATCATCGCCTGTGGGGAGAGCGATAGATAACGAAATCCAACGGCGGCGAAGCAAGAAGTTCTGGGTTGAGCGGACTCGTTTCCCACCAGTTGCCCTTGATAACATAGGTACCCCAGGCACAAATTCTCCTCAGCAAGCTCCAGTCTCGGAAGAGGAATTGGAATCGGAGGAGCTGATTCCTTTTGACGAACGTTTCCAAATGGTGAAGCTTATCTCGCTGTCTTACGCTGAGTCTATGGCCCCACCACCTATGAGTGCCCCCACATCTCCGAATCGAAGCTTTTCGCAACCAATTCTAAGCACAGTCGCTTCTACTAGCGAGGAGGTGCCCGAGAAAGTGAAGGATGAAATGATGTCCGGCTGGAGCAGAGAGGCAGTTATTGCCACTGCCCAGGAAGGAAGCAAGTCTGCGTCGCTCAATGGATCCAGGTCCGGTACAGCTCATCGCAGCTTCCTTGCGGTCAACGGCAACTTAAACACTGGGGGAACGAACAGCCGTACGCATTCTCCTCCTGGAGGACCTCAGAATCACCTTTCAGCGCGAAATAAACCCGAATCATCGTATGGTCTAGTGCGTGGACTTGGGGCCCTCCAAAAGCTTAGGAAAGGCGACAACCACTCACCATCACCCGCAACCGACTCCAGTCGAAACTCCGTCACCCGAGTAGACCAGTTGAAAATGGTCCTCTCCCGGGCTCCAGGGAGCACTCCGGTCACTCGAGCCGGCATTGCACACAGCGATTCAAGCAGCGAGAGCATGGTCAGCTATGACTTTACTGCTTCAGAACTCTCGTTCAACCCACCCCAGCAGGACGGCCCACGTATAGAGCGATCCGTCTCTCTACGGGAGCGTAATGGCAGAGCACGATCTAAATCTCGCGACCGTATCGCGTCAGGAGATCATCGTCCCTTGACTTCTCATCCGATGCTGGGTAGAGGGGACCCTGACGCCCAAGATTTTGCTACAATTCCACCCGTCCCCCCACTCCCGCAATCTCTAATGGGAGACGGTGCATCCGCGCGCAGAAGCCGGAGCTTAAACCAGTCTGCGAGGGGGAAAGAGCTAGGTTACACAGGCGGATGGGCAGAGGATAGTCCAGTAGCGGATTTGGAGAGTCTGCTTAAGGGGATTGACACTGCTGGGAATAAGAAAGGACATGTGGCGATAAAACCTCCTTATTGAATTAACATATGGGAAAACTTAATGGCATCTTTTCACTTCACTATGTATTACCAATTACAAATACTAGATAGGGAGCGAGCGAATGGCGCGAAAGGTTTGGGCGAGCAACTCGAAGACGTGGTTGGGGCTTTTGGATTGGACATATGTAATTCAAAGTATATACTGTTTGTGTGAAAGTAGCTCGTGATTGGAATATACTTGGGTTAATTGATTCAATGCAGAGAGAATAGCTGATTCCCCATGACGGGCCATATTTGTTTGTATTGGGTTGCCCCCCCCAAAAACCTCCACCCAGTCGAGCGAGCCCTACGCTCCCGAATGACCAAGGCCGCAACTCTCAAGCTTCTTTTACTTCTTCTACTTCTTTACCTTCTTTCCACAAACGCTTCATTCTGCTTTCCTTACCATTTCAATCTCCAACCAATTATTCATACGCAACCTACCATCTGCTCATAAGGCTGCCTACAGCGTCACATCAGCCCGCTAGTCGCGATAGGAACCACCACCCTGGGGCTCTATCCCCCGAACATCTGCAGCTGGAGGCCTCGTCAACGAATCGCTGCGTAAAGCGTCCTTTCTCTGGCTCCGACGCCCGGCAGCGCCGCATGCACCGTATGCACCCCAAGCATCTCACTGCTTGCACTTGAAGTCCTGGGAAAACTCAGCCAGAGTCCTGCAGAGGACTCTGCTGCAGAGTCCTGCGAAATAACAGGCCTTCACCACATCACATTGCCCACCAGCAAAACCACCCCAACGCCATTGTTGCGAGAGGCGCCTATCGCGCGAACTCGAGGTGCTCGGTCTCAAAGTCACCAACCAATTCCTCTTGGTTTCTAACCATCCAAAAATAACCATTTCCAAAAATAAGTCAAAGATGCCAAAAATAACACAAGAAAAACGCCGAGATTATGAAGGAGGAGCCTACGGAAATAGAACAGCAAGCGGCCTCAAGTTTGTGGTCGTTGCTTGCCACCGTGCTCCTATATAGAATGCTGCTCCTGCTGCCACAAACTACCTTTGACTGATACCTCTGATACCTCCGACCTCCCGACAGTGTTCTGGTTAGAACACTGACTGACTGGCGCATTTGCACGCTGGAATCCCCCGCCGACCCCAGGCATTGCAACATGTGCTGCCTGGAGCGAGCGGGTACAGCAAAAAGCAGTCCTTTGCGCCCACAGGACTCCGAGCAACTCGCAAGAAGTCGGGAATCTTCCCCAAAACCCCACCGCATCGCATTATCTCAACTTTCCTATATCCCCTATCCCCTATCGCCGAGGACAATTCATTGTCTCCCTCAGTTCAGGACGGACATGAAGGACTCGGTCTTTGGGGGTCTAGTGGCCCCAACGTCACGTTCCAGCTCGTTTGTCATCTCATCTCATCTCATCTGCCCTTGTCTTTTGTTTTGTTTCTGGCTTCGAGGGAATGCTGTGGTTGCTCAATGATGGGGTCCTTTGGTCAGCCTGGGCGTATGCCTTGCGCCACTGCAGCATTCGGATCGGCGAGCGGCGAGTGCCTGCTTCGTATTGGCATTGGTGAGGCGAGCGAATAACGCACCCCGACCTTGACTGCGCGCGTCTTGCAGCTGCAATAATCAAGGAATCCTCAAGTTCAGAGCCATGATACGATTCGGCCAGCTTGACGACAACCCTTGCCGAGGCGATTGTCGAGCCACACTTCTCGAGGGATTACGAATTACGAAGTATCCGGACTCGGTGAGCGAAAGAGGCTCAGTCAGGCCCACGACTTCCCTGACCCAGCAACTACCAGCTACCAGCTACCTTCGCCTAGAGGCTGCATGGAAGTCCTGGGCGAGTCCTGCCAACGAATCTGACACTGCAAGTCTAAGGAATCGACGATACTGAACTGGATTCATGACTTATATCGCTGGCAGTGGCAACATGGGACTTACGTTCTATCGATCTCGCCCTTGCTCGTTTGCACCACCTTGCGCTTGTGTAGCCGACCAAGAGCTTGAAGCTGGGTTTTACGTTGTATTGGTGAAATTCAGTCACGATGTCTCTACTTAGCAGGAGAAGCGCGAGCCAGCGATCCTATGTGCCTGGAAATGATGAAATTACTGTGAGGAAGGTCCAACCAAATGATACAGAATCTGAGAGTCACGTCGGCTCGCTCAGTTCGGACGCTTCCAAGTCGACTACGACCACCACGACAGACTTTGCGCTGTACGATTCTTGCGTGTAAGGCATCTTAATATTAATTACTAGAGGATATCTCCCTAACAATTCCCAGCGCTCGCAAGTTTCCAAACCACAAGGCATCCCATTTGCGCTTCCTCGCTTGGGTTGCATACACTCGCAAGTTTACGGACGAGCCTATTACTGAGGATGAGCGGCGGACTTGTCCACTATTATGGTGTCGATCGGTATTCAAAGACCAGGAGGCAATGTTGCAGCACGTGTGGAACTGTGAACATCTATCCAAAGGTCTTTACTGGTGTTTCCAGTGCCAAAAGCCAGAGCGCGTTGGGAACTTCCAATGCAAACGATGCCAGGGTCTACCATCCCGGACAGACCGGCTTGCTACTGTAGCTAGAAGAATATTCTCCAAGCTCGGATCGAAGAATCATCGCATACAGCGATCTCCACCCGCTGAACCAGAAATGTCGCTCGCCAAGGTTCCTGAAGCCTCCAAAGCACAGCAACAGCAACATGACCGAATGTCCGCAATCTGTGACGCAGGACCTGTTGGAGGTTGGGGGCAGCAGTTTGCGATGCCAGAACAGACCAATGCAATGGACCATTCCGATACAGCAGGAGACTGGACAACGGACTTTCAAGAGTTACCAGACACTCAAATATGCGAGATGAATGGGTCAGCGCATCCCATAGAGCTTAGTGCTGACCAAGACCGTTGGGTGGACAACGACTACTCAAACTCTCAGGGAAGTTGGTATAACCAGAAATCCCCAGCTAGAGATAGCAATCCAGTTTCCGGGGTTGCAAACCGTCCGGAGACAATTCTGCCTCGACTGAACACCCAGTCCTTACCTTCACAAGGACAGGATTTCCCTTCAGAGTATCCGAGTGGCTGGTCAGAAGGGCCCCTGGTTGATACCATAGTATCTCCCTTAAGCACAGTCGGGCATTTTACTTCACCCTTCCACGAGATTTCACCAACCGATACTGAGGCCAGTGGAAGGTCTTTTTTCACGGACTCCGGATACACGAGCGGCACTATAGGGTCATGTGCCACTTCTCCGCCAGAGAGTTTCGAATTAAATCCGGGTTTCAACGAACCCCGAGGGAAAAAGCGTTCTCGGGATTATGACATGGCCTTCGAAGAACCAAGCCTCGAACATACGGCTTTAACTGTGATGACCATGCAATCGATGTCAACATCCTCGAGTATAGATCAAAAGATCGCGGAATCTACAAGCAGCTCGCATTCGCCCAGCAGATGCCCCAGCACCAAGAAGCCGAAGATGCAATCCCCGTACTGGTCTAGTGCTATAAGCCTAGTCCAATCGTTTTCAGATGTCCTAGATGCGCATATCTCTCACACCAAGGAAATTCTTCGCTCTCTCCCATCTACACCTATAACTACTGAGCTTCTTGCTATGTCTCGGAGCTCAATGGTGTGCATAGGTTTGGAAGCACTTCTGGGAATCATTGAAGGAAGAAATCCTACCGCAATCGTGCAGGCATTTGCGTTCACGCATATCTCGTTCGCATTTGCTATTGCGATCGACCATGACGAGATTAAAGTCCATACACAAGAGTGGTTTCGTGATTCCTTATCATGGGTTGCAGGTTTAGGATCAATAAGGCAGCGGAATAGATATGTACATATAGCAAAGGCTGTATGGCAACCAGTGGACTCGCTAAGAGAGAGCTGTCTCCCTGGCTTGTTTTCGATGGTGGACAAGGAGAACAGACTGGTTCTAGCTTGTAAGCGGTTCCTCGATGGTAAGTGACCACCAGACTTGAAATTGTTAGACTCCACCTAACCTCCACAGTCCTCGAGAGCCTTGGTGCTTCAGAGAACACGTCGTCGCCAACTAATACGACGCCCGGATTTCCACCATCGCTATTCGCCCAAGAAGCTCAAGCACGAGTTATTGAGCCCCTTATTAAAACTGCCTCAATCGAAGCTTTCATCGAGGATGTCGTCAAAGTCGAGGAGCGGCTTAATCGGTACCACATCACGAGCGTTCGAGAGCTAGAACTTGAATTGATGTGTGCTGGAAAGGTATGCCATATTGAATCAGCCTGCAGCACGCGCTTACCTTTGAATAGCTAGCTTCCCAGTCCGAACTTGCATACTCCCGGTTCCTCTCTCATGTGACAGCGCTGTGCGACTCCCTCTATGAATCATCTTCTCAGCCGCGCACGTCATATCACATCGCCAACATTTCACAAATTAAACAACTTCTCCCTGAAGAAACGTATGGTGAACATGGTGATGAAGACCGGGAATTCGAGCTTGAATTGGATGATGACTTGCCCCTGGATTTTAATATGGGGATGTTCGGGCAGGGTGATAGGAGCATGCCGGGGTATATGAATAAGTTCACGAGGGACGCAAATGGGGCTTTGAGAGTCGATTGGTATGCCTCCTATTTTTATATTTCTTGGTCCTTCTGGCACAGAGAGCGATATCTGACAAGAAACAGCGAATTCCCACATGATTTCTCCACCCTTCCACCTCCAAATCCAACCATTGCCCCCATCACACAATCGAATTCCCAGCGAGAGGAACGACTCCATGCTGGACTGAATAGCTCTTCTCCAACCAGCGGAATATACCCCAAGTACGACCTAAAACGGATCGGTCAGAAGCCCAAGCTGTCATCCACGTTTCTGTCCTCATCATCTTCCCCGCTCCCATTGCCCACACCTTCAGCGTTCAAAAGTGTGGATATTGCTGCTTCCTCCTCTTCCTCACCAGACAACATCCCACCCTCTCAACCAAAGAAGCAAACCTACCAATGCCCCCAGTGTCCCTACCTCCCTGAGGGCATAGAAAAATACAAAGCTTCAAACCTCCGTCGGCATAAAAGGACTCAGCATCCTTCCGGCAATGAGAAAGGGAGTTATTTGTGCACATGGCCGGGATGTGGGAGAACATTTACAAGGAGTGATAATTTGATGAGCCATAAGAAGGGTAAGGGCCATGTATTAGAGTTTGATGTTCGTAATCCTGGAGGATGTGGTGGGGATAAGGACTGCAGTGCTGAGGGTGAAGATGGCGAACATGGGCTTGGTGAGCGCCAATTTGGTAGCGATTTGAAGTATAATCAATGGGAGAACGATTATGAGGGTGGGAGAATTGTCGCCAAGAGGAGGAGACGAGACAGTAACTAAACTGCGCCTTCGCCACGCAAGTTACAAGCTAGCATCGAGAACTCCATGACACTCTAACAGGCCTCCGATAATGGCCCATAGGAGCAGCATTACCAGCTGGCGGGCAGCACACCGGCGACGCATGAAGCATTCAAGGCTTGAAAGAGCTGAAAGTTTTCAAATTTCTCATATCATCTCTGTATTGGCTATGTGGCTTCGCATAATAACGGCGTTTTGGATGGTTCAGGTTGGGAAGTAGACGGGAGGGAATTAATGATACCCATTGACTGATATATAAATCAAGCATCTGCCTATAAATCACAGCTATACTCCATATAATATACAGTTTTATACCATCAACCATCTGCAATGGGCAAATTTTCAGACAAACTCGTGCATGATTATCAGGGAATGTCACGATGAGCAGTGGACGCACATGCCACTGGTAGCCATCCAATTCTAACCCTTGTTAAGATTCCGAAAAAAAATAGGAATATAAAGGGCAGCAAAAGCAAACACGGGGAAGGAATGGATAAAGAGTCCCCGGCGGCGACCAAGTCCTGATATCCCTCTAAGGTTATTCCTTAAAGTCCTTAAAAGCTCAACCCGTTCCATTCAACCCTGTAACATCCAAATTAAGTCCTAGCTACTGACTCCTAGGTAGAATATCGAGCAGTCCTTGAGGGAGGAGAGAGTCGTAGGGAATGCACTACGGAGCTTGTATTCCTATCACTTAAAGGACTCCGGTGATGGTCCTACGGGAAGATCATATCATCGGTCGTCCCATTAGTCTCGAAGGTGTCCCAATACATGGTAGGATTATTAGGGTTCAGGACAATGTCCATATCCCAGAGTACCGAATACGGGCGAGCCCCCGTATCCAGAAATGAGAGATTTCCCCCGCTATCAAATTTCCAGTTGTATTGGGCAAGGATCAATTCCTGTGTGGTCCTTGGAGGGCTGCATTGGAGTCCCGAGATGTCTGAGCGGCACATGGCTGCGAAACTGCTAGATATTGCACCTGAGGAAATCTATCACTCTAGAGGCATCTTGTCTAATCCCGAAGCATGCGCGTATAGAATAGGGTTCCTCCAATCCAAGATATGTTTGTACCAGGGTATGGAATCTATAGACAGAGTTAAGCATATGATTTCTGAATATTTGGGGGGGGGGGGCATGTGTGCTGGAAGCCTGAACTCTGCAAGCCATCAACAACCAGGAGATAGCGGAGTATATTTTATGCAACATGAACTTGGAGAGCCGAGGCGGATGTAAGTTCTATTAAACCCCGCAAATCCGGTTCGCTGGGACTCGTATGCCTGCGAAATAGCAGGACCCGGATGCACGCTCGAAGTAAGCAGAGTAACCCCGGAACCGGGTAAGGCAGCGGTTGCCTGCAGATACGTAAGTTTTAATGGCGAGTATTCCTGCGACTCGCCCTGTGCTTTGTAAGTATCCCGCGCCTTGTTACTGTAGATCCTAAAATCCTGAAGATCATTCAGCTAGGTTGATACCATCATACCAGAAGTGTTTCCCACAGTCCTTAATTCCCCGTAGGCTGTTGGTAATGTGTTTCCAGGGTCTCATCTCATTGTACACGCCATCAGTGTGTTACCCACAACTCGGGCACCGAGTAGGAGGGAGATTCTAGCCATATATATAGGGCACTAGCCAACTTTCCGTTATTGGATGATGGGCCATTCCTTGGATATCGCTTTGGAAGTAAATTCAAAGGAAGTCAGCTTCGCGAAGGGTTCAGTGGCCTTTGGTGTCAGACACTTTCGCTTCAACAACTTAGTTCAGCCACCAAATTGGCATTCTCTCGTTCATATTCAGCCATTCTCAATATGGGGGGGAATAGTTCTCAGAAGTGGCATAATCGGTCGGTAGCCTGGCTCCATTTAATTTCAGGACTGATGCGGTTGAAAGCTCCCAGCCCAATTCCTCACCCTCTCATACTCATCAGTCGGCTTCCTCCCATAAATGCATTAATCGGGAGAATTTGAAATCCATTTCGGCTTGTCCATCGAACCTAGAAGCATATCTACGATGCCAGCACAATTTTGAGAGAATACCGCTTGGCGTGTCGAGTGGCAGAATAGGTGGAAATCACCAAGAGCATGCATCACAATCTTCCGTCGGATTTGAGATTCCGGAACAGCGGACAGATGCGTATTTATTGATGATGAGGGATTGGGACACAAGGTGGAAAACAGCCGGGAGTAATGAGATGGTGTCTGGTGGTAAATAACTGGGTTTTGCTAAACGGAGGCTAGGAAGGCGTAAAACATGTATTGGGTTGAGGATGTTGTTCATACAAAGTATCCTGTTTGGAGGTTTAGGTAAAGGGGAAAGGCGTTGATGTTACTATTTAAGTACAATTTTGCGTGTTAGTATTAATAATTCGATAATGTGCAAAGTCGCTCGTCTGTTACTAGTATATTAATAGGTCTCACCAAGTGTTTGTAGGAATGCACGCTTACTTCCACACTTCAGGACCAAAGCCTTACGAATATCGGTTAATAGGGAGTTTTTCTCGCTGGAGGATTGGATGGCATGCAGGATTCTTAACGACTTGTCAAAATGGGAGTCCTTCGGACCGTGGCTCGGAATCCAACAGTCTATTGTTTGGGATCCGACTCAGGTAGCGGAGGATCGGAAGTCATGAAGGGTCGCTAGTAGATTCCCTCAAAAACACCAGGAGAGTCAAAAGTTGGCGTATCATTGCATAATTGCATGATCTGGATGGCGAGAGAATAGCGAGAGGATGAGCGCTTGTAATCGTAATCCAACAGTTCGCTGCAAGTAGCTCTAAATACTCATCCTTTGTTGGGAGCGTGGGAACCACTCGTTGTGGTCGCCATCGAATATTTCTCAGGGATAGTAGTTATTCGTTGTCATTTGCAAGAGCTCTGGCTGGTCTTGGAATCGGCCATAAACGAACCGAAAAAAGCAAAGCTCTGTTGACCGGAATGCGTATTAAAGGGGCCTTTTGTTGAGCCTATGCAATGTCTTAGTTATTTACTTATTGCAGCGGGAATCGTGTATGTAGGGCCGTGGTTGGGCCGATTTGAGTTCCGTCCAAATCATTAATTATTTCATTATTCGGCTCGCAGCCTCCAGGAAACCGGAGGTGGATGCAGACGGCCGAGGAGTTGCTATCCTGCTGGAAAACATATAATTGCATTTCCGACGACGGTTTTCTCCTCCGTAACTCGAAAATTGTGTGTCATGGTGGATTTGAGTTACGGGCGGATGTTCTTTCAGAGGCAATTACGTTGAGGTCTTTGAGGAGCTGAGTAGATTAATCTTAAGTAGTGTTACTAGTTTGTCGAGTGGCTGGAAAAAAAACCAAACCTTATGATGTGATCAAAGATAGGAGGCGGATTTAAAGTGCAGGTTTTCTGGATATGTAGAATCTTGGTGGATAGTGCTGTCTAAATAGGGGGAGGCGAGGGAAAGAGGGGATGAGCTTTCGACTAGATAAGATAAGAATCGGTCGGTTAGATCCGGGGATCTGGAAGCGAGCATCCCCTGTTTCAGACCCCGCAGAAACCCAACGCCTTGGAGACCCAGGATACGTACTCGGTAAGGCTGTCCGTACAACGTGGAGCGAGTCCCAGCTCACCGAAAACTTGACGCGACACGAACAACACATCACCTCTTGCGATATATCATGAGCAAACTTCCTTCTCTGTTATATTTAACTTGCTCTTCCTTTCTCCCTTCTTCCATTTCCCCCAAGTCATCTTCTCTCATTCTTTCCCTGCTCGGGACCCTATCCCTCACGACACATTTTAGATAGCAAACACCATCCAAGATGCCTTCGCCCTTGGTAAAGACTACGATCCAGGCCTGCGTAATGGCAGTGGTCAGCAACTTGACTGCCCAATTCATCACCGCATATAAAACGAAGGTAAGCAGCTAGAGTTTCCGTCTTCAATGCCTCTGCTCGTATACTGATTTTCTACAGAGCGACTACACCATCAACTGGACACCCGTCCTACAGTTCATCATTTTCACCGCCTTGAATACCCCGCCAAACTTCCTTTGGTACACCGACTTTCCCGTTTCCCCCCATCCCCCATCCCTGACCCCCCCTTTTTATCCCCGATATCTCATATTCTGACACAACCCGATTCGTTTAAGGCAATCTTTCCTCGAATCTACCTTCCCCTCGCACACCCTAGTCCCTTCCACCTCTGCAACCACCGCCGCCGTAACCAATAACGAAAAGGCCCTCGATAATTCTCAAAAGGCCCACTCAGCCCTCGAACCCAAACTCTCCATCCCCAATACCCTCATAAAGTTCTCGCTCGACCAGTCACTTGGTGCTGCTGTCAACACTGTGCTATTCTGTCTGGCAATCGCGGGGTTTAAGGGTGCGACGTTTCAACAAGCAATAGGAAGTGCCAGGGAAGAATTTTGGCCGATTATGAGTGCAGGTTGGACGCTGTGGCCGCTTGTTAGTGCGGTTAATTATACATTGGTGAGGAGTGTGGAGGGTAGGAGTCTTGTGGGGGGGCTGGCGGGGATGGGATGGGGGGTTTATTTGAGTTTGGTTACGAACTAGGGGGAGAGGGGGAGGGTTTAAGCTGATGTTACGTGGAATGGGAGGATAGGTGTTAAATGGAATGTTTCGCGACAAGGTTGGTATGAATAGACATATTTTTATATAGGGCGGCGTTGGAAAAGAGATTTACGGAGGCGCTATTTTCTTCAAAGGAATCGCCATAACGAACAGTGCAGGATCAACAGCACAAGGTGTTCGAGCTTCCATAGACCCTGATTCGTGTTCCGCCACAACGGTCCGGGACAGAGCAATTCGTGGCAGCCCATAGCGTGTGCTCAAGATATTTGAACAGAGGAGCTGTAGAAGCAATTAATTGCTCTGTTCCAATAAACAAAGTTAGTGGGGGAATTATAAGGTGGTGGAGCGGTATGGTTTGTATTTCTTCTGCATCATCCGTCGCCCGGACTGCTTGCATCATACTTGCATATCGTACCAACCAAATCGGACAAAATTCCAAAGATGAACGGTAAACTCCTGGGGCTTAAAGAAAAGTATGATGCTTCGATGACCGTCGGTATCACTAAGATCCCTGAACACATTCACACGTTCCTTTCTGAATGGGATGTCAGTGTAGATTCCAAATCCTTACAGACATACCTAGTAGGTCTGTCCGCTAGCGACTTCTTGCACTGGCTTAAACATTCCCTACGATACTACTGGCCCAAACCCAATTTTCCTACCTGCACGGAGGACAAGTGCCATGCTATGGCGTTGTTTCGTTTTGATATGACACGCTGGCACTCTGACAGCCACTCGTTGGACTTGGATGATTTAGGGGCCAAAACCAACCATGGGATAGACAAGCAAGTCTTCTTCGACATCCTTTGGCCGAGCTCCCTGATCGCTACTGCCTTATACGCTCCGGTTTTGAATGGAACAGCCACAAGGCGGTATTCTTAGTCTGCATGACAAAAGAGCAGTTTGATCATTTCCTCTACCATGCCAAGAACCAGGATACCGCGGATCTCAAATTGCTCAGAAAGGCAAAACCGCAGAAGAACTGTAACCATGCACCCCCGTTCAGGGATTCACAAAAGATTAATTTGAGGAGTCGGATTAGAAAGTTTGGTGGGAAGAAAATATACTCCAAATCCTCCGCTGACACCTTGATGGATGAAGAGGCGTATGAGGATGAAGAGACGTACGATGCCCTGGATTAACTCGACGAGGACTTGTTCAGCACCAATATCTGCAATATTGTCTCTGTATAAGGGACTTGTGCCCCAGTACAGGATGCCGCCGATAAGCCACCCCTGTGCATTATTTGCACAGGACCTCCCTGGCTCCTTTCGTGGTCATCGCGACTTAGGTACACAATCCTATCACTGGCTTTATCGATAAATACCTTTTATTTTCTGGACCTCTGTAAAGTATTGATTTGCAGCATTCCCATTATACGACTATATTTCTTTTATTTTGCATTAGTAGGCAATTTGACCATGGCTATTGGTTCTGGAGGCAACAGACGTAGCTTTGCAAGTACCATGTTTTTCCTGTGATTAATCAACGAACCGTATATTTCTCAAATTTATGAGTTTCGTGCTTATTGCACGAAAAATATATAATTGAGTTTGTTTCAGAGCGCTTACTGTGAAGAAACAAGTGCGCCGGAGAGAGTAAGCAGACGGACAATTTTAGACAATTTTTAAACAAAGAGTTATTGTAACTCATGGTACTAGGAAAGCAAGAACAAAGCCATTTGTGCAGCAACCATGAAAATATCGTGAGTAGGGCATTGTTCAACATAAAGGACAACTAAGTCTCGTGACATGTTAGGCAGAATATGAACAGCAATATTATATGAAGTTTATATAGCCCTCGAAGGGCCTTTCAAACCAAAAATGTTCCTTTTCTGAGTTTGCCCTCTTCCTCTACTAAGTTGCTAGGTCCAACTTTTTCTTAGATAGCTCAATAAGTTTTGAGGCTCCATCTACAAGCATAACGGCCAGCACCTCCTGGGTACCACCAGTGCAAAAATGTCATCGAGATGGTTCTCAAAGCGAAGAGAGCCTGCTAGTGAAAGGTGTCTTGACATAGAAGTCGAAGAAGATGAAGATGACGACAGGGCCTTAGAGATTGAGAGAGAAAGAGTCTATCACGATAGAAGAGAAGCCAGGGGCCACACAAAGTATGGTCAGCAGCAGGCCTATTTAAGCAGCAGAGCAGAACTCGAGCGTCAAGATCCTAAAATCGATAACGCCGACAAGTATGGACAACAGATATATCCGAGGGGTATATCCGCGGCTCCCAAAGGCCAACTCCAACCCCCTATATCAAGGCCATCCCACCGTGAAGGGCATTCCAGATTTGAAACTGCTAGCTCTCGGAACCGAGCACAGTCTCGCGATGAACCGGGTGGCTCAGTTCCTTCCGCACCCCAGGAATATTGCCGGAGGCATCGGCTCGCGTCAGAATCACAAGAACGCGTTCACCGGCGAAACATAGGTGGGTACGACGAATGGCTAGCTCGGCGAGAGAAAATAAGGCGAGCATCGCAAGCTGAGCCACTTGGAGAGCCGATTGACGACCATATAATGTCCACGAAATATCAAGCGGTAGATGAGAGATTTAACCGCTTTCTTCCTACCGAGGCCTTTTCGCTTTCCAAGGGGGAGTTTGAGGGAATTGTAAACTGGGTGAATGGGGAAAATTATCATCCATGGGAGGAGAAGCCGTCCAAGAGCAATGATCGGCGGGTTAAGTAGAAGTTCCTTGAGATATATGAAGCATAAATGCTGATAAAACATTGTTTAAACTGGTAGGTAGCGTTGTATGGTGACAACTAGGGGGGGATCTTAGCTACCTAGGTATACAAGGCGCACAAAGCGCGCCTTGTCATCTGTGGTTAACTTTACCACAGGATACACTTACAATATGATAATAATTTGCGACGGACTTTACCCGGTGATGCCGTCTTTTGGAGTTGGTTTCCTAGGAGAAAGGTGCAGGACCAATGAGTGCTTGTGGAAGTGGCACGCTGCTTGATATTGATACCATGTGAAATTGAATGGTGTTGGGGGCGAGTGAGCAAGGAAAGGGTGAAGGTAAAAAAAAATGAAAAGCCAACTGGTGGGCCAGGTAGGTGGCTTGAATCGGTGATGCAATGTAGGCAGGAGGTTTGAAGTGCTCCATAACGATTAAGGGTTAAAGCATAGTAAGACGGGACGAACAGAACAGGAATAGCACGAACAGGTACGCGAGATCAGCTGATGACTTACTGGGCTGCCTCGTGTGAGACTTTACGAAGGAGAGACAATTAACATAGGGCTGTCTGGCGTGATGATTGTTTGGTATTGCTTCGTGGTACCTGGTGCAAAGGACGGAGTGCTACTTCGCGGGTACCTTACCTTAGCACCTTATTACCTCGGGACTGTACTTCGTACAATGCGTGTGCAGCCACCCGAGTACAACAGAGCGTCAGCCAAGGAAGACCCAGAGGCCTGGCCTGGCCTAACTCCAAGGTTCAAACTTCAAAGTTCAATAACGCTCCGGTGAGCTTTGCTCGTAGCCTATCGGCAACTCCGAGTTTGTCTGCCTGGTACGTATGTACTGTACATGTACTGTACAGTACCCAGGCACCAAGGCACCTGCACTTATATTTTCTACCTTGTATACATACACACGTAGCAGTAACAATATAACTATAACCCCAATCAATGTTCTCCCCGTTCTAGATATTTTTTCTCACTCTCGACCTCTAGCTGCGCATCCAAGCAACGCAACGCAACGCGCGACGTCGGCTCGTCAGCCCCGAGGATCATCAAGTTTGACGACACCTAGATTCTCAAGATGCCGAACCTCTCAATCTTCGCAATACCCGCCTACTGGGTCCTCTCGATGGCGCCTCACGCCTACGCAATTGGCCTTATCAAAAAAGCTAATAACGGTCGCTGGGACAACACCAATCCTCGGTCTTCCAACTGGGACGACACGTTGCGCAAATCCACCCCCGCCGAAGTATATGGCCGCTTCACTCGCGCTGAAGCCGCCCACAATAATGGGTTGGAAAACCTGCCTCTGTTCGTCGGAGCGATCTTGGCCGCCAATCTGGCGAAGCTTTCGACTCGGGATGTGAATACATTTGCTGCGGCGTATCTTGGGTTGAGGGTGGTATATACGTTGCTTTACATTAATGTTACGAGGAATCGCTCGAGTTTCTGGAGGACGGGGATATGGATTGTGAGTACCTTCATGGCACTGGGGGTTTATGTCAAAAGCGGCATTGCTTTGTATTGATATAGGAAGAGAAAGAGGGGGACATGGGATATAGGGATGTATGTATAGTCGAACTGGGCAAGGCGACCCGCGGTTTGATAGGCGTTGTTGGTCAGGCTGAGAAAACCGAGTTCTTCTGTAGTGAAGTGCCTCGGGGAACTTGACAGAAAGAAAATACCCCAGTTCTGGGAAGTCCCCTCTACTGCAATGCTAGCAACCTTTTACTTCCGCCTTCTCAGCAGTGCGCCTTTTCTCCTCGCAGTATGAACATCTCATATCCTCGCATCTCTCTTATGCGTCAATATAAGCGGCGGGCTTCTGGTGAAGTCTCCCGCGAAAATTTGCTACCATAGCTACGGCGGGTGTGGGAAAGTAAATCCTTCACTTCATTTCAGGCCATGATTGAATAAAAATAGACCTGTATGGCATTTGTCTTAATCAGCCCGTAAGTCATGGACATAGTTGGATTCCGCAATTATAGCGCCACTCTTCAAGACTATGTAGGACAAGTAGCACTTATAGAACGCTTATGAAGCTCAAGGTCCGTTTTTCAGAAGAGCTTTAGCGCTATACATTGATTTATCTGCTGCACCGCCCCTAAACCGCTATCATGTTCCACTACATATTTATTACTTCTATATACGTCACAAATACCGGACCTCCGAGCCGATAATAACAAAAAGGGGGCAAGGCACTTCCGTACTCTTGTATGTGGGGCTGAATGCTCAGAAGGCCGGAGTATATTCGGACCCCGCAAAAGCTGACCCGGGGCCACCCCGCACTCGGATTACAAAAGGGAGCTCCTGCGGCAAGTATATGCCAAAACTACCTGGTAGATAAAAGGAACCAGTTCAGGTATATTTTGAGACCTTGGTACTTCCTATTTCCTATCACCAGCTTCAATTGATTTGCGTGAAGGTTGTCGAGTACTTCCAGGATCTGTTGTTTCAACACAAAGAAGCACGTATCCAAGCATTTCTTCCACAACAGCAACCATGGCAATCGTCCGTGTAACGCTGTTCAAGGTCCCGTCGAAGGAGAACCAGCAGAAGCTCCTGGACCTCTACCCAACTCTTGCTAAAACGGCTGCCAAGGTATTATTCCTTCTGTCTCCTTTCTCAAACTCTTCATTTTTTGAATCTAATTGGTCCCGGTGTTTACCAGGACAAGAAACCCTACATCATCTCCCTCCAAGCAGGTTTGGCACACGAAGACCAACGCTCCCAAGGGTACACAATAGCCACTACATTTGAGTTCAAGTCGCTGGACGATATGCGGTATTATGATACGGACTGTGAGGCACATAAGTGGTTGAAGGAGCAGGCGAAGCCTTTGGGACTTGAGGGTCCGCCATTGACTGTTTATTATGAGCCAACTGTTGTTAGCTCGTTGTAAGGGCGATGGTATGGATGGAAACAATAGAAAACTGGGCACAGGAGAACATGAAATATCCGGCCGTGGTTCGGGTGAGAATGAATGAGGTAGAAAGGGAAAGGGACGAGGCATGGACAATGAAAGTCAGGAGTGAAAATCACTCGAGCCAATAGATACATATATAGATATATATGTATTCCAAGTTGAAAAGGCTAGTTGAATGAAGTACACGCCAAGTGAAAGGGGAACCTCAACTATTCGATACTTGGCTGCGACTAAAAGCATTTTATAGCACCACGACAGACTGGGGCTATCGACCTCAAATCTTCGCGCTCATCATAGGCTGCCTATTATCATAAACAATCAGCCCTATTGCAGGCATATAGTCCACTCCCATTAAACTGCAAGCCACTCACCTCGCCTCCATCCACTTCCCTGTCTTCAAGATGGCGTACTCACAAATACTTCCCAAAGAACGCCAGGAGAATCTTATATCCCCTCTCATACTCCTCTTTCACCTTAGCATCCTCTAAGTCGCCCCTGGCAGCCATCCATCCATGAATCTGGTCTTTAAATGTTTCGAAGTGCTTATCGCCCGTAAGGTTAGCCTCGAACTTCTGGACATCGGCTTCCGGTTCGTCTCGCGAGGCTAGAAAGCAGAGTGGGATGTTGATGTTGATCGCATCAGACGGGTCAACCATCGCGGGGTGGCACTCGGCGGCGGCTTTGAAGGGTGTAGAATCGGTGGATGTGACGAGGGAGACAACTTTACCGCCCCAGCAAAACTGCACGTGATTCATGTTAATAATGAGGTTGGTCGTGTTACTAGCAGACATGTTTTTGAGAGGAAGCGAGGAAACAGACAAAACATACTCCTACAATACCCCAGGTCTTGATGTTGGGGTTGAATTTTTCGGCTTCCTTCAAATAACCAGAAATTCTCCCAGCCGTTTTTGGAGGAGCACCAGTAGTTTTGAAGAAGTTGCCAAGCTTCTTTCCTTTTTCTTCGTTGTCCGGTGGGTACCTTTACGTTAGAACATTATTAATATTTTCCATGCTCCATTTGCAAATAGGATTAAACGAATCGATTAATTCAATTAATTCGCTATTCCCAAAGTATAGTAAAGAATACGTGATAACGCACCAAGAAATATCCGCGGCATTGCCCTCAAACCAATCGGGTATAAAGACCTGATACTGGTGATCTTTCCCAGGCGTAGCCAAAATATCGGCACCTTGGAGTGCCTGCGGGAAATAGCCAAAAATATCGTAGATAAAGAGGAGGGCGACAGAAGCATCAGAGGGGCCAGTCACATCTGTATGAATATGTTTATTAGCCATGACCAGGGACGGCTGAAGGAATGATGGAATAAACTCTTACAAGTCTTTAGCCCCCCAACTGTCTCGTATTTCCCCTTCTCCTTGTAGCCCTTCGACACCACGGGCGGGATACTGCAACAAGCAGCGCTGTGGCCATGTTGAGCCATTGAGTAAGGGCGTTTATTCCTTGTGATAGCTCTAGGTGAGAATTGTCTTGAAATCGGAAGAGAGTCGCGAATTGAGCGTTGGAGCAGAGGAAGGGTCGTTGCGCGGAGTATTTGTACAGGCATGGAATGATTATTGATGATGATGTTGCGACTGAACGGATTGGAGCTCCCGGGTATTGACGTGGCTGGTGGGGTTACAGTACCCTGGAAATTTATGCTCCGCAATAATGCGGGGCACCAGCCGTGAGGATGGAATGACGTTCATAATGAAACGACGACTTTGTGCTAAAGCCGGAGCCATCCAAGGGTAATTATCGTCTTAAATATGACTATACAGAGAATAATCGTTATAGAGGCTCTTACGCGGATAATTCTGTTTCTATCTGGGCCTGGCGGTTAACACTTACCTCCTCGCCTAGTCCAGCGAACTCGCCGCCAAGCCTACCCAAACACCAGAGAAACGCATGGCAGAAGAGCCTCGTTTTAGCGTAGTAGTCTCCCTAGGTAGGTATCAAAATCGTTATGTTTTGTGATTACACTGGCACCTTGGGGGTTTATGTTACTTTTATTCTCGAAACTCTTTTCATTGGCAAAGCCTTGATTGAAGGGAGTCGATTCCGACAGGAGGTTCCTCATGATCAATAATCAAATAACTGCAAACATCCTCTTCTAGGAGGGAATTTCATGCTGATGAACTCCTGGCCCTAAAACGCTGGAAATGAGGGAACATGCCATGGGCTGTTAGACACGACAAGGAATTAGAAAATGCTGTTCACAAGGTTCCCTCCAATAGTAGCACCCGCACCGAAAATAGCCGCATTACCCAGCTTCTTTCCAAACTTCTTCCCCATTTCCTGTCCCTTTCCTGGTTTATTCTCGGTAGGTTCCTCGGCAATTTGCATCGGGGGAACAGCACTGTTGTATGGATTGCTTGGACCCGGCGGTGGCGGACCCTGTTGCTGTTGCTGTTGATACCCACCCGGATATGCATTTGCTTTCTCATTACCATATGAACCATAAGAGCCACTACCAGCGGGGTCTGGTCTTTTAACCTGAACGTAATTGACCGGGAACACACCCTCTTGCCCGGTGCGGATGTTTTTGCCATGCCACCAGTCTGCATTCATGTGTTCATACACTGCAATCTCATCACCCACTTCGAAACCGCAGTCCCCCGGCTCAGCATAGCGGTAGAGGGCTGTAGCGCGAGAAATCTCGGGCTTGGATGATGGGCCACGACTCGGAAGAGATGGTGTGGATGGCGAAGTATATGCAGGTGGTGGAGGGTCGTTATTACCTTTCACATTGGAGAAAGCGTTGGTGGGAGGAGCGGGAGTAGCGGAAGCTGAAGGCGCGGCATGTGCTCGAGCAGCAGGCCCGTTGAGTGGGGATTCGGCCGGAAGAGCGTTCATAATCGTATCGTAGGCCTCATCACTGATCGCGCCATTCTCGGCAAGATTCTCTAGCTCCTAGACATACTATGTTAGACACGAAGACCTTGATGTATACGTGAGGGTCTGCTGCTACTTACATTCTTGATATTACGTAGAGCACGGTTGCTGTTGATGATCTTTTGACGATCGTCAGGCGGGATAGAAGTAGGCATGGCTATGTTTTCCAAGTAGGAATATTGGACCTCTTGACAATCGGTGCAATTTCGATGCTTGTTACAGCTTTGTGGGTTCGAGAGCACAAGTTCCTGAATGGCTCGGCGCTCTTGTGGGGTGAAATAGAATGGACCTCGATTGATTAGGTCCACGCCAAGGTCCTTTTGGGAGTCTTCGTCGACGATGGTGGGAGAGGCGTTTGTTGGAACCGAGAAGAACCTGTGGCCGTAGATGGTGTAGGGGAAGGGGGAGTTGGGCACAGCTCGAGATGGACTCAGACCACTTCTGATGCTGTATGACTGAACAACTACCCGGCCGCTGGGAGTTCTGATAGAACAACTCTCGCCAACTGAGAACTGCTGCGGGACTAGCACAAGTGGCTTACTTCGCTCGATGGCGACAACGTTTGGTTTGGGTGCAGGCCGTTTTAACGGAAAGATGGACAGCAAAGTCTCCGGAGCAAGGAGCGGCGATTTACCGTGAGATGAAGTGGAACCGCCAGAGAGTGTTTGTAAAAACGATCGAACTGAAGTAGAGGTAGATGCGCTTCGGCCACAACGAACAAAGGTCTCGGCCTGTGCACGGTAGGTCTCTCGGAGCAGGTCGTCGATAAGGGAGATGTTGTGTTGACTGGTGTTTGTGCCTGCATCTGCGTCGGTGGCTCGAGGGGACGACGACGCCGCCTCCTGCGGGTGCTGCGCCTCTGCTGTGGCCGTGCTGTTCAGGGAGCTCCCGCTCCCGCTTCCGCTTCCAACATCAACCCCAACCGCATCTTCCTGTTCACCTTCACCTTCACCCTGTCCTTCACCTTTACTCTTCAATATGGGGGTCGACTTGAGATTCCCCTCCGCGTCATAAAAATTGATTCCCAATCCCAGTCCAAGCTCGTTATTAAAATGGATTACCTTGCTTCCTTCGAACGTCGAACGGCCGTGCTGCATCAACAGCGGGGACGCAGTGATTGAGGCAAGCATGGCGGCAGCTGGCGTGGTTGAGAATGGCTTGAGTCGCGGCCGCTGCAACATGTTGTTTTTATTCGGATCTTTAATTACTCTTTCCGTGTGTTCATGCTGTGCCAAGTTCCATGGCCGTCGCAGTTTGAGGGTTGAAAGTTGAGAGTCTGAGTAGAGTTGGAAATGGGAGACCCTTTCCCTTAGGCGGTCTTCGAGGTGAATGTAGTGGATAGGAACTACGAAGTCTATCTAAGAGACCTATCTCCTCCTAGGTGTGCCAATTGGCTACCGAGACCTTCATATCCAGCGCCGGTGTCACTTTTCCCCTTGGAAGTACCATGAGGCAGTGCTCTAACCATATCAGTTCCTTTGTTCCCATGTATTCACTCTATCGTGTTCCCTTTCTGAAGGAGAGCCCACGGCCACATGACCATGCCGACCACCATCTCCCGAGTCCAACAAATTGCTGGGCGAACCCTCCCACGGCCAGATTCCTTCACCAGACTCTGTCCTGTTGGCATGAGCATTTATGGGTCGCGCCATAGATTATTCCACTAGTCAAAACAATTATATATAGTGTTAAATCACATATTGGCAATATGCTGGGAAGTTCTGATATTCACCTCCTGGGTACGACGGGCCCAGTAACAAGGAAACGATAATTGGAACGATGATCAGAGTACACATCCTGCACCGGACTTCACTTCATATGGATGGCATAAGTCACTAAGAGAACATTTCCTTCTTCATTTGGCTGTAAAATCTATTAGTTAACAATATTTTCTACGTTAAATATGTCACCCTACGCCCCCGGATTAACGTCGGATCAACCGGGGCAAATACTGGGTAAAAATTGGCATGATGACCAGTGACTGCTTGTACTAGAAAGTCTCTCCGTCAAATGGAGATGTACCTAGGTATAGATAGGCACAAAGAATCCCGTGAAACTTCACAGCCTTATAAGTTGTCTTTGTACATAGCTTGTATATCTTGGTTAGTACTTGAGCGCCCTGTATTTATATCCTTTGCAATATTACATCAGATCAGCTGTTAGCGAGTTATCTTTAAAAATGGGAGGTTTTGGATGTGGTATACTATTGCTATTTGGTCGAATATAATAGTTAGTGATGGGCGCAGAGCGAGTTACGATTTTCCGATTGATAAAAGGAGGAGATATCTTGGTATGAGACTAGCCACATACTTATAAGTCCAAGGGGAGAAGCGAGAAGCAGCTCTAGGCTAACATCTAGGACGTAGTGGCGACAGTTTTTAATTTTTTGCGCATCAAAGCAGACAAATAAATATATATCTTATGTGATGCTATATTCAATTAATATTCCAGGTGACAGGATGAATCGGATGAATCGGATGATAGAGATACAAGAGCAAATTATTGTAGATATATTTAACTATCAACTTATCACTAGATCGTGTATTTATAATTGCTGAAATAAAGTAACATTTTGATATTACTATTTGGTGGAATGCGAGGCGCTGATAACTTTACTCGAAGTACTCGTAAAGCATGCTTCCCGAGGAGCCCTTCACCGCATTTTTAACTCGTTTCTCCCACTTTTGCCCCCAACCTGGACTTGCATCATTACATGTAATTTGCAGTCCACTAACTCCCACAAGTCACAGACTCCCACGCTACTAATAGGATTCTCACCGTAGCGGTATGAGGATGGGAGTCGGAATCGATGTTAGCGATGAAAATATCCATGGCAGGTTCGATAAATTGGCGAAAATAGGGATCATCAAGTACGGGCCATCAACCGTGATTCCTATTGTTGACAGAAACTTCCCGGTAAGCTACCTAGCCTATCGTCCCTCAGACATCACCTCTTACGAGGATATATTATAGCTCGAATTCCGTATCTATCCAACTTCCTCCCAAAAGCCTCTGACAGTCAACGACTCCGTCGCATCACACTCGCACCTTGATGACGGCGAACCTGAAAAGCTCGGCCCAGGCAGCGACATATACAGAAGCCACCCAGACCAAATACTCGGAATAATCAATGGCACTCACATTCTTGCGTTGAATATATACCCTGTTTTCCGGCCTCAATATCTCCTTCTCACGTGCGACTCATATCGTCTGCAGGACGAGCCTTTGGATCTTCATGATATCAAAGCTGTGTGGGAATTCCTCAATGTAACGACAGAGACTTATTATGCTATGTATAACTGCGCTGAACAGTCGGGATGTAGTAGGAAGCATAAACATATGCAGATCCTGCCCAAACCTGAAGCCATAAATCCGGATGCAGAGGCCTTCCGCTTCTTTCCTGATGTTAGAGATCGGCAAATTCAGGTGCCGTATGTTTATTTCCTGCACTACTTCTATCCTTTACGAAAGGGACAGCCAATGGATAGCGAAGCTGTATTTGCTACCTACTCGAATCTACTACGACAGTATCGAACGATGCTCGGCATTGCCGAACATGCTACATGTGCTCATAATGTGCTTCTCACAAAGGAGTGGATAATAGTGATTCCTCGACGGAAAGGCAACTACAAAGGAATCATGGCGAATGCAACAGCAATGATGGGGCAGCCCACCGTCTCAAGCCAGGAGTTATTCAAGATTTGGACTGATGAGGGGCCAGTAAAGTGTCTCGGTGAGTTCGGCATATCAAATACGAGTCTTTGATGGCTTGAAATCATGGTGGAATTAGATGGATAGATGGGTTATCTAAACTAGGTGGCATGTTATAATATACTTTACAGCAGGGAAGTATTTCCATCGCATTGACTCAATGATTTGGCAAGAAAATATTGGGAGATAAACTCAAGACAACTGCGAGACTATAAATAGCCTATAGAGGTTCGTTTATCATTGGATGATAATCAAGTTGCCGCTGGCTTCCCTCAAAAACAAATAGGCCTGCCGACTCGCCATCACCATATAGCAGTTCGCAATAGCTCTTTTGTTTTTCATTATCGCGATGTTCAATTTCACAGTCATGTTATTCTAGAAAGTATCCATCTTCTGCGGTCAGACTCTTCAATTAGCCAGGTTCTATGCTCGGGTTAGTCTTCACCATAAGAATCGTAGAATCGCAGAATTGCTTCCGGTTTTCGAATTCCTTGTTATAGTCCAAGCCACATGACCCTATCCACCTGGTTTACTTCAAACAAACCGTTAACCGTCAAGTGAAGAGTGCAGCAGGACGGAAGTAGCCACACTACTTTTTCCGAGTAAACTATGTACAAAGAAAATGGATGCATTGTTTCAACTCCCTTCGGTTCCCTTGAGATACTCCCTGTCCTTCACTCCATCCAGCAATAAAACAACCCCCTATATACAGCAATATACCCCCTTTATACGTACTTCATCATTCAATAACCCTAAACAATCTGCAACATCAACGGTAACGTTGACGTATATGCGGTCCCACTAGGCGGTTCCATGTTATAAATATAGTTTCCCCACCATGGACCACCACCCCACCAAAGTGCACCAAGCCACACATCACTATTGCTTGTCATATAAGTTAACAAATCCTTAACGGCGTCATTACACTGTGTATTGGCACCGCCGGCAAATTCGCCAAGGATGGCCTTCTTGCCATTGGATTTCAGCCAGGCGGTAGCAGCTTGCAGACGCTCAGAGCCGATAGTCGCGGAGACGCAGTTGGCGGATGTTCCGGAGCCATCGGTGTCAAGATATTGATGCATTTCGTAAACGATCTTATCTTCCGGGTCTGTGAGGGAGGCTAGGTTACCGTTACCTGCCGAGACCCTGTTTCATTTCCAAAATTAGGATTGAACTCTCTCTGCCGGAATGCGTATGAATATGAATGGGAAGGGCAAAGGCAAAGAGAGGAGAAAACGAACCAAGTCCAAGCTCCACTCCAACTCGTTCCCTCAACGAAAATATACTGGCTCGTTGCACCAGCAGAACGAACACCATCAATACAGGCCTGCATGAGTTGCGGCACGCTAGCGGAGCCCATATCATGTGGTTCGTTGTTGCAGTCGAAGATGACTTTGCTATTATCCTTGTAGATGGTAGCAAGTGTTTTCCAGAAAGCTTGGAAGCCGGCATAGTCACTTATAACTGCATCGTAGTACCGCCCAAAGTTGTGAGGGTCGAGGACAGCATAGGCGCCTTTGGATGTGATGTAGTTGATATAAGTGGTCATTCCTTGCTCATAAGTTGCGTTCGTACCGCCTGTCATCTTGCTGGGTATAATGCGCTCCATCATTATGGGGACTCCTGAGGACTATGTTAGATGGGCCAAATTGGGAATAGAGACATGGGTGATGTGAACAAAGAACGTACTGAAGGCATTGAGGCCTTTGTTAACGAGGGTGTCGATAGTTGAGCTGATTCCTCGAATTAGCCTCCATCATAATCACCTACGGTTGTCTGGGTTGGATTGGGCAAAGAAGTATCCCATACCTTGGTGGCCATACGTAATCCTTGTTCAATTGTCCTGGGATGGCTTTATTCCCAAACTCGGCTCCAGACTCATTGACGCCGAACCATTGGAACTTCTTTGGGCCTCTCTTCTTCTTCTCAACATTAGGCGCTGCAACGGCAAGCACAGCCGTGCTAGCAACGAGAATCAAATTGCCCAAGTGCATGATAGATGATAGCAGGAAATCCCTCCGTTCTACCTGTGAGAGAAAATTATAGCAGTTTGGATGGGCGAACAAAGGATGTAGTTGGGGGCACTCGCCCCTCTTTATATGTACTCATAAAATTTAGAATGAAGTTACACCCTAGCTTAGGCAAGGAATAGTAATATCAAGTAATATAACAAAGGTATACCTATTCTCCGGAATGGCACTCCGGTAGCGGGAAAGTATTGTGGATATTGGTCGATTGGGGCTCTTCCGAGACCTTGTGATTGTGGGTTAGTGTACCCTTGGAGCACGACTCGCACCTGCTATCGCTGTATGGAATTGAGTTGATAGAAGGGTGGGGTAGTTAGTTGACTGCAGGGTGGCTTGTATGGAAGCGCGGTGGCGGCTTGTTCTGAGCGTCTTCCCTCACCCGAAACAGTCGATATGGAAGTAGAACTTGCATGGAGGATGTTGAATTTTTCAGGAGGAAGCTACGGAACTAAGAGTCCGATATCCGAGGCCCTATGTACTTGTACTCCTTGGAATAAATTGCAAGCTGCACCAATAGAAAGTGTGGGCTTGCTTTCGGAAAATTCATGAGACCTCGAAACTTGCACAACATCAATGGCCAAGTGAAATAAAAACAACCCCTCTCTACCTTAGTGGGCGTGCCTTTTATCAAACAGTTCCGGCAATTTTTGAAGCAATCTCGTCCGACATAATTGCAGACGCGGAGGATATCATTCCGTTGCGAATACGTACACTATCCCTGCAACTGTGGGGTATAGATCTGGGGATAATGAATCGACCGAAATAACGGCATGGCGGGCCTGTCAGGCAAATCACTCAGTTATCTGCTCAGTGCTGCGGTGTATCGGTATATTCACACTCTAAAGTGCTTAAAAATGCTCGAGCAGAGTTCTTCCGTAAACGACTTCACGTCTCCCGGTCAGCGACTGGAACACCTTTCTTTATCACCTCTGCCATCCATTTAGGATCGATAGCTTCCTCACTCAAGTAAGGGCTGAGATCAGCTTCCTTCCCCATTGTACGGTTTGCTTTTGTGAATCCAAGTCCGAGATATGCCCAGCTAGAGGTTATTAGCATGTGAGGTCAGCAAGCAGCTCATCCAGGTTGCATTGACTTACGGATTGTGCCTGTTTTGGTATGTGATGTTGTAATCTTCGTACCTAGGCTCCTCGATAAGTTGGCAGTAATGTAGCGAACTGCCGGGAAAGACTGCATTGACGCGGCCGGTCTCATTGTCTGCATCTAAATCAGCCTCCATAAATCATAAAGGAGTCGAACGTATATACTTTTGTACCATGCGCGACAATCGGTGGACCAGACAGTCAACTTCATGAATTCCTGCGTGTGGGCGTTGAACAGGTCCGTTATGCCTTGCTTTGGTGCTATCGACTTGATGAATTCATTTTGCATCTTCTTGATGACCTTAATAGCATATTGTGCAACGTATTGTAAGGGACCCATTACCGATCCATTCTCGACTGGCCATGTCGGGCCAATGAATGTTATGAAATTGGGAATGTCAGGAATGGCCAGTCCAAGATATCCCTCCGGACACACGCTCCATTTTTCAGCCAGATCAACTCCGTTCTGGCCGACGATGGGGAAGTGAGGTTTGTAGGATACATCAAAACCGGTTGCACAGATTATGGTGTCGACCTTTTTCTCGTTGCCATTGGTATCAATAACAGTACCCTCGGTGACTTTATCCACAGCAGCAAAATGGACATCAACATTGGGCTTCTGGATCGCTCTCATGTACGGGTCGCCTTTGTGAGTCAGTAAACTATATAAAAGAGCTTCGGCGATACTTACCCGGGGTGACTCTTCGACAGCCAATACCGAATTTAGGCGTGAGACCCTCAAGAAGTCGCTTGTCTTTGATGAATTCCGCCATCCTACTTCCGAACGTCATTTGCGCCCCTTTTTGAGTCTCGCTTTCGGTGAAAAAGAGATCCCATAACCCATTTATTTGCTCTTCTGTATACTTTGCATGCTTCACTAGAGCCTTCACGTCGGTCTTGAATTCATGGCGCTGTTCCTCGGTATACTCCTTAACATCCCCATTATTATCCGCAAGGGAAATAAACCAGATAGGAGTACGAATGTAAGTATCAATATGCTTGACATATGGCTGCATGTTTGGTAAAGTTTGGATGGCAGATGCGCCAGAGCCAATTATGGCGATAGACTCGTCCTTCCATTGTTCTTTTTGATAATCCTTCGGCCAATGCGCAGTATCTGATAATATTAGCCGCGCCTTAACTTACGGGCCTCCAGAACTTACGGATAACCTTTCCTTTAAATCTTTCTAAATTCTCGATGTCTGGGAACTTATAGCTGTTAAGGAGTCCAACTCCATGTAAAAGCAAGTCACATTTCTCTTCAAATTCCCGGGTGGTTCCGCCTGGAATTGTTTGGCGGAGCTTCACAGTCCATTCGCCGGCTTCTTCAGCCCAATAACAGCCGATTACCTTGGTGTTAAAGGTCATATACTTTCGTAGGTCGAAGACTTCGCATACTTTATCCAGGTACTTCCAGATATCCTCGGAACCACTAGCATACTTTGGCCAATCAGGACTGTGGTGTGGGTAGTTAGATACCAGTTGTAGAGTCGGTTGATGAATACCTACTTCAAGGCGAAATTGAAGGTGTAGCAGTGCGACGGGACATCGCAAGCTGCTCCAGGATATCTATTTTCAAGCCAAGTGCCACCAATATCTTCATTCTTTTCATATACCTTATGTTCGACACTATGAATGACATCAGTAATATTCTATAGCAACAAATAATGGACTAAAAAGCAGGACAAGTCTTACTTCTCACACTGTTTCTGAATGTTATATGCCATCATAATACCCGATACTCCAGCGCCGATGGTCAATACCCTAAGTTTCCGGTTCTTTGGATCACGGAATGTGATATCCGGGATACGGTACCCATCTTGCTCATTAGCAATCTCGGACATAGAAAAGGGCATCTGCAATGCTTCCGGTGCCATTTCCCCAATCCGTGGACGCAAAATTCGTTAGATAGAAGAAGTCACAAAGCGTAATGGAGTTGAAGCAAATGAAAGGAGGGTTGAAGCAGAAGAGCTAAAGGTTGATTGTAAATGTAACGCGACCTGGGTGTCTTTTGTGTCACTCGACAAGGCAAACCTCGGTACTTCCATTTATGTCTCACATCAGAGCGGGGATACCCACTTTAGCTCGAGCTTAGATTGGCAGCGTTTTGCTGGAACGACGATAAGCGGACGGATGATTATTCAACTGTTGCGGGGAAACCGACTCTTCCTGAGTCTTCCACTTGAACGCCAGGTATAGCTAATCATGGGTTAATGATTAAACTGTAGCTTTGTGCTATCTGCGAAGGTGGCTTAGGACACTTAGTCTGGTCTATAGATAAAACAATGCGTTTGCGAAGAGCGAGGAAGCAGGGAGCGCAGTGTAAAACCTACGAAAGGCTCGACTCAGAACTGGAAATTTGGAAGTACACAAACGGTAAGCAGCCGCAAAGGGAAGAATTTGGTGAGTGCGTTGGAAACCTCGAAGTTACGTTGGAACTCTACATAGGTATGAAAGGTTGAAAGGTATATATATAGGTTGACGTTCCCATTTCTGGGGAGGTGTGAGGCTTGTCAGGGATTTGCATCGTGTTGCTATGGGGCAGCCTCCCGAAATCCGGGGTCGGTCCAGGCCCGTCTGCTACCCGCCATGAGCGAGCCTCTTTGTGGAGAAATGCCCATGCTGCCAATGCCAATAATGCCAGCGCCAATGCCCATGTCCAAAAGCCAGCACCCAACACACCCCAACCCCCAACCCCCAAGACTCAGCACCAGCACCAACACCAGCACTACTACGGCATTACATCGTGCTTCGTACATGTATACTAAGCCTTGTTAACAAGTTGACCTCCATCTTCAGCCTCACCGTTGCTGATTCTTTTCGTCCCCGCCATCCAACTTCAACCCAAACCCAAACTAAGATCTAAATCTACCAGTGCTCACACACTGCTCCGGCAGCCCCGTTACTCGATAAACATGGCGGCTTCAATGGATATCGACAAGCCGGGCAAATACCCGATCGTCTTAAGTGATGCTTTGTTAGGAAAGACCTCCAAGGAAGTCTACACGGGCATCAGGTGTACGCAACCGGAAACCAATCCTCTCGAGCCTGGCATTTTCAATGGCTAAAGTTCCCTCCAGATAATCACAAACCTGACCCCACGTCCGATTCATCTCCAAGCTCGATGCATCTCGAGCCCTCGGAATCCGACCCCGCCAGCTACGACCTCTCTTTCGCAGACAACTCCGACAAATACTCCTACCATGGCGCACGAGCGTCCGCCGATGGGCAATATGTTCTTATCTTCGATCCTCTCAAGAAGCATTTTGTGCTGCACCGTGTCGACTCGACGTTCAACATGAACCTTGTTAGCGCACCGTGGGCTGAAGACGAATCTATGCTGCGATCGCAATACCAACAATTGGAAACACCCAGGGCAAAGGCTGCAGCCACGGCACAGCCTCCTAGGCGAAAACCTTCGAAGGCAGCGAAAAGTGCCCCAGTAGCGGTAACAAAGAACGACCCAGCAAAACGCAAGAAGGTCGAGAAAGCCACGAAGCCCAAACCTCCACCCCGAGAACCCACTCCCGAAGAGGAGGAATCAGATGATGGCCTCACCATCGAATATCCGGATGGTGGACCTAGTTCCCAACAATACCAATACAAATCAACGCCTGTAGTTCAACGAGAAGCCAGCGAGGAAGTTAGTGAAGAGGATAGCGATGCTGACGGCGAGGAATACGAAGCGGAGCGAAACCAGGATGTGGATCATCTTAAATTACCAAGTCCTGCGAATAACGGTGGAGGTCTCAGTGATGAGGATATTGAGTTGGATTTGGAAGCGGAATTGGAACAGGCGTTGAAGGAGACAGAGGGCCACGGCGCTGACGAAAGCAGCAGCGAAAGCGAGGAAGAATAAGCCACATTAGAACATTGGGATATCATAACGGATACTTGGGGGGCGTTGGGGGTTTACGGGTTTACCAAAATGGATGCATTAGAATTTCGTTGCGACGGAATAGTCGCACAAATTGACAATTAGAATTTGGTTAAGGTCAGTGGCAGATAATCTCTCTATGACTATACCACATTCTTTGTTTACACTCGGACTTCAGATTTCCCTTTCTTGCTCTTGAATATCGCACAAGATGAACGAAAGGTAAGGATTCCTTTAGTCTCGGCTTGCGTCCCCTTGCACCGGCGGATGCCTCAAGATTATTACGGAAATGGAAATTTGCTTAGCTCTGGCAAAATCACTACGTTTTCAATTTGGGGTCTTATTCCTCACTTGGCCTCGACGTCAAGCCACTACTGAGGTTAGAGACTACCTAAAGCTATACCCAATTTAGCTTCACAATTAGCTATGTAGATGTAGCGCGGATATCTTATCGGCGTTGCGCTTGTTCCTAAACGGGAGGCTTTCAGATGATGTATTGTTGTTGGCAGCCGCCTCCTGTTCTGCTACATATTCCTTGAACTCGCCCATCATAGTTCAAAATTCGTCACATCCCCCAAGGCAAGAAGCAGCTCCGTCAGGATTGTCGGCTAGTTGTTGATATTGGAAGTATAACAATAGACCACTAAACATATCACCCAATCAAGGTTGGGAGAATCTTGGTTAAATTTATCGTTCGTATAAACGGAAATGCTTTACTAAGTACTATGTATAGCGAGTTAAGTCTTTTATTAACCACCACTAAACTACAACTTTCTACGTAGTATAGCCAAGGTCGTCATGGAGCACTCACTACACTACCTAGGTTATTATATCCGATGACGGATCCCGATGACGGATTCCGATTACGGCTTTGTATTCCAGCTCACGTGATTAGCGCCCTCCCGGCGGTAGCCGAGGCAGTGACGCCAACAAGAATAGCTCCTAGGTCCAGATAAATAAAACCTTGTTGCTAACTTCAATTGACTTCTCTCTTTGGGGGTTTTCTAATTAGCATTGACAATTGAGCTCGAAATTCTCAATCATAATTATGTCGGCGCTCAACCGTAGTGTTCGCAGTGTAGCAAACAAAAACCTACGAGTGCCTTTCCCCGCTGGTCTTCAATCGCGAGCGCTTCGGCCTGTTGCCCCTCTCACCACCACATCCCGAGCTTCACCACGCACAACACAAATAGCAGCTTTCAAGCAGTTCTCCACCATGTCACCACTGCAGTCTGGGGCTCCTCCGCCACCTCAAGCGCGGGAATATGACTCTGAGATTAAGGATATTGCGAGCTATGTGCACAATACGCCTGTAAACTCCGAGCTTGCTGTGATAACCCCCCTCACTCTAGACCGGAATGACAATTGCTGATTCTCACCGCCTGCAGTTTGATACGGCACGCTTTGTATTCCTCGATACTCTTGGCTGCGGCCTTGAAGGTCTCCGGTTCAAGGAATGCACGAAACTCTTGGGACCAATTGTCGAGGGAACCGTCGTCCCCAACGGCTCGAAAGTTCCTGGCACACCCTTCCAGCTTGATCCCGTGAATGGCGCTTTTAACATCGGTGCTATGGTCAGATGGCTCGATTATAATGACTGCTGGCTGGCCGCAGAATGGGGTCACCCCTCAGACAACCTTGGTGCCATCTTAGCTGTGGCGGATTGGGTCTCCCGGACAAACCGTGCCGGGGGCAACCTCGGAAACGGGAAGATTGTCACAGTCAAGGATGTGCTAGAGGCTATGATTAAGGCACACGAGATCCAAGGCTGCCTGGCACTCTTAAACTCCTTTAACAAGGTCGGTTTGGATCATGTTGTGCTAGTCAAGGTTGCCAGCGCCGCTGTCGTCTCGAAGATGCTTGGGCTTTCTGAGAAGCAAACTGCAGATGCCGTCTCACAAGCTTGGGTTGATGGCCAGAGCTTAAGAACTTATAGACATTCTCCCAACACCATGTCGAGAAAGTCGTGGGCTGCTGGTGATGCTTGCCAACGCGCCGTGAACCTTGTTTTGAAGGTCATGAAGGGCGAGCCTGGCGTTCCCACTGTGCTCTCTGCACCTGTTTGGGGGTTCTATGACGTTTTATTCAAGGGAAAGAAGTTCGAATTCCAGAGACCTTACGGTAGCTATGTGATGGAGAATGTCCTGTTCAAGGTTTCGTACCCAGGTAAGTCATTCCGTGCCTTTTCTTAATATTTCTAACGATTTATAGCCGAATTCCATTCCCAAACCGCCATTGAGGCCGCAAAGCGGATCCGTAGCAAACTTGTCGAAATGGGCAAGTCTGCGGAAGATATCAAGGGAGTCACATGCCGCACCCACGAAGCCTGCATCCGTATCATCGACAAACAGTTCAAGCCCATGGACAACTTCGCCGACCGTGACCACTGCATCCAATACATGACCGCCGTCATGTTGGTATTTGGCCGTCTTGAAGCAACCGATTACACTGACGGAGGAGAGGCTGCCACCTCCCCGCTTGTCGAATCCCTCCGCCAAAAGATAGCATGTGTAGAGGATCCACAATTCACGCTCGATTATCACAATGAGAATCTGCGCACGATTCCCAACGCGTTGACTGTTACGCTCAATGATGGTACAGTTTTGGAAGAAGTTGTTGTCGATGCCCCACTCGGTCACAAGCTGAGACGTGAGGAAGCGAAGCCCGAGATTCTCGCTAAATATAAGAGGCATCTTGGACCTCATTATAGCGAGGCTAAGGTCAAGGAGTTGGTTGATCTTGGAAATGACCCGAAGAGGCTGGGAGATATGGCCATTGATGAGTATGTCGACTTGTATGTTAGCAAGGATAGTAAGTTCGTGTAGTTCGCTGGATTGGCAAGGCTTCCTCCAACGGTCCGATACCAAATAAAAAGAAAATCATATAGTTAGGATGGTCACCGAGAGAGGCATTGGGAAGTCACCCTAAGTGGTTAGGTCGGTGATAAACCCAACCAGCCACTGCCCGTACCTCCGTTTTATTCAATGAATATATATATCTACTACTGATACTTGACTAATTTATAAGTGTACGTCGCCTAACTGTTTCCCTTTCAAGAGGGCATCTCGTCCAAGGCATACACCCCTCTACTCTTCTCATCTTCTTCGGCTCTACACTTACAACATTTCCCCCTTCACAATCGTGAAAACGAACTCATCTAACGCCAATGCCTCATACACAAACCCGTCGGCCTAATCCAGTCCCACATGCTGCCTGCCTTGAATGCCCTCTGACTCCCATCTTTACGCCTCAGATCCGTAGGATACAAAATAGCTGAAATTAGGACTGTTTCCACCCCTTACAAGCGCATTCGCGACAGTTAACACGTTAGTTTGGCCTATTCCGAGACCGTGTTTATCTTTTCGATTCTTATTGTCAGGGGTTAATTGAGGGCGGAGTTCGAGAGTGTGGTTTGGAATACATGCAGATAATAGCGTGCGCTTCGGCGAAGAACAGAAAACTCGGTCTCGCACGACAGCTTCCCTAGAAAACAGCAGTATGACTTGTCAATTAAATATAAAGAAGAATCATATTCTACCCAAGCTAGGCTACGGATCGAATAATAACAGGAAATACAAGCGACTCTTGTCATGCGAGTCTGCGACTTCAACTGAATGCCATGTTGTTGCGCCATGTAAGACACTATAAGCGTCTGATCGAAGTTGCGATAATAGACACGGGGCACGGCACGGCCGAGTCGAAGGCGCCACCTCCCAATTCAGGTCAGAGAAGTTCTAAGAATATGATCATGTGATCAGCATTTGCCAGCTTGAGCTACCGACGCACTAGGCACACACTGCTCTACAGTTACAAGCTCATATCTTTAACTTCAACTAGCAGCGCGTCTGCTCATTCTGCAATCTCGGGTTCAAGGTCGAAGCCTGACATCCATGAAGCGAACCTGGAAACACTCCCACCCCCCCGAAACGGGCGGTATCATTTCCATTGAGTAAGGCCCTAACCGAGGTAGTATCCAACACTCATACGACCATCGCGCAAACCTTACTTGGCGTCCAAAAGGCTTGACCGATGCAGTTGATCTCTTTACTCGAGTATCGTTGACCTATGCCCAAAACGCCATGGTAACGGCGAACCTAGCTGGCGGTTTCCGGCGGAAGATGGTCCATCCATCCATATGAGTACCAAGATTCTACCGCGGATACTTTATTCGGAAGCGAGCATCTCTACAAAGCTTAATCGATTATACCCGGAGCTGGTACGAAATAAACCGTCGAGGTAGAAAAATGGATCCTGGATGAATTGAATCCTAGTGTCTACCAAGCGGGGCTCGTGCCTAATTAAGAAGCACACGATGAAAATGCGGTGCCAGCGTTTATACCGCCCAATCGACCGGAAGTGATGCTGTCATAGCAAGCTGGTCCGTACGCTCTTGCTCCGAGATGACCATGCTTGTTCTTCGAGTATATTCTACGCTCGTCAGATACGACACTGTGTCTGTACGAAAACTCAAATGCAGTCTTGACACAATCCGACACGACTATCCGTTGAATGAATTGATTGGAGTGTTCCTGGCTAAGTCTAGCTTCGGGGACCGCAGCCGGCTTTAGGCACATCCAGGAGAATGTGAGTGCTTACAAAATCTTCTCTTTTCGCGCTATATAAATAGGTTTGGACATATACGGAAACGATGGAGACTATCAACCCCAAATCGATTACCCTTATGGGTCTAATACCTCATTTTCATAATTGTGTTCAGCTAGGCTAGAGCGAGATCAAACTACGGCGCGTGGCCTCGCGTTAGTTAGTTATCTAGGTAACCATGCCTCGTGTATTTTGGGAGCTACCTAGGTACGCTAGATCTCTCATTCTTATGTTAGTTGCACCGATGAGCTGGCGGCCAACTCAAGTTTCTTGAAGCGGTTATCTTGGACTCATTGGGCCCTTGTTCCCTTGCTCTCATCCGCAAATGGGGCATTTCTATGAAATCTCCGTCGGATAAACGTGTCGGATCAGGGGTTATGGCCAACGAGGAATATGTAGCGGGCCACGGCTCGAGATACCGAGTCTATGGCAGAATTATAATCCGCATTTGCAAGTGCATCATTCCGAAAAGGACAGAAGTCCTGTTCAGGATAGAGATATCGATGATCTGTATTTCGCTCAGTTACACTCCGTTCGCTTACTCAACTAAAATGGGTAGATCTCAAAGTCAAATTCAATTACCACCGGCAAAATGGTTTCAGATAAGGAAATGACTCTCCAGGTCCCATATCAACCAAAGTGCTGTGCCTTGCATATCCAGAAGCTTGAATGTGCCATTGACCGGCACTAAAGTTATAAATATGCCTCATCCCAAAGAATTTTCGTCTTGGTTGCTATCCTCTCGTGATCCCGCCAGAATTCAAGCCAAACCTGTCAAATGGCATCTTCAAGAAAGCTAGGCCTCGCGGCTTCTTTATTGATTGCATCTGCGGCTGCTCAGCAGCCAGGAGCCTACACTCCAGAGGTTCATCCCACGCTTATATCGGAAGAATGCACGACGTCAGGAGGATGCGTCAAAGTCAACACTTCCGTCGTTCTTGACGCCAACTATCGCTGGCTCCATAATGTTGGAGGATACGATAATTGTGCCCCCCAAAGTTTCAACTCAACTATATGCCCAGATGTCGAAACCTGCGCGAAGAACTGCGCATTGGAGGGAGTTGATTATGCCAGCTATGGTATCAAGGCGGAAGGAGATACACTCACCCTCAACCTTTTCAAGACAGAGGGAAATGTAACGTCCATGAGCTCGCCGCGGGTCTATCTACTTGCCAATGATACCGCATATGACATGTTCCAGCTCTTGAACCGGGAAATTACATTCGATGTCGATATCTCCAAGGGTGGTTGCGGTGTCAATGGCGCTCTTTACTTGTCTGAGATGAGCGCTACTGGTGGCGCAAGCGACCTCAATACCGCGGGTGCTGCATATGGCACAGGTTACTGTGACGCTCAATGTCCGAAACAGAAATTTGTAAACGGAAAAGTAAGCTAAGGCGCTCTTCCCCTTTACCAATGCCTAATTCATAGCACGATAGGCTAACCTTTTTCTACTAGGCAAATCTCAACAACACATATGGAGCGTGTTGCAACGAAATGGATCTCTGGGAGGCCAACAACGCAGCGACTGCCTATACTCCCCACCCCTGCAGCATATCTGGTCCTTACCAATGCTCTGATTTGGAGTGCGGCGCCGGAGACAACCGCTATGGAGGTGTCTGCGACGAAGATGGCTGCGACTTCAACCCGTACCGCAACGGCGCCAAGGACTACTACGGTCCGGGCAAAACTGTCGATACCACCAAGAAGTTCACTGTCGTTACCCAGTTCCTAACTTCCGACAATACCACCACTGGGACTCTCAGCGAAATTCGCCGCGTCTACGTCCAGGACGGCAAGGTTATCCAAAATTCAAACACCAATGTCACTGGCCTTGCAGTAGTCAACGCTATGGACGATGAATACTGCACAAACACAAAGGAAGTCTTTGCGGCCACCGACGACTTCAAGAAGAAGGGCGGTATGAAGCAGATGGGAGATGCACTAGGACGGGGAATGGTCCTTGTATTCAGTATTTGGGATGATGCGGGTGGTGGAATGTTGTGGCTCGATAGCACTACTGGGGAGGGGCCAGGATCTGAGAGAGGGCCATGCTCATTGACCAGTGGCAATGCAACGGCTATTATGGAGCAATTCCCTGATGCTGCTGTAACGTTTTCGAATGTCAAGACGGGAGATATTGGGTCGACTTTTGGGAAGAGCGAGTAAAAGGGGCAAATGGGGTTATTATTTGTTCTGGTAAAATCGACTAGGTTATACGAAGATATTGTGAATGGCGAGTAATATATTGTATATATGGGACATGACAGTAATTGTGTTCCCGAGCTATGTGCTGGGCCCTTCAGAAACTGGGACGCAGCCGGAATAGAACGGACTCGATGGCGGACGGACGAATACCCATCCGCATCCCGCCCTTTAGGTCGCACCCGGACTCCATCTCCTTTTGAAGCTCAAGTGCCTATTCAGAATTTGCAGATCGTCCTCGAAATGGATCCGGCAGCCTACAAGTCTATGACGGAAGCAATGAAACGCGTGTTCCCCCAATCGGCAATCGGAAGACAGGAAAATGAACCGTCCGGACAACCGAAGCCGGTAGACACAAATTGGACCGTCTCCAGGCCAGACGTAACAAGAGGGAATCTTACCATGGAGACAGCTCCGGGTGACCCAAGGATGGCTGTAGGATGGAGAGCAGATTCCCGCTCGGCCCCAAGACAGTTGGAGGAGATGCCGTGGATGTCTACCACCCAGCAGCAACCGTTTTTATGGTCCGGCGAGCCCATTGAGAAGAGTGCTGAGGCGTAAGTATACACGTCATGTTCTCCTTGTTAAAATTCGAGTATCAAAACCAACTTAGACCGTTATATTCTGTTCCCCTTGTCTCCATTTGTTTCATTAGACCACGTGTTGGGGTTTAGCTGATTTTAGTAGTACAACCGAGTCTTCGAGTACTCCGGCTTCAACTTACCCGCATCCGGACTTATCTCTTCCTCATCCAAGCCTAAGGCTCGATTTTCGTATGTCTGTCACACTGAATCCTCGGATCTCCGTTGGGCCTACCCCTCTCGGACACCGTAATTGTAAGTAAAGCAAAACCCAAGTGTCTAGGCGTTATCGTTGCTATATCTCGATATAATAGGTGATGTGCCTCCTTTACTCATTTGTATCGTTTTTCCATTGTGAATTTTACAATCTGTAAATCCGTATTATCTTGTTTACTATTCTATTCTATTCATTGAGATCCTAACGTATAAAGGGATTTCGTTCACCGGTGGTACATGGTTCGGGTCCTGGGGATCTGGTATCGTCCTGGTAGGCCAATCAATATATTCCACTTCAAATGACTCGCAACTAAGACTTCAACCACAGCCTGGCGGCCAAGATAGCCAAATCATAATTCCCAATGGCTCGTCATGTGTGGAGACCACGTATCTTCTTCAAACACATGACAACCCACCTGCTCACATTATGATCAAGACCCGTGGCTGGCGGACTGGCCCTCCGGATGTTTTGGCACAGCTCAATGATCCGCGCGTAGCGGATAAGGTCAATCCAAATAGCTATAAATTTCGCCTGTTCATTGATATGGAGACCGGGGATGAGAGATATCGAGATCAGGTTAATTGTGGGATGTGGGTAGGGAGTGGGATGAGAAATGGTACTGAGTTAATTTATGAGTAAGTGAAGTGGCCGCCTCTATTGTTAACATCATTTGCTAAACTTCTAAAGTGCATATCGTTTGTCATAAGAATCATAGTAGTATAAAGATTTCAGAGATGTTTTATATGACTAGAAAAACGGAACGGAAGAGACACTACACTTCCCGTCAATAGCTAGATTTATACAAGTGAATACGTTGGGTACCTGCAACCATAAGCCAACTACACATTACCCACTAATTTTTATGCCATGGTACACGTACGATAGGGCAGTTTCTAAAACCAAATGTTCTTGACCCACTGTAGCATCTGACCCGCGGGCTCGAAGGATCTGCGCCCTTGTAAGTATTGATCATACTACTCCTATTGTAGATAACGGTACAATAAGCCATAAGTTAATATCTCCGCATAATCTATAGTGTTTCCACCATATGTCTTGGACTTATTTCTGTCTTCTCTAAAATCGGTGTACGGCACGGCTTCCCAATGCGCAGTAGCCGTTCATTCAACTATGGGCTCTGATCTCGTTACTGGTATGACCGGAGGCAACTCCTAATTTATATTGCAAAAAAAAGATACATAATACCTCTCACACTATAATCGTAAAATAGTAACCTGGTTAGAATCTTTTTAATTTCATTTCATACAAATTTCATTCAAATATGCCCTTACAACCACTAAAGGCTTCTGAGTACACGAGTGTGCATATAAGTTGCACCAGCAAGCCACTCTAGTAAACTTTAAAAAGAAATGCAACAGTCTAAAGCAAAGGAGTAGTTGTTTTCCACAACCATGATATAACAAAACGCTGCCCTAACTTGCACAATTACAATGATCGTCTTTCGAATTTAAATATCATACCCAATTACCTTTCACACCAATTTCTTCCCCAAAGTTCTATTTATGCAGACCAAGCTTGAGAACGTCTCCACTTCGGCAAGATTGACATTCCAGTTGGCTTACCAGCAGGCCCAGTGCCGGTAGGGAGCCCGATGCTCGCAGTGTTGGTAGCCTTGTCGAGGAACGCAGGGAACTTGCCAGCTGGATTGACACCGAGGACCATTCCAGCTTGACAATGAGACTTAGGCGCTTTCTGAGAGCAGTAGAACCAGAGAGGGCTAGAGACCTCGACTTTGAAGTCGCGGAATATGATGCCGGTCTTGCTCTGGTTATTAAATTGGTTGAAACCAGTATCGAAACCACCTGGGAGCTTAACACATGGGTCGTTGAAGCTGGATTGGGTGACGGTATGGTTGGTGCTGTTAAAGTCAAAGCGGATGATGTCGCCAATAGCAGCGTTGACCTGGTTGTCTCTGTATTTGAGCTGGCCATCGGCGCCAACTATAACCTTATGAATAGCTCCAGTAGAGGTAGGCGGGTTCGTACTGCCCGGTGTTGGTGGGAGAACAGGAGTAGTGGTTGGCGGGACGCCGCTCACAGTCTTGGTAATAGTTATCGTCTTACCGTTGACGATGGTCACATTGATGTTGATAATGATGACTGTGACGGCGACGTTCACTTCGTAGATGGCCACAGTGCAGTCCTTGCTAGTTGCTGGTCCAGTTGGGTAGACCCAGACGGATGTCTTGCTACCATTGTAGTCGACAGAGGTCACTTGGCCGCCCCCTGTAGTAACGTAGGGATATTTGCTTCCACCAGCTTGATGATTAACACCAGATGACACCGGTTGAGAGCTGCCTCCTGCACCTTCAGTAACGGTAACTGTTCGGTAGACTGTGGTGGGTTCTGGATCAGTGCAGACGACCTCTTGTGTGTGATAACCAGCGGAGACGATGCCGAGGAGTCCGCCGAGGGCAGTGATGGTCGAGAATTTCATGATGGGGAAATAACAGTTGAACTGTCGAAACTTGAGACTTTAGCGAATGTGTCAAGGAAATGAGAAATTAGGGGAAAAGTAGAACGAAGATGGAGATTGAACTGAGTGAACTGAGTGAACTGTAAAGGAGATAAGTAGAAGAAGATTGAGGTATGAAGGCCTAGCTATATATAATTATTCTTTGTCGTTTGGCCATCGAAGTTGAACGACCATCATCTATGGCGAGCTGAATGCCCGGATCACCATGGGCCGGCGAGACTCTCCGAGGCTGAGTTTCCGGGGGGAGGTAAACAGTACTGCCATGCCATTTATAGTAAATGTGGATAAGGCTAGCTAGTTAGGATCCTGTGGCACTCAGTTGTGAGTGTAAAGCTTAGTAGAGCGATGATGCCACTAAGGCCAAACAGGAGCTTGATTGGGGAAACTGTTTTTGGGAGAGTTCCCCAAATGGTTCTAATCGAGGACTAGCCACGTTGGTGTAAGCATGATGAGTAGAGTACCCGATAACAATGTCGGCATAAGCGCAGGGTAAGCGCAATTCAGAAGCTGTTGGCTGCTGATTCGCTCAGCTATCAGCATAAACGCCATCTACGAATTTCCCAGCTTATGGCGGACAAGGTACCTACAATACCCGATAGCATATGGCGCTGTAGGGCGGCCGACAATATTCCATACACTTGGACGGAAATCTACAAGCCGCACTAAGATTCCATTGCAGGCCTACAGAGCGGCCGCAGTACGCCACTGACCAGCGGTACTTAGTATGCGTTGGCATGCCAAACCAATTTTGTCAACTTCCAACAGAAATATTTATCGAAGTAGCAGTGCTCATATACTAGTGGTACACTGGTACTTTGAATGATCTTAATAAGTTTCAGGTTCTTCAACAAGAGCGCGAGGAAAGAAATGAGGCATATTCCGAGATGGATGCGAGCCTTGTGGCCATCGATTCCTTAACACTTGTAAGAGCATGGTTCGGTCCTCGGTCCCAAATCCAAACTGCTAACCGCCGCACTTGCGGTCTTGATCTGACCTGCTTTGCTTTTGATCGAGGCTCAAGTGGAGTTGGAGACCCGGAGGTTCTCCTTTCCGAAAATATACAACTAAAAATAGACAAGGAGGCGCAGGACAAGAGATGGGATAGGCACGTGATGGCCGTGCACGTGGAGTTTGAATGCCAAAACGGCCCGAGAATTATCCGAAGCGTTCTCCGAGGCACCGAGAACCTCCGCTCCGACCCCACCAAAGCAACCCGCGAACTTCCCCATTATGACACCGCCAACAAATTGCAACTTATCTGCTCGCCGTCGTCCGCAACGGGATTGTCTATCCCAACTGCAGCTCTAAAGTACGTAAATGTGCCACATAAATACAACATATAATGGCGCTCCAACACGGCAACCCCGCCGACCTCCTCCCTGTCCACTGGAAATCACAGATCACCTCGTGGTTCGCAGAAGATACGCCCTCGTTTGATTATGGCGGTTTTGTTGTCGGCGATAGTGAGCGAACAGCTACTTTGTATGGAAAATCAAAAGGCGTCTTGGCAGGCGTGCCATTCTTCGATGAAATCTTCGCCCAAGCTGGGTGTACTGTGAAATGGCACCTGAAAGAAGGATCGATCGTCGATCCTGGGGCCGAAGGAAAGGCTGCAGTTGCCACTGTTACAGGGCCAGTGCGGAAGCTTTTGCTTGGAGAGCGAGTGGCACTGAATACGCTAAGCAGATGCTCCGGAGTGGCGACGAAATCGAGGACGATGGACGAGCTGGTTAGGAAGGCGGGATATAAGGGCATACTTGCAGGTACGCGGAAGACCACACCGGGATTTAGGTTGGTGGAGAAATACGGGATGATTGTTGGCGGTGTAGATGGCCATCGCCATGATCTATCTAGTATGATTATGCTGAAGGACAACCACATATGGGCCAGAGGCAGCATTACAGAAGCTGTAAATGCTGCGAAGTCTGTAGGTGGCTTTGCACTAAAGATTGAGGTTGAGGTTGATAGTGAGGAGGCAGCTGATGAGGCGATTGCTGCTGGAGCTGATATTATTATGCTGGACAATTTCAATGGAGAGGGTTTGAAGGTTGCTGCAAGAAGTTTAAAGCAACGGTGGGCTGGGAAGCGAGTGTTTCTGCTTGAGTGTAGCGGTGGATTGACATTGGAAAATGTCGCCAGTTATATCAATAATGGTAAGCCCCACGATCAGTTTCTAGTTGATATGTTCACACCGCTTTACAGATATCGATATCATTTCCACCAGTTCAATACATCAAGGGGTACCGCATGTCGACTTCTCGCTCAAAATAGACCATTAGGGGATGCTAGAGCCGTATTAACCCACCATACTCAGAATCTCACAACTACCTTGGCCCGCAATGATGCTCAGTGTTTTAAGTCTAACAGACGACCACCACCACCTTTTTCATCACGCCCTAGGATTTGTCGTAGGTGTTCGCCTTATACGAAGGTGGTCTCTGAGATTTTGTCTTCAAAACTCAACTTATTCAATCCGTTTTATAGTTCCTGTACTTTGTCATTCTTGTTGACCGTCCTGTGCTTATTTAGGACCTAAGAATCTCAAACGGAAGTATGTGTATTTTACAACCCTCATCTAAGTGGCTGCAACTTGCAACTAACAGCTATAAATTCACCCTGTCCCTTATAATATGCCTTGCTGCATCAAACTAAGAATTATGAGTTACGCTGCATTCCTTGCAAGGACGAAGCCTTAACCCACGATTTGATTGATCTCCGCTAGGCCTACGTATAAATAACAAGCCCACCTTCATCATCCTCCCCATTCTCCTCCCACTCGCCCTCGCTCTCGTAATCCGCGGTCCATGCCCCCATCCTGACAACCAATTCGTCACCCGGTAAGTCATTAATGTTGTTACTAACCTTCCAAAACATGGTTGGGCCAACGGGGCCGTGAGGATCCATATCCCTAGAAACTTTTGTAAATAACCAGCTACTCTATTCGATGCAAACAATAAACCAAGGCACCTAATATAACTTTGGAATGCTAGAATAACGTCCTAGCTTTGGAGAATAAAAATCGATATTGAAGAATCCACATATTGGGAAGAGAGGTGCCTCAAGATATCCCGTATATAATGAGTGGCTCATAAGATTACTATCAATCTTTTGAAATTATATCTTGATGCCGTTTTCCTATGTCGGGAGCAAGCGGAAAGAGACATGAAGTGTATAGCAGAGAGAAAAGAGAATTCGCAATCACGTACCTATCAAACCAATGACCCATAACACTACCAGAAGAGCGAGGACCGCCTACTTGAATGCCTTCACTCTTCCATCTCTCTTCCCTGTTTATATTTTATGCGTTAGCTAAATATGCTGTAATCAAAGACCGCAATATTTATCACGCAGCGTACCCATTATAAATCGAATACGTGGTCCACCTAATCTCGCCTTCCGATGTCTGCCTCACCGATCCCCGAATATTGGAGTTCGCATTCGCGTTCTGTGGAATATGGAGAGATCTAGAAGTCCCTTCAAAGTAGACTACGGGGGCGACTTGGCCATCCCCCGAATCAGCCTCTTCAATCTTCGTAACTTGCAATTTCATCATGATAAGACGAATTGATTGGGGTTTATATAGAGACCCACGGGGCTCCTCTGGTAGGATATCATCGTGTCCGAAGTTGTAATGGGATAATTCTTGGTAATCTGCCGGTAAAAAGTTAGAATGTCTGTCCGGAACAAGACGTAAAAGTCCGGTCGTGGACCAATCAGCTGTGTTCTTCATGCACAGCAGTTGAACTTTTCGAAAGACTGTCAATCTAGAGCACCAAGTAATGGATCCCCTATCCTGACTAATTAAATCATAAGCTAATATATTAATCCTCGTAGTCGTTTCCTTATATTGTTCATATCGAACATGTGAATTAAAGAAATAAAATGACGCTTACCTAAGAAGCACACGACCTATATGAGGAATCAGCAAGAAAACTTTACTTTAATTCCTAGAGGTGTACATACGCGTATCCAAGAACCAGTAACATCGTACGGATCATCGGGGTTAGACGGCAAAGAAGCAGTGCCTATTTTCGGAAGTAGGACTGACTTGAAACTATCGACTGAAGCACCTAGCCAAGGGGGTTGCATCACATAATTGTTATGCCCGTGAAGATGATATTGGAGCACTATCATCACCGCCTCCATCTTTTCCCAGTCCACCGTTGCCTGTTGATCAAGAAACGGGCCCCACATGGTTTCGTCAGTATAATTCCGCAGGTCATAGACCATAGAGCAAGCGTATGGGTATGAGCCCGTATATCTGCTTCTACTAGGCGACATAATGAATACGCCATAATGACAGTGGAGTTTGGCGCTTAGTTGTCTTTCTAAAAAGGATACTTGTATGTATGGCTCGGCTCCTATTGCCGCTCTGGCGAAAGTGACAGACCGACATAAGAAAGACTCAATATTATGTTTGCCGATGGGAGAGCTTCCATTGAAGTGATTTGTCAAGAATTGAGTAGTAAGCGAGTCAGGTTGTGGAAGAGCAGTCCGTGTGAGATATAAGCACTTCTGGACTACAAATCTCAGTTTGAGGACCTGAGAAACAGTGAGCATTTGCGTAGTCATAATTCCTTGCCATAGGTAAAAGGAAATGCGCCACCGCTAACCCCCCCTGGAGTCCGAAGAGGATTCGCAATGCATCATTATGTTGCCCACGTTGACTTAATGACGGATTGCGTAAGGAAATATCTTGCCTTTTTTTCGACTGAATGATTTCCTCCGAGAAATCTCCTCAGTCTGACTAATTCCTTTAATTCCTGTTCCCAATCTATATTCGGAGGTCTAGAGATGCCCACTGGCTCGTCCTGGTAATCCCTTAATAACCTTCATATCAAATGGCCAATGAAACTCACCAAATGATTTAACGTTACATTCCTAAAAAGCCTCGAATTCCGCGACACAAACTCATTCAAAGCCCTACAGGTTCTCGAAATAGACAAGACATCCTCTGGATCTACGTCCTTCAGGACATGGTGCAGCAGCTCGGGAGGCAGCGTGGGCAAGGAATGCGGCATCTTAATGAACCACTCAGTCTTTAAAAGTATATTATTTCTTTATAAGTATACGAAGACAAAGTTACAAGTAGGTGTCGAGAGGTTGATCTTAGGACTCCGGATGAGGATATCGAATCTCGGAGTTTACATTATCGCCGCGGTTTGGAGGGGTAGAATCGGACTAGGCCGAGAAATACCCGATCACACGCCCATTTTATTGGACGGAGCAAAGATGATTTACGAAGGAAATTAACAGTTGGCTAAGACGTACAAATCCTTAAAGTATTATTTATAAAGTATTACACTAAGCTTCAACCAACAAAAGACAACCTGTGACGCTACCAAAATACGGAATGGATACAGTTATTAATCCAAAAATCAGAAACCTTTCAGGATGTTTGGACATGTATAACGATATAAAAATATACATATTTTCCACTAAGTTTAAGCAGTTATAATAGTGCTAATTTGCTCCGCTATCTTTTTATAATAGCTCTTAGGGTTATCAGAACCCGCCCCTTCCAGTAAAAGGGCTAGCGCCTGAAATTATTCCACGGGGAAGCACACTATATTTTTCCTTGTCTCAAAGCGAGATGAGCACTAGTCTGGTATAAGCCGGCACGGAGAAGGAAAGATGAGCTGTCTGTAATCCGACATATATAAAACTTGCCTAGAGACCCTCCCCTTAAAAATTTCAACTTGGCATCAATACACACACAGCAAAGCTTACATTTGCTTCAACCGAGAGAGCAATTGCCGGGCCCAATCGCATGTAATAACAAGAAGGCAAAATCTAGCAATCCGTTGTATGCCGATTGATTCCGAGACATCCAACCTCACGAATGAAAGCCTTCGAGTTGTAAGCTCCCGAGATGCGAAATGAAAGGAAGCATACGATGTTTGCTTACCAACAGCCACACATGCGGTTGGGAGAACACATGGCTCGTCTAAGAACCAATGATTTCCACATTTCGTGGACAACAACCAACAATATGCAGCTACTAGGGGTGGGTACTTTCAACTTTTTAAGTCAATCGTACGTTCCTACCGCCAGAATTGACGTACTGAAATTTGAAGACGTTCGGTTTGCTAAAGAAAGGATATAGCCCGGCCCGATTGTCTCTTGCGTACCAATCCCTCAGCCAGCCACTCAGCTGTTATTTTTAGGATACTAGGATTGTAACCATTTGGGTCACCTATCACTTTTTCTGTTTCTTCAACTACTCAACCGCTAAGCCTCTAGTAAAAGCCACAAGTAACCTGGCGAGGGATACTCAAACCTTGGTCGTATAATCAATATTATCGATGTGCGCGTAAAAGCGAGCAAGCAACAAATCGCAACTCTTCTCCTATAGTTTCCACTACAGACAACATATCGCCGGGTTAATATCCAGCCCCAACACTACACCGCAATTCGGGAGCGGTGAGGATTATTATCGTGCATAAACAACAGTATTCCACCCTCAAATTCTGAAGGGTTGGTTGTATTTTATACAAGGTGATGCATGGGTCCACGAGGAAAACGGAACCGGGCGGGAAAGGCAACGCAGACTTCGATGCCCAGGCCATATCGGAGGTTGGAGATCCACATATTGCGTTTTGCGCCCCGAGCCTTCCTTGCGTGTTGTCTGGTGCTCGAGTTTATTGGATGCAAAAATGCCGTTTAGAAGGCGGGAACGCCTGGTCCGACTCGACCCGCAGCCTGCAGTGAGGAGGGCAAGATTCAGCGAATCAAATTGATATCAGATGACCAAAGGACTCCCAAGTGCTGCATTGTAGAAGACGCGGTTTTGCGTGCAGACAGTGGTGTGCTAGACGTGCGTGCGGTGCGTGCGGTGCATTGCATTACTATGCGTGTCGCTGCATTTATCCGCCGATGCTCTGCAATAAGAATATGCATGCAGAAGTAGAATCGATGTTGGCCGCAGATATCGAGATTCCCATGTGATGCATCGTAACGTCAGTGAATCGGTGGTAATGGATAAACTGCACAAGACCTGTATCAGTACATTCTGTGTACGGGCTGGTGCCATTTTCTTGCGAAGCACTTCCCGATCATGATCTTTACCGCCTCTTCCGAGTGAGTTCGTGGGTGTAGGTAAAAAACGCCACAATAACAAAAGAAGTATCTTGCCACCACTCAGTACAGTCCCAAAAAAGGATGTTATACCCAAGATCCCGAGGCCAGGGGCTATGTAAAATCCGTGAACGCGTACGTGGATTTCAGGTAAAGTCGAGAAACCCGCTTGGAGTATTTGACAACATTATCATAGTCCCATTGAACTGAAAATCAATTACCAGCAGCACATCATGCTGCAGAAACAAGCGCTTGGGAGCCATTAGTCCATGAACGGCAAACGGTAGATCCTCTTGACGTCCATGTGGCTCAGAGAGATCAAACTTTCCAAGCTATTTTGGGGCCCAGGTCCATCGTATAGGGGAGGTGGGGTTTAGGCCCTCACATATCCTCTGGGCGCTGCTCGCTTCTTAGGGTTGAAGTAAAAGAGCTGCCCCTAGTCGCTTTGAGGAGCCAGTTTTGGTCGTTCGAGTTCGAGTTCGCGGTATACTCTCATGCCTGCGAAAATTTTCAAGCTCAAGCTTTCTCGGGTCGTTGAAACGTAAAAGGACGGGGTTTCGGAGTCGTTGTACCCTTCGCGGCTTGATGAAGAAATTAAACCTCTTCAAAGATGCCTTGGATATTATAGCGAGTTGACGTGTTAAAAGGTTACTACTTGACGGAGGGTTGACTTGATTCTGGCTCACTGGTGGCTTTGTTCGTAATTGTAATGTTGTGTTACAGGGGGGATCGATCGAGGAAGAGCGGGTAGTGTTGACAGTAGATAAGTCAGATAACGATAGAATCATCTGTCAGATTGGCTGGAATAGATACCTATTCAGCACCTCGATACTATTAATTTCTCCCGAGCTATTTGACATACAGGCAGTACGTATCAACTACCTATTTCACAAAGACCCGTAAATATATACCTGAAAAAATGTGTTAGCTTCAAGGTCTTGGAATATAACTCGATGACTCGAAACTGTACCAAAACATATGCATGCGCAGATACTGGTATGCTGACGCAAGAATTTGGCTACATTCAACTACTTAGCTTAGCTAACCGGATGTAGCCACTTACCAGAAAGCCCGCCGTCGATAAAACGATGTTACCCAGAGAATAGGTTGGCTCATGCCATGATCGCATTACCGGTGATGCGGTAACAACAATACTGAGTAGATTTGCTAGCAATAATGAGCTGTTGTTGATGCATTATGTCGAAAGCCGAATATGAGCCACAGATCCTAGGCACCTACTGTAGCGCCAACACAGCGAATTTGGGCATCGTGAAATTGCGGAAGCGTGCGCTGCGGGCCGGACCCGGGCAATCCTGCAGTGTTGCACAAGTACGTACATGCTGTACAACTCCAAACTCTAGAAAGAGCCGAAGGAGCCGTGGTACATGCGTCTAGACCTTTGAAGGCAAGGTTGCGATATGAAGGAAGGTTTGCTCGTGATGACCGGATAATTCATACTTTCTATTCGGTGTGGATGCCAGCACCATCATGATGAATACAATGTCACATATTTTGCACCACTCCGCATCTGGTACAGTTGCGGTGGGTACGACGTGGGACACCTGAACCCCTATTTCTAGGAACTCGAGCATAAACTCGAGTATCGTCAGAAGTCCGCAATTGTTGCGAGTGAGACTTCGAAGTACAGGCATGATCTCTGGCGGCTCTTGCATCCAAACCATTGTTATTCTGGTCATGTTGTGAAACCCCAATGTTATCTTGGTTATCTAGGCGGCGATCTGAAGATGGTTGTGGTGAGCACTAACGAAGCCCTCTACCAAGTATGGAGGTACTCGAGTACGGAGTAGATTGGTAGTACGTAGTATGTGGACGTTGTGGAGAGGGGTGTGGATGTACGGACCAGGGCAGTGATTGCATTGATGTGGGACCCGTGATGGAGCCAGCCGAAGAAGTGGGTGACGGCGAGGATGCCCCTCGGCCCGCTGCAGGAAGTTTCTTGCCTTTCCCCTTCCCTGTCCAGTATCCTCGACCCTCCCTGTGCTATTGTAGCATCACACCAATGTGTGTCCTTCACCGTCCTAACCATCCAAACCTGCCCAACCTGCCCAACCCCACCCAATGATTTCATTCATACTCGACGGTGCTTCCGGAGCCAACCAACAACTGCCGTTTACAGGTCTGCACTCAATTTTTACTGGCGGGTGTGGCCGGTCTTGGCCTGAGCTGAGGAATGCAACAGGGAATCAACAGGCAGGCTGCATGTTCTAGCAAGGATAGCCCGGCCGGAGGTGTCCAGCTGAATGGCTGCTGGGAACGCTAGAAGCATATTCGACGGGGCGAAAGCAGCCATATGGCCTCCTACTGGTTCCGGATTGAGGAACATGCTGGGGGTTGAGCAGGCTATGGGAGGCGATGAGGCCGTGCAGCAGCCGATCACAGGCCGTGCCGAGGTGCATCATGGGAAGCCCGCTGCCGGGATCCCCTGGCTCCCGGCTACAGCCCCTGCAGCTTCGTCCCGCGCCGCTCTTGCGGGCGGGAATGCAGTATCGCGTACGGGAACGGCTTCGGCTACGCGCATATAGGATTAGTCTCGTGACCTCTTCAAATGGCTTAGTAGGATGAAGCGGTGTGCACGGTCAGCCAATCCCACATGTCCATGTCATGTTGGTGAAAGTCGCCACAGAGGCTATCGGGGGGGGGGGGGGCCTGTGGCGATCAAGGAGCGCTGCTTCAAAAGCGGAATATGTGCAGCGCAGTACAGTAGTACTGTGCAGTACTGTATGTATGTACGGAGCTACAGTACCATCGTGACGTGTGCGAGGTCCCAAGGTTCCCCGTCGTCTAGTTTTGCCGAGTTGTTGTGCGGGAGACGGGGAGATTGCCTGGTTCGCTGCATCGGTAGGACGCAGTCCAACGGCCGTCATGTGCCACACCCCCTGCCTTTCTCGTCCCAAACCATTACACAGTGCTTCGTAGCGCACACCGCGACTCTCCATTCGTGCTGGGTTCTTGGGCCTCCGTCATTTATCTTCCGTTCTCCATTCTCCGTGCTAGGGAAATCCCCCGTCTTAAGATTCATTTCCCTGTGAGGTAGCAGTGGTACAGTACCATACTACGTACTGTACTAGGCCCGGGGGGATAAACTTCTGCGCACAGCGCCCAAAGTCAGCCGCAAGAAAGAGTCCTGACTGTAGCGGGTCGCCTATGCATCATAGGGGCTATACCAACAGTTCGCCTGGGCGTCGTCAAAGAGACCACGCGGCCGTGTTAAATTGTAACGGAGCTGTCGGAGTCGGACAGGTGCAGACAAGAAATTCTCAACATTGGATGCAAGCCTCAAGTAGCTTTCGAGTGATCAATTTAAAGCCGAACCTGTGGATATGGGTTGTGGTCAGGCGGGGTTTCTGCCGGCTTTCCGTTCAGGACTCACGGTTGACTCTCCGAGGGAGGCCTCGCGGGGTTATTAATCGAGTTCCATATCTTTGTCTCCTGTCACAACTCACATTCCCCTACTTAGTAGATGCAGCATACCTGTGTTCTTCTGCTGCTGTCGACGATGGGAACTGGCTGTCGAATAAAGGCCGTGCCGCCATTCCATCCAGCCACTCCCTTGCAGTTGGGTATCAATGGCGCTGAAATGACGCCGAATCTTCTCAAGTGACTTGGAACGGGAATCAATAATGTACGCAAATTCGACACTTGGGCGGCAAAAGCACAAATGATCTCGTTGAACCTGGGCCTGGCGCCACAGTAACTGGGATTCTTTTGTTTCGCCAAGAGCGGCCGGCTATTTTGGATCTTTGGAGGTCACTCGAGTACTCCGTACGGGGATTGTCTTACTGTACCAATATCGTGCTGGAGACCCGTCAACCAGGGTCCGGGGGGATTACATCTCGGGTCGCGCCTCTCGCCTTTGCCCGGCCCGTTGTGGCACGCACGTTTTGATTTTAACCATCGATGGTTGCATACTGTACCCCTCATTATTTTCGTCTTGGGGGTGTGTGGATGATGATGGCAGTTGGCCTAATGGATCCTGGTTAAGTTTGTTCCCCTTCCCTCCACGATGCACCCGGCGGTCAGACCAGCTTTAGATCTTTGTGCAGATTGTGTCGTCTGATAGGGCCTTGACGTCACATCGATTCCTGGTCTTATCCTTTGGTGTGTTGTATGGCCAGCTTAAATTGGTGTTGGTGTGCTCTCAGAGTGTTGAAAACGAATGGACCACGGAAGCAGGTGCATAAGTTACGGGATGCCCGTTCCCCCCCGCTGCAGAGGCCCTTCGTTTGCATTGCAAGGAGATGGAGCTTTGGCAAGCTTGAAACAGGTTAATAGAACAGTGTAGATGTTGTGAGGTGGCACAGGAAAATGAGTTGAGTGGAACAGGAGCAGATACTACTACAAGAAGTAAGAATTACCTCAGAAACCAAGCGAGACAACCGCCAGCTTTTATGCTAACGCATACTCCGTAGTGATACATCGTTGTCAGTATTTCACCTCGAGGGTCATCTATAATTCAGGGATAGCCTGTGTCATTTACAGAGCGAATTTTGCCAGATCAACGACGTGTTTCAGTTCCAAGAGGTTCCTATTGCGAGATCCTGCAGCAATGAAGCTAGGCCCGCCCGGTGCTCTGAACGTAGTTTGGGGTGGGGGTGGAGGCGGAGCCAGCAACACTCGTGGTTGTGCATTGGCATTCTCCCGAGGCGAGGCCCTGCTGGGTGCTGAGACAAGGGCTTAGGTGCTGGCAATAATATTAGTTGATGGACGTGGGACGGTTTCAAAAAACTGTGGGAAGAGGAACTCAAACATGGCATGGCATATGTACGGCCGAAGCCGAATTAAACAAAGATCGGAATTTCGAATCCCCTTTGGTAGTAGGTGCCTGTAGGTAGCGGAGAAGCCTGTTGGTTTCGCAGCCTATAAAATCCAGTGGCCACTCCCGCCATGTCATCGCGGCCCTTCCCCTTGCCGCCTAGTGATTGATTGTCTTTATTCCTGCGGCTCGCCACTTCTTGATGTTTTCCCCGCGGCTAAGGAAAGTCTTGTGCTCAGCTCATCTCAGCTCATCCTGCATCAGGTGCGAAGTACCTATGCCCGACTCAGCGCGATTACTTTGCCGCAGCGATGCCAGGAGAGAGTGAGTGAGACGCGGTCTCTGGCCGTCATGTAGACAACGACGCTGGATATTTTTCTCTGGCGTTAAGTAGCAGTGGCACGTCGCTAATCGTAATTATCTAATAATTGCTTGCCACTGGAAAACGAAGTGCTTAGGGCGGCCGGACCGGGCACGCAGATCTCGTACCTCGGAGCACGGAGCACCAGAAGCCTAAAGGGGACACTGGGCTGGTCCCTGTGCTGTGGAACTGGGAGACGGGCGCTTTCTTGCAGGTCCATTATTGGGCTGTCGCCATCCAGGATCGCTGGAGCTGGTGACGGCCAGGGATCTGTGACCTGGGTCGCGCAAGCAGCCAAACGGCAACGCCAACACCAGCACCACCACTCCTGCAGCAACGGCAGCGTCATCACTACGCAAGGGGGAAGGGAGTATCCCAGAATGGAGAGATCCAGGCGCAAACGCCGATGCAAACGCAGCAAAGCATCAAAGCAGCAGCAGACAGGCGCAGACGCAGACGCAGGCGGATGCAGAAGCAGCAAGTGGCAGCGGCAGCAGCAGAAGCAGCAGATCACCCGCCAGAAGCCAAGCAGCACACACCGAGTGACCAAGAAACTCGAACCGCAAGCCCAGCAATACCTACGTATTGTTGCAGCAATCACCAGCACTGCCCACACGTCTCCGCATTTCGTACGGCGTCTGCCGCATCCGTCGACAACTCTTTGCCTCTCCCCCCCCTTTCTCTCCCTCCTTCCCCCTCTCCTATCCTTATCTATAATTCCATACCCATATCCATAAAGCATCCAATCTAGCTACTCGTGTCGCGGCCCTCCACCGACCACTGCCACTCCCACCAAGCCGCCAAGTTCCAGGACCATCGCAAGCAGAAGGCGAGCCGGCACATGGTCACGGCGATACACTCGAAAGCAGGTCTCTGTGCTCTCATTGATCGAAGCCGCGATCATCTTGGTCGGGTTTCGCGGGCGGACATTGTAGCAACAGAGTTTCGGTAGCTACTGATTGGTTTTTAGCCCCCAGTCGGTCGACTATCGGACAATCACCGGCGGGCGCTGTTCCATTGCCCCTCCATTGTTCGTATCCTCCGGCCAGTTTTTTTTTCTTTCAGCTGCCCTGTGGGTGTCGCTGGATCAGCCGGCGCGTGCCGCTGCGCAGTGCGGGCTGTTCTTCTTTGACGTCGCCATCCTCGGATCCGGAACCTGGAGGTTGGTGTGAAGTATATCTCCCTACGCCGCGCCTGCTCCGGCTGCTTCTGCTGTTGGTGTTGCTGCTGGAGCTTCTTCCTGCGAGTCACATTGGTTGCCGAGAAGTATACTATCGAGGCCGACGCTGCACGGCGGCGTAGAGAGGCAAAGGGCGCCTGGGAGAGAATCAATACTTCGTACTCGAGTACGAAGTAATTGTGGGATAGAGGATAGATAGATTTGTTAGGTGGTGGCTGGTGACGTGGAAGAGGAAGCGGAAGTGGAAGACTGCCCACTTGGTGCTGCACCCGCACCTCGGAACCAGGGCCGTTAAGGCCTCCGCTAAGCACCGAGTCCCTACTCACGTACACTGCACTGCACTGCACCGCACCACAGCGCCCACCACACGCTACAAAGTACGACCTCCAGCGCCTTGCAGCGGCCTCCAGTGGTCTCCAGTGCCTACCACACGCCCGAACACGCCTGAGCAACGCCTGAGCAGCGCCGAACAAACACCACCAACCGCTGTTCCCACCACGGTTCGCACCACCACGCCCGTGCTAATACCCTCACACCCGCCCGCCGTCGCCCGCCCTTATAGCTGCACCCTCTCCCCTCCTCCCTCCTCCCAGGCCCCGAGAGTCAGGCCCCAGACTGCCCGCGACCCAGGCCCGGAACCCAGCACTGAGAACCCAGAACCCCTCCACGGCCGTCCTCCTCACCATCTCATCTTGTCCAACTCCTCCTCGTTCTCCTCCTCCTCGTCCTCGTCCTCCTCCTCGTCCTCGACCGTCTATTTCTGATTCCCCACAATCTCTCCATCGCCTCACCTAGAAGGGTTCTCCCTCCTTCACTCCCGCCCTCACATTCCACACTCACATCTCCACGCATTCATCTCGGTCGGCGCCATAGCATACCACCCTCAGTGTCACCGTCACCATCACCGTTACCGTCACCGTCACCTCGTTGCGACAGCGCCGCCGCCCTCCTCTCGTTGGTTCCGCACCCCTCGATTCGTCCATTGACCGATACGACGACACCAGAGGAGCGCCTTGCAGCGTGTCGCATACTGCATATCTCAATCGCACCGCTCGTCTACCGTGGCCGCAGGAACGAGACCGCCCCGTATCAACTGTAACGGCTCCTATCCGAACCAGGGCGAAAAAGTCACGATCAGCGCCCCCCATCTCCCATCCCACCACCACTTCCACCCGCCCATATTCCGCTCCTTTTTTTGCCCAGCAGGCCAGGCACTATACATACGGAGGTATACCTCGTGCACCTGTTCAGAATCATAGCTTCGAAGGCGCACTTTCAAGGTTCCGATCTAGTGCTTTTGTGTTGGTTGAGACTTGGCTGTAGCACCCCCCATATACGGCGTTACTTGGATCTTGCGATCCAATCCAACCCAGTGCTCGAGAACCTGGAGGGAGTCGCGCGCGGAAAATTAAGCTACCACCGCTATCCTCCAACAAGCAAAGCAGACCAAAGCAGCTCCAGAAAAAGTTCCTAGATTCCTGAAGAAAAAAAGGCGGATCTCAAGACATAGCTTTTCGCGGACGATAGCATCATTGTCACCCCTGCCGGAACCCACGCGAGACTGACCTTCTGGCTTCGCTCTGGCTGGACCTGGAAAACCGCCGCACCGCACCGCACCGTAGATCTAGTGTCGCCGCTCTTATTGGCCAACTGTCACCGTCTGTTCTATCCCCACCGTGAAGGCTACTCACGGCCCCAGCTAGGAGGGGCACGAGGGGGTGGTTCTACGAGGTAGAGACTCGAGACTCGAGACGCCGTCGGGACGTGGACAGTAACAACTGAGCGATCGCGCCCCATTCCGACTTGTTGCGCCGAGTTGCGTGGTGCTGTTTGTTGACTTTAGCATTCAACTCCCAGCCGCGCGAAGCATACGGTGCGGTGACTGCGCTGGCCCACCATCGCATTCTTGTCGTCTCGGAGGGACGCAGCAGAGTCTCGAGCACCATTTCCATTGCCAGTATTATTGGCATCCCGGGGTGAGCCTTACCTGGCCTGTTCTCTTGCGACCCAGCGCCCAGGACCCTGTTCCCTGTTCCCTGTCATTTGCTCAAGAACGCATCACAGCATCAAGCCTGCAATATTTAACTCTGAGCGGGCGCCGGAAGGAAGGCACGATTCGGCCCTTGAGAGGCAGAGGAAACTCAAATTTGCAGTGGGCCAAAGCGGACTCGCCCTTCTTCTCCATTCCACCTCAACCACAAACCAACTTGCTCCGGGCGCTGTTCGCTGCCCGCCATCTGACGGACCACCAGGCCAAGAGGGTATCGTTCACGGTCTGCTAGCCTGCGTACTAATATCGCCGGACCGTCCCCCCCACCACACCACTTTCTCCCACTTGTGCCCTACGCACATCTTATTATCGCACAGCGCTGCCAGGTTCTTTGATCTGCGAGACATCGTACATTAGGAGCGCCGCTGCCCTCCCTCAAAGACATCCTAAGATCTGTCAAACCCACCTCGAGGATTCTCTTCGTGGGCGTTGCCACTGGGTCGTCGGGAAGTCAGGCGCGATCCACCAGGGGGCCGAAGTCTCAAGACCCGCCTCCAGCTACGCAGCGGGGAGACTCCCGTGCTCGCAACGGCTCGGCCACCACTACGATTTATTGTTCTCCTTGCCTTGCGGGAGAAGTGAATCTCAAAATCTTCCCTCGCCGCCTCTTATTCAGCCGCAGCGCGATAGCTGTCTCACACTTTCCTCCAGTCGCCACGGGCCTGAGAAGCCAAGAGCCTATTAGGAAATCAGCTCTCGCCCAGCATCACTCTGCGACCGTCGGAGTCTCCACCCCCAGTCCAACAGCATCATTTGGGATTATACACCTCCATACAAACCCAGCGCTTTAGAAAGAGAGTTGAAAGGCCGTCTACTCTTTCCCTATCCCTGATCTGGCATTTTTCACCGTGGCTATCTTAACTTCAGAAATGTCTTATCAGGATCAGAGCGGCGGTGGGTATCCACCACCGCACGAGAACAACGGCTACCCACCCCGCGAGCAGCGCGAGTCCCAATACCCCCCACCTCCAGGCGAAGAAGATGAACGCGCCAGAGCAGCATACCATCAGCGCGCTGTTTCAAACAGCAGCGGCGTAACATTGCCTCCTATATCGCCTTACGAGCAGCAGTACGCATCGCAACCGAATGGGTACACCCCCGCGTACCAACAAGGCCCATATAGGCCCCCACCCCCTCCGGCAGCGTACCCTAATGACAGAGGCTACCAGCAGGATTATGGCAGAGGTGGCCCTCAGCATATGGCTTTCAGTCAGTCCGCTCCGCGACAACGAACTGCGATCGCATGCAGATATTGCAGGAGACGTAAGGTAAGCGATGCCGTTCCTATTTTGCCACCTCCGACCTTGTTTCAACTGCCATCTCCATCAGCTCACTTACCGGCTTGCTTCAAATTTGCTCCGTCGATGGGACCATGCTGATTTACTTGCAGATTCGATGTTCGGGTTTCGATCAAAATCCTGAGGGTCGTTGCTCAAATTGCCAACGATTTCAGCAAGAATGCATATTCACTCCTGTATCCTCGCAAGCACAGGCGTTTGTTCCTGCCCACACAGTTTTCCCAAGCATGCGCAACATGGCTATCGGTCCTGATGGGCGTCCTCACCCGGTTTATCCACCAGGCCAACTCTTTGGGGCGCATGGACAACCCCTGGGCTCTGTTCCATCCCAACCCCAATCCCAACCGTCCCCCTATGAATATCCGGCACCATCACCGACAGGCTCGTATAGCTCGGCCGACCCAGTGCAATCTTCGCGTTCCCAGGATACTGGATACAACTCCGGCGACCGTGGTCAATCTTCCCGCTCGCAAGAACCAGCTGGATACAATACAGCTGAACGTGGTTCTCCTCCGTACTCTAAGGATCCTACGCGTAAACGGCCTCAGCAGGACGGCCATCCTTCAATTCTGCCTCCTCCGATGCCGAACCAAGCACCGTACGCGCGGTCCGAGAGCGCTAACCGACGCCAGGCTATTGAAGAAGACCTACGCCTTCCGCCTGTAACGCCAACGGGAGGACAAACAGCATCAAACTATTCCCCAGGCTCATCAGCATCGTCGCATTCGAACCTGCAACCACCAGGAGGACTCCCGTCAATGTCGCGTACCCCGCCTCCACGGACAAGCCCTGGTGAAGGAAGGGCAGATCCCATGAGCTTGGGCAACATCATGGAACGAAGACCTGACACCGAAATCGACCGGAGTATGCTAGGTCGGTTAGATCGGAGGGGCTAACAATACCTTTGCGGCCTTTCGTTTGGTGTCCCTTGGATGGAGCAACCCTCCTCGGAGTCTGACATCACAGGCTCGTTTTCCCTCCATATCGCAAGTTTGACAGTTTAAGCCAGGATAGGTATAGTGTACGATGAGGCGGGTTTGTTCATACATAGTCAACGTAAATGGGGCAAAATTTCAGGTGGAATCAAAAAGTTGGAGGACGTGTGTTTTGAGCCGAAGCTGGCTGGCCGAGGAAATTTTCTCGCTCATCCAAACGATGGCGCGGAGGCACCGAATTTCTAGCTTGTGCATACATCAAAGACCGCTTCTTCATACGGCGATGCGAGGAGTCAGCTGGCTGGTCTCTCTCGCGAATTTCCCCACCTCTCTTGTTGCTCACGTTGCCGCGTTTTCTTTGTTACTGTTTTGTTTTCAGAGATATCGCTCTTGTCGGGGCTAGGGGGATGTCTCGCATAAATAATGGTGCTACAGGGAGGATATCTTACTAGGCATTACAGCGGAAGTGGCAGGGCAGGGCAAGGCAAAGGGGGGCGGGGTTTAAAAATATAGATAGACCATGCCTCACGGCACAACATCGGTGTTCGGGGGAGTTGTTACAATGTTTGCTTGTTGCTGCTTTGCTTTGGGGGATTGGTTTGATTACTTTTTGTTCGTCTGGGTGGATGCGATTGTGACTTACTGTAGCTGTATGGGTTCGTGAGGGTGGGGCGGCCGGTTCTGATTTGTTTTACTGTTTGGCTAGCTTGGGGCAGGTATCTTCAAAATACTATTGCCGGGGAGGAGTGGGCAAGGGTCCCCAAGTGAATTGCAAGTAACTGAATTGAAGTTTTATCGTTACACTTTTACTTGAGTTGTGCTTTAAGGCTATGATTAGTTTTCGTCTCTTGCGCCAGCTGCTCGTGTCTCTAAGGGGGGTAAGTGGTCACAGAACTTCCCTCTACACTCCGTCTCCCTATGCCCTCTGGTCTAGTGCTCATCTATTGTTCGGTTTACACTCGTACAGATCATACTTTCACCTAATCACCTAATCGAATAATACATAATACATATATATTAATCCATTAAATCACTTATCATCAAATTTAACTCGATTCACGCAGCACAGTATTCCAAGGCGTTACGCGGACCCCTCCTTAGTCTCCTAGCCCCCACCCAGTCGCTTATAGATCAACCAGCTTAATCACCTACGGATTAGGCAGTTATTGTAGATCTCGGAATTCGCTGCTAGCTAGGCCACCGAGAAATATACGTCCTATAGGGGGGTGTTTGAAGCCCTCCACGGTTTGTTTCGTTTTACAAGCATAGCCTATGTGTAGCAGTTAGGGGGGATGGAGGAAAAAAGGTCTGAGGGTTATTTAGCCATCCATATGTGGAACTAAATATATCCCATGTATTTATACAATAACAAAATTAGCTATCAAACTAAAACTCCATCTAGATTACAGAAACCCAGCTTAGGCAAAAATAAGAAGCTGCAAACAGAAAGCTGGCAAAGGAGAAGAACAAATAGGGCGCTAGATAAGGGTACCATCTATCCATCTACATAAAACCCACGGCACGTATCACATCATTCCCATGTCCGACCCGCCGAGAGGGTCGTATATAGTGTAGGTCCCAAATCTATTGGTCATAGTCGTCGTACTTCCCATGCCACCGCTTACGGTTTCCGTTGTCGTGAACCCCTTGCAGCATTTTACTATGAGGCCCTTTGTGCATGTCAGGGCGCCATAGACAGCTCCTGCCGCTGCACCGGCATTGTAGGAGCATATGTCAAAACCTACGGCAACTAGAATTAATATGAGGGAGATGATTTAGTATTCCAAGGGGATTTGGGGTTGCAACGTGCCTTCGTTATGTGCCATTCGAGCAAATACATATCCGGCAAGGGAATCCCAGCCCAACAGCGTGAAGGCGAAGATATGCGAGTCAGGAGCTGTAATAAGTCAGTCGGTCAGAACTCCATCACTTGTTTTGAACATGAAAACGAGCCAAGATGGAACGCACCCAGCTGGACCCCGGCCATTTCTCCAGCTAAAGGTATCGCGGTGACAATCGCTGCAATGAGCAATCCTCCGGGTACTAGGAATCACCGTAAGCCACGCGCCGTCCCACTGCCCCAGTTCCCCGAATCGACTATCCTACCTTCTCCCAGCGCCAAACTCGAAACTGCACTCGTCACCACGACGCAGATACCAAACGAACTCGCAACCAGCGCTAGAATCAACCACATTCCTAGGTTCATGCCGCCAAATTGCTTGCCAAAGTTGACAAGCGCAAGAATGCCCGACTTCAACAGTCCCGCCAGCGCCCCAAGCCCCACTGCACGCGAGAGATTGACGACATCGTGCGCGGTCTTGGAGTCGGATTGCGAGTTCACGTGGGCGCCGGTCGCGGCGGCAGCTGCGCCAGCTGCGGCATTGAAGCCGATGTCGACGACGGCGAGGATGATGAATAGCGATACTGTGAAGAGTGGAATTGTTAGTGGTTTGGAAGAGCGATTATGGTGAAGGAGGGCGGACTTCGCCAGGTCAACGGCGGCTGGGATATTATTTCCGCTGCAGGAGAGAAACCTAGAGGGCATCAGCGTCAGCTCTTGTTAGTGCCTGGCTGGCTTTGTTGAGAGCTTGCACAATGGTTTGTGAGTATACATACCGTCCATCTTTGAACTAGACTATAGGTACAACCAAAATGCGCGTTTCGGTCTTGAGCTGGCGAATCCTACTCGTACTTGATGATTAGTGAGTCTTCCGGGCGGTCTCGTTGCTTCCTATTATTTATATCTGTAACAAGATGTTACAAAGTCGTCCTACAAGGAGGAGCGTTGGACCCAAGCTATTTGTTGCAACTCCTATGGACGTCCCCGCGAGTGCAGTATATCGTCGTCCTTATGTGCTTTCCTCCACCCATGCAGCGCCCGATATACTCTATTTGCCATGGTATGGAACGTGCATAATGGCGAGGCCCAAGTGGCCCGAAACACTGCATGTTGCCAATCAATGTCACCAGCGCGTGGACTTCTGCATAAAAATGGCTGTGTTCTGGGCCACTCCATCTCCTGAAATCCAATATTTGAGGCTTCAGCCGCATCTTGGCGTGGTTTATGCCTTCTCGAGTATCTTTCGCACCACGAGGTAGAGTCAAGCACTGCCACCTGCGGTGCCTTGCCGCCGTGGCGCAGCGGAGCCTCAATGTCTGTCGACGTATCTCATGTCTCATTTTGTTGTAACAATATTGCGATATAATACTTGGTGGTTTGCTCCATCGCTCGATAGGCCAGGCACGACTAAATCGATGGATGCAGCGCATGTGATATATGACCCTCAGCATCCACTCCCTTAAACCTCTTGGTCCGCAAATTTAGCGCCCAAGGCTAGTCGAGGAGGTATTCGAGTGCCTGTTACTTCGTACGGCGTATAAGACATGAATTCAACGAATGGGACTGCAGTATGCATTATCGAAGCCAATCCCGATGTCAGTGGAACAGGAGTGAGTGAGCCCCTGAATATAATATCACAACCCATCGACTACGACCTAGCTAGGCACTAACTAGCACCTGCAGATTCGAGTATCAATATACGCTCTCGCGTTAGGAGGGCGGATTCTCCAGTTCCTCATTTCTCAAATTGCTCGGCCGGAAGATTGTAGAGAATTTAGAAGCGCCGTGGACAGCGCCCTCGGCGTCCAAGGACTTGCACTTCTATGCACGGCCATCTACCAGACCTTCCGTCATCAACTCACTCTCTTCCATGCCATATGTGTGATTCATCTTCTTGCGCTGCTAGGGATCAGCGTTGTCTCGCAGGGCCAATATCAAGGTGAGTTCTCGGATGCAGACGGTGTGACATACTCATCAAGCATACTGATCCTATGATATTCTCAGGTCTTGGTCCACGGCGGGTCTTCACAATCATAGCCATTACAGTAATATCAGGTGCCGCCTTCGTCGCCTTCAACGCCTATGTATGGGCTACTGCTCCAACCTTCGGCAGCCAACCCGACTGCAACTCCTCCACAGTCTACGTCGTCTTCGGGGTCAGTATCCCCGCCACCGGCCCTGTATTCCGCTGGCTCATCATCGCCACCCTATCCATCATCCCCGTCGGCTTCCTCATCGGGCTCACCTGTGCTGCGCCCTGTATAGGCCTCCTCTGCTACTTAAAGCGCAAGCATGACCTCGGGCCCATGTCGACTTGGGAGACTACGCCCAACCCCAGCCAAGTTGAAAACCCTCGCGTTAGTCAGTGGGTCGGTATGCTTTCAATGGTGGGGTTTAGTATTTATGCTGTTGTTTCGCTGGAGCAAACGATCTCGAGGAATAATATTGGCGAGCAAGAGCGCGAGTGGACGTTTGGGCAGATTCTACCTGTGTTTGTCTTACTGGGTGTTGTGAATGAATTGACTAATATGTTTTTGGCGCATTTGGATAGGAAGGCGGCTGGGGTGGCGACTGCTGGGAGGAGTGGGAATAGGGGCTCGGGGGATAGTGCAAGAGAGGGCACTGAGCTTATTTCTTCTGCATGACCAGGTATTATCTAAGTTGGAGAACATGTTGAAAATATCAAACAGCGGGTTAAGGGGCGTTTGCGTTTGCGTACTTGCCTGGTTTGCCAGTTAGCTTTCGTTGTTACTCCTGCTCAGTTGTTATTCTTACTAGGATGAGGTTGATCCTGCCTATGCTCAGTAAGTTAGGTCCCTACCTCATTAGTATCTGCCATTGTTCTTTCGTCTCCATTTAAGACCTAGATTTCTAGAAAGTGTATCTAAAGCCGCAAGTCACTATTCCATATCCATAAATGAGCACTCCATCAGCTTAGCAATATCATTCAGGCCAGAGCCATTAGCTACTTTGACTCTACTAGGGATGTCCACTCTTCACTCTTCAAGTCCACACTTTGGAACATCAGAGAGGCTTATTCCATACACTGCGATTAATGGCAAAGGGTGATATACTATTTTCATATTGACAATAATGTGCAATGTGACTCTCACACGGACTACCAGACAAAAGCCTGCTGACCGGAATGCTTCACTTCCAAAAAACTCGCATCCAGATGGTAATAGATGCCGTAGAGCGATTTGCTCGCAGTAATGATCTAAAGGAAGATGCCATTGACCTTGATATCGACATTGCAAATTTGCACCATTCAAGTCTCCCAGTAGGGCCAGTACCCTTCCTACCTCGGTCGGAATGGCCAAATTTGAGAACAATCTGTTGAATCTCGTGGGCAGGAACGTAATTCTACAGCATGTGCTTGGTTGTTTGGTAGGTCTAAGGGTATTGAGGAGGAATTGACCGTATTAATATAAAAGCTGTGATAGAACGGCAAAATAGGCGTACGCCACCATTGGCAGCTTATATAACACTAATACTAGTAAAGGGCAATTCGTGCTGTTGGCCAAACTTTCTGGTTGGAAAGAGGCAAATGGAGTGCTGTTTTAGAGAGCAGCATGCTACCATGCTCTTGGCCGTCAAAAGCGAAAAGGGGGGGATGTCACATGACCCACATGCACGCCAACACATCGTTGACTGAATTCCTCCTATTACTCTACGAGTGCCGATACTACTAGCTGTATGGCTATGAAAAGCTAAATTCCACACTCCCAAGAAACCCGAAGCAAAAATAACTTTTTATTTCGGAATTGCCGAAAAAATAAAGTCTGAGTCATTTTGGCAGAGTCTTCATCCGAGGATTCCCCAAGCAGCTGACCAACCCAATCTTCCAACAATATCACAAAGAAATGGAGACAGCCCATTTCGTTTAATTGTCCGAAAAATGGATCATGTCTCCTGCTCCTCAAAAAGTATAAAATAAAATAAAATAAAATGCTATAAAATAAATAAATGCTTGCAAAATGTGTCCATATTGCAGCAAGGGGGGCGGTCCCACCACTAAAAAAATAACCGACCAAAAACGCCCCTCTCTTGAACGAAAAAGAAAAAGAAAAAAAAATTTAACTTGAAGAGAGATAGCAATGACTGGTTTCGATCCAGTGCCCTCCGGGTTATGAGCCCGGCGCGCTTCCGCTGCGCCACATTGCTGGTCTTGGTTGAAGTAAAAATGCCTATTGTAATATATGCCTCCCACTATCAAGGCTTTATTGCAAAAATAGTAAAAGCCCGACGCAGAATTCGCACCAGAAGGAGTGAGAACGAGAAATTTTTTAGTGCATCGGGATGCATCACGGATACTGAAAGATGGCACGAGGATTTCTTGAATAGCTGGCACCAAGAGCACCTTAAATGTTTCCCGATGTGCAATTTCTAATATGCAATTTCTGTAAAGTTGTCGATTTTAATTTATTTATAGATCTTGGAAAAGTTTTCTTCTATAACGATAGGACTGAGATTTCCGGACTAGTAATTGGCACAATTCTTTTATTGTATCATGATTTTATTCTCTTATCGACGGTCGAAATGATGAAGATCGTAAACCAGAGAGGGGAAGTTAGCTTCTTTAAGGTTTGTGGCAAGCATCTGTCGTCCGGTGCATCATCTAAGTTATCTATCGTTTACGTGGAAGTTCGTCAAATCAACCTATAATTAAGCAACTGGAAAGGACTGGGTTTTAATCTTAAATGTAGGCCATCGTAAGAAGCTATGCATACTACCAAATCTGTCGATAGTGAGTCAAATTTACTATCGGGATAATAGCATGTCTTGATTCTCCTATGATATGCTACCGATTTTGGATTATACAGCCATTCTTCTCCCCGGCGTTTGTTGATTCTCCACCTTAGACCCGGCTCCCATACACCTTCTCGAGAAAGTTCCAAAATAATTCATTTTGCTCTGCAAATTTTAACAAACGGCCACTCCAGCCCTCCCAGAGTAACGAACCTGTAAACCCATTAGCCTCCCAATAAATTAGGTAAGAGTTCGGGGATTCTTACGACTTACGGCTGTGGGCGGATGTTCTTAAGCAATGGAACAGCGGGGATGATTGGTCCGCTATGGGCCCGTCGAGGTGCTATCGAACGCGTCCAGGCATTTGGAGGTAGACGCTTGCCTTCAACAACCGAATTCTTTAGGGGGCAGACAACCGGACCGAGGGCTGGCCATTTCTTGGGATCACTAATATCAGTTTCATGAGGGATTGCCGGTTGAGGTTGTTTGGAAATGGCGACTTCCTGTTGAGATCGTTGAGGGGTGTTAGATACTTTGTCGGAAGCTACGTTGGGAGCTGCGTTGGAACCTATCCCGGATTTCACATCCGATTTCCGAAGAGACCCATTGCTTATCGATGAGCTACTGCTAGCTTTTTTGCTGTGGCTTTGGGGTAGGAAATTACCACCATTCTTAGACATTCCATTTTGAAGACCGCCAGTCTGATTATTTGAGAGGTCATCTTGACCATGCTGCTTTGGCGAATGCTTTTGATTCGAGCTGCTGATCGTGATGGGGATATTGCTCGGAGGATAACTTGCCCCAGCCAGCATCCTCTCATTAGTGTCATCCAGCCGAGTCTGGTTGCCTGAGATAGCCTTCGCTGAGGTATTATTTTCGTTGTTGTCTTTGGACTGAACCGGCGTACTAGATTTGCGGCTAGTTTTATGGTCACTCTTCTGGCCATGGTCCTTTTGGGTTTGCATATCTAGGTATGACTCGCTCTCTTTAGCTAATATATTTGTCTTTTGATTCCCCCTATATTCCTTGTTATTACCCTTTCGTTGTCGCTTAGCCGCAGTGCTCTGCCTAGACTTCTGTTGATATGGAGGATTTGCGTGAATATCAGACTTTAAATTCCGGTTTGCAAGCTTAGTAGCCGTCGAATATAAGTTGGTATCTGATTTTGCCGTGGTGATAGTAGACTCTTGGTTGGACAATAAGGTATTAAGGGAGGTCATACTTTTGGCAGAAACCAACTCGTCCACTGGAGAGGGAGTACAATTAGGTGATTTGGAGCGGCCAAAAGTTTCAGTCACAGCTGAAGAAGTAGTCGCCGAGAACGATGAATTCCCACCAGTAGCAGCGGGCACTGAGTGCTTTTTCTTTGGTAGGGCCTTCCGTCCTTTTTGTTTGGGTTCTTGTTCCCGCAGCACGGTGTTGGACTGAGATGGTTCGGACTTCATCAGTTTAAGTTTAACAGGCTCGAGAGTGGCGGCCAATCCGAGTTTGACGTTAGATGGGTGTACGTCGCCTGGTTGGCCTCTCGGCTCATCTAGGTTCATCATTGATCGAGATCTTACAGGGCTCGCGGCTGGCGTAGGTCGGGCTGACCTGCATTCAAAAGAAAAGTTAGTAAAGGCTCATTAGGAGGCGTTTGGGTGATTAAGTACGTGTTCTGCTTAGATGCCCGTCCCTTGATCCTCCATCCTACCGCATTTTGAGGATTCTTTTCGATTTCATTATTCGCAACTGACTTCTGAGGTCTGAAACTAATGTTACCATAGTCAAGGTGTGCGGACGAATTATAACTTACCTCTTGTTTGGAGAATTCCCTTTGATTGACGGCGTATGGGAGGCATATGTTCCTACCCTAGAGCTCCGGTTCTCCGACTTACTGGGTGATTTTGGGGCGCATGGCTGCATCCACCGCCCTTGACCATTGGGCTTCTTGGGAGAAGTTGGGAGGTTCTGAACAGAATTTAGCGGCAACTGCGATGTAAGACGATTCAGGGCGGCCTGATGCTGTGCAAATTCAGACATAGCCGACATCGCTGGTATCGCAATTCCGACATCCGTCGATGGTGAAGCATCTGTGGCCCAGTTCGTGATGGCCGGCGGAGAGAAATTTCGGCCACTAGATTGAGCGTAAGATAGAGGTTGATTCTGGCCTGTGTGGCGACGGGGAGGTGGGCGATATGCATCAAACTCCCGTGGGGGGTGGATTGAGCGACTGGATCCATAGCTCCGTTGACTGAACTGACTATCCGCGCGCTCTCTCTTTCTCGGACGCGAGGGACTGACTATAAGCACATCTCCCGATTCCATTCGGAATCCATGCAAACGCCAAATAGCATTGTTCACAGATTCCAATTGTGAGTACCTGCCAAATCTATTAGTTACTTTAATTTAGATTTGGCAAACAGAACTTACGCAACGAATGCAGTTTTGCTAGGCGGATTCCGGTTCAAGTAAGTAATTGACTCAACCTCTCCACATCGCTCCATCACTCGATGCAATTCATGCGAGACGAATGCTTCGCGGGTTACGTTCCCAACGTATACTGTCCGGGGGTATTGTTCGTCAAAGTTCGGATATTTTGTATCGCCAGTGTAGAAGTATGTTGATGTACCTTTATAGGAAATGCGAGCTCTGGGATCATTTGCGAATGGGATATCTAACGGTACCAATGAGTCCTCGGAGTGTTGAGGTTCACGGGGGCCCCCCACTGTGGCTGTGACCTTCGAAGAAGATGGCGCAAACGAGCGTCTTCCTTGCGTATCCATAGACTCTAGAACTCTAGCATCGTTGAATATATTTCGAAATTTAGAGCTACTAGAGCATGAACTAATGCGGCGCGAAAACCGGTCTCCAGACGACGAGATTTGGGAATGTCCGGTATGGACCCAAATAGGTTCCTCACTCTTCGGTGATTTTGACGGACTCGGGCGCGCGGTATTAGACACTGTTCTTCGTCCACTCTGCGAGGCAGGGAAGAAATTAGACTTCGATAACCCGGAACCGCTACGAGGGATGTCGGACATTCCTCGAGGCCTGTTCGGTGCGCGGATATTCCCATTACTCAAAGAGGGCCAACGAGGTCTATTCGGCGCCTGAAAATTTCCATTATTCAGCGAGATCCCTCGGGGTCTATTCGGCCCTTGAAAATTTCCAATGTTGTTGCACCCCCCTCTATTTTGGTTCGATGAGTGACTGATAGCCCCACCTAGCTGGTGTTGATTCTGAAGTGAAGTGTTATATGCTGGGGAACGCGGATGAGACGGATGTAGTTCGTCTATAATAATATTAGCACGGTCTCCCAATAAGGGGATGAACGTTACCAGAAGCGACAGGAGACAAGATAGGTGCCAGAGAGGCCTTGGTACCATGAGAGCCATTGGAACCATGATAGATGCCTTGCTGGTGGCCAAACATCGGACTTGGAGGTAGATAGCTGGCGGCCATATCGGGAGAGCATTCGAGAACCGGATACAATGGTTGTACGCGGCGTGGTCGGAAGGTGTCCTCAAGCAGTATACGGCGATGCTGCTCCAAGGCAACTCCCAACGACTGAATCTCATCCCTGGTCATGGTATCCAAGCCTTCCAACTCCTCTGGTAGAAAGAGATCAATGAGGTCTTGGGCTGGAGGGCTGCGTAAGACTTGCTCCTTGTGATAGCTAATCCATTCTGCGGCATATTTGAAAATCTCATTCGCAAAGGAAGCTGCCAGATACTGGTTCTTCCTCGAAATTTCGGATATAACGTAGAAACAAAACACTGCGCCGTCAGCATAGAGGTCATAGCCATCAAAGAATTGATAGAGATCCTCCCATTTAGTAGGGGTAGTCATCGACCGTGCGATGGTGGGAAACTTCTCTCTGAGAATCTCAGCTTTCTGGATGACATCTGAATTGAAGTTTGATCGGACGATGGGGGGAGGGAGTGATTTTTCAAGTGTGCGTTTTGGGAGCAGTCCGTTGAGTGTAGAGAAGATGGCCTGAGATGAGAAAGGGACCTGATAGAAGTTCATCGGCATCTCGCTATAGCTTCCTGAAGGCGGAGCTGGAGTGGCCAATGGAGGTTGCTCCGATGGAATTGAGATCATGTTGGCGGGGTAGTAAAAGCTCATTGCTCCTTTGACAACGTGGAAGATCCTTGTGGATCTTCTTCTTTGGATTTATGTGGAAGTGTTGTATGTCTTGGATTTGTGGCGAGGTACTGCTGTCGGTGATGTCGTTTCAAAGGTGAGAGTGAACGGGGAGGTGGAAGCTGGAAGCGATGTGCACAAGGTGCACAAGAGGCAGGAGTCTTGAGAGGTGAACAACGAAGTGTCTAATGCGGGATCGAACACCTCGTTACAGTGTAATAAGGATCTATACCCTCTGGTGTTTGTCGCGTGTGATTGGGTTGAAGGTAAAACAGGCGGAGAAGCATTGACAGGACAAGACTTCACTGCAGCAAAGAACACCAGGAAACAAGGTGTGGTTGATACCAGTGTGTTGTCAAAGAAGCAGATAGGAAGTGATGAAAGTCAGAGTGCGTGTGAAGAAGAGAAACGTAGTTGGCAAGAGTCGATGTGGAGAGGGAAAGAAGGATGGAAAGGGAGGAGGAAGCGGTGATATAAAGGCAGATCGAATCAAGCTGCGCACAATTCACCTAAAGGAAGGCGCGACACAGGCGAAAGTAACAACAACAAATTCACTTTTGCGTGGTCAGTTATCTCTGCTCTGCTCTGCTTGCCTTGCCCACCTTGGCCAACCTGTAACTTTGGGTTGGAGATGTGCATCTACGTGGAGCACATTCTGGCTGTGCAAATAAGATAGTAATTTCAAACTTGCAGCAATATCTTAACCATCCGATCAAGAATCATTTGGCTCTTGTGGCACTTTGGACCCACAAGCTCCTTGGAAGATTATAGGACGTAAATTCCATAAAGCTGGAACCCGTTATATCTGTCTGTGGGGTCCCTCCTGATATTTCATTGTCTAAAGCGACTGCAGGCCCATTTTCGGGATGCTTGGGAGCAAATTCCACAGTTACTTGAAAGCAGAGTCTAGTGCGATGCTGACTCCTTAATATGTGAGGGATCTACCCATTACTACAAGGAAGGCTTGGTTCATTGAGGGCTGAACTTCCCAACTGCATTTTTATCCCAAAAGACCTACTTGGGTTGATGACCACATAGAAGAAATGGCGAATACGACGCATTTGCAAGAATTTAAACAAGGGGTTCTGCATTATGATGGTATTGTGAAGAACCATCCCATTAACATACCAGTAGTAGTACTGGCCTCACTCGACGCTGTCGCAAAAATTCCAAAATCAAACCTATTTTTTCCCAAGTCCCTCTATCATTTTCAAGATCTCTGACTCATTGTCCCCAGTGACAGCTCTTCCGTGTTCCCAATCAACAGTCTGATGGTATGTCAGTTACATCCCCAATGGGTCAAGGGCGGAAATGGCAACATACAACAGGTCTTTGGAAGCTTTCCGGATCCTCCTTGAGTTTTTTCATGGCATCGACTTGCGTCCTCGCACCCTTGACTATCATAGGTATTTTGGAGGGCTCGAGATATTGAATGATGCTTTCGAGCTGGTCGGGAGTAGGAGGCTCCTCAGTCACGTCGAGTTGGAATTCGCTTCTTTCTAGCCGGGTCTGGGCTGAATGGTCGCTTGCTTGGTCTTCAGTCGCTGTGGTGCCAGACATTGCGGACGCCTGTTTTAGGAGTGAATGTACCCTTATGGAAGCTGGCAAGGCTGGTTTGTGGAAGAGGGTAATAACATCGAGAGTTTTGTGCTAGAACCCAGAAGAGAGTGGTTAGCGGAAATACTAATGGATTAAGCCCATCCAATCGATATAATTCAAAGGATACCTCAAGAGATGAATTCTTGATAGAGACTCACAAATCGAAACATCTTGCCGGCAGGAATATCCGAGTTGTGGTGATAAAGGGTAATGTGAAGAAGAGAACAGGAAGAGGAAGTTGTTTATTTCGGATGCGATCGACGTTATGACGTTAAGACTTATTACTCGTACTCGTACGACGTCTAACGCTACCCACGCTACTAATCCGCATGCTCGTACCTTATTTTCGCAGCCACACTGTGGCTGCCATATTGACAGTTCGCTTTCACCTTCGTTGCCCGGAGAGATCGCGTAATAAATTTATACTTCCAAAGCTCTCCATCTACGAAGCAGTCAACGTGTGTGCTGGAAGTTTGGAACAACCCCAGTCCTCCCTGGCCCCATGCTACGACGGTATACGCCGCAGCAATTTAATACCCGTCTCCCTTGCGTCACGCTCTTGAACATTCTAGCTAGCCACCTTCGACCATTCGACCATTTGCCATAATGCCGCCATTGATATTACACAACGTCCCAGATGAGGAACTGTATGTTGGCGAAGACGGCATACAAAGACCGTATGCGATGCTGTTTCCTGGGTAGGCCACCTTCCGCGTGCATTGGTGAACTGATTTTCTGACTCTGGCAGCAATGACGGCAATCCCTCAGTACCGCGGCCGCGGAGAACCGTAGCAGAGACTGGATCATTTGGGAAATCAACAAGGAGATCGCGATCAAGAACTGGAACGCCGGCGGCCAAACGTGAAGATCCAACTCTGGTAGCCGCCGATGCCATCTTCTCGAACTTCCTGACCAGCAGAGCGACCGCTGCGCCCGAACCACAGCGCAATCCCTCATTACCTTCATCGGCCTCCCAGCCTAATCTATCGGCGTCAGGGGCCCTGACATCCGCCGAAGGCAACACAGGCACTACTGCGAGATATGTCCATAAAGAGCCTACAGAAGTCATCTTACGAGGCTTCAAAGGTACCCATCAGTACGCAGCGATAAGAGAGTATGAGCGAATTGGCGGACGAATATGTGAAGACTACCCGAGACATCCTCCACTAGAACAGCGTCGGTACAAGTCCGACTTGAGAGATCCAGCCACCCTCCGGACACATCCCATGACGGCGGAAGAGAAGGCGAAAGCGATGAGATTTGCCGGCGGCGAGCATTGGATAAAAGTGACATTCGACTCGACTGAGGGAGCGGAAGCAGCTGTTGATGCCTCCCCACAAACCGTATTAGGACATGTAGTCTACGCTGAACTCTATCGAGGCGTCCCTCCCACCTCTGATGAAGCGATCACAGTAGGAGGGTCAAGCCGCGCCGCGCAGACTGTAGGCACAGCTGCAGGTCAGCATGGACTGTTTGGGCCACCTCGACAATCCCATACTCTCCCACGGTCCTTCACAACACCGGCAATGAGCCAAGTCGGACGGGAGGCTTCCGTCACTTCCCCCACAAACTCCAATACATCCTCTGACACCGTCGAAACCGGTACCTTATCGGCCGGAACTACATCTTCAGGGACCGTCATTGGCCAACCAACGTCCCAATCTGCGGTCCAACCCACCCCTCAACCCCAGATGTCCCAGGTCTTCTGCCAACGTATCCCAACCGCCAGGAGAGCGAAACTCCTCCCAGCGGAAGAAGCGCTCTTACCTCAAAAGTCATCTTGGCAGAGAATAATGGCGCAAGTACCATTCTTGAGCTGGTTCAGTGGGGAGGTTATTGGGAGCCAGGTACCGAGAAAAGAGACTGGAGAGTTCGACTGGGACAGAGCTAGTATGTATTGGAGAACTGTTTATTGGTTAGATATGTGCACCGGGTGGTTCGATCTTGTAGCTGGCGAGAAGGAGGATTGAGCCGAAAGCTTACGCAAGTAGTATTTGCCGTGTTAAGTAAAGGTAAAAGGCAGAGCAGACGACGAGGGCACTAAGAAAGGAGATGTGTACTTTGATTAAAGTGGTGGTCAAGTTGAAGCCTGGCGTTTGGAGGGCAGTTTAATGGGCGTTTTCCGCAATATGATGGGAGCAATGGATGATCACATACATTTCAATATGTACAGTTATGTGGCCCACTGCAGATAATAGATACCCAATTAGTCGATGTTATGGAGCCGAAAACTCTTCCATGCCATTTGCGAACTCTCTCAAGAATTTCTCAGAACGCAATACTTGTACACGATTCAGTACAGTCTACTTCGTAAATTCAAGGGTATACAAAAACTATAGAAATACAAATTCCAACACCGTTATCTTGTCACTTCTTATACACATCGATATTCATTAATCAGACACTGCCCCATCATCCGTAACGCTCCAACGCCGTTGGCTACTACTCGTCCCTATTCCCATGGTATTGTCGTCTACATTTATTCGCTGTTCTTCCACAACCATTTCTTGAGACCCATCGCCCAGCTTTCCTCCAGTGGTAGATGGCGATTGTTCGACGCTATGGTGAGCCACACACTGTTCTGGTTCCATATTCCCCTCATCTTGAGGCCCCTCATCGTGCGCTACCGCCGTTCTTGGAGTTAGAGCATCATCCGAATTCTCTGGTGGCTCGTCCGAATCCACGCCCGGCCTCGGTAGGTCCAACGGGTCACAATCTGTAACCCTCTCCATGGGAGGGGGTGAAAAAGGCCTTACACCTCTCGAACGATTTAATACGCCGGTGGAACTAACATTCCAAGTAGTCCCTCCCTCAGAAAATATACTAGTTACGTCTGCGTCCCGGGCAGAAACAGCTCCGGCGAGGCTCTGATAGGGGGTTCCTTCTACGTGGAGGCTATCGCTCCTTGCCTGGCCACTTAATGGAGGGCCCATGCCGCCATCTTGGCCGCTGGATTCAGGGAGAATACTCTTTTGCGGAAGGATGCTGAAGATTTTAGAGTGGTTATTCGCGTGATTTGTCTCGATGTCCGTGTCGTTGGCGAATAAATCTCGTCCACGCTCTAGGAGCTCATCCAGGCCACCACCAGACCAACCCTTCCTCGCCAACGCCTCGAAGATGTCAACCTCCGCTCGAACCAAACCAGCTGTGCATTCGACTATGCCAACACTCATCTCCTGGCCCTCTTGCAATAGCCCCCTCGCATGCGCTCCATGGAGTCCAGTAAGCCCATCAAGTTGCCCCGTAAGCCTCACAAGATACTCCCTCAGCGCACCTACGTCCCTCTTCCGTTTAGACTGCAACCTCGCGCCCTCCTTCTCCATCCTCCTAATCTCACGGCTCATAACCTTCGCCTCCTTCTGATACCGCTCCTCTTCATCCTCCATTCGCCGCCTCCACTGATCTAACTCGCTCAGCAGCGGCACCTCGAAACTCCTATACACGGTTTCACTCAGAATCTGCTGGTGGTTGGCTATAAGCTGGTGGACGCCACTGGCAGCAAGTAAACTGTCGGCCGTACAACTGGAGCCCCCGACTTGTCCGCGGTGTACTGTGAAGCTGTTGGACATGCTTTCCGAAGAAGCGATGGATGGGGAGCGTGCTTCCTTTAGCCGCGCGCAGGCTTCGAGGGCGGAGCCAAAGCTAGAGGCAGAGGAGGATATGGCGGCGAGCGCTAGCCTGTATGCCTTTGCGGAGGATAAGAGGTCAGAGTATGCGGTCTGGGAGGCCTCGAGGTCTGCTTTCGTAAGGACGGAGTGCGGCGGTTGAGGAGGCGGCGCGACTGTAATTGAGGGCATAGGCTGGCTTGTCGAGGCATAGGAATATGTTGGCGACCCTGGGATGGGAGGGAGAGCGCTGGATGATGGTGGGCGGGAATTCGACGTAGTTGCCATGATGGCGGAGCGGGGGGTTCGAGGAAGGCGATGCGCAAAAGCTTTGATCAGGGTCACAATATGTAAACAGAGAATGTAAACGGAGGCCTGCTACAAAATCATTAGGGAACGAGATACGAACGTGGTATCTGATCTCTCAGAGATGGCTCGTGGCTATGAGGTTGGAGGTTGTCCCCTGACGCCTTCAGAAGGCCGCTTATCGGAACATAAACAAAGGCTAAGAAGATAAGAAGCTTTTCGGGTTCCCAACCTCGGTCACTCTATCAACCAATTAATTTGAAACCAACAAGTCTTCGTCTTTGGTCTCGACGTCCTACCTACATCCTAACATCACAATATCAACCAGTTTTGAGCTTTGCCTTTCAACGATTAATCCCGCTGCTTCCCATATTCAATTCCTCGAGAGGTTAACCCGTCGACATGCCTCCACCATCTGCCCTCGTGGTCCCCGCCGTCACGAGGCACACTGCAACGGTTATCATGGCTCATGGGCTGGGAGATAGTGGTGCAGGTAAGCAAATCTCTCTAGAAGACGTAGCTAAAACCTTGGGTTCAAGGCCCTATTTGGAGGTTCTGCGTTGGAGTGTTGAAACTTCTCTCTGGTCAAAGGTCAGGCTTTACTGACCTCCACTGCTAGGCTGGGTATCTTTGGCAGAAAACTGGCGCCGCCGCCAAAAGTTCGACGAGGTTAAATTCGTATTTCCAAACGCGCCCACAATCCCTATTACCGTTAACATGGGCATGCAAATGCCAGGTTGGTACGACATAGTAAGGGCCCATAACTCCGTGCGTTTTGTCATCATGGCACCCTCTACTCATATATCTCCTCCTTACGCAGCCTAGCTAATGGTATTCATATATAGACACAATTCAATGACCTGCAAGACCGCCAAGACGAGGTCGGAATTCTTCGCTCTCGAGAATACTTCCACAGCCTCATCAAAGCCGAAATCGACGCCGGTGTTCCCTCTGAACGCATCGTCCTGGGCGGTTTTAGTCAAGGGGGCGCGATGTCCATCTTCTCTGGTATCACAGCTCCAACCAAACTAGGAGGCATCTTCGGATTAAGCTGTTATTTGCTGCTACATAACAAAATCAAAGACTTCGTAGAGAAGGGAAATCCAAATAAGGACACGCCAATTTTCATGGGCCATGGTGATAGTGATCCCCTTGTGATTCCCGAGTGGGGCAATATGACAGCTGAAATATTGAGGAAAGACGGGTGGAAGGTGGACTTGAAGATGTACAAGGATTTGGAGCATTCGGCGGACCCGGAGGAGATTGATGATGTAGAGAAATATTTGAATGAGAGGATTCCACCGATCGGGGACAGGGCGACGCTATGACTACATAGGGGGTATCGGATAGACAGCTACGTGCCGATCTTGCTCCTGCTAGGTGTACTAGCCATGGGTTTATTGGGGTGTCGTTTGGTTCGGGGTACGCACAAGAAAGCGGTATCAAGGAAGAATAAAAACCATATGCAATGATTAGATGGGATGATATGCAATGAATGGCGCCTAGCAAAAATCCCAACGGCTAGAGAACTGTATAGGTACTTATTTTTTAGATGCCAAACACGAATGTTCATGAATACCCCTAATCCAAAAGCTCATCCTAGCTGCCAATTGTTTCCTAACTTTTAAACTACAAGGTCAAGTACCGCAACATTTCAAAATATGGAAATTAGACAAGTGCTGATCCAGGGTTTTATGGTGCTATGGTGCTACGGTGGTTTTCGATAGGGTGTCTTGTCGAGTTCCAACAAGACACAAGTTTCTCGAATGACTTGGTCTCGTAGACCTTAAGATCTGTAATATCCTAGGGAAGTCAATCAACAGCTAAAACATCATTACATTAGCTTGTAGTATGTTTCTAGGTGTAGAGCCCCGGCATCATGATCAAGTGAGGGCCAAGTCACAAAGAAAGAGCGGCTAGCCCTTATCATAATTGTACCGTTTTTGCATTGATCAGCTATCTTTCAAGATCCCGCAAAAGGCCCATATGCTCATCCATGCGTTGACCCATCCGAACCCACAAAACAAGCAAAATCCAGTCTCCCATGCACAACTCTCTTAACGGGTGTTTGCCTGAACCTTCATTTGCGCACCCTTCGCACCCTGCTTGCTCGTCAATCTTGAATTTTGGCCCTTCGCAGCACCCGCAGCGGTCTTTGCCTTCTCTGCCTTCTTGACACTCTGTGCAGCGGCACGCTTCTCCTTTCCTTCCTTAATCGCCTGAGCGCGCGCGGCAGAGCGGGCCTCGGGGCGCATGCTTCGGCGCTCCTTGATGACATCGAGGGAGGCACCAACGATAGCCCGTTGGGACTTGACGGTACGACGAGAGCGCTTCTTGGCTACCTCCTGTGAGTGGGGAGAGAACATTAGTTAGCATTTGTGTCTTCCCGGGCATGTCTTCTGCCCATTCAACAACATCTGAACTCCTGGCAGAGCGGTTTTGAGGGGGGGGGTTTCTAACCTCAGAGATACCCTTCTTGTGCTGTCTCCGGAAAAGGACGGTCCATGCGATCCGGCGGGGGTTCTTGCGTTGGAGGAAGAGGGATTCGGTTTTGCCATTTTGGAAACGGAAGATCTTGCTGTCGCCACGGACGTAAAGCTTTCCCTATTAAAATAATTCCATCAGCAATCCATTTCTTGAATTTCCAATTAACCCATCTCCATCTCCTTCCCTCGATTCCCGCCTGGACTGTCAAGCAGCCCTTTCATAAGTTGCTGTCCTTGCCATGCGTCGCTCGGGATCAGGAGTAGGTGGTAATTCGTACCTTTCCAGGGTAGATCTTCTCGCCGGAGAAGGTATCGTCGTAGGTACGCATTTTGGTGGTATCCGACGACTGGGACTGTGTTGTTAGTTGAAGAGTTGGGCGTTAAACTGTCGTGATGTTGCCGCCACATTGAAAGTCGCGAATTCCTGTGTGGGAGACGCTATATTTTCGCTTACCGCTTAGAGTTTAGCGCGACCCTAACACCCTGGCCCTCCCCTTTTCCATCTGGGTAGGGAGTCGATATGATATTTTCAGCCTCGTCAAGTTGGGAGGTTATGGATTCTGGTCAGAGCAATAGAAAGCACGATACTTCATAACAGAGAGTATCCGATGTTAGGACCCCTCTGTCCGACAATTCCCCACACTCGGTACGTCGCCCTAGCTTTGACAAGAGTCTATCACGTGATATGCATACATCGACGGTCGAGCAAACCACGGGCATATTTGCTTCCAACGTCGTCATATTCATATTCCTCTAAGACACCTATCCTGAGAAGTTTCCCGTCATCAGCAATGCCTGTCCCTACAAACTTCGGCACCGATTGCTTTCAGGCTTTGGAAGAGGCTTCGGGGACTCCTTGGACGCCACTCTTCAATCATGAATGCTCATTCCCTCCCGAAATATTCAGAGAAGTCATGATGAATTTGATCCGCAATCCCAATATCAACAGCCATCTGCTCTTCCGAGCAGATATATCTCTCAATGTACCCTTCTCCGCAGAAAACTTTCAGCCCCAGTCAAAAATACCTCCTCGAATCACGCATTTCAAGGGCTTCGACCTGAAGACTGTTATAGTCCGCACCATGATCCCAAGAAACGTTCTTCTCGACAAGGCGTTAGATCAGTCATGCTTATACTACGAACGTGTTCGAGATTCGGGTGAAATCGAATCTCTTGTGATATACCTCCCTCACATCTCTTCCGCTGCCGAAACCCCCTTTTACCATCCTGCTGTTCGTGGGATCGCTTTTTTACACAAATATAATCCCGCATCTAAAGAAGGCATCGTTTCAATATATTACTCCTTTTTTGACTCAGAACCCCGATCAGCAAAGCTTGAGCGGACTGCTTTTCATTTGTTAGAGATCCTACACAAGCATGGCAAAGGCAGCAATGCCGGATATGTGAAAAGGGTCCATCATGATGTCGTCTTACCTCAAGCCACGGTCCAAAACACCTATGCGAGGCTGAAGGCAAAATATGGAAAGAGCTTGTGTCAACAATGGGTGGAAACCACAGATCCGACGAAGCATGTCTTCGAGGATCTTGCAATCGCGGCATTCCTGGTCGAGCTTTGGGCCGAGATGTACAAGGGCAAGACTTTCCCTGGCTTTGTGGATATTGGATGTGGTAACGGATTGCTGGTCCATATCCTGCTTGAGGAGGGTTACGCCGGTTGGGGCTTCGATGCACGGGAACGGAAATCTTGGGGAGTTTGGAGTCAGAAGGCGCAAGAGAATTTGAAAGAGCTGATCTTGATTCCCTCTATGTTGCAAACTTCCAAGACAACAAACGCAACAACTGACTCTGGCATCCAAGCCAACGACACTTGCAGCCAAGGAGATACATATCACGGAGTGAGCATCCATGATGGGACTTTTCCAAAAGGGACATTCATTATCTCCAACCATGCGGATGAGCTAACACCATGGACACCTATCCTTGCCAACCTTTCCGAATCTCCATTCATCATGATCCCATGCTGTAGCCATGCGTTAAGTGGTGCCAGATTTCGCGCACCTCCACCCAAAAATGCGGGAGCTTCAAGTTCTGCGTATGCCTCACTCGTTGAATGGGTGTCCAAAATCGCGAAGGATGCTGGATGGGATGTCGAGAAAGAGATGCTGAGGATTCCGAGTACGAGGAACTCTGCGCTGATTGGAAGACGTCGAGTGGTGCCTTTCGAAGATGTAATCATCAAGGAGCTGGTAGATGCGCATGGAGGAGCCGCTGGGTGGGAAGAGAATTCGTTGAAACTTATCAAAAAAGCATCGACAGGGCATTGAAAGCAATCAGAGGCCTAAATATTGCTGAGCCTTCGGTGGCTATTCGCTTCTCGAGAGGATAACTAGCCTTCCTCGCTTCGGGGAAACCCGTTCGGGATTATTATTATCGGAGTTTAATTGAGCTTTGCTTCCCAAGACTTCAAGGTCCATTTGAGTGTCTGCCATCAGCCACTCTCGATGGGAAGGAGATTCAGAAGCCTCGTGTGGTTTACTTGCATTTCTTAGCTGGATTCTTGCATTAGATGAAGGGAATAACTTACTCGACGGCATGTTTGAAATCCGTGTTAGAAGTCGATAAGGATGGATAAAAGCCCACTACCTGTAGTAGAAGTTATTGTTATGGATTGAGGTTGGATGCGAAGCTCTTGATCACGGACGCTACAAGTGCGCGGTAGGCCTGGGATACAGGGCACCGAGGCCTGGAGCAAAGGCCTGGGGATAACAGGGCTTGCCCATATCCCGCTTTGGGTACCCACATTACTGAACCAGACCCCTGGGGCTTGACTCCAGGCTCTGGCTACTGAATTAACGAATGAGGCCTTGCGCAAACTGGGGGTCCAGTTGCTGAGCATGTTTGCAAGAAAGGACCATCGATCCTTTAGGAAGCTTCATAATTTGTGAAATATTGGAGGGAAGGAACTAGGGAGGGTGGGGGGGAAGGAGCTATAGGAAGAACAACAAAGACCTGCAAGCCCGGGACAGCCGGTAGATCTCCTAGCCCAGCTATATCCTCCTATCGTAATAACTTTGCTAATGCTCTATCCAGATTTTCGCTGTATATCAACTTCCCCGTCAACTCTCTGTTTAACAACGGGGTAGTCTCAAATCCATGTTTTTGCTATTATATGTGAATTCTCACAGTTTTCTAATTTAGCTTTAAGCCTGCCACACTTCATCAAGTTTTATGGGGCATTAGTGTGCTTATTTTGCGGCCCGCTCGATAGGTCCAAGTCCAATATTCGGATTACATGCGTCGTCTATGATGCAATTTTCGCATCACGATTAGACAACGCACTTTCATTTTCCATCTATAGGCCCTAAGACATAACGATTGCCTGTAGCCCGGATGGATAGAGGCTTGCGGATAGGCTGTGAGCCCAGCACGGATGGACCGGCCGTGAGACAAGATTCTCACTCAATCTCGATTATTGAAGCTCGTCGAATGCCCTTTTATTAAAATATTTCTATAATTATATATACATTCCGTTGCAGTTGATGAGTCAGTTGCCATCCTCCTCCTAGCCTTGTGTAGTTCCGAAACCAAGGTTTCAATTTGTGACAACCCCCACCAGAAACAAATTTAATTCAACTTCAAGCAATTTCATTATTATTTACATACAAATTCTGCACAGAATGAGCGCTTCCTTTGACGATTTCATCGTAACTGGAATCCATGTTGCCTCACCTCCGGAAATATGATGACCTTTTCGCCGCGTTCCCAGCCACTCCCCTCCTAATGGTCGAAAGTCACGCGACGCTGCCAACAGCCACGTTAAAGTTCCTTTGCGGATCCGTTGGAAGCACTGGAACCGTATCGGTACCATACCAAAGGATTGGATCCGAGGCTGGTTCCAGCATCTCCAACCAATGGCTCCACCAACTTTCGCTTTCGCCTGCCAATATTTGACTGATGGTGGCATAGGCGTTGGCGAGAGTTCCGTACTCGTCCTGAAGAGCAGACGTGTCAGAAGCATCATTCCCATAGAGTTTCTGAGCAAAGGATTGGAGTGCCAAATTGTCGAATATATAGCAGTCAGTGAGCTGCTTGAGTTCGTCCAGCTCAATGATTGCACTGCCCACAATATGGTGGGCATAATTGCTAGCTGCAGTTTTGTCATTCTGCTCGACCTTTTCGATGAGGTGGAGGAGATTGAGCACTTTATGAGCGTGTATTTGACTAGCCTCATGGTATGAATTGCGTTCCTCCTCCCGTTGCTCCGGGCTGCAAACACAGGCGGGTGATTGCTCTGTTCCAGTTGGGCTTTCCGATTGAGGAATTACTGATGAGTCTGCTGGGCTCTCTAGTGATTCTCCTTCAAGGGGGGCAGGTTGTAAAGGAGTAAATTCGGCTGCACTTGGGTCGAAGATATTGCTCCAATGGCTAGACCCCGGCATTGGTGCCATTGAGCTGGACCCAGTAGTTCCCGGTCCTGGGTGAGCAGTGCTCCGGATCGCTAGCTCCAGATTAAGCTCTACCCAGCCTCTATTTGTAATGCCCCAATTGGGACTCTGGGGAGACGGAGAGTTGTGATAAGCTGTGGTTTGGGTGAATACTGGAGGGCTTTCTAACATGTTTCTTCGTCCCGTTGAGGAGTTGTGGGAAGCGGCTCCTGCCATATCTGAGGTTGTCGGTGAAAAGCGTAGCTAGATATTTGTGGGACTGAAGTAATTGTTTTCCAAAAGCGCGAAGAGTACGATGCCTTCGATGAGGTTGAGATATCCAAGTTAGAATTTGCTCGGAGGAGGATGGGGAAAAGCTACAGAGAAAGCCATCTCAGCAGAGCTTAAGGCGCTCGATATATCGAAATCCCTGTGCCCTTACCGTATAGTCTATCGATGAATGGCAATCATGATGAGAGGAAGTCGTCATAACTATTGTAGGCGTGCCCTAGATTTCGGGGTCCAGCAGGTTGGGTAGGCTACCTCGCTGGAGTGTGGGAATCTATCGATGCCCTACAGACTTGGTGTAGACAGCGGCAACACTAGGCTGCTTTGGAGGTCTCAACCCTTCTAGGTAGTCTGCGGGTATCACTGGTGGATTTGGCACATTTAGGGCGAGTAGGGCTACCAATACATGGCATCTTGTCGGACAATACCCTTCCGGAGCGGTGACATTGTTATTTTAACGTCGCGGTTATATTGTTAATAGCTATGGCACGCTTGTGAAGAGTTGAAGTAGTCAAATTGCATTTCATTTGGAACAAGTGAACCAACCCGAGTGCTCCTTCCGTTCCAGATGCTTAACATCTTCCACCCGGTCCTCCCAGTGTTTCCACCCACGTCCAGAGCCCATTCTTGGAATATCGCAAGCCAACAACATTTCAAAATATTTGTACGCAAAGTTGGGTCCGTTTATCCTCATGTAACGGTTTCCCTGTCCGCAGCACACTTCGCCCTATCACCTCAGTGCCTAACCTACCCTCCTAAACGGCTGATACGGCGTCTTTGTATCACGGATAAATTCTCTACTGCCCCTAAAATATATCCTGCAATACTCTTCTTTTTTGCCTTCAATCGAAACTCGGGGTTGCTAATCATGTGCTGTTTACTATCAAATACCGTGATCCCTCCGAGCTAGCATCAAAGTTTAGCTTTGCGCCACTTCGCGTTCCAGGCACTGTCAACGTAAAACTGCATTGGGGCCTGGAGCCTTCGACGTGTCACTACACAGAGACAAGAAATGATTCGATGTTAAACATTTCGCCCTTTTTTTTTATAGCTAAGGCAAAGAATCCAGCATCACGGACTGTCACAAACGCATCGCAGTCGTTGACAGAGAGTTGGATTCGCTCCATACTCGACGAGTGGAGGCTGGGGAGCGACAGGAGGTGTAGTTACTAGAGCTTTAGAACCCCGTTATGCTAGAGTGCCAGTTGAAAAGGTATGTAGTATGAAACGTGCAGTTTCAAAGAATCAATGGGGAGAAATTTATTGTGAACATACCTTATATGACGATTCCATAGCAAAGGGGTACTTAGGTAATTCAGTAACTTCTAACTTTGAGCTTTGTCAAGGTTACGAAATGTTACTTCAACTAATATCTATGTTTCGTGAGTATTATAAACCATGAAAATACTAGAAGTACCAAAGTCGAGGCAAGCATATAGTTAAAGATGATAAATTTAATTCGTAGTACTTTATATGTACAATCGGTTCTAGCACGTGATCGTAATAGCCTGGCTTGGGCCTATATAGCTTTAAACACTTATAACTTAGTCAATTTAAAAGCTATTAATAAGCTAGCTATACCAAAAGAAAGCTCTATTAGTACTTTGTTGCCCCTCCTTTATTTGCAATACAAGCGTTTAATCGACGGGGCATACTATCGTTCAACTTTGTAAGATAATTGCCGTCAATCTTTGGCCACATCTTAGCTAAGGCATCTTCCATATCCCTAATCCCCTTAATCTTATGTCTTATCTTAGCAATCTTATCCTTAATATACTTCTATAGATTCTCAATTGGAGAGAGATCTGGCGATTGAGGTGGCCAATCTAGCGTCTTAATCTTGTGCTTTTCCCAGAACGCTTTAACTATCTTTGCAGTATGCCAAGGAGCGTTATCCTCTTAGATTACTACATCTTTACTATATTTCCGCCTCATCTTTCGATAAAAAGGTAGAAAATAGTCCTTACAGACCTCAATATACCTTTGCGCGGTCATTCTCCCTCCCTTCTCAATTATCACAAGTGGCCCCATCTCATTCCTACAGTAACAAGACCAAACTCCAATAGCTGTACGTCCAGATTTGAATGTAGGCTGTAGGTTTTTATCCAAATACTCCTCTCCAGGGCCCCTTGTCACATATACAACTGTCCCATCTTCGCTAATAACAAAGGTTACCTCGTCCGACCAGCACACCTTATTAAAGTCCCTTCCCCTCTGTTTTTCTTCCTTACACCATTTGTTTCTCTTTTTTTTGTTTTCGGGACGAAGGTAAGGCTTCTTGCGAGGCTTGCGCTTTGCTTTGCCGTAAGATTTGAGGATTTTTCGGACTGTAGTTGTAGAAAGTGTTGTCCCTGACTTGCTAGGCGTTCCTAGGACTTTAAGAGTGTCTTTTGGATAATTGAGTGCATGACGAAGGAGAGCTCTATCGTTCCGGTCGGAGGTTTTTTTGGAAGTACTGAGTCGAGGCTTGCTTTCAAAGCTTGGGTTATTGGTTTTCTTGCAACGGTCGATAAAAGAGGCTATTGTCGAATAAGGGCGAGTAAATCGACTTGCTAAGGAGGTAATCGACTCTCCACTATCATATCTACCCCAAATCTCTGCTCTTTGGATAGGAGATAGTTCCCTTCGAGTTGTTTTGCGTACTCTAGCCATAGCTAAAGTGGTTAAAGTTAGAGTAGGTAAGGGATAAATTCAATTAAGTGGGGTAGCGGGGTAGGTGTAGCCTAGTAACTAAGCCGAAAACGGCTGGAAAGATTACGATCACGTGCTAGAACCGATTGTACCTGTGACATACTTGACTACGTGTACATCACTCCTGTTCTGATATGTATCTTTGGCGACTACTCTACAACCCTGTAGATAACTATGGCAGATGATTAAGACCATAATAGTCGATCCCCACAGCTCGGGTGCAAGGTAGGTATATTTACTTGATAAATTCCAAAAAGTTTTATATGCCTGCTACCAGTAACCCCTAGGTATCTGCTTAACCAAAATATGGCTATGAACATAGCCCGTGAAGGCTTTGCAAAAGTTCAGCCAACTCTACATATTGATTGACGATAGCCAATATTATAAGATCAAGATTAAGAGTTATCAGATGTACAAGTAGTAAATGAAAGAGCCGGAAAACTACAAATAGAAGAGAGTAATTTGACGCTATCGATAAAAAAGATGGCTACGGCATTCAATTCCCGTGAAAATAACAAATAAGATTACGTAGTATGGATATAAAGATAAGGATGATACTGTGTAGTATAGTATAGACATGAAAGCAATATGAATAATATTAAATAGGGTTAGCGCATTGAAAGAAGTAGAATATGGGGCTTCTGCAAAGGATCTCGTCGTCTGCACTATAACGGGGCTACCGTATGCTTCCCGTTCTATTTGCAATGAATAGTCTTAATAAATTTATTTCGGTATCTATAAAAGGCTCTAGAAGTGGTAAATTAAGCCACTTTTTATTAGAGTAAAAAACAACGGATTAAAAGGGGTATATTAAAAAAGAGGAACATCATAGCAAACGAGGATATGTTAGCTTACAAAATGCGGTAGCTTGGAAAATCATTCTCATCACGATTCCTTAGCCCATTGTTTCCCACTCCATAGATTCCCCGTCGTCCACAACCAGTAGTCCCGGCCTTTGATTAACCACACCATGAAGCTGGGCAGCTGGTATCCCATCGCCGCACCAACTCCCTTGCTCTTGCCAATCGGCACCATTTGCGTCTCGCGAGTATCCTCCTTGTATACCCGGTCCTCACCAATGGAGCTTTCCTCCTTCCCAGCACCCAGCAGCAAATCACGTTTAATATTCGCGCCGAGGACGGGAATAGCGTTAAGGATGAGATGGACAGCAGGGCGTGCATAAGATGCCGCATCGCCGACAGCGTAAACACGAGGTCCGGCGTTATCGACACGCAAGGTGGAGGCATTGGTGTCAACACGGCGGTCTGCTGTTAGGAGAGCTTCTGGGATGAAACCGGTGTTTGGCGTCGTGCCGGTTGCGGGGATGTAGAGATCAGCATCCAGCGTCTTCCCATCCTCGAGTGTTAACGTTGTCTTGGTCGAGACGATGTCTGTCCCTGCGCCATGTGGCGTCACGGTCTTGACCCGCGCGTTTTTGACGACAGTCACGCCAACTTTGGCAAGATAATCTTCAGCTGTCTTCGCAATGGCAGGTCGAAGTGCGGGCAAAATATTGGAGCCAGCGGTCACGACAGTAATAGGGACCTTGGGGTTCGCTATCTTCGAGCTGAACCAACCGGCGCGGCCATTCAGGAACTCGCCGAGCTCACCAGCGGTCTCAATGCCCGCCGGACCTCCGCCAGCAATGACAATGCTCTTCGCAGTTGGTAGTGCTTTCCGGAACGCAGCCCAGTTTGTCCGCAGGAATTCGATGTCCCGGTTTAGACCAAGTAGTGGCGAAGGCGTGGATGCGCCAGTAGCGATAACAAGAGCGTAGAAATCGACTTTCTCGGTGTTGCCTGCCGCCGAGCTGACAGAGATAGTTCGGTTGGTATGGTCGAGCTCCGTTGCTGTGCCATGAATGAAGCGGAAGCTGCCCTTGGGGTATTGCTCAAATGCTTTCGGGATGTCGATGAAGAGCTTCACTTGAGGGAACATGCCGTCCGATATCAGCGCACGAGGGCAAGCAGGTCGACACATGGCCTGCGCGGCGGCGCTAACAATAATGACTTGGTACGAGAACGACGCTTTGTCGGGCAGGTTGGGAACAACATGCTTGAGGAGATAGTGGGCAGTAGATACACCGCCATAAGAACCGCCGAGGACGACCAGATTCTTGTTCTTTTGGGATTCCAAAGCAGTGGTGGTGTTCTGCGCCATCTTGACGCTAGAGTCAGAATTGATCGGGATATCAATCGCGGAGCCAAACGAAGGCCAGATAACTGAGAAATGAACGATATGCTTAAAGGTGCTACCTGCCTACCTATGTAACGATTTGACGATGTAGCATCTAGGAATAATAGTGATGGGCGAGTTTGGATCTCGGCCTCGGCCACAAAACGATATGCGAGTGCTCCCGGACGTGAGACTGTCTAACCTGTCTAAGCCGCCGCGTGGAGTGTTCCTACCTTCAGGCCACATACAGCCTCTAATTGATAACTCGGATACTTCGTACATGCTATATAAGAGTACGTCTACGTACAAAGTCGTACAGACTGAACAATGCAATCTCGGCTTTCGGCCCATTGAAAGGCCGAGGCCAAGCGTATAATGCCTTCGTTAGGTAGATAACGCCAAAAGGAATTGATAAATCCAATTTTATTGGTAAAAAATATAAAAAACATACAACAGCAGGTATTCGCTGGTGGTCACCCACCCAACTACTAATCTGCCGATCTGAGGCTTGTGTATGGCAGAGCGGACGGGATGCCCATTTCTCCTCAGTCTATGGTCGTATGTGACAGCTATTTGCTTAAGTTGGTACTTGTACTACTGGACTATGTTGCGCTGACGAACGGACAAGAGTGCCCACCTGCGAAGCATAGCCCGACCAAGGATGGGTCAAATGGATGAAGGCTGACTGCTTGGTGAAGAGACAACAGCATTTGAGATATGATAAAAGGGCTTCAAGTTAAATGAGCAGTGTTAAATAGGCAGTGGCGAGAGTAGAATCGGAATATTTAAAAGGGTAGAAGTATCCCGACTACTTACTGTAACAAGGGAATCACCAGCGAAGGGCTGAAGCTAGATTAGTCAGCGAGGTATGAATTCGAAATGCTCCACCCAACGGAGCTATCGGGCTACATTATTAGAGCAGAGTGATCTAGAAAGCTCCCATAAGTTGGTTCTGAGTGGGTTGTAAGGCGCCGCATGATTTTATTTGTACAAGCAAGCAACCATAGACTACCGAAAAACGACCATGCATGTCCCATTTTTCCGCAGCCCAAACATAGCCTCAGAGTAGAGCGTCAAAACCTTCATATCAAAGCTCCTCACCAGATCCATTGCGCTATGAGAAACCCATTTACTCAACCTTGTCCTCGAAGTTCTGACCCGATACCAAATCGGGGATGTCATCATCATCGTCATCCTTGCCCTCGCCCTCCTGCTTCTCGCCCTGCTCCTTTTGCATCGATTGGTAACTCTCGGCCAGCTTTCGTAGGGATGCGAGGGAGTCGGGACCAAGTTGGTTGAGAATGCCAGGAACAAGCTCGGTGAGTTCCTTGTCCTCGCCGTTGCCGTAGATGGCGAAGGTGTTAGATGGGACAGCAGCATGGACTGGAGTGGAGAGTTAGCCATGCACCTAGAATCAGTATCCATGATGGAACCCGATGTACGGTGTAATTGCGGATCCTATACCTTTGGGAGCTGCGAAATGAATGACGTTTCCATCCTGCTTGAACATGTTGACCTCCTCAATTGCTTGGATGGGCTGGACATTAAGCTTCTTCAGAGATGTTTGCAGCTTCTTGTCGTCCATTCCGGTACTCTTGTGAACCTTCTTGACCTTTCTTCTCGGTGTGCCTTTTCCACTATTCACGCCCTGTCAGCATTTCCGATCTTCCGCAGGCCATCCCATGCCATCCAGTCCTCCCAAAGGCAATATCCGGCCACAAAGGCCTGTTGTAAGATAAATGGCTACGTACCCTAAAAGTCATGCTATGTTAGCTGCGGCTCGGCTGGTTTTCACATCTGCTCTGTAGAAACGGCAGAACAAGCTCCGCAAGGGGGAACAGGCTCGGGACTGCGAAACTCACCAATGCGCACCGACTGCTGCATCTTCTTCAGCTTTTCCATATCCATGATTGCGGTATTGAGGTTGGTCGAGGGGAGATGCGGAGGATGAGGCGAGGGTGAGGTTGAGGCGGAGGAAATGGTAGCACTGCGACCGCGACTGTCAGCAAGACTCAATCAGCACGCCGCTCAGCAGCAGTTGGCGGCGATGGGCAGATGGGCAGCTGGAAAACGTACAAGTATAAATGGCGGATCTCCTAGGTCGTCAATCACGGTGTGATATACTCGGTGGTCGTGATGAAGATGGCGGTGTTGCTCTTTGTGGGCTGCCAAGAGCTTTTCGCATTAGGCGAGACTTTTTTCTGTGGGGAGCAAAGTTTACGGTGGCCGTCAGTGAGTGACCTCCATGTGTTGAGCTCTGTTACGCGCGAGTTCCTACGTCAAGAGCAGGCAAAAGCATCGCCTATGTATTGATTATTATGGGCAACCTGCCTTATGGCTTGCTTAACTAGAGTTCAAATTGGCACTGCCGGTATTCATGTCTGGAGCGTTAAGGCAATTCGGCGTTCCTCGAGGGCAGAGGTACCTCGGAGCTGCAGGCAAATCCTAGGAGCAAAGCCAATCTCAAGCTTTGTACTCCGGAGCTACCTTGTCAATAAACAGTCCTATTAGCAAGCCATCTCGTGGCTGCTCGGTCATAATTTTATAATAATTTTCAACTAGGCAGGCTCTTGGCAGCTAGGTATCAGCGAGAACTTCCTCCCTAATGCATTGCCTACCCAACCCCAATAGGCGCCACTTACCTGGGCACCAGGCACGCAGTACGATATCAGGATCGGGATTGTGGGCCAGAGACACCAGCTGTGACTCACGTGCCTTGGGTCACGTGTAGAATACCACCCCCCGTAATTTGCCAGCCCAGAACCACCGATATAAGAAGACGGATCCCGTGGCTTCGAAGTCAGTCCTATTTTCATGCTCGGTCAGTTATCCTATCCCAAGCTCCAGCAGACACTTTCTTGGTTCATAATTTTTATTGTTCAGTTTCCCCCTTCCCAAGCCCCTCGGCCAGGTACCTCGGAAGCAATCATGAGCGAAGAACCCAAGGGAGTCACACGCTCCTGGCTCCCAAGCCTCAATCTCCCCTTAAATTGGGCGCTGCGTGTTAGAGACCATCATGAGCCCAAGAGAGTTACACGTTTCTGTCTCCCAGGCCTCAATCTCCCCTTAAATTGGACACCGCGTGTTAGAGGCCATCCTGAACCCAACTATGCCGATCGTGGGCTTAAAGTGCCCCCCCTAGGCGAAAGCGATGAACACTTGCTACCGAGCGCCTTGAATGTTCCTGGGGCATATAGGTGAGTATTCTTTTCCAACACCGAGATAAGGCAAAATCGCAGCGGACAGAAAAGGTGGCACTGCACATCTTTGTTACAGGATGTCTCGGAGACTCTGCCTTATCCTCTTGAGCAGAACCGAGGTTTTGAGCAAGTTGATACGTTGCGGAACTTTGTAAATCTAATGTGCCACCCTTTTCTGTTCATCACGGGGAAGAGTGGAGAGATAAAGTTGGATAGACACGGCAGGGGAAATGTTGCCCTAGAAGCTAATGGCAATAGTAAGATGCATTTAACAACGCTGAGGGAGCTTACTATGTTGCACCTGATGGATGAGATCACAGATAAAACGGACTGGGAACTGAAGGTCAGTTGAATCACGTCTAATTCCTGCTGTGTGCTCTACTATGTATCTGTTAGTAGAATAACCAGGCTTTACGTGAAGCGAGTTCTTTTGGGCACTTCCACGGCATGCGTGTTACCTCTTTCCCTTCCCGCCACCCCCAACCATTTGATTACTCCTTACTATGGAGGGCGAGCTTTTCAAGCGAGCTTGGAATACCTTCACAGCGAGAGAATTAGCATTGTCATTAACATATTTCTGTTAACCTGTTCTATCATCTGCATTTGGGACTGCACTACTCTACTACCTTCTTCACCGAAACTCGGGCTTTGGACGATTGTACGCCCAGGGAGCGGGCTTCCATAGGTCTGGCTGCTGCGGCCATAGTCTCCTTATTGTCCTCATAGATGAATGTTTTTAATCCAGAGGTTCGGGTTCCCGCATAGTACGATACCTAACTTCAAACGCTGAACAGGTCTTCGACGACACAATCGCCCAGAAATGGAAGGCAGAGGCTATGTTGGCAGAGGAGCGCGATGTCAGCCAGGGAATGGCTGACTGGGTCATTGAAGAGCTCCGCTATAGGGCTGAATCCTTCAAGGATACTAGTGCTTTTCGAGTTTACACTGGAGATGTTGTGAAGTGCGACACTGCTATCCCCGCACAGCTAAAGGCCAATCTTCAAACCGCGTGTCGAGTGCTTGAAAATGTTCCAAAAAACCATAAAGACTATCACCCTGGGTCAGATGGGAAAGTCCTTGATCTGGTCCATCCATCGCTCTTCCCCCTGATTTATGGCCGCAGTCGCGTGCTTGAGAATACTTTAATAGGGCTGGATGACTGCGTCGAAGCTTGTGGGAAGGGGTCCGTTATCCCCGTTCGTCCACACGACGAAACGGCTCTCGACTATGGAGGCAGACCGGACGGTACCCCGCCCTACAGCAAGAATTTTCAATGGCTGCCGTGCGAAGTTGATATATCTGGTGATAACGGGGCAAGGTATTTATGTTCCAGAAGAACTCCACTTTTGGTGAGATATTCTGATCACCCGTCAGGATTACGAGCTATATCAACAATCTTCATCCTAAAACACACAAAGATCTATATAGCGTCATCGAATCAGTCATCACTCAAACCCTTCCGCTGTGGAACATGACACTCACGCCTCTTGCCAACTCATACGAGCACGGGTGGCCTTCGCCTCGGATTGTTGTTACTGAGCCCCAACGTCTTCTAGATCGAGACGAAATTACGGATGAACACCTGCCTCTGCAAGAAGATGACGAGGATGACGAGGACTATGCTTACAGGCTGGATGAATGGGACAATTCCCCTCATGTAACTACTAAACCTGAGCCTGGCGAGTTTCATGCAGCACCTGTAAGTCAGCAAAATGGTATATACTGACTAGCATTCTAACATGCGTAGCTCGGCTCATATGAAAAAGTGGTGGACCTTAAAGAGAGTTTTGGCCATCGCGGCTTGCAAATAATCGTCAAGCTCGCCAACATTGAGCTTACGCCTGATAACCCGGAGTATGAAGGTGGGGCATGGCACGTCGAGGGACAGCTAGTAAGTAGAAGAATAATCAACCTGTAGCTCAACCCCCAGGCCAACTGATAATCATCAATCAGAACGAACACATCTGCGCAACAGCCCTCTACTACTACTCCAGCTCAAACATAACTCCTAGTCGCCTCGCTTTCCGTCAACGATCGGATGAAGCCGAAGCGGAAGAGATGCCCTACATGCAAAGTGAGCATGAGTGGCTTACGGACATCTACGGTTGCACCAATGATAGCGCGGCTGTTCAGGAAGTTGGTTCAGTTCTCTGCCGCGAAGGCCGTCTGCTCACGTTCCCAAACATTCTTCAACACCGCGTTCACCCTTTCAAGCTCGAGGATCCAACCAGGGATGGCCACAGGAAGATTCTTGCCCTATTCCTTGTAGATCCAAACATACGCATAATCAGTACGGCGAATGTCCCGCCACAGCAGAAACATTGGTGGAGTGAAGTGGTGGATACGGAAATTACTAAGAGCGGAAAAGGGATGGCAGTCTTGAGCAATGAGTTGAAGGAACAAGTGTTTGATGCCGTGGAGGATTTCCCGCTTGGGATGGATGAGGCAAAGGAGTTAAGGCTGCATTTGATGAAGGAGAGGACCCTCTATTCCACACGCCAGCAAGAGAACTTTGAAGCGAACACATTTTCGCTTTGCGAACATTGAGCATCTTCGACTTTGCCAAGGGCTTAGATTCTAAGAATCTAGAGGTTATATCAGTTTAGCATCACAGTGAGCGCTGCTAGAAGTCAACCTAGGAACATTTTCATTGTGCCTTTAATGTCGTAAGGGATATTTTGAAATGGAATAGCAATATCAAATCACTAAAATTTGGTAGAAAAGATATTATACTATCTCAGTCTTCCTGCGAGTAGGTAGTGGAATCAGCTAAAATAATTTAGATTTCCTAAACGCTGATAAGAAGAATAAGGCAGTATCCTCCGAACGAGCCCCTGAAATGCACTGAAGGTCCCCACCCCAATAAGCGAGGAAGCCCTGAAAAGGGGCCAATGACCTCAAGATGACGTAGAGAAAACTCAGAGGAAAATGCGATAACGGAGTACACAGAAGGACGACGATTAATACCACATACCAGCAACAGAGCCTGGTCTGATCAATAGGATGCCAGAGAATAGAAGAAATGGCCTTATTGGAACAGCTCGGATTTCAGTCTTACGTGTGTTAGTGTCGGATTGGCATTGCCTTCTTGGCTCAGCACAGCCCTGGCGGATCTTCCACATGACCCCAAGAGCAAACTACTACCTCCAGCTCCCAATTCACATACGATTGTTAAATGGTTATGGCCAAACAACTTAGGAACAGCAGTTCTGTACGAATCTAATATTTAGCTATTTAGCTATCCTACTGTCATAATGGCAGCAGAACACCAGCCTCAACCCAACCCCCGATCCCATGTAGAGGAGAATGCACCTCCTTCCTACGAGTCCAACTTCTCCTATGATTCAAGAAATCCTACCGAGAGCGACAGAGATGCCACCCAACAGAAAACCAACCTAAACACAACAGCATCGCCTTCGTTATCGCCACTATCGAAAGCAGACGATCCACCAGCCTACAGCTCTCCCCACCACTCTTCCTCTTCCTCTCGAATACCTCTCACCCTGACCCTTGATTTTCCCGCGTGTGCTATTTATTCCTCCAACGACCCAACACAGGCACTTTACAACCTCTCCCAACCGCTCTCCATAAAACCACATGCCATAAAAATCAGCGATGGACGGGGGCAGATTATATACCGAGTTTATGAGTATATGGAACTACCCCACAATTTCCGGTCAAAGAATGTGGGCGCAGCGGTCATTAGCCCCCAGAGGGGGAGCGTGGATGTGGAGAAGTTCATTGTTAGGAGGAAGGCGAAGACGAAGTGGTTGCGGGCTGGCCCATCAGCTGCAACTGGAGGTAGTGAGGGCTGGGAGGTGTGCGGCGAAGAGAAGGAGATTTTAGAGTTTTCTGCGACGCCACAGGTGAGTGGGGGTGGAGATGAGGCCATGAAATGGATGGATTCGGAGCGGAGTCTAGTGGCCGTTGACGTGAGGAAGCAAGCCGCTGGTGGCAACGTTGTGTTGGAATTGGAAATTTTAACCCAACTGAAAAATGAAATCCTGGAGCTCTTGGTTGCGGCATGGGTTTCGAGGGTGTGGAGGGAGGGGCGAGATGACCAGGAGGAAGATTTGAAGCGGAAGAAGGAGGAAATTAAGCAGAGGGAGAGAGAAGTTGGCGGGTTGAAAGGTAGATTGGGAGAAGGTGAGTCCACTCTTCTACACCGTTCTTCCGGGCATCTTTCGCTCGTTGTTACTTGAGTTGAGAGTGGATGAGGGAAGAGCAATTACTCACAGCTTGTTAACTTGTAATACGAGCAGTGAAAGAAGCGCTGGGTATTGGATACGGCATCAAACCTGGGCCGAGAAGTGCTGGTATGTACACGGGTCCTCCGAGTATTGGTGATAACGGCAGGATCAAATGGTCTTGAATCGTAACCGTGCCTAAGGGAAGTTTCTAAAGCAAGATACATGAGAACTTATGATATCATGTCTCATATCCTAATTATACCTTAGAATGAAGCCAGAGACTAGCCTCTCCGAGTAGCTTGAGCGGATTTGCTAATGTGAGTGTTCACTCGACATCATTATTCATATTTAAGTCACTTTTCTACTTATATGTCGTTCATGGTGCCGGGTTTATTTCGCGTCATATATATGGTGCTCGGCATAACCTTGCTCTAGAGAAACAATGTCTAGAAGTTCCCTAGTGAAATCCATCAGCTCCAGGTCAAGTTCCGGCTACAGAGAGTAGGCTCTGATGGAATACGCCCCAATGCCTATTCAACTCGGGCGCAATACCAAGCTGCCTATTTAGGGAGTTTCAAAGCTAGAGGAGTGGTCTTTAAGACACCTATACTCACGGCTCGGCAGCCCATGGCAGGCCACTTCCATTGTATTGTTCCCCGTTCATTCAGTGCAATCACTTCTATATTCCTACACTTACCCCTGCGTCCTTTCTGAATTGGGGCATTTACCATAGAGTTAAGGCACAGGTTACTAGTGAGCCCAAGTAATTTATATATCAAGTCGAGATCAATTCTAACTCGTACAGCAAATCTAACGAAGCAGGGTTCCACGAAGCAGCGCGATGCACCAACAGGACTAAATCATGCAAACCCTCATGCAGTATACAAATAATTCCGCACAAGCTGAACAAACAAACTTAACAAAACACCAATGATAATCCCCACGACTAACGTCCCAGGCTGGCTATTAGCTCTCCTGAGAAACGCCTTTCCGTCTTCAATCCACAGCCACTGTCCGGAATCCCTCCTCGCCGACATAAGTCCAGGAATACCATCCAAGCTCCAAGTATTGTTCATCAGCCGATACTCGGTAACCTCATTTCGCTCAACTTTGTTACTCGCCCAATGGCCTAGGGTGTCACGATCGAGAAATGCTGCCTCATACCCTTTCTCTGTATCGCCCAAGCTACTAGTGGTTAGTTTCGGTACCCCGTACCCACAAGAGGTCTGGACCTTCCAAACATCAAGCATGATAATGGCCCTCGCGGCATCAATCCTCTTCTTTCCCATCTTCCCCAACAGAACCTCGAACTCAGGCGTGTCCCATTCCACCACCCTTCCTGTGCAGAAAAAGCGCATGATGCGCGGCGACGGGCCGAAGGAGCAGAACATGATGGTGCAGCGGCGGTTCTCGTAGATGTGGGAGATTGTTTCGGCTCCTGAGCCAGTCGCGTCCATGTATCCACAGGAGTTTGGGGAGAAGATTGTGAATGTTGAGCTAGGTAGGCCTTTTGGGGAGATGTTGACATGGCGGCCGGCGATCGGGGCGGAGCCGGTAAAGAAGACGGGTTGTTTGAGGGCCCATTCCCCCAGCTCCGGACTGATACTTGGGAAGAATTTGGGCATCTTGGAAGTTCACTGGTAGCTGTGTGGGCAACGGTTGGGTTGAATTCCGAAAATATATTTATATTATTGATTGGGTGAAGTAAGCCGAAGTGTTGAATATCGTGACTTTACCCAGCCCTTTTTGTGGCTGGAATGTTGTGTTTTGCGAGATGCAACCGGCGAACTGGGATTGATGAACCCAGTGACCTCCAGTGACGCTGAATCCGTAGCAATACACTATGGCTACTCACTTAATTGGAACAACGAGTGAGAACCAATGTGCGGGACTCGACGGGATATTGAGTTTCCTCCCCTCGGCATTCAATCCTAAGGTGGGTTGGGCGAAGAACCCAAATAAAGAATTAAAAAGCAGACAGGCCGAGCAAAAACCCCGACTAAGCTGGATGTCCGAACAGCGGTGCCAATCTGCTTTTTGTAGCTTGCAAGTTGCAAGTTGCAAGTTGAGGTTGGAGGATTGGAGATGTATATAATTGTATCTCCCTTCCGCGATGACTCTTCGAAGTTCGAAGTTCGAACGCGGGGTTACTTGGACACAGGACATCCTTGTCCCCGACGTGACCGCCTTATTATTAATTGAGTTGCCCTTCACGGTCTTGCAGGACACGAGTGCCTAGGTAAGTATGTACCTTACGCAGTACCTTAGCTACAGAGCAGAACCCCTTCATTTATACAGATCCTGGGTACACGATCATCACACTGGATAAGCATGATAATTGCCGTCGTTCGGATACATCCGCTCATGCGTCGATGGCGCAGCCGAGTGCGCCGGCCGTCGCGCCACGGGAAACACCGGGGCCGCAGAATAGGTTATCGCAGGTGATGCTGCATACGTGACCGCCGATGGAGCAACTGATACTGTATACGGGGCCGCTGGAGCGCTTCCTCTCTCAGAAAGGGGGGTGAATGGATTCGATGGATTTTTTGGCGGTGCTTGAGGCGCCAGTGCTTGAGCTTGAGATGTTGGGCTTGCTCTGCTGGTGCTGAATCGTCGCTCCTCGCGATAGCTTCGCTCTCCCCTCTCCGTCTCTCTCTCTCTCTCCGCTCTGTCTCCCCTCTCCCTCCGAGATACTTCGCTTCGTCTTGGTGCAGCCGAGTTTGCCACATGTGTGATTGCAGCGCTAGTGCGCTGCCCACCATCCCGTCTCAATCGCTCATTGATCTTGCGCTGCTCCGCCAATTCGTCGTTTAAATCATCAACATCATTCAACAAGTCGTTCCTCTCTCGTTTGAGTAGGCGATTCTCCTTGTTGCTCTCAGACAGGAGACTGTTCCACTGCGCGTTCTTCTCCTCCAATTCGCGGATCCGTTCATTGGCAGCATCAAGCGCCTCGTTCAAGGCTGTGGGATTGTGACGCTGGTTCTGGATTTCCTGCGAGTTGAAGGGCGATTCGTTGGGCGAGGTGCCTAATGATGCTCGGTCCGAGGCGCTAGACGATCCTACGCCCGAGTCCCGGCTTGCCTTGTGAGAATGGCCTTTGGAGTGCGAGTGCGAGGAATGCGACTTTCCTCCCTTCGTCGTGGATGAGTAGTGGACTTTCTTCGGCTTGGGTGAAAACATCGTGATGGGGTGGACCACTGGGCCTAGCTTGTACAGTACGTGGTGATTCCAGATAGGTAGCCCTGGGAAGCGTTAAGGAGCGAAGTATGCACCGCCTAAGTTGGCTGGAATGAGGCTACAGTTCTAGCGTTCAGAACACTGTATCGGTGCCCGATCTGAGCTGGTGACGGCGTGGTCTGCCAATGAATTTGAACCCAAGAGGGATCCAAGGCGTCTAAGAGGAGTATTGCAACCTTGGAGGCTCAATCGGAATCTGCGTATTGTTGGACTCGTGTTCTGCTCTGCTTCGTTGCAAATGCAAGTGGGCACGGCAAGGCTACGAATGAAGGAGGTTCAAGATGGGCAGGAATGGGCGGGAGTAAAATTGGGTATATAAGTGGGAATCCTCCGCTCGGATTTTAAGAAACGAGTTGTCCCTTGTGAATAGCTGAGAAATGTTATAGAGGAATGAGAGATTAGGTTCCAGCCGGGCTGCCTACTTCTATTTACTCAGTCGTGACGACCCTCGACGCCCTCCTTTGGGACATGTGCAAAGCGCAGAGTGCAAATTACAGAGCCGGCTCCTCCTCCTGCTCACCCACACAGCCCACATCACAAAAGAGTCACCGACAACCCCCTTTCGCTCACCCAGGACCGGGGCCGGGGCGAGCCAAGAGAGACCCGACGAACGCAATCGAAAGAAAGCGGCCGCGCAAAGGGAAGAGGAAAGAGGAAAGAGTCATCCTCGTCCCTGTTGTGTGCCCTCTGGTCGTTTTTTCTGTTCTCCGTCACTCCAGCCACACTGTTTCCCCCCCCCTGATTGGCCTGGCGGGCGCAGGCTGCCTGCTCCTGCCTGATTGCCTCCTGCTGGGGCTTCTGGATGGTGCGCCAACCGAGATTTCTGCCTCGAGAAGAGCCTCTGAGAGGTCTTGAGAACCTGTTTCGGGGTGGTATGCGCTTCCTACGATTTGGCGCTTTGCTGGGCGCCGGCCGGCATTATTCTCTTCTCTTCTCTTGCGACAACGGTAAAACATCACACCTGACACGTCATACTCGATACATGCTGGCGACTCTTTAGGCGGTAGTTGTTGGATCGACGTATCTCTAGAAGGCATTGGGGTGCTCATATGCCTCTTCTTTACTGATCATCTAGGCAGCTTTGGTTATCTGGCGGGTAATTACTACGTACTCGAGGAAGTGACTCGATGTTTGTCACTTGCAGCGATTACCTACCTTACCTTTACCTACAGTACATGTAGGTATGTCCTGTCCCAAGGTTGCCCCCCAGTCAGCCCTACGCAGGCCGAGCCACCTTATCTGCGACGACCAAATGGCGCAGACCGGACGCCAACCCACACTGGTTTTTTTTTCTCCTTCTAGCGGGATTCCTACTGAGGCTCTTCATTTCCTCTATGCAAGCAAAAATTTTTCCGGCTAAAATATCGATTTCCCCGAATGCGCAGAAAAGCTTTGAGCAGCGACCAAACAACCGCCGACATACTCCGTATATGCGGGACGGGCCGAGGGGCCGCTTGTTATCTTACCTATCATTTCACCGTCGTCCTCTCGCATGTCAGAAAATAAGGGATGGTGTTTTAGAGGCTAGGTTCATGATAGCGGTGGCCCAGAAGCACAGCAAACTTCATACTATAACGGCATTGTAGATGGCGATGCACAGGCGCAGTGCGTGACCTACTATCGGATCGGCAGTTTGACTACCTGCCTGGTTCGTAGGCTCCGTGCTACAGGGTTAAACTAAACCTTTAAACTCTTTAGTCTTTAAAATGTCCCAAGTGCGGTGCAGAGTAATCGTGACTTTTAGGTAGTCGCATTCCATAAGTTGTAGGTTGGTGTTAGGGCAGGCGGCAGCAACTTCGGGGGTGGGGTTTGGCGGTTTCCAGGCTGCAAAACCGCTATGGGGAGTCACCACTGGAACCTAAGGTACCTAGGTACCTTGCGTAGGTACCTGTCCGAAAAGCAGAGTGTTCGTTAGCAGCAGCGCATATCGCTTTTAGGGGTCGAACGCGGGGTTCAGTCGACCACACTTGCAACAACAGCGAAACCAACTGACAGCTATAATACGTAGAAAGAATATAATGGATTTTATTTAGTTCTCAATACATCAATTTAATTGGTTCTATTCGTGGCAATCGGAGTGCACGCTTATTCTATCCTATGCGTTGGTTTTCAAGCTTTTCTGTTGTGCGACGCTGGTGCTGGCGCTGGCGGTCTAAGTTGGAATGATCAGCAAAAGTCCAGGTATCTGCCAGAGCTTACTTACGTTCTCCTATATTGCCACTGAGGCATTCTCCCTCTTCTAAATCGTCGTACGCTGGTGAGTAGATGCACGTGATGTGGGTTTCTGCAGCAAGACACGCATTCCCTCAATTTCCGATGAGAGCAAGTTAGAGAAATCAGAATATCCTGGAACTCCTAGCCCAAAGTCCAACTCAATATCCTCGCATTCCCCCCCTTTTCAGCCCTCAACACGAAAGCCATGCGTCCTCAGGTACTCCTTCAGATACGCAATGGTGGTATTCTTCTCCTGCAAACTGCGATTCTTCTCCTGCAAACTCCGATCCTTCTCCACAATCCTCCCATTGTGCAAGCGAATCAACTCGTCCCTCTCCTCCAACCTAATCCTCAACACCTCCACCTCGCTAACTTTCTCCTCATACCTCTGCTTGTAAGTATGACTCTCCTCACCAGTCCTCGTAAGGCCCCTCTTCATTAGCCTCAATTTATCCTCCAGCCTCTCGCTCCGCTTCTCCTCCGCATCCAGCAATTCCTCCAACTTTCCTACCTGCGTATCCAGGTTGCCAGTCAGATGGCGACTATTGTGATGTTCGGCGGCTAAACGCTCGTGTTCTCTCCGTAGATTCCACGTCTCGCGCTGCTCGAAGCTGAGACGTGTCTGTAGGCGGCCGATTTCGATTTCCAGGGCCTGAATACGATCTTCTGCCTCGGCGAGCAGTTCACGGGTTGAGTTGCCTCGATCGCCGGATGAAGAGCGCCGAACTACCAGACGTTCCCGTCCGCGGCTGTCACGCTCAATGTAGGTTCCCCGTCTGTTGTTGGCCATTGGACTCATTGTGTTACCCAGTGTGAAACAAGGTAAGGCGGTCCTCAATAATGAGAGGACCAGTAAAAGTAATAAGAATGTGGTAGTGGTAGTGGTATATGCTGTTGCTGAATATACGAATGTGATTTGAGAAGGCTCGTGTAGGTTCGTTGGTGGCAGGTCGATAAATGGTAGGAGCTCAGAAACTAATCTGCAGGTGATGATGATGTGCAGAGACAGGAAGGTATTGGATAGATATGCAGGAGAATGGAGCAAATGGGAGACAGAGAGAAGCATTGGTATATATGTGCGGCTGCCTAGGCGCTGGATGGGCCTCGTTGAAAAGGGCACAAAGCCTTACCCGCTGCACATGATGCAAAGGGACCGTACCAAGACCTAACTTGGTAGAATATTTTCTCGGTGACCATCTAGGCATGGCTGTGCTGCCGGTGTGTGTGAGAAAAGACGACGAGGAAAGTGGCAAAGGAACCTGGTAGCAACACAATAGTCTTGCGAAAAGCCCGCCGTTATTGCATGGAGTTGAGAAGGTGGTGGGAGGTTACGACAATGGCGCGAAGGGTTGGCTGTGTGCCATTCCAACCCCCACGCTCCTTCAACTAAGAATTCACGGGGAAAGTGGCTGGTGACATAGTGGCTGTCAAATGGCTGATTTGCTCCCCTGGACGAGTATCGATGACCGTGGTCTTGGACTAGTTTATGCTTCGTCTAAAACGGGAATCCTACTGATGGAGTAGTCTGGACTCAGGACTCAGGACTGCTCAGAACTGCTCAGCTGTCCATGGGTCCGCTAATTGCCATAGCCTTGCAGGCTGACATTGTAGCTTTCGGACCCCAAGATATATCTTGTTTGTCCCCCGGGCTCAAGTCGACAAGGAAAGCGATCGCGAAAGTCGTACTCGAGGAGGTTGTGTTGGGCTGTGCTACTGTACGATTGTGGAGGAGATGGCATAAAACATGGTTGGTGGTGCACAGTTGAGGAACCGAATTCGGGAAAGCTGCTGGTTCAGCCTCACGCACAGCCACAGCCTTCGCAACGCTAATAGGCCAGTGGCAGATTTCTAACGATCCCCATTCCCTTTTGATACTCTGTACCCAGCATCATCGTGCAGTGTCCAGAAGCTGATGTCAGATGTGGAAATTAATAAAGCCACATGTGGCTCAAATAGCTTATGAATAAAGCCACGGACGGTCCTCGATGTGGCTTGTCAATGCCATGGCCGAGATTTCGGATTCCACCGACGAGATTTTCAATATCGATAAAAGAAAGGCTGACTTTCCACTACCCAAGACCCAAAGGCACAGCATGGAATGTTACAATGGGGGCATAGGTGACGCGCGTACTCTGATTCATAATCCGCAGTAGGTGTATTGTTAAGCAAGGCTGAAGATCTGTGGCTTCGGGGTTGTATCCTGAGGACTACGTTCGGTGCTTCATGCGTTCTTCGAAGTGGTTGAGTCATGTTGGCGAGTGGCCTCCATACTCATATACGAGAGAACACCTTGAGACCAAATTCACGGTCATCCAAGGCTGGCCTCGATCTAATTGGGCACCCAGATCGACGATGCTCCCATATCCCCCTTCGCTGAGGAGTGTAATGGCTTCTTGAAGGAACCATTGACGCAGCAGGGTAGAGTATCATGGGCTAATAAATCCCGTTAGGGAACAAAGTTAACCGTCTCGTTTGCTGCGAGGATTGTTTGACTTCCATCGAAGCCATTTTTGGCCTATTAGGTACTATATGTATTCGATATGCAATTCCTCAACGGTAAAACCGGGTGGTGATCATCTTCAGCAATTGGGCTATCGAGGTACGTGTGACACAAAACCTCATTCGATGGCTGTTAACATAAAACTGTTCGATATGGAAGCGTTTCGTAGTCGTCCAACTGGGGCGCTTGGCTTTAGGTTTTCGTACGAAGGTATGGGGATACCGATGATTTGGCGTCTGCTTGCATAGCATAATAGATAGGGTTGTGCCGACTCTCCGAACCAAGCATAGAGCTTGCATTCTGGCCTTGAGAGAACCCTAATTGAGCTTGAAAAGGCAGATCAAAATCCACAGCTTCTTTTCCACGTCGCAGAACTAAGTAACCAGACGATGTAGTACGCAACCAAGTCTGGATAGGCCAGGATTAGAAGATGTGCCCAAAATACATGAATGCGACGACGGCCTGAGAGATCAAGTCCAATCCACAGCCAGGACCAGTCTGCAAGCCTCGAACGGCGGTGTTGCGATAGTCGACGGGTTCTGGGACCGTCTTCAAGCCGCGGGCGCTAGCAGTTGTGCATAAACGCCATACTGCTGCATCTTTCCAAGGTGTGCTGCATCCTACAGTATTTTATCCCACGCCACTCATTTCCGGTATGTAGGTGCCTTGAGAGCAGCGTCGCTGTTCGATATGGTGAGAATTTCTTCTTCACGCCCTTGAACAAGCCAAGGGTCGCAATGAAAAAAGGAAGCCCGTCAGACGTCCATCAACACCCACCCAGACTCCGCGGCCGAAGCCAGCAGAGAAAAGGCCGAGATCATCGCCACTCTCTATACAGCCAACCGTTGAAAACAGAAGACCGCCATCCTTGCGGACAGTGCGAGAGCAAAAGGCCTCACTCTAGGGCATCGAGGATCGACTCATCGTCCGGGTTGGAGTCTGAGGCTCGTGAGAGAAACTCAGAAGAGGACGTTTACTATAGAAATGATTCTATGCTAGAGGGGTGTTAGCAGATGCGCAAGGATACCAGAGCAAAGCAATGCACTGCAGAGTAGTAGATGCAGAGGCAATTGAAAGTTCGGGGAGGGGAACGTACAAGTAAGATCGTCTGAAGAAAAAAGAGAGGAAGAAGGGAGCGAGACGCAGCTTTTATGTCTCTCGAGGCGACGCTAACGCTAGCGCCCGCCAAACATTTCTTCCTCGCTTAGCCGCAAATTTTCGTGTTTGCGCATCTGTTTGTACATCTGTTTGCCCAAAGTGCAAATCTACGAACTACCTCGGTCCCTGGTACCAAAAATACCTATTTTGTTGCATGTCGCAGTTAGAACAATCTGATGAAAAAAGCCTCTTCTTGCCAGTATTATCAGGCACCCACGGCCGTTGCCCAAGCTGACTCCGTATCGCTCTCATACGAGAACTGATTCCCGTGCAATTTATATAGCCTAGATATGCATTACTTGATAGAGTACGAAGTACCTACCATAATCATAATTCCCATTATTCCATCCGGTCGCCAAGTAAAGATCCTCGTGTCGCATCGTGAAAGATTGTGTTGGCTCACAAAAGTACCCTTTTCTTCTAGCGATAACCTAATATATAGCCAACTAATCCGGTTTACAATCCCTTGAGATCAATCACGTACCTAGGTAGGAACCTACTTCGTACCTATGTGAGGCTTTTATCTGGCTCCGTCTACCTAGGTACCTGCCGTGGGTGTGAGAGACTCACCGTTTTTGATGTATTATTCTGGTTGGTTAACCGCTCTATATCTATATATTCCAATCCGCTTCTGGATATTCCGAAGGATTCGGAATTTCCTAATGGACGCGGACTTGCTCTGCAGTGTCCCACGACGTGTCGCGAGACTGACTCGTATACGAACTATGGTACATCTGGCATCGAGACTTTAAATCTCGAGCACATTACATTCTGGGAATGACTTGAACTCTCGTTATGGGATGCAATGGATATGGATCGAGCAGGCGAGTTGTGCTACATACTAGCTTATTCTTGGACAGTTAAGCAGAAAAGAAATTAATTCCCAAGTCGCCTACTAACAACCAGTGCTCATTTATTTAAAGCAGAAACACCCGTCATAAATAAAATAGCAGCCTGCACAATTTCTTTCACAGTCCGAACTTCCTCGATCGTTCTGGGGGTATAAATCATCAGATACTCATGAGGCATCAGCGACCCAGCAAGTGTGAGTCTTTCTCCCCACTTCCTCAAAATAACCTCCTTGCAATCCACAGGACTCAAGCAAAGATGCATCGAATAGTCACCACTACCAACACCGGTATGGACATGTACAATTTCCCTCTTAACTCTCTTGGCTATGCTGTGTGGAATGGGTATATTGTCGTGAACGAAAACAGCATCGCCTTCCTTCTCCAGCAGGGAAGTTTTCACTGTAACACTTGCAGAATACCGGACAACTAGCTCATCAATAGCTTGTTTGAGAAGCTACTCGAATATCAACCCATGTAAGCAGATTAAACAAGTAGGGAACCAACTTTGTGCATGTCATTTTCGGTCAATTGAGAGATCTGCCTATGTGGCGCGATCCATTTCGCCAGCTGGGGTCGTGGTCCTTCTCTTTCTGGTAATACTGTTTTCAAGAAGCCTCTCCTGCCATTACCCTGTCCACATTTTGCGATTTCTTTGGGATCATCATATGGAGCGGTTGTAAATGGATCCGTTCGAAGTGGTTCCAGGCAGAGCTGGAGGAGATATCCAAAGATGTTGCGCGGAAGAGCGGCGTCTGCAATTTTAAGCCATTCATGATAGCCCGAGAACAGTAGCTCGAGCATCCTCAGGGCTACCTATCAAGTGCTGAAGGGTTGTACAGTGCGTACGCTGTGATCATCTTGCCAGATTTTGCTCACCGCAAATTTAAAAGAAATAGCAGCCAATCATAGCAGTTCCCAAATTTGAAAGCATGGGGTGCTTCCACTGCATCCATAAATTATGGGCTTGAGGCAGAACTCATAACTCAAGACAAAATACACGAATTTCATGAATACAATGATCACTCGAGTCAAGCAATATCTGTTGAATATTTAACGATTTTCTTCATCCTATACCGGGCAGGAGTAACGAATGCTACTCGTGCTTATGAAGCAGGTGAGCAATTATCCCCCTTTCCATCTTCCAAAGAGCTCCCTGACTTGAGGTAGGAAAGGACCAGAAAATGACCGGCCAAGATCTTGAGGTCTACTAAATCGCCGGTTTGACGGCCTTCATAAGCAGAAATGGAGGACGATCTCTGGTATTTTCCCATCTCGGGGACTCCATGATCTGTTCCTCTGACGCACCCCATTCATCAATCGCAGCCAAAACAAAGCCAGCATCGAGAAGCATTGTTATGTAGGTGGACATGGTTCGATGTTGCTTCACCACGCCGTCGGCAAGCCAATTTGTTGTCCGAGGCCCTTCACGCAGATAGCTTTCCAAAGGCCATACCTCGCCGCCTCGCGAGTCTTTGATCCAATTGGAGTTGTTACGGGGAGCCGTCTGGGTTGGGTGCTCAACAGAGAAAACTAAGGATCCACCTGGAGTGAGCGCTCGATTGACTTCCGCTAGCAGTCCCGACAGGTTCGTGAGATAGTGGAAGGAAAGGGAGCTGAACACAACGTCAAAAATAGCGGTGCTTAGTTGAAGTTCGTCCATATCGGCGCGCAAGTAAGTGATTGCAGGATCCTCTGGAAACTCTCTAGCTTTGGAAAGCATGTTCTGAGATAGATCAATGCCTTGGACCGTGGCTGCGCCCATTGCCCGAGCCCATCGACATGTCCAGCCAAAGCCGCAACCAAGATCGAGAACCTTCGAGCCGCGAAGTTCTGGCAGCATGGATCGCAATGAAGGCCACTCAGGGGCGCCATCAAGACCACGAACTTGGCGTGGAAGCTGGATATACTCCTTGAAAAAGGCCGGATCGTCGTAGATGTTTTGGGCCATTGTCCTGTCGCGGCCAACTCTCAACGTCCAATTCCAAAAGGCAGAGCTGCCCTTTCCAAGATCCTGCCGCCATGGTGAGAGCCACCTTGGATACCTATATACCTATATCGCTATCGCGAATTGCACTATTGCGCATCTGATGTTTTGGGTTGTGAACAGAGAGGGGGTTTTGGCGATGACTCAGACCGAAGAGCAGTCAATTGCACCATTAAATCTGCCTATGTCTTGCATGTTGAACTATATTAACACAGTCTCATCTCTACCCAATTGGGTGGGCGTCGGGACGCCCGTGTTGTGCCTGGTACGAAGTATGCATGCTGGAAAAGGGCGTTGGCGCCCGGAGTTGGGGCGTGGCGGGGTAGAAATTTGGTCCCTCCCGATTTCGGGCACATTTTTTGGAATCCCCGAGACTCCAAACAAAATCCATTGTCTATATATCTACCTTACCATTTACACTCTTCCGCAACTCTCAATCAAACACCTTCAAAATTGTTGAAGACAGAAGAATTCGCAATATGCCGACCGATATAACCACTCCTGTTGGTTTGGCTGTGCCGACCACGAAACCTCAAACGGGCTCCCCAGAAGTGGCCCAAGATAAGACTCACACGCCATCGCAAAGGTATCTGTCTACCAGAGGAGGCTCTTATGGCGTATGACAACCCAATCCCAAATGCGACCCAATGATACATACGCAGGAATACTGCTAATATCTCTCTCTCTCAGCTCTCCTTCGAGGAAGTCGTCTTGAAAGGTCTCGCAGCTGATGGCGGCCTTTTCATCCCCGAAGAGATCCCCACACTTCCCCAGGACTGGCAATCGAAATGGCAGAGCCTCTCCTTCTCCCAGCTAGCCCTCGAAATTCTCTCCCTATACATCTCTCCCTCCGAAATCCCACGCGCAGATCTGAAAAAGATCATTGATGCCAGCTACTCCACCTTCCGAGCCCCAGAAACAACCCCCCTCGTCTCGCTCAACGAAAAGGACAATTTATATCTACTCGAGCTTTTCCACGGCCCAACATTTGCGTTCAAAGATGTCGCCCTACAATTCCTAGGAAACCTCTTTGAATACTTCCTCGTCAGGAGGAATAAGGGCAAATCCGGAAAGGATAGACACCACCTCACCGTTGTGGGAGCAACTAGTGGTGACACTGGATCTGCTGCAATCTACGGCTTGAGAGGCAAAAGAGATATATCGGTCTTTATCCTCCATCCCAAGGGAAGAGTCAGCCCTATACAAGAGGCACAGATGACTACAGTCCTCGACGCCAATGTGCACAATTTAGCCGTTGAGGGAACTTTTGATGACTGCCAAGTAAGTCATCCTCAATCGAGATCTCACCAATCTGACATTTTTAGGATACCGTCAAAGCCCTCTTCGCCGACCCTGCAATCAATGAGACCCTGAGGTTAGGGGCAGTTAACTCGATTAATTTTGCAAGAATATTAGCACAAACGACATACTACTTCTACGCATATTTTACGCTCCTCAAATCCGAGTCATATAAACCAGATCATAAAATACGCTTCGTGGTGCCCAGTGGAAATTTTGGGGATATCCTAGCTGGCTACTTTACTAAGCGGATGGGGTTGCCAATTGACACGCTCGTGGTTGCGACGAATGAGAACGATATCCTGGATCGATTCTGGAAGACGGGGCGTTATGAGAAGAACGCCGTCCACGGAGCCGAAGCACAAGGCGGCATTCCAGCAGATGGAGTTAAAGCCCATGAAGATGGCGTGAAGGAAACATTAAGTCCGGCGATGGACATCCTCGTATCCAGCAATTTCGAACGGCTGCTCTGGTTCTTGGCATATGAGTATGCTGCTCATACAGGATTCGATGATGAATGGAATAAGAAGCAAGCGGGCCAAGAAGTTGAGTCGTGGCTGAAACTGCTTAAGTCGAATGGAGGATTTAATGTTCCTTCGGAGGTTTTGGATATAGCACGAAGAGACTTCGATAGTGAGCGAGTTAGCGATTCGCAGACCATCGAGACAATTAAGCAGTTCTACGCTAACCCACAAACAAATGGGGCTGCGGGTGCTGCTTCGAAGGGCGGGTATATACTAGACCCTCACTCTGCCATTGGAGTCGCAGCTGCACTACGATCCATGGAAAGAGCATCTCCTTCACAAACATATCACATCTCACTTGCAACGGCACATCCAGCTAAGTTTGCGAACGCAGTTGACCTTGCATTGAAGGATGAGCAAGGGTACAGCTTCGACACTGTGCTCCCTGCAGAGTTTGTTGGCTTAGAAAAGAAGGAGAGGAGAGTGAGATCGGTACCTAGAGGGGCGGGGTGGGAAGGTGTTAGAACAATTGTGCTAGAGGAGGTTGAGGCGGAGTTGAAGGGCGCTCAATGATATCAATCCGTCGCAAAAATCGCCTAGTTCTTACCATGATAGTATAGATGAAATTAGAAACATTGTGTATTTTTGGGCAAGTGGCTTGTGAGACTCCAGGTAATGTTGCCGTTTCATACATTCTGAATATCTGGGAGTGGTGTGACGTGTTTGACTCTTTTGTGGAATTTCTTCTCCTATCATCTTTCTTCGCCCCTTAACACATTCATATAAGACGACCAACAACTCATCCACTCCGAGTAAAAACTAGGGCCTTTTATTTAGCCATATTATCCTCATCTATTCTACACTATCCCCTATTCCAATTCTACTTGGCCAAAGAAGCAACCCGAAAATAATAGTCTACAAGTGTATGAAATTACAAACCAAATTAATTTTCACAGAGCTGAATAGCTGGGTTTGGAATCCACTCCCTCGCAGCTTCCCTCTCTACTCCGAATTGCCCTAAACTTCCGCATCTCCTTTCTCAGCGGCTTTACATCCCTGCTTCTCATCCCCCTGCTTAATTTTCTTTATATTTTTCCATCCCAAAAACCAGCTCGCCACGAAACCGGCACAGGAGGCACCCAGACTCAACCACTACGAGAAGTTAGTCCATCAACTCCACTAGTCGCTAGAAGTTCGGCTAAAATAGGAGACTAAAAGGGAGGGGGGACCAAGAAGGGGAAAACTCACAAAAATCCTCGTAATCGATTGATTATAAGCCAATATCACTCCTGGTACAGACTCCACTGCTATCACACTCCTAAAATTTGTCGCTCCAACATCAAGAACACGCAAGGCATCAACCTCGGGCGCAAACTTTGCTAGCGCTGATACCAGATGATTCGAGAAGATTGTCTGGCCGAGTGACACGAAGATCGCTGCTGCTAGAATTTGGCTGAACATGAGAAACGCATTTCCAAGGGCGAGTTCTTCCTTGGGGAGGACTGCTTGGATAGCTGTAATGGGTTGCTGCAGGGACATGCCGCGGGAGAGTCCTGAAATGATTTGGTAGCCTATCCATGCTCCGGCGGAGGAGGTGGGGGTGAGGGTGGTGAAGAGACCCGAGGCGACGGTTGTTAGAGCTGAGCCCGCGATAGCGAATGGAGTGTAAAATCCGAGGCGAGAGGCTATTATTTAACATGTCAATGAGATTCCATCTCATGGGAGGGGTTGACGGAGGAAAGCTTCTTACTCAGGGCTCCGGTCACCACCGCGCCTACGATCTGCGATCCAACAGTAGGTAGGAAATAGACACCACCCATGGTTGGTGACGCTTCTTTCACCACCTGGAACCAAATGGCGAGGTAGTACGTGATGACAAGAGTCGAGGCCTGGGACATTACCATTGTTGTTGAGGCGGAGATCATAACAGGTCGTCTTAGCATCGCTAGTGGTATCATAGCGTCAGTTCCACGATATCTCTCCCAAAGCAGAAATAGACCACACAAAACCACAGCTCCACAGAACAACCCGATTATTGTTGCCGAATCCCACTTGTATGTTACTCCTCCCCACTCGAGTGCTAGGAGCAGCATAATGCAGGTTGGTGTGAAGATTGCAAAACCCTGGAGATCGAGCCGGGCTAGTTGCTCCTTTATCGTTGCCTTTTTCGGCCCGCCACTCAGTTTTGAATCTGGGATGGTGATGAATGACAAGAAGCTGGCAGTGAGTGCCCCCACAGGCAGGTTCAAGTAGAAACATACTCTCCACGAAGCCCTCTCAGTGAGGACACCGCCGATTACAGGACCTAAAACCAATCCTAACGAAGCAACGCCCATAACTATTCCTAAGTATACTATGAAGAAAAGTGTTAGTCGATGCTCAGTGTCTTCGTTTTGGAAGGGAACGGGGGTCGTACGGGGTCGTTTGTCTAGAGGAGCTGATGCTGCGAGAATACTAAAGAACCCAAGGGCAAGCCCAGAGCCTCCTGCACCTGCAATGGCCCTCCCAACAATAAACATATTGGATGACTGTGATACTGCGCAGATCAATGACCCCACTTCGAATATTGCAATAGCGGACAAGAATGTATACTGCATTGAGTATCATGTTAACGCAAAGTCTTCCTGGTGGTAAGCGACGGGATATTATACCTTTGAGCTGTAATATTGATATACTTTTCCAGCGAGAGGCTGGACTGCCGCACTATGTTCGCTATTAGCATAGAATAAAGACTCGGGATTAGTTACGGCTAATTCTTACAGAGCAAGCATAAATGAACTTCCATACCACCCAATGTCCTTGAGCGAGTTAAACGTCGATGTAATTCTTGGAATGGCCTATAGTTTCGCGACATCTGTTAACGCCATTTTATCAAACAAACCCATTCCCATAATAGCAAAGTAGGACAGCAGACGGCTCACAGTAACAACTATAGTTTGATCCAATTGCATGAGGAATACCACCATCCCACATCCCACTAAGACGACAAACAGCTTCACCCCCGTGATGTACTCTGGTTCTTGTTCCTGAGTCGGAACATCACTAGTACTTTCTGCTGTCGTCTGCTTCCCTTCCATAGTAGATGCTTGAATGTCCTCCAGGGCAAGCGAATCCCCGGTAGAGTAGGCACCCTCTTTCTCCGAGTTGGAGTCGATCATAATTGCATCCAGCGAGGTAGTCTACGACGACGTAGAGAGAATCTTTGATCGCTTGCGACGTTGTGCCATTAGAGTGAATTGAATAAAAGGACTCCTTGGCGATTCACTTATATCGGCACAGGATCGTATATACGAAGCATTTCGCTCTCCGACCACAATGTCCGGGCTCCGAACCCCACATCATCAACCACCCTGCAGGCTGCAGTGTCCCACGACACCTGATTAGACAGGGACGAGAGTCCCTAGGATCCTATGCATCTGGCAGTATGCGAATGAGGTGAGCTTGCCAGAGGATAAGGGAGTGTCGAGTGGCCAGTTGGATAGGCTCAAGGACCCGGAGTTGCGTAGTCCCTGGTCCGGGCCTCGCCCTATTAGGATATGCAGGACATTAAGCACAAAGCCCCTGGCATTGCTGTTGCTCAATACAGCTCTGGCAACGGTTAAGAAATCCTTTAGGAATAATTTCCAGTATGAGTGGTCTGTGCCAGTATTCTCCGGTGAGATACAAGCTCGGTATGTAAATTTCGCACCCAAGCCAGTAGCTACCACCTCGAACATATATCTCCACGCTTCCAGTGGCTCTCGGATGAAGTATCTGACGAATCGACCTCAGCATTGCAAGCAATCGAAGCGCACGATTATAATTTTTATAGCTCCTGCCTAGTCAACGCTAAGCCATATATTAGCTATCCATATAGACAATCCTTCCGTAGTATTGGAAAGAGAGAATTCAATCTAGCCCAAGCATCCACAACGGTGAATGGCCTCCTTATCACAACTATATTAATAGCAAGTCAATTTCAAACAAGGTTAGAAGGAGACGAGACTCCAATGATGCCCCGGCTGTGAATAGCCACATTTTGCTTTCCTCTATTGTAGGAAACTCATATCGCTTGACAACTCCTGCCAGTAAGCATCATCAATCCAGTCAAACTGTTCCATGTTCATGCTAATATTCATGCCCGCGGTGCCTGGTTGCTCTTGCAAAGGCTGCGGCTCTGATTCTGGGGCTACTTTCGCCTCGTAAACTGCTCGAACTCTCTTCATAGCTAATGCGCAACCGGTAGCGAGCGACATTCTACATGGCTCTGGCTGGCTCTGGTCGATGGCCGCTCCCACTTCTTCAAAATTCGAAATCAGCCGGCCAAAATAATCCAGTAAGTTTACTGTCTTCCGGACGTGCGCAAGATCCCAGCCAGGCTGCTCAACTAGGGAGAGTCTGGATAATGCGGTCAGGCCATGTCCCATTTCAGCCAGTTCAACGATGGAGACAGTATAATATACCGAAAGTGGTAGTGCCAGGTACAGGTCAAGAAGCGTTTTGCATGATATTAAACAGGCGTAGAGCAGCTCCAGGCGCTGGGCGTTTCCAGTTCCAAAACTTACGCCATGGGAAGACGGATGGATGCTGGGCTGATAAATGTAGACCTCTGCGCTGTGGTAAGCCCTAAGCAAAGGACCTAAAGGAGTTGTGGGGTTAGTGGACAGTTAAAAACATTTTGAATGGGTTTTGGTACTGACCATTCGATCGCAGTCTAGGGCATAATGACGTCCAAAAATCTTGTAATTCAGCTCGCGCCGATTTAATATACATCCAAGCCGGCACCTTAGAGCCATGGGGAGTCATCGACTCGTTTAAGAGAGTTCGTTGAAAGGACTCGACGATGCACTGCAACCGTACCAAGGTAACTAGAACAAGGTCCGATTCATACTCAGCAGAGTCATACAGCAGTTTGCAATTGTGATCGATGTAGGGTGTATGTTGTAAACATTCCATTCTCCGGAGGCACAAAGATATACTGCGACATTTAGATTTGGATCATCAAATGCCAGCACTAGTCAAAAACTTACACGGATGAGGAGAAGAACCAAGCAAGTAGCGTTCTTCGTTCATCAGAAGTACGTCTACTCTCCGATAGGTTGATCTCAGGTATAATTTTTGACGTGTCTGGAAGCCCGTCTAAGGTATCCCGAACTGGTTTGTTCAAGCCCAGGTCGAATATCATCGTATGAGCAAGTTGGAACACGGCAGTAGACTGGGTATGGGGTGTTTGAGGCGAGAAGTTGTAGCACCTGTGGAGTATTAGTTCCCCTGCTCTGAAATTTTAGGAGCTGTTTTGTAGTGTCATAGATGAACAGTGCATAACCAGGAACAGTATTGAAAATGCGACCATAGGGCAGTAGAGCTTGATAATACTATACCATAGAAAATGTACCTGATGAGATCTATGAACTTTCATGTACATCGAGAAAATTAGCTTAAGAGTTCTTAATAGATTCCCTGAAGCATGCTGAATTCTCCGGTACAATCTTGCGTTATATAGCTCTTCGCAATCTAATGGACTTTTGCCCAGAGCAAGATTTGCAACAGAAAATCACTAACCATGCGTTATGAATTAGCAGCCCTTGAAGCATATCCAAATTTTTCTCGCCTCTTATAATCAAGGCTGTTGCAACTTCGGTTGTCATATGTTTGGCCATTTCAAGTTGCCGTGTGCGGTTACTTTGGGACGCAACCATGATCACAGCATAATACACCCATGGTCTCCTGACCCAAAGATCTTCGGCACTCGTTTCCGGCGGTATTTTTACGAAAGGGAAATGAATAAGATATGTGTCTCTGAAAATGTTCAAGAGCCAGCTTTCCTCGGGTCCTGGGCGGTCGTTGAATGGCCACTGTCGGTTTGGTTGTGGAGGGGCCGTAGTTGATGGTGTGGAAGTGTCAGGTGTGAGGGGTTTCTCTATCGGAGGCTGGGGAGCTGGTCCACAATTGCTTGCATCAAGATGAATACCCATTGGTCTCGGAGGATCCCAAGGTTCTTGAATTGGAGGTGTCTCGCGACTCGCCAGGGCCGCAAGGCTTGAGGCAGAGCCATTGATTGAGGAGGCTGCAGATACCTTGGCTCTATCTGGGTCTGTGCGACCTGCATTCTGGGCTGAGGTGGGAAACGGGTTATCGGGATTTAGCATTCCTGCTTTTGCTCCCGCCAAGAGTGAAACAAGGCTTTGGATCTTCTCTTCCAATTGTGAAACGCCACTGTCACTTAGTTAAGATCTTATTCTAACACACCTGAATAGATGTCCAAGAGTCCTTCAAAGGGGATAGAGTTATGAGATTCCGGAAACATTTTGAAGAAATCCTGGCTGGTCCAGCCTTCAAATTTTGGTGTGTATTTATCCTTCCCATTCCCATTTCACTTGAAATAACTAAAAGATATTCAGTCCTAACTCACGTGGCATGGCTTGGTGGCCTCCTTTTCCGCGCCCTTCGAGGTGGAGTAACACACTCCTTGTCAAGACGAAAACATCTCCCCAATCGTTAGCTAGTCATTCTACAGCTTGCGAGCGTGCTGGAATAACATACCTTGTACATCTGTCCTCGACACCATCAGTCTGAGGAATGCATTTTGCCTTCAGTCTGGAGCAATTTTGACAAGCCCGATTGATGGTCGGCGCTTTGCCATTCGGGGGCCCGACAGAGCTTTCATTATTCATGACAAATTGCCTCAATAGCCGGTAGTCACGCAGGAGGTAGTCACGCAGGAGGTAGTCACGCAGGAGTTTTGACGGTGAAGGCGGGAATTTCTCCCCGACAGGAGATATAACACGCCCGTTCTCGTATTTGTACAGCAGAGGTGGTCATGAACCGGAGCCGGGAATTCGGAAACCCCGTCTCCGGCCGAGCCCATGTCCTAGGCGCTTCTCGGGGACTAAGAACGTTTCAGTTGCTGCTGTCAGCGCTCGATTCTCGGTCTTCAGCTAGCTGCAAATCATGATGATGACATGGATGAGAGTGTTCTTCAAACCATCGACTGCCTAGTTCCACTAGATTTCATACCTATAGGCGGCAAGACCTGACTGTTTCAATTGATACAAGGTCAACAAAACCCTGGCTGGCGGGGTTCTCCCGATGACTTCAGAGTAGAGTAACGTTCTAACTGAACTGAGGGAACTTCTACCGGGCGAGTAGACCTTCGCCTGGCATGGCATGGCAAAACAAAGTGTTTGTTCGGAGATATCTGTGACCATTACCAGGTTCCATGGTGGATTTATTCCATTTGCAAAGGCTCCATTTCCTGCTGCAAGGATGTTCGTACAGCGCGCTCTTTCAGAATGTGTGTAGTGAGTGTGCCTTTCTCATTTCAGTACGCCTCCGGCTTGTTAACGCCGCGCACATTTCGACTCCAAGATTGCCGTTTCAATATCAAGTTTCAGAAGATCTAGAAGGTGGTTATCTCTACTTCGTGGACCACAACCGGCGCTCCAACTGATAACCTCGTGTCAAGTGCACGTACCTAGGTACTTAGCCTTTGGAAAATTGTTCTTGTCTTGTTTTCTTCATATTCCTAGCTCCGCTATTGATTGACAATATCTACAGGTATTTATTCATCGTTTCTCAATCCTAGGCATAATGGCGTCTTCTCAAAACAAGTAGTAAAAAGTTGCAGAAGGTCGGCATCCAATTGCCGCTGGTATTTGCGAACAGGACCTCCGTAACTGTAACTAAAAATGGTTTTTCTAATTTTTAATGTTATTTTCTTGCATTGATCATGATCCGTTCACTGCAAATTTATAGACTATGGCCTCTTTCAGTTTAGAAGCTTTGTGAGATCAACCTTCAGCAGAAACTTCCACAAGAGACATGTTTATATTAAGTCTCTACTTTTAATAGCAGAGTTTGTTAGGGATTTCTATCGGGACCAGATTAAACGATGTTTAAATCAGGAAATGAACAACACAGCTCTCTCAAAAGCCCCGGCGTACTCTTTTGTAACTTCGCCCATCACCGCAACAAGCCTGCTTCGAGCAACCAGCCTGAATATGAGGGCCCTCACAAGCATCTGTAGGCACTCGAAGCTCGTACCGCCTAGTTTGACAAGATCTCGCCCTTGGTCGTGGTCTAGGATCCCGTCCACAATGACAATAGCTTCCGCGTATTCTACTGGCCGCCAGAATGGTGAGAAGTCAATGACCGTTGGAGGTGTCCCATCATCACGGAATAGCATGTTGCCTGTTAAGTCTCCGTGGACAATCTGAGAGGTCATCTTCACATTTTTACGTAGTTTAAGCAGCTCTTGATAGACACACTGCAGTTCGGGAACGACGTCAACGCTAGCTTCGCCCCATGCGACTTGATCTGCTACTGCCCAGGGATGCGAACGATGGCTTAGGAAGTCGGGATTCGGGATACCCTGCAGGGCTGCATGAAAAAAACGAGAAGTTCCCATGAGCTCTACCCATTTTCCGCCTGGACCAGCCCTACCAGCGACAAATTCAGATGCTGCCCAACCCTGGAAAACGAATTGCGAATTTGAAGCCAGGATGGGAGTTGGAACATGGAAATCACGATGGCTGGAAGATGCCAAAGCCGAAAAGACCTGGGCAGACCATTCAGCTTCGATAGGGTCATGGGCTGGCTTCAAAACGGCATTTCCGGAATGGAAGCTCTCGCCTTGACCACCTGGCAGAGGTTTCAGGCCGTCTTTAAGTCCGAATGCTTCTAAAACTATTTTCGAAGGATAAGCCATCTAATGTTGCTGGCTATAGCGTCCAGGGCCGTTAGTGAAAGGCTTGTGAGTCGTGGACTGGGGGAAGGGCCCGCTGCACCGCCAATCTGAAGAAATCCTATCCCGGTGCACGAACTAAATATTCACTAATATGACCACAGGCAATATTAGCACAGACACATTAAATGCTCCCCTTAATAAAATCACTTGTTGATAGCAAACAGCAGCCCAATGCGACAAAAAGTGAACAGCACGGGAGGATGGGGCTCTTAAGATCTATAAAACCAGTTTACCTTAATTGCAATATGGTAGCAGCATTAACTATTAGGACTGGTGTCAAAACTTGAGGCTTTGTGTGTTTGATAGCTGTTGTAAGTAAACCATGGTAATTGTAGCGGGAAGATATACCGAGATATAAATGTGGAAGGGTGTCTTAGTGGTATAGTATGATGAGTCATAATGAACATCTACACCGAAGTTGTCACATCCGAATCCTATGTACTCTGTGAAACGGGCATTTCGCAGAGAGATTGCAGAGGTAGCCCCATATCGCGGGACTGCGGCAGGTGGGTAAGATCAAGAGTTGTATAAATATATTTTAATTATAAGTACAGAACATTTCTTTAAGAACTGTCACGTCGGCTCTAGCTAGGAGATTAATTACGTTCTCGAAGTTAGTTAGTAAAATGCCATCTTGCCTCGTAGTAAGAAAACACCACGATCCGGCAGTCGAATTAAAAGCATATAAAACATAACGAACAACTCAAAAAAGGTGATAGACTAACACGGTAGGTATATGTTACGGGTACAGCGTCTATAGCTTCAACAACTCCGATATTGGAACTTCTCGAAACTCGCTGACGCGAGGACAATAAGTAGTAGGTGAACAATATGTCTTGTTCATTTCCCTAAATAATTGTAGAAGGGAGATAAAACAACGGCAAACCAACGAAAAAACAGCGAAAGTGCTCAATATCTATTATACAGGTGGTGAGCGAAGCCATTTTCCATCCTTTTATTGAGTCTTGAGTAGAATATCTCTAGCTTCATGGATGGATATTTGGGGTATAGACTGCAAATATATTGGTTTCCAAAGCAGGCTTGCCGTCATTCAAAGTGGACTCGGCATTAGGTTGGTTGTCCGCTTCGCAGCTCCTTTTTCCTCCCAGCTAAGTTCCTGGCAAGGCAGATCATGATTAGGATTGTGGCCAAGGCGATACCAAAGACGATTATCGCTATGAGATGGTTTGGTTGCATTTTGGCGGATGTGGTTTATCCTTAGAAGAGGGATGAGAGGATAGTGTCGTGGTACGCAGAAGTGTTGCGTTTGTGTTTGTAAGTGGAATTGTGTTTTGGGTGGAGCAGCTGGGATAGTTGTGATAGTTCCGGAGGTCAAGTCGATAGTTGCGAAGATGTGGGTGTGTAAAGTTGCCTCTGTTGAATTAAAAGTTCGTATTAACCTTGCCTTTAACTGTTAAATTTGCTTTTTGACTAGGATCAAGGTGAGGAAGGCGATGTCCAGAGTTAACCAGGAAGGTAGAACAAACTATTGTTGTTATAAAGGAATTTTGTTCCATAGCTGCAGCCATATTTATATGTTAAGCATTGCTGTGTCAGACGTGGTAGGTATAAGTGTGATTGGATCTCTGACAGTTGTGCATGCTGTAATAGTCTTGCTTGTATGTGATTAATGGGAAAGTCGGATTTGGTCTTCCTGGTTTGGAGTTGCTCCCTGGGTAGGTAAGATGATGAGAGTTATTGTTATGTTAGGTCTGACTGATATTTGGCCTGCTAGACTTTCGAAGAATAAAGTAGAGTCTGCTTCTTGGTAGGTGTAGTTATGTGTTTGTTGCTCGACAATTGGCAGTTGCCTAGTGAATGGCGACTATTCTATGGGTTGGCCCTGTCCTTTTGGGTCCAGACTCAGAGTCAAATCTTGAAGGTTAACGTTTTCATGTACTTTCCCACGCTAGCAAGATGATGAAAGCTAGAGCAAGGACGATAGCAGCGACGAGTGTTCCTATCATCCACCCTTCCATGATGAAAATGCCCTTCTTTGAGAGAAACTGCAGTGTGTAACTTAAAAGTCCAGAGTATGGTATGAGTTTCTGCGCAGATGCAAGGGTGTGGTGCTTGAGAAATAACAGCATTTAGTGGTGGCAATTGAATGTCGAAGCTTATATATCTGGGGAACAAGAGTTGTGCTAAGGGTGGCACATATGGGTATAGCTCCCGTCATGAGGTGGTGTTGTGAATCAAGGGTGTAAAGAATTGAGGAGCAGTGATTGTGTCTTGGGGAGAGAGGAGGAAGGCGCCCTTCTGGGGGTGTGTTAATGCCCTACTCCATTGATTAATTGGTAACATAAATGTGAGATTAGAAGTGTGGTGATATGAGAAACTTCCTTCCCCAACCCTCCAAGAAAATCCGGACTTTCAGGCCTCCACCAAAACACTCCTACTGGAAGCTCTTCATAGCTTGGCCCTCTCCTTCATATGGTCCAACACAAACTCAATGGCAGCCTTATACCCAAAAGGCCCCAACCCACAAATAACCGCCTCCGCCTTATCGCTAAAATAGCTCTTCCTCCTCCATTCCTCCCTCTTATAAACGTTGGTAACATGCAGCTCCACAAACGGAATATCCACGCCTAACAATGCGTCTCTAACCGCAACGCTAGAATGCGTAAAAGCCGCGGGATTTATCACAATGGCGTCTACACCCTCTTGACGTGCGGCATGGATCCGGTCAATGAGTGCTCCTTCATGGTTTGTTTGGTAGAATGAGAGAGAGGCTCCCGAGGATGCCGCTTGCGATATCGCGGCCTGCTCGATGTCTGCGAGTGTTGTTGAGCCATAGATATGTGGCTCTCGCGTACCGAGGAGATTCAAGTTGGGGCCATTGAGAACAAGAATGTTTTTAGGTGCCATGATGATGCTTTGGGCTTTTGAGTTTGTAGATAACGTTGGGGCTACAACGGTGGTTATATGTGGTGATTGTGGGAGTTGCGAGGTAAGGTATTATGGCATGGCGCTCTTTGATTCAAAAATGTCTACAACCATCGGCTTTATCTAGTATCCATAGGATGGTGATTTATAGGTATATGGTCCATCTCCTTTTGCTTAGCCTTTCTGCTCGCGGAGTTTCACTCTGCCACTACAAGTCCATTACGATATTTGTGTTGATGTGGAGTAAATAATGGTGGGGCGGGTGAATTCTTTAGCGGGCACCCTTGAATTCGAAACTCGAGGCTTTCGACTCGCGAGACCTCACAACACTCACAAACCCTCACCAAACCCTTAGAAATCCTCATAAATCTCTGGGTTGGTCAGTAGCAAAATGAAGCAGCACACATCTATAATGTGACTTAATTCGAATTTGGATTTGAGAACAAGAAACCCGCACTAACGTACATGTTAAAACCAAGCGGGACTGGATATCAACACACTTGCCACCTGTAGTAACGCCATCGTATCATATTGTACACGAGCTCATTCTCATTATAACGCCAGCGAATGCGAAATCCCCCAAACTCCGTCATATCATTCCCACTAACCTCGATGAGGAAGTCATCACAAGAAGTATTCACCAGCACCACGGCGGCCAGCTGGGACTGCACGCTTATCCTCAGGGACGGCACTGAAGATGCTGAATTTGGGGGTCAGATCTTCGCCAACGTTCATGATGGATGCGACGTTGCCACATCGATAACAGTAGTTAGGGGCGGACCAAACGGTGACAACAGATTTCTGAGAGAAGTGATACTGTTGAAAGTTAGTTATTTGCAGACAATTTTTAGTAAATAGAAGCACAGCATACCTTATACCCCTCGTTGACCAGTTGATGGGCACGTGCGATGAGCTTTAATCCGTTTACATGGTTGAATTCCGTCGCGACCTTGTCCCCGAAGAGCCATCCCGCACCACGTGGGGAAACTGCCCAAGTTTCAACATCCTCGGGATCACTCCAGACCAAGTCGCAGAAGGCTCCCTCATGAGGAATCTCCTGGGCGCGAGCAACAACCCGGATCTGATCAACTGTGCGGATCTCTGGGCTCAGACCGCCATGAACGCAAAGAACCTCGCCATCAACAATTGCAGCGAGGACGAGGAAATCAAAAACTTGGCAGCAAGACTTCCAGACAGAAGCGTTGCCGTATTTCTGCTGACACTCCTCGTAGAAGCCATACACCTGAGTAATCTGACGAGATTCATGATTACCACGGACCAGAGTAATCTTGTCGGGGTACCTTGAACGTATTAGCAAACCCTCAGCAAACACAAGTTCGAGAACTTACATGGCCTTAAGACACATGAGTAACGTAAAAGTCTCCAAACTAAAGTAGCCTCGATCAACGAAGTCTCCCAGGAAAATGAAGTTCTGGTTTCCATTTCCAGAGACTTCATTGACACCAATAGCCGAATCAGCCCCAGAGCTACCGCCACGGCTAGATTGACCTGCGGTACGTGGGCGGCCGCGTGTCTCTTCCTCTTCGTCGTCTTCACCGCTCGCGCTCTCGATACCACTGTCTGAGCTCCTAATCTTCTTCTTCAGCTTAGGGTCCGTAATCTCGGTTGGTGGCTCGATATCATCTGAGCTGATGGCCTTCGCCATGGTCAATGGTCTCTCCACATGTGTCTCGCCAGGCATGCCACCTGCGATGCGGAAAAGCTCCAGTAGATCGTAAAATTGTCCATGGATATCCCCGCAGATCGTAACTGGAGTTCGAACCGGCTGAATATTGGATTCTAAGTGAAATCAGCACCAGGCACATCGTGGCAGGAACCAGTACGCGCCCACCTTCCATGAGACACTCCTTCACCATCTCGCAGAGCTGCTTCATCTCGTTTTCGGGCAGGTAGTGACACTGCTTTGCCTCCTCCAGCCATTCGGGCAGACTAGCATTTGCACTCAGCTTTGCGGGGCCTGGCTTTGGCACGTTGGAGTTCGACATCTTTGGTGGCGTTGGCGGTGCGCTCTCGAGGTCTTGTTCGTGAAGTTTAGATTCTATCAATTCAAGTTCCCATTCAACACCTTCGCAAAGTTCCCGGTCATCTCTGAAGCGGTGGAGGACATCATCGGAGGGCGGCATTGTGAGCAGCGATGCCTAATAGGGTAGTGTTAGCGACTTTTCTTTGTCTTATCGTTATCGTGGCAGGGTGCACGGGCTCTGTTAATCACACTCTGTAGACTCTGGATTGTGTCCCTCACAAAGGCGTTCCTGTAGATCGAAGGCGAGCGAGCAACGAAGATCTTTGGCTGCGAACTTCGTTGTTAAATTGAAGAGTTCGCGACTTGTCGCTCACGCAAAGAAGGTTGGCTGCTACGGCTTTGAACGTATCCGACCATGGCTGCGTCGTCTGCTTTGAACAACAATCGATCCCAAGCAAATGGCGTCCTTCAAATCTCAACGTCCCAGACGACCGCGACCGGAAATACCTCAAAGTCGGCGGGTCCCAAGCTTCCAGCGCTTAAACTAAAGCTTGTTATCAGAAGACTTCCCCCTGGATTGACCGAATCTGAGTTCCTGACTGTACTTGGGGATGAGTGGAAGGTGGGGCAAGGGAAGGTTGATTGGTTTCTATACAAGGGAGGGAAGGATTCGAAAGAGTATGATATATACCTCTTTAGATGAAAGTAAGAAGCTAATTAATTCCAAGCCCTTCCAAGCCTTCTCGGCCATCTCGAGCATATTTACATTTGACGAAGGAGAGTCATCTTCTAAGCTTGTCCGATACAGTCCGTCAATCCATCTTTGAAGACGCGCAGAATACCTTCACCAACCCATGTCTCATTGGCCCCCCAACCGTCGAGTTTGCCCCGTATGGTCGGACACCAGGCGGTCGGCGTCGTGTGGATGCACGAGCTGGCACGATTGATCAGGATCCCGAATTTATGGCGTTCCTCGAAGGTCTTGCAAACCCCACAACATCGAAGGAGCTGAACGCCGACTCGCTCGCAGAAGGCTCATCGACGAAGCAGGAGAAGGTTACGATGACGCCATTAGTCCAGTACCTGAAAGATAAGAAAGCCAATAAGAACAAGGAGGCTGCAGTAAAGGCTGCAAAAAAGCAAGAGTCGCAACATGCTAAAGGCAAGGCCGCCAAAGACACCCATGACGATACTAAGAAAAAGGGTAAGGATGCTAAGGCAGACAAGTTAGTTGGGAAAGCTACGAAGGAAGCTGTCAAAATCTTGAACAGAACGACCTCAGCGAAAACAGCGTCAGAGTCATCCCAAAAAGCAGCAGGGTCCGGTTCGGACGCTTCTACAGCCCCCAAGCTCGATCTAGGTAAAGTTCCTGGCCGTCAACGGAGTGCTGTTCTCGCGGCTCATATTCGAATGTTGCAACGGGATCTTGGACTTAGCCCAGCACAGGCACATCGTCAAGTTAGACGCGATACTGCCGATGCTCAGAAAGCCGAGAGAGCAGCTACCGCCGTGAAGGCTAGTGCCGAGTTGACAGATGCATCGTCCCAACCGGCTCAATCTCCAACCGTCCCAACCGCGCCAAAGGCAAGCTCGTCACAGTCCCAGAGCAGAAGGTCTCGAGCAAAAGGGCCCGCGCTCCCTGAATCCCAAGCTAGCAAGAGATCACCATCCACTGCAGGCTCTTCGACCGCAGGCCCTTCTACGCCAATGGTACTTTTGAAGAAGCCCGAAACAACACAGTCTGTGCCTTCTGCTACCCCTGCCACTCAACCTCCGAAAGTAGCACCAACTGGAACGCCTCGAAGACCACAATCAACACCGGCTCCATCGGAAGGTGCTACGCAGGCTTTTATCAAACATGCCAATCCTTCTCAAGGCGTTACCGAAGCCCTGCTCAAAGAAGCCATGGAGAAATTTGGGCCTGTATCCGTGGTCGAGATTGATAAGAGAAAAGGCTTCGCTTATGTTGATTTCACCGAACCGGGAGCTCTAAAGAAGGCCATGGCAGCCAATCCTATATCCGTCGCCCAGGGCACCGTGCAAGTCATGCAAAGAAAGGGCACTGCTCTACCTCCTGAGAAAAAACCTGTACATCAAGCTCCACATGCACCTTCTCGGGGTGGTCGTGGCGGCAGGGGTGGTATGGCTGGAAGACGAGGCGGTAGAGGCGGGGGTCGAGGTGGAGCGAACGCTGCTCAAGCACCTGCTTCTGCGCCAACTGGACCAGCCGCGAAGTGATAGTTTACTTTTCGACGTCGGATTGATAAAAACAAACCTCGACCCCACCCTTCAAAGCATGCCGTATAGTATGGTGCTCTATTTTGAGATCGGTAGAAAACAAGCCAGCCTAGCGTATGAGACACAAAAGGTCAACCGCGCTAGGGAGGAGCTCTTTGGAACTCCTTGCACATAGTTTCACTTAGAGAATCGCTATAAGTGTTAGCAAACTTATACGTTGCAAACCATTGCATTCATTCCATGGTTTTGGAGAGGCGTCGGGTCAAACATGTATGGAGGTAGAACATTAGCAGTATGGTCATTGTCTTCCAGCCTTGTGCAAGAAGCAAGAAAGTGGCCAGTGGGTGAATGAGTAGCCTCCAACTGCTTCACCGTCACGTACCGTATGGATATGTTGAGGGATGAGATTCAGTAGGAAAATGATATTCGTTCTCTCGCGTTTCTCGTCCTCTTTGAGAATATAATAACATCCCAGAAATCGGATGTAGGAATAACCTCGTGCATAGTATTAGGTTAGACTACGATTCATTTCTCCCCTTAGACTTTCTTGCAGTTTCACTTCACTAGCTGCCTTTTCCCAATTCTAGCATTAATAAAAGCTGTTATTCGCTCGCTCAGTTTACCTGTCTCTCCGCCCTTGAAGCCGCCCCTAAGGCCAGGAGTATTTCGCATCCTCTAGGATCTGTCGCGCTACTTCTGCATCTACCGTGACATCAGCTCCACCTTATCGAACCTCCATTCTCCAAACAACTCAAGATTTCTAGATTATCCTTGGCTGGTTCCCGAGGTCCCGTAACCTCCCTTCACGTTGAAGTTCTGGGGTTTATTGATTCCTCTCTCCCAAGTGTCTCATCATTTCGACCGCAACAACTTGCAAAATCAGAAGTCACCTTAGGCGATCTTTCAATATTATATCACCTTTGAAAACAAAGTAAATCATGGACAATGCCAATGGAGAAACTGGTAAGTTGGCCAAGTCCTACTCGCGAAACATGAGCTTACATGCCTAGTATCTCGCCCTACTAGTGTTGCTAGCATCCGTCTCGAAGCCTCGAAAGAAAAGTTGATCAATGCATCCGCTGGTAAGAAAATTACAGTCCCTTCCAGGATGACCAAGCTCACAATCCTTACTAGTCAACTCGAATAACCCCGTATCCTCGAGCCTTGATTCCGCAGGCGCTACAGGCGCTGCAACCGTTGCTAGAGGTGACGATATGGGAGCCATCAAAAACAAAAGCGACTTGGTGTCGCCATCCGAGAACGAAATCACAGTTTCACCCATCCAGGAAACTCCTCCAGTAATGGCAAAGAATTTGGAGATCAGTCCTCATGAACTAGTGAGAGGTAGTGCGCACGCAATTGGGCAACAATTCACTCTATTTCCTAAGCTGTCAGTGGAACTTCGATGCATAATCTGGAAACTCGCTCTTCCCGGCACAAGATTCGTAACTATTCGGAAAACAAAATGTCTCGGCGATGGGGTCGAACCATACTGGGAGCCTGTCTGTGCAGAAAAAGCTCCAAGCCTACTCTTTGTCTGTCGGGAAGCCCGAGCCGAAGCCCTCAAGACGTATGTTCCAATCAAAGGGACCGTACCGGAATCGAGTGCGATATATTGCGATTTCAACAGAGATTACGTCTGCTTTGACAACTATATACTCTGTGGTTGCAAGTGCCGTGCAGAGGAACATATGTCCGTTATACTCGAGCAGCTGGTCGCTCAAATAAAGAGCGGACGGCTTTGCTACGTGGCGATGTCAATATTCAACGTCACGTACTTACGCGATTACCATCAACCTACGTCCTACATATTTCAATACCTAAAGGAGCTAACAGTGGGCCTTCCATCCCAGCACCTTGAACCACACCTCGAAGGGGATATTACCGCAATTAAACGGATCCTAGTAGATGTGGAATTACTAGCGCCAGTGACTAAAAATGTGCTGAGAGAGATAGAACTTACGTGGCCGGCCATCATGAAGGTTGGCCCGGCGTGGAAGCCACCTCGAGTGTCGCTGGGTGTGTTTGGTTTCGGATGCCCTCCGAAATTTCCTAACGTCTTCTACAACAGATATGGGCAAAGGCTTATGTAAATCGGCTTTTAGCTGGGTGCGGGTCTTTGCGGACTTCTATGTCTAGGTTATTGAGATTGCCTTACTTGACCATGCTTCGGTTTAATATCCATAGTGAATCGAAAGGGTAGAAGATAACATGATTTCTACTCTCTATACTTCGCTGTAATCTACCTTGATTGCGACCAACGCTACCAGCACAGTCCCTACCCATAACCAACTTTACTCCATCATATCCACCTCCATGGTTATATTTGCAAGTCTTTAACCATCCAATCCCAAGCTATGTGTGTGGATAATACATTCATATCCCTCTATATCTCTCGACATCTATCATCCATCTTAGAGTACGCCTCTAATTTAGCCCTCTATAGTTGAAGCTGACGGAGGAGGTGTCAAGAGTCCCTACTTATCGAGGAAGTTGTCGGCAAAGGTGAGGCATGGTGGGTATGGTGGGCATGATGTTAGCCGTGAAGAGACGATTAGCGTAGTTGGCCTGCTAGATAAACCCATGTTTTAGACCGGGTGCTACTAGACGGCCAAACATTTCTCATAAGTAGTGGTGCTGGTAGAGGTGGCATGTAGGCGCCAATAGATAGATATCTTCACTGCAAAAAGTTACAATATTATACCCCTATCTTCCTCAATCCAGTTCAACCAACCGCCAAATTCGATATATTAAAATATCAGTATCCTAACGCCCCTATTTCACCATAATCAAATACAACAGCTCTCCATGCATTTTTTATTCGTTTGTATACGAGTTTTCAATTTAGAAAGAAAAAAACCCCTCTGATATAACACATCTCCTTTTTAAAGTAAACTAGCTTCAATATGAGAATAGTTTAGTGGAGAACCTACAGCTTTCAATATATTATAATTAGATTTTAAGCTATCTAAAAAAAAGTATTTATCTAAGAACAATCTTGATAGAACAATACTCAAGAATACCTTAAATAAAGTTATTTACTTTATCCCTTTTTTCTAAGAAAAATAGATGAGCAGACGGTTTTTAGTGAAGCCATCTAGTTAGAGTATTTGAAGAATCTTTTAGATAAATTAACACTTGATCCGACATAAGTTTTTATTCTTTATATTATATATATATACCTCATTTACCTATGTTTTCACTAAATATATTTTATTAGAGAAAACCCGGTGTTTGGTCTAAATTAGTGTATTCTTTTAGGTACTGCTAACATTATTATTAAAAAATCCACTATTAATTTACTTTACTAAATATTACTATACTATACTTTACTTTACTTTACACTACTCTACAAGAGAGTAGTTACTCTATTACAAAACAGCTCAAAAAAAAGGGCTTAACCCTATAAAGTTAATTAAAATTTTTAGCAATAACTTTCAATTTTTATTTATCAATCCACACTTACAAGCTACCCAATTTACATACATTTATCCCCGGTTTCAATTTTCCACTATCAAAACTGTCCCCCTCCCAAGCCGCTCACATAGCGTCTAAGAAGCCCCCAGCTAATTTTATTTTCCCCATCTATGATATCTCCACAACCTTCTTCGTCTTCGCAGTTTGTTTTTTATATGAAAAATAATTGGACATCAAAGAAGAGCAGCGCCCTAAAGCTGTCGCAGGAAACCGGTTCAAGCGTATGGAAAAGAAACATGAATTTATAACTAATATTTATAAATGTCATTTCTATTTATCCTCTTAGGGCCCGTATAAAAAGTTCAACTATCTGTAGAGAATATCACTCAGGTGCGAAAGGAGTAATGGATAATTTATCCGCCAACATAGCTATTCCCATCTATAATATCTCTACATTTTAAAAATACAAAACAAAATTCAAACCCAATCCCTTTTTCTTTTTCCTAACGGCTTTTACGTTTTGCAAGAACCCAATTAATTAATTAAAAATACAACTAATCAATTCAACCAATTTCACTAGCAACTAATAATCTAGCAGACGCCCTTTTTCAAAATTCCAAAAGTAAAAACCTACTTACTTACCCTTGTACTAGTGAGCCATGATTCATTAAGTTCCCTGGCTTAATAACCAGCTTGACAAAGTAAGGAACTATAGGAATAGCTAAAGGATAATAAGAACACAGCAGAAGAAAGCCAAATAGGCAAAGAATGCAGAATTTGATATGGAGTGAGGGGGATTGCGGAACTGGCTTGAATCTGTATCCTACTACATATCGCTCTAAATGCCATAATATAAATAAAGTACATACATAGTAAGTAAGATCTTACACGGAGGGCTATTTAAAAAGAAAAACCCCCCAAATCCCGCCGCCTTATCTATTTAAGGAGTGTTCGTCTTTCACGCACAGTACAATCAAGCTACCTGACTAACCTCCATCCACCCACATATCGACATAATTTTTTTTTCCGCAGCCTCACGATGCACATATGTTATTATTACTCTTATTTAATTTACCATTCCCATGGGACGGGAATCACGGGATGTACATCACGTCAAAAGCAAAAAAACGCCGCAATTCTGCGCTGGATTTAGTGCCCGCGTGCCAGCCAGCCAGCCTGCCGGCCTGTTGCCTACAGGCCGAAGCCACGGCTTAGGGTACTGTAGGTCCTCGATATTAAGGAGGATTTATTATTAGGGCAGCTGAGGATTTTTGTATAGTAGGTGAGAGCGGCACGATAGTTAAGGTAGGTAAGTTAATAAGGCTGGTAAGGCTCCAGGGCGCCGTGAGCGCGGCTCATGGGGTGAGTGAGTGAGTGAGTGAGCGGGGGAGGTTTGGTCTGCCTCTGCCTGCAGTAGAGTACTACTTTGTAGTGCGCGCACAAGCCTGCAGCAGCACTGATGACGGCGATAATGCTATTCCAGCTCAAGCTTTTCGCGGTCAGCAGTATCGGTACCTGCTGACATGCTGACTTGCTGACATCAAATAATAACAGCCATCATTATTTCGAGGTCCTCTCGCACGGAAAAGACAGTTCGCGGGTGGAAGAAAGGTACATTTGGCTGCTGCCTACTGGGAGTTTCGAAGACCTAGCCAACGATCTCGGCCGCTCTCCCTTTTTTCCTGCGGCACCCGAGTGCTACTATGCCACAGTAACCATCCTCAATCTGTACAGTACCTTGTTGGGAAATATATTCCCGAGACAAGTGTGTCCTCCTGGGTTTCGGCTTCCTTCGGCATGAACGGTGAACGAGCAGGATTTCTTCACGATGATGATGATGATGATGGTGGTGGAGGTTTCGTTGTTCGGTCATGCCCGCGGGGCGCTGCGGACGGAGAAAAAGCATGACCAAGTTTGTCTCAACTCAGCCACAGGAGCGCCACATAACTTATTGAAAGAGGCAGTCAGCTCATCCGGAGAAAGGAAGAATGATATCGCGGAAAAGTCAATCGACAGCTGATGATTGGCGCCGGGGGTTGCGGTGGGGATGCTGGGGATGGGGGGTGTGCGAAGTAAGCACTAATGGCTTCGATGCAGATGTTCTGGAAAACTGCCACGATTCGATGGTTGATAATGGTGATTTATTAATAATATTCTTAGTGATACTCCGTACAGCACAGTACAGCGTCGTAAATCTGTTTGATGGATCCATCGGGCTGACGCGGACTGTGGAACCTGGGACTTGGAACCACCAGCTCGGTGGATTTCGGAGGGTTTGTTAGATAGGTTCATTAAGTAGAGATACAGGAAATGGCCGGATGTCACGGGATTTGTCACTGAGATGGGGTGGTGTGGCTGAGAATGTAGTGGGTTGGTGTGAGCTGGAGAGTTTGAAGTACGAAGGAAGTGCGTGAGCAGCTGTGTGTCTGTGACTCAGAGTGGCAAGACAAAGCATGAAAGCGCGCGGGTAGTGGCGAGTGGGTGGTGACACTGGTGAGTCGGAGTCGGATGCGAAAAGGGAAAAAGGGGGGCGGGCGAGATCGGAGGAGAGGATAGGATAGGATAGGATAGGCAAGGTAATCACACGGTACGAAGGACTAATTCCCCAGTCTTTGTTGGACCCCGGGATGGGTTGGGGTTTTCTCTCACGAGAGCGAATTACAGTGCATGGCCGGCGGCTGCGGCTGCGGCGACGCGATGGAGAGTCATATCCGTGATCAAGGCTGGACGGGGGCGAAATTGATAATCAGTGATGATGTGTTGGTGTCTGGTCTCCTCGGGGATTCTCCTCGGTTTGCCTTCGGTTTACGAAGTCAGATACTGTAGTTGAGTCACCTGATATCGTTATCTGGCCAGCTTGGCAAAGGAGAAGATACAGCACCGCACAGCACAGCACAGTCAGCTCAGCTGGCGATTGGGGACTCATTATCTCGCCGTTGAAGCGGGGATGGGTGAAGATATACGAGCATACCCGCGGACTACCGGTGGTGCATGCCTTTTCGACTTTTGCGGCCATAATGTTGTGTGTTACCGGAGGATGCGGCTGGCACGAAAGGTACGAGGTACGAAGGCAAATTACTGCGGTTCTTTGATCCGACACCGAACGTGACGGGCCGCGGGCTGGTGATGGCAATGCTGAGGCGGTTGAGTCATAGGGGGGAATCAGAATGATTGGGTTTGGTGAGAGGTGCGAGGGGGAATGATTATCCGGGCCCCGAGGCATGGCCTGTCTCTTGGAGGGCAAGAGATGATATCCTTGGTTTGGAGGTGTTACTGGTCTAGTAAAGATGACCCGAAACACTTTGTTTGTGTTGTGTTGTATTATTGTGTTCAAGTTGTGTTATTAGTAAGGTAAGGTAAGCTAAGGTGAGCCTGGTGAGGTGAGGTGAGAAGGTGCCTCACAAATGATACTTGTAGTAATAACAGGACGACTAAAACCGGAGAGATGCAGGTAAACCCGGCCACACACAAATAAATAACACACACTACAACTCACACTACAGTACAGCTGTACACTATGAGCATGAGGCAGAAACACGCTGCAGCAAAGGAGGGTTTCCGTGTCTGCAAGCGTCGCGCCGTCCAATGATATCGGGGAGTTCCTGTCGAGCGGGGAAGTCGAGGCTGGCTGTTATTGGTGTGTGATGGCATGGATACGAAGCAGGAAGGCCTTGATAGGCCGCCCGCGAAAGGAAGAAAGGAAGAAGGGAAGAAAGGCAGAAAAGGCAGCATCATTTACCTGTATTCCCTGGCCGTGGCATACATATCCTCTGGCGTTGGTTTCCCGGAAATACCTGCCACCGGTCTGATCTGCGGTTTCTGTCTTTTTTTAGATGACGATGCTCCGGTATCTCTCTGTACTGTGGTCTGTAGAGGGATCTCTCCGCAGTCAGCAGGCAGGAAAGGCTGTCTCCGGGCTCCGTCTCAGCCTGATCGAGGGGGCTGAGGGCGGGTTGGATGGCTTTGAAACCATAGATGAGACAGGTGGAGTTAATAATAAATGGGCTCGATGAGTAACAAGTACATGTCACACTCGAGCGACCTTCGTGGGCTCGGTAGGTACTAGGCACATCTCTGCCCAGCGTGCCAGCCAATGGCAGCGCGTACGTGTACGTATCGAGATGAGTCGATCGTCCGAATGGATGCGCGACGTGGCGATACCTACGTTCGAGGGGCGGGCGGATGGTGGCAAGTTGCGGCCTGGCTGCTGGTTGCTGCCCTGAGCTCGGCATCAGCTTCACGGTCGTGACTCGAGCAAAGCGGACACGACAACGCTTACGAGTGTAATGTCCTGTCTGTTTCTGGTAGGCGAAGAGGAGTGAGTGAGTGAGTGAGTGAAGCACAGCATAATTCGGGAGAGGCTTAGAGGGACGACATTCGTCGTTCGAAACCCTTGGATTAGTATGAATTTTAGGTGCTTGTTTGTGTCGCACATATTTCCGTACAGTGCGCAGTGTATTCTCTAGGCTACACAGCGCTACACAACACAGCAGAGCACAGCACAACGCAGCGTTGCGCTGCACCGCACAGCTCAGCAATTGACCTGTGCATGCATCGCCTTTGGCCTTGCCTTTTCTTTGACTCTGCTTACTCCGGCCGTCCAGGCGAAGGCGAAGGCGAAGCCAGGCAGGCGGGGCGGCGGGTGAGCGAGAGGGAGGGGTCAGAATAGAAACCGGATCCCTTTTTTCGCGCCTAGCACCTAGTAGTTAGTATACGTACTCTGGAGACACTACTTTGGCAAATCATTAGTTTCGGATCTCGATCGCAGAGATAGGGGGGAGGCGGAGGGGAAGGGGGGAAGAGGGGGCGATAAGGTGGAGTCATTGCTCTGGAGATGGAGATGGATATGGATATGGATTATGGATATGTGGTTATGGCTTGGTAGGCAGTGCTCTGGGATGGGATCCAGGTTGCATCGAGGATCGGAGGAGGCATTCGAGACGGCGCTGGCCGAGTGCAGTCCAAACCTTCAAAAAGTTGGCGGGCGAAGGCGACTCCGACGAGGAGGATGCGGCCGAAATGGCACGAAGTAGGATGGAGTTTACTGTACTCTGTACGTTAGCAGAGGAGCTTGTGCTCGAGCATGTACGTATGTATGGGCGATAGACTTTCGAGTGCGACGGCGATAGAACTTGCTGAAATGAATGACTTTGGTGTTCCTGAGCATGGTGTAGGTACCTAGGTACCTAAGGTAGCCATGTATGAGTGCGGTGCGAGCGAGCACTCGGGGGGGCGTGGCTGGAGTGCTGGTCAGCGTCATCAGGGCGGCTGCTGAGTGGTTGGACGAGGCGGAGCTGCACCTGGAGTCGTGGGCCGAGCAGAGTGGCGGGGTGGACATAACGTGAGATACTGGACACGGTGACTCTTCTGCCCCAGCCCAGCCCAGCGTGCACCGACCACCACCATGGGTAGATCACCATCGACCTGTGGTCGCCAACCAACCAGCAGTCCCGGCTTGCTCAGCGCCCCCAATGACCCCGATGCCCCCCCCAAATTCTGCCCAGTGCCCAGTGCCCAGCCACGCTGCAACCGAATCCTCCTCCCAGACACCACCCGCACCCGGCAGGCAGTACGTACTTCGTAGTGTAGTAGTGAGAACTGAGCAGCAGTAAACAGCAGTCAAACAGGAGCAGTACTCCAGTGCCCCCCCTTCGCCCTCGCCCTCACCCTCACCCTCATCCCCAGTAACCATACACATCTAGATGTGTATAAGAGACAGTCCCACCCCTCTGCGCGTCGTCCACTGTGTCCGTCCCACCGCCACTGGAGTATGAGTCCACACCACCCGCCTCTCGCCCTCGCCGCTCCCTCCAGCGAAAACCCCCCATAGCAACAAAACCTCGTCCTCGCCCGCTCCCCTTCGCCTTCGCCTTCGCTTTCTGCCCTCATCACCGCAATGTATGATTCCCAGGTCTAGACGAAAGCGGCTCTGAGAAGTCTGCACCAGCACCCACCGCCACCCACCGCCGACCCCGTTATCATCTATCTCTCCATCTATTTATTCCCCTATCTATATCTATTCTATCAAACAATCATCGCGTCCCGTCTACCGCAAACTCGCCTCAGTCACCATCCCTCTCTTCGCCTCCCCCCAGGGTGACTGATTATTGACGAGACACACACCACCACATCAACTGATCTGATCTCCCACAACACCACACCACAACCACGCAACTCTCGCCTTTCTACCTAACTCTTGGTTCCTTTTTGCCACTTTCTCTCTGCCTTCGCGCCTATTTTTTCCTTCGAATCTTTGTTCCTCTAGAGATACCCCCGTCCCCACAGGACGCTGCCTTGCCTGCCTACTCCTGCTCCTCCTACCTGCCTGCGCGGATTCCGAGAGGAACACCCGCCGCCCACGCTTGGCTGTCGCCACTGCCACTGCCTCCGACGCTGATACCGACCCTGAGCCAGAGCCAGAGCCAGAGCCAGACGAACAGTCACACTCGCTCAGTCTGAGTCCCTCTGAGTCGACACCACCGCCGACAACAACAACTACCACACCACTCACTCACTCACTCACCACGCGCCCCCTTTAACTTCTCTACCTAAATACCTCCCTAACTCCCCGTCGCGCTTCAGCCACCATCGCGCGATACAAGACCACTCCACTCAATCCTTCAGTTTCTCGTTGTTTATTAACCTCCCTCGATCGCCCGCTTCCCGCTGCTGCATTCACCAGCCACACCTCTCTCCCTCTCTCTCGACACTCTCCCTCTCGACCTCTCTCTATCTCCCTCGTCCTCATCCTCAGTTCGCGATCCATCTCGAATAAATACGTACCTTGGGGACTCCCCCGCCCGCCCTGATGGTCGCTGGTAGCCACTACTAGCCCATCATTTACCGCCACCGTTACCATTTTCATCGTCGAAAAGGGTTCATCATGAACCTCGCCCTCTCTAAATTCACCCCAGTCGCCAGTCTTACATCGTCAGCCGGTTTTATCGTACGCTCAGAGGTCTCAGAGACTTCTTTGCGTTAACTTGGTCCCTCCTTCCTCCCTCGATCATCCAGCTCCCGCAACGGCACTCGTGTTGTTGCATGAGCCTGTATCTAGTCAGCAAGGTTTCACGGATTCAGTTATAACGGTTTAATCGATTTGGCTTTGTACAGACGGCGACTGGAGCTTGTTTTCTTGAAGATTCAAACCTCCTAAACCCCTCGAAACAAAAATAAAACCCCGAAGATGAATGGCCGCGAAGATGATTCGCCGCCCTACATCGCCCTCTACGGAAACGGCCACGGCCCATACAGCTCCTCAATAGCCTCCTCAGCCTCGTCCTCCTCCGCCTCCGTCTGGTCCGATTCCGCCTCCCAGTCATCGGACGACTCCTCAGTTACCAGCACCTCCGATTCCGAACCCGCGGAGACGTATAACTGCCCACCTTCATTTGTGGCGGCCACCAACGCCTGCGAAAAAGAGATATCGGTCGCAACGTACTGGCCCAAGAAACATAAATCTACCCAGCTCCCACCCCAACAGCAGCGACAGCACCCAAGAAGAACGAGCGCGGAAACCTCGCTCCCGAGATGCCCCCCCTCGTTAGTCCGCCAAAGCGACCGAAAGGTCAGCTTCGTCGATAGCCTCGTCGGTAAGATAGAATTAAGTACCTTGAAGTGTGTCCCCTTGCTCAATATTCCCCTCTAGATTCTTCCGCCCAGATTGTTGAAGCCATCTGGCCGCTGTCGTCCGTTGTTTGTAGAAACGATATAGGTAATAAGGGTGTTCTTCCGCTCCGCACATTCATTCAGGAGACGCTGCGCAGATCAAGAACAAGTTACTCGACCTTGCAGGTTGCGTTGTACTACCTGATCCTGATTAAGCCGCATGTGCCCAAGCATGATTTCACGATGGAGCAACCCGATGATGCGCACTCGATCCGCGCTCTGCAATGTGGTCGACGAATGTTCCTTTCTGCTCTGATTCTTGCATCCAAGTATCTTCAAGACCGGAACTTCTCGGCCCGTGCGTGGAGCAAGATCTCTGGACTGAACACTTTGGAAATCAACCAAAATGAGATGGCTTTCCTCTTGGCCGTCAACTGGCAGTTGCATATTACTGATGCCGTCTTCCAACGCTGGACCGACATCGTTCTCAAATACACTCCCACGCAACCCCCGTCTGCGGGAGCAGCGTGTCCTCGACTTGCTGAGCAATCGGCGAATTGGAAATTAATAATTCTTAAGCTCAACCCCGCGTTGGATAACGTGGATGGGATCTCACCATCGGTATCTGCTAAGGATAGGTCTATGCCTCATTCTAGCCCACGGTCGCTCCCACCAATGGTTGCCGACCATGCCACATTTGGATATGGTTCGAATGAATCTACCCCAACTCCAAAGTACTACGCACCTAGTGTTATGGAGCCTTGTCTTCCGACGAGCGCTCAGAGCAGACCCGCACCAGCCCCTGGCCTGCTGCCCACCCCAAGGCTGACGCCCCAAAGTTCCGGATTCAACACTCCTGCAGTGAGTGCGGCTTCCTATATACTCGGCAAATCGGCGATGGGTTGCGCTATGGCTCAGGCATCAACTGCCAGCGTCTCGCAGCTGACGGAAAGATGGCCAACCTCTTCGCCTCAATCATACGTCTGCCGCCGGTCCTCCTTGGCCAGCTCGGTCTCTTCAATGTCCTCGCCAGAATCAATGGTCTCGGACACATCATCTCGGTCCTCTCGGTCCTCTTCGATCTCATCCGCCTCGTCTTTGATGAGCGCGCCGATCTCCACGAAACTGGATGTTCAGGCGCGCTGTCGCTACGCGAAGCTGTGCAGTGAGAGACAGACACGGACCGTCATTGCTCCCGTCCCAGAATACGGCGATAATGGCCCAACCTCATCGCCAGAGTCCTACACCGGCCCAGTTGGCAAGGACTTTGTTGATTTATCGCTGGATACTCCATTGGCAAAAAGAGACCTTGACGCGGATTTCTTCTCGAAGGACGAAGAAGCCGCCCGTGCTCTACAAGAACTTCACAACCATCCCCGGTCTGTAGACTCTCCAAGTAGAGCTGGCGCGAAACGTAGTCGCCCCCAATCAATTGATAACTCTCTGCAAGAAAATGTTAGAGAGATGTTGAGCGGCCGTTATGAGTCAACCGCGAGTAATTGGTCCGAGAACCTGACCAGGTCACGTGCTCTGCGTGTGACCTCAAGTCTTCAACAAGTCGGTGTCGAATCGACATCCAGTGCGTCAGTCGGACGGAAACGCGTGTGTTGCGCGACAGAAGCTACGCGGAGTCTCCCGCAATCAAATAACCTTCACCCAGCCCTAGGCGGCTTTGGCGGCCCAGGCATGTGGGAAGGAATACTTAATTAATCAAAAAGCGCCATCCCTTTGAAAAATGGTCAAGAAGGAAATCCGCCCTATACATATTACATCCTCGCAAAATGCCTTTTGTCACAACAGTTACACCTTTTCTTTTGTTTCACATCACCAAGGTGGTGGGTGGGGTTGGGGGTTTCGTCGGCTTGCATACACAGGTACATGCGTGATTTGCTCTTAGGGGATAGGCTAGCTGGGGGTTGTTTGCGGGTTCCTCGAATCTCATCATTCAGAAACTGCATTTTCTCGATGGAGTTTTTAGATGGGATAAGATGGGGATTCCCGATACATACATACATACAGCTTGCAGCGTTTTCTTTCGGAAAGGCATGGCATAGCATGGATATCTTTCGTTATGCATGGTGGGCGAGGCCAATATGTGGCGGCGGACCTTGTACGTTAGTAGTCGTAGTAAGTAAGTAGCTGAATGGAGAGAGATCTGATCGTAAGTTGAGTCTTTTTTATGGAGTTTGGTGACAATTGCTTTGTGTATTGGTTACAGTGAGTGGAGTCGAGTGGCTTTCGATACCCTCAAGTGAGATAGTAATGGCTCCGACTCTGGCACGACCTTGATGGGTTTGAGTTTATTAGCTCGGCATACTGCTCCCCACCAGAGGGGTCAACGGATCCATCCATAACCTCATCAAACAGCTGCAAATGACGACTCGCGTCCAATGGCCTACCGACACGCGGGATACAATCCTCTAGATCGAGGAACTTGGCAAGTAAGTAAGTGGAAGCCCTCGCCATCTTAGATGACCCGGGTCATATTTTTGATGGCACTTACGTAGGTACGTACATACCTTGCCTAGGAATGGAGGGTATCTTCAGAGTTTTCGTGCTTCTAGTATTTGTCCATTTTATGCTAGCTTAACTGGCCCTCGACTAGTAGGTAGGTAGGGTAGGCAGGTGGTTCATTCACTCTTGTGTTTTCATGGGCTTACATCTTCCCATCTCGTCGTCATATCTCCGGCTTGGCAACAGGATGCTTCGATGCTGGATTATTCCTCACCGTGCTAGCTGTATTTGTACTTTCGCCAGTAGCGAGATAGAGCTCTTGGTCTAGATTTCTTTCTGCCCCAGGTGGGCGGTTAATGATTATAGGGCATTAGCTTGTTTGCACAATATCGTTCTTCTCCGAGGATTCAATAGGACATTGATGGTGGTGCAAGATATTATGCTATGGCTTGATTTGGAGTTAATCTAATGCTATATAAAGTGATCCCCTGGGTATGAGGATTTTCTGAGCAGGAGATCAGATATGCGAGGGGGTCTGTTTTCTGTGCGCTTATGAGAGACCGTCGGAGGCTGGTGGGCCGCGGTAGACTGTGAGTTATGGCGGTTAGTTATGGGATTGGTAGTGGAGAAGGAAAGAGGAAGGAAGTGAGGATTTCCTTTCATTCGCATTCTCATACTCCGTCTCACCTCGCTTATCCACAAAATGGGGGAGTAAAGGCCAAGAGGAGAAAACGAGCGAGGGCAAAAACTCACCCCTCCTAGCATATACCCCATACCACACAGCACTTATCATCAAAAACGCCACAAAAACCACACTCGCATAATTCATACTCGACGCCGTCACCGGCAGCAGATTCGGCAAGCTAAACAGCACAACCTCGAACCCAATCCAGCATAAACTCACCACGTTAACCAACGTTCCAACGAGCGATCCGCAATTCCAGCGTGCTTGGCTCACCTCCCTTCGTCTGTCCCAGAGGAGGGATATGGCGATGGGGATCGCGTATGAGACCGCTAGGGCGATGACGCCCACCGAGATGAACGCCGTGAAGGCGCTGCTGCTCCCGAGGTTGATGAGCCCGAGTGCCATTTGCACGGCTGTGACGAGCAGCAGGGCGTATACCGGGGCATTGAGCGTTTCGTTTACCGTGGAGAAGAGCGCTGCGCCGGGAATGGCGTCGTCGCGCGCGAATGCCCAGGTGCAGCGTGACGCGGCCACCGTGATGCTGATGCTGCAGAACATGGTGACACCCAGGACTAGAAGCGTGAGTCCGAGACCGCCGCCGCGGCTGCCCATCACGGCGTGGAATATATATGGGAGGGCTTGTCCCGAGGGCGCTGACACGATGGCTTCCAGCGGTGGCAGCGTGGCGCATATGGGGATGATGAAGAAGAGGCCTGCGAGGCCGCCGGTTGGGATGCAGAGGGACATTGCGAGCGGGACTTTGAGGGCTGGGTCGGATACTTCTTCGGCCATGGAGGAGATCATGCCGATGGCCGAGAATGTGTAGGCTGCTGGTAACAAGCCGATGAAGAAGGTGAAGCCGCCCCAGCCGGAGAGGCTGGTGTCGTAGTGTCCCAAGGTGTAGGCTGCGCTGTGGCGGCCGACGTCTGCCTTGACGGATAGGGCAACGAGGATGATGAGGATGCTAATGGCTGTCCAGCCGGCGCAGATGGTGTCGACCATAGGGAGGAGGCGGTTCCCAAAGGTGCAGATGAAGAGTGTGATGAGACATATTGCGTAGAAGATCAGGAGGAGTTGCCAGGGCGTGGCAGTGAAATCTTCATGGAACATGGTAATCGTGGCGGATATCAACGAGGCGAAGCCGAAGTTCACGGATAGGGTGATGGTCCAATTCCCTATAAGCCATATCCACCCCGTGATAAAAGATAATTCCGTCTTGTGTCTCTTGGCGATCTGGAAAGACCACTGAATGGATCGGGAGTTAATATTTCCCCCCCTCTTTAGGTGGGAGTTTAGGGGTAAGTGGCTGAGGAGGAAAGTTCAAGGAACGAGAGACATGTTCTTCGGCGAAAAGCCTCAAGCAACCCGGTTATCACTTACATAGTATGGCCCAGCAGACGTCGGATATCTCGACGCTAGCTCGCCCAACGAGAGAGCGACACATTCATCGAGCACAAGAACAACCAGCCATCCCACAAAGATAGATAGTTGGCCGCCGCCATAAATGGCTACGAGGAGCGGACTGCCCTCGCCATAGGGAATAGCCGCGATGGCGAGCGTTTGGAATAGTAGGGTGAAGAGGGAACGGTTCCGTCGCAGTTCCGGGGTGTAGCCTAGGGCGGTTAAGCTGTCGAGGTCTTGGATGCTTCTAATGTCAGATCTTGCGGTTGTTTTGTTTGGAGGTGTTGCTGTGGATGTGCCTTTTTCGTCGGCCTGGGGTGGGATGACTTCGAGGGGCATGATGGCGTTTTGGGGAATGGAGAGATCGGGATGGGAGATTCCCGGACGTAAGATTGCGGAGAGGAAGATATCTTGCGATTTTGATTTAGTCCCGAAGATTCTAGTTGAAGGTTGTTGGCTGGTTGTCGCCCTCAACCTCACCGTTTCCGGTTCAATTTGCTATCGTCATCGCCATCCATCGCAGGGGCAACAGCAGGCGAAAGATCCCTCGCGAAGACCAACGAAAACAACAATTACCCACCCAGAAAAAGTGGGTTATACAGTATTTGAAAGGGCATCTCCACTGGATGTTTCAAAAATCCAACAAGCAGGCATGGATTGGAACCCTCAGCTCGAGCTCAGCTCTCATGTTGTGTAACGGAAGTACCCCTCAGCCACCTATCGGAGGTTGTACAACCCCGGATGAATAAAAGTAAGTCAAATCAACTATCAAGGACAATATAACAATTAGGCGGAGAAGCAACAAGGGCTTTTGACGATAAGCGCCGAAGGACTTCTTTTCATGAGCGTACTATTTCTCCTACCCTGCATATGCATACTATGTTGGAGGTTTTCTGCTCGAGCTGGGCCATACCGGCCAAGGTATCTGTAGGTAAAATAGGGCTATCTGTCGCCCCTGCATATGCAGGGTCCTTATATGCGAAGACGCAGTACATAGATTGCGAGGTAGACTTATCTGCGCAGGTACTTCTACTGTATTGCCATATGTGGTACGAGATTCCCGTGACTAGGATGGGCGGAAAAGTGGTATTAATACTGAATGGGCATGGGTCCACCAAACTGGGAGGGGTTGAAGAGACATGGGAATAGAGGGTTGACGATGATACATACGCAGCTTTCTTGGTTAGTATCGCAATAAGACATGGGGAGAAGGTTTGGAAGTAGATGCTGCTCCATTTATGTCAGCGATTATGTTAAATCACCGTTCTAGGAGAATGAAAGTGCATATAGAGCGGTTTAAGCTGCCATTGCCTATCAAATGAGTCTCCAACCTCGGAAATATCTATGCTAGAAGTACCATCCCTGCAAAGGCCGGCGGTGTTAGTAAACACCATTTTGATTTCTACGTTGGGGATACTTCGCCCGTCTCGCAACAAAAACTTGAAACTCAGAACACATATGATCCCAAAACCGGTCGCGTGGATTTAATGAACGGCCCTAGAGGCATAACGACGAGCTGATTGATATCCCCGTCAAAGAAAACGTCACTATCGATAACCTTCCTGGCAACTGTCTCGTTTTGGGCCAATAGACTTGATACGAGAGCGCCTAGGATACCACCAACCGAATGGTGAACGAAGGTAGAAAATAGATGTTGACTGAAGCTGCGGAATCTAGTCAGAAAGACATGCTTATAGGGCGGGTTGGCGACCATAAAACCTACAATGATGACAGGAAATCCACGAGAAATAGAAAGCGCAATTGTCTCAGCCAGCTCGGCTGATTCTCTGGTGTGTATGAAGTGTTGAGGCCCTAATGATATCGAAGCCACCTACATATGGGAGATAATAACTGACAAGGAATACCTGCAGCGAACAACATCCAATAACCGACCACCAAGGATGACATGAAAGCTGTCATACCATTCTACCGGTGTGAGTACCCACCCGATGTAGACAAGACTAATAGTAGTAATGACGGGCTAGAAGATATAGTACAGAGCAAGACAATATTGCATCAGTGAAATCAGATGCCTGTCATTCCTTAAGGATGGCTGGGGGGGATTGTGGAAAGGAACAAATTGACGACCAATCTTTGTATGCAAATGGGGGATATTAAGAGATAACTTTCTTCTATATACGATATAGGGTCTCTTATATTCAACATTACTTTGATATGAACATTATATTAGGTTGGCCATCTCCGGGTGATGGCAATGCGGGCAACACTCCGGCGCCGCTCTATTTCCCAAATAGGTGAATAAAAAGACCATCCATGCACCTATTTCACCTTGAGGCAATCTGTGGCTCAGGGCCCATTATGCAGCGGTATCGTTGAGAGGCCCAAAAACGCCTTGCGAGCCTCATGGCAGTGTTAGTGGCTAAGACGCTAAGTTGATCAATTAACATCCGTGTGTTCCAAGGTCAACCGAGCTGCTGTATTGGGACACGGGTTTTGCATCGTTTTTAGTTTCTCTACGTGAAAGGGTATATATAGTGGGTGGTGACCCCCCCACGCATCTTTCATAAATAGAATGATTTCGCACGCAATCTTTGTAGGCAGGATGAGCATTTGGTCACTTCGAGTCTGCCAGATCCCATCTCCACCGGAACGTGTGGATAATCTAACGAGTCTAAATAGCCCGCCTGACCTCGTTCTGCGGTAGAAAGTTATCGCAGAAGCATTTCTGACCTTAATATGTCACCTGAACCTTCCACGAAACGATGGAATTTTGATGACAACTCGTCTTTAACGCACATTTCGCAACCACGACTCCTTCTCCAACGAATGGCGTTTAGGTATAGTTTTAGGTATTCTGCTACCAGAGATGTCGACCTGTTTCGATCCTCGCAGCGTTGAATCTCTCAGAACAAGCAGCTGACGCCTGCAATTTCATCAAAATATTCCCACCACGACTGCTTTCTGACTTCCGCGGAGTTGTCAAGTGTCAACCATCGCCGTTCAAGGAACGATTCGAGGGATCTGAGAGCCTCGAATGATAGATATACCGATGTTTTCTCAAGGCTTTTTCGAATGGCACCCCTCTGTTCGGGAATCACGCAATGGGATCCGATGACCAACATCGGGAATAAAATGCAGTGGTGAAGTTTATCAGTGAGGCCTGTCCCACCGATGACCCCTATACCGCTTGTCACAGCTTGCTGGACCAAAGGATGGTCGACATCGAGACTACTCAGAGCTCGGTATAGATACAATGAAGCGCTAAAGCGGTATGCCGAGCAAAACGCTGCCCACGCCACAGAATCTGTAGTGGTACTGGTGGCATGTTGATCGGCTGCCTGTTGATCTAGAGACGATTGAATAGACGCCAGTGTGTCTATCTCGACAATGTCTTTGCAGGTTCGAACCCCAGCGCCAAGATTCGCCAGCCGTGCCATAATGGCCATTGTTTCAATGAAAGGATTATTCGGCTTGACGTTTCCCCACCATGATTCGCTATTTCCGAATTCAGCCCAAGACGATGGTTCGAAATATGGCGAGTCGCCGATTAGTAGGGAGTGGGTGAGGTCCATTGTGGCAAATATTGACAGCATCAAAACCGGGAGCTCCTGCTTCAACTCAAACACGCTGCGCGCCCCCGCCCATAGCTTAAGAATGGCCTTTCCTCCGACAAGATGGTGGTGTGTTGCGGAGGTTGAAACGGGTTCGATAATGCCGTCGAGGATACACAGTAATACATTTGCAATAAACAAACTGCTTGTAACTTCGTCGGAATGCGCGGTCATCAATTGCTCCCGGAAGACGCGTAATGCGCGGTTCCGGCTCTGTATCTTTTGCAAGACGAGGGCTTTCCCATCAACACTTCGGTAGGCGGCATGGGCATTAGCGACGGCGATGGCGCTTTCGAACAAGACTGGGTCCTTCTCCAGGAGCTTCAGATCAATGGTTGGCACAGTATTTGTTAAGTTGAAACGTGGGAGAAGTTCGTTCTCGAAGTACATCAGATAGTGATCACTGTTCCGTTGCAGTGTCGGCTTCTGATAGAGTGGGACCTTCTGCCCAGCAAACCGGCCTCTGGACGCTACACAGTCTGTCCATTTTAGACGGAGGGCACCATAGTCACAGCGGCGCCCAGTCTTGGTGCATTTGACGCAAGCGGGCAGGGTGAGATCGCAGATAACTCGGCGCTCTTTGCAGGACCAGCAAGATCCCTCAACGGTGCGGATGCGCGGCGGCATGGAGAAGAGAGGGTCAGGAAGGCATGAATATGCCGTGCGATACTCGAGAACTCGTACGTAGGATTTGGAGGGAGAGAGAGCAGAGGAGACCAGATGGCGATCGGCATGAGAGACGGAAGTAAGGGGCAGACGACGGGGAACTGTTACTATCTGCTTCTCTTTAGCACAGCCTTGCTGCGGCACTTACTCCGCAATGTATTGGCCCGGTTTGTTCAGCTGAGAAACAGACGAAATAAAGCTCCAGCTTGAAAATATGATGTCCGGCCAGCACGTGCCATAATACTGATTCAAGTACCTAATAAGGTACTCAAGGTACCTGGGTACTCGTAACTCCTCGAAGCCCGCCTCCCCGCGTTGAGGCGTGGGTGACGACGAAGCGAATACGAGTATTCAGATCGCATGTAACAAAGGGATTTGCAACATCATGTCCTTCCTCTCTCGCCTCCTGAGCGTTGCATGTTCACGTTGCGTCTAGAATGTGATTTGGGGTCTCGAATCTCGATGGATGCAAGCACTCCGACAAATGATTCCACGTGGAAATATTCATTGTTCTGGACAACTTCTATGTTTCTTCCCCCATCGCTGCAACCACTATTATGGCGCCCGTACGAAGGTACTGGTCTCGGAATATGACACTGTTAGGATCCCCAGCCCACTAGCACAGTTAATAAAACTCTCCAGTTATCTCTCCGCCATGTACTCGACGCCCGATATGGAAGTAATGAAAACCTCGATCGTCAAGTGGCGCGATGGACCGGCTTCACGAGTGATATGAGTGAGGCTTGGGAATCGAACAGGATTCGGATAATTTCAAGGTCGATAAGTACTTCGTTGCAATTGAGACCTCCCGTTCTAGTTGCTCCAAGGGAGATGGTGGTAGGCTATTGGAAACCCTCTCATATTGTCAATAGCCTTATTTCTAGTTTTGTTTTATTGCTGTTCTTACCTATTATAAATTCCCTGTCTTGCGAGTATGAATTAACAGTAGAGTAGTAAGTTAGCAACAAGGCGCTTCCAAAAGCTTGATGATTTGGTGTTTGGATTGGAGACATTTAACTAAAGCGTGGCGATTAATCGAAGATGGGCGGAGTTTGTTAATGCTCGTTGTAAAGAGACGTCGAAAAGAGCTCGCACAGTAGAGTAAAGTGTGGGTGTGATGAGGAAGGAAACCCGAGAATGCCATATGCCAGGTGTACTAGGTAGGTAGGCAGAGGTTGATGCCCGACCTCTGCTATTAGAGGGTATAGTATTTGATCGGGGTAGTTTAATATAGTACAAATAAACACGACCTCCTTTGTTATACTTGTAATACATAGGTAGGTAACTTCTACCTAGGTGGTATTTATTCTCTTTGGCTTCCCGTGATGCAACAGCCTCTTAAGACCCCTAGAGAAGCTTACTAGTCCCACACATCGCCTCAAAACTTTTCTTCTGCTATTAAATAACATGCCCAGGCTTACCAGCCCCGGTATGGGGGCATTGTACGAATATATCATTATTACCCCTGGATGTTTCTTCTTGACCTTGTGGTTGCCTCTACCATTCCTTGAGCAGGTCACGTCTTCTTTCTAGACAACAGCCGACTAGTCAACCAGGCATATATTGATAAGTTAGGACCCCCGCAATCACATCCCACCTTTTTCTGTCCCCTTAAGGGATGCAAAGCCTCCAATTCCAGTCCATCTTCCTTCCCCCTTTCTCGCTCTCCCTCTATCCGCCTCAACAACACCATATACCTCCAACACCGCTTCACCACGCTTCCTCGCCTTCGTCGCTCCTTCCCCCCTTCTAGAACCTGAACTCTATATTAGCTTCTCGCAATCACAAACGCAATCACAAACTTTATAATGGACAAGCTATTCCCTTTTCCATTCTGAAGCTAGGTAGGTAACTGCTAAACTGGTGACCAATGGGCATTTTCTCTTCGCATCTGGTGAGTTTCAAATTGGGTTTGGAGTGTCGCTCTCACCGCGCTACTCGCTACTCGCAATCACCACACTAGATACGCGCATAGCATATAAGGCTGCCCTCCCACTACCTTCTTCCTCTTCTTTTCTTTCCTCCTCGCTTTGCTCGCTGTGATCATCTCGATGTCTCGCTTTAGCTCTGCACTTTCCGCACGCAGGTCCCTGGACTGTGTTGCTTCCCCTTCCCATGCGTCGGCCCTTCGCGGTCGTGGGTTCATGTCCCACACTCTCCAACCAGCTTCCACCCGTCTAGCTTTCTCGACCGGACCACGAAGCTCTCATAATGCGTCGGCCCTCAGCGGTCGTGGGTTCATGTCCCACACTCTTCAACCAGCTTCCACCCGTCTACCGTTCTCGACCGGACCACGAAGCATTTCGCCATCATCGTCTGTTCACACCATGCCTTCACCTCCTACCTCGATCGCGTCGAGCTTTTCGCCAACGTTGGATATGGGAGAGGCTGTTGGCACCGGGGTGGGCTATATTGGTGACGAATCCCCCTCCTTCCGATCTGTTTGGTCTTCATCCTCCTTTGGTTCCCGTTTTGCTTCTTGTACTTCTGCTCCTCTCCCTTCTTGTCATCCTCCTTCTTGTCCCTCCCCTTCCAATCCTCTTCCTTCTTGGGTTCCTGGCTCTCGTCCCTCTGCTTCGCGTCCTGTTGGCACTGAAGATATCCCGTCAGAACTTTATCATGCATGTGCAAAGTTGCCCGAGTTCTTCTGGAGGGTTCTAACCGGCACCTATGAGACCTCAAGTGAGGAAGAGTCGTCCGTGTCAGACAAGGTATCCCCCGAAGAACAGTCAGGAGTATCTGATGAGGCCTTGGAAGTGTTTGACCCTTCTTGGGTGCCTCAAGTGGGCCCCGTGGGGCCGGACAGCGATAGTAGTGATTCGTGGTCAGGTTTGTCAGAAAGTTCTGATGATATGACATTGTATACAGCCTCACCGTCGCCTCCCTGGACTGACCGGTCCTACGAGGGTAGTGGATCAAGTGACCTGGTGTCGATGGGATCCCCCTGTATTCAATTCTCTTTTGTTCAAGCGTGTTCGCGTGCGAGTTCTCCTGCGTTTGAGTCCCCAAAAAAGACCTATCCCCCTGCGGCTTGGATGAACCCGCATCACAAGCGTGAGTGGGCACCCCGTCTTGAGGAAGTTTATCAGAGAGAGCTTGCCGCTCTAAAGTTCGAGTCGTCTCGATACAAGTGTGAGATCAGTGACGTTCTCTCTGTGTCCCCGGCGGCTTCCAAGCCCCGTACTTACTCGCCAGTTCCAAACGTAGTTCGCCCCGTTTTCCCTCGCATTCCGCAAGTGCGGAACAGCCGGTGGACAAGTCGTCCATTCAATCCTTACTGTTTCCTTGACTCTGTGACTGCTCCCTCGCCTGTTCGTGTTCCTTCTCCTGTTCCTTCTCCTATGACTCCCAAGGCCAGTGTCTATTCGCCCACTCCAGTTCGCCCTATTCTCCCTTCGATTCCGCAAGTGCGGAACAGTCGGTGGACAAGTCGTCCGTTCGACCCTTATCGCTTCCTTGACTCTGTGACTGCTCCCTCGCCTGTGCCCTGCCATGTTCCCCTGACTGCTCCTATTCCTATCTCCTCTCCCATCCCCATGCCCATCCCCTTGCCCATTCCTGTTGTGACCCAGCCGTCAGCCCGGACCCAGTCCGCCTCTCGGCCAGCCCAGCAGGACGACATGTCGACACCTCCAGCCCCGATTCTGAATCCTCATATCTGCAATGACTCCCCTGAGCCATTGATCCTCGAGTGCGACGAACCAGTTCTGCAACTGGAGTCGACAATTATTGATGATGCTAACAACGAAACCCCAGGGATCCCTGGCTCCTGGCCAGATGACAGCACCGACGATGATTCCAATTCGGAGTTTACCAACTTGTCCAATGCTTTTAAGCGGCCTGCCATGTGAGTATCCTCTTCGTGGCCTCCTGATCATCCAATAATGACATATCATATAGTGCAGTCGTTGGCTTGTCTTGTGTGGTCTTGTGTGCCGCGGCGATGCACTCCTTTTGGTAAGTAGCCCATTTTATGTTTTGCTGACAAGTCTAGGGTGCCTAACAATGGTCTACCTTCTCGTGGTGTTAGGTGTCAGTACCCGATTGCTTGTCACTAGGGGAAGCCAACAGACCTCATAATTTCCCGCTTCCATTTCAAGGTTGGTCAACCACCCCAGCTGATTGTATATCTGCTAAAGTTTTGTGGTCAGCAACTTCTGAATCCGGGGAATGGAAATCCACAGTCTTACATTTGGTTTCTTCAATGATGTATTTGCTTTTTTGCAGCTGGTTGACCTTTTCATCATCGCTCAACAGCCACTGGCAGGTGCAAGTTAGTAATTGAATTGAAAATTTTCCCACACCGCATCGACGCCACCGATGGTTTGTCCATATAGACGTGCTGTGCGAGAGGCAATATTTCTCCAAATGATGTAGAAAGCGACTTTGAATATCACAATTCCCGCTCAATTGCCTTCTGGCCTATAATATGCCTTGTTTCGCCTCCTATTTCACATTATAGGAAACCCCACCTTCCTTCATAGACACATGTACAGCTGTATTGCCTTTTACTCTTTCAATGCATATCTCCGGTTTGACCAAGCTTGGCACCGGTTGACATATATTTTTATTGACTTTACTCGGGTAGACTTCATGGAGCTCAGAAATAGTGATTGGATTTGCAAACTTGGAGATATGAACCATAAATTGTTAGGTTGACAAAATGTACAGTACAGTTGTTAGAAAGAAGCGATTGGATGTTGCAGCTATGTTTAGAAATGAACTTGACGAAGAAGGACAATAAACTCGACGTGCCTAGTTCAAGAGACAAAATTGGAGAGCACGTGTATGCTGATAAACCTGTTGAACAAACTGCAGGATGGGAAGTGAAGAACATGCACATAGAGAACAGATGAGGGGCAAGCAGATACGAGGGGTAAGCATGGCCATAACTGGAACAAAATATGCTCTTAGCGCTTAGCGAAAGGTGTCGGGCTACCATAAGTACGAAACGCATGTATGTAGTTCCGGATTCGTGGTAGATCTGATTCAGTGAGCTACCTACCTACCTACCTATCCGCTAGCTCCTCACTCTTCTCCAACATCATAAACATCATTATACTACGTAACTCCGGCCTAGCGGCGCCTGAAACGCTATGCTATTTTCCCTGTCCAGCCATCATGTCTTGTGCTTCTTCAGGCTAGCCTGCTCTATCGACTTCGTCTACTAAAGATGATGAGGAAATGACGATGCTCAGCTGACGTCTGGTAATCGAACGGCAATGTCGCCGGATTGAGTGATATAGCGGACCCATGGTAATGAGGAGTATTGGAGCTAGAGGGAGATTAGCTAGGCTTTGGTGTATGGAGAGACGGCGATTGAGGATGTAGATTGAGATGCGGCCCAAAAATTTGATGTGGCCACACGATCTAAAATAAGACGGTATAAGGGGGCAAGGGGGGATACATGCCTTCGGCTCGATGATCTTCAGATAGCGGACTTGGATTCCACTCGTCGTGAAATATGGAATCTCAAACTTCACACTGATAGGTCTCTTTGCCCCTTTACCTCCAACGCCACCCATACTACCTCCAAACCCGCCCGTCATGCCACCTCCATGTTCGTCATCGCCTTTGACACTTGGTAGACCCAATTCAGCCCTCATCAAGAACTCCTTATTCCCACCGAATTGCTTGATCTTCCACACAATCGCGCTCTTCTCGGGCGCATAATGCACGCTCCCGATATTCGTTCGGAACCGTGGAGAATCTGCATCTTCAGGCACAGGAACGGTGATTTCGACGTTGTTAGCTGTGCTCCTTCGCTTGAATTGCGCCTTCGCCTTCAACATGTATTCTATCCTACTTCCAGAATGCGATTCCACAATGCATTCTACCCATATCAATGGCTTGACTTGCGTGTTCAGACGGTAGGACATCAGTTCGAACTCTCCATCCGGAGGGATAAAGGAGATAGTGCGGTCGTTCTCGAACCGTGACAGACGGACGCATTGATGGAATTTCACGTCTTCCATTTCGATTGCTTTCCCTCTTGTAGCCCGACCTGTTGTTTCGAACATAACTTTGTCGTTTAGCCCCAGGCGTAACTCAGGCATCCCGGAGAGATAGCATTTCATTTTTATTGCGCCGAGAATTTCGGAGCGGAGAACGTTGCCATTTGACGAGACAAGGAGGTTGAGCGATTCTACAACATCGAGGAAGACTTCATTCTTCCGGTAACGGATACCCTCTGACCGCCACGACACGGCATTTGTAACTGCTATTGGAGGCCGCGCTTGGATTTCCAGCTTGTGTGATTCTTGAGTAATATATTCTTGGAGGATCTTGGATTCGGTGGTTTGGGGATATCCAAAGTCCATCATTTCATCCAAGAGTTCGTAGATGATGACGAAGTTGTCGCGTATTGATTCTTCCTCGAGCTCTTTGAAATACTCGGTGAAGACCTCGACGATTTTATGGAGAAAGAGCAGGATTTCGGCGGCATTTGTGTTTCGTTTTGTCAAGGCTAGAAGGTAGAGATTGTTGTGGCGGATGTAGAGATACTATGACAGCGTCAGAACATGCTACTTCCTGTGCAATAGCCATGTCATGACATACGTTGATTCCTTCGTCTGAGAAACAGGGGGGGACGGCGGAGCTCTCTTCTTCTGCTTCACTCAGTAGTATTGGGAACTTCTCAACCGCGGACATAGGGATGTCTCCTCTATAGTTCCGGGCCAAGAGAGTCTGCCAAGTATCGTCAGTAGACAGTCCGCCATGATCTGCGAATACCATATCATACCTTGCCCTTGAGATCGAGAAAGAAGACAGCGGACGCCATGACAGCGATTGGCACGTAGAGATGGACAACTTGAACTGGGCCGAGCAAGCCAGATTGGCAAGAAGAAGGAGATCAGTTGATCCGCAGCATTCGTAATGGCAATGGCAGAAGATTGGTGGGTATAGTCAGGGGGAAACGATTTAATGTTTCTAGTGTTCCTGCCCCACGCCCGCCATTTCAGTCCAGAGCTCTCTCTCACTGAAGTGGCCGCGTCGCTAACTCGAGCCGCCTAATAGGGCCTAGCGCCGATCCGACGAACACGGAGCCGGGAAATATAAAATCTCGGTCGCGAGTTTCTTTCGGCCTTTTCTCTTCTTCTTTCCAACGCGCCCTTTTAGACAGTGCAGCTCAACATATAAAGCACAACCGGCCTGGCATTCTGTCAGTGCCAACCTTGCCTTCCCATTGATGCAGTTAGCGATTTCGCGGCGCGGAGACTGAACTATAGAGGGACCATAAGAGCTGGCCGGGCATTGCTTGAAAGAGCAACAGGTTGCCTGGGCGGCGTCAGAGGGCCCATACAGACCCGATGCGATGCAGTAGAGTTGATGCGCTTTTGTTTCTGGCTGGCTCCAGGTCAAGCTGTGGCTATTGCTATAGCTGTCGTGGAGACTATAAACGTCGAGGAAGCAGATGCTGTATTGCAAGCGCACTTGAGGTGGCAGGGCAACTTTTCCCTATGTCACCCCAAGTACCACATGCACAAGGTAGTAATTATCACAATATCACAATATGAATGCTTGTAATGGCTTTTGCATCCTATGCCGTTCCACCATTGCCACCTTTGCCACCCCGAGTGCGAAGTATCAGATCCAATTTTCAGCCCTTGGAGCCCATTTATCGATTTATCTCTGACAATTTGCACGTGAGAAGTTGCCTTTTGCCGAATTGGCGGCATGTGATCCGCAGATGCGATGATTGCTTTGTACTTTACACTTTGCACGAAGTACCTACCTGCACTTGGGCATTTGATTGTCCATATGCTGCCAACACCCGCTGCGAGGAATAGACCTGGTTTTGCGCCGATCGCCATCCTGATAGGCAACCCTCAATACAACACCGACTGCGCTGCTGTAGCTCTCGAGACCTTTCTGCGGCTTCCCAGCGCCCCACGGCGTGTCGCATCGAGAGCCAAGTCGACGAGCAACGAGACTCGTTGCTGAGACCGAGGACAACAGGAAACTGTCCGACCATCACTACACGGCACAATATCACCAATGCTGTGCCATTCTGCCGTCGCCTTCTTCCAACCATCTACAAGACGATAGCTATAATATCTATAACTACCTGCTACCATCCGCGTCAACTTCGCGCTCGCGCTCTGCTCTCTGTCTCTGCGCTTAGCATGGAACAAGAGCAGGAGCAAGTTCACATGCTGCGAGAGGAACCCCCATCCTACTCCCTCTCCCAGTCGCACGACCCTCCATCTTTACATCTTCCCTCTGCCCCCTCGACCGATCCCCAACCTGTCCATCATGATCGCACGCTGCCACCCTTACCAGCTCCCGCTCGACCAGAGCCACGAAATAAGTCTGAACCCGAGGAGCATCCGTTCACCTGGCCGTCGTCCAATCCCCTGACGGCATATTACCAGCCGGGACCGGCGCAATTATCGCCCAAGAATACATCGAGTGGCATGGGGTCTCCAACTGCGATGGACCTGGGTACACCTGATAGTCGAGGAGGTCGGGGCGGAAGCGTGCTCTCGATTGATGATCCAGATGTGCGGCTTGCCGCCGAAGCTTTGGGGGATCTTCGTGCTGGTATGTGGATGACACAACAAGAATGCAGCCTTATCAAACTAACAGCGTTGTTTTAGACTTTGTACAATCTCCTCCCCAACGTCACAACTCACTACCCTCATCCTCTCCACGCAATTCCCGAACGAGAGGGGCACAGCAGGCAGAGCCCTTGCTCTCCCTCCTCACAACTTCTCACCCACTAATCGGTACCGCAATCGGGGGCTCCCTCTCAGCCTACTCAGCATCCAAAAACTATAGCCCACGGTTTAAATCGGGCGCGGAATATGTGGAAAAAAGGTTCTCGCCAGTTGTCAATACAGTGGGTTCCGTCGGGCGCCTAACGGGCGTTGAAGGAGGAGTACGTTGGTTTCTCGGTGGGCGGCGACCAAGCCATCACTCACCATCTGATGCGGAAACTGCTGGAGAGGGTTCAAACAAACGCCGCAAAGTTGAGACGGATGGCCAAGAAACGGATAGCAATGTGCCACGCGACCCGTATCCAGTCTACCGGCAAGAATTGCAACATCGACAAAGGGCGCCAAGCCACAGTTCAACAGCCGATAGCCTACCGGCATATGATGATTATAGAAGCCCTAGTTATGAAGACACTGAGAGGGCTTTGGTACCTGCGCAATTACAGGGCGAGGTGAGAAGTCCGGGAAGTTCCTGGCAGTCACGGCTCGTATTATCCACAAGCGGGCTCAGTGTCGCAATGAGCGATGAGAGCTTACGCAGCCTGAAGTATTGCTTAAGCTGGCTCAGCTGGGCGAATGAGCACATCGGGAAAGTCATTCTGGCCTTAAAATCGGCACTAGAGCAATATGATCAATCGCCGGCGTACGAAAATTCTGGCGCAATCACTAATTCCGATGAGAAAGGTGAACAACAAGGACAATTGGTGGTGAGAAGTGAGGCCGAGCGCTCGGCTTTGAATGCGAAGGTCGCAGAACTAAAGGGTGATGTCTTGAAAACATTGAAAGAAGTTGTCGACGTTGTATCAAAATATGCAGGAGGGGCATTGCCAGACAATGCGCGGGAACTAGTCAAGAGACATCTGACATCCTTGCCTCAAAGATTCCGTCTTGCCAATTCGCGCAGCAGCGGGGAAACCGGCAGCTCGCGGAACCTAGAGCAGAGCGATGCAGAGATAGAGGGGGCACACAGAGTTCTGGTCCTAGCCAAAGAAGGGCTCGATATGATGTCGCAGGTATCGGGTGTACTTGATGGTACAATCACCAGTGCAGAGGAATGGTGCGAGAGACTAGGGAAGAAGAAGCGCGAGGAAGCCGAAGGCGAGATGGGCAGTTCCAGCACTCCTGGAAATTTGGAAAAGCCACCTCCTCAATTACCAAAAATAGACGGCCAAGATAATGGGGATTTGAGGCGTTCTTCAGATGTGAATATGGGATAACTGCTGTATGCCATATTCCTTTTGTCTAGATATGTCGGAGTTATTGGTTTGGAATAATTTGGCTGGTGTTACCATAGGAGTCTGGGCGAATCAATAGGCATGGGGGAAGATTACGCATGTGCGATTTTATATACCACTTACTATACTTTCTTTAAGTCGAGGTAGAATCTAATACCGATAGTTTACATAGGCTGAGCCTGATCTGTCTTGCCATATTGATGGTTTCACTTGCAGAGGGTCTTGGGAAACCCACAGCATTCTCTACTTGAATGCGTCGAGCTTTCTTTGTCCTCAGTCATCCTTTCATCCATTTACTTCGATTTAGATTTGTTCACCGCTCACAGAGCATGATACACTGTGTTTCCTTGCCATTTATCATTAGCTGTAGAAAACGATAGCGCGGCCCACCTGGCAACCTGCATCACCAAGTGGTAGTTTGCAATAAAAATCACATCCGAGACAATGCTCCTAGTCGACTTCACGGTCCTATCCCTACGACTAAGAGATATAAACCGTTTGCAATGCGTTCGTTTTCTCTATGGCCCTTCACTCTCAAAACCTTACCTTGGATCATCTTCACACGAATACTATAGTCTCCTGTTCTTGGCTTAATCACAGTATGGAGGAATCGTCATCCCAATTTCCAGCCCCCATTCATGAACAATCACTTTCTCTCCAGAGATGGGGTCCTTCAGCTACCCATAAGTCGCAACAACAGCTGGGAATTTGCTCTGCCTCTGACCCGGGACCGGAAATGCTTTCCCAGAACCGCCACCAAGATGCAACGGGTATAGCTTGTCTCTAGAGACGTTCTGTTTCGTAGGACATCTCGTCCGAGGAACTTTTGGTTCCAGAGGATGGCCTTCCAATTTCCTCTTCCTCTAGCCTGGTTCTCAGCTACTTTCCATGAAAGGCCAGCAGCATCAGACTTTCACAACGGGTATTCAAAAAGGCCCTGTCTCCAAAGGCTTTGCGAAATTTAACGTTCCAAATAAGGTCAGCCTCAATACAACTGCTCGGCCGTTTTCACTTGCAGCACATTTTCAGGCTACATGGGAGCATCGAGGTGTACTGATTTCTTCCACGGGTCTTAGCATGTCACTTACCACTCCATCCAATCCACGGAACAAACAACAATTCCACCCCTCAGCATTGGGACCAGAGCCTCCGACCTTTGGCAACGTTTCTTACAGTTACGAGGAACCCTCGATTAATACTCAACTAGATATACTCGACATTCACACCAGGATGATGGGCCAAGACCTCGACAGGCTAACCCTGCACACTCACTGGCAACGCCAACTCTCCTTACCAGCCAAATTCCCTGGATCAACATTATTGCACCATAGATCCAATAGTTACGCTAGAGAATATAGGTTTCACCTCTCCCCGCACGTTTGAGCTACGGTGTTCATCCCAACTGCCGGAGCCATGTACCACACATCGGCCCTGATATTACATGGGGTCTAATGGGCGATACGTTTAACAACTCTGCAACTGGTCCTAACATTTCCTACACTCAGTAGCTGATGAGGAGAGGAGTGTGAGCCCGTATAAAGATAAAAACGCCCATCCCACGCCAACTTCAACTGTTTCTACGCTCGCTCCGCCTGCCAATTTAGGAACCCAACACCAGAGGGAGAACTAGGGAAATGAAAACACCCTAGTATCAAGAGAAGCTGACAGCGGCAGACGAGTTAGTGCCGAGATTGCTGTTGGGGACCATGACCATCGTTTAGCTATTCCCGCTGCTAAGTCTCCATCGGACTCGTTGTATGTCCACGCTCCAATCAGTCGCATTCCTTTATCCCGGTCAATCAAGAATAGGGATAGAGAATATGAATCTTTTAATGTTGGACAAAGCAGGGCCGGAGATTCGCCGGATTTATTATGACGACAAACTTGTTCATTCTCCGACTTGCTCCGTCTTGAAATTGCCAATCAGTTTATGAATTGCCTGTCTTCGCCATCATTCTAGTTTAGTCCCTCGACCGTTAATCCGTCTTGGTTGACACCTTCCTTATACTACCCCCTACACCAGCAGAACAATTACAGCCCTCTTCCCACCACTTATTCCAAATATCAAGGCACTTCCTGCTATCAGTCGATTCAGTCGTTTCGTAGAATAGTTCACGATATCGCAGCCAATTTACGAGTAGGCTACTATCCACGACCAACCCATTACCGTGCGCTTAGGAAGAACCACCAAAGAACAAAGAGAACGGACTATAACAGATGTGACAATGTTATGACGCCGTTGGTTTTCTCTGTTGGGCGTGGCGTGGCAAAAAGCAAGGAGGAGATTAACGGTGAGGAGAGAGCCGGCCTTCATAATTTATGAGAATTGCCAATATCTAGAACGTATTCCCTTTTTTGCGTTGTGCACGGAGTTGTGTCATTTCCTATTTGAATAGATGCAATTTATAGCGTATAGTTAATATGAAATCACTTGAACAGGTTAAGATTGGAGGGCATATATTTTAAGCTCATCCCATTCCTATGATGACAAAACCCAATCCAGGCGAAGGCGCTGTAGAAACGCTATTCAAAACCACCACAAAACCAAAAGCAATTGAACCTAGGCGTGTGTACTGCTTGTATTTGGCCAAACCATTGGCGAACTGAATGGTGGAGGCTATGATAACTCTAGCCTATAAAAACAAGATTTCAAGCCGTAGAAGACAGTAGTCATAATATAGAAGAAAGTCCTCAATCAAACCCTCAGCTGCGCAACCCTTAGTTGTTGCATACTAACTAAACCGCCAAGCTGAACAATAGACCGAGTCATATGAAACGTTGGGTATATAATGCGCCGATAGGATATATCTCAGTGCCAGGAGCCGTTGATATTCGTAGCGGCGAAACGTATAAGTTATAACAATCTTCCTAACAAGCAACTTTAGCTGCGATTTGAAACGTAGAGCGATATTGTGCCGTTGTCCCATAGTCGGATGTGGCGAGGCACCGCTTCTAAGTCCGGAATATAGGGGTATTGCCTTGCTCAATATTGTTAATCGAATCCCTTGTAGATCCTTCTGTATTTTCAGGATCCAGATAGATGGTGGCCACTACCCCTCGTCCTTTGGTGCCTGTGGATATTCAGTGCATGAGTCTTCTAATGGCACTTTCACTTACGCCCAGACTCCCTTCCATGAGGTACCCATCTGTGACCTCTCCATGCCCGATCATTTATGAGCGCATAATGCAACTCGTTTTTATCTATGCAAGAAAAAGCAACTAAAGCGACCACAATCGACAAAAGACCACCTAGGCCTCCTTGATTAACGGCCCTAGTTGATTGTGATCGATATGCTTCTGGGAGTAAGTCTGGAATCCAACCTGCGCTTCGCACAATAAGGTGTTCCTCCGGGGCATCATGGTCAACGCGGGAAATCCTATTCTCATGGTGGAACTTAAGATAGTGCCAGCCGGCCTCAGGTGACGATGTACAAATATCTCTAGTGCCAACATCACCTTGAGCAGTGAAAAATTGAAAAAAGCTGCCACCGTAGAAGACAGTCGCCCCTCTATAGTATTGCGGCCATATGTCACCCCCCTCGTATTTATATATTGTGCCGTTGGCAATAACCGGGTTTCCCACTCTGTCATCTCTCCAGTAATAACCTTGGGCAAGGCTCACGTCACCGTTATTCCACCGGTACACATAACCCGGTTTTTGAGTTAGGAAGCCTAGGTGATTATCTGGGGGAAGCCATCGTCCGTGTTGGTGTCGTAGAGGGATCGATCCTTCTATCTCAGGGTCGTTATTCGTAGGTAGTTCATTGACGATGAAGAGGAAGCTAACTGGCGGCTGGGAGCTAGACGAGGAGCCTTGCGCTTTCGATCCCTTGTAGTCGCGCGATGATTTCTACCGGTTTTCAGGCTACGACCAATGATAGCGACAGGTAACTTACGGATTTTGAACCCATTTCTTAGTTGTGTTGAGGTACTGAGAAACAGACAGATCTTCCAATCCTCTGCCGGAGGAGAGAGCAACAGCGTGGCATCATAAGTCAAAGCAACACGGGAGAAATATCTGCAATCTTGACATGATATGAATTTTTCCAGTTGGAAGCGATAGCAACCCACCTCAAAGATTATTTGCTGCCCAACTGGTGGTATGAGTCCTCGTGATGATATTCATTGGGTTATCGAGTGTTGCTCGGATCAGCATCCTGGCATGGAGCTGCATGACAGCTCCATGTATGCATATTTGGCTTGTGAGGTAGAGCCAAATGCCGTCAGTAAGACCAAGCCCAAATGGTGGATCCTGTCGGATCGGCCTGACTTGGCCGAAGCCAATCCATATTGTAGGGGACAACACACAAACTTCCTCGCGTGACTAACGGATGACGAATTGACAGCTTATATCGGTGCATATCGGGTCGGAATAAATCATCTGATGCTTTAGCGACTTGATATCGGCTTCCAGTCCCGTTTACCCCAAAGAGTTCGATTATCCGATGATAGGAGTGGATATCCATAAAATTCATAGATTGCGATTGAAATCGAATTGACGGAAAAGCTGCTAACAACCCCGAAGAAGCCCATGGGTGTATAACGAGCATTCCAATACACTGGGTGTACTACCTGCTCTGCATGTGGGATGGCTCTAGGGTTGCTCGTCTCCCAGAGTGCCAACTAAAGAATGTCCACCTTCCTTAGCTATATCGACGATCCGATATTTCTTGGCTCTGATGAGTAATGAAGGAGAGATGAATGTGATTGGAAAAGCAGCACGAAGTACTTTTTCTGTCGCTGCAGTCAGAGCGGAGAAGTTGCAACCTTCGAGCGGCAGCGTGGCGTTGTCTGCTTTGGGTGTTGGGCATGCATCCTGGGAGAAACCCCACGGCGGGCCAGCATGGAGACGTTGTCAAACATGAGAGCAAAGATTCCCTTCGGAATACGGTCCCAAACTGGGAAAAGCAAATTGCGGCTCTGCGGCCAGAGGAATACCTCTCGGGTATAACTTGAGAGCTGATCTCCGCCTAAAAGCAATGAGCAAAGGTGGATGTGGATGTGGATGTGGGTGGGCGAGTGTGGATTTAATTGGGCCTTTGTTGTGGTGAGTAGGCCTTGCAAGCCGATATTGGTGTGGGTGACAATCGCACGAATCAAACGTCTGTGAGTCCTGCAGACGATTAGCGACCTTTCCAAAGTTCGAAGTCGAGAAGAATAGGGGATATCACAGTTGATATTTGCATACCCTATGGGTTGAGCGAACTTGCAATTTCGAGAGATTCGGCTTGAGTCTGTTGTTCATGTCACTGAACTCACTACCTACTGATGGGTGGCTGTCTCTTCTTATATATTTTCCAGCTGCAACCGTGGCAGGGGTCTGTTGCCACTGCATGGCCCCGCCCTCTTTGCACAATACAACTCGGGCGTTGATGGAGGATTTCTCGCGACTTAGCCTGGTTGCCTCGTTTTCAGATCTGTTTGCCCTACTCTTATCGAGAAACTCACAGCTCAAATGGCAACCTCCAGCACCCCGCGCATCCAATAGAAGGCAAAAATGCCAGGCTGTGCAGCAGCTTTCTGCAAGTGACAGAATATCGGATATTGAAAGATTATTTCCAGCCGCGGGTGACGCAAAAGGGCACCATTCTAAGGCGGTATCAGGCGACTCGGCCCCAAGGAAAATCGGAGTTGAATTAAGCTCCCGGTTGAACATGCGTTTACCGCAATGGTTCGCCAATTCGACGGTGTTGATTCGCTGCCGTATCTTGGTAATACGGAACTTCATAGTTGCCAGAATGGGACCGCGTGGCTGAGTTTATATCTCATCAGAAGGAGGTCAACGGTGCCGAGAAGGTGCATTAGGATACACAATGTGAACGGCAGGCAGAATATGGCTCGTAATGTATGGAACGAAAACACTCTCTCTTGAAGATTAAAGGCCAATGTTGGTTTGCTAATAGTGGCAAGGAAATGGAGACTGTCCAAGGGGAGTTACACCTTGATTGTGAACGAGTTGCTAGTGGGTAGTTGTCCACGTGTTCTGCCCTTGACAGAAAGCATACTTTTGGAGGGATTGGCCCATTCTCATCATGAGACTAGTCGATCTGCACCAATGGGAATTCTGTTGAAGATGAGTGGCATTTGCACGCATGCTTACAGTCAGGGGTGCTGTTTACCGCCACTAAATAAATGGCCGGGCAACATGACTCCAAACGGGCAAAGTCGACTTAACTTTAGAGCTTGTTCAAAAAACCAGCCTGTGGTGTAGCACTAAATGACGCTGTTGATGACCCCGGATCGTGTGATGATACCTCAGATGGGATGGGCAGTCGCTGCTTAGTTGAGAGGTAGCAACCGGTCGGGCCGGTATGATGGTCACAGCATTGGGGCAAAAAGAGATGAGGAATTTCATCTGGTATATAGCTATCATAGACTTTGGATAGTGCAATGTCTCTTTCTCGGATTTGGAAGTCGATGACTTGAATGGCGAGGGGATGGACGGATAATTCCCTGGAAGGAAGAAGATTGCGGTGAGTGGAACAACAGTGATGGTTTTCCTCCAGAGTAAGCGAAATTTCCCAAAAGGGGCAAGACATGAAGCACGTGACCATCACCAGCCTTCTTTCTTTAGTTGGGTCCCGCATTCCATAGGTAATAGTCAATATTTTAGCCTAGTTAGTAAATCACATAAAAATAGCCAAAATACTTCTGGCGGAACCCCTGGGAAAGGTTTGGAGAGTGAGGGTGAGTGCGAGTTTTCACTCTTTTGCATATCGTCAAGGTCTGCTGATGCTGTGACGCCGAAAAGCAGAAGCTACCAGGTAGGTATATATTCGCCGAATGCTTAACATTCCCCGGATGTATTCCCCGGTGCTGCTCTAATCGTTATTTTACAATTAAAGGGCTATGCTTGAGATGCATAAGCATATAGCGCAATTCCGCCATTAACTTGTCAACGCAAACTGACTATAGAATAAAAACGGACAAGATTTGGTGTCATGCCCTCTCATAGGGAATTAGCAACATTGAATTTCCTGACTTCAATCTTGATGTGTTGATTCAATGTTAATGTTCTAGTTCTAATTCACACAGCTCTCGTCCTCTTGTCTTCCATCGTCTTTATCATCGTCATTTTCACCTTTATCCTTAGGTATCGCATCCTCCTCCTCTGCTCTTTTCTCCGTCACTCTTCCATTATGCCCATCCACCCTATCATTATAATTTCCTCACAAGCTTCTTCCGCACCGCAGCCATTATTTTCTTGGCAACGCCTGAAGTCGGCCTCTTCAGCTGCTTCTCCTGATATATGTATGGTCGTTTATATTAGAGCAGGTAAGGTCTAAAATTTTACTGTTGGTTTTCTATACTTTTCTATACGCCTCTCTTTTTAGCTTCCTACATGTTCCATACGCCATTGCTATCGAGCGCCAATTTCTCTGCACAGCGATAACATCATCAGGTGCACGACAGATGCGGAAGTGTTCGCGGAACGGGGCAGGTGACCACCATGATGATCTGCATGTATTAACCTAGGGAATAGGTTGTGAGTTCATGGCCTCGAGTTGTGGACCTTGTCGTATTCGGAGTGTCTCGGGCGTGAAAGGCGACCAAGTTAAAGTTCTCTCTGTTTGACATGTCTTTCACGGCCCGGAAGGCCAGCTGAGTAAGAAGCAAGGAAGTATGTTTCCGAAAAAGTATACTTTGAGAGTCGTTGTTTCCACCATATCCAGGACAACTAGCTTAAGTTATGATCAAGGTGGCCAACATGAATCCTACTAGCCTTCGTGGTTTCCTTGTAGGAGGCTTACTAGAGGCTTGGAGCCTATCGAACTGTGAAAAGCAATGGAAATGCCATAGTGGCGTCGCCATAAACTGGAAGTTCGCTCGCATCGTGTTGAACGGTCCACCGTGGAAGGGACGGCGTGGAGGCACGCAGCTTGTTCCTTGTAGTAGGGTCTTTGGGAGACTAACACTGGGATTGGGTGGCTCAACGACCTTGGTAAATCCGATTCACAGGTGATGGGTTGATGATGAGAGTTAAATATTGTGGCAAGTCATGCTAGATGCGGTAGTAATACACGGTTGAACGAAGGGCAGCTTTAGCTAAGGCGCAACTGGAGTATCGATCGATACGCCATATCCCGGGATTCAGATACGACGAGTGCCCCATTTAGGGCGAAGCAACAGCCACAATTTCTCTTTCGATTAAAGAAGAGCGAAATGATTCTCGGAGAGCAAGGGCGCCAATTCGTGGAGATGAATTGTGGTTGCGACTATGATTTTCATACCTAAAAGGGGGTCAAGGTCACGAGATACCGAAGATCACACCGCCTTCGGTACCCAAAAACCCGGCAGAAACACGATAACTTTTGTGCGAACACCCCGCCGAGACCATATTTTATTTCCACGTCCAACACCCAAAATGGCGATGAATACAAATACCCAGAAACCGATACACAGTATTGTACTCGATGCGGGACCTATTATAAAGAATGAACCTTCCGTGTCGACCCTCCTCGGACAAGCCGAGGAGCTCTACACTATCCCCGCAGTCATCGACGAAATTCGAGACCCCGTCACCAGAGCGCGAGTCGAGACGACCTTGAAACCATTCATAAAATGCAGGTCGCCGACGCCGGCGAGTATAAAAGTCATCACCGACTTTGCAAGGAGGACGGGAGATTTGGAGGTGCTCAGTCGGCCTGACATTCATCTCATGGCGCTCGCCTATGAACTTGAATGTGAAAGGAATCATGGCGACTGGCGATTACGAAGCGTACCTGGTCAAAAGCGACTCAACGGAAATCCACCTGCACCAGCAGAGGAGTTGGCTCCTGAGAAGCAAGAAACACAGACAGAAGGCATCGAGAAGCAGCTCGCGGAGTCTCATATATCTTCTGATGCAGGGCAGCAGGTAGTGGGAGAGGCTTCTGCAGAAGAGCAACTACCTAAAGACGTTTCTCACGCCGACGAAGGAAACAGTCTTCCCGATCCAGTTGAAGAAATACAAGCCTCCGAATCAGATGACACAGATGACGAAGGGTGGATCACGCCGAAAAATCTTAAGAAATATCAGGAAAAAGACTTGAACGGTTTGGTGGAGCGCGAGGAAGAGGTTAAGACGATACAAGTTGCAGTTATTACATCCGATTTCGCGATGCAGAATGTTCTTTTGCGAATGAACCTAAATTTGTGTTCTTCAACCCTCCAACGGATCCGGCAGCTCAAGACTTGGGTTCTGCGTTGCCACGCGTGCTTTTATATTACCAAGGATATGAGCAAACAGTTTTGCACCCGGTGTGGTGGGCCTACTCTTCTCCGGACATCTTGCTCTACCGACAAGAATGGCAACTTTAAGGTACATCTGAAAAAGAATATGCAATGGAATACCCGAGGGAATGTTTATAGTGTTCCAAAGCCTGTTGCTGGAACATCGAATGGCAAAATGGTAGCCGGAGGTGGAAAAGGCGGTTGGGGTCAAGGCTTAATATTGGCTGAAGATCAAAAGGAATATGTGGCAGCCATGACGAGCGCTCGAAGAAAGAAAGACAAAGACCTTATGGATGAGGACTATCTTCCTAATATCTTGTCTGGAGACCGGGGACGCGCGGGTGGGAGACCCAAAGTAGGAGCCGGGAGGAATGTGAATTCAAAGAAAAGAAGGTGAGTATAAGGGTTGCAGGAAACGGTGTCCGGAGTTTAAAAATGAGGAATCACCAGAATGATATCATGCAATGGCGAGAACAGGTAGCGTTTGAGCTCCATAGAGAAGATTATTCGCATCAACCATATTTCGATAAATCGTAATGGTTTGCCTGTCCTGCATCAATTCACAAGACCAAGCCAAAACGCCAATCCCAGAGATCGTATCCACCGAGACGCCTATTATACTCCCACAAGCGTACTTCTTTTGCATCCCCAACCTCCATCCACAAGCCGCAGATCGTAGCCACTTCACCTCATCCTCATTGTCCCCTCATTGTCCCAAAACCCTCAAATCCTCTATTAGAAAGACTGGTCAGCAAAGTTTCCCCCCGTAATTCCAGTTCTCCTCTGCACAAGCGTCGTAATATATTCTCGAACAGACAGAACCAGAATAGGGAAGCGAAAAACTCACTCTGCTGTGTCAAAAGCAACCCGTATCTCTTCTTCAGCGTAACACGATGTCTCGAGTATTTATCATCAGGCGAAAAGCGTGCCGGATGCGCGGACTTGGTCACCTCGCCCGAAACCACCTTCTTTAAAGTGTAGATCCGCTTGCCTTGGGCGTCGAGAGTGTACATGAGATGCATGGCTGTTTTCGGTGGGGAGCTTTGAAAATGCTGGACAGAGATATTAGTTATGAGAATTGCGCATATGGAGATAGGGTGCCAACCTCGTATTTAGGAAAGGTGCTGCGGTATAAATTGAATGCGGACCTTGGATGTGGTACTACTCTTCTGTTGGTTGAGCTTCGTGATAAAAATTTGGGGTTTCTGTATTTTCTCTACTAAGCGAAATCTGAGTACGAGTACGAAGTACGCCTCGTAAAGCGAGTGCTGCTTCGGATCAGATAAGATACAATCGCCGACACAACCTCCCCAGTGTTTCTACAGTACAGTATCAAGAGAAGAACGAGAGAGTACTGAGCAGCAGCAACCATTTTCAAACTTGCCAGTGGCAAGAGACTGCTATTTCACATTTTCCTCACGTCACCTTTTGTGATGCCTTTCAGCCGCCTCGCCCTCCTCAATCTCGTACGTCCAAGGTTGGGTCCTAATTATCGACTCAATCACAGCAGACGGAGGCTTTACCACGACGCAAAAGCTACCTTGTTCGACCCGCGCCCTGGAGCTGGACCCATTAGCAAGGCTGTGGAGATTAAAATTGGCGATCTCGATGAAGCTTATGTTATAGTCGCGCCTGAAATTGGTAGTATCTTGGCTGGCAGACCGCTTCCAGATGGCACAGCAGTCGAAGTACCTCTAACTTTCTTTCATCGCACAAAACACTTCGCCATTGGTAGTTAACCCCTTAATTAAATAGCCACCGTGGTTGTTAATTTGTCTCAGGATCCACGCTAGAATGCGCTCGCCTCGAATTGCCTGTAGCCCTTCCTTATTCGAAAACGTTAGAAACGACTGATGCAACGCTATTTCATTTTGGGCTACTATCTACTATCGCTTTGAATGGCACCGCTTGTGGTACTTATCGCTCTTATCCCTTCCAGTTTACTCTAACATAAGCAGAGAGCTTCGCACGCCTTGCCAGCACGATAGAGACAGGACCAGGTAGTACATTGGACCGACTGAAGGACATGTAATCAAAATAGTTCACGTATATTCCTTAGTGCAATCACTCCATCCCGGGATGGCCCTCGCATTTGACTCATAATATCTGCCAAGCTCCTCTGCGGTCCAGATATTGGTACATACGACAACGTGGGCGTCTGCCATTGAGGCGGTAGGCGTTTCTTCGAGCTGGTATCCATTGATTTTGAGGAACATATTGGCTGCCACATAAGCTGTGCGCTTGTTCTCATCTTGATATGAGTGGTTCTTCATTATCTTTTCAGCAAGGTTTGCAGCAAGTTGGAATAAGTTGGTTTGCGATTCATAGTAGTCGATATTAATGGGTGAATTGACTGCTGACTCAGGCATGGGAGCCTGACTGGGCTGGGCAATTTTGTAGACGAAGGTATTATGGAGACGGCTGACTTGACTGATAGTTAGGAACTTAGAAGTAGCGTTTGCTGCAGCGGACGCCATTGAAGACTAGGGTTGTCAGCTCGTATATCACGATCCTCGAATGGTTTCCTACTTGCTAGTTTGCTCTAGATGTGGAGTTCTCAAGAGATACGTAGAGTACTAGGAAGGTGGATTGTGGTCAGTTAAAGTACTGGTAGAAAAAGTCGCATATTCCCTGTTTCACAAAAGCACTTCGCTTCTCATCACCTCACCGCAAATTGTAACCTGCTCGTTTAACAATGTACCTAGGCAATTATAGGCGGGCAATGCCCAGGAAAATAAATGACAAAACTTAACAATGAGCATGTGGGTTTTATAGTGGTAGTAACGGCAAGGCCTAAATGTACCCGGAGGTGCTCCGTCAAGGCTCGGTAAGATAGAACGGGCAACGTGTGCAAGAATAAGGTCAATTATAGCCGTGCGGCCTATTTCTAGGTCCTTGGTGTCTTGGTGTCTTTGCAACCCTGGACGACTAGTTTACGGGAAGATTTCAGGTAGCCCCTAGAAAGAAGATATAGTCCTATCTTGCATATATCCTCTCCCGTTTTATACCTGAACTACCATCTCAGCCTAGAACGTACCGAATATAGGTGCCGTCACCCCAACTACTTTACAAAATCCATGTACACTTCCCCATACACTGCTACGAAATGATGTTTACAGGTAATTATGAAGGTGGCAGATTTACTTCAAGGGATAGATCAGTGGGATTCATTCATTCATCGATCAAATTGGAGTAATGGATGGGTATCTAATACATGCAACACCAATGTAAATGGCAAGCACTAAGTGCTGCTGGAGACTCCGAGACGCCAAATGTAAAATGCAAGCCCCTACCTTTCCCCACAAACTCAAAGCTACTTCAATGTATCCTAGTCAACTAAGCAGTCAATATCGATCTTCAATCCCTCGACATACGATGAACCGCCTCATTTATGGATAGCATCAGGGTAATCCTTGAATTTGCGTAGGTGAGGAGCATGCTTAATTTTGAGAGTGTAGAGAATATCCTTGTGCAACCAGTCCATTCGCGTGCAGGGCTTCCATTGCACTTGAAGCCATAGATAGTAAGTTGTTCTTCGAATACCATGACACCAAAGTGAAGTAGAGTGGAATCCTCGTCATATTCGATTCGTTTGCCTTGCATTGCTCTTTGTGCAGAGCTCGCTTGGAAAGCTTGAAGCGGTCGCATAGAGCTCCGGAGTCGTACACCGCGAGCTTGTGCATGTCATATTGTTTCTTCGAGTGCGATGGTTGGCTAGTAGGATGGGGCTTGCCGTAAAAAGGGATGCTAAGGTACGGTGAAGTTGCTCGGGAGTTTTGGGGGGAGTTCTGGGGGGAGAGAGGATCGGTGACAAAGACTTTTGATTCGAAGCCAATCGCATCCTGTGAGAAAACTTTGACGTCAATCCAACATACGAGGTCGAAATGAGAGAGTGGCATAGTTAGCTTGTTTGTTAAGGGCTTGGGGGGTTGGAGGCTGTTTCCGAGATATTGAAAGCATATGACGGAGCATTTGCATGGAGAGCGCGGTTTTGGCTGATGATGGATTGGGTTTGACGATTTGTGATGTTAGTTGTAGATCTCGCCTTGGTCGAACCTTTATCCATTGTGGATGGTAGGAAAGACTGCGCGGTTGGTGTTATGAGTAGCTTGATTGGCTTTTGGACTGGCGGGGAGTCCCAATCTTTTGCAGAGGCCTCAAATATGCTGGGATCCCAGGTACACTCTATTACGCGATTGGCAGAGAAAGGGGGGGTTGTGAAGATCTTTGTACGCATGAGCCTGTAGAAGCAGAGGAAGGTCCGACGTTGACCAGCGAATTCCTTCACGTTATCTGCCAACTGCTTGAAATGATAGTCATCACTCTCTGCCTCTTGCTAGACTCCAACTTCACTATCTCTCGGTGTACTTGGAAATATTCTCTGCCATGTTCTTTCCATCGGCATAAAGGCTCCATTGTTAATAAATATAATAAATTGAGACAAAGCACGTTCAACTTAGTTAAAAGGTACTAATTAAGAATTGTGATTCATTAGAATGAGCGGATACAATGTCAAACTCATAAGTATTATTAAGAATAAAGCGTTGTTTTTATCCGCTAGGACTTGTTTCTAAGACACTTTTTAGATTAAAATCCATATTCATTTCAAATGACCATACAGTGAGTCGCGTCACAATTTGCCGAAGGTGCAGTCAACAGCAAACAAAGCGAAAGCCGTCCAAGTGATGGCAAACAGCTGCTAAGATGACGAGCTTGAATATGTGGTCGTTAAGAGGATGGAAAGAGTTGGGGGCTCAAGGGAGGTTTGGAAGTGGCGATGTTGTAGTAAATGCTATATTTCAAAGTCTAGATTATAGAATTAAAAAGAAAGCAGCTGTTGTAATATTTTTACAACTAACACTATCTCGAATAATCTTTGATAACTTCAAAAAATGCACGGAGATACCTAGAGACAGTTTAATTCTTGAAATCCAAGTTTGTGAAAGTGTACGTTTCCCTAAAGCTGAGCCCTTATCTTCCGAGGCGCTGCTTATTCTATCCACAGCGCCCCTAGTAATTGTAGACGGAGTGTGTATTCTATTGAGATGTGTCAACACGCCTATTGCAGAACAAACCGGTCTGCAACGAGCCCCACGAGGTGGTATCCGGCCGCTGCGTATGTTACACCACCGCCCAGCCACATCTGCCACGTCGAGTTGCATGTCTGACCTTGATGAGTCACAAGTGAGTTGCGAGCAGAAATCGGTAACCAGGGTTTCAATTGAAGGTGAAAAGAGATGTATCTGGAAGAGTGCTATGCTGTGCTTGGGCGAATTTGACCTCTGTCTGCAACCTCAGCCAATTTGAACTGTCGCAACGACAAATCCACCATTATAAATTTGCCTGGGTCGCAAGCGAGAGTGACTCCTACGTAATGTGGTACATGTAAGGTAGGTCTTTCATCACTTGAAGAATTCCCCGCATAAAACATACCGTAGATTGGCAATTTTCAGACGTACTCGTAAAGGAGACAATTTTCTACGGTAAAACCATGAATGTCCACCCCAGTACTATCAGAGGTTCCAGTTTCGCCCTTTCAAACAGAACCCCGAAAGTAGGGGTTGACGGATCCTCCCCCAATTGGCCCTGGAGATGGCATGCTTCTGCAGCCCAACCACACATCTCGCTGCAAGATCACGAATTCGGCTCATGGGGCTACTACAGCCCAGAGGACGGGCAAGAATCGTTGATTCATTCGACGACAAAATGGTATGATTGCGCAGTCATCCGGAACAGCCATGGCTGGCCCACGCGGAGCCTTGAGGCGGCGTGCATCTACCCGCTTCCAATGCCAGCCTCCCAAATCTACGGGAGTTTGTGTATGCCGCCCTCCTTGATCATTTTCTTTCCCCTCAATATGTATACAGTCCACTCTATCTGGTATATCTCGTGATAATTTGCACGCTGCTATGGAAAATTCCAGAGTCTTGCCACCAGTAATCTGCGCTGAGAACATCGCTCTGCTATCTTTACTCCACAATGTTGTGGAGCCTCGACATCGGAATCCCACCGATAATGTTGAGGGCAGACAAGAATCAAGATATCTTTCTCTTAAGATAGAGCGTGATCTTACTGGTACTCTTGCCTTTCTCGCCGGGATCAGTGATCATCCAAACCATATCATGGCTCTGTGTGTCGAGGAGCGTGGGTCCTCGCGAGGCCTGCGTGTGATGATAGCTATCAACAAGCGACGACCAGAATGTGGAACTGAAATCTTGAAAACTGTCACAAAGGGGTTCCAGGACATTTTCGCGATTCTTGCGAGGATCTCTAGAGGTGTGGCAAGCTTGATTCCGAGTATAAGACGGATTTAGACTGATACCTCCCAAGATCCCGATCCGCGACTTGAGAATGAGGTATTTAGTGCAGTTATCTCACTGTGTAGGAATAGGATTTTAGCGCGGATGAGGTCTTCCAAGGGAAACCTCTCAACTAATCATAAAGAGAGTCCATTCCTTGGGGTTATTTTGAAACAAGTTGCCGACACCTTGAGACGCACTCATTGTCAAAACAGCTCCAGCCAGGAAGGCAGCTCCGGTCTGACTTTTGTGATCGAGTCAGAAAGACTTATCCAGCGATTAGAGGAGCTTGAGCACAGATACCACAATCCATTACAGCTTAATAGCCTTGTTCAAGACGTCGTGGGCGAAATCTACCGCCTGACAAGAGCCGTCAGCGTTCCTGAGGCCCTGGGGACAATTTCAAACCGCGATATAGATCCGACAGCTAGGGAACGCGTGGTGGCTCACACAAAAAAGATTGCTAGGTATCGAGAAGCCGCTAGACTTCTGTTTAGATTAGCGAAGAATTGGATCGTATTCCAGGAGGCGGACATCATGGCCGTACATCTCAAGCCGTCAACGTTGTATTTCCCACCCACAGGCAATTATAAGCCTACTTTGCCGTCCTCGCTCTCCCGAATCTTCAATGGTCTGGGGCCGTCCAAAAATGTGCATCAGGTTTGCCAGAAGCTCAAGACGAAGGAGAAACAAGCAAATAAATGCCTTTCAGACACTTTTGAACGCGCCGCAAAGGAGTCGAAGATTCATGCCGAGATGCAGCTCGTGATGCACTACGAACTCAATCCGGTTCCCCGTCCACCTCGGGTTATCTCATCTAGCAAAGATGCGTGCTATCTCTGCAACGCCTTCATTAACTTCCACGGCAAGTATCACATCCCACGCACCCACGGGAGGCTGTACCCCGCCTGGAGACTTCCAAACCTGGAGACGAGACCTGAGCTTCAGGTCGGCTTCAATGAAGTTCTCCACGAACGCATCAGGCGGTCTGTAAATGCTATGCTCTCATCAAAGCACCGAGCTTTGCACCCTCACCCGAACGAGAGCACCATTTCATCCTTGGCCATGTCGGATTCGACGGTGCAGGGTATTATCGGCTCTCCGCTGCTTACTCCTCCGCAAACCCCAGCGGACCCGTCACCCAGCAAAACAGATAGCGATAGCGAGGGAATATCATTACTAACTTCGAGTGATGATGCTTCGGACATAAGCTCTGGTAGTAACTCTGATGTGATCCTTGTCCAAGGAACATGCTTCTCGGATAGAGTGAAAGCAAACCGGCCACCTCTACGATATTCAGCGAATGGGCTGGAGCTTCTGGTCGAACTTGAGGGCAACTTGCCAGCAAGTTGGGCGGCTCATCACGTTGGGCAATGCTCATTCAACTTGGAGTGGCTTCAAGAGGACAAAGCGCTCCAGGTTGCGGCAGAGCAGAACGGTGCAATAATCAATACGAACTCTCTCAGCACTACTAAAGAGCTCACTATCTCCACTCGGGATGGCATATATATGGCGTTCGGACCTAGCATCATTAGGATACAGGGTGGATAGCGATGCGCCCACGCCAACTTCCAAAACAATGACTCGGACGACCAAGCTTTCGCGAGCAAGGGAGCATATACCTCCGTAGGTTGTACTTCGTACCGTCTGCCACATGGGATAGCTGTCCTCGACACATACATCGACATGTGCCGAAACCGCCCGACACAGACTCGGCGCCGATCTATATGCGGTAATTCGCGAATAGGTTGGCAACTCTTGGCCGACAAGGAGCGACTGCACAGCAACTCCGTTCTCCCTTCTATTGGACGTTGAGGAGGATAGGAGGAACGCCGTACCATTATTATTAGAAAGAGAAGATCCTGAAGATGCGATCTTGCGGTTGGAGTTGTGGAGATAATCCCTCTGGGGGCCATGGCTGCCTATGGCTCGTTTTTGTAGGGATATTGTGATCTGCGACGCTATTTCTCGAGCCATATACAATCTACAAATCACAAGTTCCTGTCCCATCTCTTCCCAAGTACGGCGTAACACTCGGTGTCACTGCTCGAGTATTTTGTCCTAGACTCCTAGACGCGCTTTCTGAGGCTCAGCTACCTATTTTTAACAATAATAATTAGTCCAAGAGAAGGAATATCTACCTCGCGGCGGCTTGCAAAAATACCACGCTGAGGTTTAAGGTTATCCTACACCTACACCTACACCTACCATCCGCCGTCTTCAGCTTGCCCAGGTTCTCACTCATATGGTTGCACAGCGCCGTGCTTCGCCCCATCGAATCCAGTCAGCAGTCCGCCAGAACCCAATCAGCGGGATCACTGCCCCCCTCACGCACGTGATTAGCTTAGATAATTGCCCCTATTTCACGTAAAGAACTACCAGGAATATACGGAGTACGTACAGTACATGTACCTTAATACGTGCTAATAAATCGCCCTGACCTTGGATTGTCCGGGTCTGCACTTGGACTCCCTCGTCTCTGATCGACGTTTCACGCTGGGGATAACTTCAATATCGTACCTATGTATGCTGGTTGCTCCTCACTACCTAGCAATCATTTCTGTTAAACAATTACTCGAGTATTACCTTATCAATGTCGGACGCTTCGGCCGCTTTTTCTGGCTTTGCCCTGCGTACCAACGGGTCGTGCCTGGCCAATGAAGTAGACTGTGGCGCAACGCGGGCGCCGTTTCGCGCGTGCTGCCCCGGCACCACGACGAAGTGTCCAGAGCAGTACAATGTCAACGTAAGTTGGGAATTGGGAATTGGGAACGCGTCCTTGGAACGCTTATGCTAACGTGATTGCCCAGTGCTGCCCGACCGCCGCCAACTGTACAGCCAGTTTACTAAAGGATCCCCAGTGCGCAAATCGAAGGTGGGATCTGTACGACAACGACGGGTATTTCTGCTGTCGGCCGGGTTTTGTTGGATATAAAACCAGATCTAATAGTGACGGCTGTGCAAAGGCCGGAGACTCATTTCAAAATGGAGAAACTTTGCTAAAGATCATGAGCAAAGGGGGAGGTGTGTTAATCCCCTTTATTCGTTCGAGACCCGAAGGCGAAGGAGATCAAACTGACTCTCAAGTAGATCAGGTCGTTCCCTCCTCTACATCCACTTCTACTACGTCCTCTCCCACATCCTCCCATACCACATCGAGCCCCTCGAGCATATCGTCATCGAGCCCCCCGTGTGATGGGACGACATCATGTGAGCCTGAAACACCCTCGAAGTCAAACACAGGAGCCATCGCTGGCGGCGTCGTTGGTGGCGTTGCCGGTCTTGCTATAATCATTGCCATCGTGTGGATAATACTACGGAGGAAGCGTCCTGTTGCCGTAAAGGACGAAAAACGAGTGGTTTACGAGCAAACCGGCGCCGTAGAAAAGGATGCCTCCGATCAACGGAGTGAGCTTCCAAGCCATCATGGTGTCAGTGAGCTAGAGTGATGTTACATCTTCTTTTTCTACCTTGATTGTATAGGGGCGTCGAGGTGTAGATTTGTCTATTGAAATTTTAGCGCGTCAGTCACACGGAGCAAGAATATCTTGTCAGCGGGCCCGCCGAGTTAATATTCAATGGCTAGAGGATTTGAGGGCAAAGCTAAGGCAACCACCGCGAAAGGCGCTTAGGCGTTCCTTAACCGGCGGTAGATGTCCGGGCGATGATTGCGGACACAGGGCGGCCTGAAAGAGAGAGCCGATCTACGATCCGAGGATGTGGATGTGGATGGAGAGTTATGTTTAATAAGATATAAATCCGGCAAAGGGTTTCTCATTGGCCACCCTCTGGCTGGGCCAAGCAAGTTTGCGGCCCGACCCACATCCCATAATCCATGCTATATATACTTGCAATATGCCGTTCCAGCTATCCCTTTGTATTTTTTTTATTCGCTGCGTCGCCACCTTTGCTTGCCCCTGCATTCATTTTTCGAGAGTCAATTCGTTCCTAAGTCTGACAGCGAATTTATTGAGGCATTGAAATTTGTAGTGATACCGGTCTCGAGCCTCTACATGCCAGTGGCGTAGACAACTTCTCTATTTCAGACGCTCTACGGAATAATTGCGCAAGATATGCCGACCTTCTGTGAAAGCATGTGGCTGCATGCTATACTGCTCCTAGACTTCTTCTATTGATGGCAGTAACCTAATGGTGAGTCATGAGATGAAACCCTAACGACCGGATTGGCGGCCTAGATTATGCCCGGACATACACAGAGACAGCGGAATGTGGCGCTGTGTATAAGCATCGATGATCTGCACATTGGAATCACTCCGCTTCCAAACTCCAAGTTCTTCTTTTTTTCAATGGCCTATTCTTCAGCGGACAAGCGGCGGGTTTTCCTTGCCTACCGTACTGTATTTATTGGCCCTCATGCTCAAATTCGAAAATCTAAAAAAGTTAAAGAGGTTATCGAGCAGCACAAAAATTCGTTTAAACCATTGATCAAGGACTTTGGGTTTGACCACGTCGCGGAAATTGTGAAGTACCTCTTGGATCAACGCGTCTTCGAGTCCGAATTGAGAGCAAAGATCGCATTCCCAGAGCTCTTCCAAACCTCCCAAGCCCGCGATATCCAACGCACAGCTTCAGAAAATGACGCCGCCCGGTCCGTAGCGGAGGCTTTGGAAGAATTAGCATCTACGGGTGAGCGTGGAGAGTATGAAAATGGTGATATTCTAGAGAGCAAGTTACCTACACTGAGATATGACAATTAAAGATGACCCTGACTATCTAAAGTAGATTTAGAGCCAGCTGCAAAGGGCTCTCCGTCTTTATATCCGTCGTATCTTCCATATAAGGCTCAGCATATAATCCTTACAACAGTCCAGCGTCAGCTCGAGGAGTGCTGTTTCGACTACGCCGTCAAATGGCTACCGTCGCTATTAGAAGAACAGAAATGGGATTGCGCTGAGGCGGTTGAATTAACAAAGTGGACAAGAATTCTGGCTAAGCGCTGCGATAAACTACCTGCTTCTGCAATAGACAACGACTCCGAGATACCTCTCGAGAAAGTCTTCTTCTCTACAAACGTGCTTCGACACACGGCCGTACATCGCCTTTCGACAACCGCCCGCGCGACATACGACATGATCCAGTCCGCTTCGCGGCTTGCACAGACTCTCGGTGATCACACAAGAGCGGCAGAGTTAGAAAACCTCCAGCTCGAGATCGGAAGCCGAATCAGAGACATGGAACTTAACAAGAACTTCTTGGAGAATAGGCTCGATGAACAGCTTCAGGTCATTTCTGAGCAGCGTGCAGAGCTCGATAGGAAGGAAAAGGAGGCTATAGCGACAATGTTACAAGATGATCAGGAGAACAAGCTGCTTATAGGGTCATTCTTAGAAGATGCGGTCAAGATTACCTTCAGACGGCTTGGCGATGGGGGGCCTGGGGCGTCGAAGAACAAGAGCATGGTTGAGAATCCCGAGAGTGCAGAAGAGTCTGGGGACACTCCCGACTACCAAGAATTTGGCGCCCGATTATCAGGTCAGGGCGTTGGTGGGGAAGCTCCCGGCCCGAACCCACCCTGATCCTATTTTTGGGGCGGCGACCTGGGTTCGGCCAACCAGGTCGCCTCGCTCGATAGCAGGGATATAGGGCGGTCTTGCCGGCGTACTAGGGAGTACACATAACCACGAGTATATAATCTTCTATCTTGCAAAACATATCGTCCCCAATTGACTCTTACTTACTATTTCACAATTCGCTACGTTTATAATCCTACCAGATCATGTTCTAGCGTGATGCCACGTAAGATACCTCCTCTTCCCGAACTTGGCGTCCCTAGATCACGCATAAGGGACATTTGGACTGTAAAAAGCTAACACGGCACCTTTGGAGCAGTCACTATATGATCGAGGCGTCTAGGTGCTAAGAGATATTGCGCCAAGAGTCCCCGGACCATTCGTCGGCAACAGGGAATTCTCCAACGTTCGTGTCCTATACCCTCGCTCGGCATTTCCCCACTTCTGCTGGTGACCGTCAAGACCCCCAAGAGCAATTACCGTGGCGGAACTATGGGGACACTCGAAAGTAACCTCTACCTCGGCTCTGTATCTAGCCCGAGTCCTGAACTCCTCAAGCCCTCAAGTTCAAAATGTATTACGCATCAGGTCCGGCCAGTAGACCCTTCCCTCGGATTCCTGGATATTCCCCGTGAAATCAGAGATGAAATATATGGTTTCCTGTTCCACTCGGACTCCCCGATCTATCCCAGCAACTCCCGCGCCGGTATATCCCCTTTCACCAGCCTACTCCGCACAAATAAGCAAATCTACGCTGAAGCCGTGGAGGTTCTCTACGGCTCTAACACCTTCCAGATCCGGGGGGACCCAGCTTGGAAATCGGTGGAACTCCTCAACCTTGTTGGCACCCAGACAAGAAATGACTATACCACCTTCAGAAGCCAAGTCTGCTTGGGTCGGCACCATCTCAAGCGTCTTTACATCCCGTCTCACGGCATTGGCCTAGACCGACTGAAGCATATCTTCTCACTCCTCAAGCACTTCCCAAATCTTGAATACCTCGAAGTCGTGTACCTTGGCTTATCTCCCAAGCTTGATATGGATGTCGTGAGTGTGTGTCGGCTTTTGTGGGATCGTCGGCCGCTATTCGCCAATTTCGGGGGTAACTTCGTTTTGAGAAAGCGAATCAACTACTATCAAGCCGAGGATGTTTCGTGGATGGTGAGAGAGAGACCATATACGAACTGGACGAGGATCGTTGAAGATGAAAATAGACTCCATGTCTGGAAGAATTCCGATGGGATCGAACGACTTGCGGAGGTTGTTGACGCTCCTCAAAATATCCCAGAGTAACCGAACTGTCGAGAGACTGTTCAATGGACATGACTCATTTCAATCTCTATGATGACGTTCCTTGCAAATCGATATATTTCCTTCTACTACTCAAAGTCTGGAGGCGGCGTAATGAGCCTTTACGCGCGAGGGAACCGTTTATTCTACTAATTTGATGGGTTGGAGCTCGCTGTGACTGAGCCACGGTAGCAGTACACGATGGGGCACCACGGAGAGAATTATGTGGTTTGTTTAGGAGGCGAAGACGGGGTCTGGACTTTTGGGGTGGAATGGTTCAGGCTAAGGAGCAGGTAACGAGTCAACAAGTTCTTTGGGCCTTTTTAGCTCACATTATTGTAACGGCTTCAACTGCCATTTTTAGTATCATATTAATTGTAATGGGAGATAATACGATATCCCGAACTCAGTGAGGCATCATGGCCGAGAGAGAGAGGATGGTAGGCAAGTTTCTTTCTCAGTTACCCCATCTGTTTGAAATATCGAAAACATCAAAAAGTCACATCCCAGCTACCCGATAACATCCCTTTGCATGCTTGCACGAATCTGCTTAGAATTTTGTTCGAATAGTTACAATATACCGGGTGCAATTATTCCAGCAAGCTCCCACTCATCCGGAATACGAGCCTTAAATCTCCCCACAAGCACATCAACATTTCTCCAACACAACTCTACGCCATCAATTTCAACAAACGATCGACCCCCGGTATCAATCCAAAACTCCATTTGTGATTCACTTTGAGGCTGGCAACACAAACTCAATATATCCATAGACGACGTCGTTGGGCAGCCATATGCAGGCATTAAAGGATACGGGCAACCGGGGTTTTGGGGCCCGTTGAAATTGCAGAATGTCCATATCAACAGCGCGCTAGTGGAGAGCGCTACGTAGGATATTGGATCCAGGGCTCCACTCCGCATATCCCAAATAGGAGTAAGACTTTGGTGTAACAGAAGAATGTGGACGGCGTGGGATAAAGTTCTTCTCGCAGCGGCGGTGGTGGTCCAATATCTCGCCGAGTCTATCCGCAGCTCCTGGGCTCTCTGGTGATGTTCTGATAGCGCTGGCGGATTGGCGGTAGCTCGATCCTTTGCTACTCGGCTAAGTGTACGTACGTCTGAGTAGAGATGAAGATTGAGGAGATGAAATAACATGAGCGTGTCGGAAATTAGTGCTTTCGGTCGCTGAGAAACAATCCTCTGCCATCCTGGTTTTGAGTGGTCTTCGTAGCCATAGTAATAGCGCATAGGTAGTTGTGGTTCTTCACCGAATTTCGCGCTGTCGGTGTCTTGTGAGGACATCTGATCAAGGCGGGATTTCAATTTATCAAGTCGTTGTTTCAGAGAGTCTCTTGCAGCTTCGGCAGCCTCATCCAGGTTGTGAGCCCTAGAAGTTTCCCAAAAATGTCGAATATTGCCCTGCATGGCAGATAGGCAAAGCTGTACATCCTCTACGAGTATCAAATCATCCGTAGAGCTTGATGAATGTGAAGTTGCATTTCTGATGAGACTTGACATAGATTTCTCACTCCTAAAGCGGGGTTCCATGGCCATACGACTTTCCAAGGCAAGTAGTGATTCGGCGTCCCAACCAGCGAGAGTGACGGGCACCGTAAAATGCAGTTCTTCGAGCATAAGTACAGTTGGCTGGTCGCGGATTATGCTTAGATAGTTGTCGATTCTGAAAAGATATGCGGCCACCCTGGGATTTATTAGCAGATATATACCAGCGCAAGATGTCTTGAATGTTATTTACCGCTGTCGTTCTCCTTGAAGAGATAAATGAAGTGGCAAAAAGTACCCCGGTCTGTCATCTGCCATTATCGTCTCAACTTTGAAGAAGCCAACTTCCCGAAGAACGGCGACAAGTATGGTACGAAGTATGACAGCTTTGAACACCAGCCTCTCCTCCTATGAGTTCGTTAAATCAACGCTCTTAGGATGCTTAAGAGTTCACAATGCCTAGGTTGAATAAGTGACTTAGATGCTTTTGAAATGTTATTGGATGCGCTGTATCTAACCAGAGGGGTTGGGAATTTTAAAGACTCTGGAATCCCCGATTTATATTACTCAATAAGCAATACAATATGCGCAATATTTTACTAAATTAATATGAAATAGACAACTTACCCCGCAATATAAAGCAAAAACAATGTTCAGTATCGCAGAGACACATATGGCTCCTGGTAAACCATTTTGGAATCCATCACTTGAAGATTTCTTGTTCTGAGTGGACCACTAATTCAGCACACTTAGCACTGGTGTAACGGAAAATGCCACATACCAATGTTAAGGAAATATAAGAAATTAAATAATTATGTGTGGCCAAGGCATAACTTTTCGACTCTTGACTGTTGTCGATCCACGCACCCACCATGTTGATCGATAATTTTAGGACAGGATCACAGGGTCGACGGTCATATGGAGGGCGGTGAATAACAGGCCATCGGTGATGGAAATGGGTAAAGTATATGGCGTGGTACTTCTCCGTCTGCTCATCAGCGGCTCGCGGGGTCATGCTATCAACTTCTAGATCGCTCCGGGTCCCAGGAAACAAGCTCTCGGTATCGTTAGCATTGTCCTTTTGAATACTTAACGAGGACCAATCGATAAGCCTAGTAGACTGAGGACGAAGGAGCCCTGTGGTTTTTAGGGCTGCTACGGATGCTGCCAGTGAAGAATTGGATGTAGCATCCTCTGCTCGTTGCTGATGGGGCGCTTCCGATCTAGGGGGCGAATTTGGTCGCTCTAGGCATGGCTGGCTGGTCGCTGACGTCGTATCAGCGTGGACGGCTGGTAAAATGTTGATACCCGTCCTCTCATCATAACGTAGCAGTTGCATGCCATCTGGAATATTTTCCAACTCATAACTTTGAGTGGTGACATCTGCCTGTTCGTAGACGCACTCCATACTTTTCAAAATGCATTTAGAGCATGGCTGACGGCCATCACATTTGGTCTTTCCTTTACGACATGATTTGCATGCCCTCTGACTTCGTCCTGACTGACTAGACTTGAACTGATCGCCATGGCGTTGAAGATGCCGCTGCAGGCTGTCGCTGGTTGGTTATCAGCATTTTAGTGTTTTAAACTTGGTCTCGCGGAGCAACTGATCTGCAGACCAACTGGCTATCGCACCTGCGATTGAATTCCTGAAGGCATATTTGGCACGCATGCAGAGCGCCGGCGGAGGTGTGAGTTCGCTCGTGCCGCTTTAGGTGTTCTCTCCTAGCAAAAGTCTTTTCACACTCTGTAAATTTGCAAGCCCATCGAGACCTGCCTCCCACGGCTGGTGCTCCCACCATGGCACATAACAGAAGACCGCGGCCTGATCGAGAGGGATGGGATTTTTCGTTGCGCGGTGGTGTTTATCCCAATCGTCATGGTGCGTAGCAGCCTAGTAACCCAGCCTATCTCACCGCAATCTAAACTCGAGCGTTCTTCTGTGGCACATTCTGCGGCGCTCATGAATATTAATGAGTTATTGGCGGAAAATGGGGGATTGGAGTGGGAGCCGGTGGGAGCCGGTGGGAGCCCGGGGCCAGCGGTGGGCTTGTGTGGGAGCCGGAAGGCTGACAAAGTAACTTTAGTAAGACGTGTTACGAGTACTGTACATGTTTACATTCAACCGACTAGAACTCCTCAAATGTTTAGCTAAGATAGCACACGGCTTACAAAGTTACCACGCGTTTTCAAGATTTTGCAATGCGTCACGTTTTATGAAGTGCTCAGCTTGTCGGCGTGTCAGTTTGTCAGTTTGTCCGCCCGATGCCGTTGACGTCCAAGTAGACAGAGTTAAATATGCGTAGCCTCCCCATTTCAATTGTGATTTTTCTCCCATTATACTACAGTCCAATCGAGTCTTCCTCCAGTTTATAGAATCAAGTGGTCAGGAACAGCAGGTCACAGTTCTCTTTTACAATTTCGCAAATCTTTCCCAGATCTTCCAATTTCGTCTTAAGAATCAACATGACCACCATCAAGAACGTCGCGATTGTGGGGGTAAGGCCACCAAAACTCCTGTCAATTATTCCGCGTATTAACTAACAGCCATAGGCTTCGGGGAACTTGGGAAAACGAATTCTTGGCTCCCTTATCGACTACGGCAAATTCAACGTCACCGTTGTTACTCGTGAATCGTCCCAAGCCAGCTTCCCAGCTTCCGTCAAAGTCGTCCGCGCCAACTATGAATCCGTCAAATCCGTCACTTCCGCCTTTCAAGGCCAAGATGCGGTCATCTCAGCGGTTGGTGTGGCAGGGTTCCAAGGCCAAACCGTCCTTATCGATTCTGCCATCGCAGCAGGCGTGAAACGATTCCTGCCTTCCGAATTTGGCAGTGATACCTCCCTCCCAACCACTGCGGCCCTACCGGTCTTTAAGGATAAAATTGCAACGAGGAGGTACCTTGAGGATAAGGTCACAAAAACACCCGGAATGACATATACGTATATTATTAATGGTCCGTTCTTCGACTTTGGAGTCCAATCAGGGTTCCTCCTGAACTGGAAAGATGGTACGCCCAAGATCTACGATGGCGGAAATCAACTTTTCAGTGCTACAACTCTAGCGTCTGTCGGTCAAGCTGTCGTAGGCGTGTTAAGCCATTATGAGGAGACTAAGAATCGTGATGTATTTGTGCATGACGTGGTCACATCCCAGAACCGCATCTTGGAGGTAGCGAAAAAGGCCGCTCCGGAGAAGAAATGGGAGCCTATCAATGTCAACCTTGCGGAGCTGGAGAACGACACTAAGAAGGCGTTGGCAAAGGGTGATGCACCACTGTATATCCTATTCAACTACATCCTGATTTCAATTTTCGGCCAGGGATATGGTGGGCTATTTAAAGCCACTGACAACGAACTTTTAGGTGTTTCGGTGAAGGCGGAAGCTGATTTCGAGGCGACTCTGAAGCAAATATTTAGTAGTGGGAAGTAGGAAAATGAATGCATTTTCGAGGCCTTCGGAACCATAATTAATGCCTTTTGTTTTATCCTACTGCAACACATTTATCTTCCGCGGCTTATTGCCAAGCCAATCTTCAAGTTTCATCAAAGCAAAGTGGTAGACGCCCTTTCATCAGAGATCCAAGTTTATGACCAGCGCGGCTGTCAAGTAACAATCAAAAGGTTCGAGAAATTAGCTTCAACTCTATTATTGCCTATCATGGGTTATTTTTACCCTTCCTCGTATTAACGCAAATAATTTCCTTCTTTATTTATTGCTGTAAGGTTATAGCGCAGCTATTCAGCCTTATATCATTCCTTTGAATTGACACTCTGCCTTTTTCTAGGTTTCTGCCTAACAACAACAGCTAGACTAAGCACTTTTCGTTCTACAAGTCAGCAAAGTCTATGCTTCCCCACGGACTAGCCAATCTAAACAACCATCGATGCCTCAGATTTCTTTTAAGGACCCGGATATAATGCTGTTATGATCAAAAATCAAACAACAAAAAGTAAAAATATGATTGTCCTGCCCAAGGAACAGGCAGAAAACAGGAAAGGACGTATGACCTTATTTATTCTGCGAAAATAAAACCTGCATCAACTCTCCTAGCGCAACGAAACTATACTGAAAGATAACCTCAAGGAGAACTTCATCATCGCAAGTTTTTAACAAAACTTTGAGAGGTTTCCAGATGCCTTTAGTGATTCAGAATATCGCATCTCTCCTGAGATATCTCTGTAGCTGTGGAAACCCCGAAGGGCTACCCAACGAGGTCCACATGGATGCTTCCAATACACAAGTTGTAGATACAAATTCTTCTACAAACCAAGTGGCTAACTTTAGACTCAACGAGGCAGCCATTGGTTATCCTATGAGAGACGAAGGGACAAATATCCTACCAAATCAACAGCGCCAGATGCGTTTTGAACAGTCCCCATCTCCCTCAGCCCCTCAGCCACAATCTTCGCAACCTACCTGCAATGAAATAACTGCATCGCCGTTGCCACCAGACGTTCGCAACCTCATACCAGGCAATAACGGCAGCCGCGGTAGCCACTTTGTGGAGGAGTTTTCGGTATCGCGGCCAGAAGACGAGTGGTACGGCCAACGTATTACCGCTCACGGTGACAACACCAACTCAACTACTAAATGTAAGGCGGCCCCATCTATGGTCGTCGTATCAGGAACAACAGAGGAGGCCCCGATCCAGGGCGGCCGGGACCCTGATTCACCAGTCCGGGGCCGTACTTTGACAAGAGAACCTTGATAAAGTCTGGAGTGTAACCTATTCACCTCCGTGCTCTGAGAGTATGAAATTGTAAAGACATTCGCCATCGACTTTTTAACATCCTATTACCGAGTAGACAAGAATGAAGGACGCAAATTTTCCTTAATGAAGGTGTCAATAATTTATTGATTTGTGTTATCTTAGTTCTACGATATCCCCCTCACTGCTCGACTGCCTTCCTTTTCTGGCCTTTCTCCGTCTTCCTGCTAGAAAATACACACCGGGTGGATCCCCTGTATCCGTTCGCTGCCCCTGGGTTCCCACTCGATTCTAGTTTTCTAGTTTTGAATAGATGAGCTCACAACCAACATGACACTTCCGGAGATTGGGCTTGTGCAATGGCTTGTTCTGATTCATCGCTCTTCCGATATCGCAATTTTAATAGCCCGTCTTTAGTTGCACCTTTGATTTGGCCCGTTATGATTTATCCAGCAACTCGATCCACATGTTGCTCTTGACAATAGATATATCTTAAAGCTCATTCCCGATCACATTTAGTGCATATTGTAGATTGACTGAAAAAAGTAGAACGACAATAAGGGATTGGAATCGGACAGTGAAAATAAGGGGGGTTGGTCACGTGATGCTAATGCAACCTACAAGCAGCACAATGATTAGAATGCTTGTTCTTTCCCCTTTATTGTCATAATCTATGTTCTTCCTTGTTATTAATATAATATACCGACATGCCTTTATTATTCTTTCTCTTCTTATTTTATAATACACTAAAACAAAGGAAAAAGTACAAAGAGTAACAAATAAAAAGATGGCTTAACCTGTGGTCGTTAAAATAAAATAAAAACAGTATTCGTAGGAAAATGCTATTATGCACTTGTATCCATCTTCTATACCGAAAGGAAATCAGTTCGAAAGCAAACCAGCTCAACGATCAACACCACCTCTACCACGTCCACGTCCACCATCACAAATACTCAAAGCTTCAACTCGGGTAGAAACCATTTCCTTCGCTATGGCAACTATATCTCTTGCTCGAGTCAATGAGTTTTTCAAATGGGTCCACCTTAGAACCCCCGTGGAACAATTGAGTTCTTATATCCCTCCTGGGATTCACATCCTCCTCGATGGTCATATATTCTACTGGTTGTACGACCCAAGTGACTTAACCATACATATCCTGTTCAATGCTAACTCTAAGATAACACTCTACTGGCCAGTTCAGCCCTCGACACGAGTAGTATCCCTCACTCCTGAGGGTGAAGGCCGTGTATTTATCGGTAACGACAGCGCAAGCATGAGATGTATCGATGGTGTGAAGGTAGCCGTTGGTGAGGCGATGGTTATGTTTACGGCGGTTAAAGGCATGGCTTATATGGACTACGGAAATATCCCGGCGGGCCTAGTTGGACCACTGAGTGACATTGCACCTAGTACTGGATCCCAGAATCCCTCAGCAGATGCCGGGCCTACTGGTATTGATGTGATTCGGCCGCATTTAGTCTCTGAACCAGGAAGCCTGATGCTCATGCCTATGACCAAGAGCAGAAAGTACCGCCCTGATCTGCAGTAACTCGAAGAAGGGGGAGTAAAAGGGTTATAATTTTACTAGCCTGTTTGGGCATAAAAGAAGAGAGAGATGACTAGGCCGAGGAGAATATAGACAGCAGTGACATAGTGTGATCCAAGTACACCATTATAGAAAGTTGTTCGTCGTTTTAGTTGCTAGTATTGTATTCATAATTGAATACATTTTTTATTAAAAACAAAGTGTAATAACTGGAGCATAAGTCGACTGTGAAATGACGAGGCTCCCCTGTCAAAGAAAAGGAGAGAGATCCATTCCCCCACTGGATCCTGCCGGGTGTTGAGAAAGTACGCTGGCCAATAGTTAGGGGCTGAGAACTGTAGCAGTAGAACATGTCAAGGTTGTTCGAAGAGATGAGGCTGCCGCGCGGCATTGCGCAGCAATCAAAGAATGCAAAGCAATCATCGACAGTAGCACTGAGGCTGTTGGCGAAAGAAATATAACAGCTGTTACAAGCACAGTTCAAAAGGAGGCTCACACTGGCAACTGCCCAAAACTATGTCGCTCTGTACGGAAAAAGGCATATAGCTGACCTACAAGCCGCTGTGGAGAATAGATTGTAAAAGATAGAGATTTACCCCCGATATCTGAAACACTTGCTAACAGAAATTGACAGGCTTAGTAGCTATATTAAGGCCGGCTAGAACACCGTTAAGCCCAGGAGTGATGGGCCACAGTTCGGACGTAAAGCCAATGCCAGGATAAGCACTAGGTACGCTCTGCCAAAACCTCATTCATAGGTACATACCTCGTCAAGAAACAACCATCGTTGTATTCCTAACATAGGTATGTTACTGATCTGAGGGGTCAAAATAACTGCGATGCGAAACGCAAAATGCACCCCATATTCCCAATCACATACAAGCAATCGAGACGATTCCAAATCGCTACGCGCCCACCAGTAAAATCGAAACTCCTTGGAATCTCCCAGGCCGATAAACCACCGAACTCGACTTGGCCTCCAAGGCGTTATAAATGAACAGGAATCAGCGAAACTTGTAACGTCCCGTGACGATGGATAAAATGGGAGATTATCACCAGGGACCTCGGTTGAGTTCTGAGACAAATATGTTTCCTCGCTATCTTCCACTCCCTTCTTCCGAAGATACTACATCGATCACAAATTTCAACTGTCGCAGAAGTCCCAAATGAAGAGATACCGCGTGTCGCAGCGCCACGGCAAGTAAAGGTCCCGAAAGAAACAAGTGATATCTTAGGATGGACGCGCCGGCGTTCCGTGTGACTGCGGACCAGTCTCGCAGGGAAATGTGAGCTATCGAGATAGCCACGAGCAAGAATGCCATAGTGCGGGCGCAGGGCGATTTTAGAACCACATTCAAGAATCCAATGAGTATCTCATGTACGGGGTATTGAGAGTATTATTTCCCAGCCTCCTCCATTCAGTTTATACTCCTTTGGCTTCTACACTGCATTGCCAATTCCAATACCCAGCCTCCAGTGAGGCATGCTAAGTGAAACTTTCTTTTGGTGCGGCCTGGAGCGCTCGAGTAGTCGGCTCCAGGCCTCAACTTTGACTTCAATTACTGGGAGGACGTTTTTGCATCGTAACGCCTGGCTTTCTTTATATCAAAAACGAAGCCACGTATTGCCCTGGTGGTGTATACTGGAGCGGCGGCAGCGGGTTTATTGATGTTTACCTATTTCGCACCGTTGGCGTTTGGGATCTAACAGGCAGAAGAGAGTCCTGAGACGAGAAACCGAACGACATCAAGATAGCACGTCGCCACAGAACTCTTTCCTCTCGTCGCTCTCTACTTCTTAATCTTCCATTCATTTTTCGCGATGGGGGTTGAGCGCATTCCGGATCTGCAGCAGGCAATGCCCCCGAAAAGAATGAAGCCTTCGCGCACGACGAGAATCTTAAAGCCTAGCATAGTGTTGATATCCGTGGTGGTGCTGGTAGCGACTTCAACCACTGGGATATATATCGCGGCTTCGACTTTCTCATCGAGCCCGCACGGAATGACTGTGATGGTTGCTCAAGGAATGATCTTAGGAGCTGTGAGACTACTCCAGGTTTGAAACTCTTCAGCTGCTAACCTAATCGTGGATAGGCTATATTATCGATGTCATATGTCGTCTTCCATATTTTTGCGATGATGGATAACGACCCTGTTGGGATTGTTCGACCACCTGTATTGAGGCTTCATGCGGCCTGCTTCATCGTGGCCAGACTTGCGCTAGTCATGTGGATAATCGCTATGATTGCGTCCATTGTTGAGGTCTCGAGACAAAATATTTGCATGAGTGGAGGGCGAGATTGCAAGGTGGCGGTGGTTAATGTGACGATTTCAAATTTGGCTTGGTGAGTACCTAGGCCCTTGAAAACATACCTCATACCGATATGCTAATATCTATAGTTTTGCAACGGGCACCGTCTTGACTGCCCTTGAGGCTTGCAAGTATCCATTCCAGGCGCCCAAAATGTTACACATCGCCCAAAAGCTCACCCGCAGAGTCAGCCCGTCGGGTGAAGATCTGTTGGACCGCAGCGTATCTTGCGCATCATCATTCGAAAGGGACAGCCCATCTGAAGGCGAGAACCGAAGGGGAGTCGAGCCCAGAAAGAGCAAACAAAAGCCATTACCAAACCTTCCACCTCTTCCAGTGGACGAACACCCGGAGCGCCAATTCGCGCCAGTTATGCCCACGACGCAAAGAATAAAATCTCGAGGTTGGGGTGACGATAGGAGGCATCCAGGTGCAAGACCCGAGAGAAAAAGGATGACAAAGTCAGATTCAGCAGTCTCAGGTTTCTCGCGGTCCTCATCCGGGTACATCAGTTCGGATCACAGCTCCGACACCTCTCTATCAAGGAGGCAAAAACGCCCAAGGATCATAACTCCAAGCAGTAGTATCAGCAACCTGACCAAGAGATCGCCCTTATCAACCATGCGGTATGCCAATTGACTCAATTCCGTTCTTGTACTTACTGACTCTCTGGCAGGTCAGCCGAATTTCCTGACATCATGGTGCGTCCGCAATTGAGATACTGCCCACCGACTATTCTTGCTCCACACGAATGGAACCTGCCACGGCCAGGCTCGATGACTAACATAATTCTAATGGGGGACGGCCGTTACTCGCAGCGGAGATCATCAGTATCAATGCCGCCACAGTATGTCCTGAGGAGGCCAAGTATGACACTGCCTCCTCTGGGTCACCAGGGAGGAAGAGTGCCACCAATAGTTAGGAGAAGAACGGCGGATGTCAAGCGTTCGAGGTCGAACGCTTACCGGCCCAGCTTTGACTACGAGAAGAGCCTGGAAGAACATGCGAAGATGATCGAAGCAGTGTCGATAGTGAGAAGTGTAAGTGGTAGCAGCGACCATATACCCCGGCCGCCCCCCAAAGATCCGGTCAAGAGGATTGCAAAACTCCAAGCACCGCAACGAATCGATTCAAGGGCTAGGTATCGAGAGCAACGCCCCATTATACGTTCGCAGACGACGGTGGGACCGAGAGAGGTTATATCTCGACTACATATGAGCCGCCCATATACCGCGAAGCCGGAGACTGAAGCTACTTCAAACGTCATGCCTCTGAGACGGCTTAGCTTAGGCGACATCTCGTCGGGGTTAGGGGAGCTGTTCGATGTATAATTAGACTAGACGGAGCCGGGAGTATCGGCTCGACAGTGTAGAAACATCATAATATTGGACTTAGCTTTAGATATTAATACAGAAAATTTCGTCCACCTAGAAGGTCGCTTGAGCCTCAACGCTGTCTACAACCCGCATGAGCCCATATGGGACCAAGTGGCCACGAGGTACGACGATGAAGCGGAAGGCCTGGATTCACCTCACTTGAAGTGCATGGTTGTAACGCGTAGGAAGCAGGTGGCAGTTATTGTATGGCTCGTCTCTAATGACGAGGAGAAAGCTGTCAGATGACGGTGTTATGCTGCCAAGGCCAGCCATCGGGACTTTTGGAGATGGAGCAGGCTGCTTCATATCGAAGCTATACAGCTTCGATCTACACAGTAAAGAGGTAGCACGGAGTAGATGTCTATGGACAGCTAGCTTCTGAGGAACAAGTTCCAATGTAATGTGACGTAATGTATGCAGAGACGCGCACCGGTGATGCACCTGGCACCAAGATGCCTTTGGCACAGCCTATAGCGTATATGCGTAGGTATAGAACAGCGCGGGTGTCGCGTTTGGCGCCTTCTTTTCGGTCGTCGACGCACGGAATGACAGAGCAGGGCATGCAAACCAATAGGGCATGTCGAGGGAATCGCCGGGGCGGTGGGAATAGAGTGCGGATGTCGGATGAATGGAAGAGGGTTGTGTTGTGGTATTCTACTCGTCCTACTCTCCTGCGTACACACCATCATCAAAATCCAGAGGCAGCAGCAGCAGGGAGGGAGTCCGAGGAGTTCCAGTGTCATTTCCGCTGACTAATAACAGCAGCTGCCCCTCTTTTCCACATGACAGAACCGCCACACTGTCACCATCCCCATCACCGTCATCGTCACCACCACCACCACCACCACCACATCTCGAACCCAAATCAGCTGCCATTACGCTCACCCTCGTATCCCTTTCTGCCACAAAATCCCGTGCGAATTCTCAGCTGCACGAGTTGCCTATCAAGTCCGAACCCGATCCCCGAATCATACGAGTACCTATGTAAAACCGGGAACTAGCAACTCGCGCAACATTCTCCAGAACAAACTCCGTCTCGCCTGTCAAACAGCGCCCAGTCTTCAAGCCTTTGAAGCTCTCAATAACCGGCCCCGGAAAGCAGCAACAAGGAAACCAACAACACACTCACGATATCTTACACCATAAATGATCTACGAGACCTGACAGCATAAATATACTTCGCTCTGCACATACGACACAGTCATCTCTAACGAGGGCGACCGACAAGATGCAGGCAGAAGTTCCGACTCAGAGACACTCCCCTCCTAGCCCGGGGACCACAAGGAGACCGAAAGGTATGCAGTACATCACTTGCGACTTTGCGCTTCGGTCACGTTGTATGGCTAACATGGACTTTAGGAATACTGAAGAATTCCTATCACCGTTCTCCAACCCGCCAAGCCGCCGTCAGCATCTCACCTCCCGCGGTGTCTCCAGTCGCTGCGCAACGTCCTGATGCCAACCGCGAGCTCTCAGACCAAGACATAACCCTCCAAAACACCCTCCAAAATGCCGGCCACCGTCGGTCCTCTTCTGCCGCCCGGCCAACTTCAACATCACGCAGGCAGTCCAGTCAATCGTCTGTGTCTCGTGATGGCGATGACAGTAACATGCGGCTGACGTGGGACGAGGCCAACCTGTATCTCACAGAACAAGAGAAGAGTGCCACCATGAAGATTGATGAGCCTAAGACCCCGTACGCAAGGCACTACGACCCCGCAGAAGATGAAGACGAGATACGGCAACTAGATGCGCAGGATATCATTGTGGACGAGCTAGATAGGAAGAGCCCTGGCAAGAGCGTGCGCGCTCGAGAGGAGGAGATTCCCGGCTTAAGCCTCGGTGAGCCTGAGGAGGCCATCCCCGAATCCGAACTCGATGAGTCCGAGCGGCAGAGACGCAAGGAGAAAGCTGTTCATGTTGCCGGCGAGGAGCATGTGGGGCTAAGCTCCGAGGAGATGGAGAAACATCGCAAGTTCGAAGAGATGCGCAAGAAGCATTATGAGATGAAGAACGTGGCCAATCTCTTGGGCCACCCGGAGGCACTTCCAGTGGATGATGACGGGGATGAGGATATGAATGGAACCGCACGATAGACAAATGAGGTCTTAGCCTCATCGGATGGAGTTGATGCACATAGGAGTTGGTTTTTGGTTAGCTTTCTTCTCGTTGCCTAGGGAGGGTACAATCGCCCATGTGCTTGTGTTCCCTCCTCTATACCCCCATCCCTTGGCTTTCTGCATACCCAATCTGCAGGCTGCTTTGACCCTTGTATTAAGAACTGTGCTTTGCTTTTGTTAACATTGCCTTGGAGCTGCTCAGATATGCACCACTTAGCTACAAACTCTATTCAATACATCATTATACACATATCAATCATCACATTATATATCTAGATACGTTCTTCAAGTCGCACCTCGCTCGTTTTGTGAATGCAAATAAAGCGGGTTGAACCAGATTCACAAAAGAACGGTGGTGATTCAAACTTCCGGCATATTTAACTAAGAAATAATCGGTAGCTATTGCCTAACGGACATATCCAAAGGCGGTCTATATTCCTACCTGATCTTCCGTAAACGAGCTATTACCCCTTTATTCTAGTGGCAACCAATTCACAACCTCCCCAAGCTCTCCAGGCTCCCTACCCTGAAATCCACCATTGCGCATATACTCATAAGGCTGGAGCCCTCGTGTATTCCGCTTAGAATACGCAAATCCCCCCTTAACCCCAGTCAACATATTTACTCGCAGAGCCCAAAAGTGACATACCCCAAAAGTTCACCTTCAACCACCAACGCTCACTAAAGGTGAATGTCGCAGCACACTACTACCACAACCACAGCCACATCGAAAATTAAAATCACATCTCGCTTCCCGTTCCTTCTTCCCTTTCCTTCTTCAGAGACAACTCTTAATTTCCTTCCTTTCTATCCCAGCACGCAACCAGCAACCAAAAAAGCGCAACAACGCATCACCCCTGACGAGGTAATATCAAGAGGATAAAGATATCACGAGAGCAAGAGATTGAAGACATGATGGCTATCCATAAGTTTCATGGTGAGATCTATTTGACCTCTTCCTCTTTTAATGACAGGCATGAATCTGAGGCTCACGTTGTTTTCTTAGGGATGAAATCCAACGATGCCGATATGGCTATCAGAACCAAACTCGGGGCTGCGCTTTTGAATTGTAAGATCCATCACTCACCTCCTGTACTCACTTTTCGGGTTATGGATGATGGGAATTGCAGCTGATTTCGCACGTAGCTCCAAGTGACACAATGGCGATGGCATCCAGTGATGCTGAGAAAGTCAGCGCCAAACTTGATGCAGGATTGCGGCATCAATGCGAGCTCGCCCAGATCAAGAAGGAGAAGAAATTGGAGAAGAAACGCAAGCGCCATTCTGGCTTGCATTCTGTTGATCTCAATGGTGTTGATGATGAGGATCTGAGGATCAAGAAGATCAAAACCAAGAAAGAGCGCAAGGACGAGACCAGTGTTGTGAAGAAAGACGAGAAGAAAGCTGAGATGGAGCCACCAAAGACTCCAACTAAGAAACACAAGAAGAAGAAAAGTAAGGATGACAGAGAGGATGCTCGCAGGTCACCCGCCACTTTGAAGCTACTGAAGAAGCTTGAGGATTGGTATGATTCCAGCTCGGATGAGGAGGATGAGGAGATGATCGTCGCCGACCAGAAGGCCGTTGGCAGTGATGGTTCGAAGAACCCGTATGAATACAGCTCCGGTGAAGAGGCAGATATGGACGACGAGAATGAGGAGTATATCAAGAACAGCTTCATCACCTCAGACAGCCAGATCAGACAGGTGGTTAAGAGCGAGGAGCTGATGCGGACTATCCTTTACCCCAAGGTCACGGCTCAAGCGCTAGAGAAGTCAAACTCCATGACTGAGGCAAGATTGTCGACCAGCAAGGGCGAACTTCTGCGTACTATTCTTCATCCAAAGGTTGCAGTTCAAGGTTCAGAGAAGGTCACGCATGGGCATAAGCTCTTCAATGATTTGGACGACGTCTTCACTTCGACCCCAACCATCAAGCCGCAAGGATGCTCCATCAATCCCGAGGGCTCACTAGCCAAAGCTTCTCGTGCCAGAAGAGTGTCACTCTCACGCGACCCCGAAGATTATTCACATCCAATTCGCCAGCGAAAGGCCGGGGAGGTGGTTGAGAATTGGGAGGAGAACCCAGGAACTGTTCGAGGGATGGTTCAAGGGCATGATGATACTGAAATGGAAGAAAGTGAGTGCTTGTCTTTTCATTTCCCCTCCTTTTCCCCTCCGTTTCCCGCTTGATTAAGTCCCTTGATTCCGTTTGTATAGGGCACCAAGACCAATTACTGACTGCCACATAGACATCGCATTCTCGGAGCACTACATCACCACCAAATCCAACCAAAGCATCCAGATCGGGCAGAGCACTTACAGCGTCGTCAAGATCTCCCCCGGGGCTGGTTGCTCATTGACCATCGAAGAGGGATTCAAATTCTGTTTTAAATTCTGTACCGTAGCCAGGGGCGGACCTGTGCTTGTTTGTCTTGGCCCGAAAGGAAAGGAGACCAGATTGAAGTGCCAAGAGGGTGGTATGTGGAGAGTTAGAAGCGGGGATATTTGTGAGGTTGTGAACGAGAGTGATAGGGAAGTTGTGATTTTTACGTTTGTCAGTGGGGAGCACGAGGATTGAGAGGCATTACAGCAGCTGGTGAGGATTATATTTGCTTGGTTCTGTGTTTCGAAGAGTTTCAGGTATTGATTTGAAGGGGATCGATGGCAAGGTTGAGCAAGCCGATGGATGGGAAACGAGTAACTTGTTAGTCCCTAAATGGGACTTCGAGGAGGTTGCTGTTCGCCAATGCAGTTATCGAGGGATGGAACGCGGCCTTGATTCCGGAGAGATTTCCTATTTGTATGTTTGCATGCTCTTATGAGGATAGCCCGTAGCGTCAAGATCAAGAGACTGATACTTTGTAATTCCTACTGGCTCGTAACTTTGCAGCTTGAAAGAGATGTTATGAATGTATGTATTCCGAGATTGCTCAAAGCCCTCCCAGGGGGAAGGTCTCGGAAGCCATAAGGTGGGCAGATAAATATAACACTGCATATCACTAAAAGAAGTGGCACCGGTTATCAGCTTGATATGTAGGTAGGGTATATTATGACGATGCCTCGTGATTTGGTGGAGTTCATTGAGAGTAAGGAGAGTTCCCCCTTAACAGTGCCACAGGCTGCGATCACTACACGTACCGGCTGACTCAGCGAGTCGCTATCGGTGTCGCTGCGTAGAACCTGAAATTGCGGGGAGGCTGGGAAATCAATGCACTGTTTGCTCTGTTTGCGCCCCAATCAAACACCGAAAATTTGCGGCGGCAACCTCGCTGACTCAGAGCTCGCTTAGCGTCGCGCCTCTGGTATAAATTGCCAGCTTCCCCCTTCTCAAAATCCCTTTCTTTTCTCCTTATCCTAGTGCATGGGTTTTACGCATAACAGTGAGGATTCGTCCGAGTTTGCGTTTTTGCTAGTTGAAAACTATACCATGACCGCTCCTGTTGGATCAAGATCCGGCAGGGAATCTTTGGAAACCAAACTCTTCTCATGAGAGAATCGCTTTTCATTGCGTACGATTCTTGATGGATCGTCGTGAAGAAGAGGCTAGCAAAGGCGAAGTTGCCATGGTATTTACCTGCCTGGACTTGGATTGTTATCAGGAGCCACGGGCGTAGCCATAGCTGTAGTTTAAATAAGACTTGCGCTATCATGAACTCTATTTACTTTCGGGGAAGGGCGAGTTGATTTGGCTCATGTGAAGATACGTCAGTCCTTGGGTCTGCATTCTGTGCAACCTGGAAGCCCCCCAGTGTCGACCTTGGCTGCTGAACTACAGCCACCACCACATCATCATTACTCCACAACCATGGCAAGAACAGCTCTCGTCACCGGCGCAACAGGTCTGCTGGGCAGACAGGTAATGAAGGCCTTTGAGCGTGGTGGATGGGTCGTCAAGGGCACAGGTCTGACCCGCGCAAAGCCGCCCGCCATTTTGAAGCTTGACTTGGAATCCGAAACAGACGTAGCTAAAGTCCTCCGTGAAGTCAAGTATGTCCCAATATGTCCTCGCAGCGCGATACAGCACTAACCTGCAGGAGGATATGAAGACCATCAGTCGTTGTCCACTGTAAGCCTTGACTGCGAGTCTATCGGATCAAATTGCGCACAGGAAGCTGACCGTGTACAGGCGCCGCAAATCGCTTCCCAGACAAGTGCGACAAAGACCCCGAAGGCACACGCGCTCTGAACGTTGCAGCCTCCGCTTCCCTAGCTAGGCTCTGCTCATCCCAAGATATCCTTCTCATCTACATATCAACCGACTACGTATTCCCTGGTACCGAAGGCGAGGCTCCATATGAGGTGACCGACACGCCTCACCCGCCAAATCTATACGGCGAGACGAAGTATGAGGGCGAAAGGGCCGTGTTGGGGACGTATGGCCATGCAGGGAGGAGCTCTGGTTGGGCCGTCGTATTGAGAGTTCCGGTCCTCTATGGCGAGGCGGAGACCCCCGAGGAGAGCGCCGTCAATGTGCTAATGAACAGCGTCTGGAAGGCACAGGAGAAGGATGCCGAGGTTGCGATGGATCACTGGGCTATTCGGTATCCCACGAATACTGAGGATGTTGGTCGAGTCTGCCTGGGTACTGTACCTTCTTCGAGTGCTGATTACTAGTTGTGGCTAACACCGTGCTAGATATCGCTGTGAAGTACCTAGAAACAGCAGATAAATACTCCCTCCCACGAATCCTTCAATTCTCCTCCGAAGACAGACTTACGAAATATGAAATCTGCGAAATCTTCGCTGAGATTATGGGACTGCCACTTGATGGTATGAAACCCAATACACAAGGAAACGACCCGAATGCGAGTGTCAAAAGGCCATATGATTGCCACCTATCGACCTTGGTGCTGAAAGAGCTCGATATCAATGTTGCTACTATGAATTTTAAGGACTGGTGGAGGCGTGAGATGAGGGCATATAGGAAGTAGAGATCGTCCTCCGGGCTTGACATACTGGAGTGCTTTATGGTACAGAAATCGCCCTGTTGATATTGATTATTGGAGGGCCGTTTTGCCATTGGCTACTCTTAAAATGAAAAGGCTTGAAAGCCGAAAAGGGAACATTACAACGCAGATCAGCCCTATCCAACATCACTCTTTCTTCAGCAAGATATTCAGGAGGTCTCATTGCTAGCAATAAGGTTGTGAGAATAGATTGCACCACATCCCTTGGACTCTATATAACGTATGAACGTAGAAATTTCTATAGACATGCTGTATAAGTCACATACGGCTACCAATGCTCGTTGCTTGGAGTTTTAAAAGTATGCAGAATATCGCGTTGCACTTGTACAGAGTAGAGCCATTCAGATGCCCAGCCAATTATGCCAGCCACTAGCCAGCGCCACCATGGCGCTATTCACACAGCAACAAACCGATTACTCCGTACAGCTGCGACTACACGCCAAAACCTTGCCACCGGCAAGGAACAAGGGAACCTGCAGGTTGAATTGTCGTTGGTATTATTGCCCAGGATTGGCTATTAAATACGGGTAATCTGATGCAGGATCCCGGGGGCGTTCGCACGAGACGTTGAAGTGGTGGGAGTAGATCGAGGCCCAAAGTAAAGCTCTTCCTCCCCCTTTGTTTTCTGTGGAATCAATATATCGACTAGAGCAACAGACAAGCGACTGGATGAGTTGGTGCTCAGCACAGAGCACAAGAGCACAAGAGCACAGGAACATCTCACAAGACGCAGCCCTACCTAGGTACAAGCCTCAGCCTCAGCCTCACGTGCCAGGGACCCAAGCTGCCATCTGTGTGTGCCTGACACGCTAGGCGCGCGGAAATTATTGACGGGCGCAAGCCAATCTGTCTCAATAGGTAATCTCGTTGTTAATTGTTATTAGCGGCGTGGTGAATAGGAGCCAAGATCTTGACGATTCCACTCTCAGCCGCCTTAGTTCATTGAGTTCAGCTGGCCTGGGCATTTTACAACAGTGCCGTAACTTTCTTTTTCTCCACCCGATCGACTACGTTGCCAATGCTCCTTGGCTTCAGCCCGGGGATTTGCAAAGGGATTGAACAACACCAACGCTTTATATGACCCGCAGACACCACGGATCACGAATCTGAATGCGCGACCATGTCTGGAGAAAAGGATGAATCCCCAGCATCGGCGCCCGCGAAATACAGCAGGTACCGATCTGTAAGGCACGCGTCTGTGAAATCGCCACAATCAGAACCGAGCCCCCAGAAACAAGATGACGATGCCTCATCGCTCGGGCGGACGAAGAGCATGTCGCGGTACCGCCGCTCCAGAGTTGGCACGCAGACGAGCGAACCTGCGCCGCCCATGCCTCCGATGCCTCCGCCGGCGTTAGGTGGGTATAGCACCCTACAAACCCCCGGAGCAAGACCAACAAGACGAGTGACCGAGCCTGCGCTTTCTTCCCATCGACAATACCCCACCTCTCCAAATGTCGAGACAATCCCCCAGCTGCAGGGCCGGCCCCGAGAAACAGAAGAAGAGAGGTCGCGGCGCAAGCTGCGGGATCTTCGAGAACAGGATGTCCTAATCGAGGAGCAGAGGCGTCAGGCCGATGAGCAATTAAGAATAGCCCAGCACCGGAAAGCCCAAGCGGACGAGCAGGCTCGATTGATGGAAGAAGAAACTGCAAGGCTGCTGGACGAGCAGAAGCGCAAGGACTTGGAGCGGCTAGATGCAGAATTGGCGGCGGCCGTCCCTCAAACACCCAAAGTTACTAGTCCAAGGGAGAAATTCGGGTTTTTCTCTAGGAAGAGAGCCGTTACAAAGACATCCGGAAGTGGCAGCGGCTCTGGGGCAAATTCCTTGTCCCGGGGTATTGAATCACCGCCGCCAAGGTCAGTTGAGAAGGCAGCGGCTCGCCCAGAGACCGGATTATCACCGCCACGGAGGCTTGAGCCTGTAGCTACTGAGCCAAAGCTAGAGCATCCCAAGATGATTGAGCAAGGAGGTGGGGGTATTGTCCCGCAGACTGATGCCCCAATCTCTGCGAGCAATGCTGGAGAAAGAGTGGGTTGTACCTCCTAGCTAAAACCGTATATTTTGCTAACATTCTATTTAGCGCGTTTTGATACGATGTAAACAATCGTCTATCAATCTCCCATTCGATCCTGAAACCACTCCTACTGATCTGATTTTCACCGCTGCCAATGTCATGACCCAGGACATCAACCCCTCTACCACCGTTTTGTTAGAGTCTTATACACCACTTGGCCTGGAACGCCGAGTACGACGTTATGAGCACATTAGAGACATCATGAACTCATGGGATCGAGACACACAGAATGCTGTCTTGCTTCAAAATTCAGATTCACCTCAATTCGACAGGGATCTTGATGCCTCCTCGGTTCCGAAGGAAGCGCCCGAGGGCACCACAGTGTATATGTACCATTCTCAGAAACCCGGAAAATGGAACAAGCGACATGTCACATTGCTCTCCACCGGGCAAATATATATGTCCAAGAAGCCTGGAGCCAAGTCATCAGACAAAGACTTTGCAAACTTGTGTCACTTGACAGACTTCGACATCTACACTGCAACTCCGCAATACACGCGAAAGGTCCTTAAACCGCCGAAAAAGCACTGCTATGCAATTAAGAGCCAGCAGAAAACTGCAATGTTTTTAAGTACCGAAAATTTCGTCCATTACTTCAGTACTGATGACGAGAGTCTGGCGCATAAGTGGTATTCAGCCGTTCAGCAATGGCGAAGTTGGTATTTAGTAAATCGAATGGGTGAAGGTGCCAAGAAGAAACCCAAGGCTGCCCATAGCAACGGGAAATCAACGGCCAACAAACTTGGTCGCACTCTTAAAGTCTCCGTTGATGAAGACCCCTATACAATCGGCTCGTTCACACCACTACTTGATGTGGACCGCTTTGACCACCAAAAGCCAGAATCAAAGGACCGAGAATACGAATCCGATGATGGCAGCCCACCACGCCAAGTCCCCTTTCACCTCCGCAACAGCATCTCCCTTCCCCACGTCCCCAACCGGCGAGAAAGCAAGCGTCACCCTCCACCCGTGTCATACCGTCTCCCACCGGAACCAGAAGAGGAGTTTTCATCTAGCGGTCTTCTCGGCCGGACTTATTCACAACGGCAACGCCTACAAAAAGAGCGCGAACAACAACAAGAACTCATCCCCTCAGGACCATTCGTGGATGGGCCTTCACTTCTTAACAGCCATGGAGGAAACCAACGAGCTATGTCCATTAAATCCACACGCACCACCACCATGCGCAGCCAAAGGCCTGATACCTCAGCTGCTCCGTCCATGCCGAAGCCGCTGCTCGATTTTACACCGGAGTTCAGGGAGGCGCCGCAGTGGGATAAGAGAGGCAAAGGCCATGGCGTGAAGCCTATTGAGGGCGTGCCGCTTGTTGACGTTGCAAAAGGTCCCAATACAGAGGCGCTTAACATGGGCCCAACGCAGACGTTATTTAGGAGGGATCAGGTGCCTGGTGTAAGGTCAAGGACAGGAACGGTTAATGGGAGGTCTGAGGGTGCTTTTATTAAGGGGGGTTTGGTTAGCGGTTTATGATTTGATGACTTGATGTTTACATGGTGCATGAAAAGAACGGAAAGGAAGTTTTAGGGATTGGAGCATGAAAGAAAGCCGGGCTTTTTTACTGGGTTCTAGAGGGTAGATGGACATGCATGGGTGGATGGATGGATGGATATAAGCTGGCGTGATTGTAAATTGACGATACCCCATTATTATCTTCCAGGTTTCACAAGTTTCCAAAAGGTTGGGTTGTATTGCTTGGGTTTACTACCAATACATCAAGTATGATAGCACACATTAATCGCCTCTATGTCTTCATTCATTCTCGTGGTATTCCTCCGTCCTACTTTCTGGGATATAAGCAGCTATAGCTCAGTATGGTAGGCAAGCAAGAAGGTCCCTTGTTCATAATATCAAGTAAGTTAGACTTTGTCCCTCCACAACTCATGGCTGTTTCTAAGGTCTGCAGTGCCAGTACACGGCACCATTCATCCAGATCATGTCCTCTCCCATCATCAACCTTAACGGCATCTCACAATGCAACTATGAAGTCCAGATCAATGATATAATCCCCGTAAGGTAAAGTCATGGGTTCAAGAAACTGCTACTATTGAGTGGTCCAGCACTTCCTTTCTGCCAGGTTCCCGTAACATATTTTGAAATATAGGATATTGAAGCGTGGTTATCACTTCTTAACTGGCCCAGCCGGGTGGCAACATATTGGAGTCTATAAGGAAACTAATTCATAAAGGTAATATGTTCAACTTGTGAAATATGATTGACACCAAACCCCATACTAGGGGTATATGGTTAATAGCTGGTGGGATGGGCACTCTGCTGCACCGTGAGCTGCTATTAGCCGATAAGAGGAAAGGTTATCATGCACATGAAGCTTGAGAGACCTTAGAAAAATTCTTTCCGGTAATTGCAGACCTAGTTGAGAACTTTGGAGGGGTTGTATTTGATGTATACGTAGTTTGAAGAGTAGACGAAAACTGATTCTTTTACTGGGTTAGAAATCCTACGCGAATTCCATGTATTGATCTGGCTTTCTATATCCAATTTTCTTATCACGATTCATGATTTACAAGAGCACTAGCGTGCTATCCTCTGCGATCCTACCATTGACGCCTAGAGACGCTTCTCCACCAACAACAGCTGGACCCCTTGCATAGATCTATATTCAGTCAGCTTCGGTATCATTACGAGTACAATATACTGCTTACCTCTCCACGAGATGATTCATCAGTCGTTTTATGGTCCTTGGTATCCTTCAAGAAGAACTCAACGCTGCTAACTGGAGCTCCAAAATGTGCATTCTGCTCCGAATTTTCATCAACTCTGTAGTCGTAAACGCCGGTCTGCGTAACAGCACCAGCTACTTTGGAGGAAGCTAGAGAATAAATAATTCTAGCTCCGGTATAAATCCGCAAGTCTGACAGATTCTTAGCGGTCAATGGCGTAGACTTGGCACCGATTTGTTCCGAGACGTAGATCAGGCGCAGTTTCCCTGGCGTAGACCCTATAATTGGGCGAAGAGAGTCAAAAGGGCGGGAGAACATTGTAGATGCAGGCATAACTCCTTGCTGAATCAGAGATCGGGTCTGGAACCAATGCACAATTTTGTACACTGGGGAACTCATCTTGGCTGCAGTTTCGGAGAGAACTTTTGTTAGAGTTCCGGGCGATGCAACCACAATCGTAGGACTAATCCCTTGAGTTGCTAAGACAAGATCTGGGCTTGTACCAGCAACCGAGTTCAGAGCAACCGGGGCATTGGAGTAGAGCGCTGAAAGGGTCAAAACTAGTGGATACATCGTAGATAACGAGTCCACAGGGAGGAACAAGTCCGAATGATTTATACGGTGGGCAGCCGGCAACGACGACAGTTGGCCAGCAATTCCGGCGATGATGTTGGCATGAGTATATTCAACAAGTTCCCCAGAAGGCCAAAATGCTAGTATGTTCTTTAACTCGGCCTTTCTATCCACGGAAGGTAGCTCCAATCCAGTGGCTGGTGCATCTTGAACGATTTCCTGCCATGTTGAAACATTGACTGGTCCGCCAGTGCCTGTCGGAACTTCATTCCAATCCATATGCTTACTACCCTCGTCCACAACCCAGATGAGTTGCTTTAAAGCCGGGTAGCTTTTCTTTATAACATCAAATGGAAACGATCCTACAGCGGCGACCACAGTATCCGCCTTCGATTGGCCCAGCAATGAGATAATGGATTCAACCGGTTGGTCCTGGTCGTATGGTACGAGAATTGCCGTTAAGTCATAAAAGGCGCAGGCAAACAAGGTTGCTAGGAATTCGATAGAATTTGGTAGATAAATGGCAATATTTTCCCCTCCGTTTCCCTTTATATGTTGGCCGATAAGGGCAATCTGTCGATTGATGTCCGCTAGTACCAGTCAGAAGTTTACTCATATAAATGGAGGTGGGATGGACGGACTGATATCATGATCGATGATTTGCTCTGAGCCAAGGACCGTCAACAACCTGCCCTTTTCGCCCGTCTCCTTTCCCTCCCGGTCAATACCTCCACTGACTACCCTGCGCCATACATCTCGCAAATCGCCGTCCCTTCCTCTACTCCACTTAGAATCACCCGGATCCTTAACGTTAAGGCCGGAGTTTAACGGCATGCCATGCGGAGCTGCGTGTGAGCGGAAGACCGCAGACTGGCCTTCTTGTCTGACTGGAGATGCCTGGGCCTGCCGGGCAAGAAGCATAGGGTGGGCATCTGGATCGCGGGAACTGGTCACTTGGTAGACGAAAAAGGTGACCAGACATCCGGCGATCAGTGTGGTGTACACATCCCATTGCCCGAAGAAATCCGTAACTGTCTCATCAAGCGTCAACATCACGTTGTCGAAACCCATTCTGATAGAACAAGACTGGAAATGAAGCGGGGGTGAGAGTGACGATGGGAGTTTATGTTGACATCTACTGTACGTTGTAGATGCTATGTCGGTGATTACATGATGGTATTCAAGAGGCTGTGCTGCCTCGAACTCGGCCTCGTTGAGCAGGGGTCTCGGTCGTCCGCGCTGCCGCGTTTTTGAGGTTGCCACCCAGCTCAAGCTCCAAAACAACAAAGTCAACTCACCAATCCAACTTATCGACAATGCTAACATAAAGTAATCTCTTACTACGAGCGCCGTAGTCTACTAACATTTAGGTACTTATCCACCCACCTGAGGGGATTTCCAGGGTCAAAGTACGCATCACTTGGGTAAGTGGACGCGGGATACCTTGTTGACATTCGAGACTCATATCTAATGATGGGCGCATCTAGCACAACTGGGAAATACTCTTCTCGCCGGCGACCATGTCCTCTGCAGTATCTACTCCTGCCCGTCCTTCCACTCCCGCCAATCCTGCACAGCCATCGACACCACCGACCGGGACATGGCGACATCCCAAGTTGAACGAGATTGTCAGGCGCCAGAATGCGTCGACTTTTACCGAACGAAACGTTCGAATTATCTTGTATAACTTCGCGGGCATAGCTCTCACATGGGCGTTTGGAAGGGCCTGTTGGAATGGGTGGGTATCCTACGTATGTCTCCCGCCAGGCCCGTTTGTTGATTGATTTTCTAGGCTCCCAAATCTGTTCCGAGAAGGCAAAATGCTACATCAATACGGAACCTGGATCTACACTATCGTACATCTTGTATTTGTGTACAATGTTGCAGTGGCTCTTCTACCTCTTTTCCGATCGACGGATCCAATCCAAGATATCCCTCTTACGCCTGCACAGAGAAAGCTTCTGGGCCTTCCTCCGAGCTCGAGGCCTGCAACACCCGATACCAAGTACGCGACACCCCCCAGGTACTCGAGAACGCCTACGCCTTTGGCTGGATCAGCGGGAAGTAATCGAAATAATTCGGGATCGCCATTGTCAGGGAAGGGAAGGGAAAGCCCACTGGGAGGCAGTTTATCTGGTTCGCCGTTCTCTCCGTCTGCAAGTCCGCTGTTGCAGAAAGCGATGGCAGGTGGATTGAATGGAACAAGGAGGAATTCATACGGGTCTTCGTTCGGGCCTGGAGTGTCAAGGATTAGCGGGCTAGACCTTCCTGCGACGCCGACCCCGAAGACAGGAACGGTTGGGTTGAATAGCAAGTGGCTCTATGATAGGGAAAGGAGGAATTCTGGGAGCGCCAGGCTCTATACCTGATGTCTTTGTATGCATGCTCGAGATAGACTTGTGGTTTATGAATAGATACTCTATCTGCCTCTACGCTATGTTTGAACCAATGTGTATGTAATCCGATCGGTAACTAGGTTGATCCATTGTAAAGTTTTCCAATACAGACGTATTCACCTTCGTGACTTGGACGACTCCGATAAGATTTAGTTATCGCCAATGTTGTGGTTCTCTAGCTTCTGTTTCCGCGATCGACCATTGTCTCTCCACGCGAGAACCAGAACCTGGCAATGACCACATCGTCAACATTTGGGCAAGAAACCTCACGTCAGATGCCAGGCGCAATCAATCATGGGAGCGTCCGACTCAAAGCTCGTATTCAAGAGAGGCATCTTTAAACTCTCAGAAGACAAGGCAATCCCCGCCGATGATCCATACTGGACCTCCGTAAGGCTTCGAAGGCCCCATTGTGCTGCTTGCGATATGCTAACTAGGAGGGCCACAGTTCTGGGAGCTCCCGGAAACCGCTGAAGATGTCTTCAGCCTCTTCTCGCCAGCGGACATTCGCAGAACTCGAGATACATCGCTGGAGAACTTGGAGACGCTCATCTTGGCTGTAACGAGTCGGCTCTTCATCCTACGACACCACCCTTCATTTCCAGATCCCGAGTTTGCGCCTGAGAAGGATGCACTGAATTGCATACGGGTGCTCACTCGGGTTCTCCCATATATCTACGAGGCAGAGCAATTACAAGCATGGGAAGACAAGTTCTTCTGGGGAGTGAGGCGGAAGCGTACACGGTACGACACATCAGCCTTTGGTAGATACGTCGACTGACTGTACCCTAGGAGAGCCGCGTTGGCCCGCGATGTGCTATTTGACGAGTCCCAGGAGGAGCTGGCAAAACTGGAGGCTGCTGGTGAAGAATTCGAGGAGGTGAAACCTTTGGCAGAGGAGCTTATCGACACTTTGATCGACCTGCTATTCTTCGCCGACTTCACCCTACCTAAGGCACCGAATACCGATAATAAAGTAACATATGCGATATGGACCAGCGGTGTTGGATGCAATAACTCTGTGGGAACTAGTAGGGAATTCGAGAGCAATCGGACAGAGGTGCTACGATTGCTCTTGACCTTGACAAGTCCGAGCATGTACATGTCTGCCAACCTGCTACCGGTTCAGGGCGTCAAGGCTGTCTCTTATATCGTTACTTGTCCGGATAAGCAAGTTGTCCTCTCGGTCCTGTGCTCGCTATTGAACACTGTAAGTTGGTCTAGAATAAGCTTGATCGCACACTAATAGGACTATGACAGTCCCTTAAATACAACCCGGCATCGTGGAAAATCCCATATAATGTCCAAGTTTTCAAAGATCCGAAGTTGATATTAGTGACATATGCGTTACAGGTGAGGCCAAATCCGTGTTGTTAGGTGGAGAGCTTAACTAACGTGTATAGTTCCTCCTCGTTGTTCTTCTTTATCCCATTCCGGAATCAGATCCCGCCCATGCAAAGAAGAGTAAGTAAATTATCTTCTAGTCTTATCATTTCATCGGAGCTGACCATCTAGATTACTTCCGTCATTTTCTCGGGCGATTACATCGACCCCAAGATTTTCAATTCATTACAGAGGGAATAACCAGAGTTCTCAACCATCCACTCCAATCCAGCACTTCATACATCCCAGGGAATCAAAACTCAAACAAGTTGACATCCGAGATGATCATGGTCTTTTGGGAGATGACCCAATGCAACAAACGATTTCGATCATTCATCATCGATACAAATCGGTCACATGACTTTCTAGTTTTAATATTATACTACGCCATTGACTACAAACTCGACGCCTCAAAACAAGGGATAGTTAGAATGTGCGTTTTCATATTACAAACTCTGAGCGTCGAAGCGAGTTTTGGGAAGAGTCTTAACAAGAGATTCGAGAATCAAGACACCTTGCCGCCAGCTATCAGATTACAGAACTTTTACGGATCGTATGCAGATTTTCTCATACATGTAAGTGCCCTTCCCTTGATTCTGAGTCAAAATCTGGCATCACTAATTTTGATAGTCTATCTACAACATAATCACCACAAGCCAGGGGAAGCTCACAGCAATATACCCAGCATTGTTGGCCGTCATCAATAATATCGCCGCCTACCTTGAGTGCCTTAGCCCTTCTGCTTCGTCGAAGCTACTTCAGCTTTTCTCGTCTATGTCGTCACCAGGGTTCCTTTTAACTAACGATAGTAATCACGATCTCTTGCGGTCCTTATTAGAGAGCATGAATGCTATCCTAGAGCACCGATATAACAGTGGGTGTCTCCCGTTCTCTAATTTCAATTTCTCGTTCTATTGTCGCTCCTTGAAAAAGAAGAGATACACCAACAGTCCTTATCGGTTTTGAATACTAACTGGGTCGCTAGAAAATCCTAACTTCGTGTATGCGGTACTACGGAATAAGAAAAGATTTGACGGTAAGCAGTCCCATGAAATAACATCCCAGTTGACGTCTAACGATACATAGCTTTACGATCCTTTACCTTGGAGAGTGGCCAGGAGGAGATTGAGAGAAGGAATCGACGACGAAAAGATAACCCTAGCGACCAGTTTGACATGAGTGACAGTCGACGGGGCTCTGCCGATAGCATCAGAAGTCCCTCTTCAAGTCACCACCGGGCACCAACCCTGAGTAACGTTCCTGAAGAGGACGGGGCATTTGCCATTGGAGACGATGAAGATGAGGATACCGATGATGAATATCGAGCAACTCCGTCCGAGTCTACTCCGACGGACCATCCCTCACGCGCATCATCAGTGTCATCAAGTATCGACGACGCAGTACCGACTCAGCTGAGGGGAATGTCAGAGAAGGCGCGTGGAAAGATGCCCGGTAGGTCTCTCGCCCTGCTTTGCGACCTTCCTGCTGATAATAAAGTAGCTGGCATGCCAACGTTCTCCCGACAAAACAGTACCACGAGTTTAGGCAGCCACACAACACCAGGCTACTCAACCAACGGCGCATTCGAGCCGACTGCGCAATGGATCGAGTCCTGGTTACCAGAGCTCCCTCTCCACACAGTCCTCACGCTCATCGAGCAACTCTCACCCCAGCTCCCTCGGCCCAACGGGGCAACGACTGACACCCCCTCAGCCTCCGTCCTACGCGCCATGCAAACCGCGGACATTCGCGGCATCGAGCCATCATCCATCCGCATCCAATACTTCGAATGGTCACCACTAAGTCTCGGCTGGTACGAATCTCTCCTCTGGAGCTTCATTTTTACCTCGGAAATGCAAGTTGCCAAAGGCACAGTGGGAGTTTGGAACGGTACAGCGATCAAGCTCTTCCGTGTGGAAACTGTAGCGCCCATTGGTCCTACGCTGTCCAGTCCACGCGGTGCCGTTGATGCTGTCGGAAGCAACATTGTCAATCGGATTGGGAGTATTAACCTTCGTGGTGTTGGCGGAACGGCCCCTGGAGCTGGATCTGGATCCGGTGACGCGCAAGGTGGCAATGCCAACCAAGGGGATGTTAGGGAGGCGAGGACGGGGACGGGGAATGGATCTGGTACAGGACTGGGAATGGCGAATATCCGGAGCGCGGTTATATAATTATTATTGCTAGATGAAATTCAAGAGTTAGCGATATGCTGTAGTTCTGAATTTCTGTTCCCCGGAAGTCTTAAGGGTCTAGATGCAGGTATCCATGGGCCTGCATGGAGTGGATCTTGTCGATCACTCGAGTATGTACCCCGTGGTGCTATTGTAATAATTCTACGCATACTTCATACTTCCCCCCCACAGCTTATGCCCGGGGAAAGCCGTGGCTCTTCATCCCGCTCTGTCTATTTTGTTTCATTGCCGGATTAACCAAATGATCGGACTTCCATTAGGGGATTTGCAATTCCCGCTGTGGCGCGTGCAGTTCGGGACTTTATCCGTTCCGAAACGAGAAAGCGTGCGCCACATCTAAACTAGGGTCGTGCGGGCGGAACAATAAGTGGGGTCATTTCAGCCACTTCCCAGTGCGGTTGGATTTCAAGCTTTTCGGAAATACTACAGTCTACAGGACATACGATTTTCCAGGAACACTTCATTAGACATGTGTACAGGTCGCTAGAAGACGAAGAAAAGTCCGTCTTTAGTGGCTTTGGGGACACTGAAGCGAATTTGGCAGGTTTATTTCGTATAACTAGCCAGAAGAAGATATATTCGAAATATATGGAGGGGAGTGCGTATGCGATGTCCGGAACGGGACTGCAAGCCGGGAATGTGCATGGCGACGAGGAGGAGGTGAAGAACTATACAATTCATGTGGGTATTCGTATCACATTACGTTTCCTTATCCTCCCCGGGCGCTCAAGCTACTACAATCCAATACTTATTTCAAGTTATTTGTGCCTGTCTACAGCTTTACTGACTTGGGCATCCAGGTCTCAAACAAATACCTCCAGCTCACAAAGCGCAAGCTAGAACTAACTCGTCTTCCCCACGAACTCATCGTTCCTCCCTCCCAACAATGGTCCCTGGGGACGCCGAAACGCGAAATTGAGCCGCTGATAGATTTCTGGCTCGACGCCTACGACTGGCGACAACAGGAAGTGCATTTGAACTCCACGCTCCCTCAATATCGCACGCTATTGCGCCCAGGCGATGATACCCCCCTAGTCAGGTTGCACTTCATTCATATTCGCTCCCCGCATGCAGACGCCATACCGCTGCTGCTTATCCCAACGTTCCCATTGACGAATTTAAGCCTCAGCCCACTATTTGCGCCGTTAGCTGACCCCGCGAATCCAAAATCCACGCTGGCTTTTCATGTCGTTGTCCCCTCTATACCCGGGTTGGGGTTTAGCAGTGCGTTTTCGACGCGGGAAGCAGAGGGGGATGTACTAGAGATTACCGCCGGCTTGTTCGATAAGCTGATGAAGAGATTGGGGTATGGCTACTATGTTGCGAGTGCGACGGGGAGTGGGAGGAGTAGTATGGGAGGCATTGATTATTATCTGCCGAGGTTGGTCGGGGAGAGGTTTCCCCAGAGTTGTTTGGGGGTTCATTTGCTTGATCCGATCATTGAGGAGCCGAAGTTTGGTGGGGACCCCTGGATGTGGCTCAAGTGGAGAATTGCAAGGTTTTTCTATGCGGGCATATTTGGATATCATGGGGATGATTGGAAGTCTTTGAGCAACGCATCCAGAAATAGGATCACTGAGAAAGTGCAGGCGTGGGATCAAGCTGATCAGACGCCCCTACTAAAGAGGAGGGAGGGACAGGGTTATGGCGCTATTAGTGTGCTTGGACTCAATGAGCCGAATACCTTTTCATACGCTCTATGCGATTCTCCCGTAGGGCTGTTGAGCTTGGTCTGTAGTGCCTTGAGGAGGACTAGCCCAAGACACGAATTAAGCCATACGGAAATCATTGATCTGTGCCAATTAGCTTGGCTACCTGGTCCGGAGGCGGGTGCGAGGTTCTGGGCCGCTGCTGTAAGAGAGGCGGCTAAGTTGCGGAAAAAGCCACATCCGAGGACGAATATCGGCATCACTGCGTTTGGCGTGGGTGCTTTAGACGGGGAAGGGTACGCGTTTCCTGCTTGGGCGGCTGGGGAGCATAATGTCCTCTATTCCCAGAGGGTGGTTGGGAGACCTGGACTCGCTGCTTGGGAAAGGACAGACATTATCGTTGGAGGCATTAGGGCTTTGGCGAAGGAGCTTCAAGGGATCGATGCTCGGTTGAAGACCAGGCCGTTGGAAGAATATGCTATGGACTCCGAAGATGAAAGCGATTGGGGGCAGACGATTGCCGATAGCGACAAGGACTACGGGCTGCAGCTCGATGTCGAATCACCGGATACTGTTGTTCAAATACCTTTGAGTACGGCTCCGGGGGATTGGTGGGGGGATGGAAATTGAAATGGGAAGCAGTACAACGATACCTGTTTGCTCCTCTTTTGGATATTTTGCGAGATACTGGTGACCTAGGCAGAACTGGAGGACGTATTAGTATGGATTCTCTTGGGCGTTAAACCGGGGAGTTTAACGATGTATGAGTGTACGAAGGGCAGACAATAACTAGAAGATATCCTATGTTGGAGAAATCCTAGTGCATAGAGAAGTACCTCGACACTACCACGGAAGAAAGATTAACCAGTCGGCAGGATCAATTCATCAAAGCAAAAGCCAATCACACATAAATATGGATATATGTGAGAGCGGGCGCTCCCGCGGGTTGAACGCTTAAAGCTCTGTCTTTTGGCAAAGGGATAAAGGCCAGTTCAAGGGAAGCTACAAGTCTCCTCGAATCAAATCAGCACGACCGAAGCCGAAAGTGCAACGATAGTAGCTATCCATAACCTGGCGGACCAGTGGCGCCCTGGCGCGTCAACACTCATAAACACACACCTAATCTGCACACAATCTGCTTCTGTTCGGGCAAGGCTACTTTATCGGTAATGATAAATGGGACGAGATCGGCGAGGTGACATTGTGAAGCCGGTGATCTATGATACAAGCACAAAACCTTGTAGGGGGATTCCAGACCAGCTCTATTTCCTGAATTCGGATCCCATCGCCATTTTTTTTTTAAATTTCTTCTCGGTGCATCATCTACACACACAATGAAAATCAATATATAGGTGATTTCTTGCGTCATGTCTAACCTCTCTGTCTCCAAAAAGATTGGCCTACCATGCCATGAGCTCGGAATAACACACAAGTAGGAGATCCGGGCTTTGATATGTCACTCGACTCTTACCCTTGGTACGCGCTGCCCACATACTCGACTACGCGGTATTCTTGCTGACACAAGTGGCAAGTACCATTAGGTCATACTGCATTCATTTGATAACGACAAGTTAACAACGAGAGCTCGAGCTTCCAAGCCCATCCGATCCCCGGCACTAATATCCTCTAGTGCCTTTCCATCTTATGACCACTACACACGAGTAGTGCTCCCTCCAAGCCCGAGGTTTGACTGCTATGGGTACGACTTCAAGAAGCAGTGACATTGACGAGTGGCCAGTTGATGCCTTTGTCCGCCGCGCCGATATTTCCTAGCCCCGCGCAGCTATACAAACCGACCGGATTGTTCTCCGTGGCTCTCATATACTGGAGATCGATACACTCTTCTATTTCGGGCATTAGTTCTCATATATCCCCGGGCATAGTTTGTGAGGCTTACGTGGGCTCGACAATTGGAGGGAGATCCGCCCGTCGGCCATAGCCACCCATTTCTGACCGTCCTCGGTAGCGGAGCAATTCTTAAGGTTGATGCTAGCCATATCTTTCCAGTTACCTGTTCGACTAGCATTAGTCTAGGTTGCCTCTTAGTAGAGTTTTGTACGATGCTCACTTTTAACGCCTGCATCTAGGCAGAGGGTAGTGGCTGCCAACTGGATGCTGGTGTTGCCGTCTTTAATATACCACTGTTGCTCCGGCTTGTCATTGCGGGTCTTGCTAGAAAAGTAAAATAGGTCAGCATCAGGATCTTCAATAGCTATATGGGGTTGCGAGACGAACACGACTATAGCACTGCCGGCCGTGGGCGAAGTTGGCACTACAACGAACTTGGCGTTTACATTCGAGGTGATAATCACCGTGCGGTAGCCCTCAGGAACCTCAGCAAGGCCAGTTGCGGCGAGCGCAAGAATGAGAATAGAGGTAGCGAACATCTCGATTGATCTTATTGTCCTGCTTTTAATGTAATTAATTTTCAAGGTTGGATGTGGTGAGAGCGCGGTATCGTCAATCAACCCATAGACGGAGGTGGACGTTTATATATGGGCAGATCTATTATAAACTCCAAGTTTCCGGAAGTTAATCTACGAAACGAGCCTAATTAGTAGTAAATCCCCAGGCCACGGCTACTCATTTCTCGAAAGTAGATATACTATAGCCAATTCAGCCATAGGTTGTTTCTCAAAGGTCGGTAGATCTTGAGAACATTCGACACCAATAGGGTTGCGGGTATTTTTATCATCTCCCTTCTATACTCTAATATCGTTAGCGAACGATTAGGCTAGAAGGGATAAAATGGCCAGCTCCGCAATAACGTTCCCTCCTACGTCTTAAACGAGCGTCGATGCAAATGAACTACTTCCAATCTCAATTTCTAACGGCAGTCCCCTACCATCTTGTGACCTTGTATTGTCGTGCCAGTCTCTCGTCCAGGCTGTGCTGCTCTCATGCGAAGGGTAGCTCGCGAATCTTGAGGAACCCCTCTCCATGAGCAGCTCCTTACAAAACTCGGTCACGTTCTTATTTACGGCATTTCGATATGAGCTAGGATGGGAACTATATGGGATTACCCCCTAGTGACTAACCCAAGAGGGAGGAGATGTTGGAGAAGGAGCAGGAAGAGGCTATTGGTGAAATAAGACGGTGGAGCTGCAGATATGATGAGCCAGTAGCCATAATTTCAGGAATAGCGAGGTACAGTATGAGGATTTGCCTTGCCACGAGATATAAGATTTATTTCATCGCCCAAGCAATATGAATCCCCGTTCCCCGGCACTGTCTGGGATCATTACGTCGGGACAGGTCGCGGTTTAAGTACCTAGGTCATTATAACCTTGGGCCGATCTTCCTCTGCCAATACAGAACTCAGAAGCTCTAGAATCCCCTTCTCCTACTTCGTACTTCTTTGAGATATGCACCGGTTGGTGAGTTAGAGGCGGGATGGCGGAGGTTACTCAAGAACACAAGCTGAAAAGGCTGAAGAGTGTAAAGCGGCGGTGATCACGTGGATGGCTTCTGGCTGCGCCACCCATAACCATGATAACATCAAAGCAAAGGGGAAAACCCACCTGGACCAAGGTGCTTGCTTGGTGCCTCTTGCAACGCCGTGGTCCGCCTACGTCCGCCATCATCTTCCCTCCTTTTCGCATCATTCTCGCCCTCAAAGCAGAACCATATAGCAAACACTATCGCCACTGATATAAGCACCTGGAAGGCTACAGCTAGGGCCCGGCGGCTGCACCGCACCGCATCAGAGCAGACAAGAATAACTTTCTCCCTGAAACGCCTTCTCAGCCCCTCACAAATACGATACTTCAACGGTCTGCTTGCCTTTTCTACACCTTTCGCATCGCATCTACGACTAGTTGCAGTAATGGATTTGGCCGGACCTGGCTCCTCCAATTCGAGCAGCGGCTGCAACAGCTAGGACGCCATTACCGCCGTCCCATAGGCACCCTTCTGCATTGCTGGCTAGTAGCCATCTACAGCTCACAACTAGCCAGCTGCGGAGGTCTCTTTGAAGACTTGGTTCTCAGATTCAAACCACCTTCAAGATGCATTCTATTCTATATGATATCTGGCATCAGATAGTCTCGTTGAAGCCCTCCTTCATATCGAAAAGCCCGCATTTTAATTTTATTACTGTGCACTGTGAGTCCCTATCCTTGACCTCCCCCTTGCTTAACGCACCAATCCCTCCTCTCCCAAGCTAACGACCTTTTGCAGATTTCTACATCATTGGGATAGCTTTATTTGGCTCCATATGCCTCTATCCTCATGGGAATATCAAGTATATCGATGCCCTCTTCATGGGGACCGGCGTGGCCACACAGAGCGGCCTCAACACCGTGGATCTCAATAAGTTGAATACATTCCAACAATTCGTATTATACTTTATCCCAATGCTGGCAAACCCAATTACCATCCATACGTTTGTTGTCTTCTTAAGATTATATTGGTTCGAGAAACGCTTCCAACACATTGCCAAGGAGGCCAAGAAGAATAGGAGGAGCATATCGAAAACCATGAGCAAAGCGAAGACAAATGAACGGGATATCGGGCAGGAGGAGATGGGTGTCAGAGGACGGAGCATTGTCGTGATGCATAACACAACTGTGCCTAACGGCATGACGAATGACCGTGCTGTGCCAGAGGATTTGAAGTATCACCTTGAAAAGGGAAAGCAACTCCACCAAGGAGAGGAAGTCCCGTCGTCCAGTACTTCCGAAGGTGCTAGCAAGGGCCAAAGCTCAGAGTCTGAAGATGACCGAGCATCAGTAGGAACCGTTCAGCGGTCTCAGACCCAGATCAAATTTGCGGATCAGGTGAAACCAAGTAATGGACAGACGGACGATCCTCTCCGGATACCCACGCGACGGAATCACGAAGATCATATTGCCTTCTTAGAACGCCAACGTAACCCAGATAATAGCGCTGTACTTCGCATTCCTGGACCAAGGGACGCTGATGCTGGCATGGCACCAGAGACGGTTGACCATGGCGATAATATGCATTACACCTTATCTGGGAAAGCGTCAACATTTAGCCCCCGGCGAGATAGTATCGATACAGCCGTGGATGGCGACGAGCAAGTCCCCGAGACTCGGAAAACCAGGCCTCGCAATCTCACATTTACAGAGCCAACGAGGCCGCCACCTGGAGAGCGTATTGCCAATGATGTTGAAGCCGCCAAACATACATTAAATGTGTTCAAATTCCGCAAACCAAAGTTCCTTAGCAGTAAATCAGAAAAAGCACAGGAGGGCCATCCTGCCCATTTTTCCCTAGCGCGAAGTGCCACTCTTCAGGGGATCAGGAGTGCATTGTCACGAGATAAGGATGACACAATGCCGTATCTGAGTTGGGAGCCCACAGTTGGGCGAAATTCCGCCTTCGTGGATCTCACAGAATCACAAAGGGAAGAATTGGGGGGCATCGAGTATCGGTCGCTAAAGTCGTTAGCGCTAGTCTTGACTCTCTATTTCTGGGGTTTTACTTTACTTGGAATATTGGGTCTGGTGCCATGGATCTTGCGAAGCCCCTCCTTTGGGGCGGTTGTCACTGATATTGGCCAAGGAAGGGTTTGGTGGGGATTCTACACCGCAAACTCAGCCTTCACCGATTTAGGCTTTACCCTTACGCCAGATAGTATGAACTCTTTCCAGCAGGCGATTTGGCCGCTGGTATTGTTGAGTTTCCTTATTATTGCGGGGAATACTGGGTTTCCTGTTATCCTTCGGTTCATCATCTGGGTTACCTCATTATACGTTCCTAAGGAAAGTGGCATCTGGGAGGAGCTTAGGTTTTTGCTGGACCATCCACGTCGGTGCTTCACGTTGTTATTCCCATCAAAAGCAACTTGGTGGTTATTCTGGATATTGGTGATGCTGAATGGTGTGGATCTAATATTTTTTATTATTCTTGATGTGAGATGCCCCAAACCTCTGTTGATACATTACTGACTTTATTAGCTCGGCAACACCATTGTCACCCAACTTCCTGTCAATATCCGAGTTTTAGATGGCTGGTTCCAAGCCGTGGCGACCCGAACAGCAGGCTTTGCCGTTGTAAACATTTCCCAGCTTCATCCCGCTATTCAAGTGTCATACCTCATAATGATGTATATCTCCGTACTTCCCATTGCAATATCGGTTCGGCGAACGAACGTCTATGAAGAGAAGTCTTTAGGGATTTATGGCTCGGCCTCACAAGAAACTGAGGACGAAGGTGAACCGTCCTACGTTGGTGCGCATTTGCGGCGACAACTATCCTTTGATCTCTGGTATATCTTCCTAGGACTGTTCATCCTTGCTATCTCGGAAGGCAAACGACTTCAGGGTGATGATCCGGATTTCACTCTATTCACGGTTCTGTTTGAGATTGTCAGTGCATATGGTACTGTTGGTCTCTCACTCGGGTACCCCACCATCAACGCATCCTTCTCTGCGGAATTTGGAGTCATCGGCAAACTTGTCATTATCTCCATGCAAATTCGTGGTCGCCATCGTGGCCTTCCGTATGAATTAGATCGTGCTATCCTTCTCCCCAGTGAAAATCTCCAATTAAACGAAGGTCGAGAAGACGCAGCATCTCTACGCAGGCAAAGTTCGATGGCCACAAATGGGCCGGGCGGTAGCGGTAGCGAGAGCCGCAACCGCAGCAGGAGTAAGAGCACTGACCGCCATCCGCCGAATTTCCTCAATCGTCTCCTCCATCCCGGCCCGATGATACCAAGCAGTCATCGTGATGTACCGCTACCACCAAAGGGGTCTACCACGCGAAGACATAGCATTTCTACCCCCGGAATGCCAGATAGGTCCAGGAGTGCCAGTCCTACTGCTACTTCTAGCGGGGCTCACAGGACTCAGACGCAGATTAGCACGCCGGTTGGTGAAACAAGAGATTGGGCGGGGGACAGGGAGGGGAGAAGGAGATTTTTTAAGGAGGGTGCCAATCCTGAGCCGCCGGCGAACGGCTCGTCGTAACTTTGAGTAGATGCTTAGTTGTACTTGGAGAGGGAAATACTAGATGTGTATATGAGGGAATGGCTGGATATCCAGTTGTACATTGGCAGCAAAGCGCTTGGAGTTTTATAGGAGTTTTGACTCGTTGGATTGGGATATACCTGGGAGAGGATTGAGTGATGCATCTGGATGTTTTCGCTGGGACACCTACATAGACTTTTCCACGTCCTCTAATAAAGCACACATGGCTATACTCCATACGTTTGATGTTTATCGAGACGTATTTCTTGTGGGGCCTTGAACAGATGAGGGATCTAGATATTGAACTCGAAAATCCGCACGCTTCAAGTTGGGATCTATTTCGAGTGTCAAGGAAAAGGACAATAGTTTGGTGGCTAAGCTTTCACGCCCAAGGCATAAACCCCTTTAGATGCCGTTCCGCTTCAACATCTTAGTTCATCAATCTTTTATTCTTGTAACTGCTAGAAGACTCCCGTCAATTCCGAATCTCACCAGGTTCCGGCGCCCCCAAGCAAATAACGGATGGCCTGCTCCGCCAAGAACTCTCTCAAGATGGCAGCCATGAAACTAGCCAGGGTTCTAGCGCCACGATGTTTCCAAGTCGATTCGCGGCTGAATACAGTGGTTATTAGAGATTTCATCCAAACCATTGAAATAAGCAGGGTGTGCGTACCATCCTCGTGTATCCGGGGATTTGTCATTGTCTCTCTCGTGAATTATCGTCAGATGCCCCCTCTCCTCCGAAGCTCATTTGGTGTGTTCAAGTTGCTCGACTTTTGGGGTGCGAGAAGGGAGCTACGTGTACGGCCCGTTGCTCCGATAGATTCTTTTGATATCAAATCTGTTTGTTGAACATCTGGGCTCCTGGTGCTGGCTTTAATTGTTATTCTAGACATGGTCTTTATTATTATAGAGATCGGCATACTTCTAGAGCAGCCCTACACATACTCCCTATACACGGCAGAGTTGCCGTGAACCGACCTCAAGCCATATTTCTACTCTATTTCCACGCTTATCATAGCTTTTATATACTTCCAAGACCTTATAGGTTGAAATTAACCTAGACTGCCTTAATTCATCCGCCTCCGGCACTGATGCCAAATGCATAAAGTATTCCCCGCAATTCCCCAGTTCTCCACGGCCCCAGTCGTCGCGACATGCCTATTGTGGCGCTCTTCCGTGGATTTTTACCACAGGTAATATGGAGCAAAGATTAGATTCAGTCCATGGATGACGTCCTCCCGATCACACAAGCGCTGGGTAGAAGGGAATCCCCATAGCGGCTATCCTGATGCCGAAAATACATTATGCCGCGTGATATGGTAAATTGAATTCTTGGTATCAGGGTTGGCATGTGGGAACTGGCGGAAGGACACGGGATGAAAGATATAAAATGGTCCGTTTTCTAGTTTTGATTCTTGTTGTTTGTTGCGAGGCAAGTGTTATCGCTCTTTCAATTGTAAATTTATCTTGAATTTATCTCTTCATCATGAAAGCAGTCGCATCTCTGGCCGCTGGCCTCTCCCTGTTGAGCCAAGTTTCCGCTCATTGTAAGTGCACAACTTATATAGGAAGCTCTTGTTGCTAATGGAGGTTAGACATATTCCAACGCCTCACCTATGGTGGAACCGAGTTCCCGGTATACCAATACATTAGGCCAAACACAAACTACAACTCTCCCGTCACAGATCTAACATCAAGCGACCTGAGATGCAATGTTGGAGGATTGACTGGAGCGTCAACTCAGATCATCACGGTCAAGGCGGGCGATTCGTTCTCGTTCACCACTGATGTGGCTGTCTACCACCAAGGCCCAGTATCATTGTAATCCTCCCCTCCACGCCCTGCTATTTAGTTTATACTAACAACATATCAAAACAGTTACATGGCGAAAGTCCCATCCGGCCAAACTGCGGCAACATTCGACGGGTCAGGTGCGGTCTGGTTTAAAACCCAAGACATAGGTCCTACCTTCGACTCCAACGGAAACGCGGTCTGGAATCTAGCACGTACGTCCCCTCTTTCTCTACTGTCGAAAATATCATCTCACATTATCACAGAAACCTACACATCCAAGCTCCCCGCCGGCCTCCCCAGCGGCGACTATCTCCTCCGCGTGCAACAACTTGCAATCCATAACCCTTACCCCGCCGGCATCCCCCAATTCTACATTAGCTGCGCACAAGTCACCGTCACCAACGGAGGCTCTGGGAACCCTGGCCCACTGGTGTCTATCCCGGGATTTATTAAGGGCGACGAGTCTGGATATACCGCTAATATTTACAATAATTTCAAGAGCTATACCGTGCCGGGACCTGCTGTGGTATGTTCACCCTTTACCTTCAAAAGTTTGAGCAATTACAAGATGGCTAACAAACCAATTTTACAGTGGAACGGCCAATAAATACCTCAGCTACAGATGACGAAAATTGAGGAAAGTGAACGACGGAAGTTCTGTTTTTGTATATAATTAAACTAGCATTGGGAGGAATTAAAACCAGTCATATCGGCATCTAGAATCTTGAAGTGTTGTAGTATGCTGTAACCCGTTTTCTTTTTGCTGGGATCGTCCCATCAAGCTATCCCCGCCCACGTCCAAACTACTCCGTTCCAAGTTTTGGTCTTCATCAATTTGTTATGCTGTGGTATGGTACCATTAAATCCGCATCTCCACACGGAACGTCGACACAGGAACACCAAAATATTTAATTCTAGGAAACTATGTTGGGAGATTTAGGGTGCGTCATTGTACTCGGGGGCGAAAATCTTTCAGCCCTATCTAAACCACTAAGTATTGTGCCATCCTCAATATTCTTCGAGGTATTATGAGAAGACCGCAAATTCTCGATCTCAAATTTATGCGAGTAGGAGCCCCATTTAAGGGAGTACGCTCCTGTTAGCATCATAGAATATCTAAAATTTACAACATTGAAGATACATTGGAGATAAATTACTGCGAAAGCATTTGTTAAGAATAGATTTATCAATTAGTAAAAGAAAGTTTTAGGGGTCTAGGAAACCTTGACCTTCACCAAAATAGAGGGGTCTAGTAAGTTGCACTTCATATAAGTATTAGCACTGGACGGAAAAGAAACATGAGGACACTGAAAGAAACTGGAAATGGGGTTGAAAACTTGCTAGAATGATGGGGATGCATTTGTGACTGGCTGGGATGCTGGTGTCTTGTCTGTCCAAATAGATCAAAGATAGCAGAATGATTTAGGCGTCTTCAAATTATTTGCTGTTTGTCATAATAGTGATTGTCTGTCAAGACAATTATCATCTGTCATGCTCATCCCCATCTGCCAGACCCTTGGGGTTCTCACCCGGCTGTCCACGGAGAATAAGAGAATAACTGCTTGTTGGAACTCAAGTTCATCACGCACTTTTGGCAGAAAGCTCTCTTCACACTGAATCTCAGAAAGGATCTCGACTCCTAATATGATAACAACTGTGGCCATAGGTTATCTCCCAGCTTAGCCGGAGAGAAACGGAAAATTGGAAGGGTTTGGACTCTAGAAACTGGTAGTTTCAGGCGATTTGACAACGTCTAAACTCCGCAAGCCAAAAAATAGGAGCCGCTTTCAAGATTTGTGATTTCTTAGGGAATTAAGTTTTATATAGGTGAGACGCTTGTTGCCACCCCCTTCTGATTTATGGCGAGACCACCACACACCGTCCCACCACGCACCGGCATCAACTGAACTATCAACCTCTTGAATCCACTCTATGGCTAGTCTTAGTGTCAGCCTCTTCCCAATATTCCGCATCTTGACAAACGCCAGTCTCAGGTGGAAACCCAAACATTTAGGTGGCTAAAGCTTTGGAAGTGATTTTTATTTCGTAGATTGAACGAGAGGATATCAGAGATGTTCACGGTAGATGGCACAGTGATTTTGCTAGTGAAGCTAAGGCTAGAGACCAGAGAGGTTTTGTGAGGATTGACACATCCTAGTACCTCTTGGGATATCTTGGGGTATCTTGGGACACCCTTAGGTAGGGCGAGGGAAACTAGAAGCCCAACCCCGGCATATCGGTTCTACATAGATATTTGTACTGTCGGCACCTGCTGTTGTAAATCTTGTCTAGTATAGAGGAATTTTCATTTTCGTGGCTACTTACTTAAATAGAAACCTAAGCTATAAAATTACCCACTTCGGCATATAAAGCGTTTCTATGAGAATCATCTAGCATGGCAAGTGGGAGATGTAGTTATGCAATTACTTAGTTACTAGTGCCTAAACCCAAGGTCCGCCTTAATAACACAACGCCAGTCAATACCCAACCAAAACCATCCACCACTCTTCATCACTCATAGAATACATATCCGTAGCATTAGCTAGTCATCTCCACGTCGTCATCACTAAGTAAGCTTTCTACAAGGGAATCTCTCCTGCTTTTCGGCTCTTGCTCGGCAATCACAGTAGCTGTATCATCATCCTCCTCTTCTCCTTCCTCTCCCTCCTCGACTTTTACTAACCCGGTCATATCGCGTTCAGCTTCATCAACTTCATCAGCCTCCCTAGGCAATATAGACCTATCCTCGTCTGCGACACTTGGCGCCACACTGCTCTTCCGGCTTTTGTTTTCGGATCTCTCTTTCTCAGAAAGGGAATTGACGATCTTGCCAAGGCTAACGTGGATTTTGTAGAGGGCGTTCCGACCAGTTGCATCCGCAATCAGTTTTTCATCGACAGCTACAGAAATTTCCTCGTAAACCTCGCGGATCAGGGTCTCAGTCGAGGTAGGGGATATGTACAGTTTAGCGAGCAATGGAGCAAGGGATTTCTTCTCATCGCCTATGCATTATTAGTTGCGAGCAACGTGCTAGAGCGGTAAGGACCAGAAAGGAGAGAGTACGTACGGCTAATATTCGACCCTAACCTTTCCAACAGATCCCGGGCGAAATATAAATGCACATCCCCGTTAACAGCTTTCTTCGGGCCCTCATCGCTCAGCGTCAGCTGATTACCAGGCACGTAGCATTTTCTCGGGTCCGTCCAGTCGATTAAGTGCGCGCCGATGGTGTTGAGGCTGATTATATCAACCTCAGCCTCGCCTTCATCATCTAGGGTCTCTTGGACTTCAAAAAGCTTATGCATCGCATCAAGCGCTACCTTCCTCATTCGATCTTGATTATCTTTTCGACTGTAACTGTACATAGGCAAGAAATATGACAAGGTTTGGCGTACACCTTGGTTGTAGGCAGTGCTCGGGTCGAAATATAGGACGATAAGTGTTTTGAGCAAGTCATCAATGGAGGTCGAGGCATCGGAGATGACACGCCCTAGCATGAGCTTTGCAACGGCAACTGTAGCTGCTGCCTGCACCTCAGGAGCTTTGGTGCCAGATTTCAATGCTTTGAGGTAGACTTTTAGGAGGGTAGGATTGCTGTCGAGAAGATGAGCCCCGTGCTGAACAAGAATATCAGTTAGAATTTGGAGGGCCGTGATTTGCAACGCAGAGTGGCCTTTGCTAAAGAAGTGCATGAACAACGTCAAGTTCTCTTCAGCGAGTGATTTATCCAGTAGAGAGCAAAGCCCCAGGCAGACGAGACCACGTTCTCTGACCGGTGCTTCGTGGCTGCGAACTGCAGGGACAACTAGGTTGTTTAACATTGCAACAAGATCCACATTTTGTTGAAGGTTTCCTTCCACATTCTCGAGCATGCATTGCACAATATGCAAGCATTTCATATTTACCATAATCTCTCGAATGGCTTTTTCTCGAGCCTCTTCTTCCGAAAGTTCCGACTTCTTGGAACTCTTGCTTGGTGCTCCTGGAGAGCCATCTTCACTGACTTCGGATTTAGCAGAGTGGAAACTCTCATTGGCGTCTTCAAACTCTGGCTCATCCATAATTGTATCGTGAACGTCAGCCACAGCTTCGAGCACAACGCTGCAAAATTCACGTTCGCCAGCTGCATCCCCAGCGCAGATACCACGAAGCGTCTCAATGGTAAGTTTTGTGACCTCCTCTGGCATATCTGGAAGGGAAAGAGATTGCCGTAGAAGAGCAAACATCTTCCGACGTCCAACTTCATCCGAGTAATCCACCGTTTGGGCAATGTGAAGCATTTGTTCCACAATAAATTCCTGCTCCACAGTATCATCCTCCTCTTCATCCTCAGCCAGTTCCTGTGCAGCAGCATTCCTCAAAGCTTCGGCAAGGACAGTGATATATCGTTGCAGATAGAACGCCAGCTTTGTGACTTCTGGCATCTTCTCCTCGATCAGCGCTTCGAACCTCCCCTTTCCATCGCTGAGGCAGAAATCATTAAAGCTTCTAGCCATGAAGACCGATTCGGCTGTCAACGTATCCCAGAAGTAGTCATCGAATGTTACTGCATCCCGATAATCTGGCCGACCTTCCCAGAACCCTTTCATAGCCTCTAGCGCGACACCACCTTCAACACCAGAATTAACAATATCAATTCGTTCCAAAAGTTCAAGCAGGCCCTCAAAGTTTGGGGCCTTAGCCTCTCCATTTGCTACCTCGTCTTCACCAGTCTCAGCAATTCCGGCACAATCCTCGATCCAGCGTTCTCGGAATAGCTTCCCTGCAGCCTTCCGTACGTTTTCGTCTCGATCGCGAAGACCCCATCGGAGCAATTTTTCTCGCATCGACAAAGAAAGATGCCTGAAATCACCAAGCGCGGGGAGTAGCCGCGAGTAAAGCGCTCGTCGGGTGGCAGCATCCTGATCACGAGCTCGCTCTAGCAAGAATGGTAGGGTCGATGGTAAAATTGGTAGGTTGACCAGAAGCGACCTTCTCACATCTGCACTAGGATCATTTTGCATCAATTCCAAAAGCTTTTCGAGCAATCCAGCCCCAGAATCGTCATCGCTGTCCTCGGCTTCCCCATCTGCCTCATTGCCAGCTAGTCTTCCAAGTCCTAGGACAGCTTGAACCCGAACCATTGCCTCCTTATCATGAATTCTCTTCAATAGTCCATGGCGCAGAAGTTGGAAAAGATCATCGTCAATGGCTTCTAGGGAGTTGATGATATGAGAAATCAGTTGTGTTGACCTGTATCGTATAAATTTCTCCTTCGCGGTCAATAGTGGAAGAATAGTGTTCATAAGATGGGACGTAAGTCGCGTACTCGGTGTCTCAACCATAATACCCGTTTCATCTTCACCCGCCGGAGCAAGTTCGTTGTCTTTCTCATTGGCGTGTTTAAGAAAGAACCCAATGAATCGAATTGCGCGCTCTCCTACAGTCTCACTCTTCTTCACTGGCATCACACGCAAAACACATCGTGTGAATTCGTAGGTAAATTGATCCTCGTCAAATTCCTCCGCCCCAGTCTTCTTTGTCTTCTGGCTTGTTGGCTCGTAACAGCATGCTTCGTGGATTTTCCGCAGGTTTATGACCAGCTTCCGGTGTGAAGCTGTCGTCCGTTGGGCATCTCGAAAAATTGATGATACTTGGGTTCGTAGTTCGTTGTCTGGCGTTTCCTCTGGGATCTCGGCGTATGAGGCAGACGCCCTCGACGCTGTTGAGGTGCGTGGATTCAGAGTCTGAACGGAAGATTTGTGCGATACTGCTGTTGAGGTTCTGGTAGACCTTGAAGATACGCGGGTAGGCATCGTGGAGGTGCTTCTGTTAGTCTGCCGTGGCGCACATTCAATCTCGGGCTGCTCGCAAACTTGTTTCAAATATCTTGACCTTGTTAGCCGCAAGTTGAGGTGTTAGAAGTCCTAGGTTTGGCGCGATTGTCGATGTTTAACTGTCCCTCCTTGGGTCAACGCGTTGGGGCGCAATCGTATTTGGTGACACTGCGTTGCTGGAGAAACCATAATATCACGTGCTGATAAGAACTGACCAAATTGCTGATCGCGACATCCTTCAACGTCAAAGAAAATTAGCACTGACAAAGCAAAGAGAACGATTAGCTTGCGCATACACAATGTTTAGAATCGGAGTTCGACGCTTTGCGACGGCCGCCAGAAGGTCGGCCGAGACTGCCGCGCAATTAGAAGGTTCTAATAAATATGGAATTGGAGTATCCAAGGCTCAAGGAATTGTCAAGGGACTCACTGGGGGTGGGTGATGAACCCCGCCTCTATTGTATAGACCATGCTAATGAAAGCCAGCAATTGGTAACACGCCTTTAATACGACTGAATCATATTTCAGATGCGACAGGATGCGAGGTGTTAGGAAAGGCAGAATTCATGAACCCGGGAGGATCTATCAAAGATCGAGCGGCACTGTACGTCGTAAAGGACGCCGAAGAGAAAGGTCTGCTGAAACCTGGGGGAACAGTAATTGAAGGAACAGCTGGAAATACTGGGATTGGCCTAGCACACGTGTGTAGATCAAAGGGCTACAATTTGGTTATTTATATGCCCAACACGCAGTCACAAGGGAAGATTGATCTTCTGCGATTACTCGGCGCGGAAGTGTATCCCGTACCAGCTGTGCCATTCGATAACCCGGAGAACTACAACCACCAAGCCAAGCGCCACGCAGAGAGGCTGGATAATGCTGTGTGGACAAATCAGTTTGATAATATCGCTAACCGGAAGGCACATATTGAGACTACGGGGCCAGAAATATGGTATCAGACGAAAGGAAAAGTCGATGCGTTCACTTGTGCTACTGGAACCGGGGGAACTCTGGCTGGTGTTACGCGCTATTTAAAGACAGCGTCGGATGGAAAGGTCAAATGCTTCCTTGCGGATCCTCCAGGAAGTGTATTGCATTCCTACATCAGCTCAGGTGGAAAGCTCGTTGAGCGGGCGGGGTCCAGTATCACGGAAGGAATTGGACAGGGTCGTGTCACAGACAACCTCCAACCGGATGTCGATTTGCTGGATGGCTCACTACATATCAGCGATGAGAGGAGCATCGAGATGGTATATCGCTGCTTGGATGAGGAAGGACTTTATTTGGGAGCCAGTTCCTGTTTGAATGTGGCGGCCGCGGAAGAGGTTGCGAAGAAGGTTGGAAAGGGGAATACCGTCGTGACGGTTCTGTGTGACGGTGCGTACAGATATGCCGACCGACTATTTTCGAAGAAATGGTTATCGGAAAAGAAGCTGCTTGATGCAGTACCGGAGCATCTTAAGAAATACATAGTGCTTCCTTAACGTAGTTGTACATTTTATCTACATGGTATACACAGGAATTGAGCGGTCCCGGCCTAGCTTTGTGCCCCCATCTAATCATGACGCCTCGGTACTATATACCGTTTGGTACATCCTAGGCCCTTGACGCAACATCTCCTTCCCCCAGTCTGAACTGCCGATTTCCATATCCACCGATTTGGCCTCTTCCTTCAGTTTTAACGAGTTCTCCTTCAATCTTATCGCAATATCCGAACTTGAGTTCAAGACAGACAGAGCAGCTGTTGTGCTATGAAGAATGTACATCGTATCGGCGAGCCACCTATTTTTACGCGCTAGCATTTGGAGAGTTGTTGCTCCAGGTCGTGCGGGTTTGATATTGATCCAATTCGCCAGCAGTCTCTCCGCGTATTGTTCTACTTTACCCTCCTCATCCTTGCCATCAAGATGTTTAGAAGCTCTCGTTGCAGCCAGAATAAGAGGTATGGCAATAATGTCCGGTGAAGCTCGAGGATCATTGGTGCCACCACGAATTGCCCTCGTATATGAATGCTTCGGGTCCTCCATTAAGTCCAGCAGCATTTCCGCCAAGTGCAGGGCCTTCTTTGTATGGTTGACATCCCATTCAGCGTAAAAGGCTTTGAGATATGTCACTCGCATAGCTTGTTCCGCTAACTCGGGAGTCCTGAGTGTCAAGCCCGTGTCTGAACTACGCCTAAGACATTCAATCAAGATGTCTAGTCGGTCGGCCCTCCGAATCGATCCAATGAGACTTCTGAGGGCCTTCCTATCTTGCATAATAGCAGAGTTGGCCTTATGAAGTCCCTCGAGCAATTTTGGCATATTATTAAAGTCTCCCTTTTCCACCATGAGCGATAACAGTTTGTGGAATGTAGTTCTAGTATTCGGTAACTCTGTCATAGAATCAACATGGGTCAGGCGAATCCTCTCTCCAGCAATATTTGCGACCATAGTTTCGTTTTCAAGGAGCTTCTTGTATCGTGGTCGGTATATCATGTTCCTTTGAGAGGCGGATAGATATGCGGGTACAATAACTTTTTCGCGCACGAGAGCAAGGGCATCGTCGAGTTCGGAGGAGGAAGTCTTTTCGAAGACGGGGATAACAGCTGTCTATGTTAGTATTGGAAACTTGAAATCGCATAAAGGGCTAGGTACCTGTTTTTTGGCGCTTTAAGGAGGCCGAAAACATGCGTTGCTGAATTGCTCGACATATTGATGTGCTCTTCACTACGCCCAGCGCAACGCTGGCACCTTTTCCGTTCATGGTGCTCTTCCTGCGCTTTGGATGGCGGCTACAACGAGACTTGGCTTTTCAACTTGGTCGATTGGGAAGCTGTTTTGCTTGAAGTTGGATGACCATACTCTGGCGTTGTCGAGAAATTTAGTTGTCGAGCCAGCCTGGAAAGAACAGCCAATCACAGCCTCGCTAGATTTTCGAGACCTCAGAAAGTTGAGCCGCGAACATCACCCTCTCTCCATTAAACATTAAACACCATGGCACCCACAATGCCCACGTTACGGCCATTGAGTTGCTGGAAGGCCATATTACGGCGCTCGCGACTACAGAAGGCTGCTACGAGGACACTAACCACATATTACAAGCCCAAGCCCATCGATGCCACTCCTACAGGTACGTCTCTGAGATCAAGACACTGCTCTAGAATAACGAGGTATTGACTTCACTACAGTCAAAAAGAAGATAAAAGCGATTCCTCCACCACCTACAGCCGCATCCTTGTTCAAGGAACCCATCAAATCCGTGACTGAAACGCAGGTTGCCATCCTCGACCCAACAGGCGCCCGCACCAAGCTGTTCTCCAAAGCCAATCTTGAAGCCGCCCACGTCGGTGATATCCTTCTCGTACGACTGAAGAATGGCGACCCCTTTGCTGGAGTCTGCATCAACATCCGGAGGCGTGGTATCGATACTGGAATTTTGCTGAGAAATGAGCTGACCAGGGTCGGTGTGGAGATGTGGTTTAAGATTTATAGCCCGAATGTGGAGGGTATTGAGGTTGTGCAAAGAAAGGAGAAGAGAGCGAGAAGGGCCAGGTTGACGTATATGCGGAAACCCAAGCATGATATGGGCAGCGTGCAGAATATTGTTTTGGCGTATCAAAGATCTCGGGGGGCGCTCAGGGGGAATACTGAGATCAATAGCAACGCACATGAGAATAAGGGAGGAAAGAGAAAGATCAAGGGGAAGAGATGATGAGGGTCGTATTGCTATATGGCAGGTGCCATTATATGGTATGGCATGGCGAATGCTTGTACAACATCGTTTTATTACAATGTATTGTGTGATGTAGCCGTTGGTATCTTCCAGTCCCGGTTATGATAGTGGCCAGCGGCTATTCTTAGAGATGTGATGGTAAACTCTGACATTAATAGAAATCTGCAAGTGCGTAATGCAGACTACGATACTGAAATGCTTTCTGTTCCGTTTATCTTCAAGTTATCAAATTACAGAGCATACTGGGCCAGGTGCTATAATGCTGAAATATCTCTCTTCATCTGTCTACGATACAAATTTCTCTATTTCTCACAAATAAGGTTGGGGAGTACCGTGTCGATCATCCAATTCAGAATCCAAGACTGCTCCCACTGGAACATAGCAAGCTTCTGCGATAAGTTCATGCCGTATGGTTCGGCTAATTCTTCCTCCATTTTATGGGGTCCTGTTGACGGAAGCTATAATTGAAGCCATGGGCTGCAAGTTTATGATCTGAGGATTGATATAGAGAGCAATCTAGGTACTTCTAAGTTCCACCGGTCCCCTTCCTACTCTTTATATCAACGCTCAGGTCAAGGATGCCATTGGTCACATCAAACAAGTGGGAACATCATCATCTCGTATCATACAGAGACACTATATCAAGCTTCATCGCGACTTACACAGAAACATTCCGCGTCCATGCATCCTTCATCAAAGCTTGTGCCGGTTGTATGTATACCATCCTTATGGCACCTTCGGCGATGACTACAGTTGCTGAAGCTTCAAGTTGCTACGTGTGTCCTTCGTTTACTCCAGCGACATAATCATTAATGTGCAGGCAAACATTAAAAATAGGGTGAAAGCATCTGTCTAAAAGAAAGTAAGAAAAGACCTCTACCAGTCACTCATGTGGCCGCCGCCAACACAACTCTCGTCTACTATCGTTCGTTGCAGATATCAACTCTTGTTCCTCTCCCACAGTGTGCCACAAGGCCAGCAATAATTGATGGATTTTAGTTTTGCCCTACGTCTAGCTCTGTACTGGAGTTGAAGGGTATACTCAGGTGCATTTTATTTATAAACTGAAGTCGAGGGTCACTTCGGGCCAAATCGTATAGCTGCGTACGGGGGGGGCTGTGCAAGTACAGTGAACCTCGAGAACTCCCTATGCCCCACCCGAAGTCTCATTTGGGGTTCTACTTCGTGCTATGTAGGCTTTTGTGAAATATACTCCGTACAACTAGAAGCAATAACCTACGCTTACAAAGTACTGTCCTACAGGCTACTGATAGTGGTTGGGGCCCCTAACAGCCTGTGCTAGGTGAAAGGCAAGTGCCGTAGTCTGATATACGAACCGCGTCGGCCCCGTCCCGAGCCGAAACGCTGTCGCTTAAAAAGGAAATAAATCAACAAACAAACACGCGAGTCCTCGAGTACGAAGTAAGTACAAAAAGAGTATACAAAAATTGGAAAAAAATGGCAAAAAGGTTCGAGATACCTAAGCGAACCCAGGATTACTCTACATCCTCCCCTAGACAGGACTTAGTCGTGATCTAGGGCCGTTTCCCCTGTCCAATCTGTACTCCTCGGTGGTTAATGCACAGCAGCGATTTTAGCTTTACCCCGGGGTGCTGGGGATCATTAGCTGCGATCAGAAAGAGGTGTTTGGGAATTCGTCCGTATTGGTGTTCGAGCTGGTCTCCCGTTTGAGCCAGGTTGCCGGTTGTTAGGAGCAAAACTCTTAAACTGAAATATATCGACTGGGAGCTCATTCGCGTCACAAATGCTGATTAACTTGGAAGGCGCGGTGGATGCTCTGCCAAATACCATCGCCACGTGACGGGTCCGAAGGCAGGAACATTATATACTCCGTACGTCGACGGCTCGGTCTCTACTCCGCCTTCACAACAACAATCCGTCTCCGGCCGCTGGGTTTGCTAGACTGACGTGTGCATGCAATAGACATACATACTCGGGTCTCCCTCCCAAGGGCCTTAATGGCAGGTCTTCGGTCTCGTAAACGCCCAAGAAACCATTACTACCACTTTTGATGGAAACGAGTCGCTCTACTTTTCGCTCAATTACCACCCGCCCCCACTACAATGATGTGTGGTGACTGTTATCAGATGCTACGGGCCAACGATAGCGAGTAGTCGCATGGAACAACTGTTGACAAATACTTCGACAGTCACCCAATCAAAGCAAACAAAGTGGCTCGTGAGAGCTCAGTAGCGTAGATTTTGGAGTGCATGTACGGTTTGGACTTTAAGTTGAGAGAGGTTCCAACGTGGCTGAGAGGATATATGACCATATCACCAGATTGCCTTCGAATCATCATCAAGCATATGGGCGTCGAGAAACAGGACTCCGACGAATTCGGGCTGGTTAAACGACGCGCGTGTCTAGTCCTCTGAGTTTCATGGCTTGAAATAACGAGGTGTGGGTATTATTAGGCTACACGTTTCTACGTACATGTCCTGTCATACTTATTCCTTTTGAGCATGGAAACTAGCACTTTGATCTCTGCTGTAAACTTATTTCTAGGCATTTCAACCCCGCGAGAAGAAGTACTTCCTCAAGATGCTTCTTTGGACCGTGGATACTCTAAACCTTCTCCTTTATCCCAAGCTATCCTATGCATGGCCCAACGACGCTCAATATCAATAGATCCGCTGAATGTCTCCAAAACAAGAATGGCAGTAAAATGAGTACATGAGAGAGCAAGCAGCCGAGTTTCCTATCTACTCAGTCTCCACTCCACACCCTACTTCAAGTGAGCATATAGAAATCCTCGATCATACACTTACAGAATTTTCAAGAGTCGAGGAAAGTTGTCTACTAGTCCAAATCTACCGGAAGTCTGATTACACCATTACATAAATGGAAGCCATAAGCGGCCGGTTAGATTAGCTACTCGTCCAACTTCGTCGAGCCATTAGCTTATGGAACAGGAAACGTCATTTGTGCAGGTTAGCTAGCCTCCACTAGGGCATGGCATCAGGGCGACCTTTCGAAGAGTAAACTTTGCAACTAGCCGAATGGATAGTCTGGTATTGAATTTCTTTCCATACATCCTTCCTTTACGACTCCATATTATCCAACCCTATTATCTCTAATTATTATAACATTAAAATATACAAAGAGTCGTCAAAATATTGTCAAGCCAGCTCCACCGGAGGGGGTCCGGGCCCCCTATCAACATGTTCCATCTCCACCGGCTTCAAGGGGAGCAGCAACACTGTGGGCTCTGGTATGGGATTTTGTTGTAATGGTTGGTGTTCCGGCCCTGCCTTCTCCTTCTTCCGAGAATAAATAATAAACGCACTGACAATAGCAAGCACAATAGCTATTGCCACGCCGATCCCTATCCCAACCAAGCTAGTCTTCGAAAGGCCACTCGATGAGGTATCGCTCGGTGTAGGTGATGAGGGGAGAGTCGGAAGAGTACTTGTATATCCTAACGTACTTGTGGGGGTAGAAAATGTCGTGCTGGTCGAGGACGTGGTCGAGAGAGGTGCACTCGTCATATTAAAGGGAAAAGAGGAAAATCCCGAACTATCACCAGCGATCATGAAATAGAAAATGTTTGAAACCGCTAAATCGAACTGAAAATTTTGGACCAGCCAGTCGAATTGTGTAACCGTCGCCTTTGTGGTCTCTAATATTCCGTCAATTCCGCGACCCAAGATCGAAGGAGGTTGTTCATACCAAATACAGATGGACCGTCCTCATCTACAGATCCGTTGCGCGATTGTTGCATTAAGACCATTGAGTATTCTGGGAACGATGTCGACCATCGAATAACTTGCCTTTCGCCGATTACCCATACGGGATTTGAGGAATGATTAGGGTATTCGTGTGGCGGAGGATTATAAAACCCATCGCTTTCATCAGCCCGACTAAATTGGGAAAGTACCGAAGTGACGAAGGTCAGATGGAGCAGAACGAGTGATACCATCTTGCGGGCATAAAGGAATGACATAGATTTTGTAAGGAACGAAGGATGAGAGTCACAAGGAGACGGAGAGTGGGACGGCCTGCTGCGCCAGTATGGCAGAGAACCAACCGGTCTGAAAGATCAAATATTCCCAATCAGCCGACATTTTCCAAACTGGTAGAGGCCCAACAGTTGGGTCAAAATATGCACTGACCTAATAGGTAACAGTCGAGACCGCCAAGGAGAGCACCACTATATACCCCGGTTGGATACTGTACTGCCTCATTGAAGGGGTTCGCTTTGATCACCATAAGGGTTTCAAATCAAAGTAACACATGCCAACAATACTGTAAAGGTGTACCTAAAGGTGATGAAAGGCCAGGGGTGTGGAAACCTGTCATACCTAGAACGCGTTGTCCCGGAAAGCTGGTAACCAGTGATACGCGATGGGTAATTTGAAACCAACATTTTCATCTCGTTTTAATGCTCGGCCATGCATTCGTGCAGGAGATAAACACTTAGAATGCAGTTTGACCTATCAAACTCCTAACTGTAGCTGCTAAGGTCTCATTAAGGGCTTCATAAAGATGTGATTCAGAGGGCTCATCAAGGTTGAAATCGAGCATCTATGCAGGGCTAACCATGTGATCGACAGGTCTCCGAATTCACGCGCAGACTCGACGTATCCTACCCGCTATACCCATATCCGGCATTTTACGCTGCTTTTGACTCTTTTTCGACAGCGTCTGTGCTGTGATCCGCCAGAATTTCTAGTGGTGAGCGATTGCGCCGGGGTATAATTTCTGCATATTGAAAACCCGTCGAGGGCAGGAATGCCAGTGCAATCCTCAGAACCGAGCTGGGATGTTGGTGCATTTTTATAAACGAGAAGGGGAGGGTCAATTGGAAAGAGGTTGACTCCTGAATCGGGTCCACTTGGTCAGTTCGCCTATAAGAACGATTGGCCCACGAGATCTCCGATTGACTACCCCATTACATATAGATTCCCAATCTCAAGGGAGTACTAACACTGAATGTCCTAAATGACCTAAGAGATTGTTATGAATAACTGGGGAAGTTCGGGATATTAGTATTATAAGACTGGTAATGCTGCTTTCTTTGTCCGCCCTGAGATCTTGCCTTTCCTCGGGCCTTATCCTACTCCTCACTGAGAGGCTTTTGTCCCTCAGGTGTAGCAATAAGCTTGAGCCAATCTTGTTTCATTCTTTAACTTTGGGCATTAAACCAACCCTTTTCCTCCGTCTGTTTGCTCTTTCTCAATGGGGTAAATCATGCTTACTATCTGAGCATCATATGCTATCTAGCTGTCCCAATGATAACCAAAAGGTCTGACTTTCCCACTTTCTTAACCTTGCGTTCAATATAGTGCACGTTGCTACAATCTGGGCACTTGGATGGAAATAGATTCTTCGCAGCCACAGCGACTGTTGCCCGCAGAAACTCCATCGCAATCTGACCATTTTCCTCGCAAAGATTAACAAATTCCCCTCTCTCGAGCAGTTCCTTGTAATTCTGCCCCTCAAACTCGATCGCTTTGTCCTTGAGGAGTCTTTCGCTGTCAGGGATCTCCTCAAAACCCACCTTCAGGCTCAGAATGAATGAGTTACCCAGTCCCTCTCGTGGAAGTGCAGCTTTATATTTTTGGCTTGAGAGAGACTTGAGAGCTGGAATGTCGCATTTATCTGCCATTACATAAAGCTTTGCGTGGGCAGATAAGTCATGAGCAACGGAATCGGCAGATGTGTGGGATGGATTTAACAATTCGGCACTTGTAGGTGGATGGTAGTCGTGAGTGTAAAGGAAGTTGATAAATAGTTCTACAATTCCTGGATCACTGTCGTCGAGCTTGATAACTCCGGTCGTAGCCTCCTATGATATTTCAGCAAGAGTAGAATACCGTAGCACACATATTGATGCTGAGCATACCGGGGAGATTACCAAGAACCCTCCATCGACACAGTCCGCCAGCGGTTTTGATTGGAAGCAGATAACGTTCCGGTGAACTTTGAAGATTTTGCTGCCACAACGGATCTCGAGGTCCGAGTACTTTCCGGTTTGAAGTAGACGAGCTGCGGAAGGGGAACCCCCGGCCATTTCATTACTAAGGGGGTTGGATTTGTTAGGTGATGCCATTCTGGTGTGTTATCTGACTTTTTGTTTGGCTGAAGGTAATATTAACGAGATGTCGATGGCTAACAGATCTTTAGTAGATAATATCTGAACTAACCACTGTGGAATCCGGCTAGCTTGAATAGCAAAGAAAGACCTGCTTGGAATCTTATAAGAAGTTTTAGAAAGATTCACTGGTTGTAGGCATCCATATATTTTAGTATATTTGAAAATGGCAACTCCGAATGCTAGCGAACCAACACACAACCTATCTCCAAACAGGCAACAAACGAGAAAACCATAAACGGTCAAACTAGCTAGAATCTTCCAAAATCTAACATGCCTTTTGCAATACTCGATGGTATTAAATGTGCAATTGTTTATATGCATGAGGCCGCAAAAGATGCTCAAGCCCCTGTGCTCGCAGAGCATTTTGTCCAGCTTGCCAAACTTCTGAAGGCCTATTCTAGGTAGCACGTTGAACGATGTATATTGCAAATGGTATGGAGCTGCACCAAAGGTATGAATTTAGCAGCAAGCGGTAAATAAAGAGCCACTGTATGCATGTTGCCATAGTTACCATGACATACCAGTTTGACTTCAACTGAGACTACGCTACTAGAGGTTCTTTGATTTTTCCTGTTATATAAGCTATGCGCTTTCCTTGGTATTCTCCTGACAAGAAGCAAAATTTCAAGAATCATCAAAATACCTGGTCCATTCAACAAGCCCGAGCCGGACGCAAAATCTTAGACTAAGAGGACAGACGCTACATGTCCGTCTAGGGTCTCATATTCGCTCTCTCTTGGAGCCGTGTACGTATCTTCCTTCTAGAAATGCTGTTTCTATCACTTGGAAAGGCAAGATATTCAAAGTTTACCGTGCCGTGGTGTGTTCCTAATCCAAGGCTCTCGCTGCATGTGTGGAGGTGGAATTCAAGAGAATTGCATATTTTTCCTGTCAATATCATGCCGCTTAACCGCACCCCAATTGCGGTAGGGCTAACATAGTAGGGGCGAAGGACTGTTTCCGAATGAAGCATATAATTCGAAACACCTGCTACCTGGAGGATGATGAACTTGGAATTGGGCAGCTCATGCTCGACTTTATGTACCTTGCTGAATACCTAGATGATCACGAACCCACGATTCAAAGAGGCTCACAAAGCCGTTGGTAAAGAGTATTTGACTCGTCAATGAGACCCGGTATTCGTCGGTCTCCTTATCCGGAAGCAACGGCGGAAATATATGGGGCACTGCTCATGTATACGAAGATATACATTATTGCCGTCAAATACGAAGTCCAGCCACTGAAGGCACTCGCAACGGATAAGCATATAGACGATTCTTAACTTCGGATGCAACAGTACTGGGTTGTGTCGAGTTTTGAGACTGTGGTATGAGAAGGGCGATGCACCCGGTTGCTGTTTGAGGAGTTCCGCCGCCGCAAATGCAGTGGGTTTCTATAGACTCCTTGATGGAAAAGGGAGGACATCGTCGCCTTTTACAAGGAAACTGGCGTTTTTTTGCAGTTAATCCACACCGATGCCGTTGGCTTTGCCCTAGCTGTGGTAGATATTATTAGCTGCAATCCAACACCCTTCTCAACTCGAATAAGCGATATAGAGTTGGACAAGACAATGGTACTGGGGCGGATACGTGGAATACGAACCTGTGTTTTCGTTTTAGACCATGTATTAGCTCACGGTTTATGTCGCCATTCCCTCCTCCAACCACTTCAAAGTCTGGATGTAACTTAAAGATGTGAGATATTCAAAATGCAAATCATCGAGATCATTATCGTGCATGATAGTCTTGCAATACTTTTGATCTCTCCTAGATGTTATTGACAAATATGATCTATAGATTTCATCCTCCGCGATCAGCACTTTTTCCCTTTTTATCGCCATCTGTAGTTTTCAGTAACTCCCGCAAACTCCCCTCCGCATGCGAAGTACTTCGAGGCTTTCCTTGAAAGCTCTGATTTTGAGTTTTGCTCCATGGCAACCAAGAACTAAGGTTTCCCAGAATTGATGGCTTCATGTTGGATGCTTGGTTTGAAGTGGACACCTTGGACTCATTCTGAATCATGGCTGGCTTTAGAGAGATCAAATTATGAAGTGTTGGTGAAACGGGATGGAATGGGTCGCCGAAAACTGGGATATTTCCAAGGTCTGCCTCCGTAGAGGTTTGCGGACGTGCAGGCTCACTTATCAGAGAGGTCGGTGAAACCAATTGAGAAGCTGCATAGTCCTTCGGACCTTGAGCGTTGTCGATAATGAACGACGCAAATGTTGCTGATTTGGAGCGAGTATGTCTTGACGCTCGAGCATGTGATGGTCCAGCCTCAGGGGTCAGTTCCAGCGCCGGCGCTGGCTCCGTCATGGGTTGTACTGGTTGCTCTTTCTTCGCAGCTCTCCCACGAACCTCCTCTGCTATCACGGCAGCAGGTTTCTTCTTCGACTTGTCTTCGTCCGATGATCTAGACGAAGACATAATAGTTTCAAGCGTACCGTATGCCACGGACTTTGTCCGTCTTCCTCCTCTCGAACCTCTCCCCATAGGCCGCCCATGCTCGTCGTCTGAACCGATTGCCTGGAGTGTGGGACCTGCCGCATTTCCAGAGGGTGTTGATGCACCAGTAGCAACCCCCGAAGCAGGTGTAAATGATTCTCCGCGCCCATGAGGCGGCATATGTACTTCGTACTGATTGCTCAGGCTATACTTGCTCCTTGCACAGATCTCAGCAATCCTCTCTAAATCTTCCGCGACGCCATGTTTAATCTCCTCCATAATCCCCTTGAAGCTAAAAGCCTCAACAGGTGGAAGCTTCAAATCCATCTTGGCTGGAGCCGTGGCCGACATCCCATTTTCTTTCTTCACCGTAACTAAGTCTCGTTGTCGAGAGCGGGGTCTGGCCGCCGCTCCAGAATATGTTCGCACAATCACGGGCTGACTGAAGGTACTGTTTCTTGCTCCTGTTGACTTTGCATATCGATGGCCGGATCCTGTTGCACCGTTAAGCTGACGAAGTGCTGATATTCGGTGGGCAACGGTAGCCTCGTCGAGGATGTGTTCGCCGCGGGCGGCTTCCTCTGATTCAACTACTAGGCTCGCGGACGAAGTGTTCGCGCTCCACAGACTGGGCGGCAGGAAGTGTAGAGGAAGAGAATGCCGTCTTCCAGATGATGGGGCCGAGTAGGCGTGCGAGTGGGCGTGGGGAAGGGGGAATTTTGGGGAGTGAGTGGACTGCGAGGGTTGGTCGAACGCTGGCAGCGCGTTAGCGATTGATCCAGTTGGAGCATCGTCCATTGCCATATTTGTGGGGATTATAAGAATTGCGAAGACATCGTCGCTGCGCTGCGCTGTTGAAGCAATTGCAGGTTGCAGGTGGTAGGGCGAGGGATGCGTGGTTCTCTACAAGTAGCTTGAAGCTAATAAAAGGAGAGATATTGGTATGCGATATGCGGGATGAGCTGTCAGAGCCGCCGTTCGCTGCGCTGGAGGCGCGAGTTGAGGGGTTTCGGGGTCGGCAAGCGAATGGCAGAGGGTGATGGCTTGGGGTTATTAGGGACACGTCGGGGTTTATTTATCAGTGTTGGTTGGCTGTGGAAAATCAATACAATACTGTGCTCCTACGTACGCAATAGCAGGTAAATATCTCGGGGGATATGCATAACGTATTCTTGAAATATCGTATTGCCAATCGGATGCAGGTCAAATAATTGTGTATTCGTCAAACTCCCCCATATGTTGTGCCTAGATCCCAAACCCCCCCCTTGTCGAGTATACCCCGTTTCCCCTGAGTTATTCAGTTCCAAAACCAGCCCCTTTTGGTCTTGCGTTCTGTGTTTTCCACTGGCTGCTTCTCTACTTGGGCCCCTTCCCAGTCCATGATCGCTGCCGGATCCTCGCAGTGATGAGTAGTAGTACACGACTCTCGGCCATCCGCAAACCGCTTCCAAACAGTGACAGTCGTCTCTACCGATCCATCCTCGTTCGTCCTACGCTCTGAAGAGGTGCTCGTGGAAACTACTCTATTTTTCTCTTGAGGGGAATCGGTCGACAAGACGGAATTGGGTCTATCTTGTAACGGAGAAGGTTTGGTTGACGTCTTAAAGACGGTGTCATCCTGCCCTTCCCTTGATCGAGACGCGCTGCCAAGTCTCTCTAACTCTTCTAGCATCTCTGTCACGCTTTTTGCTACTTTCGAATCGAGCATTTCTCGAAGCGCTTGCTTCCCTTCTGGAGTATCAAGAGCCATTAACTTATTGAACAGACCGTCACTATCTTTGAAGACCGAACCGACAGCGTCCACAACAGCTGTGGGCGACGAGACCCAGCGCAGGAAGTGGTCATACATGTCCTGCTCAGTCTCGCCTTCATTGTCGCCTGATTTAACCGTTTCCAAGGATGGTCGAGACCACGGGCTGGGCCAGTACACGCGCTGTTGTACCATTCTGGCCTCCTTCTGCTGCAACAGGTTGGACTCGTATAACTTCTGTATCCAGGACATTCCGTGTACAGCCTTATCTGCTCTTACCATCGCAGGGTGGAAATGGAAGAATGAAGGCTGCAATGAGGACGAGGAAACAGGGCTGCCATGTGTTGTCCGTATGAGGTCCTCAAAGGCAAGGTCCCATGGAATGGAGGATAGCCCAGGCTGCGTACTCGTGGACAGTTTCACTGGCGAATATGGGGAGAATAGAAGGTATGGGAGCAACGAGTAATCGGAGCAGAATGTTTGGGTGCCGTTCAGTTCATTGTACGCTAGGTACTGTATGGTTCTCATGGCGTCCGAAGAACATTGCTCGGCTCGTAATTTGAATGGCCAGTACTCGGGGAGTAGGCGTCCTGTGAGGGAATTCCAGAAATTGGACGGCTTCCAGTCCGGTTCATTGTCGCCACAATGATGCAAATGCGCGAACAGCGACTTGCTGACTGGAGAATAGAGCGGTATGTCTCTTGCTGCGTTTTCGTCCATTTCTCCTGATGTGTCTCTATTGGTATTCGAGCTGGTTTCCCGTGCCTGCCACGTTTTGACTGGTATCTCCTCCTCGCGTTCCTCCTCAGATATCTGCTGATGTTGATTCGGCCGCCCGGGATCCGCTTCCTTCAATTGCCGCTGCCGCGCCTGGAGCTCATCACGTCGCCGAAGTTCTTGGTCGAAGTCTGCCCACCGTGTATTGTGGTGGGACGGATCCTTTGAGAAGGCAGAAGGGAGTCCCACGATGCCTTGCAGAAGTGAGCCGATTTGGGCGTCGGCAAACTGCCTGAACTTTATGAAGGGGTTCCGATTCTCGGGGTCTGATGAGTCGCTATGATTGTTGGGATTCTTATCGCGTTCCGGATTTGAAGACATATGGAGCGGGTTTGGGGAAGGTGGTAGCTATTGCTGCGTTGTATTGTTGTTGTTGTTGTATGTATGTATGTATGCAGTGGCGGGCCAGCTTCTATAATCCGTCGAGTGTCCAGTGTGTCCTGTTTTGACAGCCAGGATGCGGTACGTAGTTGTTTGGATACGACTGATTGAGGGTCGAGCGCTAAGGCGTATTCAGCTAGACCAATGCGGGGAAAAGATAGGCGTTGGGGTGTTGGGATTAGCGCCTGCTTAGGTAATCTTACGTAAGGCGGGTGGGTGGATTAACTTCTGAGGGTCTGAGAAGCAGGGGCCGTGTACCTACGTACCTTACCCATGTACCTCCGTACCTCCATAGTATAATAACGAGGTCTTAAGCCTCGGCGCATACAGAGATTCTGGGGATTCTTGATTAGTGCTACTCTGTACGTATTGCCAGCTCCTCCGGCCCAGCGTGCTACTATTCCATCTTATGCATCCATTTTAGGATTTCTTCTCGATGGCCGCCCCCTTCCGATTTGTCCTTCATGTGGAAGTTTCCATCTGCTAGTGATTGATCCATTGCCTCTCACCGTCGGCGATAAGGATGTTGCGCCTGCTGAACAATCCCGAGGCCGGCCGAGCAACAACACCAGCTGTGTCGTTTACCCCACCATTGATTGCCCTTTACAATAGCAAGCATCCATAATATAATGTAGCCGCGATTCTGCTTTCTCTTTCTCTTTCTTTTTATATTTCTCTTTCTCCCTTTACCGTCTTCTCTCTCTCTCTCCTACTCAGCCAGTGTTGCTTTCTGGCCGTTCTCAAGACTATTTCGTACGCGACTCGTTTCCGGGCTCTGATCTCTAGTGCGAGTACAGCTTTATCTGAACCGCCAGACCAAGACGAAACAATTATGCCCCCGCATCCTGACCTCCCGGAGCCTGCCCATCCAGACGTGGATTCAATGCTTACCCGCAAATTCGGGCGCGAGATCGCCAATTACTTCTCGGGTTCTCCCATCAACCGCTTTTCTTTTTTGCGAGCCGACCATGGATTTATCTCCAAAGCGCTGGTCCACCCATCGACATCCTTTCTCCTCTTCAACAACCTAGCACCCCTAGCCAAAGACCCCACGGCGTTGGCATATGCGAAATATGAAGATGTGCAGGGGTTGATTGGGGGGAACCCATTTGAGAAAACCGAGGAGGAGCTTATTAAGCAGTACAATAGCACTATTACTTTACCTGTGGTGTTATTTTTGGGTCTGGATGAGAGGAAAAAGGAAGGCTTTGAACATGGGGATTATAAGGGAGCCCCCTACTTTGCGGTCGATGTTACGCCTAGAGGAACTGTGGAAAAGGAGGCTACTGCTGTGATTGAGGAAATGACGAAGAGGGGTCCCCAGTTCATCGAAGGACGGATGCATATGACCCTGAATGCGCCTGAAGGTACGAGTTTCTTGTCTCTAATTGACATCTAGATGGATTATACTAAATTGGAATAGCTGCAATTTACGCTCAAGCTCGGGCTCTACTGGACTGGAATGCTCGAAACCCCTTCTGCGCAGGCTGTGGCCAGCCCACCCTTTCTGTCCACGCTGGAACGAAACGAGTCTGCCCCCCAACTGATTTTGCATCTCTACCTGCAGCTACACAAGGAGACGCCACCACCGTCGAAGTCAAACCCAACGAACGAGCAGCGTGCGTCACAAGGACCGGCATCTCGAACCTCTCCTTCCCGCGAACTGATCCCACCGTCATCATGGCTGTAGTATCCCATGACATGAAGCGATTCCTCCTCGGTCGCCAAAAGCGCTGGCCACCACACTGGTACTCAACCCTAGCAGGATTCTGCGAGCCCGGTGAATCGGTCGAAGAGGCCGTTCGCCGAGAAGTGTGGGAAGAATCTGGTGTTCACGTCGGCCGTGTACTCATTCACTCCACGCAACCTTGGCCTTATCCTGCAAACTTGATGATAGGTGCCATTGGGCAGGCCATACCGGATGGCGAGAAGATCCATTTGGAACATGATCCGGAGCTTGAGGATGCTAAGTGGTTTGATTTTGACGAGGTTAGGGAGGGGCTGAGGGCTGGGACAAGTGGTTTGGGGGAGCCTGCTCCGGAAGGTTATGTAGAGGGCAACTTACGGCTACCGCCTCCGACGGCGATTGCTAACCAGTTGCTGAGAGCTGTTGTGAGTGGGTTCTTGGAGTCTGGGGAATTGAGTAAGATTTGAGATGGAATTGGACCTTGCATTTAGTAGGATAGAGCCTGGGAAGTTAGGTAGGGACAGGGATACGGTGGAGTGTAGACATTTAGAATATAAATAACACAGGCCGGCGCACTGTGACGATATATGATCAGCTTCCGTGCCCACGGTAGGTAGCCTGCTTACAGCAAGGCAGCCCTTCGCTCGTCCCGTTTGTTATTGCTTCGTGCTCCTGCTGCTTTGGCCAGAGTAGCCAATACGAAGTATTTACGACCACTTCAGCCCATACATAGTCAGTAGTTTAATTATTCCACCTCATTCTTTATCTATTATACTCATTTATTCCTTCTGCCAGGTACCTTCGAAAATTAAGCAAGGCTGAATATCGAGAGAAAGCCCTTAGGAGAAACCCGGAATATGTTCATTGAATGATACATCGCACTGTGGCTTATCATTCACATAAGTTTAAGCTCACTGTTTGTTCTCAAAGTTGACAACAAGCGATCCATAAACCTTGAGCTGTGACAACGGCTAACCACTTCTCAACCCCATTCATACCTATCCACATATCTTAGTCCTCCAACCCGTCAACCCACCTGCTCATGCAAAATGCCGCCAGTATACGTATTTTGTATATAGCTTCAAACGAGCGGTGCAAGGACCACCGGGCGGTGTACAGAGAGGAAGGGATATATAAACCCCCAAGAATATTACGCGTTCCAAAGAAAGATCCTCCCTATCACATCCAAATATCTCCAATGGCGATCTCCAAACCCGCAACCGCAATCCTCATCCTACACGCCCTACACAACCTCCTTACAGCTATCTTCCTTGCGAGCTACAATAGGTCACGCTTGAAAATCCTTTCCTCCCTCACCCTCGTGATTGTCCACTTCATCATTCACGCTCGCGTCACAACTCCGATCTTCCTCGTCACGTTGCTGATAAACCACTGCTGTCTGCCCCGCTCCTCACGCATCACCTTCCGCCGTCACTTAGTAACAGCCATATTCATCGCACCGCTACTAGCACAAATCACGGGACACAGTCTTGGATTGATCGGCAATCCTTACAAGCTCAAAGTTGTCGCGGCAGCTGCGTGCTATGATCAGCTTGATGCAGCCGACGCAACTGTGTTAACTAAAGGCCTGTTTTGTGAGGTCAAGTATGGGATTTCGAGGGGAGAGGCAGAGCGTAGGGCTGGGACTTTGAAAACGGGGTTGGGTTATGTGGAGCTCTTGGCGATTAATTGCCTCAGCATGTGGGATATTGACCATTTTGAGGGAGGGGTCAGAGGTGTTTGTTGGATGGGGATGGAGAGGGAGGATGTGGGAGAGGGGGAAGGGAGGAATACGCTGAAGCATAATTTGAGACGCAGGTTTGAGGAGTGCTATGGGAAGTTTGGGATTGAGGTATTGTGGAAGTGGAAAGGCGATGTAAGTTTTCTGACATTCCTTCTTTGCCACATGCTTCCTTGTGTTTTATGTTGTTTGTTCTGGGGGGGTGGAGATTGAGATGAAGAGAATATGCTAATATATGACAATATAGGGTGCTGAGATCATGTTGAAACTGCCAAAGATCGAGGGAACGAAGTACACGGGCGAATTCATACCAATAGATGGCGATTATCTCGTCATCTAAATGTTAAACCCGGAACTTTCCACCTCAGACTCAACCAACACCAACACCCATTTCCACCGCCGTTACCTTGTGATCCCAGGTGGGAATTGGTGAAGAATTGATAGGCTGTATAGAGAACAACGAATGACAGAATAAAACTTGCATGACAAAACCTCCATGACTTTAATGAGTACTTTGATGATCGAATAAGTTTGAATATTTCTGCACTGAGATATCTATATGGCGAAACCGACAATTGTTGCCGGAAGGTGTGTCTATGAAGTTACCTAGGTACCTTATATATATGACTCTGATCTATATGTACAGACGCTACTTATCCAGCTAGTATTACAGCTAGTATTATATATATTTGTACGGGTTCATGATGCCATTCTGCAAAAGTTAGTCAAGGGCAGATTGATCATCAAGGGGCGGAAAGCTTACAGGGTCATAAAGGTTCTTGATCTGCTTCATCAAAGCAATCATCGTATCGCTTCGACTGTATCCAATAAAATTCTTCTTCGCGATTCCCAACCCGTGCTCTGCACTGATACTTCCGTTCCTCTTTGCAATCCACTCATATACAAAAGGTTCTAACTCCTTCTCGACCTTCTTGTCAAATCGGCGTGTTGCCACATTGAGATGTAAATTCGAGTCGCCCATATGGCCATATCCAACGACCTTGACAACTGGATACTCATCGGTGTCTCCAATCAAACCGGCTTTATCCATCTTCTCCCGGGTGTCATCGACGAGATCATATAGTTCCTGTATGGGTATTGACACGTCGTACTTATAGACACCACCCCAGTGGCCGAGGCATTCGGGAATACCCTCTCGCCAACCCCACAGTGCTTTGATTTGGGTCTGATCTTGCGCAACAACACCGTCGGATACGATCTCATTCTCCATTACATCCTCCAAGAACTTCTCGAGTTTCTCACTATCATGCTCAGCATTTGACCCGCTAGTCTCGATCAAGCAGTAAAATGGATGCTCGCCTTCCAGTGGGCGTTTGTTCTTTGTGACCTTATGGACGAGATCTTGACTGTTGGCATCCATGAGTTCGAAGGCTGAGAGAATCTCGCCAAGCTTCCCTTTAGCTTCTCTGAACGCCAGTTGAACCTTCTCGTATGACTCAAGGCCGAAAAACGCAACATTGGTTGCCTTTGAGCGCTGAGGGCAGAGTATGGAGATACCGGTAATGATTCCAATGGTGCCTTCTGCGCCAATAAATAACTGTTTTAGATCGTATCCGGTATTGTTCTTCCGTAATTTTGAGAGATCGTCCACAATGGTTCCATCTGGTAGCACTGCTTCAATACCCAGCACATTGCCGTGCAAGCTTCCGTATCTCAAAAGCCGTAGCCCTCCTGCATTCGTTGCAACGTTGCCTCCGATATGGCAAGATCCTTTGGCACCGAGATCCAGTGGGAATATATAACCTTGCTCAGCAAGGTAGTTATCCACCACCTCTAAAATGCAGCCAGCATCCGCGACAAGCGACCCAGAGACTTCATCAAATGACCTTATTTGATTCATCCGGCTAACGTTGATGACAATTTCGTCGAACACTGGCACAGAACCACCGACGAGACCAGTATTTCCTCCTTGCGGCACCACTGCTAACATATTGTCATTGCAGTATTTAAGTACTTTGCTAACTTCCTCCGTGGAGCCAGGCTTCAATACGAGTTTCGTATGCCCCCGATATTTCCGCATCCAATCGCTGTTAAAGGCTTCGACGTCGTCTGTAGCGTCTTTGGTCACCCCATCTATGACTGCAGATTCCGTTCCCAGTAGCTCTCTAAAGAATTTGACATGCTTTTCTGTAAGTTTCGCGAATCTCGAATCGCGCTGTATCTCTGGATACGCTTCGGACGTGAATTTGACCAATTTCGGGGGGGCAGTCGTTCCTTTTGCAACACCTTCACTCCCCTCCGTGGTTGTAGTACTTGAGGCGGATTGCCACCGCAATTGTGCCAATGGTCGAATGGATCTCCCACAGGGGGTAGAAGAAATTCGAGCTCTGAGCAATAGAAGAGAAGTCCGAGATCGACTCGCCATCTTTAACCGATAAGATGCAAATCTTCAATGACTGACAACGGCTCGAATGATCAGGAAGGAAATACGAATATCTTGATAAGAAGTGGGATACTGAGGATCCCTGCAGCTGGGTTAAAATCAATGCAGCCTTGTTGTTGCCTCAGGCGCCAGGATGCCAACGCCCGCGACTTCGTAACGCGGGTGCAGCCTACCTCTAAGAACCACCTCCAAGCTCCCTCTATCATCAACGTCAACACGAAGCTCCAGAACCAGCTCGCCAATTACCCCAAGATTTCCCTGAAGCTGCCATTTAATTCCGACATACAAATCACAATCAGTCATGGCTTCGGGATATGACAGAGCTCTTTCCGGTAAGCCAAGCTCGTTGAACCATAGCTGTTAACCCAGAGCTAAAGCTAACAAATCATAGTCTTCAGGTTCGTGGCCAGCAACAACGAAGTTAAAGGGGTTGCTGACAGATTGAAAGCCCCGATGGACATGTTTTCCAAGTCGAATACGCTCTGGAAGCTGTGAAAAGAGGTATTATAGATAGCTCGACCTACAGCCCTGCGAAGCTAAAGTATTTCTAGGTACATGTGCAGTTGGCGTGAAAGGAAAGGACATTGTGGTGCTCGGATGTGAAAAGCGATCAGCGATGAAGCTCCAAGATACGCGCATTACGCCCTCGAAGCTTGGTCTCGTTGATACCCATGTGTGCCTCGCCTTTGCTGGGCTCAACGCCGATGCGCGAATCTTAGTCGACAAGGCCAGATTAGAAGCACAATCCCACCGTCTGACTGTGGAAGATCCCGTCACGATAGAATACATCACGAAATATGTTGCGGGTGTTCAGCAAAGATATACGCAGAGTGGTGGTGTTAGACCATTTGGGATCAGCACGTTGATCGTTGGATTTGACCCTAATGATAAGACCCCGAGATTGTACCAGACTGAGCCATCAGGAATCTACTCTGCATGGTGCGTATTTTTATTGTATTTTATGAGCAAGTACTGATAGCTTATAGGAAAGCGAATGCTATCGGCCGATCAAGCAAGACTGTTCGCGAATTCCTCGAGCGAAACCATAAGGACGATATGGATAGAGAGACAACCATCAAATTAACGATCAAATCATTACTGGAAGTCGTGCAAACTGGAGCAAAGAACATTGAGATCGCCATCATGGCCCCAGGGAAGACCGTCGAGATGCTACCAGTGGAGGATATTGAAGCGTACGTGAAGAACATTGAAGAGGAGAAGGTGGAGGAGGCTGCGAAGAAGAAGACTGGACGAACACCTGGTACCGGCACCGCAGCGATCTTGTCAAGAGGCTCTGGTGACTGAGGATATATTTGGGCGTATTGGGTGAGGAGATATTTCAACGATTCTTGCGTCTTCATAGAGCACGTGTATTATAGAAATGAGCGATACACCTTCGGTCTCAAAACAACGTACACAGGGTATCCCGCTTAAAACAAGATGCTGCCAGTCCAAGGCATCGTTTGCTCTATTCTGCCCATCCCGGCATTTACTCCGCGAAGCCTAGAAGTGTTCATCCCATAAGGTCTTCTCATTTTCTCACGCCTGCAATCCCAATTCCATGCCGCTAAATCCAATTTCCATTTTCCCTCCCAGTCGTAAAGCATCTCCTCATCCCAGTTTGTTTGGCGCCTCCTCAACATCGAAGATGGTCCGCAACTCCTTCTCTCTGGTCCGGTCATCCTTCAACATCCTATTATCAACCCTCGCATCCTCACCCTCGAACTTGAGTATAGGCTTGGGCGTTTTTGCCTCAAGGACAAAATGGTTGTCGCAGTGCGGGCAATATTCGTCGCTTTCATCAAACTGCTCGGCGTCTTTCCGGAAGACCTTCCTGCACTTTTTGCAGGCGAAAGTCTAGGGCTAACGGTTAGAGATAGGGGCCTAGGGGAGGATGAAGAGGAACCAAATTAACTGAGCGGCAAACTGACCATTTCTGTGCTACGGGCCAGGGAATGATCCTCCGTTTCTTGGTGACATTCTGCGCAGTCGAACCATTTCTTACCTATATAACACCGAGTTAAGCATGATATGGGGTTGAAAGAGGCAAACAGGTATTCGTACAACAGGGTGATCTAATGGCGACCTGGGCGTTGAGAATGTGTTTGCTGCGAATAGTTTAAGCTCGGAGTCTTTGGTCCGCGCAGTCAGTTCTTACCACATATTTAAGATCGAGGAATTGAGATTCCGAAATTTATCTTCAGTGTACCAATGCCTTTCCTCTGAGACTTGAATATTATTGAAACCCCTCCTTAACCAGTCAACTTTCGAACTTTCGAACGCGCCCACGGCTGGACCCGGCTTCACTAGCGCAGCTCGAGAGGCTGACTCACCCTTCAAGCTTGTACATCTATAATATCAACTTCGCCTCAAAGTAACGGGATCCGTTTTCTCCGTAACACATTCACATCTGTCGATGATCCATCGAGATGCCACCAAAGAGAAAAGCCTCATCAAGTATGAGCTTTTATTTGCTTTACCCATTTATGTTTACTAACAGACCATTTTCTAGATGTCCGAGGAGGCGCCAAAGCAGGCCGAGATTCCACTGCATCCACACCAGGCCCTGCCACGCCACGAAGTATTGGCAGCAGCGACGAGTTCTCATCGGCAAGTGAAAGCGAAAAAGAACGCGTGGGGCAGACCATAAAGAAGTTTTCAGTCGACGAATATAAAGCGAAGAAGAATGCTACCTCTGGGGGAGGAAGGGATTCTGCGAGCCATCATTTTGGAAATAGCGACTTTTCCTACCTTTCTTTGAAGCCAGATCACGATAATCGACCGTTATGGATAGACCCAAAGAAGGGCCGAATTATTCTAGAGAGCTTCTCACCTCTAGCTACACATGCGCAGGATTTTTTGACCACCGTCGCGGAGCCTTTGTCCCGGCCTTCCTTCCTTCACGAGTACGCCTTAACCCCGCATAGTTTATACGCAGCGGTATCTGTTGGACTGGACCCGAAAGACATTATAAACGTGCTTGACCGTTTGTCGAAAATCCCCGTTCCGGAAAACATAAAAGAGTTCATCATCAATTGCACTCAGAGTTACGGCAAGGTTAAATTGGTGCTGAAGAACACCAAGCACTACGTCGAGAGCTCTGATCCACAGATGTTACAAACACTTCTGAAAGATGAAGTTATTGGACCTCTGCGGGTGCAAGGGACAGAGGATATCACAACAACCTCGGCGCCAAAGATGGCTGGTCTTGTCATTCCAGGGACCAAGAACTTCGCTGGTGTCCAACAGTCTATTGATCTGCGCGGGTCTACGAAACCTCAAGAAGGCGAGAATGTGGGTCAAGAGGATATTGTGGCTGCTCTCAATGAAGATGATGACGACGAGGAAGCTGAAGCTGTGCATGCTTTTGAGATTGCTGATGCTGGAGTCGAGGTTGTCCAGAAGCGATGCCTTGAGCTCGGCTTGCCGGTACTAGAGGAGTATGATTTCCGTAACGACCAAGCAAATCCCACACTAGACATCGATTTAAAACCCGAGGCTCAGATCCGACATTATCAGGAGAAGAGCTTGAGTAAGATGTTCGGTAACGGCAGAGCCAAGAGTGGTATTATCGTTCTACCCTGTGGCGCTGGCAAGACCCTCGTAGGAATCACTGCAGCGTGCACAATCAAGAAAGGTGTCTTAATCCTCTGCACAAGTTCTATGTCCGTACACCAATGGCGGGCAGAATTCATTAGATGGTCCAACATCAATCCAAGCGACATCGCAGTATTCACATCTGAGAACAAGAGTAGATTCTCGGGGAGTACTGGGATTATCGTTACATCATACAACATGGTTTCGCAGAAGGGCAAAAGATCGTATGACTCTCAAAAGATGATGGATTTTATACAAAGTAGAGAATGGGGCCTTATGATCCTCGATGAGGTCCACGTCGCACCTGCTGCTATGTTTAGAAAGGTTACGTCTACTATAAAGACTCACTCGAAATTGGGCCTTACTGCAACCTTGCTCCGCGAAGATGATAAGATCAGCGATCTAAACTTTTTAATCGGTCCCAAGCTATACGAGGCGAACTGGATGGAGCTGGCAGAACAAGGACATATTGCTCGTGTGCAATGTGCCGAGGTGTGGTGTCCAATGACCACAGAATTCTACTCGGAATATCTCAAGCAATCGAGTAAAAAGCGAGCACTCATCTGGACAATGAATCCTCGGAAATTCCAGGCCTGCCAATTCCTGATTGACTATCACGAGAAACGAGGCGACAAGATTATCGTCTTCGCTGATAATATTTATGCCTTGAAAGCGTATGCGACAAAACTGAACAAAGCCTTCATTTTTGGAGAAACCGGCAGTGCAGAGCGTGAGCGTGTTCTGGCCAACTTTCGATTTAATGACAAAGTCAACACCCTTTTCCTCTCCAAGATTGGGGATACTTCTCTAGATCTCCCTGAAGCTACATGCCTGATTCAAATCTCCTCGCATTACGGATCTCGCCGTCAAGAAGCTCAAAGACTAGGCCGTATACTGCGAGCTAAACGACGTAATGACGAAGGCTTCAATGCCTTTTTCTATTCACTCGTCTCCAAAGACACTCAAGAGATGTTCTTCTCCTCCAAACGACAGGCCTTCCTGGTCGATCAAGGGTACGCTTTCAAAGTTATCACCCACCTCCAAGGCATCGAAGAAATGCCCAATCTTGCCTTCTCCACCCCCGCCGAGCGCCGAGAATTACTCCAAAATGTCCTCTTAGCCAACGATGACGAGCTCGACTTCGATGATCGTGGAGACAATATGTTTCATACTATGGATGGCAGGACAAAGGCGAAACTCAAGAAGAAGGCTGTGGCTAGACGGACGGCTGGGGCGCTGAGTGAGCTTGCGGGTGGCCAGGATATGGCGTATATCGAGCAGAATAAAATTAAGAACAAGGACATGAAGAGGAAGAAGGGCGAGAGTAATCCATTTTTCAAGAAGCTACAGAGGGATCAGGAGAAGAGGAAAAAAGCGCTGGAGGAGCTATAGTGAGGGATTGTAGCGGGGTATGATCTGGGCGTACGACGACATATAGCCCGCGATATATATATATATTTTTTCGCCCGGCGTTGGTGGAGGTTTGAGACTAGAAAGATATAGTAGATTGGCACCAAAGATAATGACAGCGACCGGAAGTCTAATGAGACGCTCAGATACCACATCTGGCTTCCGTTTATGGCGGTTTGATGCATGTAGGGTGCAGCATCAGTAGTGACAGTGCCCGTCATCATTATTCATGTCGAAGTTTTCAGTGTGGGTGCCGAATATACATTCCCTACTATCTAGAAGTACCTTGACGAATCGCAAAATTGCAAGTTTTAAGGAAACAGATGAAGACCAAGATCGTACTCCAACCTGACTCGTACACTCTTAGCCTATTATGACCCACAATAAATGCTCCGCCCCGCCCATGTTCCTTGTTGTTTAATCAACCACAATAAGCAGGTTTGGAACTAAATTAAAGTCGCGATGCCAGAGTGGTTAATGGGTAAGACTTGAAAGCTTACTGCTTGAAGTTATCTTATGGTTTCGGCCTCGTAGGTTCAAATGTAAGTTGTTAATTCCGTCATCGCTACAATCCTTCTCAATACTAATATCTTCTCAGCCTGCTCGCGACGATTGAAAAATCTACTTTTTTTTACTGCTTTTCTTCTTTCCCCCCCTTTTTGGTAGGTAAACTTGGACAGATAAGTGGGGTTATTAGGCACTGTAAGCGAAGTTGTTTAGGCGAACACTATGACGGAGTTCGTCCTACAGAGGTGTGGGAATGAACGATAAGCTTTTGAACCTGCATATCTGAGCTACTTCGAGTTCTGTTTCACAGAATGTTGATACGGACGCATAGGGAAGGCCGCATTGAATTCTAAAAGGCTATTACAAAAGCAAGACGCGTAATACGTGATCAAAATCCTTTTTCATTCTTCATTAAGTTCATCGCTCTGTCATTATAAAGCCGAATACCCATTCTCAATCAACCCATATCCAGTTCCCATCCCCAAATATACAAATGCCTCTAAATCAGATCTAGGCAACACAAGTGTCTACTCATTAACATTAGATATCGTGTTCTGGAATTTCTGCACTGCCCGATAATACCTAAACCACACGCCGTAATAACAGTAATTTTATGAGGACAGGAGCAAAGCCTCTTCGTGTGGAATCTGGCTTTGACCTGGTTGATCCGGCTTCGAGTCTGAGTTGCTAATATTTGTTGAGCTAGTTGACTCGGTCGAGGCATCATTGCTTTCTTCTGGGGGAGGGGTGAGACTCTTCTCCCAGTCGTTCATGATAGTTGTGACAGTGCGCCTCAAATTCCCGGGCGTCAGTTTATCCAAAGCTGGCCACGGCATCTCCTCACGTCTAGAGGGCGTGCTCATACCGTCGTTTGAAGCATCGACAATGCTAAATACATATTAGTTTAGGTTCGATGATCCAAAGAAAGAGGTCTCACTTGATAGCACGATCTTCCATGGCGCCATTCGAAGGTGTAGCAGGATCAGCAGGATCAGAAACTGCGGTGCTGCTGCTCCACCTTGGACTCTTAGGAGTCGGAGAATCCCAATGTGCCCAATCATCATCAAGATCATCGATCGCGGATGCAGCCAAAGATATGGACTTCGAAGCCTTTTTCTTTGCTGGCGTTTTTGCTGTAGGACGATTCTGGTCCGAGTCTGAAATCGTGCCAGTTACATCGAGAAATCCAGTAGTTCCCGTCAGCGAGTCCCACGTCCGAGATGAGACCGCTTCGGGAGAGGGCATCCTCTTGCTTTGGTCGAGGCTGCGTAGGTTGCTTCTGCTGGTGCTCTTAACTGGATCGTTGAAACTGGGTCGGTTTGTCGTGCCATTCACGGCTTCATCACCCACGGTAGCTTGGCGAAGGTCTTCCAAAAATGTCCACAGTCCCGCTTTGACGTCTTCGGCGATTTGTTTCGCCCCGTGGGTCACGCCCCCTTGGTAGGAGAGAGGTCTCGGGCGACGTGACGATATCCTGGTGATGCCTTCGCTCGTATCGGGCATTGTAGTGCTCCGAGTGAATGAATCTGAATGCCTTTCGCTACTGGATTCCCGCATTGGTGGGAAGGGGCGTGGATAATTCGACCGTTCGGGAGATAGGAGCGACAAAGTCCGGGTGTGCCCTCCCGTGATGACCTTCCTCCTCGATTCCTTGGGGATACTAATACTAGTGAGGAGAGATTTCCTCCTGTCGATCTCGGCGCTCTCCCGAGTCACAGCCGCCGCGCCCTCTCTGTCGGCGCTGCCACCTTCCGCGGCCACTCTCTGTACTGGCCGTAGCGGTTCGGAGTGTCTAATTTCTGCTTTCTTCTTATGGGCTTCATGGATTGCCCATTGCTTTTTCAGCTTCGCCAGGTCTACCTCCGCCTTCTGAAGCTCCTCTTTCAGTTCCAGCACCCTGCGTTCTTGTCCGGCCAGAGCGACTAAGAAGCCACTCGGGTCAGCTGGTGAAGGAGCCGGCATCATCTCGGCTGGCGTTGGAGGAAATGATGTCGCGTTGGACGAGGTGGGCGTATGTCTTGCGGACTCGTTGCTGTTCACACTGGTGGCAATAGGGAAACTTAGTGATAGTCGATTGGGTCGTCGTGGCGTATAGGATAAAGGTCGAGGATGGCTCATAGGCGGCCGAGGAGGGGGATCCATAGCAAAAGTAGCTCTGTTGGGCGAATTGCCAACATGAGGACTCGGCGGAGCGGCCGGCTGGGTAGGTTCTCCTGACGTCAAAATAGACTCGACCGTAGCAGGGTCAATCGAAGCGCGTCTCCGATGGGCTTCCATTGTGCATACCGTGTTTCGAGAGAATTGGGATGTGTCGTGCTGTAATAATGGGAAGAAGGTCGCTCTTTGCGTGACCATGAAGTCGCCGGCAGTACCTCGATGGCGTGGCGTGCCCGTCTTTGTTGACTGAACAACCAGGCTTCTTTCAACAAGCCACGAAAAGAAAGGCAACTAGCAACCGATGATTATAATGTGATTATATCGCCATGATGGTCATATCAAGCAAACGAGCGTAGAAAAAGAGGTTATCCGGAACCCTTTCTAATCAACAAGAGAAGTGTTGATTGGAAGTAGATTTCAGGAGTAAAGAGTTGCCACTACGGGGGGCAGTTAAGACATCCAGCCCCATGCGATAGTCACGTGCATGACGCACAATGCCTGCAACCAATTTCAATTTCCGAAATTGGCCAAGCGCATCCTTGTTCCAGACCACATGACCACGTGCCACCCTCGCGAATGATGTTTTACCGATTGGGAGGAAAGAAAACAGTCACGTCGTCTTGTATCTCGGTATGTTCATCAAGGCCAATAGCCACATTTACTCTTTTCTTGGCCTACCTGCTATATAGCAGGTTATTATTATGATTCCCTTATAATAACTATGCCGTTCCGCTTCGTCTACTTATGTGACCTACTCGACAAGCTGGAACGGCCGTTTCTGCGGGATGCACCACTGCTCCCTCATCACCTGGAAGAATACACCCAGAAGGAGGTCATCTCTTGGTTTCGGAGGCATCGGGATCGGTTGAATGAGTTCTCGACAAATGGAAATGCGGTGATCATGATGCTCCAGCCGAAGCGGTGGAGTGATCGAGACTTCGGCTGGAACGTTGATATCTTGGAGCACCTGATTGCCAGGAACTTAAGCCTTTCAAAGGCGAAGCATGCTGAATTGAAAAAGTGGGAGTCTGAGCCTCACAGAGGCGATTTGGCTGCTTGTGTAGAGCGGGTTATGGATGGCATGGAACGGGTATGTGATGCGACTTGGCCAGCTGTCTGGGAGAATTTTCTTTCCTGCGTGCGATCATACTAATATGAATTTCAGACTGCCGTGAGAGTCGATGCAAATGCGGTAACAGTTGAGGAGATTGATCAATTTTTGCTTCAAACGGCATCCCATAACAACGGCTCTTCTCCAGAGATCCAAGCCCTTGCTCCAGGCTGCCCTAAACATGACCCAATAGCCGGCCTAGGAAATTTATATCAGCGACTGCAGGGACGAGAGGCGAAATGGCTCACCCGCTTACTTCTCAAGACCACCGAGCCTGTGAGCTTCCCGGCAGACTTTGGGATAAAATCTAACCAGTCCCATCTCCCGAATTGCGTGAGAGTACACGTTGAGTTCCCCAGTTCTGCAGCTGCTATTTTGCAATTGGGACAAACTGGTATATATAAAGGATCTCACCCAAAGGAGCAGGTTCCCACTCAAACGCAAATCCCACCAAGCAATTCTCTAGGGGTTATCCCACGGGCATCCCGTTCTCGAATACGGGACTCTCCAGGCTTCCAATCCAAGAAGCGCCGCGTCTCGAGACCAAGACCTTCAAAAGAGCCAGCTAAGCAGTTAGTATCCAGCTCGGCGCCACCCAACGCTGCTTCTGTTACCACCACATCGCCTTTCCCACAACCTCCCCCCAAAAGATGCTGTCCTTCCCGAGAGTCCTCACCTGGAGCTATTTTGTTCAAGCGTGGTGTTCTACAGCCGTTGCGTCCCACGGAGATTTCAAGCAACTCAAGTCAAAGACTATCTATATCTGGCTATTCTTCAACAGAAAAAGGCACAAAAATCCTTCGTCGGACATGCCCCGAAGCTGCAGAGTCTACTAGTTGTCCATCTTTCAGACTCGGAGCTTTGGCGCCAGCAAGCTCGGCAGAATCTGCTAATAAATTCCATAAAGCTCCATCCAGCTCCACGGAATGTGTACCTAACCGCTCTCTTGTCTCTTCTCGCATGACACCAAAAAAAGCAACCTCGACAGTTTTTTGTTCTCCAGTGGAAAATTCAAGGAGGTCTCGACCAAGCTGCGTTGTTAATCGTGCCTTACAAACCCCGCCCAGGCCTACTCCGGTTTTAATCTCACCAGGCACCTCTCCCAACTCTCGTCGAAAGGCTCCCTGTAGGAGCACTATCCTAGAAGATTGTCCCTCTCGACCTCCAGCTGCTGAGCGAGTGCATATTACAAAACCTGCCAATAATACTACACCAAACAGGCAAGGATCGGCCCCTTTACTATCATCCATCGCACCACATTCGTCAAACTCTACCGTTTTACCGCCACCTACTCGGTTGGTTCTAGACCCTAACATCACCGCTTCAAATCCAACAATTCCCATGATCACAGCAGGAACGGGTAAATGCCAAATGAACCCAGATACCTGCCCACTGGGCAACTGCATTTTCCTCCTCGGGCCCTGCATCCCAAACGTCCCGCTCCTCCTCGAAAGCCTCCTTCCCCGCCATGGTGCACGATATATCACCTCCCTCGCAGACTTCTCTCACTCGTCCCTCCCACGCCGGTGTCCTCGCTCTTCCAAAAAGTACAGGAAAATCATCCTAGTAGAACCAAATCACACACAGCCGACCGTTAATTTTTTAAAGCAGGCAGAGAAGCTGAACCTCAAGAGATCGAAGGGACGTAAGCAATGGGTTGAGGTATACGATTGGCGGCTGTTGGAAAGTATTGCGAGGATTGATCAGGGGAAGGGATCGATCTTACAAGCAAATTCTTGGAAGAAGTATTGGATGTGTGCTGTCTAGAAGCGTTTTGTGAATTATCTCATTTTGAAGATTGTGGGAGTTTATATGTATGGAGTTCGAGGGCATGCAACCATTGGGCGTGGTCGGGTCTTGATAATGGCCTGCGTATTCTTGTATTAGGAGTCTCCGGAGCATAACTGGATTATTTAGTCTATATCTGATGTGGTATCCGTAGACATCATATAGTCACGCCTTCGTTTGGGAGGTTCGAAGTTACAATGTCCGATGAGATAAATACTCAACCCATTTCTCCAACCACTGATAGATTTTCACATCAGCCATGGCCAACCTCGATCCCATCTAAAATACGTCTTGAATTGAGCTCTAGATCCTATCCTAGAGAGTTGAGACTCTTTGAATCAAAGCTCTTGAGATTTTTATTTTGAGTCGTTGCGCCTACAACCACGTCAATGCATGGGTTCAGACTTTCTCGAAGTACTGGTTAAGCTATAAACTTTTGCGTAATATTGCTTTTTTAACCCGCCTAGTTCCGAAATTTAACCTCCAAATTCCACACTCCTGTCGCCTTTTCCTATAAACGGTTGCAAACCACAAAATATATAAAGCACAATCTAACCCCTCCCATTTTTGTCAATGTACATAAATCTAGAATCTGCAAGTGGCGTCCGCTACTTAGCACTTATACTTTCTTTATTCAACCTCATCCTCTCTCCCATTCCCCTCTTCACTCTCTCTATACATAAAAAATTGCGCAAATATTCCCAAATCCAGCAACAGTGTGCCTAAACTCCCCGTCAACCACGATGCGTTCACAGCAATGTACCTCCCATATAATCTTCCCACTTCCCCAGTTCTACACTCCCCCCCTTTCCCTCCACATTTGGGCTCATAAGCAAAGATAGATAATACATAGGTTAGGTTACCTATACATGCAAATAGAAAGAAGAGCACTGAGACCCCCGAGGTAGATTTCCTGCGGTAATTGAGTAGGATTTGGGGAATCCGGGAACCGAGGTAAAAGACCGCGCAGAGGTACCCAAATATTTGACCCCAGAATGAGAAGTTTAGTTCCACTTCTCCAGATCCTCCGGGTGACGGCTTGGATGGCGGGGTTGGGGAGGAGTGGGTGGCCGTGCGTTGTGATATCCACCAGCCGAATATTCCAGCTAAGCAGACCGTCAGCACAGTGAAGAGATTGAAAAGTGTTGCTTGAAGACGGGTCGTTTGCTTTTTGGCTTGTGGTGGGGTGGTACGAGGGAATTCGGGGTCGTGGAGTGGTACGACGGGGTTGAGATGCGTGGCTGAGATGGTAGAGTGAGTAGAAAAGATGCTATGTCGACGCTCATCCAGGGAAGGCGATAAAAGCCCTGTTATCTCGGTGGCTTCGCCGACGTTGGCGTCTGCAGAGGTGCTGGTTGGTTTTGGAGGGGGGATCACTTCGTCCCGCCAGGTAAAGCCGCGGTAGTAAAAACATTGGCCAAGAAGAACTATATCAGCCAGAGTGTAGTATATTGCTAAGATGATCTGTTTGGTAAGTTAGAACTCCTTTCGAATAAGATAACTTCTGAGATACCAATATAGGTCAGGAGGATACAGACCATGGTAGGTAAAACACCTTGCAACACTGCACCAAGAATGTTGAACACATCGCCCAAAAGCCAGACGATGATGAATTGTAAGGAGAGGCCATCTGCGGAACCGCGGCGGAATTGCTCGATTATCTGGGGCGAGAAAACAACCACCCCTAAGGAGACATTGAGTTAACATTTATTATCCAATAGGGTTATGAAGAGAAATGAGCCGTTCTGGAATCTGGATGGCAAAATTTATGGGATTGCCATAATGAGTCGATCACTGGACATTGGAAACTGTATGGGATTCGGAAACTTACAGCAGGTTATTGATATTGATCTATTTACATATTAGCCTTTGACTTGTACATTGCTAGGAAGTGTTCAAAAAGTAGGTCAAGATGACGACGAAAAGACAAGTCGAAGCTAATAAGAGCAGCAGAGCAATCTATAAATGGGGAACAAACCCTAAAATCCCACTTATGGCCGTGATATCTAAATTCAGCGTCTGCGAAGGTGGGAACATCCTGATCTCTCTAGTTTCTCGTGTCGCATATACAAAGGAAACTCTGTTTCACTGTGGCGTTGAATGTACGAAGTAACCCCCGCAAATCCGCGAAGAATTTGGTCTTATCATGTGACAGTGTACCTCAACCCCAACACACGTTTATTTACAGAGAAGTTTTAGGAGAAGATCGCATTTTAATTTTAGTCTATGTAATGGAAACGTATCTAATGCGCCGAGCCTGTGTTTTGATGTTATGAATTTCCCAAGTCACGTGAGACATTTAAAAAGGTGAATGTCTTAGATCATGTGACACATTTGAAATGAAATTCTTAAGAACGGACTGGGAAGAACTTGCTCTTGTGCACAAATGTAGCGCGTTCAACGGCCATGATGTCCTTTTCACGCTGCATGCAAATCTTGGCCCATTCATTGTCGAGATGTCCGATGGGCCAACCATCAACTTCATGGGGTTTGGTCATATACACAGCCTTCCACCAAAGCTTCCAGTCAGTAAAGACCAGGTCGTAGAATGGCAGGCAGTGATCCAGTTGTGGGACTTCAATCGGCTTTGGCTGGTTGGTAGGTGTCTGGAGAGTGATATCCAGGCGTTTGAGTGATTTGAATCCCTGGAGGTAGGCTACGAGAGCTTTGACGTGCGCAAGGGATGGGCTGGAGTCAAAATCGATGGCTCCTTTGAGCGGACCTTGGCTGCGATGACGATTACCACCCATTTGTGGGATATAACTTCCTGTGATAGGAAGCTTGAATCCATTCTCCGGGAATGCCAGGGTGACAAAGACGGTCTTTGTGCGCTCGACAAATTCCGGGCCAAGCTTCGCCATCATATCAAAGATAGTCGTGGGCTTCTTCTTGTCGTGCTCTTTACCCTCCTCGATTGCACCCTCATTTCCCTCCACGTTCGTGAAAACATCCGTCTTGGTGTCCACCGATGGTGAAGCGCCCGTGGCACTAGCATTCATGGCACCGACACTAACACCACCCACGGCACCGACATTCAGCTCACCAATATCCACAACGATCTCCACATAGTTACTTCCCCAGAAGTTTTCCTTTTCGCGAATGGCCATATTGTCCAAATGTTCCAGGAAGTTGTATTTGCCGGGCGAAAAATCTCCAGATGGAGCATATCTCCTGAAGCCATTTGCGAACTGTTCCTCTACGAGGCGGACGATGTTGCGAGTCACAGAGCTAGATTCGATGACAACATCTTTGTTCCTGTAATCAGCACGGGTGACGACGGTTCTGCCAGTAGGTGTGGGCTTTTCAGTACCCGTCAGTGTCATTACCGGCTTCTCGGTCTTACGTGCAGAAGCGGGAACAGCAGAGAACCCCCCCTTGTTATATTGATTGTTGCCCTTCTGGCCGGACTTCTTGGTGTTCTTTGGCACAAATGGTGGTGATTTTGGATCAAGCTTGCTTGCCTTGCCCTTGACCGGGTTGTACGGCTTATCCAAAGGCTCGAAGTTCATAGTAATGAGCGTTCCGGTTTGGTAAGATTTGAATTTTAACCCTACGTCGAAATTAGCAAGACCTTCCTTGTTCGTTAGACCCAACTTACTATTGTCTACCATAGGTCCCTGACTAACAATCTCCTTGACCTCCGGTGTGGTGATTTGACGACTAGCTTCTTTCTTGTCTCTGGGACCCTTGCTTCCAGAGGAAGAGGTTGAAGATCCTCTCATGTTCTTAGATCCCATTTTGACTGTTGATGTAATTGCTGTTCCTTTCGTGTTCGACTAAAGCATCCGCCGGGTAATAATCTAAAATATACCTATGTTAGCTATTTTCTAATACTAGAGTCAAAGCAAACTGTAACAAGCTAAGAACTGTGATCAATTAAGACCCATATCGCCTTGTCCAGTCCAGAGTTAAAACATAACAGTAATACGTACCAGCGTTGTGAAACTGAGGGACTATGATCTCACCTTCGGCGATCCGGCGGCTTGAAATAATATCACCGCAGAAGGTGAAATCAATATAGTGGTATGCGTTGTACCGGCTATCGAAAGCCCAGAGTTGCTAACGATACCGGGCCTTTTGTCCTGGTTGTAGAGATGAGCTGCAGGAAGTGACAATGGACAAGAACGGAACGAAAGACCAGAGGTGCAAAATCAAGCGCTCTCCTTGCAATCTAGGTTATTATTTGAAGAATTTATAGTGCAAGGTGCAAGACTGTTGGAGCAAGACTGTTAGTGCAAGACTGTTGGTGCAAGACTGTTAGTGCCCTTAAAGCAGAACAGATGTGTTGTTGCTTTGTTGTGTTGTAGAGAAGAAAGGAGGTTGCTCGAGAAGAGGTGGATCTCCTTTTATAATCAAGGTTTCGGCCAATTGGCAGCGCTGGTGACAGTTAGACCAGGGTGAATTTTAGGAGGCAGGTGCGACTACTGCTTTATGATTAGTAGAGGGCGGTGGTATGTGAAGCGGTAGGTGCAGCTCGAGTCCCTTTTCATATTCGAATTTTCCGCGAATGGGCGGCGCTAGCGATCACTATAATATAAAAGGTGAGTGAATTGAAAAGGAAAGTTTAATGGTATATGTAAGAGCTTATGCAGCACTACCTATAACTACTAATAGTATCTATTGTCTAAGGGCAAAAAATTCAAAATACAATTGAATTGTGATTATGATTATGCCTTATGCACATAACCCTCTTAATAATATTGGCAGTATCCAGGGGCTGTAAGATTATATAAAGAACAAATGCGTCGGTATGCGCAAATAGATAATACTATTGGGATATTTGCTAGTATATCCTCCTAGTATAGACCTCATTTGGTAGTGATATTGATAAAGTAATATCAAATAGGACAGTCACATATAAAATAGAGCAATAATGCAAGATTTGTACTAGAGAGGGTGATGTGTACTATATCAGATGAAATTATAACCAAGATAACAAATTGCAATAGGCTTGACAACTAAAAATGGCTCATATAACACCATCTGCTGCCTTAACAGTATAGAGAACGGAATTTATAAGGAAAGCATTTTGAATAGGAAAAACCAATGTGCCACAGCGCAGCAACTAAGCTCTACATTCTAGTGCAGCCATGGATAATTCGATATGTCTAATATCTAAGACGCACAAAAATAGACCGTCGACATGCAAGTTCACAAATTCAATAATTAAGACCACAAAGCAAGCTATCTAGAAGATAAGACAGAAGTATCTGCCAGGCTAATTTCTTAGCACGCATCCAACAAGAACATAATACAATTATCACACCCCAATAACTACTATTAGCCTGGCAGGGGTCGCTCGACACATCAATTATGATGGTCTTTAAAACTCAAAAGAAACATGCATAGAACGTGTGGTACATGCCCAAGGGCCAAGAAAATAAAAGTTTAAATCACAAGGCAATGGAGGAATAGCCAAAGAGACTCTCCCCCTTAACTCCTTCTGAGGTGTGAACAGGCAAGAATAGAAACAAATCAACACCTACTTAGGAAGAATGAACAATAGTATCTCTTAATTATTTCGTATACTCTCCATTCAAAAATCCCACAAGGTCGTAACTCCCCATTGGCAGCAAAGTACTGTCTGTATCTAACCCCATAACGCATCTTTAAGCCTTCCTGTCCCAGAAACCGCAGGCGGCGAAAGCAAAACCGATGACCAGGCTTCCATCCCATCTACGTACAATCGAAATTTGAGTATGCTCTGATCACTCACTGTGTTTTCGATGGTCACCGCTCCAAGTTTAGAGTTGCCAGCAGGGATGTATCTTCGAGGCGTTAGTAAATTGGCACGCGTAGTGGAAGATCCGACTTACTTGACCACGACATCCTCATCATCTGTCTGGCGATATGTAGGTGTCGGCAGATAAAACTGGCTCAGCGGGCTCGTCGAAAATTCATGAACAGTAGCACTAATCGGCCATCTCCCCCCAGTCGGAGGAGGGAACGCGGTTGCAGCGAACTCATGGCGATCACCAGAGAGCACGACAACCCCAACGCCGCCCCGAAGCCCAACATCCCACATAGCTTCCAAAATAATCCGTCGTTCGTGGAGATACCCAGCCCAGGTATCAAGACCGTTGACTTGCCAGTTCTTGGTGAAAGGGACACTAGAAACGACGATTTTCCATTTTACGCCTTTTGACTCGGGCTTTTTGAGAAAGGCAAGAAGATCGGCGAGTTGCTCGGGGCCGAGCATAGTCTTCTCGGTACTGTTTATCGGCAAGTCGGTGGAAGAATCGCGATAGGTTCGGGTATCGATCATGAAGAAAGACGCCGGCCCTTGAGTAAATTCGAAATATGAGGCATCTTCTCTGTGCTTATTGTATGTGCCAGTTTTGCGAGCCTTTGGGGGATTTGCAACTGCTTGATAGTGATAGAACGGATTGGCGGCTGCTTGGTACACGCCTGTTGTATTCCCATCCCAGTCATTAGCGATTTCGTGATCGTCCCAGACATGAATCCAACTCAGATTCTGGCCTACGGCTGGCCAGTCTGGTGACGAGTATACTTGTCGATACTCTCTTCGGTAATCTTCTACACTATTTCCAAACCGTTTTGGGACATCTATGTATATAAAGTCACCAAGGAAGATCATGAACTGGGCGCCGCCGGGGATTGAATTGATGGCTTCCGCCATGTATCTAAACCCTGGAATACTTAAGGGATGGTCGAGTGGATTATATGGGAACCTGGCTTTGATGCAGCTTGATGTAACAAACGTAAATGAGCCTTGCTTCCCGACTTGCCCAGGCTTCGGCGGGACAGTAAGGAACCCAGTGTGGTTGTTTGAGGTCGCCCACTGGTATTTTCGGTCCGGATGATTCGGTAAGGGAAAGGTCACAACTCCCGTAAAATCCGTGTCATTTCCTAGACTTGTAATCTTCCCGGCAGTTTGCCATGTTGCATCTTCATATGTAGTAGCTGGATCTGCTAGCCTGTAGGAAACGAAAATCGGAAGCTGAGACGGGTTGGGCTCTCTGATCAATAACTTAGCCTCATTAGGCGCAACGTATCCGAGCCGCGCGAAAGAGAGGTCGTTGCTGGGATAGAAACTCTTCGCCCGATAGAGGAAATCGGTGGCGGCCAAAACCAGAAGAATATTTATCAACAGGGTGGCTAAGGAGAGCGGGGCTGATGTTGGGCTTGGAAGGCCTGTCAGGAGTGTCCGCCAGGGTTTGGCGGTCTTCTTCTCTAATACCACCGTCTCTTGAACATCAACGTCCTGCTCTAGATGGGTTCCACCTCTGCGCCCCGTTGGATGCCGGGAATTCGAAGTACTTGAGGAGGGCGAGGCAGTCCCGTCGTCATCTGGAACCTCGACCTCTCTCAACGTGATATCCACATCATCCTCTAATACCATGTATTGTTCTTGAGAGAGGAAACTAGCTATGAAAGATGGCACATAGATTGCAAATAGGGCATAGATAATAGGCGGCAGATGCTGAAATGGCATTAGCTCCCCATCATCCTCTCATTCCACCATCTTGGCTTGGGGAGGCTTACATGGCCCGGGATGATCCGCAAAAAGGCATATACTGCAACTCGGAGGGCAATGCTGCTGGCAAGCGCCGCCTTGTCCTGAAAAGTTGCCATGCCCCAAACAATTGGCTCGGTGGATAGAAAAAGAAAAGGGAGAGTGAGAAATATTGGAAGGAGAGATAGCAGGAGAACCGGTAATAACAATTCGATAATCACACGCGCCGGCATTCCAGGAGGTCTAAGAATTGGAAGTTAGCCGTCACCAAAGACCCAGACAAGCATGTTTACGGAGTGTACGGGAACAACAAAGGCATGTCGTCACCACACATGCAACACTGTGGCTGGTGGGTGCGGGTTTGGATGGGGTGGCGCCAATAGGGAGTGACCTCATAGAACCCACCTTTTGAATCGCCCAACAACTCAATTGTTCTAAGAATAAAAATGGAACCTTTAATAAAAATCCCATATTTGGACTTTATTCCCCGGGTCGAATTTAGACTCCTCTGCGTGGTGCTTTCCGCGGATAGGACAAACCAAGCTGACAAGGGCTTTGGGGATCGAGGTCTCGCCCAAACACAGCTTATAAATACTGTAGTTTTAGGGGGCTTGACAAACCAGCCCCAGAACCAATAGTGGCGTCACCCACTTCCCCAGACTGACCAAGACGGAGATCGTCAACTCCAGACTCGGGGCCGAGCTGGTGCCATGCCGTTGTGTTGACGCAATGTGGTAAGACAGGCTACCATGGGACATATCTGTCCGACCTCCCCGCCCCCAAGCTCCTCTACGAAACCCAATTATGAGGAAGAAACAGAACAAGCGGTTTGTAATCCAATATATCTATTGGTAATGGAATGTTTGCTTCGCGCCCTTTATTACTCCATCCTCGTGGATACCTTGCGCCTGGATCTCGGACGGCACACTACCAGTACAATCCATACCGCCGGCTGAACAACAGTTGCATACCAGATGGTCTTATAAGAGCACAGAAACCGCCAAAAACCCCGAGACAATTGATCAACAAGATACAGCATCGTTCTATAGCCTCAAGCTTTGCGGAGTGGCGAGCAATAGCAACTCAAGATCAGACGAACATGGCAACCCCAAGCAGGATCCACCTTACGGTGAACGACACCGGCATCGTGAAAAACAAACCACAGACTGCCGAAGCGGCATCCAAAGTATCTGAGCTTCTTCAACAGAACCATGAGGTGCGTTTCACGAATTACTTCATTGCACGCTCCCTTACCCGTTCCACTGACACGTGATATAGAAACATCACGTCTTCTATAATGAAATGGGGTTCCACAATCATATTGTGCACCATATGCTCACTATATATGGGCTTGGAGCTCCAGTGTCCATCATTGAGAAGCGCTATGCTGAAAACGCATCCTATCAGCGCCCTCCCATGACCGAGAAAGACAAGGTGGTTGCTGACCTTCGCTCCCCAGCGACCTTTTCCAAATACTTAGGGAGCGGCAAGTACTACCACCCATTTCTCCTTTTCTTCCAAAGGGAGATGGAGGATAAGGGATGGGAGAATGTATTAAATGAGTATTTGTTTGCCGGTAATGAGAGAGCCGATAATATGCTGGGGAGGATGTTCGCGGGTTTGTAGCCCCTCCAAAAAACATCACCAACTACTTCGATTTTGACAATATTGCTAGGCTTCCTCCACCCCATAATCCACCTCGGGTTTGGAATAGAATTTAATCAGCCAGCCATCATCGCCGAAGCCCTGGCCCAAGCAGCTGTTCACGACGATTGGACAGGACGATTCCTCCTGGCCACCGAACAAGCCGCCAAAGCGCACCCTTCCTCAAACCCAAAGACCCTCCCGGATATCATAGACTCGATTCATGCAGATAAAAAGCTCTCCACTGCAGCTCACTTTTCCGACTCCAACAAGATCCGGGATGGGATCCTCTCGCGCGCGAAAGACGAAATGATCAAGCATGCAACGCAATGGGTCGTAACCCCTGAAAACCTAGAGGAGAAAACCGTCGAGATGATAAACACATCGATATATTTTACAGCCGCGGCACAGCATCCTCCTAAACAGGTAAAATTTGACTTCTACTTCATGCACTGCGCGAATAGCAGCATTTTCTTCCACTCATTCAACGCTCTGCCTTCGATTTCTACGGAAATGAAAGTCAGGATGTTACAATGGAAGGGTTACCTTGATCTCGCTATGTACGCGTCACGCCGTGCTCCTCCCCTTCTTATGGATGAAATATCAAACTATGTCCCGGCCAAGCTGGAGAAGGGGGATGCTGAATGGCCGGGGATTTTTGAACGGCTTATTGGGTTTCAGGATGATGGACATGCTTCGAAACTCGGGAGGTCGGTGAGGCATGGTGAGTTGGCTAGTAAGAAGTGGGAGGATAAGAATGCGGACTGGATTAAGGTTAAGGGTTTTATGTGGGGGAAAATTGGAAATATGGTTATTGATAGTGTGGAGGATACCGGGGAGCGCTGGGTTAGGAGTGCTGGGTTTGACGAGGCTTGGGAAGAGTTTGCAGATCGACCGAGGAGGGAAAAGATCTAAGATTATTCTTGGAAAGAGGAGGGGGAATATACCCGTCTAAATTTTGGACATTCGTTTTCGTGGGACAAAGTATTGCGATGGTTTTGTATTGATGGGGTGGCATCTCTATCTTAGCAGCTTTTGAAATTGACGAGTAGTTTAACGAGGTGACACACTCCCCTCTCCCATCTACCACCATAATTGCAGCTTAGCTGATAACTAGACCTTTTCTATGCCAACCATCAATCGCCGTGTACCAATCTCAAAAATGATATGCATATGGCTCGTGGTACAGTACACACCAAGAGTCCGACTAGTGTCTTTCCTTCCGGCAGTACAAATCAATTTGATAGTTTTGGTATATACACTAGCCATACGGCTGAGCAATAAGGTAACCATACTATGGCCAGAAATGGGAGTGTGTATGCAATAAGTAACGGTTATTATTTCAAGCATCCTTGTATCAAATATTGTACTCTATGGTGTTGAATTATGAATGATATAAGCACGGAAGCTAATATAAGTCGTACCAAACAAGAGTAGTTTACCACGTCACAAAAGAATCTTTTGACTCGGCATGATATGATTACCCCCGGATTCATTGGATCAAATCTAAGTAGACACAAGCTGAGTGTAAAAGTCTTTAAATCGATGCCAACTTGGCCCAAGTCTCACCTAACCATTTGAAAATTAACAACCATAAACAAATCCGTGCGACAGAATAACTCAGCTATGTGGCCACATACGCGATAATTTGGCGGGGAAAATTTGAGGTAAAAAGACAACGGCATGGTAGTTTCATCTATGACCTTAGTTGCTTCCATGTCAGTGATGAAAAGAGCGTACGAGACTTTTTCATACGCTGCAGACTGGGACCTGTAACTTTTCAGTGGAATGTGCTGCGGTAGTCCTTCTTTACCATAGCGGCTTCCTGCGATGTAGATTGGACGAAAGGTTACCCAAGAGGGTTACTGCGATAACGAAGTAAGTAAGATGGCCAGAAATTGCCTTTTGACGGGCTAAAAAGCTGGCTCGCTGTCAAAGTCAATAGGCCGACTGGCTCATGGAATTCCGCTTGCACGTCGATCGTTTTATGTGCCAAAGCTATTGGTTGAGACATAGCTATTGCATGGCGCAATATGATTCAACCCGATTTTGATACAGGCAATTTGGATCCAGAGGAGGAAGATCTACTACGCGTACGCCAGACAAGAAAACAAAAGGATAATTAGGACATGGAATATTCCGTCGCCCAATATAGGTTAAAAGCGTCGGATACGCTGCATAATTTATAGGACACCAATAGAGTCAACTTGGAGTTTCATAGAAAATACCAAACTGACAGTGGATTGGGCCTGAAGAAGGCTCAAGCGGCGTGTAGCGTGCACGTGACCGACACTTTCCAGTAATGTTCACGAGATTCCATGCGCTCGGTATCGAGGATGCCTGGTTGAAAATAGCATGGGGAGCGATGAATGATAGGATGGAGTTCTCAGATCGAACAGCGCAATATACATATCGGCGCTAGTGTATGTATGTATGTGTTGGCACGCGGTCGGGTCAATGCAAAACGGCTGGCAGTGGGACTGGGACTGGGACCACCAAGCAAAGACGAAACGGATTTAGACAAACGCAATACGGTAATTGACTCGCAGCCCAAGGGAGTCCATGATGGCGTACCGGTCCCGTATGTATGTGGCCGTATCTGCGGCCAGCACATGCTGGAAGGTTGAAACAAAAGCAGATGCGATGGCGTATCGGTATTTGCGTTCTGCCTCAAGTGGCAGAGGCGAGCTGTCACTCCGAGCCCCCACGCTTGAGGAAAGGAAAGGATCACCACTTCCTTGGAGGCATATTGCATAGCTCTTGGATCGTGTCCGAGCCTTTGCCATGATATAATATCAGCTGCGGAGGGAGTCTCTTCCCCTCATCAAGTCCATGACTAGCGATGGACGGTTACCCAAAACTCCCACGTCGGTTGTGGTACTCGTAAGGTTACCAGCCAAATCGAGATCCGTACTTCGTACAGAACGCAAGGTAGTACTTGCTCGTAAAGCCATTTCGTTGGGTTCCAGGCCCGTCGTCGTCGCCCGACGACCACGGGCGTCCGGAGCATTCAAAGGAGAAATTCGAAGTTTGAAGCCATCCAGCCAGCCAGCCAGCGAGATGCGTGGCACCGGGAGAAGCTTGTCGGGCCCAGAGCTAGCTGCATATCTCATTCTGTAGTGGAGCTGTAGGAGGCTGAAAGGAGATGTCCTTGAGTCCGCGTTGAACGTGTCTCCTGCTCGTGAGATTGGTGAGGAACGAGGACGAGGGATGAAGGACGAGGGACGAGGGACTGGCTACTGAGCTGTAAGTGCCACCACTGCCAGCGCGATCCCCCAGCACTGTGCTCTGTAGTCTTGCCCAGCCATCTCTCGAGTCTCCAGCCACTCGCTCGACGTCGCTGCTGGCTGATGAGCCGTGATGATGGTGTCTCTGCGGCGGCGTGGTGATTGGGCACCTGCCCCCAGGGTTCATGCGAGTGCTGTGCGTGGATTTGTTGGCAGTCGAGCAGTGGGTGGTCGGTGGTGGGCAGTGGTGGGCAGTGGCCAGCAGCGAACGTGGAGCGTGGAGATCCATGGCCACGAGCCCACGACCGAATGCGAGAACTGATGGCCTTTTGCACTCGTCCAAAGACTGCCGCCCTCCCTCTCATCCCACCTTATTGACAACTTTTTGTTTGCAGAGGAAACACTGGTTGCACTGCCCTTGATGGTTGAGAAACGACTTCTTGTCAATCGCATGTTGAGATACTTGGTGCTGTGATAGAGAATCCCCAGATTCGCTATCGCCCTCACTATCGCCGCCGCCGACATCGTCCTCTGACTGTGGTAGAACTGCAGTACAGTATCATACACCTACTTCCGCGCACGCCAACTCCCATACCAACAGCGTCTTCCTCAAGGCGATTTCCTGTCTTCTGCTTGCACTGGCATCTCGAGGCTTACAAGCTCGAGATCGCGGCCAGTTGATTACCAGATGGAGCCATGATACACATGCAGCGTTCCCTCTCCCTCCCGGGGCCCGCGCACGCCTCTCCCCGTATGCTTTTTATTTTACTTGAACGACGGAACTTATTCTTGCTTATTCTTGCACACGGTTCCATATATTATCTCGGCCGTCATATACTGATTTATACGCGCTTGCAGCTGTCTCTCCTACTATTACGCATGTCTCCTCGCGCAGCCCGACCCCATCTCCTCTCGATAACCATAAACATACTGCCTCCCAGCAACACCATCGATATCGCTCTCCAAGCCCCAGCAGGCCACCTACATCCTACAAAGAGCCGCCATCCGAGCGAGCGCGAACCCGGCAGACCTCGCCCTCTCCTGTGTCTACCAGACAGGAAATACCGCCAACCGCTCAAGCAGAAGCCAATTCTGAGGTTATCCGCCCCCCACTCAAATTACCTCCGCTCCCTCTACTCCAAGATATATCACAGTACACAAACCCCCAGCTTGCAACAGTAACTGCCGCAACTGCGTCAACAACTCTGGAGGAACTTGCCCACCTGGTCCGGCTTTCTACATACCAGGAAAAGAAGCGGACCTATTCTCGTGTGCGATTACAAAGATCCCTCGTTTCTACTGCTCTCTCCGCGCGTCTGGCGCGATGCGGGGAGTTGGCCCATCGGACATTAGTTGACAATTTTAGGGGTGACGAGAAAAAAAGTTTTGCCAATCTTTACAATGGGATCCATGATGTCCGGAACTCATGCGACGCCACTCGGCGATATGCATTACTAGAACCAGATCTAGATGGAGGGCGTTCAAGTCTTAGCGGGGAGCAAACCGGCTCTCTCTCCACGTTTATGCATGAAATACCACACCGATCCAGGGACACCCTTCTTAGGTTCCTAACCCAGATTAGGACAAATCCAGACTATCTAGCCAGCCGTATCTCCAGCCTTTCTTCCACAGAGCTTTCTGCTTTAACAGTGTTCCACCAAGGATTGGAGGCAGTGGACTCGGTGCTACCATTTCACAATCGTTCAAAGGCCCATATTCCAGGTAATCACCGGAATGCTGCCCAAGCACCCACTGCGGTGGAGCGGTTACTTTCTTTCCAGCGCCATGACCCTCTGTCTGCTTTGATTCATACATGCTTTGCAAATTCAGCTGGCCCAGATTCCCAGGAAGACCTCCGAAGGACTGATGTTTGGGCCACCACATGTGCTAGGCTGATCAACGAGAGCAAAACTGGCGTGGATCCATTTATTTGCAGTGTTCTTAATGTTTGGACAGCCATGCGGGATTGGTCCGGCCGGAGTAACATGGAATGGTATCTCATGAAAATCCTCGAGGATGGAGCCTTCTTATTAGAAAAAGCCGAGGACCAAGCTGGGACCCGTATCCACGTGGAACCACGAAACGCCAAGGATTCAATCGCTGCGGATGAATTCTACACGGCTGCTGTCCAAGGCCTTTTTGAGATTGTTGATGATCCAGGAGCAGGAGGTATACCCGAAGGACTCCTTGAACTTGGAAATGCCATTCTTCGTAAACTTGACCCCAAAAAACACATGCCTACAAGGATATTCTTGGTGTCAAAATGGCTCTTTTCGGTGTTCCTTCTCAATGTCATTATCCACCCCGAGGTACGTCACCTACAAACGCCGTTGAAAAACTCAAGCTAACTCATCTCAGTCGTATGGGATGATGTCAGAGTACCATATCACCGAATATGGGAGACAGAAAATCCTGAAAGAGGTTGCAATGCGGGCAACGAAATTTGTGATAGACATGGTTTGGTGCGTGTTGCTAGATGTTACGAGTGCGTTCCCTATACTAATGATTGTTGAATAGGGGCAATTCGTCATCCACGCCACTATTGATCAAAGGCCATATTGAGAACATTATGTCCCGTTTTCGGTCAAGTCGGACTTCTAAATCCAAGGCGAAACTCCTTCCTGCAAGGTCTATCACCTCATTGAGAGAAACTGTGGAAGTTCATCCATATCTTGTACTTGCCCCCTCAGATCTACTCACTTTGGTCAATGCTCTTTTCCCGGAGAGACGGCCACCATCTAGTTCCCTGGCCAAAGATATCCATGGCTTACGCTCGTCTGCCTCTTCAGTCTCTGGCTTCTCAGTTACTCCATCAATCCCAGTGCCTACACCACGCACTGCTTTTGATAATGCCTCTGTCATCAGCAACAGTGGCTCCTCAGTGGTAAGCGATATCACTACGTCACGCGAACCACTTCTTGATGAGAATTCAAACTCTGTACCAAGACATTCCTCCCATTCCATGTCCTCATCAAATCCAAATCAGCGTCTTAGTTTGTATGAGGATGATGGCTTTGAGCTTCGTATTGCTGTCGATGAAATGACTCAAACACTAGGTTTGGATGGGATCTCTGGAACTTGCCACGCCTGCGCTGAGCGATGGGCCGTGCTCTTCATCTCTCCTGATGGCCAGAGTTTGTCTGCTCATATGCTCCACGACCCGGAAGATGACCTTGAAGAGGAAGAATTTACTACTAGTAGTGATAGTGATGAGGGGATCCCAAACTCGCGTCCAGACCTGGACAAAGACTACCATCAGCTAAGAGACTCGATCTTGAAGTTGGTCGAGGATTACGAGATACCACAATCCATGAACTCTAGAGCCGAATCAAAGACATTCAGCAACAGAACATCCACTCTAGAAAGCCCTAGGAAAAAGCACCGCAGTCGGCCTGGATCCTCAGCCAAAACAACATCAAAGAATCCTTATCGCCCTCGACAGCCGTCTCCCGGCACCGCTACAAAACATATAGACCTTCGACTGCGGTATGATTCGGAAAGTGAGAGACAGTCGGATGAAGAGCTCCCTTCCGTGCTTATAGCTATGTTGGAAGCCGCAAGATCACAGTGTGAAGCTCAATCGGACTTTGTCAACGCTCACCTATACTGGAAGACATTGGACCAACTTCATCAACTCTCCTCTCCGTCTCTGAAACGCGACGGGTTTGCGTCACTCCTGAGCATCTTCTCTCGAGGCCCTAGAGATTCCATTCGGCGTTCTGCAAGTGCCATAGAGGAGTATGATGCATGGTTGGTGTGGTTAAAGCAATCCCAAGAACGTCATGATGTGACTATTGAATCTATGATGAAGCGATTGAAAGCTCTCCGAGATAAGATGTGGTATGTTACTGATGTAAGAAACTCGGCCGCTTATGAAGGTGCGCGAAACATTGCCGTTGCTCTAAAGTGCATGGCATCGCCAAAGAAAGCCTCCTATCTCCCTCCAGCAGGAATCCGGCCTCGGAACATGTCCAGATCCTCCGCAAACAATTTCTTACTCAAAACAGAGGCGCAGGTAATGGACATGATGGCTGCTGCCGAGGACCAAGGTGGGCCAAACAAGCTATCAGATGAGCAATCTGAAAAGACTCTACGTTGGCTGTCGCAGTTCGGGATCGAGAACTTTTGCAAGGGCGAGGAGCGCATCCACAGGTTCTGTTTGGAAATCGAGACTTGTATCAATAAGCTTGTTGGTGACAATCTTATGGATGGTCCTGTCCTATGGTCTAGTGAGTTGTATTCTCGAGATAGGCGCCTCTTGGACGGCGGCAGGCAAAAGGGAGATCTGTTCATTAACGGTTTTGGGGCATTGAACATGTCCGGTGATGATCTTGTTGAGCCAGACTCGGGGCGACGCAGCCTGAGAAGTACAAACTTTAGTCGGCCTGGTCTTCAGGACCTTCGAGCCATGTCGACGAGGAACCAATCACAACAGAGTTTTGATTCGGGGAGATTCAGCATGTCCCGAATGAGTATAAATGGGGATCTTATGGATTCTCAGGATTACTTCGGCATGGCTAGTCCAGTCCTGACAATCGATTCATCCACCACTTTCTGGTCTCCCTTTCAAACCAGAGCGCAATCTCCGACCACAAGTATCAGTAGCGCGCGTCCTGGTACAGCTTCGTCGACGAATGAGACGGTTATGTTAAAGGAAGAGCGTGCGGCTCAGGCCAAGCAAAGGTTTCTTATTGACCTAAAGCAAACTTTGACCAGTCTCCTTCTCAGCGACCTTGGCATGTTGGTCTTCGCTAGAGGAAGCGAGACCGACTCTTGGTTCGCAGGTGATCTTGGGCAAGATTGCATGGAGAGACGAGAGCGTGCGGACCAGAAGGCTCGCCGGAAGATCAAGAGGCGAACTCTGGAAAAGAAGAAAAGCTTCAAAGATCTCCGTGGAGCGCATAAGGTCGAATTGTCGGGAGAGCGTCCCGACAGCTCAATGGAGAAGATGGATAGATCATCTCCCAGTCGCTCAAGGCACTCGAGTGAGCGAGGTGGGGGTTCTCAAGCCGGTGCCGAAAGTTCTTCCACAAGTGAGGTGGGCGGCCGTGGTTCTCGAAAGAGCATACCGAAAGACCTCAGCTCTCCCGACTTCCCTTACCGGCAAGCCTTCCAACGATTGTTAAGGATGTTCTCAGTTCATCCAAATCCATACGCAAAACTCAATGCGCTGTATGAATTAGAACATCTGATTATCGCATTTCTCACGCCTTCAGCGCCCCGCCGTCCTCGTTTCCGCCAAGATACTTTGACATCTACTGCTCCGCCGGAAGTTCAGCATGTGAGCGCTTTCGGGCACAGCGATACAATGCCAGCTGCACCGCGTGCCAAGAACCTGGAGGAGGCAATTGATAACTGCAAGGAGCGTCGTTCGCAGACCCTGAACCAGTCCGAGGCTGCCTCGCCTGTGTATCGCACAACTGAGCGGTCAACGAATGCTCCCAATCCTGCCAGTACCGACATGATCGTCGAAGTCTTGCAAGACTTATTCCGCGATCCAGACATTAGACCCAAAACCGTTTTCCGTGACCTCCAATTCATTGCGTCCTTTGTACCTGCTGCGATCCTTGACAAGACAGAGCGTGGGAAAGCATTTTGGGATGCTGCCCTTGCTGCCCTCGGCCTCAAACAAGATGTTTGTCGCACACTTATCGAAATCGCAGATGAGGTGGTGGTCTACTACACCCAGACCCGTAAAATGACCAGCTCCTCTACCGAGCCGATTCCGCCTACCTCTAATGGGGAAGTTATGAAATATAGTATGCAGGATGCAGCTAATATGTGGACTATCACCGCGAAAGAAGGTGATCCAGTTGCTGAGCGGGAGCTGGCAATCTTCTACCTCACACATCCAGAACTCGTGGAAAGGGTTACGGCGCCATTAAGCAAGCCGCGCGAGACATTCAAGGCGCAAGTCATGGAAATGCATGGCGGTGGCAGCACTGGAAAGGAGGAGAGAGACAGAGAGAGAAGTGACCCAGCAACAATGTGCGCTGCATATCACTGGATGGAGCTGAGCGCATTGGGAGGAGACGGTCTTGCTAAGACCTACCTGCGACAAAGAGAGGAGCTAAACGCCATCCCTTGACCTGGTATTCCCCTGTATGAAGGTGGAACAGAGGTCTTTTCGATATTCTTTGGTTTTTGCGCTCGTCGTTTCGCACCCTTGATACCACTCTCTTACTAGCATTCACGTATACCAAGGTTGATGAAAGCATTTTGTATCCGCGATTAGCGTCGTTTCTGCTTTTTGTTTGGGATAGGCTGTCTGTTTTAGTCAAATTCGCACCTATAGATGAGTGGGACGGATGGACTTATTAACTCGTGCTGGAAACGAAATACTACTGGGTTTACGTTGATATACCTCCATTTTCTAGTGGGACATTATAGATGAGAATTAATTCAATTAAAGCAACCTTGATTAACCGTGAATTGTTCAATATGGCCCAGGCACGTGTCACAGCGCTGTTTTGTTTGTCAATACCATGTGCACTTCTACTTCTCGACCAGTAATGCATTATAAAGTACAGGTCGATATATCTCTTGCATGCATTTTAGATTATACATATATATAACTCCAACCCATTTGAATACCTGTAGATGATTTGGAATAGTAGTAACCAAGTTGCATGAGCAAACAATTAATGCCAACTGTAAATCCACCCGGTCACCTAGCCTTCTCCATTTTTCAGCCTCGCCAAAAGCGGCAGGAGTCGGCAGAATATTTTAACGGACCGAAATCTCTCCCCTAAACTCTCGTTCGCCCATCTCCCCCCAAGTTGAATCACCCACGACAGCAACGATGAATGGACCGGCATTTAATCCCTCTGCCGGTGGCGGAGCGGGGTCTGAAATGGATGCGCAGACGGTGGCTGCTGTGAAGGCTGTATGTTCAACCCCGAACTTCCGTCGCGCAGAGCAGCAGAACGAGAGTTGCCTCTGAGAGCTATGGACGGCGATGCTGATTCTACGTGTTATGCAGATGCAAACTGTTATGGAAAGCTGTCCTGGGGTAAGTTTGGTTCTGTCTCCTTGCACCTATTCCTTCATATTACATATACTATTAAAGTTTTGCGCTCGGCGCGTTATCTTCAAGCTGTCTCTCGGTATCTGTTGAGTATTAATTGCTAACTGTACGATCAACTAGAAAACAGTAATGTCCGGCGTAATGGGCTTTGCATTAGGTGGTGCATTTGGTCTCTTCATGGCATCCGTATGTCCGCCTCCTCCCCCTTGCATCTCTCACCATCTAACGTCCTTATGCTCTGTAGATGCAATATGACACGCCTCTCGCCTCCAACCCAAACGCCGCGAACATAACCTCACTCCCCCTCCGTCAACAGCTAAAACAAGGCTTCAAGGACATGGGTGCGCGGTCCTTCTCATCCGCGAAGAATTTTGGCAAGGTCGGCGCTATTTTCTCTGGCACAGAATGCTGTATCGAGGGCCTCAGAGCGAAGAATGATCTTGCGAATGGTGTTATGGCGGGTTGTATTACGGGTGGTGTTTTGGCGGCGCCAGCAGGACCGCAGGCTGCCGCTGTGGGGTGTGCGGGCTTTGCGGCATTTAGTTTGGCTATTGATAGCTACATGAGGAGGCCGAGTGATGGGGATTGAGTTAGGGACGGACGAAGTTAGACGTATCATAACGGAGAGACGGCGATGTTAATATTAGGATGGCTGGGAGGTGGAAATATGAAGTCAAGCCGCTGTTTCGAATATTGGTGTCTGTAAGAGCGGCATTGTATGTTTGGAAGCTGCATTGCGTTGGAGTTTTGGTAAAGGGTGTCAATTGCTATATCATGTATTAGAATAGGTGGGAATATGGGCCACCTAGTAGGACTGGCGGGTATAGGTACGGGATCAAATCTCAACTATTGAATAATCACAGTGCAAACCCGATATATTACCTTACAATTTAATTGTCATGGCCCTTTTGCAAAACTGCTTTGGAGGCAAATAAATTTTGTAGCAGAGGCCGCTTTACGATAAGCCTCAAGTTTTATTTTTTCGTTGTCTATATGCGTGACCCTATGAATAATGTCCACTGCGCTAGATATCTTGTAAACCTCGATTTATGTGATTTGTTTTGTTCACGAGGAGTAACCCCATGCCCTGGGCATCCTAAATAATTCGACTTGCTCGAATCTTTAAGTCATTGCCTGTTGACCACTTTCCGACTCACTTCTTGAGCGGGATGTTGTCGAACTGTACGAAGTAATTCTAATAAACCCGGTATATGTTATTATAAATATCAAAATTCTGTTAAGCCTTGGTACTTCTGGCCCACCGTTATATTACCCATTCATGGCTATCATTTTGCGTATGAGGCTCAAGGCATTAAATAATAAATAAAACCCATATGTGATAGGTCTATCGCATTCCTACGAGTAGCAGAAGCATCTAGGTACCTTAGGTAAGTGGCAGGAGTCAGCCTGGGTGCTTTGTATGGCGCATTCTTGGGCGAATTTGGTGCAAAACTCTTTTCGCTAGAAATATCATGCACCTATTCAAGTTACCTACCTACCTATATATATCTCCGATATCGAGCTTCTATACTATTTCAATATACTAATCTAGATAGCGCAAATATCTTAATTCTAGTGAGATATTTATATAACTTGAACACCCCAATTCTAGTGAGATATTCATACAACCTCAACACCTCAATTTTAGTAAGATATTTACACGATACTAGATTTATGTCTAGGTAATTACCGTTGCGCCTTGTAATACCGGCGAAAAGAGTTTTGCACTACAGTCGCCTAAGAATGCGCCATAGTTTTTGACCTTAGCGTTACCGCGCAAACCCACGCTCATTGCGGTGCAAGGGTTACATCTACCGCGCAAACCCTGCAATATGTCACGCCGACCATAACGCCCGACGCCAGGGTCTGCAGCTGTGGCGAAGTAATGCCAGGGCCGCTGGAGTCAATCCCTTACTTTTTCTAGAATGGTCTCCATCCCAGGGTGTGCACCGTTTTGGTCTTTCAGATGCCGAGCAAAGCCCCTTTCGTAGTCGGTTCCGGCTTGCACGGCCGAAGTCCGATCAGGAAATTAAGCAAAAGCAAATTTCCTGAGCAATGATAGGATGCACTGAGCACGACACTCCTTTTACGAGTTAGAATAAGCTTGACCACAGAGTGGAGTAAGTACAAATATCCAGGAATAGTAGGTTCATTTAATTCGGAGCAGAGAAGCTCGATAGCATGGACGGTGAATGATATAGTCAGGATTACCGACCTTCACCACGTTCACACCTCTCTCGTCAAATGGATTGCATCGGCAGGAGTGGAGTAAGGGCACAGGATGCTCCTGTCCACAGGGTATAATAACTATTCTGCAAGTGAGCCCAGTATCACGAGAGGTTCCTATCTATTGCGGCGCGGACCTTATATCAAAAGTCATGGGCACTGCGGAAATCGCACAGTACAATTGGCCAGTTTGGTCTAGCGGCGAAGATTTAGCTGGACCCTTATTTTAGTACTAAAAGTTCCATCACTCTTGTCATCCTTGCTTATCATTATATCATCCAAGTTGCGTTATATTAAAATGTTATCGAAAATTGAAATATCAAAATGAAGGTTATTAGTATTGTTTTGACGGCGTTGGGCATGCTATGTGCAGTTCAGGCATGTTCCCAAGATTGCACTTATCAAAGAGATGTGCTCTAATACTAATGGTGATGTAGGGTAAGTACTGGTGGCTCTTGCAAGCGTTTTAATATAAACTAACCGTAATGTAGGGTGAGTACTGATGGTTCCTGTCGATGCTTTAATATAACTAACAGTAGTGCAGAGTGAGTACTATTCGAGCTATACAGAGTAACGCTCCTCTAATAACTAGACTGGGATAATATTAACAACTGTGTCGTAAATGTATCACGTTACGTCCGGAAAGAGCGGACATTTGACACTGGCATATTACGGAGTAAGCTTATCTAAGACGACACAAGGTGTGTACCCTCGGTACAACGCCATGCATGGGTTCAATCTAATCAATCCTGCCGATCTAAACGGTTGCCCGAAATGGACCGATAGCTATATACAACCTCGAAATCACGTACATAGCATCAGGTATCTATCTACCCAATCAAAGCAGCGGGCCACACCTCCTAATCCTGCGCTTCCTTTTCCTCGCGTCCCCACTTAGGTTCCAGCTCTTGGAAGTAAGTAACTGTCAGCACTACTTCTGCGGACACCTTGCGTTGCCATGTACCACCCATCATACGAGGTATTTGATGGTCCAATTAGGGCACCTAATTCGTAGGTAAACGTATTGATAAATAATGGCATGTGTGAATGGCGCTACTTGCTGATTACCGGCATAGTAATTCGGTTTGAAATGAAACAACCGCGGATCACAACAATACGTGGCGGTCATGTTGGTAATATATTACCATTCTGACGGCATAAAAAGATCTAGTAGAACTACTCGACACGTTTCACACTATCCATTCATTTTGTTAGAACTAGCTTGGTACTAGTACTTAGCAAAAAGCATACCTACGAAAACGTTTCTCACAGGTGAACGTCTTACACACGTTCCATTGTCCGCAGCCATGATTGCACTCACAATCCTCCGCTATGCGCCTCTTGTGATCCCTTCGGTTAGATATACCCTCCGCTAATTCAGCCTGTTTTTTTCTTTCTTCTTCTGCTGGGCGATATTAATAAATTGTATTAGATTGTTGGTTTCGTGATATTGAAGGCAATATACAATGTCTTCTTTCACCCTCTTCGAAACTTCCCTGGTCCTCTTCGGTATCGGGCGTCACGTATTTTCTGGGTTCTCGACCTTATTGAGGGGCGTCAAATATACACAATTGACCAATTCCACAAGCGGTACGGGCCCGTTGTGAGAACTGCCCCCGATGAGCTTTCCTTCACCATCCCGGAAGCCTGGAGAGATATCTATGGCCACCGTGTCGGACTTGTATCCGGACTTCCAGAGATCCCTAAATGGCCGTTGTTTTACAGATTTACCAAGCAGGATGTTTCTATATTCAACGCTCCTCAGGGCCAACACGGTACTCTGCGACGAGCTCTAGCTCACGGGTTTTCTGAGAAGAGTACCCGGGCGCAAGAAAGCATAATTGGCGGATACGTCGACCTACTAGTAACGCGGCTCAAGGAGGTTGCAGATAGCAAAGCACCCACCAACATGGTTCAGTGGTAGTAAGTGTCCATCCATCCTACATATTACTTATTCGTCATTTATGCAAAGAAAAAACAATCTCACCAGTGGTCGTAGCAACTATACGACATTTGACATTGTCGGCGACTTAGTTTTCGGTAATTCTTTCCAATGCCTGGACAATGCCAACTATCATCCATGGGTCTCTCTTTTTGCCGATTCAACAAGACAGAACTCTATTTTCGTAGGCTTGAAGATATTGGGGCTTGATTTTCTCGCTCTGGCAACTATGCCCTTGGTCATCAGGAACATGATCAAACACTTCAACCTGACGAAAGAGTGGCTACAAGAGCGGAGAAGGCTAGGTACCGACAGAGGTGACTTGATTGAAGGGCTGTTGAAGAAGGAGGGAGAAGAAATCAGCTTTGATGAGATTCACGGGACATCCATGTGAGTTTGCGAGAACCGGTGAAAGTCTCGCCAAAGAGATGAAAGATATGGACAAAAAATTTCCATCGCCGAGTAGTATGCTAACATGTAGCGAAACAAAGGGGCCTCATCTTCGCCGGATCCGAAACGACTGCGACACTATTGAGTGGTGTTACCTACTTGCTGCTTCAGAACCCTAAGACACTAGCCAAGGTCACAGAGGAAGTGCGATCATCATTCAAGTCGGACAAGGAAATCACGCTCCTCTCAGTCCAAAATCTCGACTACATGCTGGCCTGTCTTGACGAGGCGTTCCGGCTATACCCCCCCGTTGGCATCGGTCTGCCTCGACAGATTCCCAAAGGCGGAGTTAAAATTGCCGGCATCTATGTTCCAGAAGGCGTAAGTACCCTCTTCGGTCGAAGTCAGGTTTTAAATACCTGTGCCATTAGTCCTAATCGGAAAATAGTCCATCGTAGATGTACCGCAGTATGCCATCCACCGTAGCCCCGACCATTGGACAGAACCAGAGAGCTTCCATCCCGAGAGGTTCCTCGGCGACGCTCGTTTTGCCAATGACAAAGTTGAGACGCTACAGCCCTTTTCTGTCGGACCTCGAAACTGCATTGGGAAAAAGTAAGTAGACCAACCTATTCTTTAACACACCGAGTCTGTCAACTAACCAGTTCGCCCCTCTTCTAGCCTTGCCTACGCAGAAATGAGGCTCATTCTCGCCCGTGTGCTTTATAACTTTGACCTGAAAATGGACCCCAGCTGCTCAGGATGGTTAGATGGTCAGAAATCTCACGCACTCTGGATAAAGCCACCGCTGAAGGTTCAATTGACTCCCGCAAAGGCTACATAACAATTTATGGAAAGCCAAGCTGCTACCAGATGGTTAGCTAATTCATCTTGATGTTTTTTATTTATTGCAATGGTCTTCTCGAGCTGTACATATTTTATTGGGAGGGTTTTTATAGACAAGAAATAGAGTCACTAGTCTCACATTGACCATGTTCATTTCATTGACATTAAGTTTACCAGAGTATTAAATATTACTTACCGCTCACAGTATAGTTTATCTTATGAATGATGAGTTTTTGATATAATACATTGCCTGTCTCACAAATTGCAAGGTAGGCAGGAGCGATTCCATTTAAGCTCGAACCTCTAGAAATTCAGTACAACTATAGGAATGGCAAGCAGTTATTTTCTTCTTTTTGCTCGGGTGCGGTGCTAAGGGAGGAGTTGGTCATGTAGCGTCGTCGACTACGACACCAATTTGTACATTAGTACGGAGCAGTGCCTCTACCACCTAACATGGCATCATTTGTAGCAGCATCTGGGCCAAAGACTTGCTCAAGAGCCAGGTGCTTGCGCTTCGATCGAAGCATGGGCCTGTTTCCCACGCTTCTTGTTCCTGTAGCAAAATGCTCTGTGTGTGTTAGGGATGCTTTGAAGTTATACTCTGAAGTTATATATAGAATGAAGTGTCAAATTGTAAATGGGAGCCATTGTGGCTTGACATGTCGTGGATGAGACGCTAGTAATAACCCGTATACACACCACAACTTAACTAAGGCTAGTGGCTATAGGTGATAGAAGACCCCAAGGCAACACTCTCATTAAAGGTTGCCTAAATGTTGGTCTATTCCCTACAAATATACCGCCAAGAGCTGAAGGCAATTTTCTCGCTGATAACCACGTCCAAATGGATCGCGATCTTGGGACCACTCAACTACTTGAGCTTATTCTACTCAATCTCGACATGCAGACGCTGCTAGTCTCCGGGACACGAGTGTGTAAGTCATGGAACAATCTGATGTCTTGCGTGACAGTGATTGATGGCAAGTGTGGCAAAAATCATGGTTTCAGATGAGAATAGACTTCTAACAGATAAATGCTTTGACTACTAGATTCTGTTCCATCTTAAGGCAGGCTTGAACAAAATATAATGGTCGGACCTTAACATAGGTTCTTTCTTGGAGTTTCATAGAAGAATAAATAAATAGCTATCCTTTACAATTAATCAGCTAAAATTAAGAATGCTCATACCTAGTCTACCGTTCTGTAGAAAATTATCACTGTTGGGACGGAAATGTGATTGGTGCAGTGCAAATTCACTTTTATTGATGGTCATCTAACTAGCATCAAAAGAAAACGTTCTATATTCTATAAATGTATCCCTCCCTTTAACTCTCTCAAACTGGAATCGCTGCGCCCCATTTCCCCTTACCTACAATATCACGAGAAAATGACGTGATGGGTTTTGAAGCCATGACATCAAAAACAGTAATGTCGGCTGAAACCTCCTTCTTGGCCCAGCTAACATATTCTATTGCCACAAGAGAATCCACTCCATAGGCGTGTAGCGACTTTCCTGTATCGATTTCTTCCTCCGCTACTTGCATCAGCTTCGCTACCTTGCTGATCACTGCGCCGGTGACGAACGATGCAGCATCATCAGAGCTTTCCGCATCGGCAAGTAGTTCTTTGAGCGATACACTGACTTGCGTATCTGAATTCTCCGAGTCCATGCCAATTTTGGCCATGATACTGAATCGAGGGTCATCGAAGTAGTATGGCTGACTGACACCGGAGCTACGAACCATACCGCCCGTCGGTATGCTGTTGATCATCTGGGCTGGGACATCTAGTGCCCAGTCCCCCCTTTGACCAAGTAATGCACCTTTGATCATAGCGTGTACTTCTGGCTCACTGACGCCGAATGGTTCCCGCCATTCGAGTGTGTGGCCCACTGCACCTTGCTCTTCTACTGCACCGAAGCCTTTCACAATACCGAGATCAATTGTGACGGCGTGCAGACCCTGAGACTGCCTCAGATGAGCCAATCCGTCCTGGAAAGAACCACCGGCAGCATAGTTACTCTGGCTGATACCACCAATAATAGCCATGAAGGAGCCGATGCAGAGGAAGAAGTCGAGGTTGTACGAAGTGGTAAGTGCGTGCAAGTTCCAGCTTCCCCGGAGCTTACCATCCAAGAGCTCATCCCACTGCTTGTATGTCATATTATGAAGAACGGAATCTCTGAACACAACCGCAGAGTGAATGATTCCTTTAATGGGAGGCATTTCGCTTGCGCATTGGGCTAGCACTCGGCCCAATGCGTTGGCATCGCCAATGCTGCATTTGTAAACTCCGATTTTAGCGCCGCGCTCACTTAGATTGTCAATAAGCTGCTGCTGCTGGACTGATGTAATACCGGAGCGAGAGACCATGGCAATATGGCGTGCTCCACAATCGACGAGCAGAGTGGCGAGGCTTCGCCCAATGCCACCGAGACCACCAGCAATGAGATAGGTGTTGTCTGGCGAAAGCTTCAAGCTGTCTTTCGGATTCTGCATAACGGACACAAAGTCCTCTGAGGAATACGACAGCGTGATTTTACCATGATGGCGATTATCCTGGAACATCTGTATAGCTGCCTCTGCTTCCGAAATCGGATATACATTTGAAGGCGAAACTGACTTCACCTGGCCATCTTGAAGGAGGCTCAGAGCTTTTTGCAAGATATCTCCAATCAACTTGGGCCTCAGCTCCAATACCCGTTGCAGGTTAACGGCCACAAAGGTAATGTCTCGACGGAATGCTCGCGTATTCAGAGTGGAATGGCGGGAGTCATTTTCCATACCCATCTCAACGAAGGTTCCAAAGTCAGCAAGGCAATTCAAGGAATCTGCGGTTTCCTCTACAGACAGAGGGTTCACGATGAAATCCACCCCTACATCGCCAGTGATGCGCATGACATGTTGGACAAGTCCCCTATCCTGTGGATGATAGATGCGGTCCAGGGAGAGGCCGAGTAATTCTTGGATAAATACTCTATCGTCGGCAGATTCAGCCGTTGTGAAGACTTCAAGGCCAAGGTGCTGACCGAGGCGAACTAATGCTTGCCCTACAGCCCCGACCGCAGCGTGGATGAGAACAGATTGGCCACTCTGAGCTCTGAGGACGTGGAGAAGTGTGTAGTACGCCGTGCAGTACGCAAAAGGGAAACCAGCAGCTTCCTCGTATGTCATGTCTTGCGGGATCCTCTGGCATACCGCAGCTTTGCCGCGTAGAGTGGTTCGATGCGCACCACTCGCCAGCATGACAACCTTGTCACCAAGTTGGAGATGTGTGACGCTTGCTCCAAGACGCAAGACAACTCCACTAGCCTCAAGGCCGAGATGCGTATCGGTGATCTGTCCAAGAGCTACCATAACATCCTTTGAACTATTATACGGTTAAACCAAGACTCATGATAGAGAGAGAGAAGGGCACACTTACTTCAATCCACTAGCCATCACGCGTACTTCAACCTCGTCGTCTTGAAGCTCGTTTTCCGACACGTCGTCTGCCTGAAAGCAGAGCGTGTTCAGCATACCTGGGTTTCGAATGCAAAGTTTTTGTGGTCTCTCCAATAAACCTAGAGGCTTTGACTCAATGACCTCGCTAAGACACAAATTGGAAATCTGATGGTTTAGTGGTGCGTCTACAGTGACACGAGGGATATGAATAATAGAATCCACCTCTTTGAACTCTTTGTCCGGAGACTTTGATCTCTGAACTTGGGAGATATGAATCGAATTCTTTTTGACATCCTCTATTGTTGTAGGGTCCAAAGTCAGAACGCGGAAGTCCAGACTCGGTATTTCGACGCGGGCGACGCGGGCAAAGCCTAGGATAGTGGACGCGTGCGGTTCTGGGATTCCTACGACCCATAGCAGGCTAGAAGCTTGTGTGACGAGTCTCTTTAGGATATCAAAGTCCTCTTTAGCAAGGTGATTGATAAACGGATCATTTAACTCCAGCAGGGAAATGATATGCTTCCCCTTGAAATCCACACCCGCACCCCAAGTTACAACTTGACTAGGTTGGAAACTTGATGCAACATTCTCCACAACAGCATCTGGCGACTTCGATTCTGGGGAAATTAAGATGTAAATTTCCTTGTCGTCTGGTGCTGAGGCTGTTGGCAACTTCTTTGCAGAAGACGATGCAAACAGTAGGCTAGATTGTTGAATGGCGGGGTCAAGAAAGTCGGGCGACAAAAAGTCGAGAGTAAAGCCTTGCTCAGTGAGGATATCATTGATTGAGTCAATGGGCAAGGGTCGACGTAGTCCGTCATCTCTTCGTCTATTGTCACGTCAGCTTAAAATGGACCATCACAGAAGTTGGGGTATGCCATACTTCCACCAGTCACACACGACTCCGAGGACCGGTACTGCTCTGGAGCTTGGCTTGGTTAGTTCCACGAAGCAGATGTTGCCTCCATCGCGTAATAACGATTTCGTGCGCATAAGCACGTTTTCAACATTTCTGGAGTTGGAGAGTACATTGTTGCCAATAATGATATCGAATGAAGCAAGGTCGATACCCTGGTCAGCCAGATCTTGTTCGAGATCGAGGACAGTAAAGCGGGGAGTAGGGCTGGCCAGGGGAGAGGATTCCTGTAGACTACGAAGAATCTCGGGGGTTGCTACTGCACGTGTGTATTTAATCGTGGTTGGTATGTCCGTTGTTGAGAATAGTGATGTGTCCTCTTCCCCTGAGCTGCCAGATCCAATTTCCAAAACAGCCAGGTCAGGATTCTCGTGGGCCATGATATTGACAAGCTGGTACGATATTAGTTACAACTTCAAACACTAGCTTTGGTGGTTACCATTCATACTGACCTGATACATCTTCTGCAATGATACCTTCACGCCCGGAAGAGAGGCCAGGAACTTTTCAGTGCTGCCATATTCGCTCAGCAGGACATCTGGGGTTGAAGTCCCGCTTAGGACGTCGACGATGGGTCCCGTAGCTCCTGCGCCTTGGCCGGCTTGGGATACATTTTCAAGTCCCTTACCAAATACTTTA